ACTACCCCTTGATGTACAGCCATGCATCGCTTGTCCGTGTAGGTCAATGTCATATGTAATGAGGGTGCGGCGTCTGCAGATGACGCCCAAGTCTAAAACTGACCGCGGAAGCGCATGCTGTTGCCTTGGCGCTGCTGGTCGGTGAGGACCTCCGAGTCGTCCGACCACGCCTGGCTCGTCTCGCGGCGCATGTTGGGTGGCAGGAGGCCGTTGGCCGTCGAGAGACCCATGCTGTCCTGCTCGCTGTAGAGCGACGCGCGGGCGGCGTTGGGCGTTGTGTTGGCGGGGAGGGAAAGGAGCGAGTTCTTCGCGTGCGACATGCTCATGATCGACTGGCGGTACGCGATCTGCTCGTTGTAGTACTCCTGGAGCTTGACCTGGTTTTCCTCGCGCGCGCGGCGGTGCAGGAGCCAAAGGCCAGTCATGACAGCAACAAGGCAAATGACAATTGCGAGGCCGATCACGACGTACACCCATGGCTTGGGCTTGAGAGGTTCGTCCGCCTCACGGCCGCAGATGCCTGCCTCGTCGGCGCGGGGCTTGACGCAGTTGAACGACTTGCACTCCTTGTTGGCCGTGCAGCCCTGTCCCTTGTCACGCTTGGGGTTGCACAATTGTGTCGTGCCGTCGCAGTACAAGTTCTTGCGGCAGTTGTCGCGCGAGACTGCATACGTGAAGGTAGTGCCGTCATCGGCGGTGCCGACATACCATGTGTTCTCGAAGATGCAGGGCTTGCCTGTCTCTACGTCGGCGTAGTAGCACTGGAAGCCGAGGCAGGTGGACCCGTTAACGTTGAGGTACGACGCGAGCTCCTTCTGGTTGGGGGGCGGCGCGCACTGGTCTGGATAGTCAGATCGGCGAGAGTGCTGTGCAGCTTACCGTCACGATCCTTCTGGCAGGGCCCACCAACTGGGCTCTTGGGCATGCAGCTGCTTCCCTCATCTGGGCAGCTGCAAGGTCAGCGACTGAATAACGGGGAATCCTATGGGGAGATGGAGATGGGGGCACACGCACAACTGGCCCTCGGGGCAAAGTGGAGGAAGCTGATCGTATGGTGTGCCGTAGTAGCCGTAGGGGTACTGTGACGCGTCAGTGGCGCGCGCGCGTGAGTGCTGTGTCAAAGGCCCTTACAATGTCGCGACGACACCCGCGCTTGATGCAGATGTTGTCTGGCCCGCACCATGTCTGGGGGTCGCAGTCGCTGAGGAAGTTGTACGTTTGTGAATCGAGCCGGTTGCGCGATGGGCTTGGAGTCAGATTCTGCGATGGGAACTGGGATGGGGGTTGGGAAGGTATAGGATGGACTCACTCGCAGGCTTGGCCTTCGGTCATCTTACCGGCGCGTACGCCGGCCGCGGAGAGTGCGAGGAGAGCTAGGCATACTGCGAACACCATCGTTTGTGTGTGATGGAGACGAGAGCGAGAGAGAGAGAGAGAGGTAGAGAAGAGCAGTAGTGAGGAGGAGTAAGTTTGTGATGAGCGACGGTGTGCGGTGAGAGATCACTGTGGGAGGAGAGCCGGGGGAAGGCCAGAGGCAGCACCTCAGCAGCGCTTTAGCACCAGCAACGGGAGGGGCATGAGGGGGGCGATCTGCGCATTTGCCCTGAACATACGCATCACTCTCCCCCTACGGGATCAAATCCATCGCTTGGGTGGACGCAAAATAGCACTCCGTCCCCATAATCCTGAGGGTCAAATGCTTCAAACCCTCATCGACCCAGGCACCTCGTTCTGGCCACTTTGGATCGCGACTTTTGCAACAGTCAACTGCGCTCCCTTCCCGGTTCGAACTCGCGCTGTAACTTGTATCTACAACCTGACGGCTGACGCTATACCATCACAAATTGTTTTGTATTTTGATGTGGACCGGCGTACCGGCTGGGTATCCGCCGTCTACCGTCTGTCTGCGCGTGTCTCATTCCTCGTGTTCGTGGGAGCATGGGAGCGCCGGGGAGGGAGGGGGGGGGCAAAGAATATGGAGAATGTTGGTTCCGTCGGGGGAGCGCCGTCCGTCGAAGTTCCCCCTCTGCGTGCCAAGCAACGATGCCACACGCTGCAACGAGATTGAGGGTCACAAGAGGCGCGCACCGACCAAACCGACTGGGGGAGACTCGTCGCCGGAGGGCGGTAGCCACCTCCGAAATCACTCTCCCCCCTCCCCACCCACCTCCCACCTCAACACGTTGCTCGCCACCATTCACCCCCCACCACCACCATCATCACCACCCTCATCACCACCTTCCACCACTTCCATCCCACTCAACCACCCTTCATCCACTATCACAACAAAACTCATCCTCCCCCTCCTCCCCCCTCGCCGCATTCATCACTCATATCTCGCAGCATACATAACCTCCATCACAGGACTGGCACAGGGCATCTGCCTTTGTCACCATGCTTTCCTCGTTGTTAAACAACGACTCCTCCCCACCACCACCACCACCACCACCACCACCACCACGGGTCCTACCACCTTCCCCCGCAGCTTCCATTTCTGCGGCTTCAAATCGCCCCCCGCCTTCCCTTCATCATCGTTCTCCTTTCAATTCTCTCTCTCCCACAAAGCGTCCTCACTCCCCAGATCATGCCCCAGGCCGCTCAAACCCAAACACTCCATCCCGCAACGCCATCTCCAATTTGGTCAACGCCTCCGACGAGCCACCCCGCGCCAATTCACGCGTCCCATCTCGCGCTGTGACCCCCTCAGCAGCCGCTTCAGCAGCGGACACGCAGGAAGAGCGCGACGCAGCCATGGTGGTAGACGAGCAGCTTGAGGAAGGTGTCGAGCCAATCGACGTCGACGCCGATGAGGACGAAGACGACGACGATGACGACGAAGATGAAGACGACGACAGCGAGGACGATGATGATGACGACGATGATGACGACGTGAGTGCCGCGAGGTGCTGTGCTATGCTGTGTCGCGCGCAGTGGTTGCGATGCGCTGCGCCATGCATGTTCACCTTCCTCATTAACGTATGGAACCGGAACTGATCTCTTCCAGGACATCATCGCCCTCGATGGCCCCAATGGCTCTGAAACCAAGCTTGGCGACGCTGTCAAGAAGGAGCCCACAGATGCGACGGACACCAATGGCGAACCCAAGCCAGAGGGCGAGGCCAAGGACGATGACAAGCCCAAGAAGAAGAAGCGTAAGCGCTCGCCGTCAGAAGATCTGGCGCCCCCACCCCCACCCATGCCGACCATCCGTCTCGACATGGAGTTACCCGAGGAAGGCATGCTCGACTGGAACTTCTTACAGGAAGCCGCCAAGGCCGGCTACGAGCTGCATGATTCCAACGGCGTGCCATACGTCCTGACCGAGGACATGAATGGTCAAGAGAATGGCGAGACCACTGCTGAGGGGGCGGCTGAAGGCTCCGGCGCCGAGAATGGCGACGGAGCAGCTCCAGATCCGTTCACTCCAGGCGGCATTGGCAGCGAGGCTGCAGAGGCGGAAGCCATGGCCGCAGCACTCGAGGCCAAGTGGGCCAACTACGGCAAGACTGGCAGAAAGAAGAGACCGACAAAGTCTGGGCGCCGAGCCCCTCGCGAGCTGTACGACTTGAACGACGACTTTATCGACGACTCGGACGTATACATTGACATGCCGACGCATGTCGCCCGTCCGAAGAAGGAGGGCTTCTTTGTCCATCAGGGGCCGCTCGAGCTCCTGGAGGAGTGAGTTGTCGCCAAGAATGTCGCTGACCGAACCAGGGAAGGAGCAGGACCACGGCGGCCCAAGCCCGTGCGCCGCGCCGTCAAGACACCACGCGAGGCGCGTCCCAGTCTCTCGGCCGCTCTGCGAGCCAAGTTTAGGCCCAAGCAGCAAGGCGAGTCGGACGTCATTGTGATCAGCGACGATGAAGGGCCGCCGCCTATGCGTTACCGTTGGTTAAACGTTGCTTCGCACCTGCTCACACCTAGGCCCGAGGTCACCTTCCCCTCCCGGCGGCGACCCTACAAATGGGGAGATCGACCGCTCCTTGTTCAAGAACGCACCGAGAGAGGAAAAATATCTTCCTCCATATGACTCCTTTCCAGAGGAGGTCGCTCACGAGCTGCGAATGCTACGTTACGCCAGCACGATGCGTAAGTCACTCAACGGAAAGGCGCTAACAAAAGATCGCTGGGACCCCAACAACAAGGGCAAGTTCCCCGAGCATCTCAAGGCCTATCTTCAGCGTGCAGGCGAGGCTGCATTCCACTACGACGTGTTTTGCATTGTCGACAAGGAACCGACAGATACGCGTTACGAGGCATTCAAAGAGAAGGCCTTTGTGCAAGCTCTTTGTGGAATGCTGCCGTACAACAAGCTGACTCTTGGGGTGAGCTCTCTGCTAACGTTAACCACTGCCGGACACTGACATCAGAAACTCGTTCTCAAGCTCTGCTACAACGAGTACTGGAAGTGGCTGCAGGCATGCGAGGAGGAGGGCCTAGCTCAGTGGAGGGAGATCCTGGAGCCACACATCGATGAGATGCTGGAAGAGTGGGAGCGCCAAAAGCGCGAACATATGGAAAGACAGGGGCAGCAGGAGCTCGTGGAGGACGCTGCAGGCGAGAAGAAGAACGAATTAAAGAAGATGCCTTATTTCGCGCAGGACCAAGACCTCAAGGACATCTTCCGCCAGCTAGTCGAGAACACGCAGGAAATGGTCGAGATCAACAAGAAGATGGAGGAGTGGGGGCAACCGATACAGGGGCAATCGAGCGAGCTCAACATGCGCAAGATACTGTACAACAAGGTAAGCCAGCCATTCGCGCCTGACGCTGACTCTCAGATCATAAGGATCTACCCGGACGACTTCATGACTTCGCTGCACCTCTCTCGCCAGTTCACAAACTACAAGCGCTCTGGGCAAGGTGCCGCAGCTGCAGCTGCGATGCGGAAGGGCGAGGACACGCCCATCGCCGTGGATTGAGGAGTAGGTGCGCAAATATCGAGCTGTTAGGACGTGCTCTGCACGACTTCGGGGTGAGTGTAGGGTGTACTGTATGTAATGTATGGTGCTATAGAATGTTACAGTCGCATAATAGCACTCAAACCCGGTAGGGGGTTATCGCAGTTGGCGCATGCGTCGTCTTGAGCAGCATTAGTGTGACACCCGGATGCCTTGATGAATACAACTAGCATGGGTGAGTTTTGAAGGCAGAGTGGAGGCCAGACAGGGCGGGCGCGTGCCCATTTCGAGCCATTGATGGCGGCAAATCGAGACTAAAGTCTTTCCCATCTTCCATCTAAACATCATCCACAGCAAAGCGACTCCATCATGCCTCGCCGCGGCTCGCCGCGCGTGGGTGCGTCCGCGCCGGTGCCGGCTTCAACGGCGGCTGAGGACGCGCTCGGACCCAGCGCGCGCGTGTCTTTGCGGTCGCGTGGGATATCAGATAACGCATCGAGCGAGGTGTCAATAGCGAGCTCGCCCCTTACTCCCACCAGCGAGGTTCACGAGGAGAAGAAAGGCAAGGGACCGGAGCGCCGGGTGCTGCCTGCACGGATACGGCGTGCTGCCGGCGGAGCAGAGGGCATACGCGAGCTCGAGGAGATGGTGGTGGACTGGCTTGAGCGGTATGGTGAGTCTGCGGGCGGATGGAGTTGACGCCAGCCGACTGCAGTTCAGGACCACCGAAGGCGCTGCAGATCACGCTGACGACGCTCCCTCGTGCGCTGGTTGCGCCCAAGCTGTTCTCCACAGGGGCCAAGCACGGGATCGGGATAGAGAAGGACGGTTCCGCGCAGCGATTCCAGCCTGAAGCCGGCCCGTCGCGGCCGCGCATCGAGACACCATCGTGGACGTTTGTGCGTGCGGGCGAAGACGACAAGGAGGAAGCGCGCGAGGAGCTTGCCGCCCAGCGTGCGCGCCTGCCGCATTCACCAACGAAGCGGCTGCGCGGCGGCCTGGTGGGACACGAGGTAGGCTCGTTCGCCAACCGCGCTAACGGCAGGTGGGCGAGGACACGTCGGACGCATACTACGAGAAGCAGCACCGCAAATTCGAGGTGTTTGAGCGACGGCAACGCATCCGCGAGCGCGAGCAGCTCAGCTTTGAGCGGTACAAGATGCGGGCGCGCGTAGACTTGCTGCGCGCGCTGCCTGCGCCCCAGTGGGGGGCAGTCGTGAGCGGCGTGCTCGCCCGCCCGGATAGGGGGTGGGATCGCGGGCGCGCCAAGCTATCTGCCGAAGGGGCGGACTGGCTGCGCCGCCGCCTGATCCGCGAGGGCAAGGAGCTGTTGACCCGCTACGACGAGTTGCTCCCCAACACGGCCGAGAACAAGAAGTGAGGAGTGGCAAGCAAGCTAAGCTGACCGCAGACCCCGTTTTCTGGATCCGCCGCTCTCGAGCTCCGTGTCGCCGCCCCCGAGTCGGCGGACCGAGTCCAAGCGCCGCGGACCGTCCCGCCTGCAGAGCGTCAATCCTGAGACTTCGCCGCGCAAACGCGCGCGCACGACCACGCCCAAGGTAGAGCCTGAGGCCGACCCAGATAGCGACTCGAGTCTATCAGATCCGCCTTCGCCTACACCCCCGCCCTCCCCACCTACACCACCGCCAAAGAAGATCATCCTCCGCCTACCCGCCAGGAGCTCACTCACGCCCCAGCCCGCGTCGCGCCCTGCCTCCCCGGCCGGGCGCAAGCCGCCAAAGAAGCGGAGCGCGCCTCAACCCCAGGCCGTCCTGTCTAAACCTCGCCTTCGCTTGCGTGCCGCCCAACCTGCGGCACTCGTGCAGACGAAATTGACATTCGCGCCTGTGGCATCGAGAGTGGCAGACCCAGGGCCAGATGTACCACCAGATCACAAGCCGCAGCTCGATCCTCCGGAAGAGAGCGCGGATCCTCCGGAAGGGAGCGTCCACGCGGCCAAAGACCATCCGCCATCCCCATCTACGCATACCTCTCCACTTGCGCTTTCCAAAGCTTCACCTCCCGCCGGGAAAGCAGGCTTGGGCCCAGCCCCCTGGCTTTCGTCAGCGGCGCCTGGAAAGGCATCACATCCTGCACCTCCAGCCACTCCTCCTCGCCCCCTTCCCCCCTCCACATACAGCAGCATAGCAGGCGTGCCTCCGCCCGTCGCAACTCCCAAGCTCCCACCCCATATTTCCCCCACTACCCAGCCGAAGCCCCTCCTACCCCCCTCCAGGCCGACGTTCTGGGCCGCACACGCTCCCGCCCCGGCGGGCATTCAGACACTGGGATCTGCGCAACAGAGCACACCGCCGCGGCCTCCCGCCCCGGCTCCTACTTCAGCTCCGGCTCCAGCTCCTACTCGTATTCCTGCTCCAACTACAGCTGCTACTCCGGCCCCTGTTCCAGTTCCAACTTCAGCCCAAGCAGGGAACAGGTGGTGGACGCCTCAGAATGCCTCGGTCCGGCCTGACCCCTCCGGAGCGTACACGGCTCCGCCAGCGCCGCAATTGCCAGACTCCACGTCGCCGACCAAGCGCCGCCGCGTGCAGCCACGTACACCCAGCAAGCCGGTCCTTGAGGAAGCCGCGCGGAAACGTGAGCACGATGCAGAGACGCCAGACAACGGCAAGAAGCGCCGCGTGCGCCCGTTTGGGATGCCCCTGCCGCCCTCGGTGGAGCGCAAGTCAGAGGTGAGCGGGCCACACGGGCGATCCTGACAACAGTTTGAGCTGCCCGAGGGCGACTACCTCGCTATACTGACCGCAAGGGAGTCAGCAGCCCGGGAGTCGCCGACGGAGGAGCTCGACATGGAGGGGGTTGAGGAAGCTGTCGTGCTCTGAATGTATAATATGATCGAACTCGCGCTTGCTCTCGCTCGCCTAGCACACTGCACTCACCCAATAGAAATGCCCCTGCATGCATACACTCATTCGTCCTTGGTCGGTTCTTCATCGAGGTGACGCACGAGACCATGCAGGCCCGCCAAGAATCGCGGTGCGAGGAACGCGGCGATGGCGACGCACACCGCTATCGCGCCGAAGGCACTCACCGCCGTGCGCGGGAGCACGCCAAGCAACAACGGCTCAACGAGGATGTGGAACGTAGTCTCGAAATCCGAGTCGGCGAGCCCCTCGGGGTTGAAGTATGGCACGCGCGGCGCGAGCGCCGACGCGCGGACATGGAACACTGCGCCGTCGGCGTGCCCGTGCGGTGTGATCGTGAACCGCGTCGGCGTCGATGCCGGCCAGGAAATGCGCGCCGTCCATCCCCCCGGATCGAGGGCCGCAAAGAAGTACGTCTCCGAGTCGTTGGACGAGAGCGTGTGCGTGTGTCGCCGACCCGCCTCGAGCCGGGTGCTGGCGTCAGCTGCGCAGCGGGGGGGCTCACAGCTTGACGCCCACCAAGTCGGATGGGGGAAGAGGAATGCGGACGTTGACGATCTCGGTGTCCGCCAGCGCGAGGCTGAGGAGTGTAAAGAGGAGAAGGAAGGCGAAGAGGCGCATCTAGAGTTGCGACGGTGGATGCGGAGGTGCTGGAATCGGTGAACGACCTCCACCGCAATTTGTCAACACCCACTTCGTCGCCGTCACAACAAATCACTTTCGTCAACCACAACTCCACCATGGACGCGAAATCACTCCTGCGCGCCAAGAAGGCCGCGGCGCGCATTGAACACCCGCATGCGACATACTCGGCCGCAGGGCAGCTGCGGTGCTCCATCTGCGCTGTTCCCGGTGAGCGCTCTCGCCTTGGCCTAGCTGATGCCAGTGAAACAATGGGACGCGCACCTCCTCACCAAAGCGCATCGGCAGTCTGTGGCGCGCGAGAAGAAGGAGGCTGCGGCGCGCGAGAAGAAGCGTGCCGCGCCGGCCGAGGAGGAGGGATCATCAAAGCGTGCAAGAATTGAGGAGGCGCCGTCGAAACTGCCGCCGGGTTTCTTCGAGGCTGGCCACGAGCCGCAGGTCGAGGAGGAAGATACGGAGGGGGCGAGGCGAGGGGACGACAAGGAGGAGGAGGGGAAGAATGAGGAAGAGAAAGAGACGGGGAGGGAGGGGGAGAAGGGCCCCGATGCCGACGCCGAGCTCGATGCGTTCCTTGCGTCGCTCAATGACGAACCAGAACCCACCGCGCTCGAACCCACAAAGAAGCGCCGCACGTACAAGGAGCAAGAGGAAGATGGCGTTGCGTCGTATTCTGCTGCCCCACAGCTCGTCAAGGACGGAGAGGAGCGGGAGCCAACGCCCGAGCCTGAGGAGACGGAGGCGGAGAGGCGAGCTCGCATCGCACGCGAGGAGCGCGAGGAGGTGCTTGCCCGTCTTGAGGAGGAGCAACGCGCCCAGTGAGTCCTTGGACCAGGGTGGTGCTTACGGACAGGGAAGACGCAGATGCACGCGTCGACGCACTTAAGGCGCGCATGGAGGCCCTCAAGAAGAAGCGTGAAGCGCGGGGAGCAACGGGGGGTAAAGGCGGAGCAGCGGCCAAGGCGCTCGCTAAGGCTGCGAGTAAGAAGAAGTAGGGAGTGATGCATAATATACAGTCTAGATCTATCACTTCCTAGAGCTCAACGTCTTGGCGGTGTTCTGGCGTGGGATCCCCGGCGTCAGGCGCAGCTTGCCATCAACGCGAACAGGGTTGACCACCTCGGTGACCCGCTCGGGGTACCGGTTGGACGGGAGGACTGCCTCCTCAAGCTCCTTGATCCAGTCGCTGACGTCCTCGCCCGTCTCGCGCGCGTAGTTCTCAATGCTCTCGATCGCCGCGGCGCGGCGCTTCTCCTGCGCGAGTTTGGGGCCGAGACCCTGCTCGAGCATTTCCCTCCGCTCCTCTTTCAGCTGCTGGCGCTCAGCCAGGAATTTGGCCTTGCGGACAGCCTTGCGCGCATCGATCAGCTCGCGCTCCAGCGCCTTAGCGTCGTGGTACGCCTTCTCCAACTGCTCGGCGCGCTCCCATCCCAGCTCGTCCGTCTTGGCCTCGACCTCCTCCTTCGTCATCGGTTTCGACAGGTCGCTCTCCTCGTAAATTACCCGCGGCTCCGATGGCGCCCCGAGCGTCCAGTAGTACTCTCGCTCGTGTGTGCGAGGTTCGGGTACCGAAGTCGGCGGCTCCAAGCCAGCCTTCTTGGCCTCGAAAACTTGTCGACGATACACGCGCATTGCGGAGCGCTCCGCCTCAAGAATCCCCTCGGCGGACCGGATCGGCACTTTCACCACTGTCTTATGGACCAGATTCTGCGCTTCAAGACCTCCCAGGATGTTGTGTTTCAAAAATCTGACGTTAGCGAAAGTCGCGAAAGGTGCAACAGCCGGTGTATACGCACCGCATCGCCTGGAACGGGTGATGTGGCAGCGGCGTTACGGGTGGCGGTACCCAGATACGCCGACCTTCACGGATGTTGGAGACGCGCTTCATGCGGATTCGTCCCTGGGCGTCTATCATCTGTGTTGCTTGGATAGTCGGTCGTGTCCCCTCGGTGCCCATTCTCCAGATGTCCTGCGTCTTGAGAAATCGATGCTTCTGCAGCATCCCCTTGACAATGGCAGTTGCACTCCGCGTCCACAACGTGTGTGGTGATGGTGTTGTCATGCTGAAGCAAGTCCTCAGCGGAGGTGAGCGGAAGGGTGGGGACAGAGGAGAGGTGGGTTATGTCGTTGGAACAATGGTTGGAACACGCAGCACAAGCGAGCTCGCAAGAGAGGCAGCTAGCACGTTGAATTGCGGTTCGTAAGCAGCTGGGCCGGACAATGATGGAAGTAGGAGTTGAGGTGTAGATGCGGAAAGTCACGTCGATCCTCTCCATCACAGATTTCAACTTCTTGGGTGGCAAATTGATCCCGGCGTGCCTGCATGTGGAGGCACCGACGCCGAGCTCGAGCGCGATCTCGCCGTCGTACTCATATTGCTAGTTCATCTCAACATGGGACAGGTCCAGTCGGCCTTCGATCCGAACAAGGACGTGAGTTTGCGCTATCCTAACCGGTGGCGCAATTTCCCACCTCGAAGATGCTCTCTTGGAGGCCTAGGACCGACATGTGCTGAGCGCGGCGACTGAGTGCTCGTGCTAACCCTAGTCCAACAAGCCCAACGGTTACATCGTCCCTCCCTTTCCGAGCCTCTACAATCCCACTATCGTTTCGACCAAACAGCAGTGGGGCTTCTTTCTGCACGATGCGAACGGTGAGTCTGAGAGCCCCTGCCCGACCGCCCCGTCCAATCACGTGGTTGACGACAGCCATCTGGAAGTTCACTTTCTACTGGACGCTCATTCTGATGAGCGCAACGTTTGAGGCGTGTGCAGCGCTTGCTGTATTCGCGCTTCTGCTCTCACGGGGCGCCGCAAGACGAAGAGATGCCGCGGCTAACGAGGGGCGGAGGAGCAAGTTTCGCCTACGCCGCCGGCCGCCATTTTGGCTGCTGCTCATGATACCTGTGGCTATGGGTGCCATAGCCACTTTTGTCTCCCTGGTCTCGGGAACGGTCGTGGGGTTTGCGCTTGCTGCCGTGTACAGCGCGGGCGGGTTCAGCATGAGCACCTGGGTGCCGTTCATGTGGGGCATGATTCAGGTTGTCGTGCTCATAATTGCGTGAGTCGATATGAGCGGGTCACAACTGATGCGCAGAAGCTACTCGTCTCTCACGCGGGTGTTATAATCCCACACTTCGCATCCTCTTTATTGTATCATATTCGTAAGGTCTGTTCGGTTGTATCATTCTTTCAGTGTCAGGGGCCGCCACCCCATGTCAAAGTCAAATATCTATCACTCTCGCGACGCTGTCTACATTTGCAGTTCCACAACAGGCTGTGTTTAGGCATACAAACTAGGTATCATTGTGAGTTGGAAGTCATCATTTTCCGAAGCCGATGTGAAGGGGGAGGGGGGCGCTGGTACGCCGGGCCGTGGGACGTCGATCTACTGTACGTTGGCCTTGTTCTGCGTCGGTGCTGCGCCCTCGCCGCGGCTGTGGCGGCGATTCGACCGATTTCGTTTGAGGTTCCCAGTGAGATCCGTGGCATCAGGGAACAACGTCGGCCTAGGGATGTAAACGGCCCTCAGGCCTGTCTTTCCATTGCTGCGATACGACCGGCGTGTCGACAGCCCGTCCGATCCTTCAGTAGAAAGTGAGTTGGCCGGGGAATGATCCACGACACTGGGGCGGCTTTCATTCGCCTCGCTGGACATCGCGGTCGTGGCTGAAATCGACTCGTCAACGGTAGCCAAAGATGGGTAATGCCCACTGCTAGGTCGTCTCCCGCCAGCTCTGGCGATGGAAGCCTCGCTGCAAGTTCGACGGCTGGGGAGAGATTGGGATCGATTGAGACCGCCGTTGTCTGTCCGGGGATACCTCCATGACACGCCGTCTGTCTCGTCCCGGATAGTCTGGCTCAGAACCTTTTCCAACACGTCCTCGAGAGTGATGATGCCGATCGGGTTCACATTGCCTGACCCGCGGAGGCCACTGCTGTGAGTCGACACGAACGAGTCGTCGTTGAGGTATGGGGTATCAAGTCGGCCATGGGTTTCGCGCCTCAAGTTGCTGGCTGTCTCCGGATCTTGGATCGCGGTGGCGGGTCCGTAGGACGTAGCCATAATCTTGAGCAGCAGGCGTTGTCTCCACGACAGAGGGGCGACTAAACTGCTGTCGTCATCGCTAAGAACTGAAGGCGAGTCGTGAACAAGAGCCATGTGGCGCTGACGGTCCAGGAGAATGCGGATGACGTTTGTGAGGGGCTCGTTGACGCTGATGTAAGGGAGCTCGTAGACGGGGACTTTCTGCAATGAGATGCGCTTGTGAGGATTGTGGAGGATTAGGCTTCTGGAGAGGATGTAACCGTAGATGATTTGCACGTCCTCGTGCTGGTTGTATACGACTATGCGTGACCAGCTGGCTTCGTGGATATTGCAAAGCGCCCGGTAGTCGAGGTCTTTGTCCCAGGGCAGCATGAAGACTTTCTCGAGTGGGACCATGGCAGCCTTGGCAGTGAGGGTCGAGAGAGTAAGAGCGTTCCATGTCAACTGGAACGTGTCGTCGCCGAGCTGGCTTTCAGGCTGAGTGTGGTGAAGGCGGATGAGTTCGCGCAGTTCGAACCGGTGGAATACAGGAGGTTTCTGCTGGCCAAGGACGAACCCGAGAAGCTTCGAGGCAGGCCAGCTGACGGGGAAGGTGAGCCAGACAAGACGCTGCACAATCCATGCCATTGACCCAGCGATAGGAAGAGCGTGGCGCGTGGAGATACACATAGGAAGGAGCGCGGCGAATACGAGGTTTGCCGCGGTCGAGACAATTACTGAGTGGAGTCTGCTCGGAATAACGCCCCCTGTGACCACCGGCACGCTCTCGTTTGCGATTACGCTGAACAAAACAAGAGTTGTCAACAGCTGGTACGGGTTTTGCCTGCAGGTCAGACAGAACTGAGGGTTAAAGGCCGCACGCACCGCAAAATTAGGATACGTCGAGCGTACAACTGCTCACGGGGCTTGCCGCACAATGACAGGGTCTGGAGCTTGGTCTGGTTGACGGAGAAGTAGCAGTTGTGAGACTCTGTGCTTTAACGGACAACTCACGCAATGATAAGCCCTGTAAAGAGTCCGGAGAGGCAGACGAGGACAGGAATCATACACAGTTCCACAATGCCTACCCATGTGAGGCGCCTGCCTGGACGATAGGTGTTGCCGGAGGCGACATTCTCAGCGCTCTGAAGCTCATAGGCGGGCGAGCCCAAAGAAGTGAAGAAATGGGGAGAGATGTGGAGAGGAGGCATGACTGCAATCTCTGCACGAAAGGGAGAAGCTGCTGCTGAGATGCCGTACAATACGGGCGGAAACGAAGAGGGGAAGAGGGACTGCGAAGAAGGCCTGCAGTCCAGGGCAGCAGGGGTTAGAGTGAGCCAGCAGAGGCTACTCGCCGGGGTCGAGCTGGAGGGCCGAGGGAACCAGACGACGAGAAGGTGAGAGGACGGAGAAGAGACGAAGGTCGTTACTAATGGAAGAATGAAGGAGAAGAACAAATGCAGCGATGAGAGACTGTGAGTATAATGATGTGCGAAGGTAGTAGAGTAGTCAAGGTGGATTGGGTGGGTGCGAGGCCGTGGAGGAAGGTGGCAAGGTGGTCGCGATGTGACCATGTCACAATTCAAGAGCAGCTGTGATCGACGCTCTTTCCTTGACGTCGATGTTCCCGTGGTCCGCCCCGCATGTGGTGACGGCTCAACTCTGCACGTAGTAGGCATACTTGTCACCCTCGGCTGGCGGCAGCTGGCAGAGGAAGGGTAGAGGGGCGGAGGCTGCCCAAGTGCAGCTGGGCTCAAGCACCTATGTGTAAACTCGTATCAGGTAGCACTGAAGGGTGATGGAAGTGGCTCGTGGTACTGCACTGCAGCAAGCAGGACCACTTAGGAGCGCGATGCCATCGTACTGTGCCATGACCCGCTGACAGGTCATCGGCGCATGCAACGACGAGATTGGGGCGCTGCACATGGCATCGCGAACAATGTGTGACCTGTTCGCATTCTGTAGTGACTGGACAGTATTAATACAAAGCACAACACAGTCATATTATCTCCAACATCCACTGACGCGACACCGATGGCGGCCAGTGCGAGAAGCTGGCTGATGCTAGAGATGTCAGCGGCGGCGGGGTAGACCGGTGTAATACATCGGAACTTGGGAGGTTTGAGGCTCGTACTTGACGAGCAAGACAGACCCGCGAGAGTAAAGGACTTTGAGGTAAGATGAGGGAGAAATGGCATAACAAAGGCTGCAGCCGCAACATCAAATCAGGTCTGGAACACATTGACTAATGTGAGTATCCAGGTTTCTCCCTACTCACTCTCCTCGCCCATCTCCGGGATCGTATCCATGAGGTCGACGTGAGTCGGCCCAGGGAACGTGTTCAGTGTTTGCGACGTGTATCGTTGCTGGGCACTGTGAGGGCGCCGCTGACGGCGCGTTGGATCTGCGAGTGTAAAGGAGGGGCGATGATGTTGAGCCAAGGGCATGGGTCCGCTAGTAGGCTCTCTGCGGTAACGGAATTGACTAGATGTTAGCTGGCCTCCACACAACTCAGAAGTCTCACTCGAGGTTATTACGAACAGCAGCGCCATCGTACGGGGCAGCACTGCGGACGCGCAGCGGGGCCTGCGCGACGTATGCCGGTCCGGAGTGCATGCTTTCGCTTTCGTCGCGGTAAAGAGGCGGTCCGGTGGTGCCTGGGCGATGTCTGAGCTCACGAGCAGCTTTAGACTGATGAAATGGGCTCGCAGTCAGGTGATGCTGCACGCCGCTCGACTGCACCGGGACTCACTCCATTTCGTCTCCGGGTCCCATACCGTAGGGACGCTTACGCGACCTGTTATCGGCTGTAGCGACATCAAAGACGTTACGCTTGAAAGGCGATTCCACCATTGGAGCGTTCATCAGCGGATCGTCATAGCTTAGCTGTGGCTGTAAAGTGCGCCGGTTGACACTGGCTTTGATAGCAGCAAGCTCTGCGCAAAGAGTCTCGTTCTGCTTCATGACTGTGTCCCGTTGCGCGATGGCTGTATCACGTTGTGCTCGCATCTCGCGACATTGTCGCGAAAGCTCTTCGGCGGCTCTGAATGTGAGCCATACGCGGAACGGGATCCTCACTGCTTGTTCTTGGCGTTGTCTTCTTTGACTGATCGCATCGCCAACGACACCTGCTCCAACAGGCCCTGATAGTCAATCTCACGTACTGGAGATGCCTCACCTTGTCCTCCAGCATCTTCTGCCGCTGACTACGGGCCAGCCGCATAAGCTGTTCGTATTGGAACTGCGAGTCAGAGGAACGTTGAGCGTCGCCGATGGGCTACCTTCATGACATTGACGTTGCCCTCTGCTTGGCGCATGACATCTTGCGTGGGCTGGAACCACGAATGTAACGGAGACGGCATGGTGTCCCCAAGCTCATACACAGTGATATTGGGGCGGTTGCAGAAGGTACAAACGCCGCTGCGGTCTTCGTCTCAGCACGCACGCCACGACCATACACCCACGGTTGTGCGTCTGGTCGTCGCAGTAGATGTGGCCACAGCTTGTCATCCAGAAGCGACGCTCGCGTCCGTCCGCCCCGATGCTGTGCACCTCACAACCGCTGTTTCAACATGCAGTCAATAACATCGACCTACCAGATCCGACAGGTCGTGAACTCGAGGAAGGCAGCAGGGTCGGATCGTCGTTGCACGCTCTGACCGGCGGGGTCCGGCCGCCCTCTCCCAAGCGCGTTTCTGTGTGCTTGCAATGCGTACGATGCCGTCATGGATTGTTGAGGAGCCCTTCAGCCGACAGCAGGTAGGCGTTGCGCCTAGCGAAGACCACGTTCTGGACGACGGGAAGGCGATAGTTAGGGAAGCGATGATCAATGCGAAACTCAGACCTCGTGTTCTACAGCTCAACAGTTGCTATGCTGCTGTGAGATCCGCGAGAGCCGAGAATGGGGTTGATGGTTTGAAGGAGCGGTGGATCGGAGGTGAGAAGGTAAGTGGTGATGGGTTGATGGAGATGTGAGGAGGCAGATTAGTCACGCCTAGCGGCCAGGAGGCTGAGGTCAAAAGTCAAAGGCGAGGAAGGTGTTCTCATCGCCTTACAACCCCACCATACTCTAGCCAATGTGTAGATTGCTGTGCGAGCCCTGCATACGCCCGATATCGCTGTGGTGCCTCGTCTCTGCATGCTCCTAGTACGCGTCGCCCTCATGCCGGTCGGACACGAACCCGATTGAAGTCATGACCCGGTCTTTAATGCTGTTATCCCGTTCTCGCCGGCGCTGCGGTTAGCTCTGTTTTGGAACAGCTCACCTCGAACTCCTTCAGCTTGGCCTTCATCTCCTCTTCAGAGATCTGTCGGAGGGGCACCTCATCCTCAAGGATCAAGTCCTAAGGTTAGCTTCGCGCTCGACAAGGAAAGGGAGAAGACGGGGAATGGCAGGCTTGACAGAAGCGTTCACCAAAAAGCAGTCGCTAACTAACGGTGAATAGCGATAAGATGTGAGGGCGAGGAGCCGCCATGGCCCTCGCCGATGGCGAAGGAAAGAGGGAAACGACTTACAATCTCGCCCAGCGCAACAACATTCTCGCCGCGGATCAAGAGCACGCCTGGAGTAAGCTCATGGATGGTGAGAAAAGCTCACCGATGTCGGCTTCCGCGAACTCATGGCCCAGGTGTAGCCGCTCGACGGTTGATTCGAGGAGGAAGTTGGCTGGGGTGAGCGGACATGCGTACGGAGTGCGCGCTGCGAGCGACCTGCGCTCTTGCTCGCCGCGCGGCGTGATATGATGGATGAGGTCTGCAACTAACCGAACTGATCATACGAACGGAGCACACCAATGAGCTTGCGTCCGTCGCGAAGCATGACGAGGACCTTCTCTGATATTAGCGCAGATGGAATGAGACGAACTGTCGACAAGGTCAACGAGCGAGCCAGACGTCGTGAACTGGATGAGCGCATCCATCCTGAGTATCGGAAGAGGGTGGAATGCAGGGAGCGCGGTAGAGAGACGACGAGAGCTGAAGAGGTGTGCTGGTTGTTGTGGTGCAAGAACAGTAGGGGCAGTACGGCGGTGGAGGACGTCAATGAACGTCGAGCGGCAACATCACGAAATCTTATCCGAGCCCCTTCTAGCCTGCAGCTGCGTCAAAGATACAGGAGCGTGCTCGGGGCCTGCATATACATTATTACTCTGTATTACTCTCGTTATGCTCTCTTTGCTACTCTCTCAACAGCCCGTCAATCTCCTCGTCCTCTGATGCTGAGGAGCTTGCAGCTTGCGGTTTCGACCGCTTCTTGGTCACCCCGCGGTAGGGCTGTTTCTCTTCCTGAACTTGTCTTTCGCCCCGCTTCCGCTTGGTGGATGCTGCTAGGGCAGACTGCATTTCCGCACCTCGTTTGGCGCGCTTGGTGGGCGTTTTCACCCCGCGCGTGCGCCGCTCGGCAGTCGTGAGGAAGCCCGAGTCGATCCCATCCTCGACGTACTGACGAATGAGGTCCTCCAGCACCGTACCGTCGTGCCACGGCCTGGCCTTGTACGTTCGGTAGTGCTGCCGCCACCCTTCAGCGGGGTGGCGCGCTGTCCATGACCATCTGTTCCCTTGTCGCTTCAGTCAGTTCCAATCTCGCCTGTAACCCACATTAGAACCTCGTTCCACGAGAAGTCTGTACAACTTCCTCGAGGTGCGTCCTGTCTCATCAGGGCACGCAATGGCGAGGTAGCGCGCCAAACGATCGCGGTCCTCGGCAGTGAACTTCGTCCGAAGATGGATGGAAGAGACTGCAGTTGTCGAAGATGAGACGATGTCTCGTTGGCGACCGGGTCCACCTTTAGACGCTAGCGTCGGGGACAACCGTTGCTGCCTGTATTCCGATCGTCCAGCCGGCCTCAGCTTCGGGATAATCCTTTGCACCCCACATTGCTCAAAGACATACGCCGCATCGCAGAACCTCATGTGCTCATATGCAGTCGGCCTTGTGCTGAGGTATGGGTGTCCAGCGGGCAGGACGCAAACTCGGCAATCGTTGAAGGGGACAAGGAGTGCGCCCTCTCGCTACGCTCAGCTCCGCACTTCTGCCAACACACCTCAAGCGAAATCATGACGTCAAGCCGCAGCTCTTCGTCACCCAAGTCCGCTACAGAGACGCGTATGTTCTCCCACCTGGGCCTTGCGGTATGTGTGTCGGCGTAGCCATCGAAGAAGGTACGCAATACCCAGTGCGGCTTAACAACAGACGCAGACCCGTCTTCGACGGACTTGATCTGCTGGAGAGCGGCCAAGACGCTCTCCTCGGGCTCGTAGGGTATCACAATTATGCGAGCGTTGCTAAACCTCCGCACAATGCGACCGCCGGCGGCCTGGAGTCAGCACCCAAGATCTCATTGACCGACGTCCCCGCCGCCGAGCGGTGACAGACGGAATGATTGAGCTCACAGTGACCCTCTTCCGTAGAAGCTGTCTCAAGTCAGATTCCACTGTGCTAACAACTAGCACAGGCATGTCTTCCCACGGAAAGGGCGTTGCGCCGTCGGTGTAGTCCTCGACATATTGCCGCGTTCGAGGGGAAGGTTGAATCATTGTAGTCTCGTCCCCGTCGAACGTCGTGTCCGCGAGGCGCATCGAAAGCCCGTCTTCTCTCCCGGATGCCCTTCTGGATGCTGGAGTCAGTTTATATCGCTAAGAGAACTTGCGCATCGCGAGTCTTGCTGTCTAGCGATCTCGCGCGCGTGTGGTCTGAAAGAAGAGTGATGTTTCGGACATGACTGGACAGGTGGAGGTTGTTTGGATCCGCCGTTCGATCGAGAGGCACACGGACCATGGACGACGCGTCGTCCACAATGCAATCCACAAACACACAAGCTTACAAACACTCACTCCCTCCAGACATTTCGCATTGCAAAGCAGGAGAGGATGTGGCTTCTACACTTTGCAAGTGAGCCCATAATCGAGTAATTCGCTAATCCCTGCCCTTCTCAGTCTCCTCACCGCCGCCCACGCCAAGATGCTGGCAGCCCTGCCGGAGGACATGCCTACCACCGCAACCACGAGTGGCGATGTCGAAGTCCAAGGTCCACCGATCTGGGTGTCTACCAAGGGTGCCACAACGATTGATGGCAGCGTGATGCCTGTCGAGACAACGGTTAGGTCGTCGTCGGTGGTGGCGCAGACGGCAGTTTCGTCCGATTCCGCTCTCCCCGCCACCCGCCCAAGGACAAGCGCAGGAAGCTTTTCAAGAGGCGCGACAAGTAGCACAGCTTCTAGTGTTTCCGGAATTGTGGCCTCTGCTTCCCGGTCCAGCTCCACGGCTCCACCCTCAACCTCTGCGCCGGTCTCGTCTGCCACTTCTGGCGCATTGCGAGCGGCGCCCGGCATCATCCTTACCGTCTTGACAGCCGCATTCTTTATCTAATCAGACATGTCCTTCATACTGTACAACCTCTACTTGTAGCCGCATGCGCAGAGTCCATCTGTTTCTCTAGTAAGTGTGTCCGTGGCTGACGTTCGCGCGCGCCGAGTCGATAGCAAGCGTCTCGTATTCCAGCTCGAGCTGGCTCTTCTGATCCGGCGGAAAGTGAGAGACCCGAGAGTGCGATGGCCCGGCGCTTCCAGGGAGACGCGGGGCAAAGTATGACGAGTGGGCAATCGGTATCGAGCGCGCGGGTAGTGCGCCGGTACGTGGAGGGAGTGGAGGACGGCCATGCAGCTCACGCGGCAGAGGGGGTAGGGGTGGGGAACGTGGGACAGGGCTGCCAGAGCTGCTTGTGTGGGTCGAGGATGAGAGGCTCGGAGGCGTCCGTCTCGAGGCGAGTCTCGGAGAGTAACTAGGCTTGGGAGGAGCCTGCATCGGCGAGCGCTCGACTTCGATAATCTGCGGCGCCGGTGGTGGCGGAGGGAGAGATTTATGTGGAGAACGAACGGCCGGTTTGACCTTGGGCGCCGCTCGCGGGGACGTTGCGTACGAGGTAGCCGCGATTGCTGCGGTCTCGGCGCGCTTCTGCGCCTTGGCAGCCTTCTTGTTTGCCCGTATCCGCGCTTTCTCCGCTTTGTTTTGGGCCTTGCGCGCGGCGCGCTCAGCCTTCTCCACCGAGGAGACAGCGGTGCGCTCACTCCGCCGTTGCAGTTTCGTGGCACTGCGCAGCGCCCGTCGCGCCTTCTTCTCCGCCTTGGCCTTTGCCTTGTCAGCCTTCTTCTTAGCGCGGTCTGCATCTTTGGCGGCTCGTTTCGCGTCCTTCGCAGCACGCTTTGCCTCCTTGGCGGCACGCTGCGTGCTTTCGGCTGTACCTTGCACCGCGGTGGGATCGCAGGACGTCCCAGCTGTGGCGCTCTTCGTCGCTTCCTTGTGACGTTTCTTCGCCGCCTTTCGCGCTTTCTTCTGGGCCCTGGTCGCCTCGTCGTCCGAAGACTCGAGTGCCCACTCTGCCAGATCCGCTATCCCATCCACCATCGGGTCGTAATCCCAGTCGTTGTCAGAGTTGGCGGTAGCAGAGAGAGGTGGCGCAACGGCGTTGGCTGCCGCCTCGAGCGCCATTTCATACGCGGGCGGCGCATCCTATCGTCAGCCTGGGAGGAGTTGTTGGCTCACCTCCGATTGTCTCCTTCGCACCGCCTTTTCATCTTTGCGGCGCCGATACTCGGTGCCTGGGGTTGCGAATCGGTCACCGACAGGGGGCGCAGCCGGGGGAGGAGTGTAATGTCGTGAATGACTCGAGCCCATGGGTGCGGTTGAGATGAGGAAGAGTGGGCTAGATCATGATCTTAAACTGTTAGCCGGGCATGTGAAGCTGTGCCGCCGGACAATGTTTGGCCAAATGGCGATATGGCGGCCATGGCGGCATGTGGACAAGCTGTGCCGCACATGCCGCTATGCTATGGATAGAGGACGCCATATCGCTCGCGCAAGATCGGATCCGAAGGTTCTAAGTGACATTACAACACATGCATTCCTCGTGACGGCATCCCAGTGGGCAGCTCGCGCCCCAAGCCTGCGTTACTAGGACACGCGCAATCTATTCGACAGGTCTGCTTACTCCGACCTATTGGGCGTAACGTGGAGGCGCCTCGACAGCAGCAAGACCATAATAAGGAGGTGGGGGGTCATCGGATCCCTTGAGCTCGCGCTCCACGTCCTCCGTCATAGTGCGAGGATGGGGGCGGCGACGGCGGCGCCGGGAGTCATCTTGAGAGAGCGTTGACTCGGAGTACACGGAGCTCGTTTCGCTGCGCGCGGGCGAAAGATGGGCGGGCGAGTCGTTCTGCGCTCGACCGCGCCGGTTGACTTGCCGCTCGATGGCCGTGGTAAGCTTGTAAACGGGCTTGTAGATGAGTCCACGGTCCTTGCGCTCCGGGAGTCCAGTCTTCCAGTCGCTGTGCGCGTCTGTTGCTGCGCGAATTGTGCTGCAGATGATGTAGCAGAGGACCATTGCGGCTCCGAGTCGTCGATGTGTCAGTCCCAAAATGTAATGTGCTGTTATAAGAGAATGCAGACTTGGGACTCAGAAGTGATCTGGCGGAGTCTCGCCATGACCGGCGGGCCAAGAGCATCGCCTCAAAGCCTGAAATCACTCCGGAGCTGCGCCGCAGACAGCTGTTATGACGATGAGGGAGCGAAGGGAAGCGAACCCCAGTCTATCGGATCCAGCCGACGAGGCCCACCCTGCCCCACGCCAAACTCGGGAGAATCAACGGGATCAAATTCAGTAGGTGATAATACGTGTTAATTCGACTCTTTCGGCCCAATCACCAAACCGGTCCGCCTTCCTTCGCGCTCGTCACCTCGATCTCTGCGACCCGACTCCGTCTCCGCCCCACATTCACTAAACATGTCGCTCGAGAACCAGGTCGAGAACCTCAACATTGAGGACGGCGCGTCCGTCGAGATCCACTCTCGCCCCGAGCGCAAGGCGCGCAAGGCCCTCGAGGGCCTCGGCCTCAAGAAGGTTCCCGGAATCCAGCGTGTGACGCTCCGCCGCGCCAAGAACATCCTTGTTGTCGTCGCCAACCCCGAGGTCTACAAGAGCCCTGGGTCGGACTGCTACATTGTGTTCGGCGAGCCCAAGGTCGAGGACCCCAACAGCGCCGCGCAGATCGCTGCGGCTCAGCAGCTCCAGGCCTCCACCCAGGCCGCTCAGGCTGCCCACGCCGCCGGCGGATTCAAGGACGGCGTTCCCCAGTCCCTCGAGGAGCTGATGGGCGGTGACGAGTGAGTTAGAGGCCCGCAATTATCAAGCGAATGGCGCTGACGCTCGATCTGCTCACTTGTTTACATGACATTGTTTTCTGTCAATAACCATTGGCATCTCCGCTACCATCCCACTGCCACACGATAAACCGCGACTCAACTCCGTGCCAACTGCGTTGACTCTCTCTACACATACGCACATGCCCCGCTTTCGCTTCGTGTTTACAGCGCTCCTGACCTTGAGGCCGGCGAGAAGACCGAGAAGAAGGTCGGCACGGGTGGCAGCGGCAAGGTCGAGGAGGAGGACGTCAAGCTCGTCGTCGCCCAGACCGGCTGCACCCCGGAGAAGGCGCGCGAGGCTCTCGAGGCTGAGAAGGGCGACCTTATCAACGCCAGTGAGTATAGCGCAATCGAACTTGCTTGCGCAGAGCTAACCACAGTCATGCGCGTTGGTGCGTAAAAGAGAACGCAGCAGGGTAGTAGCTACATTCCCATGCATCTCATAGGGATTATGACAGCGGGCGTGATGATGCGTGTGAGGGTATGATGGGAGACGTCTATAATGCTGCTGTGCTGCTACGACTGACGCGCGGCCTCACGCTGCTGGCTGTGGAACTGGTGTAAGTTGCGCCTAGACGAACGGATCAGCTCACGATATCGCGCAGCTGGCTGTTGGCCTCCTCCAACTGCCGCTCCAAATACTTGGCCTTCTTTTGCAGGCTAGAGATGTCGTCGCTCAGCGAGGTTTTCAACGCCTCATGCTTGCTGTTGATCTCCGCGCGAGGCTGCTCGATGAACCTGGTGTGAGCGCGGCCTTTAAAGCGTGAGAAAGTGAAAGATGAGGAGGGGCATCGAGTGGATGGTGCGGGTGAAGTGACGAGCAGCACGGCGGTCGGGGCTGGACGCGTCCCACGCCATCGCCGAGCGGTTGTGGAGCAAAATGCAAAGTTGGTAGTCTCGATCTAAGCTGCGCGCGCCGAGGGCGCCGCTCAACCATATCCGCGTAGAAGCCCCTTTGACGCGTGCTCTCAGAGCTACGCAAGCCATCGTAATAGCGCGTATCGGACACACGGCGCGGGTGATCCGCGTTGAGAACCAGGAGGCATGCTGTTGGGCCACTACATCCTCTTCTCTGTCGCCCTCGCACCCATTGGCTTCCTTCGTGGTCCCAATGCTCCTTCCTCGCCGCCAGGCTCCACTCCAGCTCGCAGCTGCGCACACTCACATCTTGCCCACGCCGCGGAACATCCGCCCTTCGCCGGCTGGAACGGTGCCCAGCTCACGCATGGTGAGCTCGAGGATACGGCGCTCCTTCTCCTTGGCCTGCGTCTGCGCGCGCACAAGGCCCAATTGCCGCTGGCTCGTCACCGCCTGCGTCTGGATCTGCTGCAGAATCTGATGTTAGCTTGCTCTGCTCGACAGCGCGCACCCTCCTGAGTGTGTCGTCGGAAAGGTTGGACATGGTGGGTTGGGAGATGGCAGATGCAGAGATAGTCATTTGGTTTGTTCCTGATGACACGCGTCTCCGCACACGCCTCCACCCGATCCACCCAGCTGCCATCCTCTTGGCTCATCCAAACATCTGCAGTGTAACCTCATGCTCACCTATCCTCCAGGCCCCCAGCCTTTGGCGCACACGACACACATACATGGATTTTCTGTTTTCTGACAACGCTAACGACTCTCAACAGAATGGGAGAATTAGGAGAAACGATGGTAGCTTGCCCTTACCGAATAGGCAAGCGCCCCCGCAGGAGACCATCGTCTCGTTCTCGCTCCTCCCGGAGGAGAAGCGTAAGAGGAGAGAGTGTTAAGGATACAAAATATTGCTACAGGTGACCGAGTGATTGAAGACGTCTTTGCAAGCGGAGCTTGTCGTTGAGCGGAGGCTTCAAGTCGTCGGGATCTCGGTACCGCCTCATTATGGCTAGCCCAGGCCCCAGTTGCCTGAGCCCTTCTGGATCTCGCGCGCAGCGTTCTGAGCAAGGAGCTGCTTGAGACCCGATTTCTTCACTTTGCGCTTCTTAGCCGGCGGGGGCGAGGTCGGCAGAGTGGTGACAATGCCGCCGTTGGGCTGCGGCGGCGGCGCGCTCTTCGGCTGGGGGTACGACGCCGTCGGGCTGCCAGACGCAACGTTCTTGAGTCCTGGCGCTGGCTTGGCCTGGGCCTGGGCCTGAACCGGGACCGGCGCCTGCGCGGCGCCGAGAAGCTGCCCGGCATCAAGAGTGCCTGCGGGGCTGAGTGCCGCCTCTTTGGCTTGCGCCTGCGCGTCGGCTGCGAGTGCGCTCTGGCGACGCGTGCGAGCCGCTCTCGCCGCAGGGTAGGGCGGCGGGATTGGGCGAGGCCGCTGGAACTTAGTCCCGCACAAAGCGCAGTGCGGCGCGCGACGGCGGCGCTGCGGGCGGCGCGCAGGGCGCGCCTTTTCCTCCTCTTCCTCGAGCGCAGCAAATTGCGCGTTCAGCTCGGCCTCGAGCTCATCCTCGGCTTTGCGTCAGCGCCAAGGCAGTAGCCAAAGCAATATACTAACCCTCGGCCTTGAGGAAGCCCTCCGAGTCGCGCTTGCGACTCGGCTTCGCCACCATCACCGTGTCATCACCAACCTCGCGAAGAGCACCGCAGTGCCCACACCACAGAGACCAGGCAATGCCGACTCGCGGGAGCGAGTGGAGGAGGCTGAGACGCGCGCAGCGAAGCACGTCCAGCGAGCCCATGAAGCCTGCGGCGAGGGCGGCATCGAGGGTCGGGGGGACCGGCTCGAACGCGGAAGCGGGGGGCGGGGTGAGTGCCGGTGACTGAGATGTAGACGAGCTACCCGGAGCGAGAGTCATCGCGGCCGGGATGCTGACCATCGTCATTGGTCTGTGGCGAGCAAAGAGGAGGAGGTGTTGTGAACGATGGTTGAGTCACAGGAGCCAGGTTGGGAGTGGCAAAGCGTGGAGAGTGTGCGAGATCAGGTTTATCAGGGGACACGTCATTTTACAGCCATTATTCGATCCCACGGGAGGGAAGTTGACCTCTTTTGTTCACAGACGGGAGGATTGATTAAGCTCGATTAGCATTGCCCAGACCACGTGTCAAGCAATATCGCGTGGCATGACTATTACAAAAGTCAAAGCGCGTAGAACGGCAGCGGAATTCAGAATGGGAGACGCGATCAGCGTCCGAGCATGCCGAGCAAGGAGTCTCGGACAGCACAGCACTACAGGATCGTCATGCCATTGATCTTGCCACCTACATTCTCACATCCTCTTCTCTTCAACCAAACACTTACAGCTCAAAATGGCTCCACAAGGATGGATGAGTGCGTCCATATCGTCCTCTTGTTGGCCCCGCTTACCCAGACCTCGACGCCCTGCCCGAGAACATGACATTTGGCGGCGTACGTAGCAGAGCCCAGAGAACAAGCGTGCGCAGCTAATTGCCAGGAGGAAGGCGCATTCAAAGGCCTGGGGTTCTCGCGCACTGAACGTATCATGGCGTTTGCGGGGTGTAGGCTTTCGTAGCTGGTAGCAGCTCATCTCAGGCTTCATTGGCGGCTTTGCATGCTCGCTCCTCGGCGCCATTCTGTTGATTACGGGGCAGTCGAGCGCCTTTGCAGGTGAGTAGGTCAATGACAATCTCCACTGACTGCAGCGCTCTTCGGCGTCGGCGCGATCATCTCTCTCGTCGGCACTGGCTTCCTCATCGGGTTTAGGCGGCAGGCCAAGCTCATGTTTAAGCCAGTGCGCATCGTCGCGACCATCCTCATGCTTGTGTCCCTGGTCTTGACATTTGTCATTGCCTTCCTCGTTGGGGGTGGTGTTGCTATCATCTTTGTTATCATCCAGTGGCTCGCGTACGTCGACCTCGGCTCGAGGAGAGGCATTGGCTGGCGCTGACCATCAGAATGCTTTGGTACTCGCTGTCGTACATCCCCTACGCTCGAGATGTGAGTTAGCTTGGGCAAAGTGAAACTGACTGCAGGCTGTCAAGGGTCTCTTCAACCGATTCACCTCGTAGATGTGTGCGTGCAAGTTTCCATGTATATGATACAACGAGTCGATATGAATACACCCTATGATATGTGCTTGTGTGACATTGTTTATGCTCTAATCTTCTGTGTCCTTCCCGACGTCCCATGCGCGCGTTTGGCCACGACGCGTGTACTCCATCTCCAAAATTTCCTTCATGTCTGCCGGCATTGAGCTGGCCACAGTTCTCGGCGGCAAGTCATTGGAACGCGACTTCCGTTCAGGCTCAGGCGAAGTTGAGAGAGTCGGCGAGTTACGGCGGCGCTATCAGTTAGCTAAGCACAGTGACGATTTAGCTCACCTTCTTCCCGCGCTCCTTTAGAACCGCAAGCATATTGTCCCACCCCACGGCGGTCACTGGTCCAGTCTTGGGAACCTCGCCGACATCGAGGCGTGGGTCATAATCACGCTTGAAGTATCGGTCCATGCGGGATATGCGCGACGGAGGCGGTGGGGGCGACGCGGAAGGTTCCCGGGGCCGATCATCGCCTCGGGTTTCGCGGGTGCGAGAGCGGGAAGGTGGGGCAGGCGGCGATGGAGGCGGTGAGCGAGAACGAGAACGAGAGCGATGACGCGGGTGGCGACGATGAGAGCGATCGTGATCTTCTTCTCTCTGTTGATGGTCGCGATCACGACTACGCGAGCGGTCTCTCTTCTTGTCGCTACGACGGTCACGGGAGCGTTCCCGGTGTTCGCGCCGGCGCGCGCGGCGGTCCTCATCGTTCGATTCGTAACGACCGCGGGCCTTGCGATCACCTTCCTCTTTGTCGAAATGACGACGACGGCGCGGCGAGCGGGAGCGGGAGCGGGCGGGCGAAGGCGAAAGGCCACGACGGCGCTCGCGCCCCCCCTCCCCCCGGTCACGGCGATCATCACGATCACGATGGGAATCGGAGTTGCGATTGCGCTCCTGGGATCGATCCCTCCTGTTCACCTCGCGCTTGTTCACCTCGCGCTGGCTCCGCTCGGACTGGTCATTCTCGCGACGATCAGACCGCGAGGGTTTCCGTTCTCTGTCGCCCAGCCCCCTCATTGCGCCTCCAAATAGCCTGTTTGCGCCGGCTTTTCCATCTCCCCTCGGCTTCCTTTCGGGCTCGCGAGCGCGGCGCGCCTGTTGCGCTGCTTCAGCTTGTCGACGAAGCAGCGCGTTGTTGTGCCCATCGACTTGGCGGATAATGCTGGACAAGAGGCGCTTGTTAGGCTTCGGCGCGCTCGGGTCTGGACTACTGTTAGCGAAAAGTGTCAACCAAATGGCTCACGAATCGCGGCCCTGCTCGCGGTTGAGGTAGGCGCCGAGACCAAGCTCCGACCACTTGTGGTCGTTGGCCTTGGCCTCCTCAGCGAGGATGCGGGCTACGTGGGCGTCGAGGTCGGCGTCGGAAATCTCCGCGGGAACCGAGGCGGCCGCTCTCACGAGCTTGTTGACGACCGAATTGAGCGCCGACATGTCATGAGTGAAGTGACAATGAAGGTGACGAGGAGTTGGGTGGCAATCGGAGTGCTGGAGAAATGGAAAACAAATGTCTGAAAGATAGACCCACGTGGCCTCCACCTGGTCGTTGAACACGCGTTCAGAGGTTTCGAACACGCACCACGTCCAGCGCGCACCGAGCGATTCCAAGACATTCCAACTGTCCTCCCCGTCGTCCCCAACAAGTCTCTCTTCCTTCTCGACATAGTCGAACAGTTCAAAAGCGCCTCTCTTCCTCCCGCACACCACCGAGCGACGCCGCCATGAGCAGCCTCGAGCTCATCAACCCTCGCGCCGAGAGTGTCCGTCGGACACAGGCACTCCAGGTCAACACGGTGAGTCGCGCGTCCAACCCCCATGTTCGAGTTTAGCTAACGGCCAGGCTGGCGCTGTTGGTCTCGCAAATGTTGTTAAGAGCAACCTTGGTGGGTAACGGCTGATAGTTGCTTGACGCACGTCTGACCTTAGGCCCGCGTGGTACCATCAAAATGCTTGTAGACGGCTCTGGGCAGATTAAGATGACCAAGGTTTGTCAAGTCTCACGCCTTAACTAACCACCGCAGGACGGGAAAGTCCTTCTCTCGGAGATGCAGATTCAGGTTTGTTATTAGTGTCGAGCTAGCTGACATTAGAACCCTACCGCGGCCATGATTGCGCGCACAGCTGTTGCCCAGGACGAGCAGGTCGGGGACGGCACAACTCAGGTTGTGCTTCTCGTCGGCGAGCTTCTCAAGCAGGCCGACCGCTACATCCAGGAGGGCGTGCACCCACGCGTCATCGGTGACGGGTACGACATCGCGAAGAAGGAGGCGCTCGCATTCCTTGACTCTTTCAAGCAGACGCCAACGCTTGACCGCGCCAACCTGATTAGCGTCGCCCACACTTCGCTCTCGACCAAGCTGTACGCTCAGCTTGCTCGCAAGCTCGCCAACGATGTCACCGACGCTGTCCTCGCCATCCAGCCTCCCGCGCCCCTTGTTGACTCGGCCGATGCAAAGGTGTACCGTCAGCCCATCGACCTTCACATGATTGAGGTCATGAAGATGCAGCACCGCACCGACACGGACACCAAGCTTATCCGTGGTCTCGTCATGGACCACGGTGCGCGCCACCCAGACATGCCCAAGCGCGTAGAGAATGCCTACATTCTCACTCTCAACGTCTCGCTCGAGTACGAGAAGACGGAGGTCAACTCAGGCTTCTTCTACTCCTCGGCCGAGCAGCGTGAGAAGCTTGTCGAGTCGGAGCGCCGCTTCCTCGACGACCGGCTGAAGAAGATCGTGGAGCTGAAGAACCACGTGTGCGACCAGGCAATGAACGACGACGAGAAGCCGCGCGGCTTTGTTGTCGTCAACCAGAAGGGTATCGACCCTATGTCACTTGATGTGCTCGCCAAGAACGGCATTCTTGCGCTCCGTCGTGCCAAGCGGCGAAACATGGAGCGCTTGCAGCTTGCTTGCGGTGGTGTTGCTCAGAACTCGGTCGAGGACCTGTCCCCCGACGTCCTGGGTTGGGCCGGTCTCGTGTATGAGCACACGCTCGGCGAGGAGAAGTACACCTTCATCGAGGACGTCAAGGAGCCCAAGAGTGTGACCATGCTCATCAAGGGTGAGATATCACGTCTGCAACATCTTGACTGACACCAGGCCCCAACGCCCACACCATGAACCAGATTCAGGACGCTCTTCGTGATGGTTTCCGTGCCGTCAAGAACGCGATCGAGGACAAGTGCCTCATCCCCGGAGCTGGCGCCTTTGAGATTGCCTGCTCGACCTTCCTTGCCAACGAGGTTAAGGCCAAGACCAAGGGGAGGGCCAAGCTCGGTGTGCAGGCCTTCGCTGATGCGCTTCTGGTGATCCCCAAGACGCTGGCGGCAAATGGCGGATTTGACGTGCAGGACACTATCGTCGCCCTGCAGACTGAGGCAGAGGAGACGGACGACCCCGTTGGCCTAGACCTCAAGTCCGGCGAGCCTATGAACCCGGTTACGGAGGGCGTCTGGGACAACTACCGCGTCAAGAGGCAGATGCTTCACTCTTGTTCGGTCATCGCGGTCAACCTGCTCGGCACTGACGAGATCTTGCGCGCAGGCCGGTCATCGTGAGTTTCTTTGGACGATACAATTGCTGACAAGCAGGCTGAAGCCCGGTCCGGATGGCATGTGATAGACTCGGTCCGGTCGTAGATGCGCGAGGGCGGGGCGTGAGATTGAGGCTGATATTCTCATATAGCTGATTGCATTGCACGTGTGGGTTAGATGGCCAGGAAGCTGGGATATCACTGGAATCAGGTATTTCGGAGTACGAGGCATTGCATCTCCGCTCAGGGGTGGGTGGGGGAGCGGGCAGAGTGAACCCTATGAGATGGAGGGGGACTCGGGCCATGAGCCGATGTACGTTGTTGTACGCACATGCGCCCAGGCGGGGGCCAGGAGGTCGGAGGCGCCTTGCACGCCTTGGCGTAACGAAAGAGCGCGAAAGATTGGAGTGGGCCACATTTCGGTGGGCGCGGAAAGGCGAAGGACGGTGGCGGAAAGTCGGAGGGCCCGACGACTGGTGCGACTGGGCCGAGTGCGCCGAGGGGTTGATCCAGGTCCACAAAGGTGGAGGAACAAGTTTCCTTCCTCCGTGCTCCGTCAGCCGCCATTCAGCCGCGGCCCCGACATGCTCAAGATCGCCCACCACCACTTGTTGCGCAACCGTCAACAACGCCCATCTTCCCATCTCTAACTCTCGCATCTGCTCCATCGCCCTCAGCGCGGCTACCACGACCCCACCTCTTCGCCACAGCGCCTAGACACATCTCCCAGCTCTACGCGCACGTCCCCACTTTACGCCCTACGCCACTCCACAACTTTCTTGACGTAGGAGACAGGGGGTATCGCGTATTTGCTCTACCCATCTTCTCCTTCCACACGTCACCCCACACACGCACGCTTGCACTCGTAGCCCTCCGTCTCGACCTCGGACAACGACCGACAGTGTTCGAGTCAGGAGTATATGCGCACGTGCACTGGCCGTCACTCGCTCTCAGTCACCTTGAGCTAGTGGGCTATTGAGCTTTGAGATCAAGCCACCCCCCGCAGCTCACGGCCCACATCTGTGCTCGGGCACTGCTCATTGTCGCAGATCCTGCGCCCACCCTTCAAGCGCTTCGCTCCCTACGCCTCGGGCCAGCTCGTACTACTATCCAAGACTCGAAATGTCTCAGCCCTATGTTAACGGTCAGCACCAGGGGTCTGCACCCATTCCCATCGTCTCCAGCGGCGGAAACGCAACTCCCTCCCAGCTGAGTCTCACCCGCGACGACGCCACCCCCATTCCCAGCATCGGCTCCTCAAGCACTCGTCCCGTGGTCTCCTCGCCGCTGTCACAGCAGCACTCGTCGTTGACGCAGAACACGCCGCTCGCCGTCTCCCCTTCTAACCCTCTCAGCATGAGCAACGTCCACAACCATCCCGGGCCGCTCCACCCACCAGCAAAGAAGAAGGTACACATGAGTCCCGAGGTTGACCAGATGGACACGCCGTACTTCATTCACTCCGGGCTGGACAAGCACGGGAGTCTCTCCGGTTGGCTGCGAGGCAAGCACGAACACCCGCCCGCTACTCGCGGCCGGCGGGAAGAGCAGCGCGAGCTGCGCAAGCCCATCGAGCCTGTCAAGCAACATGTGCCTCCCCGGCCCCGGCGGCCAGGTATACTCAAGCCCCTCACACCGGCGCACCCAGCACCGGCGGAGAAGGTCGAGCGCATCGACCGCGGCTACGAGAGTGAGGGTTCAAATGTGTCGCGCTTCGACAGCAGCGCCATCTACGATGATGGATTCACCGACTACGACGATGACGACGATGAAGATGAGCCCTCCTCGCTTAGCCGACAGCTGGCAGAGACGGCGCAGGGCGTGCGCGAAGTCAGCCGTGAGCTGGGCCGCACACGGGTCAGATCGCGTATCCAGACGATTCTCGTCGTTACCAAGGCGCGCGACAACCGGCTCATCACCCTTACCCGTGAGCTTGCGCTGTACTGCATGCTGCGCAAGCCCGCGGCGGCGTCCAGCACCCACGATATGCGGCAGGCCCGCAACATGTCCCCAGATCGTGGAATGATCGTCTACGTCGACAATCAGCTGCGCAACTCGAAGCGATTCGACGCGGCTGGCATGCAGCGCGATTACCCGCAGCTCTTCGAGCCGATCGCTAGCCGCCGGAGGACATCCACCTCGGCAAGCGCGAGCAGCGCTAGCATTTCGACAATGGCGAGCTCGTGGAGCACGACGAGCGGTGCCCAGGGAGACAAGAAGGATATGGGTCAACTGCGTTTCTGGACGCCCGAGATGTGCTCCAACTCGCCCCAGCTATTCGATTTCGTTGTCACACTCGGTGGCGACGGCACCGTGCTCTTCACCTCGTGGCTATTCCAGCGAATCGTGCCACCCGTGCTGCCATTTGCGTTGGGCTCACTCGGCTTCCTGACCAACTTTGACTTCAAGCACTACCAGGATACGCTCGACAAGTGCATCGACGATGGTATACGAGTCAATCTCCGCATGCGGTTCACGTGTACTGTCTACCGCGCTGTTGCGCCTGACGCGTCCATGGTCATCGGGAAGGGGAGGAAACGCAAAGCCATCCGCAAGCCCGGGGGCGAAATCCTCATCGAGCAGGTCGATCGCGACGGGTGGGAGGCTCTTGAGGGCGGGACGCCGATAGGCAGTGTCGACAACGACCGGCACGGGAGGGACAAGGAGATCATGTGCTTCACTACACGTCCTGTCGAGCAGTTTGAGGTCCTCAACGACCTTGTGGTGGACCGCGGGCCGAGCCCCTTCGTGTCCCTGCTCGAGGTGTTTGGCGACGATCATCACCTCACCACGGTGCAGGCGGACGGTCTTACGGTGTCCACACCAACTGGTTCTACCGCATACTCGCTATCGGCGGGCGGCTCGCTGGTGCACCCGGGCATTCCAGCTATCCTTATCACTCCGATCTGCCCGCACACGCTTTCATTCCGTCCCATGCTTCTTCCAGATGGCATGGAGCTTCGTGTCTGCGTCCCTTACAACTCGCGCTCCACAGCGTGGGCGTCCTTCGACGGTCGCGGCCGTGTGGAGCTCAAGCGTAAGCGCGCCCTGGCTTCTATAGTGCTGACAAAACAGAGGGCGACCACATCAAGATCACGGCTTCCAAGTACCCGTTCCCGACAGTGTGCGCAGACAAGCAGAGCACAGATTGGTTCCGCAGTATCCAGCGTACGCTCAAGTGGAACGAGCGCGAGCGGCAGAAGTCGTTTGTCGTTGTCGAGGAGGACCACCCGTACGACCCATACAAGGAACCGAATGGGCTCAGTGGCAGCGACGGCGACCACGACACGGACGCCTCCTCGGAGGAGGATGAGTTCGACATCGACGACCGATCCGGTGGCGAGCTCACGCCCCCGCCGAAGGACGACATGGAGAGCAACTTTGCTCCCGCCAAGCCTCTGCGCGTGCACACGCAACTACGTCACCTCAGAGACGACAGCGAGTTCCGCTCGGGCGTCCAGTCGCCTGACCGTTTCGCCTGCAGCTACGAGGGCCCGCCTCCAATCAGCCAGCGACACCTGTTTGACGCGCTGGCGAAGGTTGAGAGCAAGCTCAAGCGCGTCGAAATCCGGGGCCACGACGACGACGACGAACCCGAGCTCAACGAAGTGGCCGCTCACCGCCCACCGAGTGTGTCCTCCGTGGGAGAGGGCACACCTATTGCGATTGCTGCTATTCTGCACGACGAGACAGACGAGCACGCCGAGGCCGAGGACGAGGTGCCCCCGCTCCCTGAAGGCATTCCCAGGACTGAGAGCGACATGACGCTCGCCCCGCCAGATCTGTACGACCGGACCGGCCGCCGCTCGAACGTCAACTACGACGGTGGGCGCACGCCGCGCCAGGGCCGGTCTAGGTCGCGCTCGCGTGCGCGCGAGGTGCGCGCCAGCAGCAACTCTAGATCTGGCTCGCCGCATGTGGGCGCCAAGAAGCCCAAGGCGTTTGCGTTCTTTGGCCACGTGAGTTTAGCTGATGGTGTGCAGGTTTGGCTGACGGACAGGACGACTCGCAGTCGGAGCTCAGTGATCCCGAGTAGCATTAATACATGTGCTAATCACGTCTGCTATGCACTGTATCATGGACGGCTGAGGGGAAGGGGCGTGGATTTCTCAGCGGAAAGGTCAGAACTCATATCTCGGGGCAGCTGATGTCGAGGCACGGCGCGGAGAGTGAATCGGCAGCAGATGTTCCTAGGGACTCGGGAGCCCGAGGGGAGGCGGAGAGTCGAATCGAACAATGCATATGCCAACCTATACCTGATCATGAGTCGTGGCCGCACTCGACCGCCTGTGGCGAGGAACTGCGACGCTGTTGCTGCCTATCATGCTGCTCGCTCAAGGAAGGACGATGAACGAGCGGAGGTTCTCTGGGATAGCCTCAAGGAGACCCTTCGACTCGAGCCACACGCGGCTGAAGAGACGCGCCTGGTAGCGGTACGCGCCGTCACAGACAGATGGGTCAGCGCTCTGCCCAGGATGCTCAACGGATAGACTCACTGACGGTGACCACGGTAGACCCCTTGCCCTTCTTCTTTGCGATCTCCTGGGCCGCCCAGACGTTGAGGGCGCTTGACGCGCCAACGTAAAGCCCCTCCTCGGCAAGGAGGCGGTAGACCATGCGGATACTCTCGGCGTCAGGGACGTGGACGGCGCCAGAAAGCAGCTCGAGGTCGGGCTTGAGGTTGTCGGTGACACGGCCTTGCCCGATCCCCTCAGTGATGGAGCCGGTGCCCTCGCGCGCGAGCTTGCCGTTCTCGACGAGGTTGTAGAGCACCGAGCCGGGCGGGTCGGCGAGGTAGCTCTCGACGCGCCCCTCGCTCTTCTCGACCAGGTAGCGCGTGACGCCGGCGAGCGTGCCGCCCGTGCCGGTCGCGCACACGAACGCGTCGAGCTTGCCGCCCGTCTGCTCCCAGATCTCGGGGCCCGTCGAGACAATGTGTGCGCCCCGGTTCGCCGTGTTGTCGAATTGGTTCGTCCACACCGCGTTGTCCAGCGACTCGGCGTACCGCCGCGCCTGGTGGTTGTAGTTCATCTCGTTGTCGAACGCCACGGCGGGGACGGGGCGCACGTCAGCGCCCAGCATCCGCAGCAGGTCAATCTTCTCCTGGCTCTGCGTGTCCGGCATGTAGATGACACACTTGTATCCGCGCGCGCGGCAGACGTGGGCTAGCCCGATGCCCGTGTTGCCCGCCGTGCCCTCGACTACCGTGCCGCCCGCACGCAGCTGCCCCTTCGCCTCGGCATCCGTGACGAGGTAGAGCGCCGCGCGGTCCTTGATCGACCCGCCGGGCGACATGAACTCGGCCTTGGCGTAGATGTTGGCGCCGACCTCGTCAGAGGCGTGCTTCAGGCGGATCTGGTGTCAGCCAGAGCAAAGCATACTCAGCGAGCACGACGCAAGGCTGGCACTGGTTCGGGTTGCGCAGATGCGAGATTAGTCCAACGAGTCAAGGATGACCCAGACCCAGCAAGCCTGCAACGCCGGCTATGAGCCAGAATAGCAGGCCCCCCCTTTCGTCGAGCTAAAATAGTCGCACTCACCAACGGCGTGTTGCCGACGGCGCCGACAAAGCCATCGACAATGCGAGGGGCCTGGGTCGCATACCCGCGCGAAAGAGGACGGAGGGCGTTGCGGAGCACGGACATGGTGAATGTACGATGCAGAAAGTGCAGCGTCGGCGCCTGCTGACAACATTAGTTGAGCTTCCGAATGGCGGCCGCCATGACGTGCTCCGTGGCGTGATTGAGATCTTGACTTGTAAGTCACCGATAGCCGGCAAGCTTGTCACCGATACGTTGCCGCAAGGTGACAAAAAGCCCGCAACAGGGATCGAACCTGCGACCGTCTGGTAACTTGGGTGCTTAATAGCAGCCATCGAAGCCAGACGCTCTAAAACCTCTGAGCTATACGGGCTGTGAGCCTGTGGCCACACAGTTTGCTTATAAACCGATTCAGCCCGGCATTGCACGAAGGCTGCCGCAAGAGGCGCAATGCGAAGAGTTTTTGACAAGCGACGCCTCTTTGGCAGCGATGAGGAGACAACGGCAAATGCTCGCCTTCATGACGGGTTTGGGCATTGCCAACCTGGTCTCACCTACACATGTACAAGACACTACAATTCGCGATTTCATCACGACCTCCACAACTATCGCCCTCCAGCACCCCACAATGTCCCCAGGCCCACGAAGCAGCCAATATCCCATGCATATGCACACCGACGACTACTTGTCCCACTTCATTTTGAACAAGTTGCGCTTCTTCTTCTCCTTCTCGTCCTTTGGCTTCGAGTTCTTGGACGCCTGCGACGACACACTCATGTCCGAGAATGCGCGCGTCGCGTCGTTAAGCGCGCCCTGCTTCTGCGGCGCAGCCTGCGGTGGCGGCGCCATGGGAGGCGGGCCCACTTCGGGCTCCCAGTACCGCTGGTCCAAGATGGCTTGGTACGGCATCGGCTCGGAGGGGTTGCGCCAGTCGGGCCTTCCAGGCGCATTCGCGTGCTGCGGCATCCCGCATGGTGGGTTGCCACCGATGCCGCCGCGGCCGAGAGACCGCACGTCCTTCAGGTAGCTCTCGGGGGTGATGATGTGTGTCGAGCCGATGATGATGTCCTTGCCGAGTGCGGCGGAGAGCGTGTATGCTTGCCGGATCTCCGAGTAGGTCACACCGCCCGCGACAAAGATAATGTATCGCTGCTGGTGGTCGGTCGTCTGGCGCGCCGACGTCGCCTTGTGCCATGTTGGACGGGCGGAACGGAGCGAGTTGCCCGCGCTCACGGGCGCTGCTGGCTGGCTCGCGCGCAGAGACCCAGAGGGCGCCAAGTCCTGTGGTGCGTCGCGCAGGTAGGGGAACGCAGACTGGTCCAGTCGGTTGATTGCCTGGTCCTCGGCCATGATCTGCACCACGGGCTTGTAGCGCGACAGGTCGTACTGGTCGTCCTTGGGCGAGTACTTGTTGCGAATACGTCCTCCTCGGAAACGGTTCTCCTTGTCCTTCACCACTTTAATACCCAGGTGCACAAGGTTGTTAATCATGTCCTGCTCCGTGATCGACAGCCGCGCGTGCTGGTACAAGCGCCGGCGGTCCTCGTCGGCGACGCCCTCGCGGAAGATGATGTACAAGGCGATGATGCGCACCTTGTCCAGCTGGCTTATTGCCCGGTCGTCCAGTAATGGCACCATCTCCTCGACAATCGTCTTGGGCGTCTTGCCCTCTGGTGTGAACCCGGTCGCGCAGCACTGCTCAACATGGGCTGTCAGGTTGAGCTTGTTTTGCTCGAACAGGTTCATGCACTCCTGTGCCATGTCCAGATGCAACGAGTATTGGTCTCGCTGCTGCTGGAACTGAGGCAGACTCGCAAGCATGTCTTTCAAGTCATTGATCTGCACGTTGTTGGCGTTGCTGCTGTCAGCTGCGGTTGTCGCGCACCCACTCACCCTCTGAAGCCAGCGTGTTCCTGTGCGAACCGCCCAAAGTCGGTCATGAGCCGGTCAATCGCGTCCTTCATGTGCAGATGGCGAATCGACACCCAGACCTCGTCGTTGTCGTCGAGAATGGCCACACGTGTCTCCTTCGCGCCAACCGTATTCTCGTACTTGTACTTGTACCGCGTGCCGTCCTCGACCTTGAGCAGGTCGTTGACCATGGCCTGGTACCAGAACTCATGGAGGAGTGGTGCTGCTGGGTCCATCGTGCGGTCTACGATGAACAAGACGCCGCGCGGCCGTTCAGATGGCGCTGGGAACTCGGGGTTGTTGGTCATGTACTCGTCCAAATCGCTCTGCACCTGCACGGCGATCTTCTTGCTCAGGTAGTCGCCCACTGGCGGCTTGTGTGATGATCTCGATCCGAGAGCAGAGCGCCACCGCAAGCTGGATGGGTTCTGGTCTGGTTCTGGTGGGGGAGCGCGAGAGGACTGGACACCACGCTCTGACAGCGGGCCCAGTGGTGCGTGGTGATGGGGCTGGTAGTAGCGAATGTAGGGGTTCTCGTTGAGCGTGGCGAGTGTGCTAAGGATCTAGGTGTCAGCTCGCAACGAGGGCGCAGCTCACTGTTCGACTGGTGACGGCTAGATCATCTTGGAACGCCTCCATGGCGAAGTCAGCCGAGATCTGTCCTCCCAACTGTCCATAGAACGAGAAGAATGCTGACGGTGTCTTCATGGAGAAGACACGGTCCTCGGTTGCTCCAAGTCAGCGATTTGCAGAAGGTCACACGACCTACGCTCGACATTGCAGTACAGCTCGACAAACGCCTTGAGCACTCCCATGGGGTGTAGTGTATCTGTGAGCTTTGTCGCAAGCCGATCGTCGATGCCTTTGAGTCAGCATGGTCAACGGGGCGAGCTGCCAGCTCAAAGCAACACTCACCGTCAATGAAATACAAGTGCGCCGACTTGTACGTCCTGCGCCCGTTGGCAAAATCCGCGATGACACGCTGCACATTCTGCGCGGTGGGCGTGAGGATATACAGCCCATCAACGGACATGGGCTGCCGCGCCGAGTGTAGTGGCTCTACGGCTGGGGTTAGCGCTCGCTGCCGCGCGCTTGAGACGCACATGTCACATTCTGCTGGAGGATGTCGTAGCTGGTGTAAACCGAGTCGATTAGCGCCTGTGAGTGGGCATCTGTGACTAGCGCCTTCCACTGCCCTGGTGGAATGGACTGAATAGCGCTCCGAAAGCCTGCGGCGTCAGCGTGCTCGCGCGAGTGTCGGGCACAGACCCGGCGGCGGCAGCGGTTACCGAGACCGAGGTGGCGGGCGCTGCGGAGTGTCGGGCAGCGCTCGTGCATACTCACGTTCCTTGAGGAGATTCTTGAGGGGCATTACGCTGCCGCTGCCAAGTCAAAGCGCGAAGGGGATGAATGAGGTTGACAAGAAAGAGGCAGAGATGAGATGTGGATTGGTGGATCCAAGATGTGGAATGGTGTTGTTGGCACAAGGAAGGCAGGAGAGGCAGTGTGGTGCGACTGTGGGTGCAGGCGATGATGATGCATAGGGTTTCAGGGTTCCCATGGCCGGGGGATGGTACATGGACGTGGCTTGTGACGTGACATTCCCTGGCAATCCCCTCTCACCCTTCGTCCCATCCTCCCACTTCTCCCATCTGCTTCCGATCGCCTCCTCTGCCATTTGCCTCTCTCCTCTCGATCTCCTCACGGCCGCCGGCATGGCCTAACGAGCACAGGTTTCGACCGCAGCCCCCTGTCATAATGCATGCTTGTTACACAGCCACTGCCATATCTGGCCCGACGTTCTTGGCGCAGTCTCCCATCCCGCCTCATTGGAAACGCGCCAAGCGAGCTCGCCGAAGTTCCTCTGCCATGTCAGAAACACGAAACACGGTGGCGGGCTCGGGCTGGCACGCAAACTCACCTGGGGAGGGCTCGTGCGCGGGTTCGTCGTCGTCCGTGTCTTCGATAATGCTGTCCTCACGCGTCGCGGAACGTAAAGGAGATGGGCTCGGGGCCGCAGGAGCAGCAACAGGCGGTGGAGTAGGCAGCGGGGGCGAGGCGCGCGGAGGAATGGCGCTTAACGGGGCCAGCTCTGGCATCACATAGCCGTCTGGCACGTCCTCCATGCTCGCGCGCAGGGCGGCTTGCAGTGCCTCGTCCTCGTCATCGTAGGAGCGGTTGTGATATTGGAAGTCGGTCGGGCCTCCGTACATGCCCGGGAAGTTGTGGGCGCCGGCATGACTGCTGCTGGGGGCGTTGTCGACTTCATCCAGCTCCTCGTCCTCATCGGGGCCGGCGCCGGACGCCGCAACCTCGACATAGCTTCTAGATGGCTGAGGCGTTCTCGAACCGCTGCCCGGGTACGAGCCGGGTACGAGGTCGACCGCTCCTACGCCGTCGGACGTGAGATCCTCCTGTCTCCGACGGCGACGTCCACTCCCCGCCCCCGAAGCGGGCTCGGGATCGGGCCACGTTGAGGTAGTACCGGAAGCTGAGATGAGCTGTGATCGAAGCCCAGATGACTCACGGCCAGCCTGTAAGGAAGGGAAGTGGTTTGTGCTATGCCTTGAGCCTCCCAGCTCGCTGTCGCCCCCGTGGCCGCCGCTGCGGCTGGACACCTCGCCGAGGGCGAGCGCGATCTGGTCGGCGGAACTCTCCGGGAGCTCACCCACGCCCGCGTCACCCCATCCATGCGCCTCTCCTGGGTCGATCGTCGCGTCCTGCCCTGCGCCCTCGCCAGCACGGCGGATGACAAAGACCGAGTAACCTTCCTCCTCGGCCTGCTTCAACACCATGTGGAGATATGTCGGTGAGATCCACTCGGGACGCTCGAGGAACGAGTTAAGGTTGTACCAGCGAGTATAGCTACCGAAGCGGCGGAGGGCGAACCAGTGCGAGTTGAGGTTGAGGATAAACCCCGCCTGCTCTCTATCACGTCAGCGCCGTCGTGTGTCTCAACGTACTCTGGTGCGTCTTGATAAGGCCTCATTGCCTCGCCGCGCCAGCGGACAAGCGTCAGGTCCCACACCTGCATTGCCTGAAGTCAGCCGTCTCCGAAGCGCGCTCTCACCTTCTCCAACACAGAGATAGAGAAGAAGCCCGTGTCGTCATAGTTGTATGACGAGGCGGAGGGCTCGCGAGCGTATCGCGCAGCATTTTCCTGCTCATCGAGCCTGGATATCAGCGGCGAACCAGCACCGTCTCACTTTCGCGCGACGTCTGCCAGATCAATCTCGGTGTAGACAGACTGCTGGAGAAGGTTGTTCAGGCAGTGTTGAGCGCCTGGCGTCAGCGAAGCGCTCTTATCGATCGAGGCGTACACAACTGCGAGCCCGGCTCCTGGCGCTCATGGAAGATGACTTGGGTGAGCTCAGATGTCGATAGGCAGCTCACAAGGGACGAGGTCCATGACTGGAGGACCTGTGGAGATTAAATGGGATGATGAACGGAGGGAAGGTCAGACACAGGCTGGAACGTGCTTGGGGGACAGCCTCCACTCTTGCGAGACACACACGTCATTCGCCACCCAATTGAGCACACTAACAGATTGCTAATCGCATAGTGAATCCTATAATACATTAGAACATCCGGGCACACCCCTTCTTCGTCACTCGTGTACTCAGGCCATAGCCTTGGCGACAGCCTGCTCGCGCTTGTACCGCTCCAGGAATGTACGGAAGTTCTCGACGTCGGGCAAAACCTCCTTTGTGACGGCAGGGTCGATGTGGTCGAAGGCCTTCTCGCTATCGTAGTACTTGGAGAGCTCGGAGACATCCTGGTTGGTCCACAGTGCGGCCGTAGTCGTGATGCCCCACGCCTGCACAATGTCCGAGCCCATGACCTCCTTGTACGTCGCCTTGATTTGAGCCATCGTGAGCTGGTCGCCCGTGAGAGGGATCGCCCGGCCGGCATACTTGTCGCCCGAGGTCATGGCGAGCGCACCAGCGCGGCCGACATCACGCGTCGCCACCATGGGCAGGGCGCGATCCGGGTGCTTCTTGAACGAGTTGAGGACGATCGTGTGCCACACGCGCCCGATAAAGCCGTCCGTCGGCAGCCAGTTGTCCATAAAGTCGCTGCTGCGCAGCATCGTCCACTTCATGTTCGTCTCCTTGATAGCGCGCTCAATGTCGCGCTTCGCGTCCATGCCGTCGTCGCCAACTTCCTTCGCGTCATCGAACATGACCGAGCCAAAGACGATGTGCTGGACGCCATGGGCCGCCGCAGACTTCACGACGCGGACACCTGGTGTCAGCCAATGTTGTTAAGAGCTTGGGGGTTCACCTTGTGCGACCTCCTTCTCACGGTCCATGTAACCACAGACGAGGAAGGCGCCGTAAACATCGCCAACATCGAGGCCAGCGGCATCAAACGCCTCATCTGGCGCCTCCATGTAGTGCGGGGCATGGACGACCGTGACGCCGTTGAGGCGGGCGAGGCGCTGCGCCGCGGGTGCCTCGGGGTTGCGAGCGAGAAGGTGAATCTTCCACGCCGGGGAAGCGGAGCTCGTGTTGTAAGCGGCAAGGGCCGAGACAAATGCGGAACCCTGGTGTCCAGTGCCGCCGAAGACGATAACGTTCTTGGTCATGATGCTGAAGAGGTGATGGATGGTGTTAGTCGTAGAGAGCGAAGCGTTGAGTTAGCTGCAGTGGCTGTGAATGTGTGGGAGTTGTGGAGGTGGAGAAGATGCCATGACGAGCGTGGTGGCACGAGTCTTTATATTAGCTCACACGCCAGAACGCCAAAGCACGCCGAGAGGAAAGTGGCCGTTGTCCGGTGTCAGAGGAGACGGAGGAACGATGGTGGCCCCCGTGGCACTGGGTGGCGCAGGGCTGATTCATGGCGATAATCCGGGTCCGAGGGCAAGCGCATGGCGCGCACGGAGAACAATGAGCATGGGTACAATCTACCAGCATCCACCAGGCCACCAGATAGGCGGATTCACTGGAGAAGCGCGGAGAGCGCATATCCCTCCGCCTCGATCCGCCTCCACTCTCACAGCCCCGGCCTTGGCATGAGGTCATACCCTGACGGAGACCCGCGTCTCCTCCGCCATTCCGACACCGCCCGGTCTCTCTTGCTGACACAGCGCCGGCTCTTGGATCTGACCGAGATCCCTATCACGGGTGCATGTACGACGACTGCTGCGCACAGGCGGTGCTCGGACTGGCCGTGGATGTTATTCAGCCCGTCGGACACGGCAATGAGGATGACGGAGGAGCAGGTCAACTCCGCGCTGTCATGCCCTACGCCACCCGATAGAACCCGAGAGACGCCGAAGAGGAGAGCAGTAGATCTGTGCGATCTGTGCATTCCCTTCTCATTATCTCGGTGTTTCGGTCACCATCTGTGATATGAGCATAACACGCAGTACGAGGGTGGGATCCCGCTTCATCTTCATACGACGCTCTCGTCTCATCCGACTCATTCGCGTGCCAAGTATACATCATGAATGACAAAGACCAGTACAAATACTCATGCTATAATGTCCCATCCTCCCTTTTAAACCTTGGGGCCGACGGCGACGACCTCCTTGGAGACGTCCGACTCGTACTTGGCGAAGGCCTTGTTGAACATGCCCGCGAGCTTCTCGACCTCGGCCTTGAAGGCGGTCTTGTCGGCCCAAGCCTGCTGGGGGTCGAGGATCTCCGAAGGGACACCGGCAAGAGCCTTGGGGATGGAAAGGTTGAAGACGGGGAAGTTGACGAACTCGGCCTTTGCGAGGGTGCCGTCGTGGATGGCGTCGACAATAGCACGAGTGTACTTGAGGGGGCAGCGGCGGCCAGTGCCGAACTTGCCGCCGGTCCAGCCAGTGTTGATGAGCCAGCAGTCGACGTTGTTCTTCGACATGCGCTCGGCAAGCATCGAGGCGTAGCGGCCGGGGTGGAGGATGATGAACGGCTGGCCGTAGCAAGTCGAGAAGGTGGGCGAAGGCTCAACAATGCCGTCCTCGGTACCGGGGGTCTTCGAGGTGTAACCAGTGATGAAGTGGTACTGGGCCTGCTCGGGGGTGAGGCGCGAGACAGGGGGGAGGACACCGAACGCGTCACAGCAGAGCATGATAATGTTCGAGGGCTGGCGGTTGGCAATGCAGGGGATCTTGGCGTTGGGGATGTACTCGATGGGGTAGGCGCAGCGAGTGTTCTCGGTGATCGAGACGTCGTCGTAGTCGGGAACGCGGTCGGCGGGGTTGTAGACGACGTTCTCGAGGATGGAGCCGAAGCGGATGGCGTTGAAGATCTCGGGCTCCTTCTCGGCCGAGAGGTTGATGCACTTGGCGTAGCAGCCGCCCTCAATGTTGAAGACACCAGTGTCGGACCAGACGTGCTCGTCGTCACCGATGAGAAGACGGTTGGGGTCGGCCGAGAGGGTGGTCTTGCCGGTGCCCGAGAGGCCGAAGAAGAGGGTAACGTCACCCGACTCGCCGTCGGCAGACTTGGCCTGGTTGGCCGACGAGTGGAGCGAAAGCTGGCCGAACTTGACGGGCTGGAGGTAGTGCATGACGGAGAAGATACCCTTCTTCATCTCGCCGGCGTACTCGGTGCCGAGGATGACCATCTCCATACGCTTGAAGTTGACCTCGACCGAGGTGGTCGAGGTCATGCCAGTGGTGAAGCGGTTGGCGGGGAACTGGCCGGCGTTGTAGATGATGAAGTCGGGCTCTCCAAAGTCGGCGAGCTCCTTGGCGGTAGGGCGGATGAGCATGTTGTGCATGAAGAGGGCGTGGTAAGCGCGCGAGGCGATAACGCGGACCTTGATGCGGTACTTGGGGTCCCAGCCGGCAAAGCCGTCAAAGACGTAGACGTTCTCGCGGGTGTTCAAGTAGTCGATGGCACGCTCGCGGTTGATCTCGAAGGTGTGCTCGTCCATCTTGATGTTGACGGGGCCCCACCAGATGTCATCCTTGGAGGTGTCCTCGAAGACGATACGCTTGTCCTTGGGGGAGCGGCCGGTCTTCTTGCCCGAGAAGTTGATCAGAGCACCGTTCGACGAGATAACGGCACCCTCGTTGTTGATGGCATCCTCGTAAAGCGAAGCGACGGGGGCGTTGCGCTGTAGAAGTGGTCAGTACTGCATGCAAATGGATGGATGGCGGGGAGGAGCAGGAGACAGGGTGGGGGAGAATGAGAACTGGTGGAGAGTTGTCGAATGAGAAGGCGGGGTATTCCAACCAATCCTCAATCGACCCTCCTCCAGCCTCCAGGCCTCCTCCAACCAACCCTTTGCGGGGGAACAGTGGGGCCCAAGACAAACTCACCTTAATGTGAATGCGGTCAAGGTCGAAACCGGCCTGGGAGAAGTACTTGAGCTCCTTGCCGAGGAAGTCGTTGTTGTGGGTAGTGGGCGCCATGGTGGGAGTGTAGATGCTTGGAATGCGGGCTACGCGGTGTAGGGATCTAAATGCAGATGTAAAGGGAGGAGGATGGAGGAGTGGTGGATGGAAGAATGCTGGGGAAATGGTCAGCCTACGAAACCGTGATATAAGAGTCATCGAGTCATCGGCAAGCCCGGAGGCCCGCGGCGGTGCGAGGGAGTATCGAGTGTGCAGTGGAGAAATGGGGAATGCAAGGGGGGGAGCTATCAAGTGCGGTGTGGTTGTGGTGGTAGTGGTGGTGGTGGGTACAGAAGGGGGGGGGGAATGACAGAGAGGCGCCAACCTCTCAAAGGCGAGGCGTTCCGTTTGCCCTTGGCGGTGAGGCTAGCAGGCATTCCCACCACCCACCCCCCCAGCGCCCCAGCTCGCATGGGCATGCGGACCAGATGCTTGCATCCGAACAAACCGATGGCGTGGGGGGGTGGTATGGGAGGAGAGAGGGGCGGGGCAGACGACGAGGGCGAGGTCCAAGAGCAGGTGACCAGGCTCCTTCTCCCACTCTCGGCTAGTTGGCAACCGTGCCGTGTCCCGTCCACCCGTGCCGTGCCGCGTCCCCGTTGCCTCCTCTGATCATCCTCTACCGACCACTGCCACAAGCCGCACACAAGCACACAAGCACTGCCCCATAGTGCACAGTACGCGGCCCACACAAGAGAGTGGTGGGTGGTCACACAACTCCCATGTCGCGCGAGCACTGGTCGATGACGACCTCCACACGCGACCACTTGTCGCTCCCAACTCGAGACAACCAAGGAGCAACTCACCAGAGTACTCGAGCAGTGGTCAAGCAGTCGAGATGTTTGTTCTTGGGATGCGGTCAATGCAAAGTTGATTTTGTGGAAAGTGGGACTGAGTCTTATATGTAAGGCTGGCACGGCGCAAGGATGGTCGCGCAGTTGGTGCCGGGTAATGTCGGGGATGAGTTGTGTGCAAGGCCGCAGTGGGTGCGGTGGAGAGGGTTGGAGGGAGGCAAGGGGGGGGAGCCCCGCCCGTTGCAAATGATCTCACTGTGCTCGAATCCGTTCGGCTTTGGTCGGAAGCCTATTACTTCTCATCCCATCTACAACACTTCCTATTGGACCGCCAAACACCGCATTGCCGCTTTCTATGACCTCCGTCTGCTTCCGTTAATCTCCCTCTCTACAGTAGGCCTCTCTCAAATCATTAGAATGCGCTGGGTGTGGCTACGTGGCTCTATCAAACCTCTCATCCTCGCGCGTAGCAGCAGCAGAGCTCAGGGCGAGTCGCGTGGGTGGCGCACGGGTCGCAGGGCGAGGCCCTTGATGCTTCTCGCGCCGAGGATGGCGCACATGACGGTGATCCGGCGACTGTCTCTCCTGTCACAAGCGCCCCAGCCGAGCCACACTCCGCCCGGCGCGCCGTCCCCGGCTTTGGACGGACATGGCGGACGATCTTTCAGGTTCCGCACACCGACAATCATCCCTTTGTCACCACCCCTCACCCCCCCGACGCTGCCTGTCCGCCTTCCGCCCCCCTTCATGCCATGCTCCGTCACGGAGGTCCTGTCGTGCTCGGCGCTCAACAACGCTAATGCATACCAATATGAAACTTGCTCGCACGACCACCCACCCCAGCTGCTACTCTAGCCCACGTAGCGGGGGACGTGCTGCACGTGCACTGACTGCCATTGATCGAGAGATCGAGAGACTAGTTCGGGAAGCACAATGCCGCACGAACCGCCACGCGCCTTGCCGTATCAGATCAGATCCATGGATCCACATGACGGCTCGGTGCACAGAGAGCGGTATAGCGGTATAGCGGCACGTCACGGAGCTGGTGTATTCGATAACCTGGCTGCATTCGAAAACAGGCGCTTGCTCGGCAGCTCGGGGGTTCCTATCGCAATCAGTTACGCCGCGCGCCTCTGCGCGCGAGCTGCCAATGCTGCCCAGCTGCCCAGCTCCTCCGCTGCTCCCCGAAAACTTCCTCAATCCTCGATGTATGCATAGCGACCGAGGACACAAATCCCGCATATACCACTACACGTACCAGCCTCTCCCCTCCCTGCGTGCCCATTATCGATGACGTCCGAGTACCACGCGCCACCCACCTCATTCGATTTCGCACCCCTCCCATTCGAAAATCGCCCGGAGCCCGGACATGATCTCTCCCAGTTCCCCCGCACCATGCCGGGCACCTCCGCCTCCGGCGTGTGCGACCTCCTCCAGCTCCCAGCTCCCACTCCACTCCGACACACATCAGACCCTGCATTACCTTACGTACGTACACAAGTGGAGGCGCTCCGGAGACACGGCGCTCCTCGCAACCCCCTCTCGACATGGTCCGGCGCGACAAGCACCGCGGCACCCTCCGCGGGATAAGTAAGCTACATGGAAGATAGGCACCGTTCGGCCTCATTGCTTTATCCGATAGACGATCACCGATCAGCAACAGCACAAGTGGAGGTGCCGCTGACGCCCGGATCCTCCCGATATCTCCCTCCCGGCCACCCAGCGCAGTCTCCACCATCTTCTGCCATCTTCCGGAACATCCCGAACCGCCTCGCGGCCTGCCGTGTCGCCGCGCGCCTGTTTTAGACTGTCGCAACAGCCGAGGTGCGCCGGTCAACGCCTGTCGACCATTTCCGGCTCGACGCACTTGAATATATCGCGATCTGCGCCGTGCTCGCGTGCTCACGCCACCCAGTGGCGTTGTAGGGCTTGCTCGACGCGCACGGCGTTGCGAGGTCACTCACCCTCTACTAACTGCAACATATGGGATCATTACTCATACATACAGATTCGGAACAGACTCCATTATGCTTCCAATTGGTGCTGGAGGGGTTCTTGCTGGTGAGACTCCTGTTGCTGCTGCTGCTCCGCCGCCTCCTGTTGCTGGACCGCGTACATGTTCTCCACTGCTTGGCCAACCTCTTGCAATGTGGTCAGACCTTGCTGCAATGCTGGATCTGGGGTCGCGGACCCAGCGACCCCAACAGCATGGACAGCGGTAGAATCCTCGAGCACGCGATGGTCGACATCCATTCCGATGTCAGCCCCAACTTCATCGTACTGCGTCTTGCGCTGCTGCTCTCTACGCCGCTTGACGCCCTCCCAGTTCCGGGGCCCGGCCTTGCGCTTCTTGATGGTCCGTCCGTCGCCCCACAGCTCAGGCGGGCGAGGGATATGGAACTTGGAGTGATACAGTCCACATGCTGATTGGTGTCAATGTGATGATCGCGCACCGACCCCCCCCCCCCCCCCCCCCCCCCCCCCCGGGGCTGTACTCACCATTGCACACCCTGAGCTCCTCACCGTCGTACGTCAGCTTGCGCCACACGCTCGTCTGCGTGCGCGAGCATATGTCGCAGCTACCTGGCGGTCCGCGCTTGAATCTCGACATGACATTCGGCGTCTCTGGATGACCGTTGCTCGTCTCGTTCGGCATGTGCGACGTAGGCGCGCTTAGCGACGACTCGAGCGTTGCGTGGTGCGCATGAGTGGATGGTGACTGCGGCAGAAGTGCTGCAAAGGACGAGCTGTCAAGCGGGATTGGTGTGTCACGCGAGACGTCGCCTGCTGCAAAGTGCGACAGGAGGTAGTCCTGCGTGGCCTGCGAAGTCTCGGCAACCACATTTGCTTCCACACTTCCCGGCAACGCTTGACTTGGGCCTGCCTCAGCGCTATGCGGCTGCGACTGATGCTGCTCGGGCTCAAAGCGTAATTCCTGGGCAAGACGGCTCCTGCGAGGCGCCGCGGCACGTGCTGGCCGTGTACCGGGTGTGTCCGGGAGCTCCGTGCCCGAGTCTGACGACGTGGGCGAGTGTTGATACGAGAATGAATACTTGGACGAGCTGGCGGTGGAGGTATGCTTTGGAGGCCGACCACGTCGGCGGCGCGCAGTCGCGGGAGATGAGAAGGGAGTTACAAGCAGGTTACCTGGCATCAGACCCTGCAAGATGTCAGCATCGATCGCCCAGCAGCTCTGAAGTCACGTACCCCTGGTGCGCTCATCAAAGACGTGATGTGGCCCCTGAGAGCTCGGAGCACTGCGGTGACTCCTTCGCGGTCCCGTTGTCCATCGACGTTGAGAGCTCGCAGCTCCTCCTCGAGCGGAAGCAGCTTGGATTCTTCCTCTTCCATCGCCGCCCGCATTCGTGTGGTCACCTCGCGCAGCACTCTAGCCTGGGTCTCAAGCTCCGCTGTTTCAACTTCGGCCTTCGCGCTGTATTCGGCGAGCGCGACCTCGTCGGCTTCGTACAGGTCGGTGAATGTAGGATGATACGCGTCCTCATGGATGTCGCCGAGGACCGGCTGCCCTTGCCGACGCGCGAGTTCGCGGTCAGCACGTGCGATAGCGCTCTTGACGCTTGAAATCTCCTCCTGAAGCGACTTCTCGAGCTCAGCCGTGAGTGCAGCCGACAAGAGGGGCCCAGGTCTAACCTTTGCAGAGGGGAGGGGGCCTGTGCTAGGAGCCGGGGTGTGTTGCGGCTGCTCGTCTCCGGCCTGGTTAGACGCGACGGCCGCAAGCTGGCCTAAGCGCCCGTCAACCTCGGCCTCTGAATCACTGAGCAGCTGGGCCCACGGAATGTCGCCTCCCTGCGCGAGCAGCTCCAGAAAGCGCTGGTTCTGAACTTGCGACGCGACGGCTGCTGCCGCTGCGGCGTCCAGAGACTGACTGGACTCGGCCGGTACAGCGTTTGCTTGCTGCTCAATACTAGCCAGTACCTCCGGCGCGGCGTCTCTCCCTTCGATTCGCGCGATCTCGTCCTTGAGACGTAGGTTCTCGTCGCTGAGAGTCTGGACAGCCATCTCCAGGGCCACAATCTTCTCCTGTTGGCGGCCGCGCGAACGTTCCGCCGCTCGTCGGTTTGCCTCGCGTCGCACTGGGTCGGCAGTCTTCTTGGATCGGGATGGGTGCTCGGGGGTAACAGGCGGAATCACCTGCTCGACGGGGGCTGGTGGCGGATGTGCCTCAGGTGCTTCGGGCGTTTCGAAGGCGGCATTATGCAAAGAGGAATCTTAGGTCAGAACGGTGAGGCGAAGCAAAGGAAGGCCTGTCTCACCAATCTGCAAAGCCGAGTCTAGAGTGGGCTCCATCGCGATGAGTAGCGCTCAGCCAGATGGTTAGCTCTTTGACGTCAGCAACGCCCGGAGAAAAGCATACACGAGACGTAGAATTCGCTGGCAAGAAGGCGAGCTGAGCGTTGGTGGCCTGCTAGTACGACGTTGTGGGAGGTCCGGCAGTGTGGAAGATAAGAATGCCGGTGCGCGTCGTCGTGGATGTCGCGCCTCGTCTCCGGACTGGATGATCTTGTCGAGACAAACAAACGTGAAAGACGTGTCAAAAGCGATCGGAGTGATGGTGCTCCAACGACGGATGCAAACGGAGTTTTAGCTCAATCTCCGTCCCTACACCTCCTCCCAGTGACGCCCACAAGCTCAAGCACCTCTCCATTGTTTTGACATCACCCATTGTTCATCATTGTATCTCTCTTCATACATACAACACGTCGAGTTCCACCGCCCCATCTCGACTCAACCGAAAGTTACGAAAGCTACTCTCGTTCAATCTTTTCGTCCACAAACATCTTCAAAATGGCAGAAGCCAAGCTGTGTGTCACCGCCCCTGAGTTGTGCTGACCGTGCAGCCAGAAGCTAAAGGTTACCGACCTCAAGGAGATGCTCTCCAAGGCAGGCCTCACGCAATCTGGCAAGAAGGAGGATCTCATCAAGCGCCTTCTTGATGCTGGAATCACTGGCAACGATCCCGAAGAGCTAGTGAGTTCGATGTCTTGAACCTTTGCAGAGCCGTGCTGACATTAGGTGGACCCCGACGTCCCTGCGTTGGCCCCCGCTGTCCAGGCTCCGGCTGCCTCGGCTTCCGTTGCCCCGGCCAGTACCCTCGCGGCTGAGCCTGCAGGTTCTGCTCCTGCGGCTGCCGTTGTCCCCGCAGCTCCGCCATCCGGAGTATCTTCTGCCCCTGACGCTCCTCCTGCGATTGAAGACGAGCCCAAGGAGGACGAGCTCACCGAGGAAGAGAAAAAGCAGAAGGCGCGCGCTGAACGCTTCGGCATCCCCTGGGTGAGGCAGAAGAAGACAGCAGCAATCCCCGCTGCCACGACGCCGCCGGGGGAGAAGCCCGCGGCCCAGCCCAAGGCCGAGCAGGAGAAGCCAGCCAAACCTGCAGCCATCGATGCGACGCCGCTCGGCATCTCGCCCGAGGTTCTGGCGCGCCGCGCAGCCAAGTTTGGATTGCCGGAGAAGAAGTCGTCACCGGTGAAGTCCCCGGCCAAGGAGGAGACGAAGGAGCTGAGCACGTAAGTACAAGTCAATGGGGCCACGTTGACATGTCGCAGAGAGGAGGCCGCCCGTCTTGCGGAGGAGGAGGAGAAGAAGCGGAAACGTGCCGAGAAGTTTGGAGTCGCCACGAATGGGAGCAACGAGCCCGTAAGTATTGGGCTGCCTAGCGGAACTGAGCTGACAATAGAACGTAAAGAAGGTCAAGGTCTAGGTGAGTCAGGTAAGGATGTGTGGGTTGCGAACGTTTGCCTGCCGATTCTGCCAATGATCTGTATGCTCGTGTTGTAGCGACGCTAGATGCAGTGTGCTTGTGAAACGTAGAGGGTGCGAGCATTGTACACCCGCATTCAGACTCTGAGAGTTGCACGAGAGTTCTTAAAGGGATGGCTCGATTAAGCCCCCGTCATGACGTCCGACGTGTCGACCACTAACGCGTCTCAGCTTCACTCACCTACATTGGACCAGCGCAACTTGATTGTTCGTGAGACCTCCCTCATTCACTGTCCACTGGGAAGCTGACACTCAGCTCCCCAAAACCCGCGCTCTCGGACCAGCCCGCACCTCACGCTCCCTTACCGTTGTCCGTCCTCCCGCATAATGATCTCCGACGGCACCCTCACAGATCTTTCGAATGGCCTCGGCGTCGCCGCGATGGTCCTCATTATCGCATACCACTTTGTCGCAGTTAACGGGAAGCGCATCAAGGAGAGGCAATGAGCGTGAACCGGTCGAGCACCAGCCGGCAGCGTTGGGATGTGGGCCGAGAGGCGGGTTCCGCTGGTGGAAGGAGCCGCCGCACGAATCTCGAGCCTAGCAAGCTGCAGCGTCTTCTTCAACTCTCTCCCCCTGTTTCACCTCCCTTTCCTGCCTCGCCCGACCTACCCCTGTCCTTAACGGGATTCGTGCGAACCGCCAGTCACATCGCATTCAAAGCCACACCATTTAGACCCATCTGGTCATGCGACCAAGTGTAGAGTATGCATCGGGCGCAGCCCTGTACAGTATCGACAAGGCGTATTAAAGGCGCTGAACAGTGACCTTACACGTACAGCAGATATGGCAAGAAGAGTGTCTCAACAATCGACTCAGCTGCCAGCTGCGTGCAAGCCTTTTGCGCGGCGCTGCAGGGCGCGCAATCGAGGACGGCCTGAGTGTGCCCAGAGCCCAGCGACTGGGACAACGGCACGGAAGTTTGGAGAGATGGCATTGACTCGTTCATATGAGGTCGAGCTCGCCGCCTGGCGCGCTATCACTCGTCTCGCAGTGTTCTTCCCGACGATGAGAGTCGAGATATTGTCCTTCTGCACTCGATTCGAGGCTTTGGAATGTTCTTGAGCCTCGGAGAGCCCAGCCGGTCAAGAAGACCTAGTCACGATGAGATATATCGTAAGCCGTGGCAATCAGGCCGCACAGCCCCAGCGGTGCTAACATCGCACTTTGCTGTGTTGTTGACTCCAGCGCGTTGTGCTAAATATCCCACTTATGCTCCATCTGATAGTAAGCCGCTTCACTGCCCGGTGGAGGAGGAGCCTGGAGTTATGGAGAAGCAGCGATCATGATCATGGAAGCGTCACGCACGCTTTGCGGTACCTTCACGACCTGCGCATTTCAGTCATTCACATTGGAACGAATGTAGTCTGGCTCTAGCGCCTCTAACACCTACTGGTCACCTTCTCCTTCACGCACGTGTTGCTGCACGCATTCCCATTCTCGTCGTACGACGGGAGTTGTAGATGTGCGCGTGCAGGAAGCGAGTGGTGCCCTACCAGTGCCCCTCTCATGCCCCTCACCCCCCTCATCTGGTCGCCCCTACTGATGCCCAGTAGTCACGCCAGCTCTATGCCACTGGTATGCTAGCACTCGCAGTCGTCTGTCGCTCCGCCGGAGCCATCACCGCGGCTGGCGCTTTTGGCGCAATAGAGTTTGCTCCCGGGCTCGCTGCCGTCAGCCTTCTTCTTCCAAGCGAGAGGGATAGAGCGTTACGCAGCACTTACGCCGCCTTAGTTGACCCGCGGGATCCCTTCTTATGCCGACACACTGTGGCGGTGAGGCACAGAGGACATATTTTGCTGACAGTAGGAACCCGTAGGGGGCAATGTGGTGATCCAGGTTTCTGAGATACAGAGGGCTATCGACCACTCCTCGTCTCTTCGCGCGAGAGTTGTCCTCCTGTGCCCGATGGTGCTGGAGGACAATTGGTGCACTTCCAAGACGATATTTTGACTAACATGGCGCTGGCAGAAGGCGAAAACAGAGGTAGCCGGCGAATTGGACGTATTCGACAATTTCGCGTCACGCTGAATGAACGTCTCCATTCCCCTCCGGTCCCGCTCCGTCCAAAAGAGACTGCGGCGCTGCACATTTCGCGACCGGGATGGAAGATAAGTCGGCGGGCGTTGCCAGTTTCCCTGGGTAGAGGGCCTCTGACCTTTACTCCTCAGAGTAGCTTGCCGTTCCTGCGTTGCGTACTGCGTTTGGTCGGCAGATTGTGCTTACTGCCCGTTCCATTTGCTTGTCGGTGGTGGGCGTGGGGAAAGATGAATGACTTTCTTATAGTACATTTTGAGATGGAGGGGGGGGGACAAGCGGACTGTGCCCAGGGTGTGAACTGGCTGCACCTATAAGGTATCCGCCGCTTGATAAATCATCCGGGCGAAAAGGTGCGACGTAAACAGCTCGTAGCGGGTACGGTGCAAGCCCGCGGGATCTGATGCGCCTCGTTACAGTTAAGTTGCATGATCCTTCTGAGACACCGCTCCATCCGTTCTGAGTCGGTTGACTTTGAAGAATAGGAGTGCGAGATGCGCCCCCAGCCGTGCGTTGGCAATGCAATCCGCAACATAGGCCAAGAGGTGAACGCGACACTTCGATGCATATTGCTGCGCGCGCATCGTGGTCGCCACTCAATGTTCCAGATGTGTTGGAGTTTTTGCAGAGGCCGAAGAGTAGTAGGCGACGCATTCTGCGGTTCATTAAATCCCGTAATTCAGTTGATTAGATCATTATTGCAGACCGCGCCGTAGCAATCTGAAGCAGAAGGTCGCCCGCTTTATAGTAATGCTCCCTACTGCGAGTGATCAGACAACGGACAAATTGACTCACGCTGTATAGGAAACGTCGCCTTTTGATAAGCATTAGAATCGCAGAGACCGACAATTCCAAGCCTCGTCAGTTCGCGAACTCTGAGCAGTCCAAACCGACAGGTAGCAGCCGCTGCATTCACCTGCATTTGTTGGCGGTTCTTGATGTCAGCGATGGCATTTACAGACATAAGGTCGGCCTTGACAGTGGCAAGGAGTCACCCTCAACCCGTTTGCGAGACCACCCACGTTTCGACGACACCGGCTCCGCCAATGATGGCTACTCCGCAGAAAATGCGAGTCCTCAGTTACGCCCTAGAACTCCCACAAGAGATGCATTTTGTCGAAATGCCTCCTGTCGCCGGGATTCTCGTGCAACCGATTTAAAGAAAAGGAGAAAACTCCATCTGGTCACCCTCGCAGCCCAGCCTGCCCACAGCTTCTCCTAGACTCACCAATGATGATGGGAAGGACACCATATAGACGCTCAAGTCCTCCCTCGCCTACACACGCGCTAGTCGGTCCGAGCGGCCACGCTGTTGGCAACACCCCTCTACCCCATTCTTCGCCACATGGGACGAAGACTCGCTGGTGCTCGACGTCGTCATCCCTGGCATTGAACAGCACCAAGGCTGTTCTTGTGCGTCGTACTTGCCCCTATCCACGCGCAAGCGGACCGACGTACCTGTTCTTATTTCGGTGTCTAAGCTCCAGTACCTGTCCCGAGCATGTGATTAACCCGAGCTCCTCTGCTCGGTTCCTGGCACTCGCGTGACGGCACATGATTTCGCAACTGCGAAGACCTCCCACGTGACGCACTGGCGTGAGCGAAAGCAGACAATAAAGCAGAAGCAATGTGACTCGGAGGGGGAAACGCAGGTGGGCGATATGCGGCGTACCAAGATGCCCATCGCCATGCCCGCAATTTGCACGAAGACGACGGCGAAGTGAAGGCATGACAGAGAACGCTGCGCTATGTGCTCAGATTGGGCGCTTGGCCGAGATCTGCCAAGCGCCACATTCGCACGGGTCAAAAGGCGAAGTAGATGACAAGTAGGCGAGGCGACAGGCAGGAAGATGGGGCTGCAGTCGCCGGTTGAGGTTGAGAGATTGCCAACGCACATCGAAAATCCGGTATCGAAGAAACGACGCGGGCATTTCTGCCACGCACCGAGGTGCCAAATGTATGACGAGGATTGCAATAGAGCCTGCGAGGTGGGGGATTCTCCTCTACAACAGCAGCTCGAGCTGAGTGAGCCACCGGGACACAGTTCTCCCCCAGTTGACCCGCTCTCACCGTCGACGGCTCCTCCTGGTAGGGCAATTTTCGACTTCAATCAAAACCCTCTGGAGCGATACAGCCATCGTCTGAGAGGGTGTCGTCGCCATCGTAACGAGCTTGACCCATCTTATTATACCGGACTCACCTCTACGGTGCTCCCAGTACTCGCTCTGGTAGCAGGGTGACCCTCTCCCGCCACATTCCAACCGTCTCTCCTCGCCGCACACTACCGCACACTAACGCACCCAACGCTACCGCGGCGCGGCGCAAGCGCTCGGCGCTGACCCATCTCCCTGGCCTTTAGGCCGCCCTAGCTCTCCCACTCAATGTGCCTAGCTGCTTAACCAGGAACGGCCGCCGCACTGCCCTTGCCTTGCAGGTACTCACCTGATTGGCTACCGCTGGGTTGCAGTGAGGCTGGCGGAGACACTCACCCATGGTGGTCTTAGCTACTCGTCGGAGTATGTCTGCGCTGGAAAATATCAATTGGATGAGATGCAAAAACGTTCGAGGAGTTGTGTGAGTGGCCGGCGTTGGGGTGGCCGACCATCACTCCAATTCAGGAGGCAGTTACGCGACGCCCGGTGGCCGTGTGCAGTATACGCGCTTAGCCTTCCACCCAGCCACTCGATCGAACATCGGGCCTCGGCTCTCGCCCGTTCGCGCGCGGCTGAGTGTGTTTTGGAGAAAGTCGAATCTTCTTTCAGGAATGGAGGGGGGAATACCTGAATGCGAAATGGGAGGCTGCGTCCAAGCGCCGTCAAGGGAGTGGCTGTGCGCCGAGCCCCTTCAACGGCAAGGCGATAAGCACGCCCCGGGGGGCACAAACGGCGGTGGCGGGACGGATGTCCTGTCCACTGTTGATGGTGTGATACGAGCAGCTTTGACACGCGCGAGAAAGAGGATGGCCATGAGAGGTGCGCAACAGGTGTTCCAACACCTGGCACGGGTCCGACGGGAGATAGGGTGGGCCGAGGACCTAAAGTGTCGGGCGGGGCGACCCCGCTCCTTGCACTCGCAAGGAAATCGAATGCGGCCGTCGGGTGAAGGGAGACAGCGCATACCTACGTGCCACGCATTCTATCCATGGTCGGTGAAGAGTATAAGCTGGGCGATGTTGGGCAAAGAGGTGCGACGGAGCTGAATACAGCGCCACACCATCAGCATGTCGTTTGGAACCTGGCCCAAGAGAGTGGATACCAGGGACTGCAGGGGAAAGGCACCGAATCCCCCGGATGTTTGAGATTCTCACTCGTAGGCACCTGGACCAGCTTCCTTGCCGGAATTGCCGAACAAGCCCCGATTCAGGGTTTCAGAGCCAACAGCGATCTCCGGGGAAGTAGGACAGGACGTAAGGCTGTAGACGGCACACCCTTCGACCATGGGTGCTGCGAACTTCGGACGCTGAAGCGGTTGCTACAAAAAGAAAAATTATCAAGCCCAGGTGGCTCGTCTGTAGGGGGTCAACGCCGAAAGATAGCAGGACAAGCCCAGATGGCTGCGCTCCAAGGGCACGAAGGGAAGGTACTTCCAGCCACGGTTGGCGGGACACTTCCTTCGGAAGAGTTCTGCACATATTGCAGAACGACGCCCCCTTCGACACCTTTAGGGGCGACAGGCATTTTCGAACACGGGCAGAAGAGTGGCGTTCGGGAATTTCCTGGACCCTGGGGACAGTGTTCCTCGCACCAGGGCTCTTGTATTCGGCTGAATGAGAGTTGGCCGTGAAGAGTGTCCGGGCAGCTTCTCGTCTGCACCAGCTCACTCGATACACGTTGGCTCGACGGGAGTGCACTAGCAGTTGGCGTCACGGTGAGAACTGTAGTAGAGTCGCTACGGGTCCGTGTGGACTGTCTCTGACGTTAAACTTCCCATGCTCGGAATCCCGTCCGCGTCCCGCTTATCGTCTAAATCGCATTCCCTGTCGCGTCAGCAATGCTGATGTGATATATCTTACAGGGTTTGCCCTGCTTTATACTCGAAGAAGAGCAGTGAATGGGGCTGTCCTTCGACGTCGCATCGTTCTCCCACACAACCAGGAATTGCATGGCAACCAGGAGCCTCGATGCCCTCGTGGTAACGCGTGTTGCTTTGTCTCAGTTTGGGCAGCATGCCGGGATCAAGGGGAGACGATGCCCTTCGTTGATGCCAAGCGTCGGATCCTCCGCTGAGATATGGAAGGGAATCTTCTGACGATCGCTCAGACATGCATTTCGGGAGCCGGTTTTCCTCAGAGAAGCTCCTGTCCTAAAGCAGAAGTCGATCGAGATGATGTCCATTCCTCAATTCAGGAGTCACTCTGCTTCAGTTGAAGCTGGGGATAAGCCTCGGAAGCAGGATCAGCGCTGAGGCCCTTCTTACTCTCGAGTGTTGTTTGTCACAGATGTGATGACGACCTCCTTCCCGTTTCCAAATGTGATAACGATCCACCTCTCGTCCCGTCCTGGTGATTGAACATGTTGTGTCAGTAGGTGAAACAGATGGAGCCCGCCCACGTGTTAGGATTCCAGCATACTGTCATGCGTGTCAATGGAATGCCGAGATCCTCCTCCAAAGGCTGAAGCGCTCAATGTTCAGGAGAAGCAGAGTAGGAGGGCCGACTGGTATTTTGCAAGGCCTGACGGGAGGCGAGCGGGAGCTTGTGTCACAGTTGTTGAGAAACGAAGCGAGGATCACGTCAAGAGGCTGGTCGGGGGAGTCTGGTTCCGGGTAATACACATTGACTGTACGTAAGGGATCAAGGGCGGTGAGATTTAGTGGCACGCAGAGGACGTGGGTGATAGCGGGTCATGAACACAGAGATGAGGAAGTTGAAGAGGAGGTGATGAAGGTCAGTACATGGCCGAATGGTAGTGTGGTGGGTAACGGCCAACGTCGCAGAGGGTCCCAAGTCGGTGCAGAGGGACTTGTTTGGGTTCAGGCACGTCCAGCCACCAGCAACCAGCACCAGAGGGACTGTTCTTCATTCGAACATAGCCTTCCTCACGATGACGTTAAGTGTGCCGCCCAGTTTCACTCCGTTCGCGTCACAACGGTAGCACGATGCTTCGCTTGGAAAATCCAACTGAAGGGGTGGGGGCACTGTGCCTCCAGGAGCGTGGGATAGGGTGAGGCCATTCAGTTGTGGAGCCTGAACAAGCTAGTTGCTCACAGCGTGGCATATTGGCTCGTCGTCTGGCACTCTCGTCTCAGGGGAACGCCAAACTCTTACATAGCTTACCATCTGCTTCCTAAGTTTGTGACGGCAGACGGCAAGAATGTTTCAAGTGCTCGTGGTGGCACCTCTACTCTAGTGTGGGCCATCTCAGCCCGCAGCTGCCACAAATGCACAAATGTGGCGCTGCAGCCGCGATCTCACCGAAGTACCGTCGTTGGATAAGCTAGCCTTGCGAGAGGACATTATGGCGAAGTTGCTCCGGAAACTGAGATCTCGTGGGTGATGTGGCTGAGCTCCCTGCTCCTCCCTGGGACGGCTCGGGCAAGTGGGCAATAGTGCTGGCCGAGGATCGGGTCCCCACCAGACACCGGAAGCAAACGCCGGCTGCAAGCGCGCCGTATCGTGCAGGGACAGAACATGTGTAGACTGCCACAGCGCATCCTTGTGAAGGCGTCGGTGGCGGACGATGCCACTTGTGAGCAAGCGCTAAGATCGACTGCCACGCCCTCAAGCTTAGTGCGGCTTCCCGGCGGAGAATGTGGACACGTACCTTCGAGCGGTCGATCGACGTCGTGAGGGGAGAGGCATGTGGTTCCATTTTGGTTATGTGCAAAACAGCGAGGGTTTGACGCGGCATCGCAGGCATGCCCGCGGAGCCCGGCTTGGCATGTCGAGGTGTGGTGGGGAGCAGCCGATGCACAGTGCGACCTCCGAGAGACCCAGCGGCGTACTCTGCGTCTAGCGGCGGGTGCGGCGATCGCCGTGCGTCACGTCCTGCCGCAGCCATCGCCGGCGGTTACAACGTGTGCTTGGCGGGTCCAGACACCTGACCAGAGATGTAACGGAAGCACTGGAGGACGATCACGGCCGACTAGGCGTCGCTCCCCCCTCTCCGGAGCGGGCTGGATTTATGACCATGTGAGGGATCGAGCTTGTCCAGGTGTCTTGTTGTAGCGGGATGCAGCAGGGAGAGGACGGCCGAAGATGAAGGTGGACGCACTGGTCCAGCTGAACCTAGTCAGGAACAATCAGTAGTGACCACTTTTAGGGCCGGGAAGGTGGAGATATCGTCACTTTAGTGCCCTACCGTTCCGATCTCCGTGACACTTGCCAGAGTAACGTTAAACGCTGTCCTCTGCTCCGATGCCGGCGCTGCCTTGTCGCACGGGGTGAGAGCAGGAGCAGGAGAGGCAGTTGGAGGAGAGAGGGGTGAAGCACGAGTACCAACGTCAACGCGCGTACAAGCAGAATCGAGTGATTGTGGCGCTCTCGTTTTTGTGAAACCGAATCGGAAATGCGGAAAACGTTGGTTTGGTCAGTTGGTGATTCGTTAATGAAACAGTCATGTGCTCGGGAGGTGACCGATGGGATTCATATGGGGACACTTGAGGTAGAGTTTGGGTGACGACGACATTCCGTGGCTTTGATCTCTGGTATTGCTCTCTGGGACCCTCAGGGCAGCAAGCTCTTCCAGGTCACCCCAGGCCCTTCCACGGTGCCTCAAGTTCTCTTCCCCCACACTCGCCCCTATCCTGGAAAAGACTCCTCCGTCCTTCCAGCTTATGCTCTTTAGAATCAGGATGGGTACACGAACCCTGATGATCTCCTTTTCCTTGCTGACACGGTTTTCGCCACCCATTCAAGCATGTTCCCCAGTGGCTCCCACCTCCGTACGTTGCAGACCGTGCCTCGACACCCCCACCCCCGACTCTATCGATTCACTTCCTGTTGTACACTCATTATTGCGTGGTTAACTGAAGTCTAGGGTGTCCTCCAGGTCGCCTGCGTCAATGCGATGTGCAGATGCCATGTCCAAAAGATAAGGCACAAGCATTCTGCCTTCGAATGGTTCTCGGGGCTGATCCGCCGCAATACGATACCACCAGGTAGTTGTATATCGTCGGCATGGCTGGTTGGTAGCTTGCCGCCCGACTGCATGTGCACGGGGAGGCATCGAGAAGGCTTCGGACTTCTCGGGGAGGCACAAGGAGATTTATAAATCGCGAAGAGCGTGAATAATCAGGCCCCAGGGTGGCTGCAGGAGACGGGGCGTATATGGACTGCGAGGACTAGGTCCGCCCCGCGTCGAGTGTCGCAAGTGCCTTCATGATGAGCGTAGGCAAAATAGTTGCCTCCAAACTGACTCTTGGGCTCGTGGACTCAATCCATGTGTCCGGGACATTGCCGTGGTGATCGCACGGTCGACATATTGTGAGGCGAGTCTATTATGCCAGCAGTGGGCGTCTTGGCGTCATAATGGATGGTGAGTCTCGGCTGGTGGAGAGAGCGTGTGTTCTTGCCTTATTGATCACCGCAAAAGGGGAAGTATCGCGCTCTGTGAACAAGCTTGGCACCTCCTTTGCGAAGGCGGGGTGGTCGAGCTGCGACGCACGCGTCTACTTTATACACCACTCAGCATCGGCTCCTCGGAAGCTCCTCTCACTCAGGACATATATTTTATAGAAATCTCACACCGGTCCATGTGATTATCCGCGACGGACATGTAGAAGTCGCCGCAGCGGACAGGCGACCCTATATGCCTACATCGTCGGTCAGCGAGGAGGAGGCATTTACCCAAAACCCAGCGAAGAGTAGGGAAAGGAGTACGTAGTGTCGGTGCTGTCGTCACAGGAAAAATCCACGTATGTCGGATTGGCATGAGTGTGAAGCTTGGATGCTGGCACACATGGACGAAGAGCGTACGACAAGGGCGACGACATGCATGGAAGTTATGAGCATGAGGCGGGCAAGTCCGCTGCTGTGAAACCTTGTGAGGCTGACACCCCTGGCACCTGTTACGTGCGCGTGTAGCTTAACGTTATTGGAGAACGTCAGGGACTGAATTGTCGGTCTGTGCGTTTGGAGAGGCCACTGTGCTGAGCCACGCCACTGACAGGGGCGATGCAGGGTTTTAGGCTTTGATTTCCCTCAAAACGTCGCACAAGTCAAACCCGACAGTCGGGCATCGGTTCGCCGGATCGCCGACCTCGTTAGCCCGGTCCCTGCATGTCACCGGTGTGGACCCAACCATCCCACTCGGCACTCATCACGCCTTGCACGCCTCGGACGCCTCATGACGGCCTCGTGCATGCAAACACCTTGGCCATTTCCTGCATTTCCTGCATTTCCTGCATGTCCTGCATGTCCTGCATGTCCTGCGACTCATGCGACTCCTGCATTTGCTCGCCCTCTCCGTCTTCTCGCATCCCAAAAACCCTGCATGCTGCCCAACCGGGCGATCCGGCGACCCAGCCCAGCTCTTGTTGTGCGGCAGCGCAGGGTCTTGCGCCCCGAGACATCGGTCACACCGGTTCAACTGGACCCCCGCATGGCCGCATGGGATGACAAGCAGAAGTCTTTTGATCGGGGTTTAGCGGTTCAGCTGGGGCATGCAAGGATGTGCAGGGTTGGACACGACAATGCGAGAAATGCGGCGATGCAGGGAGGGGGCGTCTGACGAGCATGACGAGCATGACGAGGCGTGCACAAGGTCAAGGTTTGGGCAGCAAGTGTACGGGTGGCGGCGATACTCCCCGATGATGCCCGAGAAACAAGAGGATCGCGCAGTCGCTTCGGGAATCTCGATCGGCTGACTCGCTGCTCGCTGACTCTTGCTTGACTCGGGTGGCTCGGGTGCCAAGTGCATCCGAGCGTTGATGACGCGAGCAGAGACCTGTGGCGCGAGGTGGCGGAGGGAGTGTGGCATGAGTGGAGAGGAGTGGGGGAATGACGCGGATGTTCGTGGATGATGATGTGAGACGAGGATATTGTGAGTGGCGTATAATCGGGATGGCCGGAGGATTGGAGGTTGGGGAATCGAGGGCCTGGAGAAGAGTGTTTGGAGGAATGGGCGTGTTCCGCCGTGTTCTAGGCGTCCCAGGCGGCGGAGCCGCCGAATCCACCGAACTTCTCGGTCCTCTAAACTCAGGGTCCCCTTCCTGCGGCATTTCTGGGAAGAACCAGCTACCTTGTCCCTTTACCCGTGGGTCATGGTGCCGTGGCGGCGACAGTGTTGTCATCTTGTCATGGTCTACCCGAACCGGTGGAGCCGATCTTGCTCTGTCATTTTCTCAAACAACATCCAGCACGCGCTGCATGCGCTATCGGGCTGTACCGTCTTCTTTTCGGCCTGGGGTCCATAACCCTCTCGGCCCTCTGGATTCCCTTGATCCCTTGTCTTGGAGGCGGCGCCGTCCCCCCTCCCCCCTCCCCCCTGAAGTGCTGCGCTCACTGCTCAACTGCACCACTGTGGGTTGAAGATCCATGATATCCCAGCAATCCAGCGATCTACGGGCATTGAGTAATGGGCACTGACTTCCCGCGGATCATTGTTATCCATGCTGCACCTCCCAAACGTTTGACCTTGTCGATTCCATCAGCAATGTCTTGCTGCATCGCTAAGCGGTGGCCGCAAGTCAACATTGTCACAGCCAGGATTATCCTCTCACTTCGGCTCAACCGGGTCACAAGTCACCCTCCATCCATCTCACGCCTTCCGGCTGCGCCTCCGAGTCTCCTGGCCGCATGGCTCATGGCTCATGGCTCATGGCTCATGGCTTCCTGGGGTCGTCGGCCCGGTTCTTTCTCGCTCGCCTCCGCTTGTCCCTTACCAAAATATATCCTACACATGCTACACATGTTGCACTGTCGTCACGCCAACAGGCCTTGTGAGCATAGATCTGCCTCGTGTGCTCTCCAGTAAAGCTCCAGCCACCCGGGAGGGTTGGAGTAGCGAGGGTTACAAACAAACAGGGGGTAATGATAAATGTATATGAGTGAGCTGAGTGAGGGGCGGAGAGAGTGAGCAATGGAGCAATGAGCGACTAAGGGGTTCGCTGACGAGTTGACGAGGTGGCTAGTCGAAAGGTACGTACAGCGAGGGTAAAGAGGGGACAGGGAGGGGGGAGGTGGGATGAGTCAGGGTAGCGGTGTATGAGGGGAGTGAGATAAGGGTTTAAAGAAGGCACGTACATCTGCACTCCTTTGCATGGTACCTCACTGTACCCGAGCCCAAAGCCATTCTCCTCTCCTCTCTTCTCTTTCCCCTCTCCGCCTCTCCTCCGCCTCCTCCGCCTCCTCCGCCTCCTCCGCCTCCTCCGCGTCTCCCCTCCGCTGGCCGCTAGTTTGGGCAGCTGGGCTCTCCCAGAGTTCATCATCACGCATATGTCCTATGATCCTATAGACCTAGACCAACCCGGGCCGAGCTAGAACATGTCAAAGAGCCCGCGTCTCCTAGATCTCCTGGGTTTGCCGACATCTCCCCTCGTTTCCACTCTTTCAAACCTCTCTACTCGTACTTTTATCCACTCCAGCTGGCCCTGCTCCTCCGTTGCCCGTCCCCGTCCCCCGCCTCGTTTACGCGTGTAAGTCGTCTCTTTCCTCTGCGCCCACGCCCTACAAATCATCCCCTTTCCCCCACCCCACCCAACATCAAGCAGCGAGCAACAGGGCTGACAGCCTCGTGCAGGTCATCAGGTCCCGAATACAACCCAAGCGCGTGCCATCGGGCCGTAACGTCAACTGTCGTAACCTCTCTCCCTCTCCCTCTCGCTCTCCGGCTCCTCCTGCCAACCTCAAAGTAGACGGGATTGACAAAGTCGCGCTCTGAGAGCAGCCCAGCAAGTGCAAGCAAGTTTCCAGGCACCTAAGCCGTGCATCCGCTTCGACGTCTCGGCCCTGTCAGCCCCTGCCCCGACATTGTATATTCCATTACTTCTCTTACTCAGCTCTCCTCGGTCGTCTGCCCACGATCGGCCTTGATCCATCCACCCACCCACACACACACACGCGCGCCCATCAACTCCACAAACTCCCTCTTTAACAAACAACACGCAGCGCCGCTTCTGTTGTATTATAGACTGTTTGCGCGCGTCTCTGGCAGCCTGGCATAGCAGCTAGCAGCTAGCAGCTAGAAGCTAGTTGCAAGCAGCAGCCTGCAGCTAGACGAACCCTATCCAACCCAATCTTCGTTCTACGCCCTTGGTGCCCTTGGAGGCTCGGCCACTGCCCCGCGTCCCCTGACAATCACCAACTTTGTCGCTGTTATCCTCTCGGCCTTTCCATCGCCCCCGCCTCAATCTTCATTTCCCTTCGCCTGGCCGGCCCTGGACTAGACCGCCGCACATCACCGCGCCTCTCCCTCACCATTCCCTCGCCCACAACACACCTCACCACCCCGTCATTTCTTTCTCTCTTTCGCTTTCTTCCATTCCACTCCTCTTCGTCTCTCTCTCGCTCCGATCTCTCTCTCTCTCGCGCGCCCTCTCTCTCGCGCGCCCTCTCTCTCTCTCTCTCCCTCTCTCCCATACACGATACCTCCAATACACGATCCCCCACCTCCTCCTTGCTTGCCTCTCTCGGCCACTTGCATCTCACCTACCCGACTTTCGCTATCCTTCCGTCCTTCGTTCACCCCCGCGCGCGCTGCAACACTTTTCAGTCTCCCAACCTTTGCACGACAATTCCTTGTCAACCTGTACACGCAAACTCGACAGCTGCAGACCCGGCCCGAGACGAACAAGGTCGCGCTGTCTTCCCTTAGTGTGGTCATTGTTAGTGCCATCCACCCGCCGCCGCCGCCGCCGCCGCCGCCGCCGGACCGCCGAGGCAATCAAAGCCGAACGGATCCTACGCAGAGTACCAATCCCCCCTTGTCGGCTCTCGGCAGTCGCCCTTGCTTTTGGCTCTCGACCTGTCACTCTGGGCCCTATTACCACTATCCACAACTCAACTCTTCCGCACCTGTCTCACTTTCCCTCAACCACTTCACCCTGGCTTCTAGACCTGCACCTGGGCCGGCCCCTACCTCGACCTGACACCCTCCTCCATCCCCCCCTTCCATCCCTCCATCCCTCTACCCTCTTTACCACTCGCACTCTCAACTGCCAACTTCAAACACTCCTCCTCCTCCTCCCTCTCATTCATTCGATCATCATCATCTCTCCTCTCGTCATCACCCCTCCATCCCGCTCCACTTAGCATCCACGTATCTCTGTTCAGTCGCATATCTCAACTCTCCCAATCTGCCGCGTTAACCACATCCCTCGCCTCGCGCGTTCCTCGACCTTCGAACCTTACTCCTCTTCTTCTTTCTCTCTCTCTCCCTCCCCTCCCCTCCCCTCCCCTCCCCTCCACTCCTCTCTCCTCTCGGCTGTGGTGCCATCAGTTGATGCTCTGCCGTGGCACCGATTTTCTGATCAAGGCTTCACCAGGCCACACTTCCTCGGCGACTGCCGCCTTCGACTATCCATTATAACAGCGCAACGACCCTGCCACACCTGCCACAGCCGCCGCGCCCTTGACGTCCCGAGCGTGCGGGACCGCTCTTCCATCTCAACTCTTCATCTACTGCCACCACACGACTGGCACGAGCGCGACCTGTTCCCGTCCGCCTCTACCATGAGTAACCGCCCAGCTCTAGGGCGAGGTTCGTCATGGTTTGACGGCCCGGGAGCGCGTCCCATCCTCGGAGAATCTGGACCTTCGACCGCCGCTACTCATGCATCACCGCGTCACGATGATCCTTCTTACGGAGGCAGTACTGGTGGCGGGGAAGGTTACGAATCCCATCAGCCGCGCGTGGTTGGAAGCGGATCCTCAGGCGCACCTCAGCCCTCGCATTCGGCGCCCGCTCAACCGGTCATCCGGCGAGTCGGAAACAAGGCAAATGTTTCGAGCGCATGCGGGCCTTGCAAGCGAGCCCATCTTGCATGTGATCCTGCCCGTCCATGCAAACGCTGCGTCAACATCGGCAAGGAAGATCAGTGCGAGGATGTACCAGTAAGTCTGTGGCAGGCCCAACATTGAAACATTTGATCTAACATTTTCAGCACAAGAAGCGAGGAAGGCCAAAAGTGAATAAAACACCAAGTATTGACCCCTACGCACGGCCGGTGCCGCGTCCAGCCCCTCCTCCATCTGCCTCTGTCGAAGACAGAAAGTGGAGACCTTCTTCAGGATATGATTCGCCGTATACCACAACTTCCCCACCGGTGCAGCTAGGCGCCCTCGCGCCACGCATGCCCTCCCCTCCCCCTCGAGCACCTATGGTAGGACCACCAGGCCCATACGAGTCGGCGTCAGCGAGCCCATACTCTGCACCTCCGTCTGGCCCGGCCTCCGCCCCTCCGACCGCTCACTCGTCCGCCCACGGCCAGTACGATGACAGACCGCAGCCGACTTTTACGCTCTTCTGCTCAACTGACCTCAAAATTCTGCGCGCCACGGCCGATTGTTATAGATTCCTGGGCTTTCATGCGCACGAGCTTCTCAACCTAGATCTCCTTCGCTGGATCCATCCGGCAGATCAACACCTAATCAACCAGGACCGCGATCAGCTGTTGAACGTATCGTATCTGCCGACTTCACCGCACACTAGCCGTGAGACTCATGTGGCGATTGTGACAGCCAACGAGCACGAACTCAAGTCACCTGCCGCTGGGATGGTGGACCCGTACCCGAACCAAACGGTGCGCATGTTCCACGGGGACGGGGGGCTCTATCCGTTCAACATTCGCATGCACCTTGGAGGAGGCCTCGGGGGAAGTCTATGGCAGCAGGAAACACTGGGCAGGATTTATCTCGTGGTCTCTTGCCTTCCTGTGCCATCAGAAGCTGTACACGACCCACAGGGGCGTAGACCATCCCAGTATCCAGCAGGTGCGGCCCCGCCACCAACAGCAGGTGGCCTTCCCTCGTTCTCTTCTATTGCTGCAGCCGCAGACGCCCCAGGAAGCTCGACATACCACCGTCCACTTTCAGCTCACGGGCCTGGAGGCTCGTACTATTCGAGGCCGTCGACTTCATCCTCAGCCCCCTACCCACCTGGTCCAACAGGACCGAGTTTGAGCCCCCGTGCGCCCTCGCCAGGCGGACCTGGGGCCTATTCTCGATACCACAGCTATCCGCCACCCCATCCTCATCCTGGGGGATTCTACATGCCACCCGGTAGTAGCTCATACGATCGACGGCCCGACACCCATCCTGATGAGTGGCGGCGTCATGGGCAGCCCTTACCGTCGCCTAGCGCACCTGGCAGTGCGCCACCCTTGCCCGACTACCGTCGCGGCTGGGACCGGCAGTAAAAGCACGGCGTTGCCTAGCTTTGAGGCAATGCATGCACTTCTTAGCTCAGCGTGCACCACGCCCATCCCCTGCAATTTTCGCTAGTATTCTTTAGGGCATAGCATTATTTTGTTCTTCTCTGTGCTTGGTAAATGATTAGATGTATTAGCAGTAAGTCGCCTTTCTGGAGAAACCTTTACTCGCGCACGCTTGTCCTCCTATTACGTGTCTCGTCTCTCAACTATGGCTACCGCCATTCACTTGCTCTCGTGTCGGTATTCGTGACCCAGCGACCGCCCAGTCGTGGCGGAAGACAGCGTGCCGTCTATGCACGGTCCGCAGTCCGAACCCATCCGCTTGCATTTCCCCAAACTTTGGTCGCCGTTACTCCCCGATTCCCGATGATCCCTGTCTCGCACACTTTTCCACAATGCCAACCTCCCTATCACTCTCGATCTCGCATTCAGTCGCCCCCTTTACATCTGGCTGCGCCTGGGGCTGGCACTGGCACTCACGTAGACCCCGGCATTGCGACGCAGTGCTGCAGGGCAGGAGCAGCGCAGCTCGAAACTTTTCTGACCCTATACCCTACACTTCATGAACAGAAGCTCTCCGCACAAAAACTCCGCCGCACCGCATTCACGCAGGACGCGGAGACACTGCTCGTACCGTCGCTCCCCCCCATGCACTGAGGCCGCCACTCACCGGACCGGAGTGGCGGTCGGAGCCAAGTTCTGGTTCCGACCCGTCTCCTCCGTGATGTGATCGACGCGCGTCTTCAGCAACATGGGGCTTCGACTGCCTAGTTGCTCCCTAACATTCTACAATTCCAGGGAGCATTACTCTCTGCTGATCGGCGAGAGCATGCATTCCCTCCTAGCCTGCGGTATGTGGCGGTCGGGGTTCTCCCCGCCCCTTGTTCTCTCTTCTGTCGTCTGTGCCCACACAATATATGCAACTCACAGTCGTCCAAATGATGGCGATATCTTACGTTTCAAGCTCTAGGCGCCCTGACTAACCGCTGGCCTTGCTGTGGCGCGCGAGGAGTGCCTTCCAGAGCCCAGCTTTTGAACGAACCAGCTCAATGCCTCGGCGGTCCGACCAGCGACGTCCTCTCCGGGATTCACACGACGCTCTACCTCTGCGGTCGTCGCAAGGAACAGCAGTTTTAGCGCCACATGCGCTCAATCGCCTCCGCCCCACTGCCCCAGCCTCTCCCGATCACCGCGAATGCCTCAAGCCTCCCGCATGCCCCGGTTCACGGCGGAGGCCACGCGGCGCCAGCGTCATCAGCTCTCCGACGACCACGCGTGTCGGCGTCTCGAGCCGTCAACAACCGCCGGGCGCTACGTCCCAAAACCCCGTGGCGGCACCACCACTCTCCGATGGCGGAGAGTTTGGGTGCATTCCCAGTCCATCTCTGATCGGCCAGGCACTGCCTCCGCCAACCAGCGGCCGCGTCATGCGCCACTGCCACATAATAATCTACGTGGCGGAGATGACCGTGCTGTGCTTGTCGCACGGTTCCGCACGCATGTCGCAGCTGACGCTCGCACATGCCGGTTCCTGCGGCAAGCGCGTATACTGTAATGGAGCAATACACGATACCCCATGTCTCACTCTGATCGCAATCACCGAATCCGTGGCGCAGCATTCATCAAAACGCGCCTAGCGCAATACAGTCATGGTATTGTTATCATGCACAATTGGGCACATCCTCCGGAATCTCCGGCTGGCGTCGGCTCGTGTCCTGCCGCGAGAGCCGCGGCCGGTGTCGAACACGAGCTCACCAGACCGTCCCCTGATCTATTATCCCAGGCCCCAGGACGCGAGGGCATGTGAGACACCGGAGAGAATGTGACTCGCCTGAGACAGTGCGGCATGCAACGCCCATCACACCGCCTGGGTCCTCCGAGCTCCGAGGATCCGACGTCCCGAGCGGTTTGTGCCGCCCTCGACGCACTCGTGCCGCCAGGGAGTGTGTCGCGACCACTACCTCCCACCTTTACATTCACTCAGGTGATCGATCACGAGTGACGGCCCTGCTTGGTTGTACCGGTGAGCGCGAGGAACGACAAAGGCAGGCCACCGCATGTTGCGTAGCTGTCCCACTAACACAGGATCTCATTTGGATCCGGGACGCCGAGGAGATCTGGATGGGGAACCCACGACGGCGTTGGGATAAACCAAGCAGGACGGAGCGGAAAGCAGCGGATGCACATGGCAAGCCGATGACAGTCCACATGTCCGGGCGAGTCACCGAACTCGTATCGTCCGCATTGAATTGGGCTGCGGGAGGCAAAGGTATTTGTACTTGGCCTCCCCGCACCGTATTCAGCTGTTGGGAATAGAGCATCGCAGGCGCAGCTCCACGGGCGACTCCCTCACATATCGCCGTAATAGCTGGCCGCAGGGTGTCTGCGATTACCCCTACCGTCCGCTACATGTTCCCTTGGACCGCACACGGGATGCAGTGAATCGAATGGGATACCACGGCCGGCGTGCGATGGGATCTTGCCAAGACGATCTTCATGATAGTGGCGCCACACTGCCCGAGAAGTGGCGCGTCGCAGAGAAGGACCTGTTGGCAGCCTGGTGCAGAAAACCCGTCGAAACCAGGGCTTATCGCTAATTATGAAGCGTGCAGGGCAGCATGGACCATACTTCCCTTGCTTCGTTGTGGGCGCATCACCGTCACACAGTTTATCTCGGACATGTCAACGTCCGATCGAATGATCCTGCCGTCACACTCGAAGGGGTCCTCCATTTCCTGGTCAGAACAACACTCTGCCGCAAGCCGAACCTACCGGCATAAACGCCGGGAATGTGTGGCACCCCGTCTGCCATGTCTTGTCGGATGGGCAGGCATGCGAAGGCCTGCGGCGTAGAGCCCGAGGTTTCTCCGGGAGGCGCGGCGCGGCGATGACGTCCAGAGACAGGATAATGCGACCGAGAACAGCGAACTCGTCGCCGAATTCCGGGTATGCCCGGCCGGGAACGACATTTGAGACGATCTGATTGAGCGTTCGAGCTCCTCAACTGATTCAAATGTTCGTAGACGCTCACGACAGCTGACGGATCGACGATCTGTGTAAAAATCTACCAAGCGCATGGCCGCGAGCAGCAACCACTAAACATAGTTCTTCACAGATATATGCATGTCCTCACGGGACGACTGCGAGCAGCCCGCTGATGCCACCTACAAGACCAGTCTGTAATAATCTCGGGATGACCAGGTGTAATGGTCTATACCCTCGAGGTTGTGTACGCCGACAACTATGAATACGTACATAGTACGACTTCTACCACCAGCTACACCTCCGTCACGGCCCTGTTTGCCTAAACATACTGACCCGGGACTGGCGTGGCAGAAGGCGTGGGCGTGCCAGCAGGGGCGATCTCGCCCGCAGTAAGAACCTGAGATGCGTCCTCCTGCGATATCAGCTGAGTTCCATCAGGTGCCACGTGTCGGAGCGACAGCCAATGCAGCGACTTGAGGCGTATCTGCCTGCATGTGCAAAGCGACACTCACCTTCTCGGCCTCCTCCTTGAATGCAGCGACCTCTCTGCGCAGGCGCTCGCGCTCTTCCTCCGGCATGCCGCCCATGCTCTGATGCCGTTCGCTCTGAAGCTGTAGCCGGTTGACCATCATCATACCCAGAACTGCACGGCGAACTGGAGTGAGCAATGCCAAAACTCGCGGGCTTACGAGTCTTCTTGGCGTCGAAGGCCTTCTTGACGTTCGGCAGTAGATTGACGCTTTCGCCGGACGGCTTCTCGGGGTCCTGGACGAAGGGAGCATCCTCCGACTTGAGCCAGGGGTGGGAGAGGAGACCAGCCGCCGTTGGACGGTTCACGGGGTCGACGGTAAGACAAGCGCGCACAAAGGACTTGGCCGTCTCCGACACCCCGGCCCAGTACTCGGCCGGCGCGAACTTGTAATCACCGTTGCAGATGGCCTGCATTTCCTGGTATTGAGACTCGCGGTCGAAAGGCGTGTAGCCGCAGAGGAGGAAGTAGCTGGGGTCAGCAAACTTGCTGCTTCACGCGGGCGCAGCGTAGAGTCGAGCCCTCAAGATAGGCCGCGCCACTCCGAACGGAGAACATTGCCCGTTTGTTTCATTCGGGCCTGCGCCCGCAATGCAGGCGCGGAGTACAGGCGCGTACTCGATCTTGGCCGGACTGGGCACCCACTCACGTAATTACACCGATGGCCCAAATGTCGACAGGTTTGCCGTGCCCGGCCTTCTTGAAGATCTCCGGCGCCATGTACCCAGGCGTCTCAAGTCAGCGGTACCGAGGTTGGCCAACTCACTCCACATGTCGTGGTAAGGATCGAGAAGTTCTCCTCATCGAGGACCTTGGACAGCTGGGACGTCAGATCTCCTCCAGGCTCTGCGTGCATGTCACGTACACCGAAGTCGGCAAGCATGAGGTCTGCATCCTCCGCCTTGGACTTGAAGAGGATATTCTCAGGTTTCAAATCTGAGGAAGGTTAGAATCTGTCTGTCTCTGATCGGCGAGGGTCTCACCGCGGTGCACGATCCCCTGGTCGTGGAGGTACTTAACGGCAGACACAATGGTGCGCACAATGTTGGCGGCGTCCCTGTACGTTAGCAGCGCACCTCCGTGCCAGAGCAACATACTTCTCGTAGTAGCTGCCGCGAGCACAGATGCGATCAAAGAGCTCGCCGCCGGTGCACAAGTCGAAAACAAGCTGGATCGACGTCAGCGGCGAAAGCCCGAGCGCTGCTGCGGAAAGGAATGATGTGCGATGCATCGCTCGTGCCTCCCTTTGCGACTCACGTAGAGGTTGTGCGTCGTCTCGAAGAAATCATGCAGCTGGACGATGTTGGGGTGGCCTTCCGAGACCTTCTTGAGGATCTTGATCTCGTTGCGGACCTACGAGGTTAGAGGCTTGCCATGCGCGGTGCAAGACGAGATCTCCAAGGCCACGTACCATGTGCTCGCGCCCCTGTCGCGTCAGCGTTCATCCTGCTCAGTCAAGGCGAACATACGGTAAGGAACTTCTTGTTTAGGACCTTGCACGCATAATACTTGCCCGTCTGCACGAGTCAGCGGAGGTCCATCAGGAAGGTCACCTTGATGTGCACACATTCCTTGACGACGGCACTGAGGTCAGTAAGCGCGCACATCGCGGCGGCGCCGCGCGACGTACTAAGTTCCACTGTAAAGTCAGCATTGGGAAGACGACGGTGTAGTTGGAGTGAGCGACGTACCTGCCCAAAGTCTTGCCGGTCTTGTACTACGTGTGTCAGCAAAGGTTGCGCATGCATGGCCGCCAACGACACGCTCGCACGCGTCGCTCGCAGATGCTTAAACATAGGCGGGGGCTGGGCGAAGCGACTTACCTGGCACGGGACGGTGACGGGCTTTGACATGGTGAACTGTGTCGCGCTTGCAGGTAGCTTGGAGGCGTGTGGGGTAGAACTGGCGTCTGCGGGGAAGACGGGAGGGGACTGGGCGGTAACAACACAGGTATCCGGTGTCGGCGAAGACGTGGAAGTTAGAGGATGTTGAAGGCTGTGGGATGAGGATGAAGAGATTGATGGAGAGATGGATGGAACGAGTCGTGGATGAGCTCGTCGGAATGAAGAGAGAGGAGGTGGGAGATGGGAGAGAGAGACTGGTTGAAGCAATAGGGGGAGGAAGGGTTCCTAAAGGCTAAGAGGGCTAAGACAGTGCTGGTCCTTGGCCTGCATGGCGAGTGCTGCTGGTGCTGACGCAGTGTGAGACCTCTCTGTTACGTAACCAGCGAGGATTGAGGACTTTGTTACCCCTTATAACCCCCTATCGCCTCACCGTACAATCGTATCGTCGTCGTCATTCCCTCCGAAATCCGCCCTGCAAGGCAGTGCAACTCCCTCGCGACCTCCACCCTTTCCCAAACCTCCACCAAACATCGTGGGAAGGCCTTCTCCGCATTTGCTTCCGGCAACAACAAACCGCAATTCAACAACATTCAACTCGACCACCACGCCACCACCTTGCCACCTCCATCCTCACACATGCAAGAACAAGACCAAGTCCCACGCATTACCGTAGAACGTCAAGTTGAATGGCTGCGAGTACAGGAGAATGCCAATGCCGCGCTTTCTCAATCCCTCGAGGACCGCCTGAGCACCCTTCCCCCAATCGAGGCGCGCCGACTGCGACCCAAGCTCGAGGCGGAGCTTAACGCAATCCGAGATCGCATGTGGGAGATGGCCAAGCCAAATTTGCGGGTAAACGGCTTCAACTACGAGGAATACGTGGAAAGTGAGCTAGCGGTTGACGGGTCAACTGACGAAAGCTACGGAGCCGTTCGATGAGGCGCTCGATCGTACTCTCTGGTCGCTCAACTCAGAGCGTGTTAACTGGGTCGGAAAGGTCAACAACAAGCGGCGAACGATCCCAGATCAAACAGCTGGCGTGCTCGAGGATATGGAGGTGCGACGCGACGGGCTAACATGGGCACCCAGCAAGGAGCAGGAGGCCGAGCTTAAACAAGCACTCGAAGGTGGGCAACAAAGTCGACATGGTTCGGCAGCTGATGGGCAGACGCGCAGAAGGAGGTGCGCACGGAGGATTACCCGCCACCACCACGGTACGGCGAGGTGGTAGACACGTTCCATAAGGTCATCGAGAATCTGTCTGAGCTGGTGGAAGTGAGTACGAGGCGGGGCGCGGCTGACTTCAGACGGCACCGAAGCAGTTGGAGCGTGCTGAGCGAGTGCATCAGGTGCGCGACGAGATTTCACGGCTACCAGTCTAGAGTTATAGTTCCGGGGGGGGGCAAGTCTAGGGCGCAAGTGTATCATGGTAGCGATGTACAACTAGTCATCCAGGCTCTTAGGTCGCGGGACAACTAGAACTCGTCGCGCTTGACTCGCTGCTTGGGCTCAAGCACGTTGGCGCCGGTGATGCCGTCCCTCTCACGCAAACTGCGGAGAACGTGTTCACCGTCCCGCTTCCACTCGTTCGACTCAGCCGCGCCGACGACTTCAAACACGTGCTCGCCCTCAAGCTCGCCAACCGGACCGCGGTACTCGAGCTTGACCGGCGAGTCTGAGAGGCGCTCGGACAGTTCTGCGGGGGCGATGTGCGAGGAGATGTGGATGTACGTGTGGCCGGGAAGGATGATGGTGGGGGACATTGCAAGTATGGGGGCCGCGAAGGCAAGGGCGAGGAGGGGGAAGAGTCGTATGATTGCGAGACCGCGGGGGCGGATAAGAAGGGAAGCGAGAGCGATAGGGAGTCGGAAGTGGCCAAGACGAGATGCATTCGGCGTTGAAGCTGGCATCGCACTCGCCACCACAGTGAGCCGGTCTCAATCTCAACGTCATACAGACGGAACCAAATGAGTCGCGTCGCGTGGCCTCCACCCAAGTCACGTGAAGAATTTCTGATTCTGATGCACATCTTTGGTGATCGCAAAGAATCTACACAATAACATCCACAAGAAGAGATGGGCAAGCCTAAGCCAAGCAAGAAGGCCCTAGGGAAACGCAAGGCTCCGCCTGCGCCAGCGGGAAACGTGAGTGAAAGGGGACTGAAGTGAGCTGACCGCAGGCGGCGAAGAAGGCCAAAGGAGCCAAAGTCAGCGCCCTTGATGACGAGCGCGGGCAGGACCGCGGCGGAAGGCCGAAGCGCAAGCCTGATCAGCCGAAGAAGGTCAAGCTGCGTGACCAGAAGCTCATTCCGGTACCGCGGACGGACTACGCCAGTGCGAGCGACGACGAGCTCAGTGACCTAGGCGAGGACGAGGAACTTGAGATTGATGCGGCCGCTGCCTTCTCAAAGCTCGACCCAACCATGCTCTCCCGCACGCGCAAGGAGACGAAACGAATCCATGCGCTCGAGAAAGAGCGCGACGAGATGCCTGTTGCCAGGAAGAAGCGAGCGCCCAGCGTGTCCTCGATCTCGGACATTTCCGACTACGACTTCGACTCCGAGGTTGAACTGAGCGACGAGGATCGGTCGGACGTCGACTTTGGCTCAGAGGGCGGCTCTGATTTGGGCGAAGAAGACGACTCGGACGTGTCGGACCAGGACGGGCTCAACGACGAGTACGATGGCCTGTCTGATCTCAGCTCGGACGAGGAAGAGGAGGACGTGCCGCGGCGCAAGCGACGCGCCAAGTCCGAAGAGGCCGAGTACGAGACGACAGGGCGCGCGCGCTGGGCTAAGAAGGAGGAGGAGGAAGCGGACAGCGTCGAGGTCGGCCGCCTGCCTATCAAGCTGCCGACAGGTGAGGTGCAACTCGTTGAGGGGACGACGCGAGTGGCGCTACCTCCGAGCAAGAAGCCCAAGAAGCCCGAGCCGGAGAGCGAGACGGAGGAGGAAGATGAGAGCGAGTCAGAGGGCTCTGATGACGGGCGTGACGCGGCGCGCATGGCCGCGCAGCCTGGACGCTTTGGACGACTCAACATCGGCGACATCGTCAGCGCGCCGTGGAAGAATGCGCAGCGCTTGGAAGCGGCCAAGGAACAGCTTGCAGCTCTCGGTGCTGAGGCCATGGGAGGCGGTGAGCTGGTCGACATCGCGCCTACTCTGACACGCCTGTCGACGTTCGCCCTTCCCTCGGTGGCCGCTACGGATGGCGAAGGATCGTTGCCCATTCCGAACTCGATTCGTGCACTTGCGTTCCTCTCGCAGCTCGCCGTGTTCAAGGATATCATTCCCGGCTACAGCATCCGACCCCTCACAGCACAAGAAGAGGCCGAGAAGGTCCGTGACGAGGTTCGCCGTCAGCGTGAGGGCGAGAAGATGCTCGTGCGCAACTACAAGAGCTATCTCAGGATGCTCGAGGTGGAGATCAAGCGTGAGTCAGGTTGTGGGTTTACGAGTCGTTGACTGACTGTCAGGCAAGACGCCTCTTTCGCCCGTCGCACTCAAGTGCATGTCCGACCTGCTCTCATCGGTGCCTCACTTCAACTTCTCGAGTGCGATCATGGCGACGCTCGTCGCCCGCCTCGGCAGGCGGTCATGGGATGAGCAGTCTGACTTGATTCTGAGCACATTTGTTAGCGTCTTCAAGCAGGACGTGTCTGCAACATACTCGCAGGCGCTTGTCCGTCTCATTGCGCGCATGATCAAGGAGCGCAAGTTCCAGGTGCATCCAAATGTGCTCTCGTGTCTGCTGCATTTGCGTCTGCGCACCGAGCTCAACCAAATGCAGGACGGCAAGAAAAAGAAGAAGGGCGCCCGACGGCCTGCGGGGCCAGAGAAGAAGTACAAGAGCGAGGTGCGAAAGAAGTGGCAGACCAAGAACCAGCGCAAGAAGGAGAAGGAGATGAAGGAGATCGAGCGCGAGATGGCCGAGGCCGAGGCCGAGGTTGATGAGGAGGAGCGCGCCCAGGTGCAGACCGAGACGCTCAAGAACCTCTTCGTGCTCTACTTTTCGATCCTCAAGTTCCCCGGGAAGAGCGCCCTGCTGCCCGCCGCGCTGGAAGGTCTCTGCCATTTCACACATCTCATCAACATCGACTTCTTCCGCGACCTGCTCCAGGTTCTACGCAAGATAATCGCAGATGGAAAGGCGGAGGAAGACGAGGATCTCGACCCCGTCGGCCAGACGCAGCGTGTGCGCATCCGCATGCTCGGCATCGTCACCGCATTCGACTTGCTGTCGGGGCAGGGTGAGGCGCTGAACATCGACCTCGGCGACTTTGTCAATGAGCTGTACGCACTCCTGCGCCCGCTTGCCCTTGACACGGGCGTCGAGGACCCGCCCCTCCTGACGGCTGCGACCGCCGCTGCGGCAGCACAGCAGAAGAAGGCGGGCGCGGCGCGGGCGACATCGGAACGCCAGCCCGCCCACACGCTGAGTACTTCGGATCTCCTTTTCCGCTGCCTCGAGGCCATTTTCTTCCCACGCTGGGGCCGCACTCCGCCCCTCCGCGCGGCCGCATTCGGCAAGCGGCTATGCGAGTGCGCGCTCACGTTCCCGCCCGCGACGGCGCGCGAAACGCTCGCATTTGTGCGCCGCCTCGCGTCAAAGGAGCCAAAGCTGGCCAACCTTCTTGACACTGAGGAGCGCACCTTTGACGGCGTGTACCGCCCTGAGATCGACGACCCGCAGCTCGCCAATCCCTTCACGTCGAGCCTGTACGAGCTCGAGACGCTTGCTCAGCGCCACTGGGAGCACAAGGTGCGCGCCGAGGCCAAGCGTGTGCGCGACGCCCAGTTTGTGTAATTGCTGCAGGCTGCAGGTTGCGACAGTCGCTCAAAGGTGTTCGCGCCACGGGGCCAGCTGCTCGTGGAAGCGGACTTTGAATGTGCCATCGTGCCATTAGCTTTCATGGGAACAGCTCGGCAACATGATCCCAGGATTTTGGCTTGCGGGACTGAGCGGCCTGACACGGACAAGGCATACGGGTTTTTGGGATGAGAGGGGAAATTGAGGCACAAGCAACGCGTCGATTAAGGGCAGGGGTAGGCGGCGCGGGCGCGACGACAAGGGCAGCCGGGGCAGTACGTAGCATACAGCATGCCGAGCAGCGCTGTGTTGTTTGGACGTGCAGATGGACATGTATGTATCCAAGTACACATGTACGATGCGGATGACTAGATCGCTGAATCGCTGATTCGTACTCGTCATGACCTACAGCCTAAGGGCTTAGAGGCCTAAAGGCTAAAGGGATACAGCGGGCATGATTACCTCAAAGCCCGAAATAATCATTATCGCGCTCTCGGCGTATTCGGCATTTGGCTCTGTGCAATACTCGGGCTGCTGCACAGCTGCACATGCCCTGATGGCTGAGGGGCGCCGTAGGGCGGGGGCACGGCGCGTACGGGCGTCGAGTCGAGAGATCAGATCTTGAGTGTATGAAGCTTGTGGCTCCACTCGGTGGTCTGCTGCGGATCAGATCGTACCGCAGTTCCGCAACGTTGTTTTATATTATACACAGCGACGGATTAGCCAGATCAACGCAGATCGGCACACCCGGCAGGCCGGCAGGATGAAACGGGAGCGGTACACTCGATAAGGCAAATCGAGATGGACCGTGCAGATGGGGTATATGGGGGATATGGGGTGCGCAGCCCTGCGCAGCCGAAGCAATTGAGCAGTGATCGCCCAAATGTTTCAATAAGGCAATGGGAGAGGCGCGTGCGCGCGTGCCATTCACGGGGCCACGGGGGCCGAGGATGACAAGAATAGAGCACACAAGAAGACGTGTTCAGGTCCTCAGGACGCGACTAGGGTGCGTGGCGCGCGCCGCCGACGCGTTCTCTGTCTGTCAGGCGGAACAGGTGACAACTACATCCGCTCCGACGCGCGCATTATTGATCAAACGTCGATTCGCTGAAAAATTGTATTTGGAGGATTAGGTCCATGCCAACCGTCGAGCCGCCATCGAGCGCGTCGAGGCGATGCGCATCGATGCATGCAGCCCAGGCACTCGACGGCCCCTGCACCCTGGAGGCCTCGGTTGGGCTTTGCCATGGGGCCATGTTTACATCTGTGTGATGTGCGTCGCCTGCTCTTGTTGTTGGCCAGTCACAGTGGAGCTGATGCGCGTTGGACATTCGTGGTCCCTATCTATGCTGCGGGACCCTCATTTGGGCGAGGGACCAAACAGTAATCCGCTGGAAATCGTGACCCGTGACCCGTGACGCCCTCAATTGCACAGCCGAATGGCTTTGGGCTGGCGCAAGTTTTATAGTTTGGCAAGCTATCAAGCACGCGGAATGATAGATCGGCAAGTCATTAGCAGAATGACGGTCTGACGATGCGAGCTGTGAGCTGCGAGCTGTGCGGGAGTGCGAATGCGGCTAGATCCGAGAAAGATGTACGAGGAGGTGGAGCAGGCTCGATATGGAGGGCGGGAACGGGTGGCGTGTGGCGTGTGGGCGGTGTGCATGAGTGTACCGAAATACACACCATACAAATCTTGGCCTCTGCTCCCTGGGTGAGCAAGGCGTGTGAGACTCCGGGGATGAGGGGCATGGCGTCCCATCGGCCACCACACACGTCATAGCCCTTGTCGCGGCCTGCTGCAACACCGGGAGCTGGCCCGCAACAAATCAGGGCAGCCAGGGAGGTTTCAAGTTCAAAGAGGTCGATCGCGGCTTTAGTGCCTGTCGTGTTGATCTGAACGCTTCTCTAATCCGCAAAATGCTCTGCTCTGATGCCGCCCTCGTGGCCTCGATACGCCCACCGATCCCTCCTTGGCCTCCTTCGCATGCTTCGCACCTCATCGTCTGCTCGAGATCTCAAGTGCTTCCCTTTTACCCTTTAGCCTCTCCTCTGACCTCGGGTCTCATGCATCTGTCCCCGATCTTCTCACCGTCCCCACCCAACCTTGCCACTCTCCTCGCGCCTTGGGGCCACCCCCAATATCGTCAAGAAGCGCGCTGCATGCGCCGCGCTCGCTCTTCTTGGTCCTTTTCTCCCTCCCCCTCCCCCTCACCCTCCACCCCTCATCCTCGGCCTCCCCCATGCCCCGAGACAGGAGCTCACGTTAGGCCGTATTATTCCTTTATTCCTTTCCAATCCTCTGGTCTTGCCCCCCCCCATTTGGTCCTCACTCTCCCTCCTAATACCTTCTCTAGCCGCGAGACAGCTTGAGACTGCCAGTCTCTCATCCGATCTCTCCTTCATCATCCTCATCCTTCTCTTCATCGCTCCGCACCCCCTCCTTCTCGACGCTTGCTGCACGCACATTAAGCGTGCCGCCGTCATCTCTCCCAGGCCTCTCCCTTCTATCCTGCTTCTTTTCACCCTCCCCACTCCACTCTGAAGACTCGGTTCCACATCGCTCAGGCCTTCCTCCATCGCCGTGAGGCGCGTCTGCCACCATGCTTTGTGCGTCGCCCCACATGACTCCCCTCCTCCGTGCACTCCGCTGACACCTGTGCAGACCTCACCGCGGACAAGTTTCCAGTCTGTAAGTAACAGAACTCTCAGAATATCTTTCTTAGCTCTTGGCTGACCCTACAGTCGTTCCCTTTGGCGTCATCGGGTACGTGCACCACCCCTCCCTTTTTCGACGCCAATTCGGTTGCCAATGGCGATGAAGGCGATGAGGGCGATGAGGGCGACCAGAACAAAGACGACGATGCTGACAGCTAGCTTTTACCGCTACCTGTGGTACTGTATACGATTGATCGCCCGCTACGTGTATCGTCCCATTCCTCTACCGGAAACCCCAACCTGTATGTGCCAGCATCACAACCAACCGCGCTTACACTACAGACCGCGCCGACGAGGATGTCACCATCATCGTGCCCACCATTGACGCTGGCGAGGAGTTTCGTGGTAAGTTTGACGTGTGGGGCTGTGGTCACGCCACAGCCCCAACATGAGGCGCCGGCGGTACGCTGACTTTCCCCAGAAGCAGCGCTTTCGTGGCTCGTGGGAAATCCCAAGGAGATCATCATCGTTACCGAGGAGAAGATGCTGGCTCCACTCCAGGAGCTTGCCAACAGCGTGGACCCTACACGCATTAGAGTCTTGACTGTTCCATTTGCGAACAAGCGGCTCCAAATGGCCCACGGCATCCGCAATACGACCACCGATATCATCGTGTTCGCTGATGACGACGCTATTTGGCCCCCTCAGCTCCTCCCCTACGTCCTTGCGTGCTTTGAGGATCAGCAGGTCGGAGGAGTAGGTACATCTCAGCGCGTCAAGTCGGTCGGCAAGAAGATGACCGTATGGGAGGTTCTCGCCGGTTTCCGTCTCACAATCCGGAACATCGAAATTGCTTCGGCCACGCACATTGACGGTGGCATCCCTTGTCTCTCAGGTCGTACCGCCGCATACCGCACTGTCATTCTCAAGGACCCTGATTTCCTTCACGGCTTCACCAATGACCTTTGGCTCAACAAATACCACCTCAACTCAGGCGATGACAAGTTCCTCACTCGCTGGATGGTCTCCCACGGCTGGAACACCTATGTCCAGGTCTGCAAGGAGGCTGAGCTGTTGTCGACCATGAAGCCGAACTGGCGTTTCTTGAAGCAAGTTCTCCGCTGGACGCGCAACACCTGGCGTTCCGACTTCCGCTCCGTCTTCACCGAGCGCTACGTCTGGACCAAGCACCCATACGTCTGCTACACGATGATTGACAAGTTCATCAACCCTCTTACTTTGCTTGTCGGCCCAGCACTCGTCTGCTACCTGCTGTACAAGTCGACCAAGCCCATCGACCAGGGCGGTTACCACCTTCCCGCCTGGGACATTGTCGTTTCCTACCTCGTCTGGCTCCTTTGCACGCGTACCTTGAAGGTGCTTCCCCATCTTTGGGACCGCCCTAAGGACATTATCTACGTCCCCGTTTTCATCATTTTCGGATATTACTTGTAAGCTGGGCTCGGCCTGACTCTTCGCTGACGCTTAGCGCAATCATGAAGATATACGCTCTCTTCACCCTCCACAAGACTGGTTGGGGCACTCGCTCGGGTATCGGAGACCCGGCCACCGCTACTACAGCTGCGGAGAACGTCAATGAGAAGGTCCCTCGGCCGGTTGAGCTTGGTGGGCCTGCACCATCGCACTCGCGACCATACGATGTCGAGATGGCGCAGAACGTCAACAACCCATACCGGGCCTAGGATGGCCTATAGACATTGACTTGCACGCATAGATTAGCGTCTCAGACGCCTCCATAGCCTCATAACTGAACATATCATGGACTTTCACGCCATGTACTTTTGCACCTGTATCACACCGAGGGCGCCCTCATGCTACATGCTGTATACATCAGGAGATTGTATTGTCTATGGCCGCTGGAATGCTTGGGTGCTTACACGCTTTACAATTGAACTGTATATTGGTGGTGTACGGAACTCAGCTCTACTGCGGGCCAGGCCATGAAGCGACCATGTCCATAACGCCGCTAAATCGACCGCGCTCTTGCTCCGTTACACCCTCCCCGACCAGCTTGAGGGCGAGGCCAATGACGACAGGGCGGCGCGGAACATGCGCAAGCTGCAGAGCCCACCACACGAGCGTAGCAATTTGAGACACGTACAGGTCGTGAAGTGCGGCATCGGGCGGGCTGCCGAGGAGTGGCGTGAGCGAGATGCTGGCGGGTGGGGGCGGCAGGGCTGCGAGCGGGGCGTCGCTGGGGCAGCTCGATGGCGGGGGCAGCAGCTGGTGCACGGGTGGAAGGGAGGCTTGCGTCTGTCATTAGCTGCTTGCGTGCATAATGCGTGATAGAGTGAGGGCTCACAAGACACCCGACCTTGCCGCTCTGCGTTACAATCACGAGGATGCGGTCGTCGAAGGTCTGCACGAGTAACTCGGTGGCGCGTCCGCCGATTTGGCGCCGCTGCGAGAACGTCTGGATCAAAGCTGGCGGCGCAGCGGGCAGCTGCTGGGGCGGGGGGGCCTCGTACGACTCTTCAAGAAGGGACATGTTGTGTTGATAGTTGGATGTTCTTCGACTACCTCCACTTGTAATCGCATACCGCCGTCATTCTCCTCCGCTCACGTGTCGTCACCTCCACTTTCGATGACCTTCCTCCACACATAACTACAACCACAACATCATCATGACCGATGCCGACGCGCTGCGCGACCTGCGCGACGCGCTGCGGGCTGGAGTGGAGAGTCTTGATGACTTTGTCTTCCGTCTCTCCTCGGCTCTCGGTGAGCTCGGCATCTCACCCTCTGGCATCTCCATGAGCATCTCCCAAACCGACACCAAGGCCCTCCGCTACCTTCCAGCAGTGCAGGCAGCGCTGCTCTCCGTCCTTCCAACCTTCCTCTCCGCCCTCGACGCTCGCGGGCGTGCGCTCCTCGATGCTTTCTTTGTCCCGCCTCCCTCACCCATCTGCAACGCCGTTGTCCTCACATCGTACATGACCCTCTCGTCTTCGCTCTCCGCGTCGCCTCCTACCCCGCTGCCGGCAGAAAGCCGGGCCTTTGTTCTCGAGACACTGACAAAGCTTACCACGGCCTATGGGATCGACGCACTATTTTGGGCGGCACGAGGGGAGCTGGCATGGGACGACGCCGTGCGCGCCGCGACCTCAATTCCAGCAAAGGTCGCGAATGCTATCGGCCGTTGGCGTGACGCCGGTTGGACCATTGATGTCCCCCCGTCCCTCGTCCCGCGGGCATACTTTGACGCCCTGGTCGTCCGGGTAGAGAAGCTCGCTTATGAGTTCGCGCTCAGTGGCAAGGATGCCTCTCCTCTGCGCGTGCTCCTTGAAAAGCTCGCGGCCCTCGGCCTGCTCTCCCCGCCCCCAGAGCCGAGTCCTTCCCCCTCACTACTGCCCCCCTTCCTCCCCGGCGCTCTGGCCCATCTCCACCCTCCTCCCGGCGCGCTCGATGCGTACCCCGGCACATTCTTCCCCTCTCTCCTTCTCCCGCTTCCTTCTTCCACCGTTGGTGCGCTCGCCGACGCCCTCCTCGCTCACCTTCCTTACCGCCTCGCTCCTCCACCACTGGAGCCAGACATTGCGGACGGGAGGATACGTCGTGCAGCTTCCGTGTTGCACAGCTTCCTAGGTTCAGCGGACGGCGAGGCGCGCACGGCGGTTGTGCACGCCCTGCTCCACGGCAAATTGCGATCGAGCCTCAGCGATGAGGAGCAGCATGCCCGCCGACGCATGGTTGTAGCCTGGGTCGGGGATGCGGGGCTTGCGGGTGAGCTGCAGACGCTGAAGTGAGCTAATCCCAGCCGCTCGAGCGCTTGTTGACGTCGCCATGGGCGCATGGGCAGACTTGAAAGGCATCAAGTTCGGCCTCTTCGCGCCACAGTTCAGTGAGCTTGAAGCGCCTCACTCAAGCTTACACAGACCTCACACATACACTCCTCCTGGCAGTTTCACTGCTGCCGCCGCTTGACCCGCACCTCGTGGCGCTTTCCCATCGAGCCAAGTTTATCCAAGCTGTGCAGGCATACCTCTTCCACCCAGACGCCAAAATCCGGCGCTTGGGTATGCTTGTCGCTGAGGTTGTGAGCGACAGGACAATCATCGAGGACGCAGAAGCAGGGCCCAACGCTGAAGAGGAGATGGAAGATCTAAGGGCGGGTCTGGAAGTCGATGAGGAGACGGGCGAGCCGGCTCTCAAGCCCCCGAAGCCACCGCGAGGAGCAAAGAAGCTCAAGTTTAGTGGTATCTGGGATGGCACGGGGCAGGGTCAGGAGGAGTGTGCGTGGCTGCGCCGATGTGTCGGCGTGCGTGACGGAGACGCCCCGTTAAGCGACGATCCAGAAGCCTGGCTACTGGGCTGGACCGCACAGCCGGACGTGCAACCAGCATCACAAGAGCACTCAGCCCCACCAAAACAAGAGCGCGGACGTACCTCCAAATCTAAGGCGGCGCCCAAAGCGAAGCCCAAGATCGTTATGCTCGACGACGATCAAGCTGCCGACCAACTTGAGGGCTACGCGTCATCGCCTGCCTCTTCTCGCTCGCCGTCACCGACACCCTCCTTCCTCGAGGAGGTTGCAGCCGACCCCAGCCTCGCTATTGACGCCACTAAGAAGCGCAGACTGAAGCGTCCCGTTTACGTCCGCCAGCTCACGGAGCTGCTGCGCGACAAGGACAAGCCCGAATCAATTGAGCTCGCGCTCCAGTGGGGTGAGGGGCTCGTGCGCGCCAAACGAGGCTTCGGCACAGAGGTAGCAGACAATGCTGTGGCGGTGGCGGCGTCGGCACTGGCACTCGCTGATCCTTACAACCTCGACGACTTCGAGTCTCGGCGACAAGGCCTCGTGACAGCGCTGGTGGCGTGCTCCCCGCGCAACGTACCTCCGTGAGTTTTGCTCTGTAAACTGGGAGCTGACAGCAGTTTCCTTGCAGAGCAGTATTTCTCGACAAGCTACTCCCTCCTTCAAAAGTCGGTGATGCTGACCGCATTGGCGATGGGCGCGCGAGAGCTTGCAGGTCTGCCCGTGCCAGATGCACCGAGGGCTCGCGCGATCGACTTTGCATCGAAGACTCTCCCACCGGGTCTGCACGAGAAGTATATCACCCCAGCCGACTACACATACGCTGGCCAGCTCGAAAACGCCGTCAGCGGGATGCGAAATCTCCTGCTGACGAAGGGCGCGAAGAAGGGCGAGGAGACTGTGCCCGAGCTTGCCAGGGAGAAGCGTCTGCGAGTCACGCCTAAGCGGCAGAAGGTGGTTGGAGGAAGTCTCATCGCCGGTCGAGGGGAGCCAGGTCATGAACATGCCGGGGATCAGCCCCCACCTGTGGTCGCGTACAGCACCGTCGCAGCAGAGTACTTCGTCCTCCCCCTAATCAACTGCTTCTGGAACTACTACCAGGATGCGAGCGTGCGTGAGACACGTGCGCTTTCAACAGGCAGCCGCTTCCGCGGCGCGGGGACTGGCATGGCGCTCTCGCCGCTGTCTCTTGAGAAGCTCCTCGCGACCCTCGCCCTTCTGGTCCATGCAGCACGCCACGCGCCGACATTCCTGGCTGTGCTGGCGCCGAGCGCAATCGAGCTGGCCGTCACCATCGGCGCACGACACCCCGCCGCTCCCAAGGACATCATGTCATCCGAGCCTCAAGAGGGGGACGACGCGCCAGAGGCGCAAGTCGTCGGCGCGGCGCTCGAGTTGGCGCTTGCTGCCCTCGACACAGCGGTGGAGCTGGATGGCGGGCGTACGATGGCATTGGATCATCCCGAGCTCGTCCTCGCCACAGGCGAGTGGGCGAGTGCTGTCTTCGAAGCACACAGCGGCGGCACGATCGTTGCAGGAGTAGGAAGCAAGGGCGGGCGCTTGCGTGCCGCGGCTGCAGGCGTGGTTGTCAAGGTGTCAGAGGTGGGAGAGAAGTGGGGCGGTGTTGCGATGGGGAGGTGAGACGCTGTAGACATGCAAGCACAGTGCATGCGTGCACAAGTGAATGGCAGTGACATTTTGACGAGGGCGAAGTCCGATCTCGGGGCAGCTGTGCCGATTGGACCTGATTCTCGCCGTCTCCCTTTCACCGACTCTTGTGGCGCTCGACTGTCGGGTGACGATCCTGCATGTTTGCTAGCATCTCCTACACCTGAGTCTGGAGTCATAGACGTAGCGCGGCTCAGCGGCTAAACTCGGCTTATAGAGGTTACCAGCGGGGACGCGGGCTAGTGGCGGATGATGAAGGCGGGCAGTGCCATGCATCTTCAGCAGGAGCCGGAGCCTGTCAATACCTTTATCAGCCCGCTGCATCCGCCCCGGTCGGCGTCCGCTGACCGGGAAGGGCCGCCTCCGTGCTTGGCCGTACGGTGTGCGGCACATGCAGTCAGTCCTGGTGTAAGCTTCATCGATAACTAGTGCTGCACCCTTCATTGAAATTGTGATCATGCTCGGCGCCGGGCCGGAGCCGTGAAGCAGTGCGGCACGGTCATTGCAGGCTCCTGACGGCCCAGTCAGTTGGGACCGACACTCAGCCGACGAGCTCCGCCAGGCCGTTCTGGACGCCCTTTGCGCATCGGAGATCGGAGACCTGCAGATCTTCCATGTGTGCATTCGCACTGCGCAGGACGCTGGCACATGGTTGGTACGCCCCTCCTTTGACAGCGCCTCTCACCTCCCCTCAACCTCCGGTGACTTCGGCTCCTCGCTGACAACAAAAGAGAACGCTCTGATGTTTCTATCGCCACCAAGTCTCGATCTTGGGACCTCGAGGTGTCGTATGGAACTACCCATATGAGCCTCGCGCTCTTCCACTAAGCTATAGCGATGATTGAGCTGTTGACGGGGGCCGAATACTTCTGAAAAGAGGGTGCACTGTGCATAGTAATTGGATCTTCTGATTGTCGATTACGAAAATTTCAATGGAGCACAAACGGCACAATTGCGAGGCGACGTGCTTTACGGTGACACCAGTTGACAACTCGACATCTGGTTAATTCGATCGTGTGAAGAGGATGGGGGTTTGAATGCCACCTTTGATAACCTCTCATGACACAGGTAACGGGGAACGAGAGACGCGCGATGGCGGTGAGGAGCTGCTTCCGCAATCCGTGAGAGGATGTTAGAGGACAGTTTCGTGCTAATTGTCAAGAGCACGGTTAGCTATCAAGCTCATCTCAGAGAGGTCTCGGTGCTGTTGGTTAGCGGAGAGACAGCAAGCAAAACTGCGTACGGCCAGATCCGTCAGTACATGCTTGGACGCTCTCACACTTGGGTGGCAATTCGAGGTCAGGAGAATGTTGAAGCGGGCTTGCGGCCATCTCCGTTTTCCTCCATGAAAGTCGGATCGGCGCCGTTCCGATGTGTACACTTGCAATCGCCATCTCCCCCTACCACCATGAGGCAACTCCGCGCAGCGACCCGCGCGCTGCAAGTTTCACGGAGGTCGCTTATAGCGCGTCCTCTTCTACCGGGTCTCCTCGCGGCGCGTGTCCACGCGTCATGGCACCCTCGTTCCGCGCCCGGCCTTGTACGACCCATCGCCCGCAACTTCGCGACCACTGCACCAGCGCGAGCGGGGCAGGATGGCAAGTCGCGCGTCATCGACATGGATGAATTTCCACCAGAGCGTATCCGAAACCTGAGCATTATTGCGCACATCGACCACGGGAAGAGCACGCTCGCCGACCGCCTGCTCCAAATGACCGACACCCTTCCACAGGAAGCCAATGCGCAGTTCCTCGACAAGCTGAAGGTCGAGCGCGAGCGCGGTATTACAGTCAAGGCGCAGACCGTGTCGATTATTCACACGCACACGGATGGCAACAAGTATCTCATCAACCTGATCGACACGCCAGGCCATGTCGATTTCAGTTACGAGGTGTCGCGATCACTTGGGGCGTGCGAGGGTGGCCTTCTACTGGTGGACTGCACACGTGAGCTCTAGCCACTGTTATGGCTGACGATTACAGAGGGTATCCAGGCGCAGACGCTGAGCGTCTTCCACCACGCCGTCGATGCCAACCTTAAGCTCTTGCCAGTCATCAACAAGGTTGATCTGCAGCATGCCTCGCCTGAGGAGACCAAAGAGCAGATCGCGCAGACATTCGGCCTGCCCATCGAAGATTGCATGCCAATCAGCGCAAAGAGCGGCTTAGGTGTCGACACTGTTCTGCGCCAGATCGTGGACGGTCTTCCGCCTCCCAAATGGGATGGGGACGGCAAACTTCGCGCGCTTGTGTTCGACACATTCTACGATCGCTTCCGCGGTGTTGTTTCGCTTGTCCGCATCAAGTCGGGATCAGTGAAGAAGGGCGACAAGGTCAGATTCCTCCAGGCAGGGAAGAAGTACGAGGTCCTCGAGGTTGGCATCTACAATCCCGAAGAGGTGTCCGTTGGCGCACTGAAGGAGGGTCAGGTCGGGTACCTCATTTGCAACATGAAGAACTCGGAGGAGGGTAAGTTTGTGCTTGTGGAGAGAGCTGACGGCAGCGCATATTGGCGATACAGTGTGTCTCCTCAACGAGCCCACAGATCCGCTTCCCGGCTTTCAGCCCATGAAGGCGATGGTGAGTGAATCTCCTACCTTGCAGTTGACCTCAGGTGTACGCTGGCGTTTTCCCAATGGACAACAGCGATTTCCCCCAACTCGAGGAGTCGATTGAGCGGCTGACGCTGAATGACAGAAGTGGTAGGCTGAGCATTGCGTCGAAGGTTAATTTCCAGTCTCCGTTGAACGGGAGTCGTCTGCGGCCCTTGGGCAAGGATTTCGCCTCGGATTTCTGGGTACGCTCCACATGGATGTCTTGTGAGTCGTTGATGGCCGTAATATCCTGCTTACGCTAGCCGGCAGCGCCTCGAGGACGAGTACTCCTCTAACGTCATCATTACCGCCCCAACTGTGCCTTACAAGGTGGTGTACCAGCGCGGCAAGCAGCAGGTCGAGGAATTCATCTCAAACCCCGCCGACTTCCCCGACACGACCGATACGCGCAATCGTGTGTCCTATGTCGAGGAGCCTATGGTGAATGCCACAATCTTCGTGCCAACTGGTAAGACGAACCTCCTACGTCGAGCTAACCGCAGAATACGTAGGCGCCATGATGGAGCTGTGCGCCAAGTATCGCGGAATTCAGGATGAGTATAAGTTTTTGGACAACACCGACCGCGCGATTCTGAAGTACCGTTTGCCTCTCGCCGAGATTGTCACGGACTTTTTCTCTGAGCTCAAGAGCTCCAGCTCAGGCTTTGCTTCCTTTGACTACGAGGAGGGAGGGTATGAGCGCTCAAACCTCGTCAAGCTCAACATGCTCCTCAACCAAAAGCCTGTTGACGCACTCGCGCTTATTGTGCACAAGGATGCGGCGCAGTTCATCGGACGGCAATGGGTAAAGAAGCTCAGTGAGTAGCTCAGTCCCACCAGGAGCAAGCTAACAGGCAGAGGATGTTCTCCCACGCCAGCTATTCGAGCTTGCGATCCAGGCATCCATCGGCAACAAGGTTGTCGCTCGTGAGTCGCTGTCCGCCATGCGCAAGGACGTTACTGCGGGCCTCTACGGCGGGCACTACGAGCGCAAGATGAAGCATCTCAACAAGCAAAAGGAAGGCAAGAAGCGTCTTAAGCGCCTTGCAGGTAACATCGACATTCCGCAGACAGCCTTCTTCGACGTTCTGTCGTCGCGCCCACGCACATTCTCCACAAGTGCACGCCAGAGCGTCAGCTTCCTTGAGCACCTCCCCGATGTGCCCCTCCCACCCCCTGAGCTCGCTATGGGTGCTGAGAAGGTCTCGCCGATCGGGCGTCACGATCTCTCACCCGAGCAGCGCTCGGCCCTCCTCTCGGTCATTATGAGCCAGACGTCTGGTCAGCTTGACCTTACCTCCGAGGCTCTCTTCGCCAATTTCACTCGGTTGTACCTTGCCTCGACAACGAACGCATTCACGCCGGACGAACTGCGGACCATCGCGCGCACTATTCACGCCACCGACCGCCGCTTCAAGGCCAACATGCGCTCAGCAAACGAGCGCTTTGAAACAGTAGTCAACGCGCTTCGAGAGACCGCGGGGAATAACACCGAAGCGATTCGTGGGCTGGAGCTCGCGATCCTCGTCTCTAGCTCCCGTGCACAGCGGCACGTGCCGCAACCTGTCCTTCGCAAGGCTGAGAGCGTATTCATGGCGCTTTACCCCTCACCGCCTAAGGCGTCGGAGATGACGGGGTACAAAATGTGCTTTAACCACATCCTCTACCTGTGTGCGATGGCACGCTCACCTGGTCGTCTCAACGCGTGGTGGAGCAAAATGATCCGCGAGGGGGTGACCCCTGACTCCTGGTCCTACCTTTCTCGCATTCTCGTCTGCGGGGGGATGCACAACATCAACGGAGTTGTTGCCGAGCTCGCATTCACGCTGCCCAAGGTCGAAGGCGCGGATGCGCTGGTTCTCGCCAATACAGCACTATGGATGGCAGTTCGAGCCGATCGGTGGGACGTCGCCGGTGCGCTGCACTCCGCGTTGTCTGCGCGCATGGCCGACGATGTGACGCGGGCGCTCAGTAACGTAGCCCTTCCGTCCTCCCTCGTTGAGCCGCTCACCCGACTCGCGCCAGACCGCGTCACCTCGGCCATTCTTGTCGAGGCGCATACGTTTCGTGGCGATCTGCTGGCCGCTCTAAATGTCCTCCGCGAGATGTTTGCAGCAGGGCACGCGCCAGGCGTGCCTGAGTACATGGCGATGTTCCACGGCTTCGCGCGGCACGGTGTTATCGGATCGGGTCCAGCAGGCGATGCCGCAGCCGCATTCCCGTTCTGGCACGACAACCACGCGAGTTCGGGGCTCGATAACCCCTGGGGTGACGAGGAGCCTGGGCATTTCAGTTCAAACTACCGCCCTGCCTCCCTGTGGACGCAGGCAGCGCTTGAGGACCTCTTCACGTCTTTCCTTGCGCTTCCGCCGCCGCGTACGTCTAGGAAAACGCTGCCGCGTGCGCCGGGCGCCAACGCCGTTTATCGGACCTTGCTGGCATTTGGGCGCGTGACCAACTCGGACGGGAGAGCGGTGCGCGCCGCGCTCAACGCTATGATGTCTAAGTTTGGTCCGGGGAACGAGGAGGGGTGGGTAGGGTGGCACGAGGACAAGCGGCACAAGAAGATCCGCACCGTGCTTGGCATGGAGTAATAGACGCATATTGATACCCTGCATACGATACATTGGCATGTCACTGCTCTGTCTTTGGCGCTCCGTATTGTCCTTTCCGCCAAGGTTTCTTATGAGAGCCACGCCGCCTTCTAACGGTATCTAACGGTATGAGTGAGACACGCTGTGCCCATGGAAAGGGGAGAATGAAACGAAGCAGAAGGTGGTAATGGGGATGGACGGAGGTGGGCGTGAAGAAGCTTGGCAACACCTCTACACCTGTACACACGCGTTTCACTTCCAACTCCGGGTTTCCGTTGCGCAGCGCTCGACCACGCCGAGTACGAAATCGTTCCGGACCCTATCTCCGCTGCGTCAGGGAAAAGGCGGAGCTCGTATAGTGTAGGTGGTTATCACAGTTCGTTGTGGATCGAATGTCTCATCCGAGCTAACCGCTGTTCGACTCAGCGTGCGAGCAATTCTGCAATAGCAGGCCGTCCACTTTTGCCCCCTTCACTTGCATCACTTCTTCGGACAGGAAAGAGAGAGAGAGAGAGAGAGTCCTTCAATCCCTCCAGATCGTCGCACCTCCTACACGTGACATAACTTGAATAGTCGGAGGATCAAAGGGAAGGGGATCAGCGGGACGGTGGTGTGGTCTATGGCGATAGCGCGGGTAGACGGTGGGATTGCTGAGGGTGATGAACTTCAACGGCGCGGCGCGCATGTGAAAAATCTACAGATATTACAGCGGGCAATACCCAGTGATGGTGGTGGTACAATGATCGTGTTACGCAGCAGTGGCCACGAGGGGAGGAGAGAAGGGAGCGACCGGACCATCGACCGCATTGTCGTCCAGGTGAGGAGCTTGGTCGTTGGCAAAACCAGCAAGCTTCTCGTCTATGGCATCGGTGGTGTCGTTGGCCTGCGTGATGTCGTTGGCCAGAGCGGCGCTGTTGACCAGGGGGGTGCTGTCAGTCCGCGTGGTGTGTTGGTTGGCGTCGGCGTCTGAAACGGAGTCGATGGTCGCTGACGCCTCCGCGGCATCAGTCGAAAGAACGGCGTTGGCCTTGATGTCTAGGCCGTCGAGGTCGGGCATCCGGAGTGGACCGGGGGCATAGCAGATGGTGCGCATGAGGTCAAGCTGCGTGCGCTGGAACCAGAGCTGCAGTTTCGGATTCCAAGGGCATGGGAAGGGGCGACATTGAAGCAGGCGGAAAGTCGGGTGGGGAGAGCGAACCGCGTGAGCGAAGATATGTACGAACGAGAAGACCGGCGCATACATGGGTTGCTGAGTAGTACTTCCAGCTGGACCAGGGGAAAACCCAGCCAGCGAGGCCAGAGATGGCAAGCTTTGCGGGGTCGGCGACAATCTGATGTCAGCTTGTGCCCTGTGGTGCATCTCACCTCGTCGCGCAGCTTGACAAATGCGCCGACCTTGTCGGTAAGGACAGCCTTGACCCCCCAGGACATAGCGGTGCGCATCTCGCTGGGGTCATTAACCGTCCAGACACACACCTCCTTTCCGGCTGCTCGGACATCGCGGATGAACTGCTGGCCGTCCGGGCCAATGAGCATTGCAAAGGCGATGGAGAAGCCTTCGCACACGTCCCAGAAGTATTGGCGTGCAAGGCTTGTGGAGATGCCAATGTGGTAACGCCGCAGGCGAGGAAGGTGCTCATACGCCGGGCGGATGAAGATAGGGTGCCAGAGGCCCAGAATCATGCGCGGGGCCAGCTTGGTCTCCCAGTCGGGTTGCGACTGGATGATGCGGGCCATCTCGGGCTGTTATGAGCTCACCGGCCGCGGCTCGTACTCACAAACATGATATTCGGGTCGTTCTGCATCTTGCAGTCAATGTTGAGAGTCACGTGCTGATTCTCGGGCTCCATAATGAGGGCGATAAGCTCCTCGAAGAGCGGAATGGGCTGCACCGGCTTCTTCGTGGTCCGCACGTGCCTGCCGTCAGACGGCACGAGAGGCGCGAGGTCGTTGGCATGAAGAGACACTCACTCAATCGTGCCGTGCCATGGCTGGGAACGGATCGTGCCCGTGCCGCTGGTGGTGCGGTCGAGGGTCGGGTCGTGGAACATGAGCACTACGCCGTCCGAGGTGATGTGCACATCTGAGGTCAATTACAGCCACACCGTCGTAACGTACCGCTTTCGATGCCGCTCGCGCCCTCCTTGATGGCCGCGCGAAAGCTAGCCAGCCTGCGTGTCAGATCGCGCCCGCGGCGCGTTGCCGGCGGTCGGCCTACGTGTTCTCTGGAAGGAACGCCGAGGCGCCCCGGTGGCCCCAGCACTCGATGTCCTTGGGGGCGTAGACGGGAGTGACGGTCATGGTGGTTAGAGTAGAGTAGAGTGGCCGTGCAAAAGAGTGATCACGGCCGGGTGGCAAGAAGGAAGTGGGATGGGGAAGTGGATGATTGTAAGTTAAGGGTGTCGGTTGTCATCAAAGTGACCGATGGTGGAGTGGCGGTGTGGGGTGAGGGCCGGTCCCCGAGCCCGATTGTGGCACGTACACGAAGCCACGACGCCCCGATGGCTCGAGATCTCCATGCGAGTTCGCGTAGAGAAAGAGAGGTTAGGGTCAAGAGCGCGCATTACGGCGGGATGCGGGTGGCCAAGGCAAGATGGCAACGCGGCACCAAGCCCGATCTATGGCCGTGCTACTTCGTCACAACCTGGGACCAGCAGTAACTCTGAGTCTGCATGCATCGCTCTCATGCCCCAGTGCTGCCGTCCGGAGGTTGGGATAAAGCGACGATGCCTCATGGAGAGCTGGTGAGGTGCGGAGAAGCGATGCCAGTCATCAATCGTGCGACCATGCGACTGTGAGCGTTCGAGCTGAAGCAATGGCTCCGTGTCATTTCGGTCCGGAAGCGCCGGAATTCAGTGATCGCCAGTGAGAGATCACCATTTCACCAAGAACATGCATATTACACCTTCGCTGAACGACCCTCGTCAGCGCTGCTTCAGCTTCCGAGCCTAATGCGAGAGCGAGGCCGTGTCGGCCGGCCTGGCCTCGCGCTTTATGTGACCTTCATGAGATAGCTGTAAAGGGGTGACTCGGATGCCCACGGCGATGGTCCGAAATAGCTTCTCTACTTCCAGCAGATCGGGCTTATCACGCCATGTCACTGGCCGATTTCGCCCACTCGAACTTGGTCTTCGCTTCTCTCATTTCCTCACCAGCATGACCCAGGACCTGGCACCGCCCATCCCCCTCCCGCCACTGACGCGTGTCGCAGTCGTTGGCGCTGGCGGGCCCAGCGGCCTCGTAGCCGTGGCTCAGCTCCTCGCGGCGGGAGTCGAGCCGTCACAGATCCTCGCTTTCGAGAGCCGCGACCGCGCCGGCGGCGTGTGGAACTACGAGGCTGAGCCTGGGGCGCAACACATCACGTGGCGTGCGGAGGGGCCGCCTATCGTACGCTCTGACGCCGAGATGGCGGCGCACGGCGCCAACGGACCTTCTGGTGCGCCATACCGCGAAGCAGGCTGACCCAAGCAATGTACGACCGCCTCCGCACCAACCTCCCAAACCAGATCATGAACTACCGCTTCGCCCCGTTTCCCAGGGGCACGCCCGTCTTCCCGACACATCAGCAAGTCGTGGAATACCTCCAGGACTACAGCAAGCGGCACGGCTTGAACGCCGTCATTCAGTGGGGCGTGCGCGTTACCGACCTCTACCACACGCCCGGCGGAGGCGACGCGGACAAGTGGACGGTCGAGACGACGGCGGGGCGCGAGACGGTGTCGCACGTCATCCTCGCAAATGGGCATTACAACGAGCCCTACCTTCCACCCATCCCCGGCCTCGACGCGTTCTCCGGAGAAGTCGTGCACGCTCGCTGGTGGCGTAATCCACGCCGCTTCCGGGGCCAGGATATTGTCGTTGTCGGCTCAAGAGCGTCGGGGAGTGACATTGCACGCGAGCTCGCACAGGACGACGACGCGGTGGCCGGGGACGCCAATGGCACAGCAGCGCGCACGATTTACCAGTCAGTGCGCGGGCACAAGCCCGGCGACAAGGTGTGGGACGAGACGTTGCCATGGACGCGACACATCCACGTCGTACCCGAGATCGTTGCGATCGAGCCATCTCCAGAGGGTAGCGTCCTGCTTCTCGCAGACGGCAAGAAGCTCTCTGGCGTCAAGGCGATCGTGTTCGCGACAGGATACCTCTTCTCCTACCCGTTTGCGAACAAGGCGCCATTTGACACGCACCCCCTCACCACTAGCCTCGCACAAGCGCAAGATGGTCTTCCATCCGCAGGCGGACAGGATATCCGCAACCTCAACAACACCGACACTTTCTACCTCCCTGACCCCACACTGGCGCTCATCGGCCTGCGTGAGTTCCGACCTAGACGAGGCTGACGGCAGACTACCAGGTCAACCCCTTCCCGCTTGGTGAAGCATCGGCCCGGCTGATCGCTCGTGCTTTCACGCGCGGCCAGGTGCCACCTCTCCCACCACTTATCCGTGCCTCAGACCGTCCAGGCGAGGTCAAGATTGGCGCACCGGCAGAATTTGATAATCAGGATGCCTGGCTACGCGCAATCGGTGAGGGCGGAGACGAGGGGACGCCAGAATGTTGGCCCCATAGCTCGGAGGCGACCCGCCAAGCGCGCATCAACGCGCTCAGGATGCGGAAGGAGGAGCTTGGTTATTAGATATAAACTTTTGTTGCGGGGATGTATCAGCAGAGGTGCGCAAGAAGCCTCAGCCTATGAGGAAAGGTCGGAAAACACTCTCACGTCTGCTGCATGTTACAAGCCAGACACGAGGTACATGACGAGACATCAGTCTATTAGCCCCAAGTTGAGTCTACACGCGAAGCCGCAGCTCGCACATCCAAGTTGCCCTACAGCTCAATATCTTCTGATAACTCAGATCGCCTACTCGCTCTTGGCGCCCTCGTCGCCGCTCTTCTCAGCCCAGTACTCATCGCTGCGCGCGGACCCGAGCCTGGCGCCCCGTCCACGAAGGAAAGGTACGACCTCGCGGGCGTACCGCACACCCTGCGGCCAGTCGCGCTCGTACTCGCCCAGCCGCTCGCTCGGCTTCGCCGCCGGCTTGAGCACCTCGCCGCCATACCTCTCAGCAAGCCAGAAGCTCGCCTTGAGCTTGGTGTCCTCACCCTCCAGCTCAAGCAGAATGCGCTCAAGATCGCGCGCGGCCTCGATGCGCTGGCGCAGAACGTGGCGCACAAGCTGGCGACTGGGCAGGTGCTGCGGGCGGACGTATTTCTCGCGCGGCGTTCCAGGGGGCAGGCCAGCGACGGCAGGCGGGTTAGGCGCGAACGATGCAACGTTGTCGAAAAACGTCTGAATCGACATTTCGACTCCAGGGCCAAGCCACACGCCGACAAGCACGCGCCACGCCGCTATCAGGCGCTTCAAGCTACTGTCAACTTTGACAACAGTGAACACTTACCCGCGGTAGTTCTGATCAATGAGGGCAGTGTGGTACTTGTGCAAGAGCCAGACAGCACCCGCAGCCATCACAAACGACAAGGGAACGGCCCAGAACAACCAAAGGAAGAAGAAGAAGATGATGGGGTACATGATGACGCTGAGGAAAAGGCCAAGGAAGACCTTCATTTGCGCGCGGGTCTCCTCCTCGTCCTCGGCAAGCGACGCCCCGAAGATTCCAATCGCGTATACGGGTAGGTGGAAGAGGAACGGAATGACAAAGAGAGGGAACTGAATGGCGCTCACGACCGTATCCCTGATGAGATGGGCCAGGGTGCGTAGCCGTCCGGGCACGGGGACGGGCTGAGCGGGGTCGAGGTCTTTGGGCAGCGGAAGGTCGGTGAGTGCAGAGTTCGAGAGACGCGACGAGAACAAGAGCTTGCGGTATCGAGCGAGAGTGGCCTTTAGACGGTCGATGCGCGGGTCGTCCGTGGCGAAAAGATCAGTGAGGGTTTGGGCAACGTCGACGTAGTCGGCGAGGGCGAGGTTGTCCTCTTTACGCCAAAGGAGCTCGGTGGCCATTTTGGCGGCGTAAGACGTGTCCCAGTCAGGCGCGTTGACCGTCATTTTGTGCATTTCGAGCTCCATCCGCTTGGTGAGTCGCTTGACTGTGGCCTTCCGGAGAGCATCGTCGCCGTTGAGGAAGTCATCTTTGAAGTCATCCATGGAGATCACCGGCCCATAAGTAACCGCCAGTCGCGAGCGGTACTTGGACTTGTCGCAGTATGCGATGCCGACCGGCACCACCGCGGCGGGGCGCCCGTCCTTGACGCCCGGATTGTCCTCAGTACCATGCAGATAGCGGATATACTCGAGGGCAGCCCACGACGTGCCATCCTTGAGCGGGATCAAGTGAGGCTCAGTGTGCGATGTACCTTCCGGGAAGACGCCGATACATTCGCCCTGCGCAAGTGCCTCGAATGTGCCACGGAATAGCTGCTGGTTGTTCTTGTTCTTCCTGTCGACCGCTGCTATCAGTACGGATCAATCTCGCAACGCACGAATGTTGCCAGCGTTCGTCAGGAGCACCTTCATAAACGGATGCTTGAACAAAGAGTCTTTCACCTGCCGTTAGGCGCGTCGCGACGCGTCGCGACTCACCCAGTAGTGGAGGAAGTGGCGGTGGGGAATGGTGTTACTCAGCACAGCAGGCTGGGGTCAGCCGGAGCATCAGTGGCACGTACGTCAATAGCCATGTTGGTGTGCGTGCAAGCGCTGGAGTCAGATTTGTCGTGCGGCGGTCGTACAAAATGATCGGGCCCTCGGCGGGGACGTTCTCCGAGCCGTAAACTTCAATCTTGCGGAAGAAAGAGGTGATGGCATTGCCGGAGATGTGAACGAGTGGCTCGTGTGAGAAGCCGAACGTCATGGTAGCTGAGACGGGGCGGCGCGGGGTATAATGAGCGGAGGTGATGTGCAGAGGTCAAGAAGTGGCGAACGAAATGCGGGATACGTGATGATGAGACGGTCACTGCGATCTTGACCGGGAAGACAGCTAGCTCAGCTGCTGACCTCCACTTGCAATCACCTTCCCTGCCCCACGCAACAATGGGTCACGCATGGGGCTCGTGCGGCTCATGGATCCGGAGTCACGTGAGGAACCGAACACGCGACATTAATGGGATAAAATCAAAACAATCATGCAGGAGTAATAAATTTCGTCTGTGCTGAGTGCGGCGAGCATGTTGCCCCGCGCCTCCACCCTCACAGAGCTCATGTTCAATCCTCAGTGAATTTTGACCTCATTCTTTGTCCATCTCCCAACGTTGCGACGCAATCATGCCAGCCACATCAGCAAAGGACACCAAGGGTACACTCAAAGTAAGGCAACGCTAACATTAGCTCTTGACGCCGCGATTCTCGCATATCTCGCGGCTCGTGGCCTCACGCGATCTACTAAGGCGTTCGAGAAGGAAGCCGCTGCCGCTGTCGGCGGTGACCCGGAGGCTCTTTCGGCCGCCTGGTCCGCCGTGAGCAAGGCGACTGCCGCCGCCACCACTGCCGCCGCCGCTATCGACGTTGAAATGGCCAGCGCCGACTCAGACTCGGATTCTGACTCGTCATCGGACGACAGTGGAAGCGAGAGCGACAACGAGAGCTCAGACTCGGAGAGCGACTCTGAGTCCGACTCGGACTCGGACTCTGACGAGGAGGAGGAGAAGAAGGCCAAGAAGAGCAGCGAAGACGCTGTCGAGGCTGTTGTCGCTATTGCGGCAGCTATCCCCCTGCCGGAATCCTCCTCGAGCTCGAGCTCATCGTCTGACTCCGACTCAGACTCCGGATCGGAGTCGGACTCGTCGAACAGCTCCAGCTCCTCTAGCTCCTCCAGCTCCTCCAGCTCTTCGAGCTCATCTAGCTCGGACGAGGACAAGCCTGCGGTGAAGGTCATCGACGTTGTCATCAAGTCCTCATCCTCGAGCGGCAGCTCGACCATCGAGGAAGCCAAGAGCAGCAGCGACAGCGGTGACGAAAGCGACTCTTCGTCTTCTTCCTCCTCGTCTTCCTCCTCGTCCTCATCCTCTGCCTCATCTGCTTCTGCATCCTCCTCTTCGTCTGCTTCGTCTTCATCGTCGGCTTCGTCCACCAAGTCGTCCAGCAGCAGTTCCTCGTCTTCATCCTCGAGCTCGAGCTCCAGCTCGAGCTCTTCGGAGTCTGAGGCCGAGGAGACCAAGCCAGGTCTTGGCTCTAAGCGCCGCCGCTCGCCCTCGTCCTCGCCTTCCTCAGACGACGCCAAGAAGCGCAAAGTCAACACCTCGTCCGCTCCCAGCACCTCCGCCTCCTCCGGTGCTTCCACGCCTGCTGCTGCCGCTGACGGGTGGACGCCCTCCACGTCTTTTGCCCCGAGCGGCACCTCGACGCCCAACGGCCCGAAGGGCAAGGGGCGGCCCCAGAACCAGCGTTTCGAGCGTATCAAGGCGCAGAACGTCACTTTCCATGACCAGCGCCTGATGGACAACTCGTTCGACGCGCACATTCGGAACGGCGCGTCCAACAACGACTTCGGCGCCCGTGCCTCCCGCGACTTGATTGTCACCCGTGGCGCTGGCTTCCGGAAGGAGAAGAACAAGAAGAAGCGCGGGAGCTACGCTGGCGGCGAGATCACGCTCGCTACCAACTCGATCAAGTTTGACGACTAGTTAGTCTGTAACCACTACCCACATAGAGCGGCGGTCCGCGATATCCTTCCGGTCATTGTAATATGCATAGATTCATTCAAAGGAGCCGATGGTCCCAAGATGCGTGATGGAGGCTTGTAAAGTGCGATGTGTGAGCGTATGGTGGCGCATGGCGTGCGAGACGTTGAAATGTGATGGGGACGAAAGTGTGAGATGGAAGGGGTGCGCGCCTCGAGGGAGGTGACGAGCGACAGGCACGTCTTGCCAGAGGCGCGACGCCGGGTGTGTCTCGCAGCGACTGCAGGTGGAATGATGCCTGGCTCGGTTTGCCGTCGGTGTATAAGAGACGAGAGGGGAGGTTGTGCCCTTGGGACTTACACCGACACGGGGCGCAAACTCCCCATTGCCGCGCCTAGGAAGCACCCCCACGCCGGGAGGTCGAGGAGGAGGGCGCGCGCGAACACAGCCCGCCGCCATCGCCAGCCGGCACGCCTGCGCTCGAAGTCGTTGCGCGCGGACGCAAGATCGCGCACCACGCGCTGGAGGTAGGGCTGGACAGCGAGGTGGGCGGCAGTCAGCGCGAGGCCGGCGAGGTAGAGCGTGGGCGGTGCGCGCCAGTCGACTGTCCAGTCTCCTGCACGCCATGACGCGAGGACGGAGGCTGCCGAAGCAGCGGCAGATGCGCCGCCCAAGGCCGCGGGGTTGGGAGTGGTCGGTGGAGGCGAAGCATGCACGAGGTTGAGGGCTGCGCCGACGACGGCGGCAAGCCCCGTCGTGTTTGCTTCGTAGAGGGAGAAGAGGGCGGCAAGGGGGGAGGTGGGGCGGGAAGAGGACTTGGGGGTCGGCGCAAAGTCGAGGAAGAGGGCGTGGTCGATGTTCGCCCACAGCGTACATGTCGCTGCGAGGAGGGGCGACATGCGCAGGAGGGTGGATGGATCGAAGATTGTGCGGGACGCCATGGCGCGGGGAGGTGGAGCCTGGGCAGGCCGTACAGAGACACGAAGAGGGGCGAAGCGGTTGGCGGGCGCGGCGGACTGGTGCAGAGGAGTGGACGGAGATGAGATGGATGGTCGTTCGTCCGGAGAAGATCGCTGCGGATGGTGGACCGGAATGTCCGTGCCTGAGAGTCATTGCGGACCTGTTGGCCGCGCTTGCTTTTCGAGATCTGACAGTCCTCTCATCTGCTGATCTGCTGCCACTGCTGCCCATGCATCTACTGCAAGCCTATCACTGCCCAAACTCAAGCTTGAAATGCGCCGCCATGCGGTCCTTGATGCGCTGGTCCTCCTCGGGGTCGTGCTCGTAGATCCCGCGCCCCGTCTTGGACCCGAGGTCACCGCGCTGCACGCGCTCCTCGATCGCGGCGGGGGTGACCGTGTCCGACGCGAGGAGGGGGAACAGCTGCCCCGTCACTGCCTTCCAAATATCCATGCCGCCGAGGTCCGTGACCATCATGGGACCGGCCGCCGCCCACCGGCTGCCGAGGCCGGCGCGGACGACGAGATCGATGTCTTCTGGGGACGCGACGCCGTCCGCGGCCAGCGCGTAGGCTTCGCGGTACAGCGCGGCCTGTAGCCGATTCGCGACGAAGCCAGGCACGGCGCGGTTGAGGACCACGGGGAGCTTGCCTGCGCGTTCCATCACTTCCTTGAGCTTGCGCAGCGTTTCCGGCGCCGTTTGGGGCGCGGGCACGATCTCGACGAGCGGCACGATGGCGGCGGGGTTGAAGAAGTGCGCGATCGCGAAGCGCTCAGGAGGAGTCAGTGCCGCTGCGAGCTTCTCCGCCGGCAGGCTTGACGTATTGCTCGCGACGATGCAGTCGGCGTTCAGGGCCGACAGGCGGCGGTACACCTCCTCCTTGATGGCCAGATCCTCGGCTATCGCCTCGAGCACGAGGTCTACCCTAACAACTGCCTCGTTGAGGTGCGTCGTTGTGCGAATGCGCTTGTCAAGCGTGGCCAGAGCTTCGGGGGGCACGTCCCAACACACCACGGAATGTCCGGCGTCCACCATTACCTGTGCCATGCCTGCCCCCATCTGCCCCGCGCCCAGCACCGCAATACGCAGAGATGTCGGATCTGTAGGCATCTGCTGTCAGCCAGGATCGCATCCAGTAAAGTACCTTGACAAAGCTGATACCGGCTTGGAAGGTGGATAAGACGAACGGGGTGACAGCGAGCGGAAGGATGCGGTTACCTCCCTTCAGGCACGCCGATGTCATCGGAGGTGGAGGTGGAGGCACGGTGGGCAATCCCATCATGCGACCAGACCGGACCTGCGGTCAGTGAGAACATGTCTCAGAAACATGCGAGCTCGGGACGCGCGGTTCTGCCGTGAGCGATGCTGCTGGCCGCCGGTTAGGAGTCAGTCATGGTCACAGTGCCCGCCCAGTAAACAACCAATTGCATGCCTCGGACGCCTCCAACGTACACTACCGTGTCTAGCCTGAAAAGCCTGGAGATGAGAGAGAGAAAGTGTGAGAGAGAGAGATTGTTGATTGACTTCAGATGCGATGACCCTTACCGCGTCCCCCGCGGCTTTTAGAGCTTGGCCTTGGACTTGCGCGTGACCGTGGCCTCGATGAAGCCGGAGGGGTCGGCGACGGGGTGGAAGACTTCGGCGCCGCCCTCATACCCGAGCCCATTGTCGAGGCCAAAGGGAGAGAGGTTGATGGGGATGAAGTGCTTGTTTGGGAGGGAGTACGAGATCGACTCGATGACGGGGCAGTGCTGGAGGATGAGCTGCTGCGTGTTGTACATGGTCGCCTGGACCGAAGCCGACTCGTCGGTGGCGAAGACCTCGAGGGTGTCCCTCTTGACGATCTCAGCAACCTTGGGAAGGTTGAGGGCCTTGCCAATGGCGCCAATGTTGTCGATCGTGAGGGGAATCTTGGGGAGGGGCACGCTGTACCAGCAGTCGACATCGGTCGAGAAGATGCGGTCCTTGACAGCAACGAGGGTGGTGTACTCGTCCGTCCAGAAGTCTTCGAAGGCTGAGCCCGAGGTCTTGCACACCGAGAGGTCCTTGATACCGCACTTGAGGTCGGCCTTGAGGCTCTTCTTGTTGGAGGCGTCGACAAAGCATGAGACCTGCTGCTTCTCCTCGCCGTCACGGACGAACGACCACTTGTGCGGCTGGCCGTTGACGGGGATGCGACTCCACTTGTGAGTGGTGAGGTCGACGTATGCCTTGTCAATGTGGTCGTAGCGGGTCACAAAGTGGGTCGCGATGTGGAGCGCAAACATGGCGGGGTCAAGAACATGGGGAGAGGTCTTGGCGAGGACGTTGACAGTGTTCTTCACAGTGTCGGTAGGGACGACAACCTTGTTGTTGGCCTCGGTGTACGACGTCTCGATGTCACCGTCGATGAGGGCGCGGACGGTGTACTCGATGAACGAGTGACGCTCCTGGCCGTAGAGGTTCTCGCGGACGACACGAGCGACGCGGACAAGGCGCTTGCCTTGGGTGTCAGCAAAGGCGGCGAGCGAAAGACTTACCGTAGCGGTGAGCGGAAACGTAGCCGGGCTGGTTAGGGGGCGCCATTGCTGTTGATGTGAAGGAGATTAGGAAGAGAAGAAGCGGAGTGGAGTGCTAGAGAAACGGGAGTGAGTGAGGTAGGGAGGGGTGAGGTTGATGGTGAGAAATGAGACTTGATGTATTTATGGGAAAGAGATGTACGATGGGTGTGACTTGGGCGGAGGAAGGGTGGTGGGCAACCAACCGCACGAACCGCGGCATCATCCACTCTGCGGTGACCCAAAGCCGTTATCAGGTGACCTGCTCCGGTCCCCACCTCGCCCTCTCCGTCGTGTCTGCATGTCTGCAGCACGACTTCTTTGTTCGTCTTCCGTTCCCAGACCGCGCAGACCGGCAGCACCGGAGGCAAAATGACATAGACCTGCAGCATAATGACATAGAATCGCCCGTGATGACATAGAGCAGCTGTAACATGACATAGAATCGAGTTTGCATTTCCAATCGCCCCCCCGTGCATCGATAACCCTTATCCGCCAGCGCTGTCCTCTTCGTATGCGCTCTCCCGATATCATCGGGCTTCATGAGCGGACTGAACGCGAGCCTCGCGAGCCCCGATGTAATCGCATTTCGAGTGATAGCGTCGCGCCGTATTATTAACCAGTATAAGCTGATTACCTGATGGCTTGGGTGCGGATCCCAGCCTGGTTTCTGGGCGATTGGCCCTTCCGTCCAGGCACGGCTGGTTGCGCCTGAACCGCATGAACCGGACGGAGCTGTCCGGTCTGTGTTCGGCTGCTCCTGCGACGTCGGCGGAAACCCCTTGGGCGTGCTGCGGCATGGTGGTGTCGGCGTGAGTCTAGCAAGCTTCGGAGACAGCCAGCTCAAGGATCAGGTTAGCTCCTTCCACTGTGCTGCACGATAAACGCGATTGTCGAGGGATCCAGGTGCCGCATGATCGGCTGATGCGCACCAAGCAGAAGGATGATGGGCATGCGGGGTGCGGAAGCCCTGATGGTGCCTGACCGACTAGGGCATGGAATGCCCACACGTGCATCTGTGTCTGTGCTGTGATATTGCAAGACATCTATCTTCGTTGACCTTGCTCCATCGCCCACTGCTTCACCACAACACCATAATGTTCCAACACTGAGCGGGCCGAGGTTGATACTAGAACCCGGACGACAACCGCTGGAAGCGAGCCGACGCTGCCGAGCATCCCACGTCACAGAGTCTGCGTCCATTTGCGCTTGGTCTGACAACTCCCACTCGATGCCTTCCCGCGACAAGCAGCATTAGCAGTTGCGACTCTGAGGGCGCCGCCACCCAGCAAGCTTCGCGTCGCGCTTCACTTCACCTCACTTCACTTCAGAAGTTCGGCTTGCTGTGGAGGTCTATGAGAGCTGCCCGTGGCGCACGAAAAGACTCGAGGCAGCAGTCACGGGGTGGCCCACAGGCGGGCAGTGCGCAGGACGTCTGCGATGACTCGGCGTCCATAGTTAATAATGCTTGGGTTGTTTTCAGCTCCTATCGACGCACAAGACAATTATTACTCACGTCATGATATTGCAAGCGTCACCGCCCAACCTCGAGTGGAAGCTACATCCGACGGGCAACCGAATTATCTCCGACTAACAGGAGAGAATGGAATACCCGAAGCACGCTACCGCCACGTGTTTTGCGAGAGAGAGGATATCGGGCCAAGTCTTGTGGATACAGCCGAGACCCTGAAGTGGAGGTCCAAGTTGGCGAGGTTGGCCTGGATCCGGCTTGAATACAGCTCATGACAGGTTATTACAGGTATTACAGGTATTACACTCCGGTTTAGGCATATCCAAACGGCATTTAGGCCACTCACAGCATCCCATCGCTCCCCCTCCCCGACCGACGCCTTGCCGGTCCTCTTCACGCCCTTTTCCGCGGACAACTTTCTCCTTCTTCGTCCTCCTCTCCATCACTCCAAAATGCTCGCTGCTATCGCCCGCCCCGCCCTCCGCTCCCGCTCGGCCTACGCCGGCGCCGCTCGCGCCGTCGCTGCCCAGCGACTCATGTCTACCAAGACGGACGGCATCAACACCATCACCGTCTTCGGTGCTGGTCTCATGGGCGCCGGCATTGCCCAAGTCTCGGCCCAGGCTGGCCTCAAGGTCATCCTTACCGACGTCACGGACAAGGCGCTCGAGAACGGCCTGAACATTATCAACAAGTCGGTCGCCCGCGTCGGCAAGAAGCAGCAGCCCGACGACATCGAGGGCTTCACCCAGAAGGTCCTTGCCAACATCACCACCACCACCGACGCGTGAGCTCTCTCTCTCTCTCTCTCCGAATGTTAGCTGACAGCCAGCGAGCAGGCCGTCGCCTCGACTGACCTCGTTTGCGAAGCCATCATCGAGTCGATCAAGGTCAAGCGCGACCTCTTCTCCTTCCTCGACAAGAAGGCTGGGTGAGTAACGAATTCTCCTCCCATACCTCGGCCAAGAGAGACGTGGCTGACTTCAGCGCCAACACCATCTTCGCCTCCAACACTTCATCGCTCGGCATCTCCGAGATCGCTGAGAACTGCACTGAGGAGCGCAAGGCTCTCTTCGGTGGCCTCCACTTCTTCAACCCTGTCCCTGCTATGAAGCTCGTCGAGGTCGTTCGCACCAACAAGACCAGCGACGCCACCTACCAGGCCCTCTTCGACGTCACTAAGCGCATGGGCAAGGTTCCCGTTGCGTGCAAGGACACCCCCGGCTTCATCGTCAACCGTCTCCTCGTCCCCTACCTTCTTGAGGCTGCCCGCATGATCGACCGCGGAGACGCCACCAAGGAGGACATTGACATTGCCATGAAGCTCGGTGCCGGCTACCCCATGGGCCCCTTTGAGCTCCTCGACTACATTGGCCTTGACACCACCCAGTTCATCGCTGAGGGCTGGGTTGACAAGGCCAAGTCGGGTGTTCTCCCCGAGGCTCTCGTCGCCCCCACCTCGTCCATCGCTGACCTTGTCAACAAGGGCGAGCTTGGCCGCAAGAGCGGCAAGGGCTTCTACGACTACTCGAACGCCAAGAAGTAAAGGAATGGCAGTATAGCAGCAGTTAAGCAGAGCATAGGACCATTAGCATGCAATGCGTCAGGTTGCAGTGGCCGCGGAGATCGCGGCCGAGGGGAGTCAAGGAGAGTCAGTTGGTACCGAACCGAGTGGGCAATGTCAGAGTTTGGCGAGGCCTTGAGGCGAGTTTGATAGGGACGAGCAGCAAGTCTTGGCTCATGGCTTGCATGGCTTGTCGTACTTCATCCTGTTTTCATGATATTGTGATTTCCTACTACCAAGTGCGACGTGTCTTGACACGGCTTGAACGGTTCAACACATCCTCCGAAATGCACTTCACCTGAGAGGTCCGGTGACGGCCCGCCGCGGAATTCGTCGCGTCGGTGGAGGTTGACTGAACTGATCGACAGTTCGCCACCGCACCAACATCCGCCATGGACCCCGCTCTAGTCGACCTCGACGTCTACCTCGCCGACCCGACCTCTGCTGCCGCCAAGGCGGAGGCGGAACGCGCGGCCGAGTCGCTGATCCTCACCGGCGCGCTTGTAGTCCGGGACTCACGCGCTCCAAAGGAGGCGAACGACCGCTTCCTCGACCTCTTCGAGGACTACTTCGCGCAGCCCGACGACGTCCTGCGCGTCGACGAACGCCCCGAGCTCGGATATCAGGTCGTGAGTCGTCCTTGGAATACCGCTGAGCGCAGGGCGTGACCCTCGAGAACACGGAGAAGCCCAAGTGCGGACGCGACGACGAGTGTCAGGCGGTCATTGCCGCGCTCGACCCCGCCGAGCGGCCTCTCGACCTCAGCGGGCACTCCGCCGACCCGAAGTGCCGGTGAGCTTGCTTGCGGCGGGAGCTGACGCAGTTTCTTCCACCGCATGACGGAGAAGCCGCCGTACGAGTCCAAGTTTCCCTACTCGACCGCGCCTAATGTCGTGCCCGCCGCTATGGAGGGGTGGGAGACGCGCGTCGACGAGTGGGGCTCGCACATTAAGCAAGCGTGAGGTCCACTCCTCCCTCGCTGACTCTAGGGTCGAGGGCGTCGCGCGCATGGTTGCAGCGGGATTGGGGCTGGAAGAGCGCATCTTCCTCGACGCGGGACGGTACGGCTCCCATCTCCTCGCCCCTACAGCCACCGACCTCGACAAGTATGGCGAACTCAACTCGTGCGTGTGTTCGCTGAGTGACCTGACCGCAGGATCTACGCCGGCTTCCACACCGACCTCAACTTCCTCACTATCCACGGCCAGTCGCGATACCCCGGATGTAAGTCCTTCGAAGGACAAGCTGACATAGTGAACATCTGGGCGCGGAATACTGGCAAGCGCATCCCCGCCAAGGTGCCCGAGGGATGCTTGCTAGTGCAGGCGGGCAAGCAGCTCGAATGGCTCAGCGGCGGTCTCATCAAGGGTGGGTACATGTGGACCCGACGCGAGCTGGGTGAATGCTTACAGCAGCTGGGTTCCACGAGGTCATCTGCAACGAGGCGACGCTAGCGGTGCGTCCATGTTCGAAGCAGCTGATTCCAGGCCCTTGAGCGCCGCAAGGCATCCCACCCCGACCGCCCGCGTATTCGCATCTCGTCGACTTTCGTGAGTCGCAGCCGACGCACGAGGAGCTAACTTCAGTTCTGGCACCTCACACCCGACTTTCACCTGGAGCCCATGCCCGAGCTCAAGGCGCGCGCCGAGAAACGCTTTGGTTCGCAGAAGGATTACGGCGCCATGCTCGTCGGCGACCAAGTCCGCCAGTGAGTTAGCATACCCGGTCACACTGACGCCAGGGAGCTGGGCCTAATTGCGCTCATGTCGTAAACCCTCGAGCCGAGGAAGGTTGGCTCTTTCCGTTGCTCGCGACCAATACCCTGCATGTACTTAGTTATACAACCTACTTGTTACTCTCCATCTGCTCGAGCTGTGCGACGAGCTCGTCCATCGGATCTGGCTCCTTTTTCGGCGATTGTGACTCCGGGGACGCCGCCTTGAGCTCTGATCCGCCGCGGTGTGTGGGCACCAACATGGCAGCAGGGTTGTACCCAGGCGCGAGCTTGTGCAGAGCGGCCTTCTCGCGCTCCTCCTCCTCGGCTTCGCGCGCATGCAAGATCGCAGCATTACGTGCTCGCCGTTCCGCGATCGCGATGTGTGGTGGCGGCTGCAGCGACACGACGTGCTGTTCTAGCGTGAATGGGTAAACGAACTGCCGTTAGCGGCTGAGACCAAGATAGACGCACGTAGGCCGTGATGTCCTCGGGCAAGGGATGGACATCTGAAGGCAGCTCGACCTGTTGTCAGTGTTGCAGACCGTGAGACGGGTGAGCGCACCGGTGGTGGAAGCCAGAGGGAGGGCGACTTGATCAGCGGCACAGTCGCCGCCGCGGCGTACTGCTGTGGGATGGGGCCTGGAGTTAGCAGGCTCAAGAGATGTAAGCAGCCTACCTATCTGCGATGCGGACATGGAGTGGGTGATGGCAACAACACCAGCTGGCAGTTGGGCGGCAATCTGCCATGACGCAGTCGATCCGGCTATCATCTCATATACTGATACTAATCGCGAACTAAATGTGCCTGGACATTAGCGGAACCAGATTTCTTCGAGTCACGACCACCAAGTAGCCTTGTCGGTGCTCACAAAGATCTCCGTTCCAACACATCGTCATGGCTGCAGAGGTGCGCGTGCGCGGAGGACGAGCTGACAGCAGGCTAAAATCGACCCAACCGGGAGACTTGTCGAGGCGCTCGTGGTGCGCCTGCGCCGAAGGTGAGTTGGCCTTTCCGCCAGTGCTGACTGCAGGCAAATCGTCGGCTCGCGCAATGTTGCGCTCGCGACGGCTGCGTTGATGCAGAACGTCGTGCGCAGCATGCGTTTCAGCACCATTGACGAGCTCATCGATGCGATCCGCGGCATCGGCAGACTGCTGAACGAGGCGAACCCGAAGGGTGGGTGTGGCCGATTGCGGCCTTCCTAGCTATTTGCGGAAGTGTAACACGACTAATGTCAGAACTGGCCACAGGCAACATTGTGCGGCGCATCATTAAACTCATCCGCGAAGAGTACCGCGCCGCTGCCGCTGCGCACATGTCCCAGCCCTCCTCTGTTCCCGGGACGCCAGGGCCAGCCACCCCCGGCTTTGCCACGCCGCCAAACTACTTCAGTTACTCGCCCAACGCGGGCAGTGTTCCGGGCACGCCGATGCCGCGCTCGACACCCAACCTCTCGAACTTTGTGGCGATGCGCCACAGCCGCGTGCAGCTCGAGCGTCAGGGCTCGTTGCTCGACATGTCCGCGGCCACGAGCAGCCTCTTCGCGACGCCGCCCCGCGTGCTGTCGTCGCAGGGGCACAGCCGGCGTGAGAGCACTGCGTCGCCGACTCTCGGCGAGATGACGGAGTGGGAGGAGCGCGAGCGCGAGCAATTTGCGCGGCAGGCGAGCAAGCTCAAGCCTGTGCTGATACAGGCTATTGACGAGGTCATTGGCGAGCTCGAGACGACGCACGAGGATGTCGCCCGCGGCGCCAAGGAACACATCCACTCGGGCGAGGTGATCCTCACTCTTGGCCACTCGCGTACCGTCGAGCACTTCCTCAAGAGCGCGTACCGCGAGCGCAAGTTCTCCGTCATCGTCCTCGAGAGCGCCCCATCATTCAACGGACAGGCCATGGCCGCCGCGCTCGCCCAGCACGCCATCCCCACCCTCCTCGTTCCTGACAGCAGCCTGCACGCCGTCATGCCGCGCGTAACAAAGGTCATCTTCGGCGCACACTCCGTCTCGGCCAACGGCGGCATGTTTGCGTTGGCCGGCTCGCTCGCGTGCACCCTCGCCGCGCGCACGCACGCCAAGCCTGTCGTCGTTGTTGCAGGCCAGTTCAAATTCGCCCCGTCGTGGAACCTGTATCACGAGTACGACACGCTCGACTTCCAGGGCCCGGGGCCAGTCATTGGGTATGACCACACGGGCGGCGGCGGCGGATACGAGGGTGTCGAGGTTCCGGACCCTCACTTTGACTACATCCGGCCTGAGCTAGTCAACCTCTACGCAACGAATGAGTGAGCTTTGTACTCTCGACGAGAGGCTAACCGCAGCGGCGACCACCCTCCCTCGTACATCTACCGCATCATCAAGGAGGCGTATGACGATGAGGACCTCGTGCTGTAGTATAGTGTTCGCCTTGGGTATGTGATAAACGGAGATTTGGCGCATAGTGAGGGCAAGCTGTGTCGTGTTCAACGGTCGAAAGACACTGATTGCCTGCCACGACTACATATATATCCAGCGCGATAGCCACGCTGCCATTATCTTTGACCAGCTTACACGGAACCCGTCCTTGAAATCCGCAGTGACATAATGTAAATCGAGTGGCCGCGTACAAGATCGTGCCTTGTTCAGTCATGGGCGAAGAGCTCAAGCATCGCGGCCTCATCCTCGTCATGCTCGTCATCCTCAATGGGGACGCTGAACGGCAGGCGCTCGAAAAGTTCGGCGTTTTCGCTGGGCGAATATTCGCACTCACGCCCTGCCTCTCTATACGTGGGTTCCCAAACCGAAAGTGCTTTAACAACCGCGTAAGCTTCTGCGCCCTCCGCGATTTTCAGATAAGGGAGGAGCCGATGGCGCACACCGGGGATCGCCTCAATCGTGCCCTCCATCTCAAGCTCGTCGGCGCTCAGCTCAGCAGCGTAGTCCTCCCCGGTAACGCATCGCAGAAAGTGGCCCCTCGCTGGAGACACGAGGTTACGCACCTCAGCGGCGAGAATGTCAACGACATCCCAGTCGTCCGGGAGGCCGAGCCATGCGTGTGGGATGAGATGCGCATTCACGAGGGTCACGCTGCGCCCTAATGCCTCCCCGTCCGCGTCCGTCAGCGCCTTTGCAAGCTCCCGGACGAGGTACGCGCGCCGGTCTTCGATGGAGGGATGCTCCATGCCATAATTGACGCGTGTCAGGGCGGGGTGGTGTGGCGTGAACACGACGACGACAGTGGACACGCCGACGAGACGTGTCCACAGCCTGTCGAAGCCTACGATGCGATACTCGCTTTCCGCGTCGCTTTCCGCCCGAGGAAATATGTGGTGTACCACTTTGCTGCACAGATCCGGCACGAGGTTGCGGGGGCGGTGCATTTCGTCGCACGACACGTCCGCCCCTGCGGTGTGGTAATATACGAGCGTGCGCGCCGGAAACGGTACGTAAGGTTCGTGGTATGTGCGGAACGTGCGCACGCACTGCAGGTCAAGCGCGATCCACATGGTCTCTTCCAAGTGGGACTGGTTAGGGTAGATGTCGAGGACGCGCGTAAGAGATAAGAGGCGTTTGGTGCGCTCTACAAGGGCCGGGGCGGGCGGCTTTCGGCCCTTGGGAATAGGGAATCTCTCTCGAGTTCCGAGGTCGGAGTGCGGTCTCAGAGCGGGCACAGGGCCGAGCGGGGAGGAGATGGGACCAGGGATGAACTTGCATCGATTATCGCGCTCAGTTGTTTCATCAATGATGAGGTGGCGCATGAAGCGGGCATCCACCTTTTCGCGGAAGAGGCGACACACGCCACGGAGAGAGAGGAGCGCCTGGTACGATGCGACCGCCACGAGCAGATCAGCGATGTGGGGGTAGCTTGCGAGTTCGAGCGTCCCCCGCTGCGGGCCGAATGTAGACATGTGGCGCGAGGGCGGGGTCGACGGACGAAGCGGGGCGGAGTTCGCTCGTGCGCGCCTGGCGGGCCGTGGGAGGAAGTGACGTGGGCGCACGCTCTCGCCCGGTACGTACGAGACGAAACCCTCGTCCAGTGCCTCATGGGGAGTGAGAGTATTCGCATATTCTTGGCGGCTGAGGAAAGCGAGGCGCGTCATAGCTGCCGCGCGCTGCTCCGGCAGAGGAGGAACATTGGGTTTGGACGTGTCGTACGAGCGGCGCCAAGAGGCCTGGATGCGATCGCGGATGACGAGCTCAACTGCGTGCGGGTCGCTATCTGGGTCAAAGCCGATGCTGGTGAGATGTGCGCCCAAGTTCACCACTGTGCATTCACCGCCGCCCACGAGAGAATCGCTGATGAATTCAGTGAGTGGCGTGGTTCCCCGGAACCACTGCGTATTTAAGCGCCTACTCCCCCGTGTCTCGCGAACATGAGCCTTGAGGGCTGTGGACCGGTGGTTGTCGGGAAGGATCACCGATCTGGGCCTGCGGTGGTAGGCAGGGAACCAGGATCGGTAAGAATTGAGCACCCAGACGGTGTGCTTCACGCCCAAAGACGTTGACATGAAAAGATGTTCGGCACCAACATCATCGTTGTGCAGGATATGCACGACCGTCTTCTCGGAACCTTGAGCGCCTTGGAGATGGGTGGTGACAGGCCAGCGACGCCCGTGCTCCATCCACATCGTGCAGATCAAACCCAGCGGTGGCGGCACGACAAAGAACACGGATATTTTGGCGTGCACTTCTGGGGCCGCGAAGATGGACCCATCGTTATTGGGAAACTGGCGCAGCGTATGGAGGTTCATCGGCCCCAGGAGGAGATTGTAAGCCGTGTGGGGCTCGTAACAAATCCTGCGGCAACCGATGACGATGTCGAGCACGCGTGTGTGCTCCAGGTTGGTTCGGATGCGATCCAGCTGCTCCTGCGCACTCGCTGGGCGCGGCCCAACGGGCTCGAGCCAGCACATACCGTCGGCGGGCATGAAGGCTGGAATGCGGCCGTGTGGCGCTGTCACGAGTTCGCAGATCGTGTTCGCGTCCTCCTTGACCATGTACATGCAGACATGAGCGACGAGGAGCGCATCTGCGCGGGCACGCAGATCCTTACTCGCCCCGCGGAGGGCAAGAAGTGCTCCGCGGTCAGCGTGCGTGAGGACAGCAGAGAGGATGCGGGGATGCGCTTGTGCGTCAAGCATGCCTGCGGTGGTCATTTGTCGGGAACATCAGTCGTCGGGAACAGTTGTGCTCGAGCATTATACTGTACTGAGCCGCAGGCTTAAGTCGCACCGCATCCGAGACACCAACATGAGAGAGATTCGTCTCGGATCCGGGACCACCCGCACCAAAGTGTCAGTAGTGCGACGCTCATATCAGTAGCTGGAGGGCTGTATTTGCTATCGAGGATGAGAGGAGCAGAGGAGGAGGACACGGGTGGTATCGACAGCAATCCGACAAGTAAGGGTGGTTTGCTTCGTGTGCTGTTGGCCACACTCCGCTGAAGGATGACACCGAACGCGCCTTCCAACTTGCCGACGACGCCACCACCTGTTGCCGCGGGGACTTATGCTGTCATACCCCAACCCCTGAGCACGCTGAACGCGAGTCTCCGATAAATCTTCTTGACAACGACAAAGTCTCGGCCAAGCGATCCAGCGAGGGGGTGGGAGAGGCACCCGCGAGGAACTCAGACTAATGCGTGACAACTTTTTTCGGATCGACCGATGAATAATAGGTGTGCAGCGGAGCGCAGGCTGCACCGAGGAGGTACGCTTTGCATGTCGAGTCAGTATGCGCATCTCTGGAGTATCCTGTGATGGACGCCTACGCGCTGTGCTGAGAAGTAATGGGTCAACGGGGTTCGGAGGTGCAAGTTGTCCGGAGGGACGGTGGTGGATAACCGAAACGCTGTGTCTTGACCGCTCCGAAGTAGGGGAATGGGGACCTGATGGCGCGGTGTCGTGGGGACGGCGTGAAGCTAGTCGTGGACGAGAGGCTAGTCATGTGCGTGGCGCGATGGCCGACGGCAAGCTTGGTTAGCTCAGCGTGGGCGCGTCGCGGCATGAGGGGCGGGTATCATTGCCGGCCTGGTCGGCGGCCGGTCTCTTGAAACGTAATAGGAACATTAGGCTGGATTGTAATCAGTGTCATCATTTCGTAATCATGCGGTTGTCGCCACTGAGAATCTCGGGCCCTGGCCCTGGCCCGGTAGCTTGTCGATCTAGTCATCGCCGAGCATCTCCTTGTCCCACGTCGTCCTCTTTCTCTTTCTCTTTCTCTTTCTCTTTCTCTCTCGCTCTCTCTCTCTCACTCACTCCTGTCTCTCCATTATCTGCACTACTCTCGTTTACCCAACCCCCATCGCCAACATGTCGGACATCGTCAAGCACGTCGACACCCCGCTCGCCGACATTGACGAGGTGAGTTGACCGAGTGTTCAGCGAGATCAACGAGCTGCTTGATACCCGGTTGTGTCGTCTCTTCCTAGCCCTTCCGTGCAGTATCTGACTCCAGGCGTACGATCGCCTCCAGGCCACGTTCGCGAGCCACAAGACGCTCTCGCTCGCGTTCCGTACCTACAACCTCAAGCAGCTTGCGTATCTCATGCAGGACAATGTTGAGCGCTTCCAGACTGCCCTCGCGTCCGACCTTCAGAAGAAGCCGTTCGACGTCGAACTTTCGGAAGTCTGGCCCGCACTGGGTGACATCGATCTTGCAATTAAGCGTCTTCCTGAGTGGATGGCCGACGAGAGCAAGTCGAAGGACGCGACTGGTTCCTTCAAGCTTGCTCGTGAGCTCTCAGCCTGGCGTGTAGCAGCTGACGGCAGGGCCTCGTGTCGTCAAGCAGCCCAAGGGCGTCTCACTGGTATGTCGACGCGCCCCAGTCCCATGGCCGAGTCGCCCGCCGAGAAACTAGACTTACTCACGCCCAGATCATCGGAGCTTGGAACTTCCCCGTGCTTCTCTGCATCTGCCCACTGATCGCTGCCATTTCAGCCGGCTGTCCTGCCATCATCAAGGTCAGAATATGACTTGTGGAATGCAAGCTGACAGCAGGGATCAGAGCACGCCCCAGCTGCATCCGCCCTCCTCGCAGAGCTCATCCCGAAGTACCTTGACCCTAATGCCTACGCATTTGTTACCGGCGGCCCGGAGCAGGCTACTGCCCTCCTCCAGAAGCGCTGGGGCCACAGTAAGCCCGGCAACCCTCGAATCCAGCTTACACCAGTCCTGTACACGGGCTCGGGTCAGGTCGGCAAGATCGTCGCCACGGCCGCTGCGCAGACCCTCACTTCAACCACTCTCGAGCTCGGCGGCAAGAGCCCAGTTGTTGTCTCTGCGGACGCCGACATTGGCATCACCGCGCGCCGTATGCTCAGCATGAAGCAGCTGAATGCCGGCCAGGTGTGCGTTTCACCCGATTATGTTCTCTGCGCCAAGGAGCGCGTTGACGAGCTGATCTCGACCATGAAGGCCACGTAAGTGTGAGGAAAGTGCGATACTCACGTCAGTCTTGACGAGTTCTACCCCGCCGGTAGCGCGCGCTCGCTCGTTGGTGACAGCTTCGAGTTCGCGTCTGGAATCCGCAACGCGCGCGACTACGAGCGCCTCACGAAGATTGTGGAGCAGGCCGATGAGGAGGGCAAGCTCGTCTACCGCGGTGAGACGGACGTGTCGCGCAACCGCATGGGCATCAACCTCGTGCGCCTCAACCTCAACGGCGAGGGCGAGACCAGCACCCTTGTCACCGACGAGATTTTCGGCCCCATCATCCCCATCATTCCCGTTGATGTGAGTTTTACCATTGCAAAGCGTGCTTTGACTGACCCGCAGGACGTTGACGCCGCTATCCGGTACATTAACGCGCGCCCGACTCCACTCTCGCTCTACGTCTGCTCCAGCAGCCGCAAGGTCTTCCTCAAGGGTAGGCTTTTTGTTTCGAGGTAGCTAACCTCCAGTCATCGAGAACACGATCTCTGGCTCTGCCATCTGGAACGACTTCTGCCTGTCGCCTGTCGCACGCACTCTGCCCTTCGGCGGTGTCGGCGAGTCTGGCTGGGGCAGCTACCACGGCTACTACGGCTTCCTCGCCTTCTCGCACCAGAAGGGTGACTTTGCAATTGCATAAACAGTGCTGACCGCAGCCGTCATTGAGATCCCGCTCTGGCTCGAGGTGGCCCAGAAGGCCCGCTACGCGCCCAACTTCAACAAGAAGCTGGTGCGCATGGTCATGGGAGGCAAGGTCAAGTTCCCGCGCCCCATCAGCCTGGAGCACGAGGAGCGCTCGCTTGAGCGCTCGCGCGCCCGCCGCCACCTGTACATTGGTGTGCTTCTCGTGGCGATTGGCGCGTGGCTCGGCTTCGGAGGTCGCAAGATCACCAACCTGTTCACGGCTGTCAGAGCCAAGATTGGCGTTTAAAATGTTCTATATTCGTGTGTTTTTTGTGTTTTCCTTCAGTTATACAATGTATGATGCTGCAGAGTTTCTCGCAGAGGTGGCGCCGGCATAGGCGCAATGTGCATTGCAAGTATGATGTAATGTGGCAATGAGATAGTGAACAAGCAGATCGTCCCGCCGCGTCCTGCGCGGTGCGATATGAACCCGGTCTCAAGATGTGGGATCAGGCGCCCAACCCTGGGGCGCCACGATGAGCTTCTCCTCCTCCGGCGTCTCCGAGACGATCGCGGGAGTCACCTTCTCCTTCGGCGCCGTGGCAGTCTCTCTTCTCTCGATGCTCGAGGACTCTGCCTTAGTCTCGTCGTCGGTCTCGGCGTCGATGGCTCCCTTAATCGTCGACTTGCGGCCAGGTGGCGGCCTGGGAGTATTGGGATGGGGTATTTCGAGTTCCGGTGGATCAGTCCAGCGTACGGTGCCCCACGCCCAGAGTGCCTGTTGTCAGCTCGGGCATGCCTTCGCGACTGCACTTCTCCCCCTCTCCCCTTCTCTCCTTCTCTCACCCGTTTACGCTGACCCCTTCTGACGTGCTACTCACCTTGCCAATCTTGTCCGGCCAGTCATGGCAGCGCACCTTGCTCGGCGGCGAGTCGACCCAGTCGACGTCCTCGCGATACCGCCCCTCGGGGCGCGGCATCTCGAGCCACCCGCGCGTGCGCGCGTCGCCCTTGCCATACGTCAAGTGCACGCCGGGGACAGTGAGAACGCGGCCGAAGCCGTACCGCCAGAAGTCCCAGGAGATGAACATGCTCTCGCTCGACTGGCACTCTTCCTCGCCCTCGCGCTGGTCCGGGCGCCGCGGGATGCCGCGGCGGAAGCGCACGTTGTACGGCGGCGCGAAGGGCGCCGGGTTGATCACGAGCATGCCGTTCCACCCCGAGAAGACTTGGTAGGGAAGCAGGCGGTCGTGCCGTTCGCGCGTGGCCGGCGAGGAGGGGAAGAACTGGGGTCAGAGGCCTCGGCGGAAAAGCTCACCTTTGCTGGCTTTTCCTCGTCTTCCTTCGGAACGGGGAAAGGCGAATACAGGTCGCCGCTCATGTCGCGTCCGACCCAGCCGTCGTAGAACCACTTGCCGGCGTGGTCCCACCCACACGTGATGTCGCTGTCCTGCGTCTCGTGCTGGTGCAGAAGCTCAAGGACATGTCCCGCGCCAAAATAGACGTCGTTGTGCCACACCACGTGCGTCCAGTCCTTGCCATCCGGGGCGGCGTGCGGCGTATCGCTCTCGAAGATTGGCGCCATCGCGTCGTTGCGCATCCGCGCGAGCAGCTCGATGCGGTGCGAGTGCTCCCAGTCGAGAGGCGGCGTGTTAGTCTGCAAAAAGATGTTCTCGGGCGGCACGCCGATAAACAAGAGGTGCTCGCGGAGAGCGCCGGCGAGGAGCTCGCCCGAGCCGTCGTCGCTTCCGCCCTCGACTAGCGACACGACCAGACTTTCTGGGCCCAAAAAGTCCGCGAGGACAGTGTACGTCGCGAACCAGTCGGCCAGCATGCCGGCGACCTGCTTGCACACGGCCACCATGAGGATGCGCTTCTCTGTGCCCGGCACGACGGCGCCATTCTCGAAGCGCGGGGCAAGGTGCGCGTATCGCTCTCTCAAGGCGGGGGTGAGGAAGGGGGGAAAGATCGGCGACATGAGATCGTGCTCTGCAGGCACGGCGGGCGTGCGATCCCTCACGCCATTGATGAGCGGGCGGAGGAAGTCGAATGCCTGCCGCAGGCTAGGGAGGGGAGCTTCGGCGTACCCGTGTCTGTGGCCGAGAGGGATGCGGGATACGCCGGGATGCCGTGGTTCTGCGCGCGAGTCGTTACGTGGCGGAGGGACGATGGGGCGCTGGGCGCGCACACGGGCGGGGCGGGCGGGGGTATGTGACGTCCGCCATTTGGAGCTCGCGAGGCTCCATATAGCGAAGAGGAAGAGGAGGGCGGAGAAAAAGAGCCCGACGCGGATGAAGTTGCGCGGGGGCCATATGCGGACGCCGCGGCGGCGGCGTCGAGATGATGTGCGTACGGGCAGGGGGAAGGCGGGGGCGGGGAAGGCGGGGGCGTGGGCGAAAGCTGGGGTGTGGGGATGTCGCGAGATGGGGCTGCCCATGATGCTCGGAGGCGTGGGGGAGCAGGCGAGGTCGCTGGGTTGTGGTCAGTGATGGTCCGCCGGGTGTACGCGGTTGAGCGCGGCGCGGGGAGGTGGAGGGGTCGTGTGCAACAGTGAGGTGGAGATGGAGGGGGAGACGGTCGAAGGTATTAAAGAGTGACGAGTGAACGAGTGACGAGGCGTCGGCGGCGGAGAGCTGAGCGCGAGCGTGGGGGAGAGCTCGAGCACGAGCAGAGCAGAGATACGAGAATAACGAGCGTGTTGTGGAGAAGAAAAGAAAAGCCCACACGCGCCTTCGCTGTCCGCTGTCCACTCTCCACCATCACGAGGTCTGTGCGGTCTGTGCGCGCCCTGATCCGCCCTCCGGCCCTCTAGGATTGGGCGGGCCTTCGGCCCGGCCCGGCGCGGCGGTGCGGAGGCGTCAAGCCTCATGCTCGCACGAGCATGCCGCGTTTTCCGGCGGCAGAGCTCGCGCAGGGGCACTTGGGCATGGGCGACACGGCCAAGCGGGGCAGGCACCTCCGGCAATAACGTAATAACGGTATGAGGCCCAGCACCTGCGTGCTGGCCAGGTGCTGCGACGTGAATGCGTGAATGCGAGGGCGCGAGCGCGCAGTATGCGGGAAAGGCAAGGGGGGCAAGGCGGGGCATTGCTGGCTGACCAGTGCCATGGGCCTTTTGTGGCGCCGCCTCGCCGCCCTTGTGCCCTGGCCTCCGTGTTCCGGCGGTTCGAGAAGGTCCAGCTTGCCGCCTGCTTGCCTGGCTGGCTGGAGGCCGAGAGCTCAAGGCCGAGGGCCGAGGGCCGAGGGCCGAGGCGGAGATAGCAATCAAGGCGGTGCTTGCCAAGAGGAGGATCTGGCGAGCCTGAGCGCCAGGCATGGGTGTGGAATGCGCCGACCGGGCCGATGATGGAGACGGCCGACCGAGCTCGAGCGATAGCCGAGATAAACTTTATCGCTCTGTTTCATTCGGCCTCGGCTTGGCCATCTGCGCGGTGCAGGCGAGCCCACACCCACATCCACACCCACACCCACAAGGCATCCAATGTAACGCAGCCTATATCATACACGTACACACCGCACATACTACACTACTCGCCGTCCCAGACACACATCTCCCACGTGCGCGCGCGCCCCTGGCGGCCCGTAATCTCCTCGTTGTTGGCCTTGCTCAGGCCCTCGCGCCACCCGATCGTCCGGCGGTGCGCGTACCCCGGCCACGCGGCGGGCACAAAGTCGAAGCTCCGGAGCACGCGGAAGCGGGGCTGCGCGTCGCGCGTGCCGGGGCACATGGGCGGCGGGCGGTTCGCGAGCTTGGGCAGCTCCCACTCCGAGTACGGCGGCTGGTTGAGGAGCGTGATGAGGAGTGTGCCTTGGCGGTCGGGCGGCGTAAACGACGCTGGCACCGGGCGGGTGCTGCGCATGCCGTCCTCGTCTTCATCTTCGTATTCGTCGTCGCCAACAGGCGAGAAAGAGGGCGCACGCGGCCGTTTCGGCGCTGGCCCCTTCTTCTTCTTCTTTGAGGGGAGGGGGAATGCGCTCGGCCCGACCGTCAGCAGCGGCGCGACGCTCTTCAGTGTGCGGAGGAGCAGCACTTGGTTCGCGCGCACGTTGCGATCTTGGTCCGTAATGCCCTTGCCGACGTGCGGAAAGTTGAAGACGACGCGGCTCCAGCGCGCGCCGCGTCCCAAAACTTTGTGCGATTTCTCGAGCGCGCCGGCGTCGACGCCGAACGCGACACGCACCCCGCGCGCACGCAGCGCCGCGACGTTCTCCGCCGCGTCGGGATACTTCTCCGTCGCCTCCGCTTCGGTGTCGTACGCCGTTGCGCAGACTAGGTGTCCCGCGTGTTTCCGCCCTTCGACGAGCGCGCGCGCAAAGGAGAAGTTGGCTTCGCCGAGAAGGAGCACGGTGTCGTCCGGCGCGATGGGGATGGTCGCGCGCGCAAGCGCCTTGGCGGCGAGCGCGGCTTGGTCGCTGGCTTCGGCTCTGTCGTTCTTCGCCCTGGTCTCGGACTCGGACGTCCCAAAACCCTCATCCTCATCCTCGTCCTCGTCCATACCCTCGCCGTCCCCAGCTACGCCGACCTCAGCGGCCAACTGTGCCGCCTCGCGGCGCGCGCGCGCCTCGGCCTCCGTCGCAGCGAGGGCGCGGACCTGCGCGTCCCGCTCCCTCCTCTGGCGCTTGAGCGCGCGTTTCTCCGCCACGCTATGCTTGACCTCCTTGGCCATTTTGGCCTTGTTTTCTGCGCGCTTGGCTTCCGCGGCGCGCCGGGCGGCCGTGGCTTGGTGTGCGCCGAGTGCGGATTTGAGTTTTGGCATGGGAGTGTTTTAGAGAGGGAGGATGAGGGAGATAAAGGTAAGATCCCGAAGGACGGCGCTGGGTTGCGCGGAGGATGCCAAGATGACCGGTTGCGCTGTGAGAGTGGCGAGTGAGAGTGCTGAGAGTGAGAGTATTGACGTCTCGCGACGGTGTCAAGGTGTGGCAACTTTTAGATTCCGGGGTGGAGGCGGTTCGCGCCCGAGAACCGGCGGGTTCTGCCCCCTGCACCACACGCGCCCAAAATCAGAAAGCAGGCACGTCCAAGGTTATTCCGAAGATCCGGACCCTGTGCCCTGCCGCGTGCATCGTCCCTCACCATGAATTGGCCAAGCGGGGGCTGACATTAGCGTGGCGTACTGTTTGGTTCCATGACAGACAAGAGATTGTCCGACGATGCCAACAGGTTTTGCGTTGTTCAAAGATGCTGCTTGTGTGATGGTGGGCGAGTGTGGCTAGTACTGTACAGTATGGGACTCTGGGACGATGATGAAGAAGACGCTCGGGTCGTCTTACGCAATCAGGAACAGATCCCAGGGGTCGTCGCGTCCATTCCGGCCGTGCACAAAACGCGTCCAAGTCGACTTCTACTCGCTCTCCCTCTTTCTCTCTCTAGATCTCTCTCTCTCCTCTCTCAAACTCCCCCAGCGTACACTAAATGTCCTATGCATAGAATACTAGACCAAGGCCAACGCATGCACAGCGGGCATAGTCTCAACAATGTCTAAAAGTGGCGGGTCGCATGTCTCACAAGAGCACCCTGCCCTCTGCCTCACTCAATCAGTCGTGGTACCAGTGGCGGCGCGCCTGGCCGCCAGCAACGTTCGACCGCCAGACCTGGTTCGCGTTGCCTGGTTGTCAGTCATCTGTAGCCCCCAGGCCCGACTCACCGTTGCCACACGTCCACACCTGCAGCTGGTTGCCGTTCTGGGCACGGCCGTCCGTCAGGTCGAGGCAGAGACCGCTGTTGGTAACAGCGATGCGGTTGTCGGGCGTGTAGTACCACTGCTGCTGGGTCAGGCCGGGGTAGCAGGTCCAGAGGTGGATCTTGGAGCCGTCGCGGGGGTTGACACCGGCGTCGAGGCAGTAGTTGGTACCGGCGACCTTGATCTGCTGGTTGCCGCGGACGAGGGTGAAGCCCTGGGCGGGGGTGCCGTTGCACTGGTAGCTGGATGTGAGCGCGAGTCCGAGGGAGTGCGGGTGGGGGTGAGGGTGCGCGGCGGCGTCTCTATTTCGGGCGACGCACGGCCCACCCTCGCCAACCTTGCCCGCACTTCAAGTCTAATTCGCGCCACTCACACCTGGACGGGGATACCGTTGGCGAAACGGGCGCCCGCAACGTCGACACAGAGGTTGGTGTGGGTGCCGGGGTGGATGACGGTGCCGGATCCCGAGGGGGGCGGGGTGGTGGTGGGCGGGGGGACGGTGGTGCCGTCCTCGTCTGGGCAGACGAGCTCAGCGACGGCGAGGGCGGCGAGGAGGGAGAGCTTGATGAGGGCGAGCATTATGATTGTGGTATTAAGAAGGAGGGTGGTGAAGCGATGAAGAGGATGGAGAGATGGAGAGATGGAGAGATGGAGAGATGAAGAAGAAGAAGAAGAGTGTTTGCGAGGACGAGGACGAGGGGGGGGGGGGATGTTAAGAGCGCTCAAGAGCTGGGGGCCAAAGGAAGGAGGAGCATGTCAGGGATCACGTCTGTTCGCAGGTGCGTGCGTGCAGGTTGTGTCTGTTGGGCGCTGTCCAGGGCTTGTTGGTCGTTGGCTCAGGGGGGAGCCATGCGTCAAATATCCATTAGAATGGAAATCTACAGTAATAGCCTTTGATCTAATCCCTCTGGTCCCTCTGGTCCCTCCCATCCTTCAACTCAGCCTCTCAGCCGCCATAAGCCATAAGCCGCCATAAGCCACCCAGCCATCATGCATCACGCGCAGATGGACACACGTTGCCAAGCATTCACCCCATCGCAGATGACAGAACAAGGGCCGCCAGTGGAGCTACGCCTCGTCGTCTACACTATTCGCTTCCGAGCGATCGCGGTGGTCCGACGTGCCCAAAAGGCGCGGCGAGAGCGCGGGCTGCAGAGCACAAGAGCAGCAGAGCAGCTGACGCGTCGGAATGTCACAGGCAAACGCCTCAAAGGGTGCACGGGCGGCAGCCTCGCCCTGGTTGGCATGGTTTGGGTCATCCCACCCCGCCAACCACATGTCGTTATGTCCAAGAGCATGTGCGACGGGTGATGGGCCGACGGGCGGCGGGCGACGGGCGGCAGGCGGCAGGCGGCAGGCGGGTGACAATGGCCCGAATTATTACACACCCTCCTCCGAGCTCAAAGCTGTGTATAGGTGGCAGACACCCAGCGCACACGCCCCGACGCCGAGCTTCCTCCGATGGACTGGCGAGATTGGCTTATGGCTCCAGATCCGAAGGAGGTTGGGAAATGGTGAGGAGCGTTGGGCATGGGCCATTGGCTGTCGGGCGGGCGTTAGGTGTTGGTCGCATGAGCGGAGAAGGCGGAGGCGGTAGAGGCGGTGGAGGCGGCGGTGGTGGTTGGTGGTGGTGCAGAGATCGGATCGGGCTGTCTTTGTTATTATTCAAGGAAGAGTGAATGGACGGAGTGGTGCATGGTGCGCTGGCTCGTACCACGCGTGCCAGGCTGACATATAACAAGACGCCTCCCAAAGTTGTCCAAAGTTGTCCAAAAGTAAAATCGCTCACGCGCTCACTCACGCGCTACTCATGTGTCATTTTGGCTGTTGTGGCCCAAGTGCACAAGTGTTCAACCTCGTTGTCCTTCGTATCACTGAAGCCGCCTTGATCCACCAGTCCAGACTGCCACACCCCGGGCAACCCGCATCGACACTCCCCATGCATGTCTAAATCTAGTAATGAGAATGAGTATAGATACAGTAAGGTAGACAAGGTCAAAGCGCCTCGCTACCCATTATACGTCTTCGCCCGAGCCAGCTCGAACAGAAGCACGGGCGACAACTTAGTGCAAGACAGTCATCATGGCGCCAAGCGCCGCCGCAGCGAGCGCGGCTGCAATGGACGCCCCGCCCAGAAGCGGCTTGGCCGAGGCCGCCGCCGCTGTGGCAGACGCGAGCGTGATGCCCGACGTCTGCACATTGTTCGACAGGCCCTTCTCAGCGAGCCATGTCGGGGTCACCCCCATCACCGGCTCGTACTCGCCCTGCACAGCCTGGTTCATGTCCGTCCCATCCCAGCACCACGTGTCAAAGCAATCCTGGCACTCCTGGGTGCGATTGGCGGCAGTGTAGCCAAACGAGCGGTCCGACATGGCACATGCGAGACACCTGGGCCACTCCGGGACAGTCCCGTTCAGAGTGACCGAGCGCATCGCACTCTCCATCTGCTCGAGCGCCGTCGGCGTGTCGTACTGCAGCTGGTAAGTTGACGAGTTGCTGTACCAAGTCCACGGGTAGTGCGGAATGTAGACGACCATGGGCGTGTCCGTTTGGTTGCAACCAAAGAAGACGGGGCGCTGGTTCAAACCCTGGTTGACAAAGCCGTTCGTCGATGGCACCCTGGGCATCCTAATAGTGATGCCAAACGTCTCCTGGAACTTGAGGGCACGGTCGTAGGTCGTCCAGAGCGAAGAGCCGTTCGGCCACGAGTACGTCGTGTCGGCCGAATTGTCAAATGCGACAATGGCGTCTACCTGGCGACCGGACATAAGGAGAGGCTCAATGGGGATGTTCTGATTCGTCTCGCCAGCGTCGACCATGGTCAGGTACTCAAGGTTGGAGACGGCATTAGGCAGCTCGGTGTAGTTGGCGGCAAAGTTGACGTACTGGGCCACATCGTTCTTGTCCTGCGATACGTCGGCGAGGATGTCCTTGAGCAAATCGACGAGGCCGGACGAGTTGAGTTGCGCGAGCTGAAGCAGACCGCCGTTGAACAGCGTCGACGACGTGCCCATGACAAAGCTCATCTGGTCAAAGCCCTTGTAGCACTTGTTCATGTCGACGGGCTGGCCGCCGCTCATGCGCGTGCCAATGTACTCGATGGGTGTGAAGAAGCCAGCGGTCTTGTTGTTGTTTTGGCCAATAGCCCATGAGCCGTACTCCCATGGCGTAAACTCCCACACGGTCGAGTTGGAGGGCACGACTACCTCTCCTGGCTCACGCCTGTGTAGGTCAGCGGCTGCACACGCAAGTAGAGCTTACTCGGCAGCGATGATAATGGGCACTGGCAGCTCAGCGTTCTGCAGCTGGGAGATATTGCTCAGGAGGCCGGAGAAGGTAATGTTGGGCGACGTGTCAAGGCGCCACTGCTTCGGCAGGAGGTGGTCGCCGAGAGCGAGGGCCCAGTAGTCGGTGATTTGAGTAGGGAAGCCCTCGGCGGCCTTGGCGCGCACGTTGGACAGCATGTTAAGGTAGAACGACACCTTGCCATCGGAGGGGAAGATGAGGTTCGAGTCGAGGTTGAGCACGTTCTGCAGTATGTCGGTAGGGAGCATACCACCGTTGGCCATGAATGAGCCAGTGGCCCACGAGCCGCCGGACAGGCCGGCCATGTAGGACGCAGCATCGAGCCAGCCGCCAGTGCCGGCACTGGAAGACTCTGGGCTCTGGCTCATCATGCCCTGGGTCATGCCGAGGCCGTTGATCATGGCGCGGTAGCCGCCACCCGAGAGACTGAGCGCGACCACGGGAGTGCGAGGCGGCATCTGAGAGAGGCCCGCCTTGGTCATCATGCTCTGGAAGGCCTGGTCCATTGCAGGCTGGCGCCTGGCTAGGTAATCCCTCTCGCTCTGGCTGGTGCCCTGTAGAGTCAGTGTCTGCGAGGAAGGCCATCTCCGTATCGTCCCGCCGAGCTCACCTGTCTAGCTGAGCGGATCCAGTTGACGCCCGTGGGGCACGGGACGCTGTACGGCTTGTAATCCTCACTGCCGTCGCCGATAAGGAAGCTCTGTGAATCCTTGACGCCGTCTGGGATGTCGAGCTGGTCAGTGCCTTGAGGGTCATCCTCGACGGCACGGCGAACGGCCCAGCCGAGTTCACGGTTGGCCTCGTTCCAGGCAGCAACATCGGGGCCTTGGGCGAAGACGGGGGCTGCCGCCGCGAGGGCGACGAGGGCGATGGCTGTGTGCATGTGTTGTTGTTGTTGTTGTTGTTGTTGTTGTTGTTTGGAGGGGTGGGGGCGGAATGAAGGGGGTCGAGGAGAGGAAAGAGAGGTAAGGAGGGTGGAGTAGTTTGTGGAAGAACGAGGCGATGAAGAGAGAGGGAGAGAGGGGGAGAAAGAGAGAGAGAGAGATGAGAGAGATGAGAGAGATGAGAGAGAAAGAAAGCAAAAGAGGAGCTCCGAGGATGACCGAGACGACGTCTGCTGCCATTCAACTCATCATCTTGTAACTCTGGACCCACTCCACATCGGCCGCCGATTCCACAAATATTAAGCAATCTATCCCTGAGCAAGACAAAATCAACTTGTTGCGCAGCGGCTCCGCATGCTCCCTCGTCTACGTGTCTGCAGTGCATGCGGTGTTGCATGCATCGCGATGATTGAGCGCTACGGCCTCGTTGCCGTGGCCCGCGTGTGCGTTTGCACAGATGAATGCACAGACGCACTGTTAGGCGCTGTCCGGTGGAGCGTGTTGAAACGCCGCACCCAGCGACGCGACGTGACCGCGCCCCTTCTGTATCTTGGACCGCGTCATTCCTTGGCTCGAGGCTCACGTTGGCCACTCCTCATCACCCGTGGCAACGGCGGGTCTCGCATAATACCTGCACGACGTCCGCCGTCGACGTCGCCGCGTCGTCGTTGGTGGATGATTCAAGAGTTGTCTTACCTCCCTGTCGCGGCGATCGACAGGTGCGCTGAACGGTATGACCCTCTTTCGTGCCCTGGACTTGGCATGCTGCGCAACCTCCTCGGCGCTCGGCGCGCTCGGGCGCCGGCCGCGACGTCTTCCGTGTCTCACCTCGCAAAGTACTCCAGTACAGCCGGATGTCCGAGCACTGTCGAGCGATGCGTACAGCATCAGCGCATGCATTGTAATCGAGGCGCGCCGTTTCTATCAGCCAGCTGTCGGATGAACATGCCCATCATGTCGCCTCCGTCGCGCGGCTCCCGCCGACCAGTCCTTGCGCCAAGTATCCGCTTCCCAGGTTGATCGTCTTGGAGCACCATTATCGATCTGACATGCGGTGCTGCTGTGTCAGACGTGCAGTTACATGATGCGTAGGACTTTCGTTGACTCTGATTGACGCTCCGGGTCAAGTCCGCACCTCCGCAGAGTTCCGCTTCCGCCTCTGCCTGGCATGACGTCCACCCACGTCATTCCTCTGACTGAGGCTTGAGATTCCCATCGTGGTCTGTCCTCTTCCCTCCTCACCATCACAATGGCCGAGCACTCTCACGCGCACGGCGGGCACTCGCACTCTGACGCCCTCAGCCACGGCCACGGCCACGGCCACTCCCACGGACACGCCCACGGCCACGCCCACGGACACGCCCACGACTTCTGGGACGGCGCAGCCTACCTCTCCCGCCCCGGCGTCCAAGAGACCGCATCCATCAACGCCGCGAACCTCGAGTCCGCCCTTTCGGCCCTCTCGCACATTCACACAGACTTCAAACCCTCAAACTTCCCCAACCTCTCACTGATCGAAGTCGGCGCGGGCCCGGGGGCCGTGACAGCGCACCTCGCGCCGGTCTTCGGGACCGTGTACGCGACCGAGCTGAGCGCCAACATGCTGTCCGCGTTCGCCGCGCAGCCCGTCGCGCAGCGCCCGAACGTCTCTTACGGCTTGGTTGGGCTGGGGCCGGGGTCCAAAGCGGATTTCGAGGGCGGGAAGGCGTTCCCGGCACCCACGGAGGCCGAGCCGGACCGCACGGCGGCGCCGCCCGTGAAGAGCTTTGATGTCGCGGCTGTCAATCTTGTCCTGCACCATGTTGATGATGTGCATGCGTTTATGGAGGGCGTGAAGGGCGTGCTGAGGCCTGGAGGCGCGGTCATTATTACCGAGTTCACGCTCGCGGAAGATGGGACGGATGTAGTGGCGAAGAACCGCGCGATGAAGGCTGAGAGGGAACATGTGAGTTGGCGAAGGGGTGGGGGAAGGGTGGGGAGGGAGAGGAAGAGTGGTAGCGTGGAAGAGCCTCAACGCTGCAACGCTGACGGCAGAACGCAGCCGCCGAAGCTACAGGCTCCGTCAACGCCCCGGGACACCACCACGACACCTTCTCCCTCGAGTCGATTCAGAAGATGCTCACGCACTTCGGGTTCACCCATGTCGGGGCTGCGCGTGGTCCCATGCTCCCAGTGTTTGGGCCTGACATGGACCCCGTGCCGGGCATGTATGCCTACGGGCTGGCGCCGTAGAAAATGGGACCCGCAGAGGCAATCAGAAGTATCTTACTAGCCGTCTACGATGTAGTCATCTACGGCTAAGCGGCAAAGTCAAGTAAAGCCGCAGACTACACCCCCACACCGCCGGGTATCAAACGATGCATGGCGACGAGACGGATTAGGCCAGATATACACATTACAACACGCCTAGATCTGCTGGTCAGCTTCCAATCCTGCGCGCGAGAACGCCAACTCACAAGAGACAACTCGAGGGTCCACACACGCCGCGCCCAGACCTTGACTGGCATCGTCTTGTCCGACATCGTCGACTCGGGGACCTCGACCTCGACGCCGTCCCACCAGCACTTGCGCTGCCGTTAGCACAACTTGCGGATGCACTCACCGCAGGCTTGCGCCAGAACAAGAGAAGCTTCTGCGCAGTGCCCATCTGCTTGTCGTCGATTATGGGCGTGGTGATGTCGGCGGGAGCGCCGGGCTGGCCAGGGTGAATGATACCCGTCTTCAGCAAAACCAGCGCCATCGAGCTGATGACATTACGCGTGGGCTCGCATGCACGGTAACCCCACTCGTCGTCGCGGTTGAAGCCGCTCATGCACAACATGTCGATCAGGTGCTGCTCGGCCTGGTTGTTCTCCTTGTTGACGTTGCGCTGGAGAGCGGTAAAGATCTGGCGCTTGGACGCGAGCGCCTCGCCTGCGGCACGCTTGAGTGCGCGCAGCTCGTCGTTCGCCTGCTCATGTGCGTCAACGCGCGCGAGAGCGCCCGGCTTCGTGATGCTAAAGTACTCGAGCTCTTCGCGGAGTACAATGATTGCTTGCTTCGTGAGGAGTGGGTTCTGGTTCACGTCCGAGTTTGGGTCGCTGGGCGATGAGGGAATGTTCTGCTGCGCGTGGAAGAGGCCAGGCGAGGTGGGCGTGCCGTAGAACGAGGCCTGCGCGTCTGCCCAGAAATCAAGGATGTACTGGAAGCAGTCCGGGTCGAACTGGGGTTAACATTGTGTGGGATAAGAGAGGCGAAGAAGGTGAAGTTGGGTGGGTGAGTGAGAAGGAAAAGCCACAGCAGGGCGTCCAAGCGCCCACCGCCGGCCCAGCACTCACGTCAACGGTGAAGACGCCGTCATCCCCACCATCCCAAGACGCAGGCTTTGACAGAATCAGGCCCTGGGGAAAGAGGCCGAGGAGCACGCTCTCGGGCAGGAGCATAAGGGTCTCGCGCTCAACGGGGAACATGCGCCCCCGGAGGTCGAGGTTCAGGCGCGTCAGCAACGCCTGGTTCGTGTAGATCCCCGGCGCCTGGTACCCGGGAGACACCGAGGTAATGGGGTTGACGCTGGTAATGGGGTTGGATGGGTCGGCGGTGGACATGGTGGGCGCGAGGTTGGCGGATGTGGGAGTAAAGGAAAGGGGAGGCGCAGAGGGGAGAAGGAGGGGGAGCCACGGAGGCGTCTGAGGAGGACCGGCGAAGAGACGACGCGGGAAGTAGAGAGCGTGTTGGAGGAGAACGGAGTGAGCGGATTGAGACGAGTAGTGAGGAGGGGGGTATTGTCGACGGAGAAGGTGGCTCGAGTGTCGAGGCGGGAGGCGCGGGGTGGCTGGGCGTCGCGTGTTGGATGAGCACGGACCCTTTCCACTTTGGTTCCGTTCGCCGCTGGTTGAGAATGTAAACAACCATCCCTGCTGCAATGCTGTTATGCCGTTATTACGATGTCCGAGTCGATGGAGACTCAGGTGCTTGCGGTTATTAGTTATGCCCCGAGTCGTGCACGCTCGGCCACGTCGATGCCACAGTCTGATCAATCATCAGGCCGTTGACTTGCACATCTGAGAATAGATGGTGGAGAAAAGCAGTCCAGCCATCTGTCGCAGCGATGTAGACGTGCCCAAGCGCCCTCTTAGTCTCCTGTGCACTTTCGACGCGCCTGTTTGTTATTCTCCTCCGCTCGTTCAGCACCATTGCGATATGACTGTTTCTTGAGTGTCGCTTGATGTCTCGAGACAACTCCATATCAGAGTCACGTGATGCCGCTCGCCCACGCTTCGGGCTCCACCTGTCCCGCAATCTCGGAGGTATCCGATATCACTTAGGACCGAACGTGCTCCAACGCAGAACTCCTCGTCCTCACATTCACACTGTCGAACACAGCGAGAGCTGCACCGTTGGGGAGTATATCCGATCCATCACTAGCGCTCGATACCAGCCCTCAGCGCTCTCAAGCGCCTCGCTTGCGGTCTGATCCGACCATCATCGCCAAGGTCAGCTGCCCCGACCACATGGAGCACGCGGAACTCTCCGATATTATAGACCGGCGCAGCTGCACGACCCGTGTTTCAGCGCCCGGCGGCATCTTTAGAGGCTAGTGGCGCCGTAAGCTGCATCAACGTTGCGATGGACACCACCCACTCCACCATGAAGCCCCGCACACCCCTCTGGCGCCGGATCCTCGGCCACATCGCGGCTCAGTGGAACCTGCTCGCAATGGGCGTCCTCATCGCACTCGCTTACGTCTTCCCCCGCGTCGGCATGACGGGAGGCGCGCTGCGCGCAGAGTACACCGTGACCTGGGGCGGTGTGGCGCTCATCTTCCTCATTGCTGGCCTTTCCCTCTCGCTTGACGCCCTCAAATCCGGCCTGCCACATGTACAAGCGCACGTCGTCTGCGCGGGCTTCACGTACCTCGTGGCGCCGGCGCTCGCATTCGGGTTCGGCACAGCCGGCCGCGATGCCGGCCTCGACGTCTACGTCATGGGCGGGATGGTAGTCACTGGTGGCTTGCCGACGACGGTCGCGAGTAATGTGAGCGCGACACTCGCTGCGGGCGGGAGCACCGCCCTTGCCAGCATCGAAGTCCTCCTCTCCAATACGCTTGGTCCGTTCATCGCGCCGCTGCTGGCGAAGATGTTCCTCACGCCCCAAATGGGGTGGGACGAGGCCCGGCCCGGTCGTGGCGACCTCACCCCCATCTACGTCCGCATGGCGAAGCAGCTCAGCGCCGCCCTCCTGGGACCTATGGTGAGCCTCTGCGTCGACGACGCTGACCTAGCTCGTCGGTCTGTTTATTCAGCACCTCTTTCCGCGGCCCGTCGCGCGCATCCGTACTGTCCTACATCTCGCCAAGGTCGCCGCGTTCCTCACTAGCCTCTGTGTGTGGCACAGCTTCAGCAATGCGTTTGCGTCGGGCGCATTCCTCACAGCCTCCCACGCCTCCATCATCTATCTGTGCTTCATGAGCTGGGCAAGCTATCTCATCCTTACCGCGCTCGTTTTCCTCGTCGTTCGCCTGCCCGGGATCCCCGGAACGGCGGCGGCGCGTTGGCGCATGAGCAAGCGGGACAGTCTCGCTCTGCTATTCTGCGGGCCGGCCAAAGGTGAGTTTGGGCGGTGTAGCTTAGCTAATGGCAGGCGTTGCCGTCGGTGCCCCCACCATCGCGATCCTGTACGCAGACCGAAAACTTGCGGTGCAAGCCAAGCTCTCGCTGGCGCTCGTAATATACCAGGGGGAGCAAGTGGCGATGGCGCAGGTCGTTGTCCCCCTCTTGCGCTGGTGGGCCAGGGATGAGGTGGCTGCGCACGAGGCGGCCGAGGCGGAGCGACTGCGCGCGCGCGAGATTGCAAAGACTCGCGGTGAGCAGGGCGTGCTGGAGGGAGAGAAGGGGGTCGCGACCGGGACTGAGGATGTCGAGCGCGGCGAGGCACGCCATCGGCAGTTGAGTATCGATGAGCAACTGGCTGTGCAGCGCTAGGTACAGCATTGCCCAACGTGAGGACCACTGTCCGTCAACCTCTCCGATAGTGCAGAGCTTGAGGCGATGCTCTGTCACTGATGTGCGCGTCGATGCCACATATAAGGCAGGACCAACACCGATCTCAGAGAGTGCTCAAGTAACAAATTTATTTGTAGCTATAGTGTGGTTCATTTGCATCTTTCATCAGACCACCCGCTAGCTACTATCTGTCCTCGAGTTCCGATGCTCGACTCCCTACCGTGACCATACTCCTGCGCCAGGTAGCATGCGTCGGCGGCTAAATCTCTTTGAAGAAGAGCGCGCCCTTGTTCCGGTGCAGTACGAGCACGTCCGAGTGCGAGGATCGGCGTGCCTTGGTTAGAGCCTTGGTCGAAGGCGTAATCGGCGACGGTTCGCCGTTTGAGGGGCTCGGGAGTGAGGGGGTGGTCGGCGAGCGGGTCGAGCGGGGGAGCCCGAGGAACTCCTCCAGTGGAAGTGGAATGCAAGTGTACTTCGCCTTCTTCATGGCATCCTTCGCGGCTACGGCGTAGAAATGCGGAGAGGGGGTCCGCGGAGGCCCGAAAAGAGCCTCGAGAGGAATAGGAATCCGGCGCGGCTGCTGTCCCTCGCGAGGTTTGATGCTCGCAGAGCGCTTCGTCATGGAGCCATCACCCACAGCATGCTGCTGCAACTGCAAGGGCGCCTTCTCCATCTCCTTCTCCTTCTCCTTCTCCTTCTCCTTCTTGAAACACAGAGTCACGGTCTTGGGCATCTCTGTCATCGACGGAAGGAGACGAGGGAGGCTCTGAACTCCTTCCATGTGCTCTCCCCTGTACGGCTGCGGTCGGGGAGGAAGCGGATGGCATCCAGAGAGGCCTACGAGCCGCGGCTTTTGCGGAAGCTGGCCCTTGGAGCGCTGGGTCCGCCAACTGCAGGTCGTGGAAGTGTGCGTCTCCGAGCTGGACATCTAAAGTCAGCTAGACGATGGCTAGGCTTACGGTGAATCCAGCCTGGAGGCAGTCAGTGACCGCGAGGTGGTGAAGAGTGAAATTCTGTCCCGGCTGTGCTCGTCGTTAAATAATCGACGGAAGCATTGCATCATTTGCGCTGTCTCGACTTAATTGCTGAGAGTCAGGTGAAGCAATTCGCGTGGTAAGATGGCTGGTCAATTGTTTCAACAATGAGGTGTCCGGCCTGCCGCCTTCAGCCGTGCGCAGTCGACTTGAAAGCATCTAGCATAGCCTAAGCACATCAATGCCTCTACCACCCCGTATCCTTGCCGATCTGATAGGACGCGTTCGACTTCCACTTGTGTCCCTTGGCCCGGCCGACCTTGCTCGTGCCCTTGGTCCTTGGGCCCTGGGAGCGCGCCGCGCGCGCCATCTCTCCCGCGACGGTCTCGCGGAGCTCGTCTACCTTGCCAAGCTTTGAGACCTTCGAGACATTGACGCGCTGGCGGGGTGCCCGCGGCGCACGCACGTACTGCGTGTAGTCGGATGGGGCGGGACCCACGGAGTCGTCCGAATCCCCACTGTCGCTCTCTTCCTCCTCCTCTTCCGAGTACAGTGAGACAGGCGCCGGCGGCTCATCGTCCGGGTCGCCGTCATTGCCGAGCAGACGGTGCAGGCGCAGTTTCTCCAGCTTTGCCGCCGCCTCCTCCGGCGCCTCTTCTGTTGCGGGTGCCTTGCCCTCCTCGCCTTCATCGTCATCGCTGTCATCGTCATCGTCATCCTCCTCCTCGTCTGACAAATCCTCGTTGGGGATGTCCTGCACCTCAATCATGTACTGGTGTCAGCTGTCGCTACAGATGTAAGAAGTACTCACGTCCTCGAGCTGGCGCTGCATGTCACGTCCAAAGCCGCTGGCTTCGACGGCAAGGTCGAGGCGAAGGAACTGAGGCTCATCGGCGTCATCCGCCTCGGAGTCCTTTTCCTCCACATCCAGCGCTGGTGTCTCGAACTTGACCGCAGGCGCTGCTGAAGGCTCGGTCTTGGACACGCCCGCCCCTTCCTCACTTGCAGCGGTTCCTACTTCCTTCTCCTCTTCTTTCTCTTCAGTCTCAGCTGTACTCCCGCCCTCAGCATCAGCTGCCTTCAAGCTCTTCTCATGGTCATCCCACTCTGCCACAACATCGGCCCATACAGGCCACGTCGTTCCCTCAAAGCGGAAGCGCTTGCGGAAGAAGCGCCGGATGCAGTTAACGTCACGGTTGAAGAAGCTGCCATGAGTCTCTGGATCTCTCCCCCGCGCAGTTTTTTGACTTACTATTCCGCATTCTCGTGGTGTGTCGACACCATCTGCGGGAAATCAATCACCACCGCCTCGTACGTCTTGCGCTTGATGAGGATGTTGAACTCGTTGAAGTCGCCATGGATGAGCGAGGCGCGCGCGAACCGCATAATCATCTCCATGAGCTCTCCATACAGCTTAGCGGGATCGGGCACGCTCATAACAGCGCGCAGGGGCTGCGAGTCCACGAGAGACATGACGACGCAATGGCGCGACTGGTCGATGGGCGTTGGGACAGGGAAGCCGTGGTCGTACAGCACCTTCATGAACGCAAACTCCTTCTGCGCACTCAGGCGCGACATGTACATCCACGACGCGGATGCGCGCTTGCCGAGATAGTCGCGCTTGGACTTGATCGCACGGAACGAGATACGTCCCAGGCTGCTGTCAGCTGCATGTATATGCCTGGGAGGGCGCACTCACCGATGCAGCTTGAGCACTCGCTTCTCCCCCTCGCCGTCCTGCACGAGGTAGATGTCGCTCTCCTTGCCTACGCCGATCTTAGAGCCCACTCCGGAAACGCTGGGAGGCTTGCGCTTGTGGAACGTCTTGAGCGCGAGGTAGTCCAGTCCGCCATACGTCAGGCGGTAGCCGTCGTAGCGTGTGTTGGCTACGCGTGCGATGAGATTGCGCCGGGCGAGCTGGCCACAGAGCTTGGCAACGTTACCGCCGCGCAGCTTCGAGATCTCGGCAAGGAGCGGCGTCGGGACAACCTCGTGGTTGCGCGAGCCCATCTCCGCCTGGCGTTAGCACTGGGATAGGACCCCGTTGTCGAAATGGCGCGCAACGCCGCGCTTCACCTTGACAAAGGTGGTAGCCTACTCACAGCTTGCAGGACACGGAACTCCTCATCCGTGATGTAGCGCAGGTCTGTTGCGTCGAGCCTCATGGTGCCGTGGGTAGATCTAATTACGCTGCGCTCTGCTCCGCTCGAGCAATGCCAGAGCTCATCTCCAGAAATCGCACAGAATATTTGGCTCCGCCGGGTGGCGGAAAGTGTCACGTGATCGGCACTCGGCTCTGAAAGGCGTTCGGACTCATGCCGTTCAGAGAGTAACAGCGAGATGGATCGTGTCCGAGGAAACGGCAATCAGCGAGGCAAAGCACCCTGCTCAGTAGTATGGTATTGCTTTGCTGCGTGAACCACAGATGGCACAGCTATACATCCAAGACGCGGAGAGCAAAAACCTTTAGCAACCCCACCAAAAGCACTCGTCCTCCGCCTCCGAATACTCCTCGCGCTCGCTCTCCTCGTTTCCATCCGGCGTGTCGCTGCCCTCGCTTGGCGACTCCCAGTCATTGCTGGAGTCGTGATACCGATCGGAATTCTCGTCGGGATTCCCATCGAAGTCCCGGGTGCTGTTGCCGGGCGTCCGCGCTGCGCGGGCTCCAAAGTGCCGGCCAGATCGCCTGCCAGATCGCCGAGTACGGCGGGCGACCTCGCGGTTAACCGCATTGAGGTGCCGAGCCCCATTGTCGCGGGCCTCGTCCTCCTCCTCAAAATAGCGGGCTTCGAGGGCATCGAGGTGCTCAGTACGATCCTTGACACCGCCCCAGGGCCGGATGGCCATGGGATACAGGACTTTGGCGGGGATGCGGCGCTCGCGGCGAAGTGAGTGTCGCTGCAGAAGATGCTGCTCGAACTGGTCCACCGTGGTGCACGTTCTGCTATTAGCTATGCGGGAAGACAAGTGCTCACACATGGTCACAGAGTTTAGAGGGACAGGTCCAGACGAGGCCCGTTCCTTCGACAGGCTCCGTGTGCCGATCGCGCCACGCGGCCGCCAAGGCGTACCCGCTGTGCCACTCGCGGATGTGGTCAATGAGCTCGGAGCGGGTGTAGGTGCAGCTACTCCATGCGGCTGTCTCGGGAAACACTTCCTGACACTCGGGGCAGTGTCGTGGTGTGGTATCGGCTGCTAACGAGAGCGACCGGGAGCGACGTTTATCACAGACTCTGCAGAGATCCTCCGCTGCAGATTCAGCTTGAGGAAGGTAAGCGTCGTTCAAGTGGCCACAGTTGAGGCAGCGCCACTCCTCTTGCGGGAGCCGTTCAGAGGGGCGTGCGTTTGTGCCGATTCCCTTTGATTGTCTGACTTGGCTTGACGAAGCTTCCGCGTCTGTCCCCGAGGCGGCCTTCGGAACGACGGAGGACCTTTTGGGGATATTCCTTGCGCCAAGCTTAACCCGAGGGCGCATTTGCATCCCTGGTGGCGGAGCGAGTGCACCCTCGTGGTCGATGAAGCACATCAACTTGACCTTCTTGGCTTTCGAAACATCTTCTTTGCACGCCTCAATGAAGTCGCCTCTCTGCCGCTCTGTGAGGCCCCCAAACTCCAGTCTCGTGCACATGTGTTTCAGCGCTATGTGAGCAGCGAGGTACTTCGTAGCACAGGCTGCTCTGTAAGCGGGCCAATACAAGGTCACTCACACGTATCTGTGTCTGGAGACCTGAGAGCAACTACGCGGGCGAGTAGGGCACCAAGAGTGCGTTGGTGCGCAGCTTGTAAATCATCGCTCGCGAGAAAAATATCCTTGTTGCTCAGCTGATGTTTCCACGGGGTTGACCACAGACGGGCGCTTCAAGACGTGGGAAAGGAAGCGGTGTGGAATACGAACCGGTACTGCAGTCCGCCACTCGCCCTCCCAGTGATTGAAGCAAAGGCTGAGGCGGGCGAGAGCTGAGGCGTATAGGCGCACCGCTGGGTCTTGCAGCACCGACGAAGTGGGAAAGATAGCCCCGCCGCCGGTCTGAAACATGTAGAAATTGAGCTGCCTGAGTGGGCTCGGGCGCAGGAAGTCTGTAAGGTTGAGAGGCATCGTGGAATGAGTAATATCAGACAACGGAGAGAGTGGAAGAGCACACGGAAGATGATGAGAGGATAACTCACCTTGAAGTGGGAAGTGCGCCCTCATGCATATGGTTGATCTTCGATCCGCCCCGAAACTCGTGACTCTATAATGGTTCAGTCTCCCTACGACCGTCCATCTGGAATCGTGGAGTCTGTCGTCTTCCAATCCGCGGCTTACCGCCCATGAACAACTTCTTATGCATCACACTCTAACTCCTTCATGCTACCCGCTCATGATATGTACACGCCGCAGTGAGTTCAAAGCTCGCGGAAGCACGTCGAGTGCACGACTCCGCCTCTCCACCGGCGGCCTGTGTCGCCGCATTCACAGCATCGTTCACATGTTCGCCTTTGTTATCTTTGTTGGTGGTGCTGTTGACCCTTGTCTGTCAGCGTACTGTAAATCCGCTCAATCTCCTGGGACGTGCTCACCAGTGCTGTGCAACGAGCTTGTCGAACTCGCCAACCTCCCGGAGAAGATCTTCGTTTGCGATGTCCTCGGCCATGTACATGCGCTTCTCAATATTCTCCAGCAGAGTCTGGTGAACACTGGCAGCCTCGTTCCGCGCGATCGCGTAAAGGAACTTGATGGGAATGTCCCTATCGTTGGCGAAGCGGTGTTCGGCGAGGATATGAGCCTCAAAATCTTTGGCGGAATGGAATTTGCTTCACAGTCAGCCACGACCAGTCGAAGAGGACTCACATCCAAGGACAATGCCTCGAAGGACACGTCCATACAGTTGAACCATCCCGTGTTCTCTGCATCTGCTGGTCGCGCCAGGCAATGGCGAGAGCGTAGTCACCGTGCATTTCGCGCAGGTGAGCCTTGAGAAGCTCAGTGGTGTAGCGACGGTGGCGTTCGGGGATACCCTCAGGCAGAATGTCTAGGCACTCGGGACAGGCCCGGTCCTCGGTCGGGGCAGAGGCATCGTCGCTCACACGGCGTGGCTCCTCACAGTTAGAGCAGATGACCGGTCCATCGACAATGGAGGCGCTCTTGGCAGAAGGATCCGATGAAAGCGACGAGTCGGCTGTTTTAAAGCCGCAAGTATCGCAGCGCCACTCTTTCTCCGGCAGATTTGAACTCGAATCCTGCAGCCCCCGAGCGTTCTTGAAGGGGGAATGATACTTCATAACGTCGACATGCACTGATCTGGGAAGGGTTGCTTCAAGACGTGTCTTCTTGATATTCTCCGGATTGGTCGCATTCCCCAAAAGGGAGATCCGGCGCTTCGCGAGCTTCAGAGGGCCCACGATTGAGTCAATAATAGCAGTGTCTAATGGTAAGCCAAGCATAGCGGTAGGGGAGGCGATCCACAAACCATTGGGTGCGACAGTGGGTAGCTGGGGATGATCGGGGGGGACATTGGAGGCGTTGGAGAGCTGAGCCGCAGGTGGCGTCTTGCCGGAAGTGTCACTCGGACCCAAATTGTCGACGGGCTTGAGATTGTCATTCTTGGGCGGGTTTGAGGCCAGGTCCATGTCTGTGAGATGCTCAATTCCTATGACAGGCTGCGCCGTGTCCACATCATTTTTACAAGCTTCGACAAGCTTTGGACCGTCAATCGAGTACATGGAGGCAAAAGGCGAGGCAGCATCGCCGAACGACTTGCTAATGCGAGGAAAGCGCTGGAGTAGCCGACCGACGTGTGCTTTAGTTAGTTGCGGTCGTGGTCCTCAAGCGTACACTTATCGTTTCCACCCACTCGGAGGCAGTCAATGCGGGCCAGAAGTGCACCGAGGATGCGGGGGTAGGCGGCGGTGTGCGTGGTGCGACGGTGAGAGGCTGTCTGACATTAGTTGGCTCCCAACGAAGAAAGTGTGAGCGAGAGGTGCGGAGGAAGGTCACCAGTGGTGGTCTAGTTAGCGAGGTCATTCAACCTGGCAGGCAGGGGGGCTCAGAAATGAGATGAGGGTGGGAGTGGGCCTGTGTGACTGGACGGCTGACGTGAATAGTCTGAGGTACTCACGGGAACCGATTGAAGCGGGTTGTCAGGCCGGTCCTTGAGGGCGAGGTTATTGAGAGTGGCCGTGAACAGACGGACGGCGGGGTCTTTGAGAATCGGCGAGTCTGGCGAGAGTGGGCTGCGTTCTGTCTTGAGAAGGTAGTGATCGATGGCTTTGTCAGGCGAAGATTCGAGGAGGGTGAGAAGGTCGGGGCCCATGGCGGCCGACGGAGAGAGGAGAGTGGTGAATGAGTGATGGAGTGAAAGTCAGAAGAGGATGCGAGAGGAAGGTGAGGGTTATATATTCAGCGCGGCGCGTCGCGCGTCTCAAGTGGGCCATGGGCCATGGGCCACCTAGAGGTGGGAAGGTTGGATCAGCGATCAGCTTGGAGCTTGGAGTGAATCTGCCAGATCGCCAAATCCGCGCGTGATCAACTGATCAATGATCTGACGAGCTGATCCTCCTCGACTCCATTCGCCCCGTATATGGCCCCGTAGTCATGCACTCAACCCCACTCGCGCGCCATGGATGACAAGTAGCTCTCGGTTTGGATCGACTGAGACATTGCGCGGTAGCCAGGCCGAATGGCGAGATTGAACGATGTGAGGCATGGGAGGAGTGGGTGAGGAAGGTCCTACGGTTGGATGTCCGAGGTCTGCGTCTGTTCACGGATATAAAGGAGTGTAGCGGCGACCGGAAGGGTGCCATGAGCAGGTCGCCGCAGCACTCTGGCGTTGCCGGAGGGGTTCCTCTGAGCTGAACTCTTGACTGCCCTGTGCTGCTCTCCCGGGTCTCGGCTCCTCGATCCCCCGCCGACCTGACAACAGTCTGTATCTTCCAGGAATGCATGTTGTCTAGCGATTGCTTAGTGGCCCTCGGCCTGGGCGAGGGCGTGGTGGCCCTCCTTAGAGTTGTAGTAGGCGTACCTGGGGTCAGCACAGGACGGAGGAGCAGCTCACTTGTCCTTGCCCCACGAGTAGACGGCGTAGCCAACGAGGAAGGGGGGAGCAAAGTAGGGGACCTGCTGGGCAAGGCGGCGGACACCCCAGAAGAGGTAGCCGTTGAGGGCGCCCTTCATGGGCTTCTGGGCGACAGGCGAGACAGCTGTTGAGAGAGAGCGAGTGGTCCGAGAGGGATTGGGTCATCGGCGCGGAGGAGAGACAGGCCAGAAAGGCGATTCGCGTCGTGCAGAGCATCATGCGTGCGCGCAGACCAAGGAGGGCGAGGGCGAAAGAGAGGGAAAGGTGCGAATTGGCGAGATGGGTTGTCGGAGGGAAGGAAGTGGAGGTCGGTGCGTTTCGGAGCGCGCATGATCGCGATGCAGTGGGCAAGAATGGCGAGCGAGGTGGTTTCCGGAGCGAGGGGAAAGCGTCAGCATCGCAAGAATAATGCGCGCGCAACGTACTGTACGCGTAGATACCCTTCTGCTTAGGGCCCTTCATGTCACCCCACCAACCCGACTGTCGTTAGCTGACTGCTCCGCGCTCGTCTGCGCCGTCCTCCTCCTCCTCTTTGCTCATCACTCTCCGTCCTCCATCTCCCCATCTCCTCTCCCCTCTCCTTCTCTCCTAAGCCTGCGCGTGCGCGCGCGCGCCATCCTCTCGCGAGTGCGCGCGATCTCGGCTTCACCCGCCCTCGGCTCCATCATAACGCCCGCTAGCGCAACGCACCCAAGTCTTGCCTGCCGTCAGCACCGCCACCGTCCTCACGTACCCCCAGGCATGCCGCCGTTAACTGGTGCCGAAACGCGCATTGTGGTTTTGTGGAGTGGTGTAGTCGTTGAGCGTTCGAGAGCTCGGCCAACTCGCCTCGCCCTGGCCTCACTCACCGTATCACTGCGGGTCCAATCGGGACAGGCAGGAATCCAATCCGCCGCCCCGGCGTTTCGGCATAACGCCGTGCGGCGCCTATCTCTGTACGTCTCAGCTGGTGATGTACGATCGCGAGCACCACCACCGACTCCGACACTCCGTCTGCGCCCATGTCCCTCCTCGCCAACATCCTCGGCTTCTCCGCGTTCGGCTTCGGCGCACGCTGCTTCCAGCTCGGCCTGCAGAAGCGCAACATCTTTGCGCGTGCGTCCCCATGAAACTCGGAGCGGTCTCCTGCGCAGGCGCTGACATCAGACCCCGAGGGCCACCTCCTTGCCGCGACCGCGTTCGGCACCCTCGGGTACTTCCTGTACAACACGGAGCAGCGGCAGTGAGTCGCGCGCGGGGAGATCTGTTCGGTTCGACCGAGGTGGAATTGCGGGCGGAATGGCAGCGACGCCGGAGCGCATGAGCGACGGCGCGCGAGCGGAGCAGGAGGAGGTGCACCGGAAAGGGCGCTGGTGCGCATGGTGCGCAAGGCTGCGAGCGCGCGGTATGCGTGCTTCACGGAAGAAGCACTCCTCGGCGCCGAGATGACGTCTGGGCGCAGTGTGGTTGGTCCTTCCTTCAAGCGTCCTGCCCCATCGTCCTCTGTGCTGCCGGCTAGGCTACGGCGCTCTGCTTCGCGCAGCGTCCTGTCCAGGCCTTTGTAACCTCCTCCTGAACTGCTCCCATCGCCTGTGTGTCGCCGACGTACGCCCTGTTCACACAGCCCACGGCGGTCTTCCCACTCTGCCCCATCTCCCTCCACGCATCGCTGACCCACAGAAACGAGTTGATCGCCCACAAGCGCAAGCTCCTCGAGGCAAACCGCGAGCAGGAGGCTGCCTCGGCATGAACGAGATAATGTAGAGAGTAGGGCGCGGGGAACCGCAGCATGCAGCATACAGATTCGGACACGTGTGTCGAGCCTAGTGGAGTGTCCGCACGCATTTGTGCGACGGTAAGGATTTCGCGAGGCCCGCTCGACGCTCCGCCCCCCGCCCCCCGCCCGCCGCACACCTCCTATGTCTAACACGTGCATACCACACACAATGCAGCTACAGTCCAACCTACACCTCAACCTCAGGCTCGAGGTCGCCGAAGGGCCTGCTCCGGAAGTACGACTCGTCGAACTGTTGTCAGCGCCTGTTCGGTCCGCGCCGACCCGTGCGCTACTCACCCAGTGCACACGGACGAAGCCGTCTTCGGCGCCCGAGGCGTACGCCTTGCCCTGGGGGTGGACGGCGAGGGTGTTGATCGGCCCGCTGAAGGTTAGCTTGCTGCTCTGATTGCAGATGAGACGCACAAGTGGCCCTTGACACGGCCAACCTCCTCCTCGAACAGCTTGTGCCAGAACCGCGACTCGAACTTGCCCGCACGCGAGGATGTGGTAGTGACGTTCATGGCGTCCTGGCCACCGCCGAGGATAACCTGAAGTCAGCTTGCTCGTGCTCCTGGACGCACGTAGGGGCGGAGAGGGGTGATGCAGGCCGAGTTGAGCGGCGTCTCGGTTGTGTACGCCTTCATCTCCTCAAGGCTGTCCGAGTCGAAGATGCGTGCCGTCTTGTCCTTGGACGAAGTGATGAAGTAGGTGCCGTCAGGAGAGAGCTGGATGTCGGTGATGTTCGCCTTGTGGCTCTCCTCGTTCTTGAGCACCTCCTCGCCCGTCTTAGCGTCGTACTTGGCAACCTTGCCGTTCTCGTGGCCCGTAAGGATGTAGTCCGAAAGGGGTGCCCAGATGGCGACGGTCGCCTTCGATCCCGAGAGCACAATCGTAGACAGGGGGGTGGAGCTCGACGCAGCTGGGTCCTCGCGGTTGACCTTGAATGTCCGGATAATGGACGGCTGGCCCTGTCGCTGCTCGGTAATGCACAGCGCCATCTCGTCGTCCTCGCTGCGCGTCAGCCCCTTCCTCGGTTCCGTGTCCAGCTCCCAACGAGGCCTTTGGGAACGCACCTCCACGCCACACGCGTCACGGCCGTCAAGAACTCCCACGACTTGAGGCACTTGCCCGTCGACACGTCCCACAGCTTCATCTCGTTGTCGGCCGCGCCCGTCAGGAGATAGCGCGATTGTGCTAATGTCAGCTCACTCGCGGCGCGACGCACAGTCAACCGCGACACTCCACACCGAACCGTTGTGTCCATTGAATGTGCCCAGACGCTCGCCGTTCGACGTGAACCACACGTTCACGATCTTGTCCTTGGACGCAGTGAAAAGCAGGTCGCCCTCGGCGTTGAAGACGATCTGGGTGAGCGAACGCTCGTGTCCTGCCAATTAGCATTGTCAGGTGGCTGAATCGCGCGCAAACGCGCGGAAAACGAACCTTGAAGAATGATGGGCTTCTGCGGAGATCGTTAGCATGCAATACGCGCCTCCGGGCTCGATGCTCACCATGTTGCAAGGACTTTTGGAGGGATGATAGGTGAGTTCGTCGTACAATGGAGGCTAGGTGGCCAACTCTGGCGGCAACTTCTGCCAGCACGGAAAATTCGGTGTTTCCTCCCGTGGCGGGGGTTTATAATCTCACCTGTCAGGAACGCTAATGTCTGTTCTAATCTCCTACATGCTCCCCCCAAAGATCCTCTCGAGCCTTTACGGCCTGTAAGACGGGTATAGCATGAACAACATAGTAAACGAAGCCTGATCTATCGAGCCCAATCCCAACACCTAGAACCGCTGCTTCATCCGCGCGCCGACCGTCTTCAAGTGAGCATACACCTTGCCTGTGAGGGTTAGCTCCCGTATTCCGCGCAGACTTGGTGGCAACTGACCAGGTGGGGAGCCAAGAATGAGCGAGACAACCGCGTCGCGCGCAATCTTAATGTTCTGCACGGAGCCGAGGATGTGAATGTGGCTGCCGTCAGCATGCCTAGGACAGAGCAGAGCTTGGCTGCTACTCACGTGTCGGCGAGCACGATACGCGTCCTGCTGGCATTTTCGATGGTGAACTTGACCTTGCCACCTTCACCCGCAATACGGCCTGCATGTCAGCTTGGCTCGAGCAGATGGGAGCTCAAGCCACTCACCGATGGCACGGGCAAGGTGGTCACCGTGCAATGTCTTGACGTCCTTGACCTCGAACGAGTCGATGTAGAGATCGTCGAGACGGAGGAGAGCAATGGCATCCTGATCGTTAGGTTTGGTTCATCGCTGTGAAAGCTCACGTTGACGTCAAAGCCAAGAGCGAAGGCCTTGACGAAGTCGGCACCCTTCTGGATGGCGCCGGTGTCAATGGTATGCCCCGAGCTCTGGCGGTCAGCTACATCGCTTCTCCAAGCCTACCCTCAGCTCGACAGCGCGACGCATAACGTTCATGCGGACCTGGAGACCGAGCATCTCAACAAGGGGGGTGTAAATGTTGACCCATTCACGCTTAAGGGGAGTCATGCGGTGGGGCGGAATGGGAACGCGGCGGAACTCGTTCTTGAGCACGCTCGACTGCTCCTTGGCAGAAAGGGGAGCAAAGCCAGATGAGGAGGCCTCTCCGGAGGCAGAGGCGAGAGCGGAACCGACGACAACTCCCTCGTCGTCCGAGTCGACCTCCATGCCATCGGAGACAGGCTTCTTCTTTGGGACCTTGGGCTTGACGAGGGAGATTTCTGGGCGTGCCTCCAGCTGGGCGGCGAGGGCCTTTTGACGATGCGACTTGTGGGCCATGATGATGGATATGTGAGAGGATAGTGCAATGGAGAATAGAGAGGTTGAAGTTAGTGTCGACCGAGATTGAGAGAGGATGCACTAGGGAGTGGAGAGACGTGTGGGAGTTGGGATGCCGCAGGCTGCAGTCTGCAACTTTTGAGGTGGGCCACGTGGGAAACCCTGATAATACCAACTGGGTGGCAAATCTGCGTTGTGAAATGGATCAATTGAGGATAGACTTGGACGGGCGGAATGAGCGCGGTGGCATTAGAACACTGGGACATCATTTGTATTGCTATTTGGTTGGTCCCTCTAATAGCAATTTGCCACCACGTGAGGGCGAGAAGTGAGACAGCCGAGAATCAGTGAATTGTTGGCGGCAAGACACAGCGCTCGTCGACACACATCACTCTCTCTTCATCTCTCTTCGTCTCTCTTCATCTCTCTCCATCTCTCTAACTCTTCCCCTCCTCGCTCTTTCCATCTCTCACGCTCTCACTCGCGCATCCAAACGCGACTTTGAGCTTTGCGACTCTCTCCCCCACTAACCTCATCCACCACCACTCTCAACTTCCAACCCCCGCCATGCCCAAGGCTCCCAAGGGAAAGGGCAAAGACAAAAGCCGCCAAACCTCCCCAGAAGTCGTAGAATTCACTCCATACGCGCGCATCCACGCTGTGCCAAGGCCCAACAAATCACACTCCCAGTCGGAACCAGTACACCGCAAATACCATCACCCACACCATCTCCAGCCCGCCGCGCCCCCCCGAGGCGAAGGCGTTTCTGCCAACTCGGCCAGGCGCCGCCGCCTGAAGAAGCGCCTCCGTAAGGGCGAGAGCGGCGTTTCAGCCGTCACCATTGAGGACGCCGATGATTCGGATGTGTATGAGGTGAAGGCTGAGCCCAACGGCACGACCTCATCATTGCGTCTCACAAACCGTATCAAGCCCGATTCGGACGCGCCCGACACTGGGCGCTGCGGCCTGTCCACCTCGGACATGAATGGCACCCATGCCCCGGAACAACACCTCAAGCGCGATCTCGAGGTCGCACACCTGCGGAAGAAGGTTTCCACTATGGCTAAGGCAGATGAGGAAACCCAGAAAGGCATTGCGCAGATGCGCGCGCGCATCGCCGAGCTTGAGCACACTCTTGAGATGCAGCTGGCGGACATGGGCAAAACAAAGGATGAAATTGAGGTAAAGGAGAAGGTGAGTCCGGTCGGTTGACCGGTGAGCTAACAATGCAGCTTATCAACGACCACAGCAGTCGAAACGACAGCCTTTGCGAGCTCCTCCACTGCGGTGTCTGTATGGAGCCGCTCGACGACCCCTACACGTAAGTCATTCTACGCTAAGATCTATTGACCCCAGGCTTCAATGCGGTCATACGGCGTGTCTCAAATGTCTGCAAGGGTGGTTCCGCTCGCCGACCGCATACCCTGCAGCCGACATCGAGGCGATCGACGAGGAGGACGATTTAACGTACCGCACCAAGACTTGTCACATGTGCCGCACCCCAATCTTCCGTCGGCCGATTCGCAACATCCTCCTCAACCATGTCTTGGAGTTGACTGGGCTGGCTGCCTCCGCTGTCAACGCAAAGTCGACATCGAGAGCAGAGCTGGACTTGATGTGGTCGAAGATCTTTCCTCCCGAGCCCAGTTCCTGGATCTTGCACGACGACATCGACAACGTCAATCGCTGTCCCAACTGTGGATTCGAAGTTACCTACGCCGAGTGTGATCGCTGCGGCAGCACCTTCTCTGCTCCCGGCTCTGCACGCGAGCCGGTGGAGGTCTTTGAAGTCCCGGACAGAGTCGATCTTGGCAACGGCCTGCTGCTGGATCCGCAGATCGCGGCTATGAACGCCTTCCGTGCTCCGCGGAGACAGCGTGACCGCCACTTTCTCGTCGACGATGAGGCTGAGGACGACGAAGATGAAGAAGAGGGCACAGTTGAGGAAGACGAGGAAGACTATAACGCGCATCTCCTTCGGACGCTCGATGCCGTCGACTACGGTGGCTGGGGGAGCACCAGCTCTCTGTCTTATGCCGGTGACAGTGACGGCGAACGCAGTGTAATTGCCGACGACCACAGCAACGGCCCGCGAAGTGGCGGCGCCTATGACGATAACAACGACGATGACTGGAACCAGGGGCGCTCCCCTCTTCGGTATCACTACGACAGTGATGGCGAGCGCCATGTGTTTACCTATATCCACGACAGCGACTCGGAGAGTGAAAGTGAGCGTGACTACGGACGTGGTCGTGGCAATCGCAATGATGGCGAGGATGCTGTGGGCCGCGGACCTTTCAGGCTGCAGTCAATCAACCTCCACCCCGCCGAGGCTCGCCGCCGTCGGCATCCCACGCCCGACGAAAGCGACATGAGCGACGGGTACGAGTCGTCATTCATCGATGACGGCGATGACGACGAGAATGAGGACGAGGACATGCTCGAGGATGAGCACGATGCGTCCAACGGCGACCGGTCTGAGGTCGATCACCTTGCGGTCGACAGCAGGGCGGAGAGCGAGGAGGAGGCCGATGAGCCGTCCATTGAGGAGCTGCGCCGTCGCCGTGCGGAGCGTTACGCGTAAGTCTACTCCCCTTGCTTCAAGCTCAAGCTGACGCTAGTGCTCCTTCGTCGTCGCGCCGCCGTCTTGAGGGCTCGCCGCGGCGTACTCGGAGCCGCAGCAGTCCGACACCGTCGCCTTTTGACGGAAACCTTTCTCAGGACGCACCTGTCCGCCTCGCTCGTCGCCCCCGCCGCGTTCACGTCATCTCATCCGAGTCGGAGGACTCGGACTAGAACGAGCAAGATACAAGAAGAAGGCCATCATAGGCCAGGCAGGCGCCTGGTCGTTGTATTCTAGAACGGTTGATCAACCTACATGTGTGTTCACACCATGCATTGTCCATAGTATCTATGTACCTGTGTCCAACGTCCTAGTGTGGCTTCTGCTGCTGACGTTTTTCCCTCTGCGACGCCGACGCTCAGAGCTTGGTGCTGTGCTCGCCCTCCTGGAAAGACACGACAGTCTTGCCAAAGTTCTTGCCTGAGAACATGTCCTGCAGCGCAGGCGCACAACCATCCAGCCCACCCCCGACGACGTAATACGAGTACTTGAGCTGGTCCTTCTTGGCGAGGTCGGCGAGGTACGCGCGCGCCTCGGGGTAGCGCTTCTCGTAGTCGAAGGCGATGAAGCCCTCCATGCGCGCCTTCATCGAAATAAGCTGCGGCGTGAGTCGCACGCCGTACGGCTTAGCAGTGCTGGCGTCAGCTCTCCTCCCCTCTTCCCCTATCTCGTCGCCAAAACTCACTTGTACTGCGAAATGGCGCCGCACATGACGATGCGGGCGTACGGGTTAATCTGCGCGAGCACGAGGTCGAGCAGCTCGCCGCCCACATTGTCGAAGTAGACGTCGATGCGGCCGGCGGCGCGCAGGCGCCCCGCGAACCCCTCCTGCTTGTAGTTGAGCACGATCTCGCACCCCAGCGCCTTGAGCTGGTCGACTTTGTCCTGCGATCCGACGATCGCAATCACCTTGCACCGCTTGTGCGCGACGGCAATCTGGGTCGCGATCTGGTGTCAGCGTCAGCGAACAAGGAGGGGCGGGAGTGGTGACTACCACCGCGTCATGCGGAATGTGAGATGGCGGGTGGGAATCGGTGCCATGAAGTTGTTCGTATCACATGGCTGAGACTCACAAGGCCAACACTGCCCGCGGCGCCGGAAATGCACACCGTCTCGCCGTCCTTGAGGCGCCCGACGTCAAACATGCCGAAGTAGGCGGTCATGCCCGACACGCCCAGGAGGCCGAGGTGGTCGATGTCCTGCATGCCCTGGGGGGTGCTGGGGTCAGCGAGCTATACCGTTACCAGGCGAAGCGAGTTGGAAGAGGCGAGGTAGACTCACGGACGCGGCTCTAGAACACGAGCAGGACCAACCCAGTACTCCTGCCAGCCGAGGAGGCCGTGCACAAGGTCGCCGACCTTGTAGCGGTCGCTGCGGGTCTCGACGACGCGGCCAAGGCCCGCGGCGCGCATCACCTCGCCGATCTGGACGGGGGGGATGTACGAGCGCGTGTCGACGAGCCACATGCGCATGGCGGCGTCCTGGTGTAAGCGAGAGGGCGTAAGTGCGAGTGAGAGGGTAGAGCCAGCCCTGCCAGCCGAGACACAGTGAGGTCACCATGCAGGCCGAGATACAACGGACGGAGCTGCCGTGCTAGTGGACTGAGACGCCACAGCCAGCCGCTATGTTTGATTCTCTGCTGCTCTGATCAAGAGGCGAGATACTCACAATCGAGAGCAGCTCGACCTTGACGACCACCTCGCCGTCTCCGGGCTTCTTGAGGGGAGCCGAGTCCTTCTTGAAGGTGGCCGGCGTAATGGGCCCGCGCTCGGGGCGCTTGGCGAGGACGACGCGCTTGTTAATCGAGGGGAGGGTCATGCTGGCGTGCAAGAGCGTGTAGGGTAGAATGTGAGGATGAAAGAACGATTATGAGTGTGAGAAACTCTAGCCAGCGCAGAACTCGTGGCTGGATGATGATGAGTTGCCGGGTGGCCGATACCCGGACAGATCACATTCCATGCACTTGCCGGCAATCTACGACAGGCTCACGTGAGATTGATTTCTGCGTCTGCGTCATCTCTTGCCTTGTCTCACCTCTCCTCTGAAACATAGTTGGCGCGACTGATGCATGTTCGTTCAGGCTTGCACTCACGGAGCGCGGAGTGAAGAAAGAGATGTGCTGCGCGGAAACATTACCATTCCGCACTTCAAACCGGCACTGTGAGCCGGCAGCAGGGCCTTTTGACTGGCTTCATCCTCCGAGATGGAGCACAACGCGGTCGCGCAGAGGGTGCAGGTGCGCGGCGCTGGATAATTCCTCACTCCTTGAAGCATGCCCAACGCGCCCAACGCGGAGTGGTGGTAGTGTATGCTGTTGTGAACAAGCAATGGTGGGGTGTGCAACGAAGAGGAAAGGTAGATGGAGCGGGGCGACGGTTGACCCCCGCAGCGCGCTTGACCCCCACATCATCCCTCGGCAACCCTCATCCCTCGGCTCGCTGTAAAGCATATCCAAGCGCGTCGGGGCGAAACGCTCACGTGCTGTCTGACCGATGGACACAAGTTTCGCCGAGCGTCGAGGGGCTCTAGCACCACCTGGGGGTGCGCGCCCCCGCAAGCCGTGCAACGCCTCGCCTCGCACTAACCTCTGAACCCCACAAGCCTCGGGCTCACCTCACGAGCACGCGTCGGCAGAGTCAAGCAAATCCACAATCTTGTGTGCCCCCGTTATAATTGACGCTGATATCTTCATACTTTCTCACGTCGGACTGCGGTCAATTGTACAACACCCCTCGGATTTAGCACATACCCAGCTCCTCACACCACACTAGCGACCCAAACTGGTCAAACAATTGTTGCCTTCCTCAAAGTCCTAGCTGTCTCGCACACTCAGTAAATGAGTGACATGGAAGTGGTAACGAGGCACAGCATGTGAATAATAGGCACCGAGCTAACGTCCCAGACACTGGTGACATGGCACGCCCTGGAATAATCTTACGGCCGAGATATCGGAATGGTCACGAATCGTTCAATGTTTGTCGAAGCCAGAGGTTTGTTCAGAGTGCTCGAAAAGCGGCGCTTGGCGTGGAGATGCTTGGTGGTGACTACCAGAGTGCCACCGAGTGGCGCAAGAAGTGTGCAAGATCCGGCAGTGGAGATGTTGAAGGATGAGTAGTGGGGCGGTGGAGCCATCCACCGCCCAGAAATCTTGGAATGTTTGCATGATTGTCGAACAGGGCAGGATTGTGGGCCGTGGTATGCGGTCCCCACTGGCTCAGCTGGCCGGCTCCTCGCCACCCAGCACGGTATGACACGTACTCGAAACATCTGTCGCGCGTGTCGCAAGACTTGACGGCGCCCCGTCCATTCCCAATCACTGACTCGGCAAAGGCGTGAGCGCGTGATCAACTCACCGATGTTGAGCTAAGGTTCACCCGTTTCGAGATGCAGACAACCGGCTTAAGGCTCGGGACACTGCCCGGAGCAGCGCAATGGGTGAGCGGCGCGCCCTGGTTCCCAAACGGGGTGGCGGCAACGATGGCAACCAGTTGATGAGCAGCCAACGAAAAGTACAACAGTGAGACGTAGTCACCGGCCGGCGATCGTTGATCCAATGGGGTTTCTCTCGGTCCGCACCCTGGTGACTGGAATGGTTTGTTCAGCGGCGCTACGGCCCGCTAGTGTGGTGGTGACGTTGGAGGGGGATGGTGGGAGAGGCACAGTGGCGAGCGGCGAATGGATGACGTCCACTCGTGGACGATGGCACTCGAATGAACACAGTCCTGAAAGCTGGAGGGGGTGGTGCCTGTTTGTCCACATGGGAGGTAAAAGCCGGCGGCACGCAGAAGATAGCCCTGAGATATCAGACGTGTGCCGAGCACTAAAATTTAATATGGACAAGTGGTGGCTGTAGTGGGTATGTACTTGGAGGTGACGCCGAGGCTTGGACGGGATGCCACAATCTATCCTCGGACTGTGAGCGAGGTGGCGCATCGGAGCCACATTGATTTCGGCCATATCTCCCCTAATTCCCCTCCGGGTCCTTTGAATTTCGGGTCAACATTGCGTCATGCTCAACCGTGACGGCTCATCTCCCTGACTCCTCTCACAACAACGCCATCGCCGAGGTTTGTTTCCTCGCCAAACACTCTCCCTCGTCGCGCCGCTGCCCCTCCTCACTCGCTCTCACACGCGCTAACAACAATCTGCTTGCCACTTGAGGAACGCATGCACGCGTCCCCCGCCAAAACCGCAAAATTTGACTGGCCATCGCCGGAGTATCTCGCGCGCGCCATGGGTGGGGCATGCGCGCTCCATCCTCTTCCTCTCGCCGCACACCCGTCCCACTCGGGGATGAGGGGGTCGCCTGAAACTGGTGTTTTCTCCATCCCCGCGCGGCGACCCCGATCTGCGGCGGGGATGGGCGTGGGGAAGGTTGGAGCACGCCGCGCTTTCACTTCATATAAGACCGGGTGACTCGAGGTTGTCCAACTGACAATCCACTCTCACTATGCCTATGATCATCAACCAGAGTCGCGAACGATCCGCAAAGCTCGCTCAGCGGCCTGGTCCCGTCAAGTACTATGGCTTCAATGGCAACGCTCTCCTCGCAGCTGTCGTTGCGACCGGCACTGTCGGCTTCTCCCTCTTCGGCTATGGTGAGTCAGCAACAATGGCATAGACGGAGCAGCGCTGACCATCCAGACCAGGGTCTCATGTCTGGTATCATCGGCTCGGAGCAGTTCAACCGCGAGTTTCCCGCCACTCGGCAGAACGGTCCCAACGATGTCCACACCGGTACCATCCAGGGCGCCGTCACCTCGTGCTATGAGGTCGGATGCTTCTTCGGCGCCATGTTTGCCTACTTTGTCGGCGAGAGGGCCGGCCGTCGTCGCATGATGCTTGGCGGCGCCGTTGTCATGATCATCGGCGCCATCATTACCACGATCACTTTCGGCCCCGGCGACCCCAGCGGACGGGGCAATGTCGGTGGTTTCGTTCAATTCTTTGTCGGTCGTGTAATCACTGGTCTGGGCAACGGAGCAAACACTGCCACCATCCCGACCTGGATTGCGGAGTCGTCCAAGGCACACAACCGTGGCTTCCTGATCTGCATGGAAGCCTCGACCGTTGCCGTCGGCACCGTTATCGCGTACTGGCTCAACTTTGGCCTCTCATACGTTGACAAGGACGGTGTCTCGTGGCGTTTCCCCATTGCATTCCAGATCTTCTTTGCCCTTCTTCTCATTATCGGTGTTCTCGGTCTCCCCGAGTCGCCTCGTTGGCTCCTGCTCCACAACTACGACGACGAGGCTCAGCGCGTCATTGCTGCTCTCGCCGGCGAGGAGTTCGACTCGGAGAAGACAATCGCCGACAAGGTCCGCATGACTGAGGCCATTGAGGCTCAGATTCAGGCTCAGGCCAAGCGATCTGACATTCTCAAGCAGGGCAAGAAGCAGAACCTCACCCGTACTTTGGTCGGTGCTTCGACCCAGCTCTTCCAGCAGCTCGGTGGCTGCAACGCTGTTATCTACTACTCGACCATTCTCTTCAAGAACCAGATCGGCCTCGAGATGCGCCTCTCGCTCATTCTCGGTGGTGTCCTCTCGATTGTCTACATGCTCTTCGCCCTCCTCTCGTTCCAGCTCGTCGAGCGTGTTGGCCGCCGCAAGCTCTTCCTTATCGGAACCGTCGGCCAGGCCGTCTCCATGTTCATCACCTGGGGATGCCTCCTTCCTGGCTCTGTTGGCCCTGCCAAGGGTGGTGCCTTTGGTCTTCACCTCTTCATCGCCTTCTTCGGCGCGACCTGGCTCCCGCTCCCGTGGCTCTACCCCGCCGAGCTCAACTCGATGTCGGTGCGCACCCAGGCCAACGCCATCTCGACTATGACCAACTGGCTGTGCAACTTCCTCGTCGTCCAGGTGCTGCCGACCATGACGGCCTCGATCGGCGCCTGGACCTTCTTCCTCTTCGCCATTGCCAACTGTATCTTCCTCCCCTTCATCTACTTCTTCTACCCCGAGACGGCTGGCCGCTCGCTAGAAGAGCTCGATGTCGTCTACGCCCACGCGCACGTGACCCACCGCCGCGCAACCAAGGTCGCCAAGGAGCTTCCCAAGCTCACGGACCACCAGGTGCAGGTCATGACCGACCGCTACGACATCCACGGCCCCGACACGGAGGTGACGGCCGAGGACGCCATCGACACCTCGATCCCTCCCCGAAGCGGCAACAGCGAGAAGTTCGGCATGGACGGCCGCTCCAACTCGCCTTCGCCTAATGCGACGCGTGTGGCTACGCCCACCGACATGCTTGACGCCGAGAAGGCTTCCGCTTAGGTCGTGTGTTTTTAGTAGAGGCGTTAGAGGCGCGCGCATTGCCGGGACGGTCCGGGCCGCGCGCCGAGTGGTACTGTATTGCTAGATTGATACTGCAGCGGTAGACCGCGGATGCGACCTATAGTGACTGAGCAAGAGTTGAGAGATCGTTGAGAGAGCGAGTCTGAGTGACTTCGCATTCATTCCGCGATACCGCTTCAACGGATAAACCTGGAAGGAAAGAACACAGCTGTCCCACCTCGTGCCTCCACCCCGCCTCACAGCGCCCTTCACCCCCCACCCTCCCGCCACTCCCGCTAATCCCTATCCCCGCCCTCGCCTCACCCCCTCCCTCCACCCATAAAAGTTGGGTTTCTCCTTCTCTTCTCCTCATCGTGCGGCAAGCCGCGGGTTCACTTCCCCTGTGTTGCTCTCTGGCCCCCGGCGCATTCCACAATGGTGGGTGCGCAGGTCACGTCAGGTCGAGCGTCAACCCGGATCCGGCGAGAGGAGGTGGCCATCTCAGTCCCCGACGCGCGGCGGCCGTACTGCCGCGCGTGGGGCGGTGGGCCGTACATATCGACATCGACACACAGCAGTAGTCTTAGATCGCATGGCATGATTTGTGAGCTGAGAGCTGAGAGCTGAGAGCTGGAGAGTGGGGACGTCTGAGGATGGGCGGTGGCGCTCAGATGGGAGCAGCAGCCGTTCGTCCCAGTCCATGAGAGAGCAGGCGCGTCGTAGATGCGCAAGCACGCGCAACAGCGGGCGAAGTGGACGATGCTGCTCGAACTTTCGAGGGCAAAATTTCCCCTCGCACGCTTTCATGTACTTGCACATGTCACCAGCCCCCTTTCACCCCCCACTGCTGAATCCACCCTCAATCTTGAGAGGTTGCATAGGCATCAGGTCCTACCTACTATGCGAATCGCGTCTGCGCTAGATGAGGTACGAAACTACATGGATGTTCTTCCGGCGCATGAGGCGCGCTCTATGTGGTGCGCGCTGGGCGCGACGCGGCGCCCATGCCGCTCGCCCGACCGCCTGCGGCCTCTTACATGCCCTGTGCGATCTGGCCGAGCCGCTCGGCGTACTCGGGGAAGTTCTTGAGGAAGGCGGCCTGGGCGCGGCTCGCGTGCTCGTACGTGATGGCGTTGACGAGCTCGCCCTCAGTGCGCGCGAGCTTGCCGCTCTTCTCGAACCACTTGATCGCCTCGTCGATCTTGCCCTGCTGCAGGCTGAGCTGGGCGAGCGTTGCCACCGCCACGTCGCAGTCTGGGTCGATGTCCAGCGCCTCCTTGCACAGCGCTTCGGCGGCACCAATGTCCTGCTTCCACTGGAAGAGGGCGAGCGCCTTGTTGACGTACGGGAGCACATTGCGCGGCTTCTTGTCCTTGTCGAGCTCGATCGAGCGCTCAAACCGCTCCACCGACTCGGCGTACTTCTGCTGGTCCAGCAGAATCTCCCCGTAGTAGTTGGACGGCTCGCCGCGGTCGGGGAACTGGCGGAGGATCTTGCGGAAGGCCGCCATCGACTTGGCCACCTCGCCCTGCTTGTACTGCGCAACAGCGGCCTGGACGTGCGTGAAGATGAACGCGTCGTCGAGCTCGATGCTCTTGTTGTAATCGGCAATCGCCTTGTCGTGCTCGCCCATGATGAAGAACACCTGGCCGCGGTGATAGTAGATGTCGGCGTCGTTGGGGTCGTTGCGGATCGCGGTCTCGAAGTCGGCGAACGCAGAAAGCGCGTCGCCGAGCTCCATGTGCACGCTCGCAATCTTGACCCACGCCTGCACAAAGGTGGGGTCAATCTCGAGCGACTTCTCCAGGTCAGTCTTGGCGCCCGCGCTGTCGCCGATGAGGAACTTGAACGTGCCGCGCAGGTTGTACGCCTCAGCCTGGCCCGTCTTGGTGCTGATGCCCTGCTCGATCGCCTCGTTGACGAGCGTCACGGTGTGCGCGTAGTCAGCGGCCTCGAGCGCGTCGAACGCGAGATCCAGCGTCTTGTCGCCCTGCTCGGGGTTCTCGGGCAACTTGGGCTTGGGGTGCGACCGGAACGCAGCGAGGTAGGAGGAGATGAAAGTGGGCGAGGGGAGCTTGGTCTCACGGGACGCGAGGATGTCCTTGGCGCGACGGGCCGCCAGCTTCTTCAGACATCTCTCGACGGCCGCAGCCGCCGCCTCGTCCTGGAAGCGCTCAATGATCGTGCACGCGGTGAAATCTAATGTCAGCTGACGGCTCATTCAGGTACTCACCCCGGACGGCCTCCTCGTCGCGGTCGAGACGCTCGAGAGCCGTTGCCCTCCGCTTGAGGGCCTTGACGTAGGTGCGGTCAAGGTTGAGCGCCTCGTCGCAGTCCTTGACACAGAGCTCGTACTCAGGCGGCGTGTAGTTGACGTAGCATGCTGCGCGGTTCGAGTAAAACACGGCGTCAGGCTGGACCGAGACCTCGATGGCCTTGGTGTAGCACTCTACGGCCTTCTTAAAGTCCTTCTTCGAGTAGAGCTTGTTGCCCCGGTCCTTGAGCGTCTTGCCGAGCGCGTTGCGCTCCGCCTCGCTCATCGCCTCAATGCCAGCGGCATCCGGAACGCCTGTCCGTCAGTCTCGCCACGCATCGGACGCACCCTCGAACGGGTCCTCAACGACCTTCTCAGCCGGCTTCTCTTTGGGCTTGATCTCCTCGAGCAGCGGGCCGTCGGCGCCGTCGTTGTCGAGGAACTTGGACGACTTTTTGCTCTTCTTCTTCTTTCTGTTCTTGGAGCTCGAGCCGGAGCTCTTTTCACCGGCAGGCGCCGGCGCCGAGGCAGAGCTTGATGACGAGCTCGAGGGACCCGGAGCAGCACCCTTGCCCTGGTTCGAGTAGAGGTAGTAGCCCGCGCCGGCGGCGACAGCGACACCGCAGCCGATCAGGATCGCCTTCTGGTTCTCCTCGAAGAAGCGCTGGGCCTTGACCATGAGGCCGTTGGCGGCAGCCTCCGGGGCTGGGGGGAGGGGGTTCCCGGGAAGCGAGGAGGGAGGAGGGGGGATGGGAGCCATGATTGGGCGAAGGATGAGATAGAAGTGGATGGAGAGAAGATGAGACTTCGGCAGGGGGCAGGGCGGAGGTCGGGTTTTCGATGGAGAGCTGCCGAGCGTCGGCGAGCGGCATCGCCGTCATGTGCAAGTGTCCGCCAATTTTGATTCCGCTGTGGGAGCCTTGCCTGGTCTTGCCTTGTTCCGTCATGTACAAAAGCCACACCGTGCTGCTGCCACAACGTCACCGGAACTCGCCGGGGTGTGAGGCTCTTTGCCAGGTCGAGTCTGCAATGCGCGAGCTCGCGAGGTCATCTTGGCACGACTCCCCAACGCGGCCTCGAACCAGATCATTTCTCACATCAACCTGTGTCAGCGCCAGGCCCATGCTTGAGCATTGCAACTAACCACTCGCTTTGACATGTAAGAGGCTGACACTGGCAACCACACCGACAGGCCACCGAGATCGCAACTCGCCGTCCATTCGTTTCACAACACTTCGTACATGCGCGGAGCCACTATCTCTGCATGATAAACGATAAGCAGCCGGCTGCATTCTACAATAACGATCTCGGCGCGGCCAATAAATCACTCGTTTATCCTTCGGGGTTCTGATCGTCGTCCTCCTCTGTCGCTTCGCCGTCTGACTCCACTCTCTCGTCGGGCGCAGCGAGGAAAGCCTGGCGAGTTAATCCGTCGAGGTTGCTGGTAGCCGACCGAGTGATGTGCAGCGGCTCGATTGCGGAAGAGGCCGGCAGGCACGTCTCCATCACGACAGAGGGGTGAGAGGCTGGCAGAGGGTCGGATTGGATGGACGAAAGGCTGGGATGGAGGGTGGACGAGTCGGCCGTGGTGGAGGGGATGCTGAGGCCACTTTCATCGCCGTTGTCCCCGTTGTCGTAGGTACTGTCCGTCGACAGGTCGATGAGTAGGCCAGTCGATGCGAGGGGGTCCTCGACCTCCACTTTGGGCTCGATCATCTTTGGCTTGCCTTTCCCCTTGCGTTTGCCTTTGCTCTTCTTAGGGAGGGGTGCAATAGGACGGCAGGGTCTTGTGGGGGGCTGTGTTCCGAGTACGATATAGTCGTCTCCATCGGGAGCAGGAGTTTGGCCCCATCTCACAGGGGTTTTACGCTGCCGGGTTGTTCGACGGGGAGCAGCCATTGTGCTCGTGGGGACTTCGCTTGGCTTTGGGCTCTTACGTTTCTTCGACGGAGGGTCAGACGCTGCACCAAAAGGGATGAGAGACGATGAAGAGGGGTCAGAGGCAGCCTCATCGTCTGCTTTCGACGGGCTGTTGAGTGCGGGTGCCTCCTGGATTAGAGGAGTTGTGACCTTGTTAGCGGGCGCCCGTCGCCTAAGCTTGATCTTGACAGGGCCAACAGGACGAGGAATAGGCAGCTGGACAGGGGGCGCAACGGTCTGAGGGTCTTCCACGATAGTAGAGGAGCATTGAGGACTACGGGACGTGCCCTGCGACGAGGGAAAGCGGGAGTCAAACAGGTCCTCGACAGCAGACGGAGAGTCGACAAATGCGGGCGGAAAACGACTATTGCTTGACACCGGAGATTCGAGAGCAAGAGTATGGCCATGTTGAAGACCATCGACGCCACCCTGTTTATTGACGTTTGCGTAGATCGAGGGGGTGTTGGTCTGTGTTGATTGATCGACAGCGTTCTGCCGACGCAAAGCTGCGTCGCGCGCGGCCTCGGCCTGCTTTTCGACTTCCTTCCCGATGGCGTTGAGCGCCTGGGCGTTGGCGAGAGAGTCAGCCTCGAGCGAGGACAGCTTATCTCCAAACTTTACAGACAGCTCGATTTGCTTCTGACCCGTCAGCTCCTGGGAGGCGGTACGGGCGTGGACCTGGACGATGCGCTCCAGAATCGATTGTTGGACCTGTTGCACTGCAGGAAGACCGCGCGTGTTGACTGTCACGTGATCGATCTTGTTGTGGACCACGTTGAGGTGATTTGCGAGGCCAAAGACCTGTGGGAGCGTTTTCTCCAAATTGAGGGGAAGCAAAGCGTCCTTGAGTTCGTCCACCGAGCGAAGCGACGCGATCAGAGCCCCTTGGAGAGCTTGAGTTGTCTGCCGTTAGTGATGGACTCATATCGGAGATGGCCTACCTTATCCGTACGAGGAGCGGGATTGGAGGGTGGCTTGGCGAGCGTCGCCCGCATCTGTGCCAGCTCCTCCTTAATGGGCTGCAGCTGCTCCTCGACCTGCTTGCGCTGCTGCTCGACGAGCTGCTTCAACAAGTCGTGCTGGCTATCCTGCAGCATCTCCTTGATGGACTTGTTCATGTCGGCTTGCACCTGGGCCAAGGGTTGGATTACTGCTCCATCAGCAGCAGCAAGGAAGGTGGACTCACAGCTCTCCGCCTGGTCTTCCTTCACTTCCTCACGAGAGGGCAGAGCCGAGATGGTTTGCTTGATGTCGTGTGCGGCGTCGCGCATCGTGCGACTATCGTCGACCAGGTCGCCCACCTTGCTGTCGAGTTCTGTTGGTTAGCGGCGCGGGCTTGAAACGCACTGTTGTATAACGCCAGTAGCTGGGTGCTAGCTGTCCCCTTGCTAGCCTCTGACGGAGCAGCGGACCCGCGGCGCGCTGTGCTCGGGGTTGAGCGCGGCGTCCCGTGATCGGGATACGCCTCGGCGGGCCGCCGATGCGGCTGCTGCGGAGTGTTCATTTCGACGTAGGGCTCGGCCGCCCGGCGCCGGGGCGCGGCGGGCATCGGCGTTGATGGCGATGTGTAGTATTGAGGAGGTGGTGGGCGATACTCAGCTGCAGCGGCCTGCGCCTCCATAAAGGTGTCGTCCTCGCCCTCGTACTGTGTCGGGAGGGGCTGGCGGTACGCGTGCTGCGAAGCGGGTTGGTCATACTGCTGCTGGAGGGAAGGTGGAGGATACGGGTCAGGTGGCGGCCGCCGCGGAGCGGGCTGAGGACGAGTCTGCGGCGCTGCGCTGCGAGGGCGCTGGCCACTTGGAATCATGAGAGAGGTGGTGAGTAGACGTCAGAGGGAGAGGTGAGTGGATGGCGGAGATGGAAGAGTGGAAGTGAAAGTGAGAGATGTTGCGATGAGGAAAAGAGAGATCGTCGGATCGGACAATACGACCAACCCAAGCGGGGGAGGAAGGTGCATCCCTCGCACATCCCCACCCAGCCGTTCGCGGGCATGCATGGTTGCATGCACGCCAGCGAGTATCGACCAGCATCATGCGGGCGACCACGACATCGGAACACTTCTCAAGCCGGCCAACGCAGAGTCGCGCTCCCGCGGCGGGACCACTCCTCTACATTCGCCGGCCCACGCGCTGGACATCCCGTACTCCTCCCAACGTGCCCACCCACTGGTTGTACAGATACATGACCATGCAAATGTTGGATGATAGATCGCAGCGCTACTCAGCGTCGCGCTCGTGAAACGCCGGCAGCGGGGGCACCTCCGAGAGGCTGGTCGCGCCGACCGTGACGCCGCGCGGGCGGGTGGAGCGGTATGGCTCTGTGGGCTCGGGGCCGGGCGAGCTGCGCGCGCGCCGGCGCGTGTCGCTGTCCATGCTGTCCGTGCTCAGCCGCCACCCATTCTCGTGCACGGGCGAGGTGGGGGCGTAGGATCCGCGCTCGAGGTGCATCAGCTTCATGAGTGTTTGCGGGGAGATCTCGACGCTGAAGAGATCGCAGATGAAGCGGCGGACGGGAGCTTGGAAGTGGTTCGTGGAAATCGTGCGGAGGGCGCGGTAGAAGAGCGTTGTAGACGAGAAGAGGCGCGGGTGCCGGTTGCGGATGCTGGGGTTAGTGGAGACGGGGCATAGCTCACCGTTTGAGGTTGTTCATCGCGCTCGCGGCGAGCACATAGTTGCTCAGATTGGAGATGAGGGTCATCACCTCGCCTTCGAGACCGGAGAGCGTGGGCAAAGGGGGCACGTACGGCCGGATCTCTTCGCGTGTCCACGGCTCGATCTGCGATCAGCTGCGGCAGGGTAAGCCGTGCTCACATAGGCGAACCGCTCGAGGTCGTTTGGGAGGCAAAGGCCGGTGGTCTGTCCCAGCGGCGTGCGCGCCGCGATCCACCCGTACTCCTCGAGAATTTCGGCGCCCATCTGGGTGGATGAGATCAAGCCGATGACGAAGAACCCAGTGCTACGGTCAGTTACGTCCTGTCTTCCGATTTACCCCTTCATATTGAGCACTGGTGAGCGTTCCGCAATCTCAATGATGTCTTTGATAATCTCCTCGTCCTCGAGGAATGCGAGGCCGCCCTCGGTGGAACCAATGTTGCCCATGACCCACATAGCTGCCTTGAGCTTGTTGAGCACGGTTGTGTCCTCCGCCTCCAGGCCGTGCATGCGGATAACTTCGGCGAACTCGGGCACGAGTCCCTTCTCGCGCAGATACTGGCATCCTTCAGGCGTCTTGCACAACTCGCGGAAGAAGTGCGTCGGCGCTGTACCCTCGTACGCCCAGAACTCGTCCGGATTGTCCTTGGACAACGGACGGATCGTCTTGGACACGAACGTCTCGACCTCGATCACGTACAGCATGTTGTGCTCGGCCATCCAACTCTCGAGCTCGTAGTCAATGTACTGGGCCGCAAGGAGATACTGGAAGCCTGTAGATGTGGACATGAAGCTGGGCGTTAGCGTGAGGGTGAGCGATGACTCACCGGAGGAAGAGGTTGGCGCCGAGGTCACCAAGATGCTCGAGGGAGGGGCAGAGGGACACGACCTTCTCGAGGTTGACCGGGTCGGTGCACGCTTCTTCTAAGTACATGACGGCAATCTCGCACACTTCGATGGCAGGGTCGTACAGCTGTGTTACGAGGAGCGTGAGCGCCCAATCGGTGAGTTCTGGCGAGTCCGAAAGCAGCCTTCCCAGGTGGTGTGTAGTGAATAATCGGGTGTCGAGGTAGCTCGATGTAAGCGCCTTGGAGAGGACGATTCTCTGATGCGCGTCGCTGCTGTCAGCTCAGTCTCTCCGCAGCTCACATAGAGTAGTTGAAGCACTCGATGATGAGCTTGATGATGTCGTCGCGGGACCGCAGCTCGCAGAGGTGGTAGAATGAGGTGAAGAACTTGAACTTCTCAAGCAGCTGAATGCCCTTGTGATGCTTGCTGAGCGTGCCGATCATCTCGAAGTATCCGTACGTGAGCGTGTTTTCGAGGCGGTCGCGCGCGAACATGGGCTGTGCGCTCGGTTGCCCCGCATACTGGTCGAGCTCGGACAGACACTCGACCATTTGGCGCAACAGCTTGTCCTCAGTGAGATAGCGCTGGCCTTCCGGGTTGACGAGCATGGTAGTGAGAAGCGCACACCCAAGCCGTACCCATTTATGGTTTGGCTGCGCGGGTCAGCGTAGTAGATTGCCACGACTCACTCTTGTACGCAGTATGCTGCTGAAGCGGTTGTTGAATGGGTGCAGGAACGAGAAGATGCGGCGGATGAACTTGGTCGCGCGGATGACCTCGTCTAGGCGCTTGGGATTGAGCAGCGGCCCCTGGAGCAGCTCCATGATCACATCATAGTTCCACTTGTTGTGGTCGCGCGAGAGGAGTACCTGGAGTTAGAGAGGGTCGGTGCTAAGGCAGCTTACCCCAGAGTCGTTGACCATGGTCTGGAACGCCTTGTCGTCTATCTGCAATCCTAGTCGCAACTTGACCTGCTGCACCTGTCGTTGCGATCGCTGTAGCGACTCCTGCACCGATTTGGGTCTGGTCTCAGCGGAAAATACAAGAGAAACTAACGATATGCGATTGCGGTCACCTATCGCTTGGCTGCGCTTGAGGTTATTCCGCGCCAGACTGTCGATGGACGAGAGCGCCGCGAGCGCCGAGTTGCGTTCTGTCGGCTTCGAGAACTCCGCGACGCCCATAAACAGGCGCGGGAGGGCCTGACATCAGCCCGGACGCCACTCGACCCACCTGAATCCGTGCGGCGTACTGCAGTGGCAGCGTGTGGTTTGCGAGCTGGAGGATCTCGCCGAGCAGCAGCGTCGCCTTGCGGCTGACATTATGCTCGCCCGCCTCCTCCTGGATAAGCGCGACGAGCGACTGGCGTTAGGTACGAACTGGTCCCACATACCTCCAGCAGCCCGGCCTCGATGAACACGGCGAGCAGGAACGCGACGTAGTTGTCGACAATGCTGAGTCGGGAGGAGAACTCCTCGTCCTCCACCGCATCTTGCAGCTGCGTCGATGCTTCGTATGCGCGGTTGTACACCGTTAACCGGCGGCCATCGAGGAACGCGCTCGTCCAACTTGGCGCCTTGATGCGGAACGCGCTGAAGAAGAGGTCGAGCAGCGCATTCCGCATCTCAGGCAGCGGCACAAACAGGCTGCTGATCAGGCTCTTGATCGCCCGGCAGTTGTCCATGCAGAGATACAGCACACCGCTCCATGTGCCGAGCACCATGCCAACATTGCGCACGCACGTGTCCAGCCGGTCGAGCTGGCGCTGCGCGTGCCGGCTCGACACTTTGCCATACTCCTCCGTCAAGCCGACGAGGACGATCTCAAAGTCGCTCCCTGGTATTAGGAGGTGGCGGGTATGGGGCATGTTCGTGAGATAGCACAGCATGCCCGTTATTCCCAGACCGAGCTCGAGCGGCCCGTCTTTGAACGCATTCAGGACGACGCGAAAGGCGTCCGCCGACAATAAGCACTCCAAGTCGAGCAAGGCGATCTCCACCAGCGTTTCCATGCACACGGAGCGCATCGCGTCGTCGGGGTTCTCGGCTGCGCTAACGATCGCACGCACCAACCCCTGCCGCAATGGGACGCGGTTCATGAGCAAGCGCGCCACGGGGTCGGGGAGAGGAGCGGCGTCGGCGCGTTGTGCGAGTGCTCGCTGTTCTCGTCCGCTTGGTGGTGGTAGCGTGATCACGGCGCGGAGGAGCAGCAGAGCCTGCTCGCGCTCAAGAACAGCCTTTGCGTCGCGTGTAAATGTCCTGGTTGATCAGCATGACGACCTCCACGCACCGGGCGGTCCCGGCGCCCAACGCACCGGATGATGACAGCCTCAATGCCTGCATTCACCATGCATCCCCATGTCCGCCGATCGAGGCAGTACCGAAGCAGCCGGTACGCTGCTGTCCGCCTCCGTATGGTGGAATAGTCCGCTAGCTGCGGCAGCGTCGCTTGGACGACCTCGGCGATCTCGAGGCGGCGGTACAATGACGGCTTCTTCTTAAGCATGTCCGTGAGGCGCGTGAGCGCCTCCCACGCCTCGTCACCCTGCGCGCCGCGCAGCCGGCCCAACAAAATACCCGCTGTCTCTCTAGACGCGGCGCTGGTGTCGTCGTCGCTCTCGTACCCGGCCTCGACTGGCCACGGGGAGATGAACCCCGGCGTGCTGACCCCGCTGTGGTCGTCCGTCGTCGTGAAGCTCCCCTGCCGCGACACCTTGGGCCGCACGCCAGCCGACAGCAGCGTCGACGAGGACGCGGAGGAGGAGAGTCCATTGAGCCGCCGTGGTCGTCTCCACTGTGCCGAATCTGCATCAGAGGGACAAAGCGGGAGACTCACTTCCTCGTAGCCGCTCGAGACGCCCCTCGAGCGCCTTGATGTGCTCGTTGGCCACTTCGAGCTGAGCCGTAATCCGCGCCTTGACCTGGTCCTTGTCCGCGCCGGCGCGGCTCTCGATGACATCGAGCATCTTCTCAGCGCCGTACTGCACTCTGCGCTCGATCGCGAGCTTGCTCATAAGGCTCTCGACCTAGTGTCAGCGCCGGCGGGAGGGGGGCGCAGGGCGCACAAGCGAGAGGGAGGAGAGGAGGTGGCGATAGAAAGCATGAGGAGGGGCCAAGTGTAAAGAACCGAAGGAGCTGGAGACGAGGGCGGCCGCACGGCCGGTGCTGCAGCAGGCGAGAAGCGCAGGTGGAGGCTCACCGTCTCGTCGTCCTCGTAGTGGCTACTACTGTCATCGTGGAAGCCGGTCGACACGCTCGAGCTCAGCCTGTCGAAGCTGGGCCGCGCGGGCGACCCGCGCGCCTGGTACGCCATGGTTCGTGCGCGTTCGTTTGGAGAGTAGTTGAGGATCGCCAGCCAGCCGGATTCCGTTCACAACAGGAAGCGGGGCTCAACGCGGAACCAAATGTCGTAGCTTGCTCGGTGGCGCCGGACACCGCCTCGGCGTTCCGCGGCTCCGAGGTGGGACCGGCGGGGGGTTGGCAGCCAACGGAAGGAGATGGCTATGCATAGGAGGTCGTCAAGGTCGGTATTACGTGGTCTATGTGGTCTGCTACATTGCTCAGCGGGAGAAACGCCTCGGTGAACCACCTTGCGACGCCCAAACAGCAGGGTGAGCGGGCGCAACGGGTACGTAGGGCGGTTGTACTGCGTAGATCGGGTATGGTGGCACTATTGGAGGGTGAATTATCAAAGGTGGCGCCATTGGCGTGAGGACTATAGGTGGGGATCCACCAAGGTAAGGTGGTGCGTGTATTGTCTGAGCATGATAATGCAATCCCACGTGTGACTGCCGCACAGCAGGTTGAATGTGTAGTAGAGGTATTGTCTCGGGGACGCAGGGTGCCCTGTGAAGCTCAGGCGTGCCACTATCCCGAGGCGGCAATGGCGGTAGGGGCTTGTGGACGGCCGTTGCCGCTCGGCGAGCGCGTTGGTCTGCAATGTCCGCTCGTAGCTTCCTAACCCACAGTGCCAGCCCGCTGGGTTGACGGTTTGGATTAAGTGCAGATTGTGGGTTGTCTCGGAGGAACTCTTCCTGTAGCTCGGGTCTCATATGGTTGAAGGCGTGGCGCTGTATCAGCTTATTCAAGCCAGTGGGCATACCTCTGCGTTGAGGAATCGTCGCCGCTTGACCCGCAGCATCAAAAGTACACCTACCAGCGCAGCTGTCACACTCAGTCCTATCACTAGACCTGCCGCAATCTGCTCGCGCCGGCCCCACTTTGGAGGTGGCGGCAAGGACCATGGGAGTTCAGTGGACAATTTGAGCCATGTCGTGTGCGCCCCCGTGGGACGAGGGACGGGAGGGACGGTGGGGAGGGGCGCGATGCTGATGAGGGCAGTTGCGAAGAAGGACTGAGTGTCGACTAGCGGAAGCTGGCAAGTCCCATTATTCTGATATCAGAGTGAGCGAGGACAATGATGATAGTAAGGTGGAGTAGGGACGCACAATAGTTGGCCGCATCCATGTCTGGTTGACAACGAGCATGTGCCAGCCGGTCCGGGTAAAGGTGTAGTCGTACGTGTTTACTCTGGCTGTCACCGCGTAGGATCCGCACATGGGGTCTGCTACGGGGTAAAAGTGCGGATCGCGAGGGTCCTCGCTCCCAGTGACATTGAGCATATGCACAGAGTAATCAGGGAGGACCACGGCGGGCGACACCATTCGCATCCACCCACCCACGATCGGAGGATTTGCCGGCGCAACCTCGAGCCAGCCGAGTTTGTACGCGCCAACATAGATGTGGTCGTATGGAAAGGCGCGAGGAAGCACTAGCCCCATGGATGGGGAGATGGGCACGGTCGATGCCGCGGAGAGGGCTGTCGGCATGGGCGTCGGTGTTGGTGTGTACCACGAGGTCCGGGCGGCGGTGGAGGTGGGAGGGGCGACGGGTGTGGTTGGAAAGATGTGCAGGGTATCTTGGCGTTGGCGGAGCGTTGCTGTCATGGCCAGCACGACCTGGACCAGCAGGAGGAGCGCCAGCGCTCCCAGCAACCCGCGCATGATGAAGATGACAAGGTTGATGGTGTGGACGAGGTTAGGTTGAGCTTATAGAGGTTACCATCGGAGCAGATCAGCGGGCGGCAAGAGGGAGGCGAGGAGGCCCGTGCATCGTGGTGCACGGAAAATCAGTTCGCCTTGCGCCGGACGCCACGGCGTTACAATAGTTCAACAAGCATCAGACCATCAGTATCAGGAGAGTGGAGAGTCATTGAGTCAGCCATCATACGATCGAGAGTGCGGCGAGAGTAGTGCGGTGAAGAGGGCGAAAGCGACGAGAGAAGAAGAGGGATGAATGAAGAGATGAAGAAATGAACGCGCCCGTTTCACACGCGCACCGGCTCGAACACAGGCGGACAGGCGGAAAGCTCGGCACGCGGCAAACACTAAGAACAAAGCGAAGGAATTAGGGAGAGGCCGAGTTTTCTAATCACCTCTGAATAGGAAACGCTAATGCAGTCACATACCACTGACGTCACAATAGCAATGACGTGGGGCCGTGGGGGGAGATGCCAGGGTGAAAAGAGCGCAAGGAAGGTTGACCACATGAGGTCCTCGTCCATCCATCCCGCCGCTCGCCACCCCCCGGTCACCCCACCAAACTACTTTATCCCTCCTCGCTTCTCCTCGCTCTCTCTCGCTCTCTCTCGCTCTCTCTCTCTCTCTCTCTCTCTCTCTCGTCTCCACCTCACCCCGAAACCCCTCGCAGCTGCTCGCAACCATGGCCATCCTCGACGGCATCGGCTACAAGGTCCTCAACATTGTCGTGTTTGCACTCACCTTTGGGTCAAACCTCTACAATGTCATCGGTCCCCACCACTCTTACAGTGAGTGACCTCCCAGACCCCGCCAGCCGGGGTGCAAGTGGTGTTCATCACGCCTCGACGTGGATCGAGCGCCCCCCTCCTCTCTCCTTCTCGTCCATCCCTACAATGCGACGTGGCGTCAACCTGGCGCTCGCTCGCATGGTTGCAGTCCCGCGCACTCTCTTCTCCGTGCTCCGCTCCGCTCTCCATTGTTACTGACATCCAGGTGGACCTCATGACACCTACGTCACGCCCTCGGCGTACGCTTTCTGGATCTGGACGCTCATCCACTTCCTCCTCTTCTGCATGATCATCTACCAGTTCACCGAGCGCGGCAAGGCCATCGTCGTCGACCGCATCCAGTACCGCTTCGCTCTCCTTGGTCTCCTCAACACCGCCTTCATCTGGCTCACTCTCCGCGGATGGTACATCACTGCGTTCATTGCCGCTCTTCTCGTCGCCGGCGCTGTGTCGCAGATCTACTTTATCATTAACGCCGACTCGGGCGAGTGCAGCCTGCCTACGGAGCTCTTCGTCCACCTTCCATTCAGCCTCTACCACGGCTGGACCGTGGTCCTGACCGTCCTTGCGCTGTTCCAGGCCTTTGGTGTCGACGCCGACACCCACAAGGCCGGCATCTGGACCAAGATCTTCGTCTTCCTCTCCTTCCTCTTCCTCGAGTCCACTGCCGCCGGTTACGCCTTTGCCACTGCCTCGGGTGACCCGGCCGGCGCCGCTGTCATCTCGTGGGCACTCTTCTCCATCTGTAAGCCCTTGCCACAAGATTTTGGCTGACAACAGACATGCACCAGTCGGTCCCCTTCATCAAGTGGTCGGCCTTTGCCTTCTTCATCCTCTCCCTTTTCGCCGTCATCAAGGCCGTCTAGTGAGTAACCCGCGTTGCTGAACCGGAGCCGCTGCTAACCCCCAGCTCGTCCTTCCGTACCGGCCGCTCCATCCTGCACGACGAGGAGCGTGCGCCCCTCATCTCGGGCGGTGCCGCCTAAGAACAACACCCTCTTCTGGCCACTTGTTTGGCCTGTCTGGCCTCGCCAGACTTACGAAGGTATGAGCGTGACGACCCTAATCCGTTCCCGACTCGAATATACCACTTTGAAGCAACGAAGAATCTGAAGAAGCAAGAGTTCATAGCCACGAATGTCGATGTGATCACTTCTGTAACCGTGAGCTGCGGCGGGAACCCTCGACGCGGGGTTTGGGTTCGGCTCGGGGTGTCTTGGCCTTTGGCTCGGCCTTGGTCTTCTTGGGTGTTGGCCCGGTAGTCTCAGCGAGGCTCTTCTTTGACGGCGGCTTGGAGTTGGCCTTGTCGGTGTCAGCGTTGGAGCCGGACTTTCCCTTGGACGCCGACTTCGTTTCTGTCTCAGGCTCAGCCTCGGCCTCGTCCTTGACCCGCTTCCCCTTGCCCTTGACTGGCTCCTCAAAGCCGCCCCGCCGCCCCATCGCAACGATAGCATCATACGCCGCCTCCTCGACCGGCTGCACGCCTGGTGTCAGCTGCAGTCACCGATGTCGACGCACTAAGTCGGCCGCGATTAATCAACGCCATGGACTGTACGGCCTTGAGCCCCTCCGTACCGATATACGCCACGCCGTCCGGCGGCGAACTGAGCCCAATGAGGCTCTTGACATTCGCGAGCGTCACAGGATACGCGAGCCGCTCCACAAACCGCACGCTGACCATATACCACGTCGGGTTCTCCTGGTCGCTCTTCGCGTCAAAGTACGGGTGGTTGCTGGGTGAGCGGGGCCGCGGGCAGTCTCACGCATCCCACGCCGTGTCTGGCATCAGCCTGCTCCATGTCTCCCTCACAGTCCGGATATCCCTCTTTGCTGATCTCCGCGAGCGCATACACGCCTATCATTAGCGCGCCCGCTACCCCGCCTACCCGGGACCTTGCAGTTCGAGTGGTAGAACAGCACCTGGCGTCAGCCGCATCACGGGGGCCGCACCTTGTCGCCAAGCTTCATTTTGTCGCGCATGATGTTCTTGGCCTCGTGACTGCGCACGCCTGAATCAGCAGAGCTAAGGGGCACGCACCATCCCACGGCGACTCGCTGGCGTCAGCTCGCCCGGCGCGCGACGCACCCCATCGCCTCAAAGTCGTCGACGGAGAACTGGGTCAGCCCATCCGAGGGGAGCATACCTTGACATCCTTGCCCTTGACGATTCGCGTATCGGGCTCGGCTTTCATAAGCCACGGCATGGCGCGTGCGGAGGTGGTGAGGCGGCGGGCGAGCAGAATGAGTAGGGTCGGGAGCAAGGTGCAACATGGAGCTGTGAACCGCCGATCAAGCCAAACAAACATCTTTCCCACGGTCGCCACAACCTCCACCGGAGATAAACCTCCACCTAAGATTTCAGTGCCCTCCACCCTCCACCCACCACACCATGGACCTGAAGCGCAAGCACGTCGTGTTCGAGGCTGCGTCCGCGCCCGAGCCCGCCGCGGGGCCGAGCGTGCACCCCGACCGCGCGGCGGTGGTAGATGCCGCCGCGCCGAAAGCGAAGAAGCCCAAGGTGAGCCTGGCGCCCGCAGGGCTGACGATAGACGGCGTCGGCGAGGCAAAAGCGGTACAATGCAGCGCGGCAGCGCAAGCAGCGCAAGTTGAAGAAGGCGAAGCGGGCGTCGGCGCCGCGGCCGAGCGGGTGGCATGGTGAGGAGGGGGAGAGTGACGGGTCGGGGTCTGAGTCTGAGGCGGAGACGGAGCGCCCAGATGTCACGGACGCCGTGGCAGACGCAGACGCCGACATCGATAGCGAAGCCGAGGCGGAGCGTGACGACATGCCTGCGACCGATGGTACGCCTTCGGCGGCTGCCACAACGCAAGACGAGCGCGAGAAACGACGGGCGGAGAAGGCGGCGAAGCGCGACGCACGCCGGCTGGAGCGGCGAGCGGCGCGGGCGGCGGAACGCGAGGCGCGCGCCGCACGCGCCAAGGCGCAGGCGGAGCGCGCGGCGCGGCGGGAAGCTGAGCCCGCTGGCGACGAGACGCAGGCAGACCTCGAGCTCGCGGAGGGCGAGGAGGAGGAGAGCGACGCCGAGCCCGACGAGCCCGACGTCCCGGACCTGCCGGCGCGCCTGTCGCCGCCGCCCCTCGAGCCGTTCCCTTTGCCGCGTATGGCGCCGGCGCCGGCGCCCGACCTGCTGAGCCGGCAGGGCCTGCCGTCCGGCCTCGCGGACGCGACGTTCGTGGACCAGGCGGCGCGTGCGCCGCTCTCCGACGTGCCGCTCTCGGAGCGCACGGCGCGCCGGCTCGCCGATCTTGGCGTGGACGCTCTTTTCGCCGTCCAAGCCGCGCTCCTCCCGCACCTCCTCGCCCTCCCCCTCGTGCCGCGTCCGCATGCGCGCCTCCCCGACTTCCTCATCTCCGCGCCGACAGGATCAGGCAAGACGCTCGCGTACGCCGTGCCCGTAGTGGAGGTGTTGGCGCGCCGCGTCGTGCCGCGCTTGCGCGCGCTCATCGTCCTTCCGACGCGCGACCTCGTCGTGCAAGTGCGCGAGACGCTCGAGTCGCTCGCGAAGGGCACGGGGTTGCTTGTGCGTGAAATCACGGAGAATGCTGACGGCAGATCGGGAGCGTGACGGGCCAACACTCGTTCGCGCACGAACAAGCGCAGCTCGTCGGCGCGGGGGACACGCTCGGCGGCTTGTCCAAGCTCGACATCCTCGTCGCGACGCCCGGGCGCCTGATGGACCACCTCGCGTCCACGCCCAACTTTACGCTCCAGCACCTCCGCTTTCTCGTCATCGACGAGGCGGACCGCCTCCTCACGCAGAGCTTCCAGAACTGGCTTGCGCAGGTGTTGGCACATACGCGGCCGACGGCGCGCGCGGCCGCCACGCAGCCGCACGATGCGGTCGCGGCCTCGTGGGCCGTGCCGCTGGGCCTGGCGAGCGAAGCATTCGAGGGCTCCGAGCCCCCGGCTAGTACATGCCAAAAGCTGCTGTTCTCCGCCACGCTCACGCGCGACCCCGCAAAGGTCGCGGCACTCGACCTCAACGACCCCAGGTACTTCATCGTCCAGAACACCGAGCAACCGCTCTCCGCCGCCGCCCTCGGATCGAGCTTTGCCCTGCCGGCCGAACTCAGCGAGAAGGTCCTCATCCTCCCGCCCGCGCTCAAGCCGCTCAACCTCATCCACCTGATCCACTCCTTCAACGCCACCCCCGCACTCGTGTTCACGAAGAGTGTCGAGGCCGCTACGCGGCTCGTCAAGCTCCTCGAGTTCTTCGAGGACGCATACATCGGCGAAAAGAAGGTGACGGTGCGCGCGTACACGCGCGACATGGCGCCGGCGGAGCGCCGCCGGCTCCTCAAAGAGTTCGCGGACGGGAGCGTCGACGTCGTCGTGTGCTCTGACCTCGTCGCGCGCGGCATCGACCTGCCGACGGTCGAGCACGTGGTGTCCTACGACGTGCCCCTCGACATGACCAAGTACGTCCACCGTGCCGGCCGGACTGCGCGTGCGGGACGCGCGGGCACGGCGTGGACGCTGGTGGAGAAACAGGAGGCGCTGCACTTCAAGGCTATGCTCAAGGGCGCGCAGCACGAGGCGCAGGTCAAGAAAGTCAAGGTCAAGGAGGACGAGCTGGCAGGATACCGCGAGAGCTACGATATTGCGATGCGCCGTCTGCGTGAGGAATACGGGCGTGATTAGGGACAGTAGAGTTACTAGACATGGAGTGTACAGGTATACCTGATGTGAGCGGGTATTCGCGGGTGCACTAACAAATGCGGGTAGTCTGTCCGCTGGTGCGCCGCTGGTGCTGATGAATCATTCGTCGTCTATGCCAGTCATCTCTCGCCCCTCTTGGAGCAGCTTGTCGAGGCCCTCACACTCATGCCCCCGGAGTGTCGCCTCGACCTTCTCCCACGCCTGGCGGATGGCGTCGGGCGACTCTTCCGCAACGAGCATGAGGCGTATGCGATCCAGCCCCTGCTTGGCTACGGCGCGCGCGCGCACCGCGTCATCGACCGCCGAGGGGTCGGGGAGTGCCACGCTATCTGCGAGTTGGGACATCTCGCTAAATCGCTCCTGCAAGTCGGTGACAATGCTGAGGAGCTGCGGCGTGCGCGTGTTCAGCACGCTGATTGTGTCGCCGGCGCTAAAAAGCTGGTGGTGGTGGTTGTACACGAGTGTGTGCCGTGATGAGTGGAGGCGGCCGATGTCTGGTGTGAGCGTGCTGTCTTCCTCATTCCTACTTCGCCCAACTTGGATCCCCAGCATCACCTTCACACTCACCCGTCGCCAACGTAGAGGTCGTCTTCAACAACTCCGGCAACCCGGCCCGGCTGATAAGGTCCTCGTAGTATTCAGCCGGAACGAAATAAGGCGAAGACAGGTCGCGGCGTTCCGCCCTTGGATCCGGCGATGTCGCGCCCGAGCCGCGCGGAGTGCCGCCTCCAGAGCGGGTGCGCTCGGGCGTGGTGGATGTTGGACTGGGGCCTTTGAGGCCGTAGAAGTCGCGCAGCTGTTCCCGGCGGGCCGCGCGCCGGGCGTCGGCCGCGGCGGAGCGTGGGGAGAGTACGCGGTCGGGGACCGAGGAGATGGGTGGGGCGCGGGTCGTCATGGACAGGAGACGGAAGGAAGAGGAAAGTTGATGCAGTTGACGCGATGATCACGACGAGATGTGAGGTGGTGAGGTGGAGGTGGTTGCCACGTGTTGGTGTGGGTGGTGAGAGTGGGCCGAGTGGGGCAGACTGATAGGCAGAAGGTGACAAAATGTTCGGACACGCAATGACTGGTCGTGGCGGCGGTACCGCTGGCAGCTGGCTGTTGCCCATGAATTTCCACTACCACGGTACCGGCGGCGGTACGTCCGTTGACTATGGATTCCCACTCCCACTCGAAAGTGGCGGCCCGACAGCCATCAACTATACGTTGACACTACCGGTCTCGAACCCCCATCAACTGGCTACAAATCTCCGGCGATAAGTGAACCCGGTGTATTTGTCCTGCAAGCGGGAGCACTTTCATCAGGCATCGAGGCTGGATGTGTTTGGTTCCCAAGCATGCACAGCTCGCTTGAATCGTTTATAGCGTCTTGCGTCGCGAACGCGAGAACCGGCACGGGAGATCGGAACACGTCGGATCCTCGGAAACGGGATGCACATGCATGCCTTGACGGTATGCATATGGCCCCTCGTACCTCTGACCTCGCTCGGCTTCGGTACCAGATTACGATCCGCACTTTCACCCAGCTTTCACCCAACTCGTCATTACTCATCATCATCTACCGTCTCTCTTGCCCCCAGTGCAAGGTCACGGTGACGAGCTTGCATCGCTTCCATTCCAAACACACGAATTGACCCTCGCACCGCCTAAAAGAGTGTGCCATGCGGTCCCAGATCTCACGGAGGGCTGTTCGGGCAAGCTGGGCATGCTTGGGGGGCGTGGGCTGTTACGACTGTGGGGTCTTGGGGGGTCTGTGGTAGCGGTCGGCTCGGCTGTGGAGGTGGAGGCCTTGGCGTCATTAACGGATGAGGTGAGAATGGTGAATGGAGCGGGGTGTGTGCGATGCCCGCTAGGGTCGGGCTTGTTGGGGTGCAGGGAGGAGAGGGGAATGGGACGAGCAACTACTGACGGGCGGTGACGGGGTCTGTGCGGAGGCCGAGGGCCGAGGGGGAGGGAGCACAGCACAAGAGATCAAGAGGTCAAGAGGGCAAGATGCGATACTGTAGGCAAGAGAGCAGAGGAGGAGGAGGAGGAAAGAGGGGAGCGGGCCGAGTCATGCTTGGAGTCGAGTTATTACTCGCGCCGAGTCAAGCTTATGACTGCGAGGCGGGAAGCTGCGGCAGGGAGGAGGCTCGGCGTGAGCGCTTTACGGCGGAGAGCGCTGGCTGAGAGGCGAATAGAAGGGACAGAATACAGTAGAGGAGCATGAAGAAGAGAACATTTCGGATACCCAGAAGAGAGTTGAGCGATCGAGAGCGCGAGTGCAATACAGCAACAGCAAGCAACAAGAGGTGCGGCGGAGGAGAGCAAGCGGAGACAAACAAGGGCGGTCGAGTGACGTCGGATTTGCCGTTTCTTGGCGCCCTGAGCGTCAGCTGTCGCGCCCAGCTGACCAGCACATTCCGCCAAGAACTCGCTTCCCATCTTCGCCACCCACCACCAGCAGCACTACCATCCACAGGCCCAAGTTTCCCAGTTACCAAGGCGGCCAATTGACCAAATGCACAGCCGCACCGAAGAGTTGCGAGGATGCAAGTCCGTGCCATGTTAGAGCAGCAGGATACAATAAACCTGGAGCAGTTGTGAGGAGTGAGCAGGTGGCGTCGGGGCTGTGGACTGGAATTGGCACAGCATATTCAGGTATATGCAGGTATCAGGCACCCCTATGGTATGTACTGTACAATTTGGCGCGTGCAATTAGACGCGTCTTTGCCACCACCTACAAAGTTGAGTGGATCTGTGCAACCTTCCCCCCTCCCTCCCGATTTACTACTTAGGCACCAACAACAAAGCCTCTCTCTTTTTATTCTTTCCCAGCAGCTCTTCGCTCTTCTCTCTTCACTCCTCTTCACTCATCGCCATTCCTCTCCACTCTTCAGTCACCTCTCCCCACCCCCCCACCCCCCATCTATCACAATGGTATCTGCCAGTCGTGTTCACTTCCTCCTCTACGGCGTCGGCTGCCTCTGGTCCCTTCTCGTCTGGACCGTCGCTGCTGGCCTTGTAGGCAAGTGGAACTCTGACACCGGTGGTTGTAAGTCCCCTTGCTTCTTTCTCCCACACCCACAGTCCACAGCTAACATCACAGACGGGCGCTTCTACACCTTTGACAGCGCCAACGCCGTTCTCGCTTGGGGTCTCCTCACCTGGCTGTACTACACCGCAGCGTGAGTGCCATTTCTCCCTCGAGCCCTGCTAACCCCAGCCTCTGCATCCTCATGTTCGTCTCGCCCGCTAACCCCGCCATCTGCATCATTGCCGATGTGGCCTTCCTGACCTTCTTCTTCATCTTTGGCCTCGGTGCAGTCGGCTCGCTTTCCAGCGTCGCCGAGGGCTTCCGGGTTCTCAGCGGCTTTGACGGCACCAAGGGCATTGGCAGGTGAGTTGCGAGGAGTGGCGAGTGAAGGTTGAGGCGAACGTTGCAACAACCTTCCCTCCACTTGCTTTCACATGAGCCCATGGACTAACGCCCCAGCCTCGGCCAGGCCACCCTCGCCCTCGGCTGGCTCCTCGTCTTCATCATCCTCGGCACGCTCATCTACGAGATCTACTACGTCCTCCGCAACTATGGCAAGGACATGTCCGTCTGGCGCCAGTCGTTCCACGACCTCACCACCGACGGTGTGCCCCGGTCCGAGAAGCCCGTTGCGCCCCCTGTTGCCTCGTCGGCCGTTTAAGCCGGTCTTCGGAGGGTAACGAGCGTGTCGTAGAGCGTAGCCTGAAACAACAATACATTCCGGTATAATAGGGCGTCTCGGTACAGGTGTACGCGGTGCGCATGTACAATGTAACCGTGCGATGTCGACGAGTGCGCCGAGCGCATGCAAGAGTGGGTCGATGGGTTGGTGTCGCGGTTGTTGTATGCACTGGCCTTGTGACCTCGATCCGCGGGATCCGGGTGGCTGCGGATCTTGGCGTGGTGGAGCGGCTGGCCGGCTCGTGTCGCATGCCGAGGATTGTGGACTGCTCATCAGATCATCCTCAACTCCCGTTATTCGCCGCATCGTCAGCGATCCTCGGCTCTCGAATTGATCTCGAAGTGCTGATCCACAAACGCCAGTCACGCCCGCGCCGGTGACCTCATCCTCCTGGCGGAGTCAGCAGCGGTGGTCCCAGGAGGCACGCCAACTAGGGCCAAGGCGACAGATCGACAATTGCGGCCAAGATCGCACCATAAGGCTTCGTGAGATCGAGGCCCGAGCGGCACGAAACAGCGCCTCGGCCCCGCCAACGGCCCCGCCATCGACCGCCATGTCTAGTAGTGCATAAGATACAACACCCGGCTGCGTGCCGGGCGCATGCTAGTCGCTGTGCCGTCGCTAGATCTCGAGTCTCCTAAGCCTCCTATCCGCCTCCGCCTCCGGCAGCAGCGGGGGCCCCCGTGCGCGCGGCGTCTCCGCCGGGCCCTCGGCGCTGCTCCGCTCGCTCGTACTCTGACTGGCGCTCAAGCTTCTCTGCGCCTCGCTCGAGCTGCTGAGCATGCCCGAGTCGCCGCTCAACCGGGCGGGGGGCACGCCGAGGCTGTTCGCGACCGCGACGCCGAGGCTGTCGACGCGCGCCGCGAGCCAGCCGGCGAAACACGCGCCGCGGCAGAACGCCGCGTAAAAGTCGTGCTCGACGCGCGCCTTCCCCGCCAACCCCTTGGACTTGAAGGCGAGGGGGTTTGGGCCGTGTTTCTTCAGATGCGCCAGGAAGTTCGGGAGGCTGAACGGCCGCAGGCCCGAGAGGCTGAGCGCCGGCGGCGGCGGGGGCACGGGGAGCGTCGACGGGCCTGTGAAGGAGGAGGCGCGCGAGAGGGAGGGCCGCAGCGGCGTCGATGCGCCGCTGGTAGGCGGCGGCACGAGGGTTTGGAAGTACCTGTTCAAGGGGACGAGGAAGCGTTCCGTCAGCTGCTGGAAGTGGGTGCGGAGCGCGACATTGCCCGCCTTGTCGTCCAGCTTGCCCGCGGCGACGAGCGCTTCGAGCTGCTTCAGCAGCGCACGCTCCTTCTGCACGCTGCGCTGACGCTTGCTGATGAAGCCGTCGGGGTGGTCGGGCATGGCGCGTGCGGGGCGCGGCGCGCCCTTATTCGGCACTGCGATGACGTTGGGCCAGTGGCTCGCGGCGTTCCGGAAGAAGGGGTTCTGGCGTCAGCTTGGCCGCGGGACAACGTACAGTCACACCGACGACGACGCCCGCCTGCGGCTTGTTCGAGTTCACGAGGAGCGCAAAGTCGTGGTCGTGGATGTGGAGGTATGGCCTGAAGTCGCCTGCGAGGGGGATGGGGCGGAGGAGTTCGCGCAGCCACCACACGATTTCGGAGCATGTGCGCGGGTCCGGCGCGATGATGAGGAGCGGCTCGGCGAGCACAAGGCATTCCCAAATACTCCAGAGGGAGGGGAGGAAGGAGGCGAAGGCGCGCAGCGGCGAGCTGGGCGGGTGGGCTGCGAGGATCGGCTCAGGACCCCATCCGACCTGTGGGTTGTCCGTGTCGTCGGGAAGCTTGACGGGGAGCATCTCGCTGAAGAAGGGGAGGTCTAGGGTTGCGTCGGGCGTGGGATCGGGCCAGTTGGCAATGGCGTGGCACGCGACCTCGAGCGCCGAGTATCCGTGGGCGAAGAACGCCGGTGCGAGATGTGAAAGGACGGCGCTCCACAGCGCCGGGAAGGGGAGGTGAGTGAGGATCACGACGGATTTCTGCATCAGCGAACGAACGCAATTGCCTCACCTGCATGTATCCTCTTGCTATCCCGCGGTCGCGCCGCTGCTGGAACCACACAAAGCCGTACATCCACTCCCGCCCGCGCTCGTCCCACTTGCGGTACTCTTCTGCGCGGTCTGTCGGCTCGGGGATATGTAAGCCACCGCCCTCGCTCACGCTGTCGCGCGAGCGTACCCTCCTGCTCGGCGGCAGGTCTGCCCCAGGGCGCGGCGACGGCGGCTCGGGAAACGCGAGTTCGGCGGGGTTCGGCGGCACATGCCGGATTTTGAAGCTGAACTGGATGCTGCCCTCCGTGAAGAGTGATGTGTCAGGAAAAGAGGAGAACGCGACGTTCTCCTTCACGCCGGGCCCCCATCGTCGGCCGCCCGCACGGCGCTCGACGACCGGCCCACGCTCAAGGTCAAAGTTGCACACGACCACCTCCTTCACCCAACGCGCCATGCGCGATGCCGTGTCGTCATCAATCAACGGTGGCGGCCGGGGCGAGGGCGCCGAATCGCTAGTGTTTGGCGGCATGAGGTCGTGCGTCGTGCTCGTCGACGACTGTACGCTCTTCGCTGTGAGGTCGACGGAAGGAATGCGGACGTTGAGCGAGCGCGAGCGCGTTATTCTACGCGCGTGCAGCGGCGAGAGAGATGCGCCGGCGCCGGCGCGCGGCGTCGACGGCGTCGGCGTCATGCTCGGCGACCCGTCGTTCGCCCTGTAGCCTGATGCGGAGCGGGCGCGCTCGCCTACGTCGCCCTCGGGCGGCCGGTCGAGGCGCGCGCTGCTGCTCCGCCGTGGGCCAGAGGGCCGGTCCCGTGACGAGACGGGCGCGGCGGGTCCCGCCGCGAGCGGGCGCTCGTCGGCTCGCCGAGAGAGCGAGATGTCCCCGCTGTCGTCGTCGCCCGGTGGCGGCCCGCGGCCGGCGGTGGCCGCGGGAGGTGTCATGGTGGATGTGATGGAGCAAACGTTGGGCCGGGCAAGATTGATGTCATGCCGCGATCAGGGTGGAGGTCGCTTTGTGGTTAGGTCCGATCGCTTGTCACGCAGCCCCCTCCGCCCTCGATCCCGCTGACTGCATGCGCAGAGTGCCCAGTTGGATGATGCAGTCAACGGTGACGACAAACCTCCTACTTGACCACCATGGTCCAATTGTCCAACCCAACTGTTTTGGTTGGTATCTCTCGCTTTTGAGCTAGTGAAATCCTCTCTCTTTCCGTTGGATCTGTCGATCAGTCCGAGACGATAAGGAGGTCACGAGGTCAAAACATTGAGCTCGGAGGAGCTCCAAATTCCGATAGCGGTCTGGAGTACGCATCTCGCAGCCGCAACTAGCCACAACCAAACTTGTATTGGCGATGATGGTCGTCCTACGGTCGGGCTCTGGACTAAGCAGTGCTAGGGTTACACCAAGTTGAATCTGCGTACTTGCACCCCGATGCGTATAGTGCCGGGCATTGCGATGGGGTATAGACGTCTCGGTTTCCTTCAGAATGTGCTCCAGGTGACATTGACTCTACTTGTTGCCTAGGAGGACTATGATATACATTGCTTGCACTACATTGTTTTACGAGAGATGATGGAGGTAAGAAGAGTGTTTCACCAAATCCTCAGACTTTGGGAGCATCTCCTGGGATGGTCGCAACACCGTCCTCGAGCCGAAGCACCTTGCCGTTACGCCACGGCACCTCGTCGTCGTAGTGCGAAACGACAACACACGCCTGCTCAGTCCCACTCTCCTCCATCTCCTCCCACTCCTTTTTGAGCAGCTCGAAGCAGCGGCGCCAGATTCCCTCATCGACACCCTGCGTCGGCTCGTCAAGAATCAAGAGCGGTGGGCGAGCCACAATTGCACGCAGGAAGACAAGCAGGGCCTGCTGCGCAGGTGTGTAGTGCGCAAAGTTTCTGTTTCCAATCTCTCTCGCTGTCATGTCGGCAGGCTCGCCCGTACGTGTCGTCGCGAGGTGGGGTGCGAAGAACTCGAGGAGAGACAGAATGCGCACCTTCTGCTCCTCGTTGATTGGGCGGCGGGAGAAGACGCCCTCATAACCAGTCGCGATCACCTGCGCCGCCGTCATTCCCATGTTCCGCGGGAACGCAGAGAACACCTCAGGGGAGGTGTGCCCGATCAACCGCCTCAGGATGGGCGTTGGGACCATCCTCCGCGGTTGGGAGAAGAGCGTCAGAGCGGCGGGAGGTAGCGAGTAGCTTTGCGGGTGGTGGCCGAGGATGAGTGAGAGAAGTGTCGTCTTGCCCGAGCCTGGAGTCAGCTCCCGCCCTCATGAGCAAACAACTCACCATTGGCGCCCTGCAGATGCCACTTGTCACCTGGACGAATGACCCAGTCGACATCCTTGAGAACAGGGCGTGTTCCTTCCGCATAGCTGACCGAGACATGAGAGAGCCGCACTAGCGGCGACTCGTTGCTCGTCCTGCTCCCATCCGGCTTTTCCTCCTTCTGCTCCCTGCGTGACTGTGCCGACCTCCGCACATCCCATTGCCTCCTTGTCCCGACCCAAACCTCGCCCTCGCGCACGTCGACAATGTTCGTGATCCAGCTGGGCAAGTCCTCCTCCCGGTCTCTCAGCACGAGTACGATGCGGGCCTCGCGCTCGCCCGCATTCACCGCTCCGAGCACGTCGTCGACAACCAGCCTGGACTGCGCGTCCAGCCCCGCCATCGGCTCCTCGAGGAGCATCATCGCCGGTCGCGTCATCAACGCCGTCGCAATGCGCGCGCGCCGCATCTGCCCTGATGACAGTGCGATGTATGGCATATCGACCAAATGCTGCATCCCGAGCAGGGTCATGGCCTCGAAGACATTCTTCGCCGCCTGCGCGCTCGGCCCAAAGGACGCCTCGAGACGCTGCCGCACCGTCAACTTGTCCTCCTCTTGCAGCGCCCCGTAGCGCGCTGTGTAATCGGTGAACTCGCCGCTAGTGGACGGCTTGGCGAACGCAAGGTACTGCACGGGTTTCCATGTCTCCCTGTCGATCGCGTCTGTTGGCGGCAGCTTCGCGTTCACTGGCAGTGGGCCAGGCGGCGGCGAGTTGGGCGCGATGCGATGCCGGCCAAGCACAGTCTACAGTTAACACTGCTTACTGAGACACTAGTACTCACCTCCACGGCCAGTCTGCGCCCTGGCGCATCACCGACAATTGCCCAGCCTTCGGAGCCTCCATCGTTCACCTTCCACCCCTGCTCGGGAAAGCGGAGGAGCGCGCTTTCTTCGCTAACCGAGCCGAAGGGGAACACGCGCGCCTTGGGGGGTAGCCGGACGAGGGGCACAGGCCTGATGGGTCCACCCTGCGCGCCGCCTGCACGCCGCTTCCACTGGAGTCGCACGGCTGTGCGGAACATCGGTCGGTGTGTAGAAGAGATGGTGGGTGATGGGGAGGCAAATGCGGGGTAGGCTGGAAATTAACTCGTAGCCGGTGCGGGTGAGCGTCTCGGGCGGGTTTCGTTGTTGACATCTTCTGCGCGATGGGCGACAACCACTCCACCATGCACCGATCGACCGACTTGCATCGCTCTTGCTGCAGCCGTCAACGTTGAGCAGCCACAATTTGATGACAGAGAGCACATTGAGCACGTCGAGCTTCACGGTAAGCCAGAAAAAGGACCCGAGGGTGCCCAAAGGCTGGGAGGAGAACTAGGCGAAACCAACTGGCGCATCCCACTGATCCCGCATCTCGACTACTGTTCCACCGCCCTCCTTCATACATAACTGTCGCATTCACGATCACATTTCACTTACGCCCACTCACTCTCATCATCATCACATTCACCATGGCTATCACAATCGAGGTGTGCGTCGATTCCCTGGACTCAGCACTCGAGTACGTTGTCTCCACACAAAGCTCACGCCAGCGCGGGACCGTACCTCCGCCGTGATGACCGTTTAGAGGTGTGCTCTAACCTGATTAAAGGTGCGTACTCGCTGCTGCCTCCCATCGCTACCATCCTCTGTTTCGCTTCCCTTCCGCTCGTGGCTGATACTAGGCGGCGGGCTAACCCCTTCCTTTGGGCTCGTCCGCGCACTCCTCCATCACATGCCCCACACACCTCTCATGGTGAGTCGCTCTGCAAAGGTGGAACGCCGAGCGCAGCCCGTCACAGTCACTCACACCAGATCATGATCCGTCCCCGCACAGGATCGTTTCACTACACTCCCTCCGAAGTCGAGGTCATGCTGGAAGACATTTACGCATTCAAAGCCGTCAGCATCGCAGGATTTGTGTTTGGTTGTCTCCTCGAAGATGGGACAGTAGATGTGTCGACGACTAGGCGGTGCGGTTTCTTCCTCCTCTCAAACCCACCCTTCGCCTTTCCGGTGTTCTTACCTGCCCCCGCTGCAATAATGCCGTTTCACCGCTGACTTCAGACTCGTCGAAGCCGCCTCTCCCCTGCCAGTTACCTTTCATCGCGCCTTCGACGTCACGCCTAACTGGAAAGACGCACTCGACGCGATTGCTAGCATGAGCGGCATCACTCGCATTCTCACCAGGTAAGTTTCCCGCTGTACTATGCTGGGGCGCAGAAACCGTGATAACAGCAGCGGCCACATGGCTACGGCTTTGGACGGAGTCGATGAACTCGCCCAACTCCAGATGGCCATTCCCAAGCATCTCATCATCGTCGCCGCTTCCGGCGTCAACTCGATCAGCATCGAGGAGATCTCCCAATTCTGCCCCCTGCGTGAGGCTCACTTGTCATCTGGAGAGGTTCACACTCCGCAGCATCCAGCCGGCGATAGGGGCAAAGATCTCGGTTTCGGACACAGCGAGTGGCGCCTCAATCCTAGCAAGCTCAGGAAGTTCCGGATCTGGGTGGACAAGTACAGCGTTTAGCCTTCGGAACGTTACCGAGCAGCTGGCATCGTCAGGAGAGCGCCCGTTGCTGGATATTCCCTTCGCACGGCAGTTCATGGCATAGATTATACCCGACATACGACGTGTCCATCAGCTACAACACACGACGAATGATACAGTATGCATACATGTACATGTCAGAACGTGGGTTTCTTCGGAAGCCCAGCGACACCAGCAAGAGCCCCTGCCATCCTTGCGCTTGGACCCGAGACGGGGCGCGGCGACTGGCGGTCCCTCCGGGGTGAGTGCGGCTCATTGCAGGGGGAGCGGGCGCGGTTGCTGGGTTTTTCCCCGCGGGGCTCATGCCGCCTGGGTGAGCGCTCCCTGCTTCGGGGCTCGTCTCGATAGCGCGGCGAATCGTCGCGGCGGGGTGACCTATCTCGGCTCCGTGGATCATGGCTCGGAGTATACCTGTCATGCCGTCGCGGCGAGGCAGTCCGAGAGTCTCCGCGCGGCTTGAGCGCTTCCATAGCCGCTACAGGTTTAGCTGGCAAGCCCGCTGGCCCAGCTATGCTCGTCATTGACGTCGGCATTGGACTCGCCGTACGGGAAGCCCCCCTGTCAGTTGCGCCCGCTGGTCTCAACGGCGATGGCATGGTCCGCGCGGCCGACGCCTCCCTTGTCCCTACCCTACTACCCTCTGGGCCCTCACGCTCAGCCAGCTCCCTCAGAATCTCAGCCTCCAGCTCGTCCGCGGCCACGCGCTCTGGCGTTGGCGAGCGGTCTGGCCGGTTGCGCAATGCCGCAAGTTTGGCCTCCATCGCGGCAATCTGGGCGTCGGTGCTATTGTCAGCCGAAGTAATGACGGTGCCATACCTCTGCGGCTTGCGCGCCTTGAGCAAGCTCAGAGACGTTGGCTTGATCTCTGTCCGTCGCTTGAAAGGCTGCCCGCCGTCGTCTATTGGCGCCGCGTTCGCGTAGGTCACTACCAGCTTGCGGCCTCGAAGTGGGCGGTCGTGGAGCTTCACAAGAGCCTTGACTGCGTCCTAAAGTCAGCTTGGTCGGGGATGATCGTTTGGGCCTTGCCCGTAGCCTCCGCGCGCGTTCAACGCGCTGTGTCCAGATCATTCTGCGGCTCCTCTTCTTTAACCCGGGATACTTACGTCCTTGCTCTCGTACTCGACAAAAGCGTAGCCCCGCGGCTTGCCCTTCTGTGGCCCCGAGTGGTGCACCATGAGGTCAAGCTTTGTGATCTTGCCATACTTGCTAAATACCTGGACAAGAGTGTATTCGTCCACAGAAGGCGCGAGATTGCCCACAAACAGCCGGTCGGGCTTGCCAGAGGAAGCCATCGAGGCCTGGGAAGATTCTAAGAGCGAGAGTAGAGGTCGAAGCGAGGAATGCACGTCACACTGTGATCGACCGTCTTATCACTGAATATTTGGTTCCGCTCCGAGATGTCGTCGGTGACGTTGCCGCTGCGTTGCACGTTCATCTCCTGTTCCCTCCCTCACTCATCGCGTATTGCGCCTCAAAACATGGACTGGTGAGCCTCCGTTTTGGCACTGCTGACGCGCATAGCCTCGACGAGCCGCTCCACCTTGAGATCCTCAGCGCGCTTGCGTCTAACCTCGCGCGCGACGGCCACGAGCATGACATTTCTGTCCTCTCAGACGGCCTGCCTAATGTCGCGCCCCCGGTCGACGAGGACGACGCTTGGTCCACCTTCGAGATCAACCACGCCATCTCCTATGCGCACTATGTGACATCCCTTCCCGCAACCTCGCCCTACCTCGCCACGGCCCTGCCAGAGCTGCGCCGTCTTCTCGGGGGTCTTGTCGCGCAAGGCGCGCCTGAGGCTGGGTCCAGCACCGGGGCAGCGCCGGGAACGAGCGACGCTCACGCACTTCTGCTCGACGCGCTGCTCAAAGCTATCTTCTGGGTCGGGTGGAGCGTTGACAGCCTCGCGGCCGAGGCGGGCACCGTCGTTGCGCAGCTCCTCGAGAGTACCAGCAATCTCATGCCGACCTCTCCGATCTTCGCCGGCGTGATCGTGTCTGCGGTGCACAACGTCCTTTCCTATGTTCCCCTTCCTTCCCTCCCGCCACCAGTTACCGCTCACCTCCTTTCGGCCGTAGTGGCCATCGGCCAGCCGGCCGCCGTGCACAATGCCGTGCAAGAGGGCGCAAGAAGCTACACGCCCGCCTTCAACACCGCGGCCCACCCTGCGTCGCCTGCCGGCGTCGCACTCCTCATTACGGAGATCGCGAACATCGTCTTGGTGCGCGCGCTAGCGCCGGTGACTGAGGTCGACCAGGCCGTGTTCGCCAGCGCCACGCACACCATTGCGCAGGAAGATAATCTCACCTCTCCAGTGTGGAAGAGTCAGACCCAGGCGCTTCTCGCTGACCCTGTTGTGGACGATCAGCTTTCCGACTTCAGCGCAGGTGTAGAGGCTCTCGAGGCGACGAACAAATTCGCCCTCATGTGGTGGACCGAGCTCATGGAGCCTGAAGGCCCAGGTTTCTGCAACATCTCCCGTATGCTCGGCAGCCACGACGCCGAGGAGGAGGTGTATATCACTGTCGCCGTGCTGCATCTCCTCAATCTCCTTGGCCTGCACAAGCACATCACCGAGGCGCCGCAGGTCGCGCGCCTCAAGAACATCCTCTCCGAGCAGTCAACTATCTCCGACGCGCGTGTGCTGCAGGGCGCATTTGTTTGTCTTGCCATCATGGTGCGCAATTTCCCCGAACTCGGCAATGGGCTCGTGCACCACCTCCGCCGCCTGCTCATGAGTCCATTGCCGGCACTCGAGAGCGAGTTCAACGGATCGGGCATGGAGCTCTCCCCGACCATCCGCGCCGCGTCAACCGCGCTCGCGATGTGCATTGAGATGTCGTCGAATGACGACGCCATTTCGTCTACTCTCTACTCTCTCCTCGGCGTGCTCAACCACGGCACGACGATCGGCCCCGGTGCTGTGTCCGTGAGATCCATGCCCAATGGCGACTATCCCAGGTCCTTCGTGTCGGGCAAGCGTTCAGAGGAGCAGCGGCAGCTCATCAGCACGACGGCCGTGGAGATTGCTGCCCGTCTAGCTCTTGACACGGGTCGGGACGATATCATTCACCTGGCCATATCGATGCTGTTACAGCGTCTGCGCGGCGTCGACATCGCGACCGAGTCTGCGATCGTCACGAATCTTGTCCCACTAGCCCTCGCCAGCTCACACGATGATTTGGTGGAAGTCTACCGCGCCTTCTCGCAGCTATCCCGCTCATCACATCCCGAGGATCCCAGGATGTCCGCTAATGCCGTTCTCGCGGCCCAGACCCGTCTCGCGAAGGGTCTTGGCAACCGTCTCTCCGCTGCCGACGGATACCTGTCTGAGCTGCTCACCCTGTTCGCCGACAAGGGAACGCAGACCCAAATGCTTAGCATCTCGAGCACCCATGGCAACGACAAGGAGAAGTACGCCCAACTGCGCGCGGACAGCGCGAAGCGTGCGAAGGACACGAAGGCACAGCTCGCGGCGTTGCTTCTGCCCATCGCCGAGCTCTTGTCACACCCGACGTACCGACCCGACCACAACCCTTCGACCGAAACCGTTTCGCAGTTCCGCAATATGTGGCTGCTGTGCGTCGTGTTTGGTCTCAGCACCAGGAACGGCAAATCGATCTTGTCCGAGCATGAGGAGAATGCGCTGTCCATCATTGCCGGCAAGACTCCGGCCCTGTACCAGGAGCAGAACACTGACTTCGTGGGTAGCGACCTTGAGTACAACACGGTTTTGCGCAAGGACTTCGCGCAGTCGGTGCGTTACCGTCGCCTCCGCACAGCTGACATCAGATCAATAGCCGCATGCGTCAGACGCTATCCGAGATCCTCCCGTCGTCCAAGTACTCGTCGGACATTCGCAACATGTCGACGCCACAGCTCACGCTGTTGATTGCCATCAACGACCTCGAAGAGATGCGGACAATGCACTTACAGCCCTCGGTCACGCTGCAGTACTTCACCAACGACTCCGTGAACAAGAGCGCCATGCTCGGTCCGCTCACCGGTATCTCGACCAGACTGACCAGTGTCTTCCTTCGGCAGCTGAGTATGCGCGCGGTGCAGCACTCCATGCCGCCATCCGTAAGCGAGGAGGTGCGCAAGATTTTTGTGCTCTGCACCCACCGCATGCGACGAGTTCGCGAAGCGGCGCTGCACGCGGCAAAGGCAGTGATCGAGACGTTCTCGGCGCTCATGTGTGACCGCAAGGTCGTATTCACGCTGCTTGAGATACTCACGCTCATGCGCCGCTCATGCGAAATGCAGTACACAGACGAGTATTCGCCCATTCATGAGTTCCGCTCGGAAAGGCTCGACCTCGTGCTCGTCCTTACCGACGACTACGCTGTGCGCAACGAGATCACGTCTCAGTTGTACAGCGTCGCGCAGCGATGGCTTACGCTCGCTATCTCGCGTGCCCCGCTCGAGGTGCAGTCGACGCTGCAATCATACCTTAACGAGTCGCGCGACGTGCTGCTCATCGACAGCGTCGAGATGGGTGCCGGCCTAGCGCTGCACTTCTCGAAGGCGATCTCCAGACTCGACCGGCAAGAGACCATGATGCCCGTCATCGGCGGGTGGCAGTCTGACTGCTCGAACCTTGTCGTGAGCCAGTACGCCGCCAAGAACTACTACGACGGCGAGCTCAGTGGCGCTCGACACGTCCTGCGCGAGGGCCTGCAGTCATTGCAGAAGGACGCACCGGCTATCACGTCCAACAGGGAGCGTATCGCGTTCAAGGCCCAAATGGCGGATGCCATCAACAAGGTGCACACGAAGGAGGCGCTGTCGATCGTCGAGATCCGCAGGCTGCTCCTCCGTGCGGTATCGGTGCTGATCGCCTCGCCGCACATGGACGCCGACATCCTCCACTGTCTCGCCGAACTGCCAATGGCCGTGTTCTCGCCGCTTTCCATCGCGGCCGGTATCGATGCGTGGACTTGGCTCGTGCGCCAGCGCCCCGAGGCCGAGATTGCGCTCATGGGCGAGATCTCGGCCGGGTGGCTCAGCACTATTCGCGAGCACAAGGGCCTGTTTAGCAAGAGCATGAACTACCGCGACCCCTTTGAGACGCCGATCGAGTACACGCCCAGCGACAAGAAGATCATGGACGTCGAGAAGAAGAAGGCAGACCGCCTCCTCCGCCCACATTTGCTGCTACTGCAGGTGCTGTCGTCGCAGTTCCAGGCCGTCAAGTACAGCGAGGCGGGGATCATGATTTCGCTCGCACGCTTGATGATGCGCTCCCTCGGTGCGGCCGACCACATGAGCACACACCCGCTTTCGCGGGAGGTCCGCTTTTCGCTGTTGCTCTTTGGCTTCCAGATCCTTGCAAGCAGCAAGACTGAGGCGCTGCTGGAACTCCGCTTCCGCGACCTCCTCTTCCAGGCCTCATTCGCATGGTTTGCCATCCGACCGCAATGGTCGTTTGGTAGCGACCGCATCCAGGTTGGCGCCGAGATCAAGCTTTTGCAGGACTTCATCGAGGCCGTTACGAAGGACAGCATCCGTGGCGACCATGCGACGACATCTCTGCGCGACCGCGATGCGGCGTGGCTCATCCCGGGCTCGACATCACTTCAGGACTACATTGCACAGCACCGTGACCGCGTGAGACTCATGCAGTTACTCGTTGAGAACGAGATTCAGCGCCTCAACGTGTGGTATAACCCGGCCAACGACCGTGGACGGAACCTCGTTCAGAGCAATACCGTAGAAGCGAGCGTGTCGGCCGAAGAGTGGTCGAGCCTCGTTCGCAAGGCGTGGAGGCAGAACCCCGCCGTAGCCGTTCACATGGCTGAGCGGTTCAAGAACGCGACAACCGTTACGCCCAGGCTCGTGAAACTGGTTCGTGCAGACCCGAAGGCCGTACTCCATGTGCCTGAGGCGCTGCAATACTTCCTCGGCGACAAGCTCGAGCCGTCGATGCGCCGCAATCTGCGCTGGCTGCTCATCTGGGACAAGGTGCCGCCCGTCGAGGCCCTTGACTACTTCCAGCCGCGATACGGGAACGATCCTATTGTTCTGCAGTACGCCATGCGCGTGCTGGAGCAGCACCCCGTTGACTTGACCTTCTTCTTTGTGCCGCAAGTCGTGCAGGCGCTGCGCGCCGATCCCTTGGGCTATGTGGAGCGCTTCATTTTCGAGACGTCCAAGATCTCGCAGCTGTTCTGCCACCAGATCATCTGGAACATGAAGGCGAACATGTTCAAGGACGACAATGGCGAGGAGCCCGACTCACTCAAGCCCACGCTGGAGCGGATGGTCGACAGAATCGTCGCCTCTCTCAGCGGCAAGGCACAGGAGTTCTATAACCGCGAGTTTGGCTTCTTTGGCGAGGTTACGAGCATCTCAGGCAAGCTCAAACCTTACATCAAAAAGACAAAGCCGGAGAAGAAGGCCAAGATCGACGAGGAGATGGCCAAGATCAAGCTGGAGATCGGCGTGTATCTCCCCTCCAACCCTGACGGTGTGGTCGTGGACCTGGACCGCAAGTCTGGTCGGCCGCTGCAGTCGCACGCTAAAGCGCCATTCATGGCTACCTTCAAGGTACGGAAGGAGCGCCTTGACCTGGATGCGGTGATCGAGGACACGGATGCGCCCAAGGTGACCTATGACGTCTGGCAGTCGGCAATTTTCAAGGTCGGCGACGACTGTCGGCAGGACGTGCTGGCGCTCCAGCTCATCGCGATGTTCAAGAACGTCTTCACGCAGCTGGGTCTGACGCTCTACCTCTTCCCGTACCGCGTGACAGCAACGGCGCCGGGCTGCGGTGTTATCGACGTGGTTCCGAACGCGACGTCGCGTGACGAGATGGGACGCGCGCAGATCAACGATCTCGTTGAGTACTTTGTGGACAAGTACGGCGGCGTGGACACGGTATCATTCCAGCGCGCGCGCCTCAACTTCATCCAGAGCATGGCGGCTTACTCGGTCGCCTGCTACATTTTGCAAATTAAGGATCGACACAACGGCAACATCATGATTGATGGGGAGGGGCACATCGTGCACATCGACTTTGGCTTCCTTTTCGACATCGGTCCGGGCGGAATCAAGTTTGAGGCGGGCAGTTTCAAACTTAACAAAGAGATGGTCGCGCTCATGGGCGGTGGAGATAGTCAGGGGTACAGGATGTTCACGGAGCTCACCGTCAAGGCGTTCCTCGCCATCCGGCCGCATGCCGACCAGCTCGTCGACACTGTCGCACTCATGCTCGGCACAGGCTTGCCCAGTTTCAAGGGCGAGGGCACGATTAAGCGCCTGCGCGACCGCTTCGCGCTGCACCTCAACGAGCGGGGCGCAAGCGAGTACATGCTTGGCGTGATCCACAATGCGTTCAAGAACATGCGGTCGGACATCTACGACGGCTTCCAGAAGTACCAGAATGGGATTCCGTACTAGTGAAGGGGCCCGCGGAAGCTTGACGTCTTGTAATAGTTATCTGTAATGGTACATGCATCTGTCTATCATGCGTCTCTAACCCAGATCCTCCGTCGCGCGCGTGGACGTGCGCCCTTGCTAATGCTTACTTGCGCATGAGGAGGTACACGTTTTCGCCGACCGTCACCCCCGCAAGGTGACGGAAGCTCCCGCGCAGCGCCATGAGCAACCCCCCAAACGACGCATACGCGGTCGTCTGGTTGTCGCCGCGCACGCTATCGTCGAACTTGTACACCTTGCCGAAGAGCACGTAGTCGTAGTCGTTGGCGAGGCCCTGATCATCTGCGCGCCACAGCTCGCGCTTGATCTTGCGCGGCGCGTCCCCGTCCTCCTCCTCGGGCACATCGTCCTCGGGCTTGAGGCTGCGCGCGAGCAGCAATGAAAACACCTCCCCGGTCTGCAGTGGATACAGCTCGTTGGCAATGTCCAGGTGCAGGCTCATGCCCATGTCGCGCGACTCGGCCTTGATGCGGGACACGCGGTCAAACTTTTTGCCATCCTCGTCGACAGCCTGGTGTGAGCGACGAGCACGCGCAGCGAGTGCAGGGAGCGGCGCGTTCCCAGAGTACCCACCTTAACCTCGAAACGGTCCTCGAAGATGACGTTTGGGCGATCGTCGTTCATTGTGCCGGGAAAGGAGGGACAGGCGAATGTGTAACGGCTCGACGGGGATTGTCGAGCGTGCGCGATGAGGACAGAAGCGGCGCAGGAGGCAGATGTGGAGATGTACAAAAGGAGGCTGATGTGGTTGTTGTTGCCATGCTCGTAATGCGGGGTGAAATCTTGGGCGGCACGTATTCGGTCCCCCCTCGAAGCTTCCGTCTTTTTCGCCGCTCAGCCATCGTCTCCACCCATCTTCATTCCAACTAATCTCTCACGACCCATCACCGCGAGCCGACGCCGCCCACGCCGACCTAGTCCCCGCCCTCACTCCCCCACCCACCTCCGAGCATATCACCATGTCCCACGGCGACCACACCCGCGACCCATGGTGCGTCATTCCCACCTTCCTCGGCTCGCCTACTCGGCCACTCTGTAAAACTGAACTGACGCTAGCCCTTGGGTCATCCTCAACGACTTCGGCGGCGCGTTCTCGATGGGCGCCATTGGTGGTGGTATTTGGCACGGTATCAAGGGAGCGAGGAATAGCCCCAAGGTAGGTGACGGTGGCGCGGCCGGAGTGATGGTCGGGGTGCGGCGTGGGGCAACATGAGGCGCAGCGGTGTCGGGCGGTGCATCGAGCATGTCAGTCGCGAAATACAGTTTCTGCCTTGTTGTTTCGTCGCCTTCAGTGCAGCCAGTGGTCGTCGATGTTGCTGGAGTCGGCGTCGGGTGGAGATGTTGATCACTGATCGGCTTTGAACTGTCCACTTCCCTCTTCAACCGCGCTCCCGCCCTAGGCTCTCCGCTCCGCGCTGCGCTTTGCCTCCTCTCGCTGTGCTCAACGCTGACCCCAGGGCGAGCGTCTTGCCGGATCCCTCTCGGCCATCAAGGCGCGTGCTCCCGTCCTCGGCGGAAACTTCGGCATCTGGGGTGGTCTCTTCGCGTCGTTTGACTGTGCCGTCAAGGGGTACCGCCAGAAGGAGGACCCCTGGAACGCCATCATTGCTGGTTTCTGCGTCGGTGGTACCCTTGCCTTCCGCGGTGAGTAGCGATAAATTGCGAGGCACCGAAGGAGCTGAAGACGGCGAAGGCGCCGCAAGCCTCGGTGCTGCGCACCAGCTGTCATACGCCTTGGCTCTCGTCTGTCGGGACTTCGCTGACCCCAGGTGGGCCAAAGGCCGCCCTCGGCGGTGCCATCGGTTGTGGTATCCTTCTCGGCGTATTCGAGGGCGTTGGTGTCCTCATGTCGCGTGCATTCGCCCAGCCCGTTCCTGCCATGCAATTGCCAGAGCCGGCTGCCCAGCCCGCCCTTGCGTAAGCCTAGACCGTTTGTACATGTACACTGGATTCCCCAAGGCTTCGGCCACCACATACACCTCTCTGCATGATGCATACGTCGTGATTGATCTTTAGGGAGCGGCGAGGCGGAGAGCTGGAAAATTCCGTGGCCCCGCTCTGTATCCGAGGTCCGAGAGGCTTGGAAATGGCGGGGCATCGGCCGAGTTTGCCGAGAGCCGACGTCACAACTTTCCACCCAGGGTGGAGGTTCGACATGAGGCAGGTAGTCGCCAGGCTAAGGCCCCATCGTCCATCGTCCATAATTCTCGCCACTCCAACATCAGCCACCGACAATGCTCACAGGGCCAAGAACAATCATGCGCGGCGTGCGACTGGGTGCGGCAACAGCCACAACGACGGCGAGACCCAGCGTTGCGCGATTGGCGCTGCGCCTCCCCATCGCATCCTCGCCTCTCTCCACCACCCCGCGCTTGCGGGCCCCAACCCGGCCCTGCCCATCATGCGGCGCCGCCATCCCTCTCCCCGCATCCCCCTGCCCCTCCTGCGCGTCCCTCATCCCCATCCCCCCCGGATTGTCACTACACAGTCTGCTCTCGCTCTCTGACCCGATCCCGGCCCCCGCGTCCGCGAAGGAGGCAGTGGGCGCGCGCAACCCCGGCGAAGGGCGGCCGTTCGACATCGCCGCGGAACTTGCTGCCCTCCCGGCCCACGGGTACGCGCTGGACCCGCGCGCGCTCCGCCTCGAAATGCTGCGGCGGCAGGCGACGCTGCATCCCGACCGCAATTCGGGGGACGTCGAAATGGCCGCGGCTCTCAGCGCACGCGTGAATAAGGCGTATGAGGTGTTGGCCAACCCGCAGACCCGCGCCGAGTACATTGTGCGTTTGATGGAGGCGAGGCTGATTCCAGCTTGAGCAGTTCGGGCTCGATACGAAGGAGACGGACCATGTTAGTGACCACGACTTGCTATTGGAGATTCTTGAGGCGCGGGAAGAGCTCGAGGAGGCCACATCGGACGAGGTCGAGGAACTGCGGGAGGCTAACCAGAGTGAGTTGCGAGGTGGGCCATGGCGATGGTCGTCGCACTCGTCCGTTGAGTACGCTGACGTGCAGAAAAGGTCGATAATGTCGCTCGCCAGATCACGGAGGCCCTGTCTAAAGAGCCTCCTGAGCTGCAGAGGGCCAAGGAGCTCGCCGTCGAGCTAAAGTACTGGGTCGGGTTGGAGCACGCCGCCCGCGAGCGGCTGTAGACTAGATGTAGCCATGCATGATGGGTTCAGTGTTTGTGTGCTGGGTGCGCAAGCATGGATGCGCTTTGACAAGACATCGTGAGGCGAGCGTAGACAGTCATAAGTGTTGTACTTCGCGGCTGAGGTGCTTCTCTTGACTCAAGTAGGTGTGATGTCACCTGGTGGGAAGCTTAACACGACCGCCACAACTCAAGCTGGCAGTCATGCATGTTACAACAGATGGTGGATTACGTGATCTAATGATTGCCTTGTCTCGTGAGGCGGACGTGTTTGGGTGCCCGCCGCGAGGAGCGGAATTGTCGCTGTGGTAGATGGGCTCTCCCGATGTCTTCAAGCGCGATGCCACATCCAAACGAGGGGCAGCAACGCGTCACCGCAGGGCAGCGGCGATACGCGCCCTATGCTCCCGATCGCGCCGGTCCCGTTCCGCCCACTTGACCTTGGCCTTCTTGGTAGGTTCGCTCTTGCCGTCGTGCCGGTTCCCAGCGCCTCGCAAGCGTGCTCGCTCAATCTCAGCGTGTGAGTGTGACACGCGCTTGTCGGCCGCAACACGACCCAGTCCAAGACGGTTGAACTTGAGCGCAGTCGCAATGGGCATTGTGCGCCCCGGGCCATGCTTGATGGCCTCCTCCTCGTCCCATTCCTCATCCGAGTCGCCGGTTAGATCGACAATGCCGCTGGCTTCTGGTGGCGCGGAACGCGGCCGATCCTCTGCCAGTCGCCCCAGGCGTGCGCGTTCGCGAGCGCGCAGCTCATCCTCCTCCGTCCATCCCTCTGGCCTTCCCAGCCCACCGCCGCCCCACCCCAGCGCAGCAAGACGCGAGAAGCCCACATTCTCGGGGCCGAGGGCGTAGCGAGGGATCGGAGGTGGTGCGGGCTTGGCAGTGTCAATTTTGAGCATTGAACCGATTGAGGAGGACGTGGGAGGCGGTGGAGGTGGCTGAGGTGATTCCTTGGCAGCGGAGACTAGAGCGCGGCGGATGAACCACTCGGAGCGGTGGACGCGAATGGGGGCAGTGGTGGGTGATGAGATGGAGGAAGGTGGAGCGGATGTGGAGGTTGCAGAATATGGTGTGGACGCCGGCGCAGATGCGGTCGCGGATTGTCTTGGGTGATCGATCGGTGCTGGACTCGGACTTGCGCTCGCTGTACTTGCCGCCTTACTAACGCTAGCGCTGGCAAGAGAGCGGTACCAGTCCGCCACGGACGCGCCGTCCTCCTTGCCCTCCCGATCTTTCTCCTTCTCGCCTTCCTCGACGTCGACTTGGTAGCCGTCGGTCACGCTCCGTCCGAGGTCGTCGTAGCTGCTTTCCGCGAGAACAAAGACGGGTGGACCCTTCCGCCCTCCGTGTCCTGCGGGGTTGATGTTCCACTCCTTCCATAACGCCCAATCGCGTGGTGCTGGGCCAGCATCCTGCCATGAAGACGGCGTATGCGAACGGATAGTTACGGCGGGTGCAAAGAAGCCGAGCCCACGACGCGAAGCTCCGGGGAGGCTCCCGCCGTCCTCCTCCATGACAGGGTGAGGTTGAGAGGAGGAGTCAAATGGAGATGGTGATGATGAACGTTGAGAAAGAGGAAGGGTTCGTTGAGAGTTGGGTGGCAACTTGGTGATGGCGGAAGCAGATTAGGCCAAGGCCTGGACATTACCATTTTCGGGAAATGTGAGACAAATACCATTGTTTACGCACTAACCCGCCATCCTAATCAAGGGCTATAGAGGGGGGATGTCGGTGGGGAGTGCCTGCGTCATGCGGCGCTCTGTTGCTGCGACGGATCTCATGTCAACAACGCTCTCCTGCTTGTCAATTGTCCTCTTCCCACCCTCCCTCCGTCCCCTCTAGCTCAATGGGCGCCGTCCTATCCCTCCCCTTCTTCCGCAGACGGAGCCGTCGCCGTCGTTCCCCTGTCTCCACACCCATCTCCCACCCACGACCTCTCTTGCGTCGCGACGACCCCGATCTCGACAAGACCGAGGGGCTCGAGCTTCTCGCAATTCCCAAGACCCGCCACTCGGCGTCCACAGCCGGATCCACTGCAGGCTCCCGCATCGTCCGGAATGGAAGCGTAGGCTCACGCACATCAAGACGAACACGCCGACGTCCAGGCGAGTTTGGGCAGGATGTCATCCCCGAGGTGCTCGAGCCCAAGGACACTCCGCCAAGTGTGCCTAGCATGAGTTCTGCTTCGGCCTCCGACTCCAGCTGCTCCTCGAAGCCTTCTCTCCCCAAGCCTTCCATCGAAATCACCGCCCCGACCCCGCTCCCGCTCCCGGCACCGGCGCCGCGGCGTGCGTCCGTGTCCATCTCTGGTGTCGGGTCCAAGCGCCGACTAGACGACCCCCGCCGCCAACGCCGCACATCGTCCGCCTCCAACCGCCGCAACAGTATCATCGGCACCAAGCCGCGGCGCGTGAGCACGCGCAAGCGCCGCATCGAGAGCGGCTGGGACATTATCCGGCACGACGAGGCGGACGGGTGGGCTCCCGCCGCCGGCCGCGCGGGGGGCAAGCGCGTGCGCCTGGCGTGGCCCGAGGCGTAACGGTATGTCTTCTGCGTTGCGGCGCTGACTTCAGCCCTGCATGTTTGCTCCTCTGCCACGTCCCTCTGTCCACGTCCCAGAAGCAGCAGCGCTCCCCCACGCCCCTAGCCCGCGCACACTCCTTCGAGAAGGCTTCGCGACCCCCGAAATCGGCCTGGATCAAGCATTGGTCGGGCCCCAATGGGCCCCCGAGGCCCTGCCGCGCCACACCCAATCCCCGACAGCAACCCTCCCTCCACATTCCAATGGACTCTGTGTGTGCGCTGCGATGTATTTTGTATCGTTTGTGAACGAGGTGGGGAGGATGGGTAGGCCGGTGATGTGCTTGGACGCAGACGGCGTCTTCGGAGGGGGAGGGGCATGACGTGAGCCGTGAACCGTGAGCAGTCACTCATGAGGCAGCGCCACACTTTCGCATGGGCCGTCGGCTTGCCGCGACCATGCTGTCGACGGGCTGTGCCAGCCTGATATTGTCCTCCGTCCATGTCGCATCTCGGCCCTCCTAACATTTGAGGCGGTGTAGCGGCGTAATCTCGTCGGCGTATGCTGATGTTTGAAGGGATATCGATAGGATGGGCACGTGACCTGCGAATCCGGGCGTGATGTCCCCACACGCTGGACGTCGACGCCGGATTGCCAAGCATCGTCAACCAGCACCCCTGCAGGACTTAGCGACCCCCCATCACGTCGGCGTGCCAAGTCTCGCCGACGCCCGAGCGCTCCGTCAGCTCTTCCGTACGGATGCGGCGCTGAGCGATGCGGTGTCCGGCGATGCGTGCGTCGTGCCTGTGACACCTGCCCCTGCATTCTGTGCCTGTCGCTCACTCCGCGGCACGCTATATACGCACCGGCACAGACGGTGTTAGAGCAACACAATGCCTCTGAGCAAGATCGAACAATATGCCGCACAGCACCACATGCTCGTCACCAGCTGGCGCGAGCTCGAAAACGTCCCGCGCGCACTCGACGAGAAGATCGCCGAGCTCGATACCGAGCGCGCGGTGCTCGCGTCCGCGAAGGACGACTGCGAGCGCCTCGAAAAGGAGCAGTGCGTGCTGGCGTGCCCGGCCGCTTCGCTCTGTGCGAACTGACGATAGACGCGCGGCGTACGAAGCGCTCGCGGAACTCAAGGCGCCACACCGCCGCCTGTTCCTCCGCATGCAGCGGGGCGGGGACGCGGAGCGCGCGTCCCGCGAAAGACAGTACGAGGCGGCGTTTGCGGACGGGCAGGCGATGCTGGCGCGCGTGCACGAGCTCGAGGCGTCCGTGGATGCGCTGCAGGCCCAACAGGGCGATTTGGCGCAACTCGCCGCGCGCCGCACCGAGATCGATGGCGAGCTCACCAAGCTGTACGAGGAGGTGTTTGAGGGCCCTACGCCCGGACATCCGGATGAGGACGAGGTGGAGAGCGCGCTTATGGCGCTCGGGATGATGATCGAGCAGGTGTGTCTTGCCCCCCCCGCCCTGCTTACCCAGCTCGAAGCGAGTATCGAACGCGACCGCGCCGTGCTTGGCCTGTATGAGAAGCTCATCCAGGTCTCGGGGTATGCGGTGTTCGGCGTCGGGATGGGGAAAGAGCCGGGCTTGACCCAGGACGAACGGAAGTGGAGGCGGTACACCGAGGCGCGCCAGCTCGAGTCCGAGATCCTCGCCTTGAACCAGTCCATCGCAAAGTTCCCCGGGCGAGTCCCTTTTGATGGCGCCGAGCGTCGAGAGTACTGCCGCCAGATGAGGGAGTACTTCACCACCTGCCGCGACAAGGTCGCTGTGGTGTGCGCACAGCTCGAGGCGGAACTGGAGATGACCCGGGCACAACAGCGGGAGGCACGAAAGGACCTGCGAGAGCTACGGTGTTCAATCCTTGAGGACGCCGTGGCGCCGCCCATCTACAAGCAGGATTGTGATCTTGAGGGGTGTACACTGCACGGGCCGCCACACTAGCATTTACTGTGTTCGTATCGTTGTATAATCATAATGCAATGTCACAACTTCCTAATGCCTTCCATCCCTTCCCACACTACAGCCTCGCTCGGACTACCAGTCACTGCTCACATCTGGTGCTTGGACGATGACGCGCGCTTCTTGGACGTCGACTTGCGCTGGTTGGCGCGGAGGGTGTTATTGTTGTCCTCGTCTTCGTCCGAGTCGCTTGACATCGTCGAAGACGTGGTCGCAAGACTGACTTGAGAGGGACGGCGGGCGACAAAGCCCCGTGGCTTCTTGACATCGCCCGAGGCCGTGCTCTTCCAGTCGGTGTTATAGGTTGGGAGCGCATCGCCCTCGTTGCCATGCCCGTCACCCGAGAGGGGTTGTACACGCGAGTCGGAGCGCCCGTTCGACAATTCCGCGCCGAACACGGGCGCAGCCAGGAGCCCCGCCTCACGATCTCCGGCGGCTGTGCCGCTCGTGCTGCTGTCAGTGGAATCATGAAAGTAGCGTACATGTAGTGGTGCGATCCGGTTGTGCTGATGGGTGAGTTGTCCATCTCTTTTGTAGTGTGGGCCGCCTCAAGGCTGGCGCCGCCTGTGAACGCTCTGACAGTCTGATAGGCAGGAACCTCCTTCCTGTCGTCAGCTGTGTTCATGAATGCGACGTACGAGCGCTTGCGCCGACGAAGCCAGAAGAACAAGCCGCCTACGATGATGAGGAAGGCGAGGCCACCCACTACGCCGCCGACGATGGCTCCGATATTCGATTTCTTGCCGCCGCCGCTGCCACTGCTGCTGGTGGTGGAAGAGAGGGCGTCATCGGGGCGAGCCCTTCTGACAGTTAGTGGTTTCATTCCACCACTCACGAGGCATAACAAATCTGGAATTTGTTGACGCCCACCCTGCCACCCGTGCTCCTCAAGATGAGGCTGTTCGACAACTTGGCCCTTGGAGTGAAGGAAATATCAGAGTACAGGACGTCGTCGGCTCGTTCACGCTGAGCGGAACCGGTGCTTTTACCACCGTCAACTACAGCCGAGCTGGAGGCAACGTAAGTACCAAAAGAGGGGTCGGTGATTCCATAAAGCGCCACACGAGAAGCAGAGTCGGGTAGCTTGATTGTCATGGAAGAGGCAGATTCCAGCATCGCAGCGCCATCTTGTACCCTGACAGAGCCGGTCAAGATAAGCCATGCAGCCGATTTAAGATTGCTCCCCTCGGCCAGGGTGATGTTCTCGCAGAACGGCGATCCCCTAACATCAGCGGTTGGTGCTACATGACTCACGCATCCTGGTCAATTTCAGACATGCTGTGGACGATAAGCTGCGTGACGGTCGAGTTGGGACTGTCCAAGCTAAGGGTGTAGTCCTCCACTCGCTGGCCAAGGGTGACGTTTGTTTCTGCCGCATCGAAGCGTTTCTCCGTGCCGTCGCCGGTCTTGAGAATGAAGGAGCCTTCACCTTTGACGGTGACACCGGTTCCTGTGAAGGAAAAAGTAGAGTTGGAAACAGCTTCGGACTGCGACACTTGGCGGCGGGCGTGACGATTGACTATCTGGTTTTCCTGAGGTGCGAGGGAGGTCGGTGGCTGAGGTACGGCAGAGCTCGTTGGAGAGAATGCCTCTGAAAAACCCACACCGCCCAAGCCAGTTGCACCTAGCTGTGGCCTAGACGTCGTCTCCGAGGATTGCGAGCTATTCTCAGGAGGCAGCCGAATCCACGCCAAAGGAAACATGGGGCTGTTGCGATCAACGGTGTAGTTGTATGTCCACGTGGTGAGGTTGACCGGAGCTGCTGCGCTGGGGGACGCGCTGGCTGGGGCCGGAACAGAGAGTAGTGAGACGCCTGGTGACACCAAGGGCACCACAGAGGGTGACCCATTGCCGGCTGCAGGAGCGGTGGTGTGGGTACTGGCAGCCTTAGATTCATGTGGGCTCTCAGCGTTGATTATGGTGGGTGAAACTGGGTCGAGCTCAGATGGTTTGATGTCAGTGGGATCTGGGGTCGGCTGAGCTGGGGGAGCAGTTGTATTCTGCGGGTCTCTACGGTGCTCTCTGTTGTGTGGTGGCTGAGGCTCGGGCTCTGTCTCGGACGGAGAGAGAGTATCGGTGTCGCCGGAGGCCGCGGTGTCAGAGTTCTGTGCGGTTCCCAGGTGCGCCATGAGCGCAGCAACGATGCCTACAAGGAGGCGGGCGGACACCATGGCGGCGCTGAGAGGGATGTATGTGCCGACGGCTCGACGAGATTCGACGCAGGGGGAGGAGAGATGGGAGGGGAGAGGAGAGGAGAGGAGAGCTGTGGAGCAGGATGATGTGGATGAATGAAGAGCAACGAGAGTGAGAGGAGATGGAGCAATGTTCAATGTCGAGGTGAGGAAGGCTGGATTCTCATGGACGGGAGGAACGTGCTTCCTTCGTCCTTCACAGCGTCTGCACCGCAAGAGATCCGCACTGCAACATCTTCATCTCGTATTCTCATCTCTCTCTCTCTGTCTCTCTCTCTCTTTCTTTTGCTCTCCCCACTTTTGTCTCCCAACCTCACGTTTCTCAGACTAACTCCCCCTCTCTTCTCTTCCTGATCCCTACCTTCGGCGTTTTTCCACATACCTACGCACCTCCCCTCTCGGCTCATCGCACCTAGGCTCTAGGGCAGCGCGTCACGAGACGAGGCTGAGCGGCTCCCGTCCGTGGGTGAGGCGCGGAATGGGAGTATGGGAAGCGACGGATGGGCCATGGAAGCGGTGCGTGCCTGTTGCAGCAGCACCGCCGAGGATCTCGACGCCCCCTTGCACTCTCTTCGGCCCCGCCCCCCGCCCCCTCACCCTAGTCCATGCGCTACACAAATAGTCACGCGCACATCGTGCGCATTCGCACAGCTTCGTCTACAAGCTACATGCCTGCATGCTCTAGGGTGCCCCGTTCGCCAGATCGCCAGCCAGCTGCCCACTTTTATCGACGGAGGGGAAACGTGGTTTGCCATGAATGCGGGGAGGGCAAGGTTAATGCGCCAGAGCCAATTACGCTTATCGTACCCGTTCAGGTTTCTGCGCTCTGCTTCCGAGGTCAGCTGCCAATTGAGCAGTGACCTTCTGCGCCTTCAAAGACATCCAGCTTGCCTCGTGGTCTCAGCCCCATGCGTTCTGGAAAAGTGACTGTGAATAGAATAAAGGCGTGCTCGCGCTCGTCATCTCTCTAGGTTTACTCGGGGTTCGGGGCTCTGAGCATCGCCGCCTTCGCACCCCCCCCCCCCCCCCCCCCCCCCCCCCCCCCGTTTCGAAGATTCAACCCTGCTGCACATTCCAGGTGAATATTATGGGCGTGCATGCAGCCCACCACTATACAAGAGTACAAGCCATCGTCCGTTCGTTATCTCCCTTGACTTCGCGCCACACGGCCCCGCGCCAGCGCCGCACCGATGGGCCTCCATATGACGGCTCGGGTGGCGGACACGCTACACCTGTGAGATGAGGGGCCGCGTATTCTTCGGCCGCCCACGCTCTTTCTCTCTCCCACGCTCTTTCTCCCTCCCACGCTCCGCCTCCCTCCCCCTCCCAAGCGTCCGGTCCGTCGTCTCGTAGCCGTCCAGAAGCCCTGCCTCGTGTGAGCTGCGATCAGCGTCGCTTCGCGGAGAAACGCACAGGAGGAGAATGAGGACGAAGGCGACGATGACGCCGACGCCGACGAGCGCGAGCGCGCGTGGCAAGTCCAGCTGTGGGTCTGTTGAGGGTGGCACTGAGATGAGTGTGGGCTGGTTGGGATCGGGCGGTGGAAGAGAACGCGCGCGGGGTGGGAGTCGGCGATGGGGAGCGGGGTGGAGCGCGCGGGGTGGAGAGTGGGGGGGCAGGGGAGGATGCGCACCGTCTAGTCGGGGGATGATGGACGCGGCGGCTTGGGCCGCAAAGAGGAAGAGGAGCATGGCGCAGTACGAGGAAACAGAGAAGAGGAGAAGAAAAAGAAGAGGGGGCGGCGGACGATCGTGTTTATGATCTTGTGGAGAGGTAGGCGCTGGGCCTCACCAGTGGCGTGTAGTCTCCGGTGTTTGCCTAGGGGTGCAGCTGCACTCAGCGCTGTAGCTCACCAGGTGCTGCGGATTACAAATGAGCAGGCCAAGCCTTTTACCTGTTACTATTCGAGGCGATCTTGCGACCGGACAACGATCAATTCAGTATCGGTGTGCGTTGTCTCGAGCGTCGAATGCCTCGGCGAGATAGGGTGTTAGGGTCAGACACCAGGCTCACGGCCATGGCTGGTCAAGGATGCTGGCATGCTGGCATGGCCATGAGCTAGGAGCCAGGAGCCAGGATCCGGAGGCCGAAGGCCTGGTTGCGAGCCGCGAGGGGACCTGGTCTGCCGGTCTGCTGCATGGAGGCATACGGAGACCACTTAAAATTCCGACATTGTTCGGACCAGCTATGAATTGGCGGGCAAGACAAGACGGCTCGGGCGGCTGCTGCGCACGCGGGCTCAGCTGTACAGCTGTGACGGCAGTTCTCGCACGGTGCGGGTGGTCGGTGCACCAAATCCTCCGGCCTCCCCCCACCCTCCCCACATGTCGCAATGTTGCTAGAAGCCTGACCTTGGCAGCGATCTCATCTGTGATCTCATCTGTCACCTGTCCACAGCGAGGTCTTGTGATCTTGCCTGCGATCGCGCGTTCGTCCTTTGCCTGCGTTGAGAGTCGAGCGAGTCTCACGCCGACGACAGATGGCGCACGCAGACCGCAGACAGCAGCAGAACGAGCATGCGTGACGCACGGCCACTGTAACACATGCTGGCGCAGGAACACGCGCTATGCTGTAAACACCACGCCATTGGTGCTGTATAGTCGCCGTTTCACGCTCGTGGCGCTGTGGCGTGGACCGTGGCGCCAGGCTGAGACATGGCTGGGTTATGAGAGCTTGTGATCGACCAGTTTGGCAGTTGCAGATGGCCGCTGCAGAGAATGGTGCGCGAATACTCTCCGGCGAGCATTCCGCCTCCGGTATATCCGGCTCTTCCATGCTGCATCGGGATGCTTGCACTTGCCGATCGCAGGCGACTGCGGCATTTTCACCATACGGTACGAAGATACATGGCATATGGCCAGAGTATTACAAATGTACATGAAGGCGTGGCGGGCGCCATCGCCGTGATGAATTGGGCCCAGTATGTGCTGGGAATCGTGAATCATGGGATTCCAGTGCCGTCGCTTCGATTAAATGAGCTGGGCGGGCCGGAGGGGTTGCACGGCGTCGAGGGCGTCAACAGCCTCAAGGGCATCAAAGGCGCCGCCCTCGCGCACGAGGTACTCAAACTCCTCGCGCGCCTTCGCCCGGTACCCGACCGCGTAGTTGTAGTAGTTCAAGTACGGGAGGAGGTAGGACTGCATGGTCGGCTTGAGCGCCTTGGCGCGGTCGGCCTCGAGGTCGCGCTTGATGTCGCGCCACAGCTCGGGCTTGTCGGAGATAATGGCTGTGACGCCCCAGCGCGCGCACTGCAGCATCTCTTCGCGGCTGTTGACGGTCCACGTGCACACCTCCTTGCCGGCGCGCGCACAGTCGCGGAGGAACTGCTGGCCCGCGGCGCTCGTGAGCGGGCGGTACCAGACCGAGAAGCCGTGGCACTTGTCGTAGAAGTACTTGCGCACCTCGGCGATGGACATGGAGATGCAGAAACGGCGGACGGTGGGGAGGATAACCGCGGCAGGCTCAATGAACTTGGGGTGCCACAGGCCGAGGACGATACGGGGCGCAAGCACCGTCTCCCACTGCGGCACGGCCGACAGCGCCTCCTTGATAAGCCCGAATAGCTTGGAGGGGTTGTTCTCGACTTTGCAGTCGATCTGTAGGGCCGGAGCCCAGTCAGCTTCAGAACGCTGCGGGGGAGAGGAAACTCACGTTCAGTTTGACGCGCGGGTACGCCATCAGCACGTCGATCACCTCAGTGAACTTGGGGATCGGCTGGTGCGGGGCCTTCTTGGTGCGCACGTGCTCGAGGACACCGTGCCACGGCTGCTCGTGAATGAGACCGGTACCGTTGGTCGTGCGCTCGAGGCGCGGGTCGTGGAACATGACGAGCACGTTATCAGCCGTCACGTGAATGTCGGTCTCGATGCCGTCCGCGCCGGCTTTGCAGGCCTCAATAAACGACTGGCGCGTGTTCTCGGGGAACGACGCAGACGCGCCCCGATGACCCCAGCACTCGGGAAGCGGGTCGAGCTTGACCACGGGAGCATCAAGCTCAAAGCCCTTGTCTGCCTCTTCAAGGGCAGGCGAGACGATCTCCGAGAGGGCGGGAGAGGGGTCGCTCGCGGGTGCGAGCGTGGGGGTGACCTCGAGGGAGGAGGGGAGGGAGACCTCGGCCTGGGGCGCGAGGAGAGTGTTAGGGGTGGGGTTGGCGGACATGATGGGTATTGATTAGGTGTTGGGCGCGTAGTCTATGGCTCTAGTATCCCAATTATAAGCGGCCGGGATGGCCTGGTTGGGATTCAAGCACGGGTGTGGACGAACGTGCGATGGGGGGCGGGTTGGTGGTAAATGGACCCAATTGGGAATTGAGTGAAGCGAGGAAACACGTTTGACGGACGTGTGAGTGTAACAGTGGGAGAGTCGGGAGATGGGGAGGATGTGAAGATGATAGAATGAGAGGATGCACGAGTGTTGTATTGATATACTCGAGCGGGGTGTCAATTGCGAGTCGATTGTGTTGGGTGCTGGGAGGGTGACGCCGAGCTAGCCGAGGTGGACCTCGAAAGTGGAGGTGACGAACGTGGGGGTGAAAAAAAGGGGGATGACGTGTAACGGGGTGGAATGCGCAGTACGCAGTTGACGCAAGAGGGCGAGTGTTAGTGAGCAAGAGATGTAAGATCCGAAAGAGAAAGAGAGAGTGCGAGTTGTCTTGAATATGTAGACAGCGGGGGGACAAACGGGGATGGCGGGGCAAGCAAGTGGCAAACAGCACAGACGCGCCTAAGGGTGGCGGTGGCGCGGGTGGCAAAAGGCGAATGTGCCAAAATTGGTGACTGCCGGGGGAGGACCTGGGCTGCCCGCGTCCCGCCAAGCAGACAAATTTGGCGTTCAGGATCTTGTTGTCGTCGTCCGATCTGAGTAAACCTTGCCGCGTCTGCGTAGAATTCAGAGCAAAGCCCGAGGCCGAAGCCAGACGAAGGAAGAGAAGTGCGGGGGAGTGAGCGTGATCACCGCCATCAGGAGCGCGTGAGCCAGGCGCAGGCAGACAATGCGGCGGCCGATGAGCACGTCCTCGTCGTTTCCCTAGCGACTGGCAGGGATGAATGACAAATGGGATGGAGGATGCAGACGAGCCGAGGCAAGGTATACCAAACGACGCGTCGGCAACAACGGCATGAAGAGGGGGACGTAGAGGGATGAGAGGGGGATTTGCCAGATTCTCTCAATTCCTCCCTTCGGCATGCGCATCGTCGGTCTGTAATTAGCGATCCCTATTCCGATGCAACGCCTGCGCGGCTGCGGGCCCAAGGCCTTCATGCTACGAGCATGCATGATCGTGGCATTCGGGCCGCCGTACTCCAGGAGATGCCGCCCGAACAAGAGCGAAGATGGGCGAACAAGTCGCGGAGCACCGACGAAATCATGTCAACAAACCGGGTCGGAAAATGTAACAGCCGTATGCATACAACCTCACTGCCGATCGCTAGATCTACCAATGTCCTTGGCGGCAATCCCGCCACCTTCGCTTCGACACATGCTCACATCACATGATGCTGCCATGCCGGAGCCCGGTCCGGTGCACCGTGGTTCAGTAACGCGGGTCTTGCTCAATTTAGCGCTCGCAGGTGGATATCAAGCATGTCATTGACGGAATGCGGAGTGTGTGGCTAGCATCGCGAGGTGAGCCTTTGATGGTTCAGCCGTTCACTCCAGACACCATATTTGGTTCCAGGTCTGGATGTAGGCGGTGTGCATGTGAATGTCGAGGACGAGGCACAATGGAGCACTTGCTGGCTTAGCGTTGCCAACGAAAGGGGAAAGATGACCTGGATCTCGATTCGTAGGAGGTTGAGACTTATCATGCAGATGATCAGATGTTTGAGAGGCCGAACTCCGCCATTATCCAAGTCGATTTCCGCAATACCAGGCTGCTTTGCTGTTTATTTTACCGCGCGCAGGCTGTGTGTGACCTATGGACTACTGTCCTTTGTTGGTATGCTTGCTCGCAATGACTCTTGCTCAACCATATCTCATGAACGTTCTTCTTCTTCTTGCTCAGCTTGATGAGCGCCGTCAAGCTCTGAACCATTTGGCTGGCATGGCTGGCCTCAATCTCGAGCACTCGCATCTCCACCGGAAGTCACCTGATCTCCATCAATTACCACGCGACACCCACGCGTATTTGGTTCCGCTCCCCCTCCACTCCACCCATCAACCGAGGCACGCGTCATGAGCGGAGGGTCCAGGCAATCCAGGCACTGTCTCACTGCTCACTTGGCGCCTCGAACACGTCTACCGCGTCCAACTTTCCACCTCTCCGGCCGCCATCACCATCAGCCATGTCGGACGCGGACGCAGAGCGCAAGGCCAAGGCCGAGCGTGCCAAGAAGCTCGTGAGTCTCCTTCCCGCCTCGCCCGGCGAGGCGTGGCTCTCCGCCGATCGCACAGCTGACCACAGCTCGCCCAGCGCCGTAAAGAGAAGGGCAAGAAGGCCAAGGCGTCCGAGTCCGGCACGCCCGCCACGCCCTCAAGCCCCGCCGTGACGGGCATTGAGACGCCGGCGTCCGTGTCGCCGCGCCCCAGCTTGAGCTTGGACGAGCGCCCATCGCTCTCCCTCGACAGGAACGGCGCCGAGCCCCAGGCCGAGAAGGTGAAAGAGGAGGAGGGGAAGGAGAAGGATGAGCGGCAGGCGCCTTCCAAAAGCGCATCGGGCGACTCGGCCACCAACCTCCATGAATCAATAACAAACCTCCTGGCTGAACGGGCCGACCTGCAGAAGGAAGTCGCCGAGCTCTCCTCCCAACTATCTGCCGCCCGTGCCGACCAGCAACTTCTCGCGGAGGCGCGCGAAGCCACCGCGCGCATGGAGGAGGAGAAGCGCGAGCTCAGCGAACGGATCAAGGCCGCTGACGAGGCCGCCGTCACTGCCAAGGGCGTCGCGGCGGATCTGGAACAGATGAGGAAAGATCTCGCGGACGCCCAGAAAGAGGCGGCGGAGGTGCGCGCAGCCAAGGAGGCGCTGGAGGGCGACCTCGAGGAGAGGGAGGGGCGTGAGGGTGAGCGCGTGGCGGAGCTCGAAAAGACGCTCGAACGTGCGCGGCAGCGTGAGGGGGCACTGGAGACCGAGGTCGGGAGGTTGAAACAGGTGCGTCTGGCCGCTGGCTGGGCTGACGACAGAGCAACGTCGAGGCCGCCGCGAGCTTGTCTTCGACGGAGAAGGAGCTGGCTGATCTGCGCGAGTCGAGCGCCAAGGCCGAAGAGTCACTCAAGCAGCTCCGTGCGTCGCACGATGCCCTCAGGAAGGAGCACGAGGCGCTTGCCGGCACCAACGCGGGCTTGGAGACACGACACAAGGACCTCGTGTCGAGCCACGACAAGCTCAAGGCCGAGCACGAGGCTTCGAGCCAGTCGCTCACGGGCTCTGAGGAAGCACTGAAGAAGGCCACGGCCGACCTCGCCAAGGCGAAGGAGAGCCTCTCGGTGACCACCAAGCGCGCAGACGCGGCCGAGAAGAAGCGCGACGGCTTGCACAAGGAGAATGCGGACCTTGTGTCACAGCTTGACGAGCTGCGCGGCAAGGTCGCCGAGACGATGAAGGAGAAGGCTGAACAAGCGGCGACGATCGACAGCTGGGTCGCGACCAAGCAGGGCTGGGACAAGGAGCGAGCCGACTTTGAACAAAAGCTCGCCGCTGCACAGGTGAGACGCGTGTGATGTGCGAGCTGACATTCAGCCCGAAGCCGAAAAGGTGCCTGGCTTAGAGGAGCGCGTCAAGGCCCTCACGGCCGAGGTGTCCGAACTGAAGAAGACGGAGAAGACTCTTTCCGAGACCGCCAGCGCGCACACCAAGCTGCAGGTTGAACACAAGAGCGTTGTCGCGGACCTTGAGGCGGCGCGCTCGCAGGTCTCGAAGCAGGAGGAAAAGCTCGCGATATTGCGGAGTGAGCTCGACTCGGCGCAGGCTGCCGCGACCGAGAAGGAGGGGACGATCAAGACGCTGCGGGCCGACGCCGAGAGGGCGCAAAGGACGATATCAGAGCACGAGGCTTGGCTTGCAACCCTAAGGGCCGAGCTGGACAAGGCTACCGCTGCCGTTAAGCAGCACGAGGAGGCATCGGCCACGTCCAAGAAGGATCTGGAGGCCGCCAAGGCTGCGCACGCGAAGGAACTAGACGCTTCCAAGGCCGCGCACAAGAAGGCGCTCGGCGAGACACAGGCTGACCACAAGAAGGCGCTGGAATCCGTGGGTGCTGAGCATGGTCAAGCGCTCGCGAAGGCGCGCAGCGACCATGACGCGGCCGTCCAGAAACTGCGCTCGGAGCATGAATCCGCGCGAAAGGACACTGCGGGCAAGCATGCCAAGGAGCTCGAGAAGACTCGCAGCGACCACGACGCCGCCATCAAGAAGTTGCGGTCGGAGCTTGAGAGTGCACAGAAGGATGCTGCAGGAAAGCATGCCAAGGAGCTTGAAACAGCTCGCATCGAGCTCACCAAGGCGACTGCTTCGCTCAAGGAGGCTGAGGCCAAGATCAAGGAGCATGAGGCGACCATCGCCACGCTCAAGACCGAAATTCAGGCCCTGCAGACGAAGAGCAAGGACCACGAGTCGACCTCTGCGTCACTCAAGAAGGATCTCGACTCCGCGCATGCGGCCGTCAAGAAGCATGAGGCCTCGATCGCTACTCTCTCCTCCGACCTCGAGGCCGCGCAGGGAACGGTTAAGGAGCGCGATGCTTCAATCACCAAGCTGAAGGCGGAACTGGACACATCCAAGAAGAGCGCACAGAAGCACGAGGCGTCGGCAAAGTCTCTGCAGTCTGATCTGGATGCGGCGACTAAGAAGACTACCGAGGCCGAAGCGACGCTCAAGTCTGTGCGTGCCGATCTGGAGAAGGCGCAAAAGACGTCAGCCGAGCACGAGAAGATGGCTGCCTCGCTGCAATCGGAGTTGGAAGCCTCGCAGAAGTCGTCCAAGGAGTACGAGGCGACGTCCAAGAGCCTGAAGAAGGATCTGGAAGCGGCGCAGAGAGCGGCCAAGGAACAAGAGGCTTCGCTGGCGTCATTGAAGAAGAGCCTGGGGAAGGCAGAAGAGGAAGTCGCGGCGCTTCGCAAGACTACCGACGAGCTGGAGGGCACAATCGTCGACCTCAAGACGGACCTTGAGAGCGAGCGCGCAGCCGTCGCCGAGCACAAGGCGACGCTGGACAGCAAAGAGGCTGCGAACTCGGAGGCCGAGTCGAGCCTCACCAAGCTGACGACTGAGCTCAAGGCCGCGCGCAAAGCGACCAAGGACACGGAGCACAAGGTCGCGTCGCTTGAGCGCGATCTCGCTTCGGCACGGTCTAAGGCCGAGGAGAATGAGGGGTCGATCAACAGTCTCAAGGTCGAGCTTGACGCTGCCCGGTCCGCATCCGAGAAGCAAGACGACGCGGCTTCGAGTCTGAAGGCCGAAGTAGCGGCAGCAGCGAAGAAGGCCAAGGAGGCTGAGGCTGCGCTGGCAACCCTCCGATCCGAGCTCGAGGAAGTGCGTTCATCCTCGTCGAAGCACGAGGACTCGGCGGCAAGCCTCAAGAGCGACCTCGAGAAGGCGAGGAAGGAGGCGAAGTCTCACGAAGATAACGCCTCGTCTCTCCGTGCCGAACTGGACGCGCTGAAGTCCGCTTCAGAAGGACACGTTGCGACGGCGGGCGCGCTCAAGTCGGATCTCGAAACAGCTCAGCGGGCAGCAAAGGACGCTGATGAAGCGCGCAAGCGCCTCGAGTCCGACCTGGATGCAGCACGGGATCTGGCGCGCCAGCACGAGGAGAGCGTCACGAACCTCCAAGTCGACCTGGACATTGCGCGCGCCTCAGAGGCCGAGGCGGAGAAGACGCTGCAGCAGCTCAAGCGCGACCTGGACGCGGCGCGCGCGGCCGCCTCGAAGACAACGGCAGGCGAGGAGGCGCTGGCCTCGGCACAGGCAGCGCACGCGCTCGAGATCTCAGACCTGCAAGCCAAGGTACGGCAGCTGGAGTCGTCGAGCCACGCGGCGAGCTCGCGGGCGCACGACCTCGCGCGGCAGCTGGCGGACATGACGGCGGCGCATGCCGAGCTGCAGCGCAGCGCGGGTGCCGGCGCCGGCGCCGGCGCAGCGGGGCTATTCATATCGCCGGTCGAGGGGCGGTCGCCGTCGCCGCCCATCTCGCCGCGATGGCACGACCGTTCACTCGACGCCGGCTTGCCTGCCAGCGTGCGGCATAAGCGCCAGGTGTCGCTCAACGCACTCAAGGCGCGTATGGGGCCACATCTGCCGCGGAGAGGCAGTGGACTGCGCCTCGACTCGGTCAGCGAGACCGGGAGCGGACGCTCCAGCCCCGCACCCTTGCCTGAAGCACGGCGGCAGCAGCAGTTCGGCGACGAAATCATGTACTGCTGCTCGGCGTGTGAAGGTGATCTCGTTACATTGTAGCGGGGGCACGGGGAGGCGGAGCAGAGGGAGGGGAGGCCAGGAGGCGAGAGCAGAGTGTAGACAAGATAATAAGCATTGCATACATACACTATCTATCCCAAGAATGCCGTGTTGCCATCTATTTCGATGCCGAACTCCTCCTTGGCCATCCGCTCCATCTGCGCCTGCAGCCGGTCCTCCCAGCTGCCGGTGGTCTTGGAGAAGCGCGCCTTGAGGCTCGTCCACCAGAACGCCCATTCGATGACCCATAGCGTCAAGCGGAACACCGTGCTGTCGTACCGGTCCCGCAGCCAGCGCTTGAGCCCGATGTCGGCGAGCGCGCGCGACCCCGCGAACTCGGCGTAGCCCTTCGCGGCCCATGCTGCCGTGATATTAATACGCTCGCTTGGTGAACCAAGGAGCTGGTTGTTGGCCTGCAGCATGCGCTGGCAGCGGCCGACGAAGATCAGCTCGCCTGGGGTTAGTATGGCAAAATTGCAGTGCTTAGCAACAACAGATGACTCACGCGGGATCAGCTGCTCGCTCTCGAGCAACGCCTTAAACTGCGCCTTGACCTCCATCTGGATCTCGTACTCTGTCTTGGGGGGCGGAGGCGGACCACGGCGTGGGTTCTTCTTCACGTGTGTCGGCTTGAGGAAGATGGCGGAAGCGAACCTGGGATCAGCGTTGCCATACACGCGGCTTACATATTGGGGTCTATGCCCAAGCCCCATGACTTGGAGATGCGGTCGATCGTGGGTAGATCCAGCACGAAGAGGGAGCGCCACAGCGTCGCGTACTCCTCGCGGAAGCTGCGCCGGAGGGTGATGTACAGCCCGTGATCGAGGATGACGAGCTGCGGCTTGCCCTTCTTCACCGGGTGTGGACGCACAAGCACATTGCCGGGGTGCGGGTCGCAGTGCAGAAAGCCCCATGTGAACGTCATCGCGCCGTTGAGGCTGATCGCGAGGTCCATTACATCGCGCAGGTCCAGTCCCCACGACTGAATCTGCTCTTTGTCGTTCAACCGGCACCCATCGACCCATTCCATGACCAGCACGCGATCAGACTCTGGATATCCCTCTGCCTTGCCGAAGACTTTAGGGACGTAAATGTCGTCGCGTAGCTCGGGGGTTTGAGATACAAGCTCGGCGCAGCGGCGCGCGTTCGCCGCCTCGTGCATGAAGCTCGTTTCGAGTCGCATCTGTGCCGACACGTAGTCCGCCACAAAGTATAGCGGGAGGTCGAACGCCTTCTGCGCCAGCCACATTAGTGAGCGATACGAGAACAAGTCCCAGTCCATCTGCTTGGCGATCGCGGGCTTCTGCACCTTCACCGCAACCAGCTGGTCGGGGTCACCTAGCTCCGGCCGCAGCTTGGCCTTGTGCACCTGCGCAATCGACGCCGAGGCGAGCGCGTCGTGGCTGAATTCCTCGAATACGTCCATCGGATCGACACCCAAGTCATCGCGGAACACGCCAACGACCTCGGCATACGGCACTGACGGCGCCTTGTCAAATACATGAGTGAACGCCTCGCGGTAGGGTTTCGGCAGAAGAGCCGCTTGCAAGCCTGTCGTCAGCTCGATCGCGGAAGAGCCGCTCGCGTGACCACTCACCGATCGCCTGCCCCAGCTTGAGGTACATCCCCTGATTTGTGTCCACGACCCAGCGGAGGCGCGTCGCCACGCGCTCGTGCAGCGCATCGATCTTGTCCGCCTTTGCTGGCGAGAAGTTGATCTTGTCTTAGGTCAGCCAGCACGATCCTTCCCTTTTACAATCTAGGGTACACAACAAGCTGCTGTCAGCTACGCCAGACGATCAGCTCACCCAATATATCCTGTCCGCAAGCTTCGCGTGAGTGCACTTGCATTGCACTCGCGGTCAAAGAGGTAGATGCCGCCCCCAGCAAGCGCAACGAACGCGGCCGTCCGCCAGCGCCCTCTTCGCGCTTTAGCCGGCGGTACGGTGGACGATGCGGAACGGGGGTGCCGGGGCGCCGAGGTGTGCAGCCGCCGCAGCGGGAAAGACGCTCTTGTCGTTGGTCTCACTAAAGTCCGCATCGTCGAAGACGCAGGCAATGGTGGGATGAGAGGGAAGGGAGATGATGCGATGGACGAGATCGCAGAGCGGGTCGTAAGTCGCCTCAACCGCCGGATCGACGCGCGTCATACCCGCACCACAAATCAGGCACGCATCGGCAGGCAGTCGCCAGGCAGTCACCAGATCTCTAGCTGCGGACTGCGGTGGTGTCAGCGACGACCAGCAGTGATCGAGATGGCAGTGACGAAGAGGCTCCAGGATCAGACGGCTGTGCTCCGCCAGCCGTGACAAGCAGTTTAAGAGCTTGTGGCGTGTGGAGACTTCGACATTCATTGCCGAGGAGCAAGGCGATAATGTCCGGTTTAATTCGTTCAGCCTGCGCTCGAGACCAAGCACCCGCTGAGCTCCCGAGCAACAGCCCTCCAGACGCATAGTTAGTTATCACTTATTAACATCATCTATCTGGATCTCTTGAGTGACGCCGGCTGCCGAGGTTGTGCACTTGAAGGCTGCCTCCGCACGCGCGGTACAACCACAGAACCATGGCATTGAGCAGCGCACACTCAAAGCCGGACGGAATCAAATTCTTGTCCGTCAGTTGTTGACGAGCTTCACCTGCTTCCTCCCAGCTTGTCATTCTCCAACCCCACCATGTCCGCGTCCGCCTCGCCTGCTCCAGAGGCCGCCGCGTCACAATGGGTGCGTCATAGCCTTGCTCCGCTAACGCATAGAAAGAATACAAGAACGCCGAAGGGCGCATCTACTGGTCCCATGCGATCACGAAGCAGTCGGTGTGGGAGAAGCCCAACGAGCTTCGCACACCGTTTGAGCGTGCGATGGGCAAGACGCCGTGGAAGCAGTACACGAGCGGCGGGAAGCCATACTATGTCAACTCGCTGACGAAGGAGACTGTGGTGAGTTTCTCCGCTAGAGCTAGGCGCATTGCGATGAGCTGATTGCAGTGGAACCTTCCTCCCGACTTGGTCAAGTTGCAGCAGGAGGTGGAGGCGCTCGAGCTGGCAAAGCGCGAGCGCGAGCACCGCAAAGCTACGGGCCAGGCGTCGTAAGTCCACAGCCTGCTACAGCTTGCCGTGATCTAACAGTAGGCCCACTCCCGAGCCTGACTCGGATTCGGACGTCGAGGGCGGCGTGCTGACACGCTACCGAGGTCATGTCGCGCCGACACGGACGCCTGAGCCTGAGCCCGAGGTTGTGACAATCCCACATGGCGGCTTCAAGAACGTCGCCGATGCCGAGGACGCGTTCATGTATCTCCTGAAGCGCGAGGGCATCGACGAGACCTGGACGTGGGACGCTGCCATGCGAAAGGTCGTCCTCGACCCGCTGTTCAAAGCGCTCGAAACTCTCTCGCAGAAGCAGACGGCTTTCGAAAAGTGGCAGGCGCAACTGGTGCGCGAGAAGGCTGCGGCTCGTGACGCACGCATCGCCGAGCTGCGACCTAAATTGCGCCGCCTCTTTGCACAAGGGGGGATCAAGAGCTACCACACGCTTAAGACAGCGGATAAGCTTTTCGCGGGTGACAAGTACTGGCGGCGCGCCAAGGAGGAGCGCCGGCTGCTGCTGGAGGAGTACACCACGGAGCTGCGGATGCATGAGGCAAATGCGCTGAGGCAGAGGAAGGAACATTGTGTGAACGCCCTCAGCAAAATCATCAAGAACCTCAACATCACTGTCGCTACCCGCTGGCACGATGCGCGCGATATCATTACCAAAAGCGACGCGTTCTCTGCCGACCCCCAACTTGCCAAGATGGAGCCACTGGATATGCTCACGGTCTACGACGAATATGCGCGCGCGCTCGAGCGCGAATTTGACGAAGAGAGCCGGCGACTGCGTGCCGAGGCGCGCCGCCGGGCTCGCAAAGCGCGCGACGCATTCAAAGGACTTCTTCGCGAATTGCGGGATCAAGGCAAGCTCACGCGCACGAGCAAATGGAAGGAGACGCTGCCTCTGATCCGTGATGAGGAGCGGTACACAGCACTCTTGGGCGTGCCGGGAAGCACGCCGCTCGAGCTGTGGATGGATGCGGTGGACGACATGCAGCTGGCGGCAGAGGAGCGAGCTGCAAAGATTGAAGGCGCGCTCAAGAGCGAGGTAACGCTTGAAACGACGTCCAGCGATTTCAGCACGCTCTGTATGGAGGCAGGCGTGACGGTGAGCGATGAGGCGAAGCTCGAGGCATTCGAGGTCATCCACGCGCGTCTGGCCAAGATTGCGGCGGAGGAGGCGAAACGCGCCGAGCGGCGGCGCCGGCATCGGATTGAGGATCTGCGGGACGCCCTGCGGAGAGTGCGCGGAATCGAGGCAGAGACAACGTACGACGCCGCGCTGCCCCTCATGAGCGACATGACCGAGTTCAAGGTGCTTGAGGATGAGGACCGGCGCGCAGCGTTTGACAAACATATCCGCCGGCTTAAAGATAAGTTGGAGCAATCGCGCGACCGCCGGATGAGCATAGACTCGGACCGGGAGCGGGACCGGCGTCGCGAGCTGTGGGACAAGGACCGCGATCGCGAGCGCGATAGGGACAGAGACAGAGACTGGCGCGACAGGCGGGACCGCGACCGCGACCGCGACCGTGATCGCGATCGCGATCGCGACAGGCGGGATTACGACCGGCGCGAGCGATCAAGACGAGACCGCAGCGAGGACGACCGCGAGCCCAAGCGGCGCCGTGTGTCGCCCGCATCGTCGAAGCACGAGAAGGAGGAAGGGGAAATCTAACGCGAGTGACAGCGATGTCGCCCCAATGCTCCGCATGTTCCACGGAATGCGGCGGGCCCCCGACCCTCACGAAGCATGGTTATCCTATTAGGCGCTATGTCTATGCGATGCATGGTGGAATCCCAAACTCTAATGCCCTAGGAGCGATCCTTGCGCTTCTTCTTGTCCTTGCTGCCGCCGCTAATAAGCTTACCCGTCTTCTTAGCGAGGACACGTTCCAACGCGCGTCGCGTCTCCGAGTTCTCCGGGAAGCTTGCTGGGTCGAAGTAGTTGTTGGCGTACTCGAGGAGCCATTCTGGTCGCACCTCTGTGACGGTGCGGATGAAGTTGGCCGTCGTGAGGACGAACTCGTTGTAGATGACCCACTCGGGCGTGTGGTCGAGCCCGCATGACAGGTGCAGGCGCACAACCTGGTTGTCTTTGATGGTCGAGTACGAGCCCTTCTCGCCCTCCTTGTGCGCGACCTGCATGAAGAAGCCGCACGTGAGCGCCTGCCGGATGTTGGTCCAGTAGTGCTTGTCCTCGAAGGCTGTTGAGACGAGCGGGAGATCCCACTTCTCCATGTTGCGCTTGAGCTGCGTGCGGACGTTGTCGGCTTGCGCAAGCGAGCGGTAGTTGAGGTAATTGTTCCAGCACCAGTTCTTGGCGTCGTGCTCGTTCTGCTTGTACGCGTGGTACACGTTCAGCAGGGTCAGGTGGTCGCCGTCGGGGTGCGTGAACTGCGCCTTGGCGAGGTCAGCCTCCTTGCGCTGGTTGGCGGGGCGCATGAACACCATCGGGACCGAGAGAATGGCGGCGAGCGAGAGCATCTCGTTCGAGCACCCGAACTCAGGCGAGACGATGAGCATCTTTGCGAGCTGGGGGTCCAAAGGGATATCGGCCATGATCTCGCCTAACCGGGTGAGGTCTCCGTTGTCGTCGAGCGCAGCGAGGTAGTGCAGCAACTCCAGAGCGCGCATGATCGTCTCGGGAGCTGGGGCGTCCATGTAGTCGAAGTGAACGAGGTCCTTGATGCCGAGCTTGAGCAGCTCGAGCACCGTGTTGGCGAGGTTGGACCGCAAGATCTCGGGGTGGGTCTGCTCCTCCAGCTCCTTGACGAAGTCCTTCTCGGTGTACAGGCGGAAGCACTTTCCTGGGCGAGTACGACCAGCACGACCAGCACGCTGCATCGCCGACGCCTTCGAGATAGGCGTCACCAGCAGCGACTCAACACGGATGCGGGGGTTGTACACCTTCTGCTTGCAGAAGCCGGGGTCGACGACATACACAATGCCGTCAATTGTGAGCGAGGTTTCGGCGATGTTCGTCGACACGACGACCTTGCGCCCAGGAAGACCCCTGCGTGCAGGGGGTGCAGCCTGGAAAATGCGCTGCTGCTGGTGTGGAGGCAGCGACGAGTACAGCGGAACGACAAGCAATGGCCCGCCCATCCCCTTGTTCTCCAGCTCCTCGCCTTCGGCTCGGATTTTCCTACAGGCGTCCTCGATCTCCTCTTCACCGGTGAGGAAGAGTAGAACGTCACCCTCGTCTTCGGCCTGGTGAATGTAGAGCACGGTGCGGATCGCGGCCTCGACGTAGTCCTGCTCCGGCTCCTGCGTGAAGAATGTCTCGACGGGGAAAGTCCGGCCCGACACGCGGACAACGGGAGCGCGCCCGGTGGGGTTGGTGTCGCCAAAGTACTTGGAGAACTTCTCAACATCGAGAGTGGCAGACATGACAATGATCTTGAGGTCGGGGCGCTTCCTGGCCACCTCCTTGAGAAGACCCATGAGGATATCGGTGGCGAGGGTGCGTTCGTGCGCCTCGTCGAGGATGATGGTCGAATACCGCTCCAGCAATGGGTCGTTCATCGCCTCACGCAGCAGCATACCATCGGTCATGTACTTGAGGAACGTCGTCCCGGGCTCCGTCATATCCTCGAAACGGATCGAGTAACCGACCTGCTTGCCCAGCTGGACTGTTGGTCAGCGCGCATACAAACCATAACACACCGTCCATCTCGTCCGCCACACGCTGCGCCACCGACATTGCGGCGACACGACGCGGCTGTGTACACGCAACCATCTTGCCACGCTGGTGCGGCAGGTCGGCGTAGCACACAAACTGGGGGATCTGCGTCGTCTTGCCCGAACCAGTCTGGCCTTCCATAACCGTGATCTGGTTGTCCTCGAAGATCTGGAGGAACTCGTGCATCTTGTCGTAGACGGGAAGCGTCTTGCGCTGCTGCAAAATCTTCTTGTACTGCGCCGAGAAGGGCGCGAGGTTCTTGAACGGGTTGTGCTCGCCGTCCTGCCGTCAGCTTCAGGCTCTGCGTTGTGACGGCACATCAGCAGGCACTCACCATGATAGCCTTCGCCTGCTCGACCGTCACCTTGCGCGGCACAAGGCCGGCAAGAGGGTTGGCAATCTTTCCGCTGCTCGAACCATTGGCGCCAGTGGCCGGCGACTGGCTGCGCTCGCCACCGAGGTGAGCACTGATGTCAGCTTCGGCGAGCAATGAGATTCAGCCGGCTACACTCACAGGTACGGGTTGTCCTTGGGCGTTGCGACGCCCGGGGTCGAGGTTTTGGAACGCTTGGCAGGAGGCTCGGGCATGGTGCACTGCCTTTTGGTCGCGAGCGACGGGTAGAGATGGGGAGAAATGAGAACGGAGGAGCGGAGCAGCGTTGGGCGGCAAATTCAACACATCAACATTGAAGTTTGTTGAGACGCCTACCGTGCCTGAATAGATTTGCCACCCCGCGCGCCTATTGCCATCTTGCCTGACCCAGCCCTACTGAGACACAGTCCGCTACTTCCTCGGTGTTGTAAGAGGTCGATGCAGAGTAGGTCTGAGGGCCCTTGGGCTACCCGAACATGCATACATGGAGGAGTCACTAGTCGTGGTCGCTATCAAGCGCGTCGTCTCCGCCGAGCAGCCACCCTTCAGAGGCAATATCGTCCCCACGGGCCCAGACATTGTCCAACCCAACAGACCCGCTCCTCTCTAATTTGGAGGAACTAAGATCTTGCGTAGGCCGGGAGCGTGGGTCTGCACCCGTGATGTGGTCGTCCAGATTCGAGTCGTGACCGAGGTCGTGGACGCCCGGCTTCGCGATGACATGAGTGACGCTTGAACTGCGCGGCGCTACTTCGATGTGGTTTGAGGACCGCTGCGGCGATGAACTGCTGTGCAACTGCTCGGTTGACTTCGGCGATACAGTGGATGGTGCGAGGCCGTTGGGTATTGGGCTGTAATGGTCGTCACTGTCTGAGTCGATTGCGTCGTCGCCGCCAATGAGCTGGACGGACGAGTTGGAATCTGCATCTACCATCGTGTCTGCCTTCTCGTTGTCCTCGGCCTGGTCATTGTCCGCGGCAGCCATCTCGTGAGCTGATTCGACCTCATCAAGCTTGTGGTCGGGGGCGTTCTGCTCGCTCTTGTTGTCACCATCGCTCTCACCTCCCTTCTCGTCGGCGTTGTCATCCGTGGTCTGGTTTCTGCGGTAGATGCCCGACTCATCGTCCGAGTCAAGAGCGTCATCGCCGCCCACCAGCTCGTCCTCGACGTCGATGTGAATGGGAGCCTCGTGCGCCTCGTCATCAGAGGCCAGCGCATCGTCGCCCCCGAGCACCTCAAAGGGCAGTTCGTCGTAGACCTCCATCCTCTCGGTCTTTACCATCTCCCCTTCCTCCGCGTCTTCCTCCTCCTTGTCGTTGTCGTCCAGTCCGTCCTCTTCGGCCGGATGCTCCTTCCCTCCCTCAGCGTTTCTAGACTCCAACTCTACCTCGCTGTCGTCGGAGAGGTCGATCATGGGTCTGCCTGACGCCCTCGCGGGAGCGTCCTCATCGGTGCTCATGGGTGCGGATGAGTCACCAGAGGCCTCCCACTCTTCGTTTTCGCTGGAATCAGCGCGCCTGCGCCGTTTTTGGTGGCTTGGCGTCCTGGTCTTCCGTCGGCTGCGGGAATCCTCCATGTCGACCAGCTCCGACTCAGACGAGTCGGCTCCCCTCCTCCGCTTCCGCCGCGGTGTCCGGCTCGATACGCGGCGACTGCGGGACCGATACGTTTCGTCGTCAGGGCTCTCGTCATCTTCCGCGTCCTGCTCCTCGCCATGATCATTGTCGTCAATCCAATCGTCGGCCAGAACGTGCAGCGGGACAGCACCCCGGCCACGTTGCCTGGCGGCGGCTGCCTCCGCCTGCGAACGCGGGTAGTAGATGCTGCGGGCCGTCATCTGGTGCCGCTTACGTCGGGCCTTCCAGACCTCCGCCTTGCGTTCACGGTACGCTCGGGTCAGCCGTGGCTCAGCAGACGACGTACCATTCTGCGCCTCCGTAAGTTTGTTCTGGACTGCTTCGGGCACGGAACCCAGGCCACGAGCTTTCAGCCATCCAATTGGGCGGCCGTAGGGCGTATCAAGCCAAGCACGATCGTTTAGACGCATGACAGTGTTAGACGAAACGGCGCTGCGCAGCTGACAGGCCATGACTTCGTCAAGTGCTGTGTCGGCGGCACTAAGGAGCTCGTCGAGCTCTGAGTCCTCTTCGTCAGTCACTGTCTGAGTCGGCATCCAAATGTCAGAGTCGACTGGGGGGTCAACGACCAACGGCGGGGCGGGGGTGATGCCGAGCTCGGCGGTGTCAATGCACCGGCGCTTCCGAGACGGGACGTCGTTGTTGAAGGCGGGTATCACATCAGGTTCGTCATCTTCGGAGTCTTGCAAAGACGGGGGATCCACCGCCAGATTAACGGCTGCCTCCCTGTCGCGCGCCATCTGCGACACGCGCTGCAATCGCGACACGACGTCACGGAGTTGCTTTCGCGGCTTGCCTAACGGCTCCAGAATCGCCTCGATGTGCCACTTCTCGATCTGCATGTTGTTGGGGTTGGCAGCCGTTGCAATAATGTACGAGTGCTTGATCAACTCGCGCACATACTCCCTCAAGATATTGTAGAGGGGTTGGAGGACGGCGAACGATGTATTGCGGGCAAGAGTGGTGACAGAGGCTCCTTCGGTGTGTGATGCGGGCGCGACACCATGCGCTTCTTGGTACAGCTCAATGATCTCCCGCATGCGGTCAAACTCAAATACCTCCCAGCCTCGCTCTTCGAGGTATATATGCAGGCCCATCTCCTGCGCCTCGGCGAGAGCGGGGTCACCATCCTCTATCTTGACGTCCTTGTATTTACGCCTGGCGCCACGAGGGCCCCTATCGGTGAAAGCGACGTCCGGCCCACCGCAGGCATCGATCTGCTCGTCGGTCCACCCCTGCGCATGCAGACGCTTGCGACGGTACTTCTGGCGCATATGACGACGATTTGTCATAAGAGCATACGTCTCCCGCTGTGCAGGCGTGCGGTCGCGGCGGGGGATGGCGCTGATAAGCTCGATCACTTTGTCGTCCCTCTCAATCGCGCTCAACTCCGTGTTGCCCTCTAACGGTTGAAGCTCTTCATTATGGTTTGAGGTATGCCACAGTAGCTCCGCTGTGAGCCCCATCTTGTCAGGCGTAAAGTCTTCGCCCCACTTCTCAACGGCAACACGCATATCATGCGTGACTTGACCGGGGGAACGCACATCGAGAAGAGGGAGATCCTCCCTCTTCATCTCTTCCTCGCGCAGCTCGAGCAACTCAAGAGGCCAGGCAAGATGATCCTCCCTCTCCACGATATCAGTCGGAGCTTCGTATGCTCCTGAGCCAAGCAGATGAAATCGCCATTCCTTGGACTCTTCAGAGAGCCTTGTCCTCATGCTTCGAGCCTCTGCGCAGGCTGCGAGGCATTCGATGAGCTGCGCAACTTCAGTCTCGGTCTTGGACCCGATGTCGCGTGCAATGAGATCTGGTCGCAGGCCCGAGTGTCGCGGAAGTGAAGCGAAGAACAACCCTTTCTCCTCCGGTGTCCAGAGCGTCCCGTGAGGATGGTAGGTCGATGGCCTCCAAGTTGGCACAGTACGTCGCTCGTCCGTCACGGTGAGGAAGTGGCGCTTAACCTGCCGTACATGAGATGCGAACTCCGCTTCGTACCACTTCATTCCTGGAATATGCCTGGCTTCCTTCCACTCGAGAGGTTTAGGGGGACGCGTACGCCGGCGCCGTCGCTTCTTATCCTGCTTTTTCGGTGGAGAGCCGGCCACATTGCCTGGGGTGCCCGCATCGTGGTTCGGCGGTGTTGATCCGTTGCCGCGTGATGCGTGCTCATCAGACAACCGATGTGAGCGAGAAGACGCCCCATAGTCATGGCCGGCGTGCGAGTCATCCTCGTCGCTCAGATTGACGTCAACGTCATAGGCATCCGAGGCCTCGGAGGTAGCACTTTTGTGATCCAACAGCTCATCCCCGTTGTTGGCCAGCTCCACGCTCTTCGAGGGGGAGTATATATTTTGGATTCGCCTGGGGCGCGAGGGACCGGCTTCGGCGTTCTCTGCAAGTCAACTGGTGCCGGCACAGCGCACGCAGATCATTACACGTTCCTCAAGCGACACCTGCTCGGCATCAGCATCACTCACCAGCAAACGGATTGTAAGCTACTCGCGGGGTCACTGGGCCTCTCCGCAAAGCCCCATCAGCCGACATGTTAGCAGGCGCGGCGATCTGCGGAGTGCGATGAGATGTTTAATCGGTGAGTGGTCGACGAAGATGTCAACACGAGTCGTCGTCAATCCTCAGGCGCACGTGACCTGCCTCCACCGACCTCCACCCACCACCTCATGACGAAGCGTTTGGCACGGACAGCTGCTTCTTCCCACCTACACAGCCGAGACACGACATGAGCGACGAGGAGCGCAAGCCTCCCGCCCGCGGCGGATTCACGCTGGACGGCCGTCCCGTGGAGGACGCGCTGCCCGAGAACTGGGGGCGGCCTGAGCGGCGCGAAGGCCGCATCGGCGAGTGGGGCGGGAGCTCTCCGCGCCACTCGCCGAAGAAGGACGGCGCCGAGTCATACATTGGCGGCGAGAAGAGGTGAGCCATAGCACTTCCAAGCTTACGCGCAGTGGTTTGGCGGTGCAGAACCCCGACCAGGGGCGCGGCGAGGGCGGCGAGGAGGGTATCGTGTCGGATATTCTGCGGCAGGCCGCGAGCCACGGGCCGGCGGAGGAGCCGCGTCCACAGCATCCTTGGGGCCGGCTGGGGCACACGCTGGGTTCGGACGAGGTGGACTCTGTGCAGGTCGGCGAGGGCGAGGAGGAACACGGGGAGACGCAGACGCGCACCCTCACCTTCTGGGCGGACGGTTTCAGCATCGAGGATGGGCCGCTGCACGCGTACGATGCGCCGGGCAACCGCGAGCTCCTGCAGGCTATCCAGGCGGGTCGGGCGCCTATGAGTTTGTTCGACGTACGCTTCGACCAGCCGCTCCAGATTGTCGTGCAGCAGCGCACGGGAGAGAAGTACGCTCCGCCGCCCAAGGTGTTCCGCTCGTTCGGGGGCGAGGGCAACCGTCTTGGCTCCATCACTCCCGAGATCTCGGGTGCCAACACCCCCGTCAACGCCACCAGCCCCGTCCCCGGCTCCTTCTCCTCCTTCCCCTCTGCTGCGTCTGCAGCTCCTTCTGCATCCAAGCAGGATGCCAAGATTGAGGTCGATGCGTCCAAGCCCACGACAAACGTGCAAGTTCGTCTTGCCGATGGGTCTCGCCTCGTTGTCCGCGTCAACCTCACGCATACCGTTGGTGATCTCCGCAACTACATTGACGCGTAAGCCGGCGATGAGTGCAAGAGCTGACTCCAGGGCGCGCCCCACCGACCGCGAGTACATCCTCCAGACGACGTTCCCGCCGCGCGAGCTGCCAGACAACGAGACGGTGGAGCAAGCTAAGCTGCAGAACGCTGTCGTCATTCAGCGCCTCAAGTAGGGTGTGCATCACGTCGTTTTTCCTCTGTACATCACAGCATCACACCAGACACTTGTTGATATCCTTCATGCTCCACACAGTCGATGCTACATATACGCCCCGCCGCGACCATGCCCGAACCTGTCGCCGAGGTTGGCCTGATCCTTGATCTTCTTGACCTGCTCCTCGCCAGACAACAAGCTCCCGACGCCCATCATCTTGTCATGGTCCCAGATGGGCGGCGGCGACGCGCCCTTGTCCTTCTTCTTCTTCGCATGCTGCTCCATAAGACTCGCCCCACGCTTCGATTTCTGCCGTCAGCACACCCCGCAACATAACATACGCTATGCTCCTCAATACGCCGCCGCATCTCCTCGTCGCGCTCGCGCCGCGCCTTGGCCTCGCCCTCCTCCTCTGGCCGGCCGCGCTTGCGCGCCCCGCCCTCCTCCCGCTCGCGCTGCACGCGCGCGGCGCGCTCCGCCGGCGTCTCCATCCATCCCTGGTCGACGGCGGCGACCTCGCGCGAGTGCTTCTGAAACTGCGTGGGGCGCTTCAGCGCGTCGATGTGCGAGAGACCTGTGGGTGGGCCGAGAGTCATCCACTCGTCGCGCTGCGGCTTCTTCGGTGCGTTTGCGGCCTCTTCGCGCGCGCGCGCCATGCGCGCCTCGCGCTCACGAAAGGCGTCGGCGGCAGAGGCGTGCACCGGCGCGAGGTCGGCCAGTTGCGGCCCGATTTCGTCGTCCGAGTCATCGTCGGGAGGTGGGGCGGGCCCGGGGGGACGAGAGGGGCCGGGTGGGTGAGACGGGCCAGGACGAGATGGCCCGGGAAGAGAGGGGCCTGGAGGACGCGAGGGGCCGGGTGGGAGTGAAGGACCCGGAAGCGAGGGGCCTACAGACCGCGATGGTCCCACAGGACCTGGTCGTGATGGGCCGATTCGCGGCGGCGAGATGGATCCGGGCCGCGCTGGGCGGATGGAGGGTGCCCGAGTGGGGCTCTTGGACGGGGAGCGCGCGAGCCCGGCGGAGGACGGTAGTGATGGGCCCGCAGGCTTCTTCCTCACAAGGCCTGGGGGCAGCGCGGGGCCGTATGCGTCGTCGTCTGATGACATGGTGGCACAAGGTAGTTGTTGTGATTGCAAGTGGTTTTGCGGAGGCAAATGACGACGGGTGGAGGAACCATTTTCTGCGCAACCCGTGACTTCTGCCCCACACAGTCGATCTTGAGTGTCAAACAGAACAATATCAACAACAAGAATCTACAGTCGAGGCAGGCGAATGCTTCCTCGTGACCCACGTCTATGTATACTTGTGCTATGCGCTTGCACGCCGCGAACTTCCCCGACGAGCCGGTGGGTCTGTGCGCACGCCGAGACCGAAATGACCAGATTGCGCGGCGGCCCGAGCGCGCAGGGTTGAATGTCAACAAACACCGGCGACATGTCTCACCTCACCTAAGCTCTCATCTCCCCCCTACCACCTCGTCCACACCCATCACCATGTCCCCGCTACCCCTGCCGCCCGCAAATGCGACGCTCATCTCCCTGCCCAGCGCGCAGGACATCTCTTCCCCCGAATTCTGGACACCGAACGCCACGCAGCGCGCCACGCTCATCGTGATGGGCGTGTACGTCGTGGCCATCGGGATATGTACGTCTCTTCCGCGCAGTCTGACGCCAGTGGTGGGTCCGCGGCGGACAGGCTGACGGATGTGGCATGTGCCGCTGCTCTGCGAGGTGATATACCCCTTCAAGCTGCTGGTGCGTTTCGCAGGGAGCGGTGCTGACGCAGACAGACCGTGGGGATGCACGAGCTGAGTCACGCGCTGGCGGGAGTGAGTGCGCCGCTGGCTGCGCTGACGCAGGTACTGACGTGCGCGCGCATCGAGAGTATACAGGTACGAGAGGTGCGTGCGGGCTGACGACAGCTCGAGCCCAACGAGGGCGGGTGTACGCGGATGCGTGGGGGTGTGCAGTTCGTAAGCCTGGCCCGTGGGCGCGCTCACGCAGATCGTCCTCCCGGCAGGATATCTCGGCTCGTCGTTTATCGGCGCGGCGCTCATCGCCTGTGTGAGATGAGACGATGCGGGCAGCTGATCCTAGGGCTTCGACATCAACGCGTCCAAGGTCGCATGTCTCGTGATGGCCGCGTTCTTCGTCATCACGCTGTACTGGGCGCGCCGGAGTTGGGTCGCATACGCCACGTTCATGTTTACGGCCGTGCTGATAGTCGTGAGCGCCACGGGGCACGGCCCAGCTGAACCAGGTCGCGTGGCTCGTGCACCACAGCGTGGCACTGCGCTTCTTCGTCCTCTTCCTTGGCGTCATGTCATGCCTGTACTGCATCGTACGTGGCGTACTCGTTCGCCTGACCCCAGTGGGATATCATCGACGATACTCTCAAACGCAAAATCGCGTCGAGCGATGCCAGCCAGTTTGCCAAGGTCGTCGGGTTCGGAAACTCATATGTCTGGGGTGAGTGGATGTCGAAAGCACTGACGCAGGCAGGCGCCTTCTGGCTCATCATCTCCATACTCTGTAAGTAGCTCGCCGGGCCGGCTCACGCAGTCTTCGGCGCCGGCATTGCCGTCGGCCTGGCGGTGTTCAAGTCGTCATGGGAGGACCAGATGGCCGCCGCCGAGCGGTTCCTCGGAGGTGAACTCCAACGACATGAGTCATGGCTGACGACAGGCACGCCGTGGTAATCTTGCCTGTATCTATCCCAAAATGCATAGTTTGTCTAAAAGATGACCTGATGTTAGCCCTGTCCACGATCTTATTCAAGAGGTACTCACCTGCGCAAGGTAGTCGGCGAACATGCCCGCCCAAATGAGGGGTCCCGCGATGTAGCCGTTGCTCGTAAACTTCTTCCAGCAGTCGGCGCGGCTGTCAAGGTCGACAGTAATAACCTGCCATGCAAGGTGTGCGGCGCCGCCGACACACGAGATGGCGTAATACAGCGGTCCGGCGCCCATCGCGTAGCCGGCGTACGTGAGCGCGCAGACGAAGCCGGTGTACAGCGTGCCGATGATGGGCTTGGACTTGTCGCCCCATGCGAGCGCGGTCGACTTGACGCCGGCGGTCACGTCGTCGCGCTTGTCCTGGCGTAAGCTCTCCCCCATGCCTGCTCCTTCCTCGCGCCCCTCTCATACGACTCACCTGGTGCGCGTAGATGGTGTCGTATGCGACGCAGTACGCCACACATCCGGCATACAGCGGCCCGGCGACGCTCCAGTCAACGCTTCCCGCGACCGCGCTCCACCCGAGCAGTGCGCCCCACTCGAAACACAACCCCAGCACGATCTGGGGATAGTACGTGACGCGCTTCATGAACGGATACACGAAGATGAGGGGGAGGGAGGCGGCGCCGAGCGCGATCGAGTACATGTTGAGTTGGGTGAGCACGCCGAGGCCGAGCGTAAGCTGGCTCGCGAGGAACACGGTCGCGGCGGTGTGCGTGACCGTGCCGGCCGCGAGGGGGCGCGTAGCTGTACGCTCGACCTTCGCGTCGACTTTCGAGTCCCACATGTCGTTGATGATGCAGCCGGCGCCGCGCATCACCATTGCGCCGACACCGAAGAGCGCCAGGTACCATAGCGGCGTGGATAGGGGGGCGTGTGTCGCTGTGCTCGCCATAGTTATCGCCCATGCGCCGGGCCAGTAGAGGAGGAGGGCCCCGATCGGCTTGTCCCATCGCAGAAGATAGAGGTAGGGCTTGAGGCCTGCGGCCCAGGTGGGGATGAAGCGGTCGAAGGCTGTTGGGGGCGGGGCGGGGGCGGCAGTGGCCGCAGTGGACGTGGGCGAGGAAGAGGAGGACGTGAGGGAGGAGGAGGACCTGAGTGGGGAAGGTGTGTCGGCGAGGGAGCGGCGCGGCAGGATGTGTGCGCGAAGGAGCGATGTCTTCGGCACGGTACGCTTCGCCTGTGTTGATAGGCGGGATAGCGGAGCCAGACGCCGCACACCGACACCCACGCCGAGTCCTGTGCGCGCGCACGCCGAGCGCGCGAGCAGTGGGAACATTTTGGGAGAGGTGCGTGACCAGATAAGAGCAGTTCACCACATTTCGGGTTCGGGTCTCACCGATCTCATCCGCACCCAAGGCACGCGTCATCTCCGTGTCCTCCAACTTTTGTAACTATATTCCGCCGCGCGCGCGTATCGTTCTACTCGCCTTATAAACCACTGCAGAGACCGAAAGAGGTATGCATTACTGTTGCAAATGAGCAAGGCTGGCCATGAAATCAAACGTGTACGGCAGCAGACAACATCGCAGTATGCATCAACACAAGATCCCCATCTACGAGCTCTTGAGGGATACTTCAGAAAGCACACGGAACGCCTCCTTGTACGCGTCCAACAAAGCCTTGACGCGCGTCCGCTCCGCCACAAGCGCCTCGTCCTCATGCAACAGCTCGCCGAACAGGTCCGGCTTGTACAGCTGCGTGACCAGCCGCTGCTGGATCGCATCGCGCGAGAAGTTGACCTGAAGTTAGAGATGCCACACGATCGCAAACTCACAAGAAGATGCATGATCGCCTTGGGCGTCAGGTCCTGGATCGTCTGTCGCACAATGTTGAAGTAGCTGGCGATAAGGGAGCGAATGAGGTTGGCCTCCATCTCCTCCTTCGGAGTGAGCTGGATGGGCTGCTCCGAGGGGTCAATGTGCTTGCTCAAGCTCTTCATGTCAAACGCAGCGTTGCTCTGGTCAAGGCTACCGGTTGCCCCGCCGTTGCGGCGCGTGCCGAGGTCTGGCAAGATGTCATGTGTGGAGGACGATCCTGCTCCACGCGAGTCCTGGCCGCGACGGTGATGCGACCCAGCGCCAGATGACCCAGGGCCCATGCCGTTCGGTCCGTTGGGCCCGCCGAAGAAGTAGTTGAGGAACGTCTCCTTGGCATTGTTGGCGTTGTGACCGGGCGAGCTGCCGAGTCCAGAAGGTGCTGACCCTGGAAGAGGTGACCGAGGTCCCGAGTGAGACGATGCTCTGAAGTGACCTGCCTTGGCGGCATCAAGGATCTTCGAGCCCGAGTTACGCACTTCAGGCACAGAGATGGTCGAGCCCTTGGCGTGGTGCTGGTGGCCCATGGCGCTGCCGTTGACGGGAAGCGGGGTGTCCGAGTCAGAGGAAGACTCGGACCCGTCGAGGACCGATCCGTCCGGCGAGATTACTGGGCGAGGGGGAGCCTGAGAGACCTGGGCGCCAGCACGCGCGATGGCGGCAGTGCCAGCCTGGAAATCGGGATGGTTCGTGTTGATGTACGCGGCCTGGATTTGGATCAGGCTCGAAACATACTCGGAGGTGGGGCCAAGACGCTCGCGCAGCAACTCCGACACGACCTCGACGAGCTGAGCGTGCAGGCCAGGGAAGCGCTGAAGCTCGGGGCTGGTCGAGTTGTGGCAGATCTTCATGAGCTCCTCGTACACAAGCTCGACGCAGCGCAAGCTCGGAGGTTCGAGCAGCCTGATCTGAGGCTTAACGAGAAGGTCAAATGCCACCTCGGGCACAAACATCGATGGCCTGGGACCAGTCGAGTTGCGAATCGCGGTGCGGATGTCGGTGATGGTCAAGTTCTGCGTGGGATCAATGGACTGGAGGGCGTGTCCAAACACATCGTTAAAGATGTAGTAGATGCGCGCGCCGCCACAAAGCTCCTTGGTCGAAATGTCGAGGCTCGTGCCTTCGATAGAGGACACAAAGTCTCGGGCAAACTCGGTCATAAGCTTGAGGATAAGCGAGCCGCGGTGCTGTTCTCCAAGGAAGGTCGCGTCGCCGAACGAGTTGAGCTCCTGCTGAGTCTGACCCATCAACGTGTTCAGGCGAGCCTTCATGTCTGGGAGCTTCTCCCGGATGTGGTTCATGAGCACCTAGAGAGTTAGCAAAGGTTCCAAGCACGGTCGCGCACCGAGTTAAGGGTCTTGGCCAGGAAACGCGTGCCGCAACGGTGCGAGATGTTGCGGTAAACGGGGTGCTGGGTGAAGAACTCCTCCTCCTTGCGGCGCGCGTCCTCCATCGGCAGGTCGAGGTTGATGTCCTGCTGCGAGCGGTTAACCACGCCAATGAAACCGAGCTTGAGCGGGTATGTCCGGCCGGTGAGAACGTCAAGGGCGTTGGTGCCAGCGTCCATGAGGTCGAGCTTGGTGAGAACACCGAGCGTGCGAAGGCCACGGGGGTCAACGGTGCGCGCCAGCTTGAGCGCGTCCGAGTTGGCCAGATCGACATTGGCAGGCGAGACCGCAAGAATGACCCTGGTTTCAGCTGCCGAGAATCACGATTGCAAACTCACGCATTGGGGTTGGTGATGTAGTCAAGCACGAGGTTCTTGATCTGACGTTCGATGTCGCTAGGCTGGTCGCCAACGGGCACCTTGGTGAGACCGGGAAGGTCGACAAGGGTGAGGTTGAGGACACCGGGGCCATAGATTTTGAGGTTGATGGGCAGCTTGGAGACGCCCTGTGATCGTCAGCAGGTGGGTCGATGTGATCGATGCAATTGATGTGGAGAGTGGGTGCGCTTACCTTGTTCTGGCCAGCAACGCGGAAGGTCTCGGCTTCAATCTCGCGACGGACCTCGTCAAAGTCGGTGAAACGGCGGTTGAGGTGGAGGAACTCTGCATAGTCGATGCCAGTGTCGCCTCCCATGGAGCGGCCCGAGCCAGACTTGCCACCACCGAGGTCTGGGAGGTAGCCGTCGTCGCGGGAGCTGCGGTCTGGCGAGCTACGGCCGCCCTGAGTCTGACTCGAGCTAGCCTGGTTGGTGCCGCCGAGACCGGTGGTGTGAATGAGCTGGAGGACGAGTGGGCGGCGGGTCACGATACCCGAGCCACGCGGAAGAAAGTCGCGTCCGACGATGGTCTCCAGAACAGACGACTTGCCCGAGGACTGTGAACCGACGACGACGATCTGGGGGAGGTCGACGGCATCACCGCCGATGGCGTTGAAGGTGTCCTGGAGTTTGTTGACGAGAGCAATGAGGTCGCCGTCCATCTCGCTGGTGTGATGTGGGGGGGGGGGGGGGGGGGGGCGCGGGGGCGGGGGGGGGGGGGGGGAGGAACGCCGAGCGAGGGAGGTGGGAGGGTGAGTGGGTGATGCTACAGGGAGTAGATGGCGGTTACAATGGAGAATGCGATGCTAGAAGATGAGAGATGGGAGGATAGAGTTGGTTGAAAGAAAAGAAAGGGAGGTAGGGAGTTGAAGGCCAAAAGTAAAACGGGATGCCGAAGCAGCGGAGGAGACGTGTTTGGGGGGCAACTTGAGGGTTGCTCTGAGCCAAAATGAAAATGCCAACTGCTTGCTGCTTTGCTGAATGTTGCTTGCGGCTTGCCGTAGTTACTGATCGAATGTTGCGTTTGAGGTGACGAGTCGTCGACGCGGCGCGGAGGACGAGTGCAAGAAGAGCAGCGATGAGGAGGAGACGAGTGACGGCGATGAGGGCCAATGGAGACTGAGAGAGTAGCGGCGGCGGGAGGGAAGGTGGTGTTTGAAGCGGCGGAGGCGGAGTGGGAGAAGACGCGTCAGGGTAAATCCCTCCAAGCCTCGCCTTGCCGGAGTGTGCGCGGCTGCACGGCCTCATTTTGCTTCCGCTCTCCCTCCAGGCGCAACTCCCGAATGACGGCCGGCCTCAGTAACCCCCGGTCGATCACGACGTCACTGCCACCCTCAACTTTTCTCTCGGCCTTGCAACAAGGAGATAGGAGATGCATAGCTCTTTAGCTCTGGGTAGAACGGCTGTTTGATCGTCCCCGGCATCGCCCGACGCGTAGATGAACTCTCACGACGCGTCCTCCAGAGTCCCGGTGACACCGGCTTGCCGGGGTCCATGAGCCGTTGTCGATCTGGTGATGGCTGATCGAGATGCACGTCACGACTTGTGGCGCTGTTACGCCCAACTATTCAATACTTGTGGCACCTCACTCTGAGCTCGTATTCAATAGCGTTCTGACCTCCACTTACGAGTGGACTGCATCTCTCTCACCTTGATTCCGAGTCGAGTCGTTGACAACGCAGCTGACAGCGGGCAGTACACTCATTTTGGGGTGTTAACGCGGATTCCAGGCCTGTGTAATTTCAATGTATGGGTGGCTGCCTCCCCGGGCTTCTCGAGGACTGGGGTTGGCGAAATGGCGACGACGTCTGTCAAGGTGGCTAGCGTGGGACAGGCCACGGGACTCTGCCAGAGCGGCCCTCCGTGAGATATGTGGAATTGAGAAGCTGCTCTCCGCGCCACGATGTCACCTTTCCTCACACGTCTCTCGTTCCCATGGCATACACGGTGGTTGAGGGCCCGGCTCGACGAGTGAAACGCTTCTGTCTGCCGAATAGAAAATCTATAAAGCTCTGTTGGGCTTCCCCTCTCACTCTCCCGCACTCTCATCTCTCTCCCTCGTCCTCGATCTCCCTCGCGACCATTTGTTCATCTCTCGCTCTTCATTACATCCAAACGTCGTCACCTTCCCTCTCCTCTACAACCACTGCTCCCATTTCGTGTCGTGTTGCTCTTCTCCTTCTCCTCCTCCCCCCTCCCCCTTCACACGCCCCCCGCCGCGCTCCCTCGCTCTCTTTCAGCCTTTTTCAAGCCCCACCCCTTCACCTGTCGCCCATCCTCCTCCTCTCTTTTCCTTTTCATCCTCTCATCTCCTTATAATCCTCTCGCCTCCTTGGCACTTCAACTGAGACCGCCTCCTGTCCCGAGCCACCCCTGTCTCTCCCAAATTCGCAACATGAACGCGGCTCGCATGGCCCAGCTTCTCCCGGCCTTCGACCGCCAGGAGCTTCGCAGCACCTCGCCGCGCATTATAGCGTATCAAGAAGCCATCAAGTCCTGCGGTGATATACAGCCCCAGAGCCACCCCTTCTTCCGTCTGGACATGTCCAATGCTTTCCTCGATCCCAAGGGGTACAAGCTCGCTCACATTGCTTTTCCTTGTGACATCGCTTTCGTTGGCTGCGTCATTCTCACCGAGCCTTGGCTTGTCCCTCTGGTGTTACCGCCCAACCTTCGCGTGAGATATCCAAAGAAAATCGCTGAGATTCAGAAGTACGTCACCGACCTGCGCGATGGTTTGATTACGTTCGAGCAAGGTCGCGACATGCTCTACGACCTATGGGTGAGTCCCCACAGAACACGAAAAGTCAGTGCTGAGAACAGGAATTCTTCCAGGACTTTGACATCCGCACTCTGGACCGTGTCATTGCAGACGTTTCCCTCTACGTCTTCCACCGCAACGCGAACAACAAGTTCGGCTGCCCCTCTCACAGGAAGTACTTCACCAAGCTATCGCAGATCGCGGCCTACACGAATTGGTACTCGCAGTCTGCTCTCGCCCTCGAGGCCGGCACCCAGCTCTGGGCTCTCGTCCAGCTCATGCAGCTGGGCTGCAAGGGAGCCAAGATGTGCACGCGTACCGCGACCAACGACAGCTGCATGTGCTTTGTCCATGTCCACCCCCTGTTCCACCTCTCCCATTACCCCAGGGCCAGGGATGTTCGCCAGCGTTGGGCTTGCTCTGGAACCGGTGTTTACGACTTCAACCACCCCAGGAAGTTTGCGATTATGTCGACGGCCGACAAGGGCTGGCTCCAGCACGACATTCCTTACCCGGGCGAGGAGCCCAAGGCTACGGTTCCCATCTCACACCTTGTGGTCAACAAGACGATCGAGACCTCAGCGCCGCCTACCGCGATCCTGACGCCCGTGGCCTCTCCTTCGACCTCAACCCGCGCGTCCACCGCCAGCTCTACCCCGCTTCACACGCCGACGACTCCTTACACTCCCTGGGCCCAGCTCGTTGCGCCCCCCGTGAAGACGACCAAGGCTGCCAAGAAAGTCAGGATTGTCACCCCGCCGGAGACCCCGCGCCCCCAGCAAGCCGTCGTGTGCAACGATTACACCGAGGAGGAGGCGGCCGTTCTCGCCATGATCAGCCGCAGTCGCTACCACATCGGCCGCACCTCGCTGGAGTGGTATGCGGAGTTCCAGGGCCCCGGTGCTTCCAGCAGCGGCTTCCGTACCAAGAAATAGGTCAAAACAGGCTGTCGGCCTCGCTGGTCAGTACTCCCGATTGTGTCTTACCGGCCTCAAGGCCTCAAGTGACCCATAATAGACATGCGCATGCGTCAGGCGTTTCGTTAGAAACCAACCCACAACTGTGAATCATCACGCCTGCTCCCCGAGAGGCCATCGACCCAGTTTGGCTCCCGGCGAGCCTTACTCGCTCCGAGCTCCTCCTGTCCACGAAGTGTCCTACTGTTAAGCCATACATACCTGCACGCATGCACCCGTACCGAACGTACAGCTGCATATTAGAACTCTGACAATATCTCGCCTCTACTTGGTCTTGGCCGACTCGGTCTCGACCCCCTCCGTCGCCTCGAGCTCCTTCTTGTACCACTGAGTCCAGCGGTCGAGGCCCTCAGTGATCCCCACAATCGGCGTGTATCCGAGCAGGCGCCGCGCGCGCTCGCTGTCATAGTATCGCTGCTGCGTCGCAAACGTAACGCGGAAACGCGTGAAACCGGGCTCCTTGCCGGCGATTTTGGCCCACATCTCGGCAAGCGTAGCGAGAATCAGCCCCACCGCGGCGGGCAGCACAATCGTGTACGGCGGGATGTGGCCGAGCGCAGCCCACACGGCGCGCGTCCAGTCCCAGAACGCAACAGGCTCGCAGTTGTTGATGAAGAACGCCTGGCCTGCCACCCGCGGACCGGGCGCGTCGTCGTCCTGGTCCGACAGTGCCGAGAACTGGTCCATCTTGGACCGCAGCACCGGGCGCAGGTCTGCGGGGTCGACCTCGCCGCTCTCGAAGCGCTGCGCAAGCAGCAGGTCGTGTTGCGTCGGGCTGGGGTTGGGGCCGAGAGGGTGCGCCTCCGACGTCGGGATGCGGTGGTCCGGCAGCGAGAGGTTGACCCACGGCAGCGGCTCGTGTAGCCCAGCGATTGGGTAGGTGTCGGCGAGCTTGTCGGCGGCGAGGAGGTGCGCGTGCGCGACATTACCGACGTACGTCCAGTCAAAGAGGTTCTGGTTGCTCCCGATCTGGAACTTTGTCTGGCCGTTTTTGATCACCGAGTGGAAGCCGCTGATCGCCTGCCTGTCGCCTGGGCCGAAGATGCCGCTTGGCCGGAGGGCGCAGGTGAGGAGGGTGGACGAGTTGGCCTGCAGCACCAGCTCTTCGGCGCGCGCCTTGGTGTCGTTGTACGCGTCCATCGGCACAGCGGGGTAGGGAAGGCGCTCATCCGCGTTGATCAGGTCCTCCTTGCCGCTGTAAACCACACCTGCGGATGAAGTGTACACGAGCTTTGGGACGCCGGCCGCCCGGCATGCCTCGATCACGTTTGCGGTGCCGGTCACGTTCACGGCCTCGTAGACGGCCGGGCCACGGCCGTGCGGCGGCGATGCGGTGTGGATCACCACCTGGGCGCCCGACTGAGGTTAGTTACAGAGTCTGTCGACACCACCTCATCCTCACGATGCCTCACCTTAACAATCGCGTCGCTCACGTCCTCGAGCTTCGTGATGTCGCCAGTGTAGAACGTGACGTTTCTAATGTTAGTTATGAGGCGGCAGTCCCTCCAGATGCGCCCCGCAAGATCCTGGCTGCGAGCCTCGGCCAGAGCGAGAGCTTGTCTTCACCTTCCCCGTGGCTGTTCCCATCGCCTCGGCGCTGCCATTCGAAGACGAGGCGCGTGCTCCGCGCCATCCAGCTCGCACTGGTGCCCGGCATGTCAGGCAGCGGATGACAATAAAGATTACCCTCCAGCAGCAGGCTTTCCGCTCTGGGGAGCACCATGCTCCGCGCGCCGCCTTGCCCTCCTTCTCAGCCACAGATCTCCGGCTCTGGCAGCACTAGCGCGCCGCTCTGGCATCCCACGCTCGCTCGCTCGCCAGCTTCGTGGTTGCACGCCCGTGCTTCCCTTCTCGCGCTTCGCTTCGCGCGCGCGACTCACTCGTCGAAATGCCGCTGCACAATGTCGAACACGGCCACATTTGGCTCGCCACGGCCGAGGAGCGCGTCGACAATGTGTCGGCCCAGGAAGCCGCAGCCGCCGATGACGAGGTAGTGTTCGTTGGTGGGCGGGGACGTCGACATGGTTAGTGGATAGACGAGGAAGAGAGATCGTTAGCTGGCATTCAGGAGGTCAGGAGATCAGGACAGTCGTGTCTGGCACGACGCCGGGCCGATTTACGGGGGCAAATAGAACCATTTCAGGCACCGTGGCGTCCCAAGTCGTGCCATGCCGGACATGCCGAGATTTGATGCAAGTGCAGTGAACATGCATGATGGTGTTGTACAGATGGAAAGATGCAATGAGAATGCGAATGGATACAAAACGAATGGCAATGAATTATTGGTTGCCCCCCTCGCAGGTCACAACTGGCTCTCGTCGAACACACGAACCGCGCCTTTGCCCCATGCCTGCATGACGGCGCGCCCACTGTCTGTGGGCTGAGAGAACGCGACTTCCCCGGCTGTAGGATCAAAGCGACATCCGTAAACCGTATGTGACGCGGCAGCGTCGAGCATTGCGCGAGCCAGACCGCATCGACGGTATGCGGGCACGACAAAGAGTCGGTGGATACCGAGTGGTGTGGGGAGGGGTGTAGGGCTAAAGTCAGCATCTTGACTAGATGGGTGGAAAGTCAACTTACTCGCACACGACGCCGCCGCCGCTGTCAACGCTGTCCTTGACATCCTCACCGCTGTGCAAAACGCGCATGGCCGTCTCGATAGGTTGCGCGACCACAACACCAACGATACGCTCACGGTCGACTTTTACCCCACGCTTGGCGTTGGGGGGTGGGGAGGTCGTTGTTGCGAGGACGAGCTTGCACGCGTCGCGCATCTTGGGCGTCAGAGGAGAGGCTGAGAGCACTCCGTCGACGGTTGAGTGCACGTCCTCCCACCGCCCGTCGGTGACCAGAAGGCGTGCGCTCCCGCCGCTCCAGGATACTGCACCTGCGTCGACGCCCGCGCGGCTTTTTGGGAAGGGAATGCCACGCGTCACTCGGGCATGGTGGTGCGCATGGGTGCGGTCGTCCTCCCCGCCCCTCACGTAGGACATGCCGCATTCGGCACAGGTGCGCTGCGCCCCGTTCATGAAGTGGAGCTGGGCAAGCTTGGGCTTGACGTCGGGTGTTGGCTTGGGCTTGAACTTGAGTTTCGTAGCGGGTGAGGAGGAAGGGGAGGGGGACAGTGGCCCGCGCCTGCGTCGGATAGGTCCGAAGAAGGACGCCAATGTAGCCTGCTTTGAGACATGGCCGCTGGGGAGGTTGGAGTCGACGCAAGATAATGGCCGTGCACGCTTGAGTGGAGGCTCGATCGGATCAGAGTCGAGTATGCGCTTCAAGGGGGTGGGGGAAGATGATAGCAGAGTCGCACGACTGGGCGAGAGAGGCTCCTCGTGCGACGACAGACTCGGGGAGGATGGGGGTGGTGTGAAGAGCATGCTCGTGCGTGGCGGCGACGGCGCTGAGCGCCTGCCGTACGTCCTACGCACCGGCGGTCTGGAGGGTTAGCAGGATCCATGGGAGGCTCACTTTGCAGGCTGCAACATGACAAGAACAGGAGACGGATTGTGTAGTTGATGGAAGGAGGAAGGAGAAAGGAGAAAGGAGGAAGAAGGGTTACGTCAAGATTAGGTTTGTTGTTGTAATTGTTGGGTGGCAAGGCAGTCGCGTCTGATCCACTCAAGCAAGATCATCGTGTCAGATGGCATCTGTCACGTGATGGTGAACTAGATCGTCACGTGACAATGCCACGCGTCTGTCGGGTGTATGATTCCGCTCCAACCGCTCAAAATCCACGTGTGAGTGCGTGCCTAGATGGAGTGGGGCCCGGATATACCGTGTCCGGTGAGCCGTTTGGTGGAATTGGTGAGCCGTGCGGGAATGCATGTCGGATTAGATCGGGCGGATGATAAACGTCCGAGAAGCACCGACGGTGGCAGAGGAGCCAGGCGGGATCGGCTACGGCGACGAGCAAAAAGTCGGCTCCATTCGTCACCGCTGCCTGACCCGCCCCGCCGAGACCTCGAGGCCTGGAGGGTGCTTGGGGGGTTGAGGAGCGAGTGGGGTTAACGGCTCGGCCGGTCGGGGTACGGGGTATACCTCTGCAGGCAGGTCGGCAGGACACACCACGTCTCCTCCTCTGATCTGATAAAGAATAAGGGTTGCTTCTTTGCTTTTGCTCTCGACGTTTCTGTTTCTCTCATTCTTGTCATCACCAAAAGTCATCCGTTCGACATGCTCGCGTCTCGCTCCACTGCCGGCGTGAGTAACCCCTCCCTCTCTCTCTCCTTCTTTGTTTCTCTCCCACGCTCGCGTCGTGTCGTTGTGCCCGCTTTGCGAATAGCCGGAAGTAGAGCGTGCGTTGTTCACACGGCCTGGGTCACGGGCATGCCCGGTGTTGGGTCCTCGCTCTCATCGGGATGCACCCGCCCGAGACCATGCATCACCACAGCAAGTGGGCACCACACGCGCCTTGTCTTCGTTGTCTTCCAGCCTGTCGCCTCGAGACCGAGTCTCCTGCATCTCCTTCATCACATCACACTCCATCCCTCAAACCCCACTCTCGGCTTCACGCCCAGTACTAACTCTTCTCACAGCTCCGCGCCCTCCCCCGCGCGACCCGCACCTTCACCACTTCCTCCATCATGGCCCAGAAGTTCCGCGAGGAGCGCGACACCTTTGGCCCTCTCCAGGTGCCCGCCGAGCGCTACTGGGGTGCCCAGACCCAGCGTTCCATCCAGAACTTTGACATTGGCGGCCCCACTGAGCGCATGCCCCCTCCCCTCATCAAGGCTTTCGGTGTCCTCAAGAAGGCTGCTGCCCACGTCAACGAGACCTACGGCCTCGACCCCAAGGTCGCCAAGGCCATCTCCCAGGCCGCTGACGATGTCATCTCGGGCAAGCTCATCGAGGAGTTCCCCCTCGTCGTTTTCCAGACTGGCTCGGGCACTCAGTCCAACATGAACGTCAACGAGGTCATCTCCAACCGTGCCATTGAGATTCTTGGCGGTGAGCGCGGCTCCAAGAACCCTGTCCACCCCAACGACCACGTCAACATGTCGCAGTCGTCCAACGACACCTTCCCTACTGCCATGCACGTCGCCGCTGTCGTCGAGATCAACACCCTCCTCATCCCCGCCCTCAAGGAGCTTCGTGACGCCCTCGCCGCCAAGCGTGACGAGTTCGCGGACATCATCAAGATCGGCCGCACCCACCTCCAGGACGCCACTCCTCTCACCCTTGGCCAGGAGTTCTCCGGCTACGTGACCCAGGTCGAGCGCGGCATCGAGCGCGTCGAGTCGTCGCTCAAGCACCTCCTCCAGCTCGCCCAGGGCGGCACTGCCGTCGGCACCGGTCTCAACACCCGCAAGGGCTTTGACACCGCCGTCGCCGCCGAGATCGCCAAGATCACCGGCTTCCCCTTCGTCACCAACCCCAACAAGTTTGAGGCCCTCGCCGCCCACGACGCCATTGTCGAGGCTTCGGGCCAGCTCAACACTCTTGCCTCGTCGCTCTTCAAGATCGCCCAGGACATCCGTTACCTCGGCTCGGGCCCCCGCTGCGGTCTTGGCGAGCTCAACCTCCCCGAGAACGAGCCCGGATCGTCGATCATGCCCGGCAAGGTCAACCCCACTCAGTGCGAGGCCCTTACCATGGTCTGCGCCCAGGTCATTGGCAACAACGCCGCCATCTCGCTTGCTGGCACTCAGGGCCAGTTCGAGCTGAACGTGTTCAAGCCCGTCATGATTGCCAACCTCCTCCGCTCCATCCGCCTCCTTGCTGATGGCTCCCGCTCGTTCACCAAGAACTGCGTTGTCGGTATCACCGCCAACAAGGAGCGCATCGAGCAGCTTCTTCACGAGTCGCTCATGGTGAGTTTGCCAAAGGATTGAGCAACAGAGAATGTGCTGGGGGTATTGGTGGAGGTGGGGCTCCGGTGGTGGTTGGTGGAGGTCGTCCACCCGGCGCTCACGACTTTCCACTTGTCTCCTCCTACCCAGCCTATGCTTTCCTCCCTCGTGCTCCACCCTGCTATCGTCCTGTTCTTTGGAATCCGCTCACACATCCAGCTCGTCACTTGCCTCAACAAGAGCATCGGTTACGACAGTAAGTCCAGCGCAGAAGCCGAGCTCGCGCAACGATGACTAACTTGCAGACGCTGCTTCCATCGCCAAGAACGCGCACAAGAAGGGCATCACCCTGCGCGAGTCTGCCCTTGAGTCTGGTCTGATCTCGGCTGAGGAGTTTGACAAGGTTGTTCGCCCTGAGCTCATGATTGGGCCTGAGGCGTAATAAAATACGATCCGGCATCATTGACGGAGATAGAGGATGTATTTATCTGCAGCTTACACTGATACGAGTCGTCCGGGGTGGCTTTCCTTTTATTTCTCTCACACCTTACCATGACCCCAGCAAGCGTTGTTCAGCCGATCGCGTCGGTTCAGCTGCTCAACCGTCCGCGTTGAGAAACCTGGGGCGGGCGGCATGTGCGCCGCCACATAGTAGCAATGACAGAAAGCTGGAGGATGTCACGTGAGTTACGGGATCGTGATATTGACAGCTTGACAGCGATGCAGACCACAAGCGACACGCGAGACGAGCAATGCAGAAAAAAGGGCATGCGCGAACGCAAAGCAAGTGCATGTATCCACAATTCCCAGCAGTGCGAACAAGGCGTTCTGCAGTTCTGTCGGCGGAAGATCCTTTCAATCGGGTGATCGGGCACGATCAGATGTCCGGGTATGTGGGAGTACTGTACTCGTAGGTGCTGGCCGCCACACCCGCCACACCGCCACCCGCCACGGCGTCACCTGTACACACGCCACAGCCACTGCACGGCCCATGTTCCTCGGTCCTCGACACACCGTACACCAGATACCGCACACAACCCCAGCCCCAGCCCCAGCCCCAGCCTCATCCTCATCCTCATCCTCCTCGTTCTTCCTGTTGCCCACCACGCATCCCCCTACTCCTGCATCTTGCATCCTTCCACTATCGCCCTCATGCCCTCCTTGGATCTCGCTAACCGACAAGCGTCGCCCTAGCTCGAGTTCCCGTCACCGCCCTCCACGCCTTCTGTGTGTGAACTGTGCGACGATGGACACGCCCCTCACCACGCCGCCCCGTTAGAGGACCGGGGCTATCAAGCCATCAGCAAGGAGCATAGAGCGCAGGCCGCAGACCGCAGACCGCAGACCGCAGACCCGCAGACCGTAATGCGTACCGGATACCGGAATCACTAATCTGCTCCGAAGCACCCACACAGAGGACCGCGCGCGGCCGCGAGACATTGCTCGAAGCGTCACCCGCGCGACGCGGGACGCGCCAGCCAGGCCGCCACCTTTGTTCCTGCGCGCCGAACCCCCAAACTCGCTCCGCCATCCGCCGTCGGACGGGGCCCTCGTCTGCCACTTGCAACCAGCCTGGAAAGAACATGAATTGTGGCCTCATTCGCACTGTCGCCCTGGCGGCCAGCACAAAAGGCCTGCTTCGGTCCTTTGCTCCTCACTTCTTGCTGGCCACTATATCTTCAGCATCCTGTCTTTCGCACACGTCCACCCATTGGAGCGCGTGCGTCTCGCAGCTGCAGTCACGTTCGTCATACGCCCGGTACCGTCCCCATCCCCGTCCTCACTCCCACACCCACGCCCCCGGAAGCTCATACCTACCTGACGTACTATAATACCCACAATGTCCGCGACCACCACGCTCTTCACTGGCCTCCGTACGCCTTCCTCGTTCTCTGCGCATCGAGCAAACCGCGACGCACCAGAAAGCATGGAGACCTACCGTATCCCCCAGCACCGGCAGCCCTCGGCGCCTCCTCCAACGCCTGTGACGGCGACGGCCTCCCGGCCACCCCCACTAGCGCTCTCCGCCTCGTCTAGTGCCGCTCCGGGCCCGCTCACGGCCCCTGTGCACTCTCGAATGGCGGGACAGGCAGCCGCGCGTGGCATTAGTATCGACGTTGCGCTACGGAGTGCGAAAGGACCGGGCACGGGCCGCCGCTGGCCGGCGAGCCCAGGGCGTACGCCGACGAGCGCGAGCTTCCCGCGCGCACGTGGCCTCACCGTGGCTATTCTCAACGGCGATGGGGAGCTGTATGCCGAAAGCGCACCGGTGACCCCAAACGCGACAGGGCTGAAGGCCACAGCGCCAGCCGTGCCCACCCTCGAGCTCGTCTCGTCTCCAGGACTACCCACGCCGGCGTCGGCTACGCCCAGCGCGGCCGCAGCCACTCCGCGGTTGCAGGAGAAGATCTTGTGCCGATACTACCACACGGCCGGGATGACGTGCACGTCCTCCCCGTGTCGGTTTGTACACAAAGTCGACGTGCCGCCTGCCACGGCAGTCACGGCGGCCCTTAGTGCTATCCCCCTCCTCTCATCCCGTGAGGAGACGCCAGACCCGACGAGCGGCACGTTCGCTGCGGCACAGGCGAGTGCGCTAGCCCATCCGGCCCTGCTGCAGATCGAGGGCGGAGTGCAGATCGCCGCGGGCGAGCCCGTGTCCGTGCAGACTGAAACCGGCGCCGAGGTCGGCTTCGTCTACAAAATGAGCGGTGGCGGCAAGGGGCCCGCCGGCAAGGGCCGACTCAAGTACCGCACTGTGCCGTGCAAGGACTATGCGGTGGGCTCGTGCGACTACGGCGACGAATACTGCTCGTTCATCCACGACCCAACGAACCTGTACGATGAAGAGAAGCACGGGAAGAAGGAGAAGGAGCCGGCGCTGTCGCCGCGCACGCCGCGCAGCGCGCGCCCGAGGCTGCCGAAGAAGGCGGACGCGTCGCCGCCCGCCGACGCGCTCCTCACGCCCGCGCTGGAGTACGCGCTGCCTGCGCCGCTGGCGAACCCGCCGCGCCGCCGGCTGAAGGCCGCGTCTGAGTTTCCGCCCGTCGCGGAGGACTGGACGGCACACGAAAACGCCGTTCAGCTGCAGGTGCAGACGGACATCCCGCCGACGCTTGAAGAAGACTATCCGCACAACATCGGATACCCGTGGTCGCCGGAGTGGCACGGCGCGGGGATGTGGGTGACGCCGTCCCCCGTGTCCGAGTACTCGCCCTACTTTTCGCACACGTTCAAGGAGGGCGAGTACAACGCGCCGTACTCGCCGTATCAGTGGGGCGGGGAGGAGCATAGCCCGGTCCCGTTTCCCGTGCTCGACGAGTACGCGCCCTTCTGGGCGCAGGGGTACGGCCTCGGCATCCTGCGCCCGCCGCTGTCGCCGGACATGGCGGGCAAGCAGTACTGGCGCACGCGCCCGTGCCACTTCTGGATCAAGAGCGGCGGGCGCGAGTGTCCCCAGGGCGACGTATGCCGGTTGTACGTGCCTCCCCACACCCATCTGACGCCAGCCAACACATTCTCCCGCCGAGCGGCCGCCTCCCGTCCCCGCGGTACGGGCCGCACGCCAAGTCCGTGCCCTGCAAGTTCTACAACACGGCCGAGGGCTGCCTGCGCAGCGACGCCGCCTGCCCCTTTGCGCACGTCAGAACGGTGCCGGAGGGCCAGCACCTGCCGAAGCCGACGCCGTTCCGCACCCGTCCGTGCCGCCACTTCCAGGCCGGCCGGTGCGCGATGGGCGCGGCTTGCCACTTCGCGCACGTCGACCCGTCCGCGGCGAAGGGCACGCGCGCGCCGCCCGCGACGCCCGTGACCCCCGCGACGCCGTATATCGACGTCGCGCGCCGCATCGCCGCGGCGCGCAGCGCCGGGATCGAGGAGAGAGAGAGGGAGCGGGTGTACGCCGCGTCGGCGCCCGCGAGCGCGAGCTGCGCGCGGTTCCCCGAGTGGCGCGGCATGACGGAGCGCGCGCTCGCGGCTGCGTGCGAGGTGCTGCGCGCCAAAGCGAGCGTGGAGGGGAGCGTGGAGAGCGACGGCGAAGGCGACGACGCCGAGCTCGAGATCGTCACGGCGTGCAGCCGGCCCAGCACGCGCTCGAGCCGCAGCGTGTGAGGACACGTGTATATCCGTAAAATCATAACCAAAATGCCATGTATCTGCATCTGCATAGCTCGGGCGCTGTCCGGTGCATGAGGCGTGTAAATGGCTCCGTTGCGCAGACGAGGTGCGCCGCAAGCTGACACAATTCCGGAATGGCTAGCACAGTGATCTACTCTGTGTTCGCACCACTTGATGTGGCGCACTGGATGAGGCGACGAGCTATGGATGAATTTGCCCGGGATTTCGTCGGCCGAACACATGCCTCTTTTGCCTCTGTTGGCGAAGCTCAGACACTGCAGTGGTTGTTCCACATGGCGCGAGCAGCACATGCTCGGACTTGTCCCATTGCTCTACTGCTGTCGCTGTCAATCGGCCCGCCGGCCGCCGGCCACTGACGCCCGCCGGCATCGCGCACATGTATTCATGGCGGCACGGGCACTTCAGCTGACCGTAGATGACTCAGTTCTGGTATGTCGGGTCGCGCGACGAGACTCCCCACTCGGGCGAGGCGAGATCGGAAGCGAGTGCAGGGCTGCTTGCCCGTCAACATTCCACCCACTGTGCCCACCGTGCCCACCACTCCCCCCTCACCCACACATGTTCAGAGTGGATGGTGTTGATGCATTACGTCTAGAGCGTCTAATCATACTGCTACAGGTGAAGATGTGAGATGACAGAGTCCGAGCGCCTGCGCGAGAGCATTACGCCATGTGCATGTTGGCCGCGCCACCGAGCTTGAGCATGTTGTGGTTGCGGATGAGAGCGCCGAACACAAGAGTCAGAACGAGACCGACGAGAATTGGGATGTAGCTCTTCGAGATGGCCGCTGTGTACGCGTGCACGACCTGGTCGCGCACCTCGGTTGGGAGATCAATCTGCCACATGGCTTGGGTGGAGCGGCGGACGATCTCAAATGGCGCCGTGGGCGCAAACTGCGGGATGTAGCGGTTGAGATAGACGGACTGTACAGTGTTGACGATGCCAATGCCAAGGGCTGCACCGGTGAGCTGGAAGAAGGAGACGACACCCGTCGCCTGCGGGATGAGCTCGGGGCGTGGTGCGTACTCGGCCTGCGTGGACATGATGAGGTTCTGGAAAGTGAGGCCGATGCCAAAGCCGCCGAGAATCTGGGCACCGATGATAAAAGCGCTGGTCGTCTTGGCATCGATCACGTACAGCATGCCAACGCCAGCTGCTGCGATGGGAGGGCCGATGATGAAGAAGGGGTAGTATCGACCCCACTTGGTGACAGCGCCGCCCGAGACAAAGATGCCGATGCAGGTCATGATCATGAAGGGGATAATGTCGATGCCTGACTTCTGAGCCGAGTGGTTGCGCGTCGCTTGGTAGAACAGAGGGAGCTGTTTGGTCAGTGTTCATTTCTCTCTTTAATTACCTGATATGTTCCACCCAGCATCACCATCATCAACATGAAGATGGCGCCAGACGCGTTAACGACGGTGCGGTTGGTCATTAGATCGCGAGGAATGAGCGCGTCCTCGTTGAAGTACCACTCCCATGCGAAGAAGGCGATGCAGAGCAGGCCGCCGAGAGTGAAAAGGAGGGGAATGCGCCAGTTGGACCACGCATACTCGTTGCCACCCCACTGCAGCGCAAGGAGAAGGCAGGTGACGAACAACATGGCCAGGGCGGAGCCCAGCCAATCCATCCGGCGTAGGGCCTCGCGGAGGTTCTTGGGCGAGTTCTCGCGGCGTACCGGGTCGTGTGCCGGAAGGAGGAAGACGACGGCGACAGCGGCGAGGCCACCGATGGGGAGGTTGATCCAGAAGCACCAGCGCCAAGACAGCTGCTCAGTGAAAACACCACCAAGGAGTGGCCCGATAACGGAAGCGATAACAAACACAAAGCCAAAGCCGGCCATGAAGGCGGCGCGCTTTTCGACACGGGTCACGACAGCGATAATGGCGATAATGGAGACAAACATGCCTGAGGCACCGATACCCTGGATCGCCCGCGAGGCGATGAGCATGTCCATGCTGTTGGCCACAGCGCACAGAAGAGAGCCGAGCTCGAAGAAAAAAATGGCGCCGAGGAGAATCCACTTGGCCTTGATGACGGTGAGAAGCTGGCCTACAAGGAGGATAAGGCCGCACTGCGTGAGGAAGTAGGCGGTGACGATCCATGCAACGGCATCGAACCTGTTGTACTGCGAGACAATGACGGGAATGGCGGTAGACACAATGGACTGGTCTAGAGCAAACATCTGGCGGTTAGACTGTGCAGACGGGCGGCGGTGACTCACGAAGACCGAGAGCATCATGGCTAGGAAGACGAGCATGAGGCGCACGCCCTCGAGCACGCCATCGGGAACAGCGTTTGGGGTAGCCTCGGCGGCGGACGGTGCCTTCTCGGCGTCAACATGCTCGACTTGGTCGAGCTCTGGTGTCGAGGTAATGCCCGTCTTAAGTGATCCCGTCTTTGATGGTACACCTGTAAGGGTGCGGGTGTCGGCTGTTGCAGATCCACTGTCCATGTTGAGTGAGGATGTGGACATGGCGGGGCGGAGGGAATGAGAAGACAAGGAAGGGAAGGGAAGGAGGCAGAGAAAGCCAGAAGAGAACGGAGGACGAGTGGTGGACGTCGAGTGGTGATTAAATGTTCAGTTGGGAGCAGTTGAGGTTGTGTGGTTCGCGATGGGGCTCGCGCAACTATATGTTCGTGTCAGAAGCACGGACCCGTTCACGATGAGTCGGTGGCCTTCGGCCTCGAAGCCCTACACGGCCACTTGAGTGAGGTGGCTGATCTGGCGAGCCCCGGGCCGGGGGCCGGGGGAGATCGCAAGCGCTGGCAACATGCGCCCCGCTGTGTGCTCGAGCCGCTCGGAGCTGTGACGTCTCAAGCCGCCGGCTTCGGCTCCGAGGTGGTCGAGCAGTGGACTCGAATCTGGTCATGGAATAAAGCTCTACAGCTTGGCAGATTGGCAGCTCTGCAACTGAGGCAGGCCGATAGGGAGAGCTCGGGGAATCTGCAGTCGCACGGGAAGGAGGAGAGAGACATGCAAAGCGAGAGAGTGGAGCGGGCAAAACAGGTGCGGAAAGGTGGTGCGGAAGAAGGGGGAGAGCGCCACCACGCGTGTAGGCCTCGGCGATGAGGGGAGCCCTCGGCTGTGGGGAAAGTGGGGGGGGGGAGAAGGGAGGCGATGGCCGACGGGCTGAATCGGGCAGTCCAAGCGATCAAGCGAGCTGCCAGATCTCCAGGGACTGGGCCAGTCTCAGGGATTTCCAGCGCCCAGGTGGCAAATTGTCCCAACCTCGAGCGGGTGGGACCGGTAATTCAACTCGGAAATGGCCGCTCACTGAGCGAGCTTGTTTGGTTTTAGTTTAATCCCGCTTCCAGAGGATGACTAACCCTCCGTCACCTCGCTGATGGCATGGATACCATCTCGCCTCCGTGTGGGCCCGTCATCTGTATTCAGTGAGGTCGACGGGTGGAGACGGCATGCGGGATGCGGAATGACCCAACGTGCAAACGTCAGCGAGAAGGCAGTCTGTGAATGAAATGGCCGTTCGGTGGTAGACGGAGCGCAGAGTGAGCGCTCCAAAAAGCTGTGCCCGCATCCGAGACGGGGCGTGAGAGGAGAGTAGTGGAGAGTTCGCGGGACGACCTGCCCAAAGGGCGGAGACGGAGGGGAAGGTCATTCTCCCGCCGTCTGAGAACAGCTCTTAGCTCCTGTTTAACCCGCGCACGGTGTTGGGGGGTCCGCCAGCACGATGAGCCTGTGCCCCGCGAGAGGCGAGAGGGGATGATCAACTCTTGCTCACCTTTTATACACTGGCAATGAGCCTCCTGGCGTGGTTGAGACACGGCGACAAAGGAAGGCTGCTGACTGCCCGTGATAGATGTCGGGCCCGAGGGATGGCCGAGGCCGCGGCCTTCACGTATGGGCTACGCTGGCCAGGGATCGCAACTACAGGATGCGTCATTGTGAGAGAGTCAAGTGGTGGTATCCCCGGCGGCGTTGATCACAGTGGTGCGGACTGGTGCGGACGGGTGCGGACTGGTGCGAACTAGTGTTGGAGCCGAGACAGCTGGACGCGCCGTGTGATTGTGAGTGTCTGGTGAGGAGAGAAGGGCTTTAGTGGTGAGCAAGATGACGTGGATAGACTGGGACTGTGGGAAAAGATGAACAAGATGAGACAGAGTAGTTGGAGGAGGTGCGAGGAAGGAGATGAGTGAATGGAGTGGGATCGTGGGATCGTGGGATCGTGGGGCGTGTGGGGGGGAGGGTTGGATGGCTGAATGGCAGCATGAGGTGTGCATGGTGTGGGAGGTAGCTCGATGCTCCATGCTCCATGCTCCATGCTCCATTAGCTGAGAATTGGGAGATTGATGAGAGATCAAAGAAGGTGAGGGCTATTCAGACGATCAGACGAGGGCGCATCCTCCTCAGTTGGTCCACAATTCACAACCCACCTAATAAACTTGTGCAGCTGTGCAGTTGCACTCCACCCCAACCTCGCTTGCCTCTCGACTTGATACCATACACCACCTACCCGATCGCCTTCACCCAAAACCCCATTGCCTAATGGCGCAAGTCACAGGTTTGGGGTCTGATGACAACTGAATCACGATTTCACGTCGAAATGATCAAGAGGCAACTGCCAGCGCTGCTAGAATGCTACACGTGACGGCCTCATACTCACTCCAGAATTCAGAATTGATCAGACTCGAAACGCGGCCCCAACTTGACCCGTCGCCTCGGCACCCTGCCGCGCGCGCCGAGCTCTCGCGCCGTCCTTGGCGCCTCACTCACGCCGTGCCATCCGCACACGCCGCACACGCCGCACTCTAAGGAGGCCGACAACCCCCCCTTGCTGCGTGCTGCGTGTCATGGGGGTGGATATGCGCCACCACACCGCCCAAAGCGTACATGAGCAGGGACGTGTTACGGACTGACGCGTTTGAGGGGAGGTCTACCTTGGCATGGCCGGCATGGGCACGCGAGGCTCAGGGTTGAACAGTTGCAACTGGCCCAACGATATGGTACGGATGAGGCAAAGTGGCGCCGGCTCTCAGGAACGACTGGATTGGTTCCTGAGTCGCGCGGCGCGTCTTGTGCTGCTAGCTGCTCCCCAACAAGGAATGCGACCGCTCTCCCCCCCCCTTGGCTGATAGAATACCTTTGGCCCCACTCATGCCTGCTGCCTGCTGCCTGCTGCCTGTATGGCCTGTATGGGCTGTATGGGCTGCATGGACCCTCGCATAGCCTACGCCTGCACTCCCCCATTGACCTCGCCAGAGCATGCAGAGCACAAGCACTCACCCCTTCAACCCCTTGAACTCATCACTCACTATCGCTCTCTCCTCCTCCTAATCCTCCTCCTCTCCATCTCTCTCTCTCTCTCTCTCTCTTTCTCTCTCTCTCTCCTCACATCCATTTCTGCGCACGCTCTTTACGCTCCTTCATCGTTCACCGTCTTTACGCTCCTTCACGCACCCTCATCTCTCCCAACAACCCCCATCCCACAATCAACGTCATGTTTGGCTTCCTCCTGGTCTCCTTCCTCTCCCGTACGTTCGTCTATACCGCCTAGGCAGTCCACTGTGTCGCAAAACACATGCTGACGCCATTCCCATATCGCTTTTGGTCACCGTATTCGCGTTGACTCCCTTCCCCTTTATCCCCCGCGCACCCAGTTGTCCGCGCCAACGAGGTCATCCCCGAGTGCACCCGTACCGCCACCGTTGTCGCCGGCGACACCTGTGACAAGATCTGTGAGTCGACTTGCATTCAAAGCGTCTGAAAGTGCGGCGCCGCGCGGCGAGTCTTCCATTCATTGTCACGCGGGCGGGTGGATGCCAAGTTGTACAATCGGGGCTCGTGCTCCCCGCAAAGGGTTGGCAGACTGCTGGATGGTCAAGCACTCCAAACACCACCGCCCCTCCCATCAACTTGGCATTTACCGCGCTCCATTGTGTTCATGCTGCTCGTGATCTTTTGATGGCATGCTGACGCGCCCTCGAAATCTTCTTGATCGGACTTCGGACAATGCCATCATTTCAATACTTTCATCACGCACGCGAATCCGAACCAAACTACACATCACGCGGCACGAACATTCCCCCTTATGCGTCATCCCCACACCTTCTTTTCCGTGCCTCCCATCTCGTCCCATCTCGTGCGCTTGTGCAACTCGCAGCTACTCGCTACGGTGTCTCCACCTTCCAGCTCGCGCACGTCAACACCCCCGAGATTAACGACAACTGCGACAACCTTATGCCCGACCAGGTTGTTTGCCTTGGCGTTGAGGGCGAGGACTGCACCAAGGTCTACACTGTCGTCGAGGGCGACACCTGCGAGTGGATTCAGGAGATGTATGGCATGGACGCCGAGACTCTCTGGACCAACAACCCCCAGATCAACCACGAGTGCACCAACATCTACATCGGCGAGGTTCTCTGCGTTGACACCGACTGCTACGCCTACTCGGACTTCAACCAGACGGCGTTTGACGTGAGTGATGGCGTAGGCGTGACGGAAGGCGGGGAAGCAGAGTTGGCGTTGAAGGGAAGTGAATGGATTCAGACGGCTGAGGTGGGGGAATCAGCAAACTCTATGTGCGAAAGCCATGTTGTTGAGTCGTGGCCACGCTCTGGCGGCGAGCGATGGACGCAGTTGTGTATATGGGCTGTAGTCGCGCGCGCCTTTGAGCGGCCCCCCACGCGACTTCCGCCCAAGCTCCTTCCGACTTCCGCGATTGGCGCAAGTGTGACGCTTGGTTTGACGGAAGTGTGGCGCGAAATCAGCGGGCCCCCGGCATTCTGACACCTCGGACCGATCCCATTCTCATTCCAACTCGCATGGACATCGCTGACTTGCAGGTTGTCGCCGAGACTTACATCCCGTACTGCGACGAGATCTAAGCACTGCTGCGTGATAGTAGTATCCCCCTTCGTCTCCCTCAGCCCACTGGTGGGCGCGCCCGTTTCTTCTTTCGCTGTTTGTTTGTTGGACGCTCTGCGAGCTGTCGTGTCTCTCTCATATCTACCTTTCTATGACATGGTCTGATTCCATAGTGCATCTGATCGTGGAATGGGCGTTCAAGCGGCCTTAGACGGGCTACTGGGCTACAACTACTAACGGATTTGGAGATTAAACGTGAGGATCAGGCTGCAGGCTGCAGGCTGCAGGCTGCAAGCTGGCATGTGTCGACGTCTTGTTGGGTGATCCGGGTAAACCACAGGGTGGGGAGAGTTGAGCCCCTCACACCTCCTTGGCGGGGCATATCGTCTACACTGTTTCTTGGGTATGCGACGCGCATGCAGGCCGTCTAGGTGCGCGGGCTACGTCCGGGCCTCCACAGCCTGCCGCTGTGTCCAGTGGGGTGAGCCGGCGTCGGCGACGGCATCAAACATAGAGGCGAGGAGTCCTCGGCAGCACACCTCGGACCGTAATACCCGGCCCGCGCCAGAGGCCCCGCACATCGGTGCTTAGCCGACAGCGGGAGGAACTTGTGCCTCATCCTCGTCTGGCTTGATCTTCCAGCCGTCTACATCTATCTCTGTAACCACTGGCATCGATTTTCTCCCCGCTACCTCGACACCATGCTCCGCCTCCCCCTCCGCCCCACCACCGTGGGCCGCGTGCCCGTGCGCCTTGCGCGTACCCTCATCGCGCAGCCGCCGCACTTGCCCAACAATGCGCCGCCGTCGCCCCTGCCCACGCGCCTCCGCCTCGCCGACCCCGAGACTAAGAAGGCGACGGAGAACATGGAGAAGCTCGTAGCCAGCATGAACGAGCTCCGCGCCAAGGCGCGCGAGGGCGGCGGCAAGAAGTCGCTCGAGAAGTGGAAGAGCAAGGGCAACGGCAAGCTCGGTGCCCGTGAGCGGTGAGTGAACGAGGCGATGGAGTTGGCAGAGCCGGGCGCGACGCCGAGGGGGATGGGGAGGGCCACGAGCTTTCTCGTTAGATTCGCATGCGTCCCCAATGTACGCGGCACTCGCCTCCCGCTCAGCCGGCGCTCACACGACCTTGGCAGCGGCCAGCCTCCCACGAGACGTGGACACCGCTGACGGCAGTATTGCTGCCCTCCTCGACCCCGACTCGGCGTTCCTCGAGCTCTCGCCTCTCGCCGCGCACGAGGTCTACCCTGACAACCTCCCCGGCGCCGGTATCGTCACCGGTATCGGAACTGTCTCGGGCCGCCGCTGCATGATCGTTGCCAACGACCCCACCGTCAAGGGCGGTGCGTACTACCCTCTCACGGTCAAGAAGCACCTGCGTGCGCAGCAGGTCGCGCTCGAGAACCGCCTCCCCTGTGTCTACCTCGTCGAGTCGGGCGGTGCCGCGCTTCCCTACCAGGCCAACGTTTTCCCGGACCACGTGAGTTGATTGAGCAGCGAGAGGAGCAGGGAAGCGGCAGCGAGGGAGATGCGACGTTGATTCTGGGCGAGAGGCAGAGACTGCTCGCTTGAGTCGCCCCCCGCACGAGCTAACCTCCAGGACCACTTCGGCCGCATCTTCTACAACATGGCCCGCATGTCTGGTCTCGGTATCCCCCAGATCTCGGTTGTCCACGGTATCTCGGTTGCTGGCGGTGCCTACATGCCCGCCATGTCTGACGTTGTCATCATCGTCAAGAACCAGGGCCGCATTTTCCTTGCCGGCCCTCCCCTCGTCAAGGCCGCCACCGGTGAGGTCGTCGACGACGAGACCCTCGGCGGTGGTGAGATGCACACCTCGGTTTCCGGTGTTGCCGACTACCTTGCCAACAACGACGCCCACGCGATTCGCCTCGCGCGCGACGCCGTCCTCGACCTCGGCAAGGCCTCGGTCCCATCCGTTGCCCCTCCCCGGCCCGTCCGCGAGCCCGTGTACCCCGCCTCGGACCTCAACTCGATCGTGCCCGCCGACACGCGCCAGGCGTTTGACATGCGCGAGGTGATTGCGCGCGTGACTGACGGGTCCGAGTTCCGCGAGTTCAAGAAGGAGTACGGCAAGACGCTCATTACCGGCTTCGCCGAGATCCACGGGCACACGGTCGGCATCATCGCGAACAACGGTGTTCTGCTCTCGCCCTCTGCGCTCAAGGCGACGCACTTTATCGAGCTGTGCTCGCAGCGCGACATCCCCCTCGTCTTCCTCGTCAACGTCACGGGCTACATGGTCGGCACGGCGGCGGAGCGCGGCGGCATCGCCAAGGACGGCGCAAAGATGGTGCGCGCCGTCGCGCGCGCCAAGGTGCCCAAGTTCACGATGGTCGTGAACGGCTCGTACGGCGCCGGCAACTACGGCATGTGTGGGCGCGCGTACGCGCCCCGCTTCCTGTGGATGTGGCCGAACGCCAAGGTGTGCGTCATGGGCCCCGACCAGCTCTCGAGCGTCATGCAGACCGTGTCGGGCAACCGGAACGCGGCGGATGCCGAGGAGCGCTTCGCCAAGCTGCGCGCGCGCATCGAAAAGGAGAGCGAGGCGCTCTACTCCACCGCGCGGATGTGGGACGACGGCATCATCCAGCCCAGCGACACGCGCGACGTCCTCGGCCTCGCGCTCGAGGTCGCCGCCGACGAAAAGGCCAGCCGCAAGGACGGCGGCGGCGGCGGCCGCGGCGAGATCGGCGCGGACGGCGACTCGGGCGACTGGGGCGTCTTCCGCATGTAAGGCAAAACTGCGGCGGTGCACACCATCCGTACGTAGAGTAGAGCGAGTTCAGCAGTAATGGTATGCATCTAGAGATTTCATCGCAGAGGTGCGGGACTTGGCGAGCTTGGCGAGCGTGGCGGTCGCATGTGCTGGGTGCTGGTTCTCACGCTTTGGCCGGGAAGGGGCTCTGATACAAAGTTCGATTGTTTGGAGGCTTTTGCGCAAGGCAGACGCATGGCGCTCGCACTGCGTCTTGTCTCGCCAGTGTACAGGAAGTGGGGCAGGGACATTCAATGGACCACATTGTATTTCGACCTGATGTGGCGGCTGAGGGCCGATGGCACCCGCTCGGCTGTTGCAGGCTTGTTCGTCACACGCCTACGCCCATGGACCAACCCCCGCAGCCTGATGCTCCGGGCATGCCGGGCAGCGCGGAAGAGGGATCGGCTTACAGCAGTGGGCTGGGCAAGGTCCGGCTCCCGACTCCCGCCTCTCCGGATTCAAACGCGTCCAACAGCCCAACGCGCGACTATGCTACCTCGACAACTTCTGCTGCTCGTTGTTGCCCATCCGCAGCTCTGACGAAGCGTATATTGCTTTTCGAACCTTCCAAGAACCGAAAGTCAGTCCAAGCAGTCTATCGTCGCTTGGCAGAGTGCCTGCGACCCAGCATAGACTTTGTCCCAGTCAATCTCTACCACCCACGCCCATCCCACCTTCATCGTACCCCGCCCCGCCACACCCCTGTCACAGAGTGGCGGCTCGGGCCACCCTGGATCCCGTATTCCTGGTATCCGAAACTATCCACCGCGGATCCCGCCACCGCGTAATGTCTTTCCAGATTCGCAAACATGGACGCACTCCTCTCCTCAGCACAGTGGTGATGCAGTATACTGCATGGCTAATGTACTAAAAAAAGTCCGGGGTCGCCGCTGTCCAGTGGCGACCAGATGCTCAGAGACGCCAAATCGGGCGGCTTACGCCTCGGGGTCGATCTCCGTGGTGGTGGGGAGCGCGTACCAGTCCTGGGCCTGGCAGACGTTGCAGCCGCCGCCGCCGCACGCCGAGGGCCAGTTGGGCCAGTTGCCGCGGGCGATCTCGCGCGCAGGCCAGCGCACCTTGCGGCCGTCGGGCGTGAAGCACTTGCACTTGCCGAGGAAGCACGAGGTGCCGAGCGTGAAGAGCCCGGTGTCCTTGTAGCAGAAGGAGCGGCAGACCTCGCGGCAGTTGACGCCCTTGATCTTGCACGAGAGGAAGCGCTTGTCGTGCTCGACGACGGCGGCCTCGGCGTCGGGGGCGGGGGCCGCGAGGGCGGGGGCAGCGAAGGCGGCGATGGCGAGGGCGGCGAAGAGCTTCATTATGAGAGAGAAGAAAGGAGAGGTTGGTGGATAAAGGAGACGGGGGAGGGAGGGGGATTATATATCTCTGAGAATCGCGGTGTGCCACATCCGGACGGAGGACGGCGCCCGGAACCCGACACGTCTTACGAGCTCTCGAGGGACTGGAAAGGACTAGGACGGGAATAGCCCCACCACGGGGACGGAAGGATCCAAGGGGATGCTGGCATGGTACACATGCTGCCAAGGGAGCGGACGAGGAGCACATGCACTCGGATGATGGTGACTCCCAGCACCATAGCATTATTATCCAGCGGCAAGTGCTCGCGATAACGAGATAATAAAGCGTGTTTCATGGAATTCCCCGGCCCACCTCCCATCTCGAGCGCGTGCCTAGGGACGGGACCTCCCGCCCCGTATTCCGTTTCGCGCCGAGCTAGTACCCCTCGGTTCCCTGCTCCAACGGTTTCCTATGTCCGCGGTATCAGCTACCATTGGCGCAGCCCATGAAACAAGGTTGCATGCCCCAGTTTCAACGGTGGCGGGTTGCGCGGCCGACTCCGCCTCGCCGATCAGTTCCGTCCGCTGCGTGTGGAGAAGGTGTGGTGAGGGTCAGTCTGGTAAGATGCCGGCAACAGGGCGCGTGTGCCTATCGTCAGAGCTCCCGTGCCGCTTCGGATGCGATGCGTCATCCGCCTGACTTATTGAGACGGAGGAAGCGCACTCTCAAGTTTACAGCATCAGGTAACTGGAGTGGGAGAGGGGAAGGGAGATGGGATGAGGAGGTTGTTGACGTTGCTGCCCCTGGGTGGTCAGCCTCATGTTTGCTGATCTCCGCGTCTCGGCGTGCCCTGTGCGGTCACGGGGCCGGGATCGCGCGGGCAGCCTTGCAAGAGGGAGCAGGCTGGGCCGCTGTGGTCCAGGATATCGGGTCGCGGTAAATGTGCTTGGCATACGCATTAGTGTCACGGTGGACATCTCGTGGGTGCTCGTGGGTCAAGTTGATCAGGTGATATGGGCGGTGTGAAGCATGAATTGTTTGTGTGAAAGGCAGCGCCACAGTGTGATGTTCATCTCAGGCCGCCGACAGCGTCAGGTCGGAGTTACATCAAGCTAAGTTGAGTGCGACGATGACGACGTTCTGCCGCCATGGCAAGTGGACCAGGCGACGACAATCCAGACTGCTTCCTTAGGTTGAGGCTTCGAACTATCGGCGCTAAGGAAGTATTAGTCTGCTTGGAGTGAGATCAGAGGGCAACGCCAGCTCGCTTGATACCATAAGTCCAGAGCTCCCCTTGTCCGCCCGGATACGCGACGCAATCATTGACTGCGAGCGGCAACACCGGGACCGGTGAGCTCAGAAGGATTTGGAAGAGGTCCCCAGAACCTCGTGCTCTAGCCCTAATGTTCACGTACGAATGTCTTGACAGAGATAGCGCCAAGTCACGCACTGAATCGCAATTGTCGCAAATACCAGTCTGATCTGAAGATCGTCGGCCGGAGTCGAACGCTGGAAGAGTGGAGGTAACTAAAGGGACACTCGAATAAAAGCCACGTGCCAAAGTCAAAGTGACCACCCACATCTCGACGTCAACGAACCGTACACACACTCACCTCAACTGATACCCCTCGCCGTTTCGCAGAGCGTCGCGCCATGGTGAGTAGTGCTGTTGAGTATGCGTACCGAAGCTGACGCCCAGCTCATCTTCTCGTGAGTCTTCCTAGGCGGATAGGGTCCAGCGCGCAGCGAGCGGCGCGAATTGTGTTGTTGGCCAGAACCGCGTTTGCAAGACGAGGTCATGTCGCTCCACTGAGCGTGGCTGCTTCGAGCACTTCGTCATGGACAAGGGAGCAAAGAGGGCAGAGACAGTTGAGAGGATGGGTCAGACATGTGCAACGGTGGCCACAACATCACGGGCAGCGCGCTGCATGACATTGTGTTTCACCTTCCTCTACCTCTGCTTGTCCGGGTGCTCCGCCTCTTTTACGCTGCTTTTATTCGTCGATCAATCTCAGTGGAAGCGCTTGATGCACGCGGTGCATAGCGCTTGCGCTACGCTGGCGCTCAGACTATGTGGCCAATGTTTGCTGACAGCAGCCTCTTCAAGACTCTCACCGACCAGGTGATCGAGGTCGAGCTCAAGAACGATCTCTGCATCACGGGAACGCTCAAATCGGTTGACCAGTGAGTGTGTTATCCTATTCCCCACACGAGAGAGATCTTGAGAAGGATATGCTGCGGAAGGGATGTTCCCGAGTCATCCGTCAGGACACGCTGTCAACGGAGCGGCAATCGTCTGTCATCGTTGCAATGGTCATCTACCACAGCAGGGATTGTTTAGAGCCAGACTTGTGTTTGTCCCCGCGGACAACATGCGAAGGGCCGAAGACGTTACCCTCGCGCCTCGGATGTCGTCTCTGGCCGGGCTGAGCAACGCTCTCTGTCCCTCCGCAAGCGTTACTTCCGCCTCTCCTACCTCTGCTCGTCGCATCCTTCTCATGGTGTCGTGGCGTCGCTTTTTCTAACTCCTAAGATTCCTGAACATCCGCCTTGATGGCATCCAGGTCAAGGACCCACAGCACTTCCCGCACATGGTGAGTTGAGCTCGATCGACTCAGCTTGTGATGATACTCGCGCCCTCTGGCGATCTGCTAAGTGTCGTGTAGCTGCTGACATCAGATGGCGGTGAAGAACCTGTTTATCCGTGGTTCAGTGGTGCGCTACGTGCGTCTGCCCGCAGGAGGGGTTGACACCACGCTGTTGGAGGACTCGACACGTCGGGGTAAGTTGCTGTGCAGAGATTTACACATGGTGCCGCTCTCTGCCCCTGCTTGCGACAGCCAGCTGACGGATACAGAGGCCAAGAACGCGTCAAAGTAGATGGGTGTGGTTAAGGCGCACGTGATGGCTTGACCGTGGCGCGCCATGTCCGCATGTGGCTGAGTTGTCGCAAGGCTGCTTGTGCCTGGCGACTGGGGAGAAGATCGATCAGCAACCGTGATAGACTCTATAGCACGAGCAAGATGGGCAGAAGGCCAGACGGCCTCTATGTAACCTCATGTACAGCAGCAATGTGATGAGCGTCGGCGACGGCATCGTTGGTGGCGAAGATGAGTTTAAGCTCAGACAAAAATCTCATGAGGCGTTCAGGATAGATGTTTGTGAAGAGGAGCCCGGCAATTCATTCCGCACTGAACCCGGGAGATGCTCGCTACCCCCCCAATATCGCACTCCTGCAAATGTCACACTTTGACAACTCCACATCATCTGCTCACGACACTCTCATGCGATGAGGAACACCAAGTTCAAGACCGCGCGGCTGCGTGCCGCTCTCCTCATCGCGGTGTTCCTGGGCATCTTCTTACTCCTTTCGATCGACATGCGACCCCACCTCCGCGAACTGGGCGTGATGCCAGGGACGAACGCGACGGGATACATTCATCGCCTCCTCGGGGCGAAAGACACGGTAGACCAGGCCGCCATCCGCGCTTGGGAGATCGCGCGTGCGACGCAACATACTGGAACAGGCGCGCGCGTCCACCGCCTCCTCGAGAAAGCGAAGCGCGGCGAGCCGTTCACGGTGGCCGCAATCGGCGGGAGCGGTAAGCCAAACCAAGGCGTGGCTGACGATAGTGTCTAAAGGTCGCGGTCTGGTCAACCCCTCTGAAGACGACCATGTGCGACCGCCCCCCGATGCTGGCATGGGCGCGTCGACGCTCTACTCGCCTGAGAATCTCCACGTTCTCGTGTTCGAGTGGCTCAACTCCACCTTCCCCCACCCCGGCAATACATTCGTCAACGGCGCCCAAGGAGGCGTAGGCTCCGGCTACTTCGCGTGGTGCTTCAAGGAGCACATCGCTCCGGCGCCTGATCTGGTCCTTATTGAGCTGGGCATCAACGACCTGCTGAGTCTCGACATCGTCCCCAAGTACGAGCATCTTGTTCGTTCCGTGCTCGAGCTCGACTCTGCGCCGGCAATAATCAACCTCGAAACGTTTACTACACTCTTCCCCTCACTTGTTTCCAGCAGCGCACTGCACGCCGATGTCCTCGCGTACTACGATGTGCCCAGCCTTAGCATACGCGATATCCTACTTCCACGCATTCTGGCCGACCCACACACCCAGCTCCCCCGCTGGTTCCGGACGGGCGGCGACGTCCGTCTCGGTGACGACAAGGTTCGCGAGTGGGGCGGCGTACCCGTTGATCTGATGCATGTGAGTGACTCACTCGCCCTTCGCGTAGACCATCTCAAATGCTAACGACAGATCTCCGCCAAAGGCCACGCCCTTGCCGCAGGTCTCATCATCAACTACCTTTCTCAACAGCTCTCCATAGTCTCTCCTGGTGGTCTTCTGGGTCGCCTCGGTGCGAAGCGCCTCCGGGCCGCGCAGCGGGTGTATGATGTCCCCAGCACACGGTTGACCGCCTCTTTCAACCCCGCGGACATGCCTGGACGCCGGCCACCAGTGTGCAGAAGCACGAACTCGCCACGCCTACACGCCGCCATCTCTGGAATTGAGTCCGACGAGGAAGGCGCTCAAGGCATCCAGTTCGCCACCAACTCTGGCTGGCACCCATGGGCGTGGGATGAGAAGCGGTACATGATCGCGCGGGAGCCTGGATCCCTGGCGACGTTCGATTTTGTTACCGCTGAGACGGAGGCGGTCGAAACGCACGATGAGGAGCCTCTGGATGACCCGATCGCTGAATACGAGCCGCACCCGGAACGCACCGAGCAGCGGCGCTCCATCGAGCGCAAAGCGCGCCCCGAGACTGTAGTGGACAGGCGTGAGGCAGCGAAGCAGCGTGAAAGGGCGTCCGCCCGCGCGAGGGCCCGCAAAAAGCGTCCCCGTTCCGACGCCACCGGTACGGTGGCTGTCGGGTACCAGCGCAGCGCACACTACGGCCTAGGATCTGTGTGGTGTTGGGTCGACTCGGACCGTGCCGGCGGCGTGCGCCTGGACGGGTACTGGGAGATCAAGGAGCGCAACATGGGCATTGTGGATACGGTCGCAACCGGGCTTGCGCCAGGTCCACACCGGCTCAGCTGCGAGCTGCTGCCTGATACACGCGACCCGCAGGGCCGCAAAGAGTTCCGCCTCTTTGCGATCATGCACGACTGAGACCATAGGACTAGGGGACGGCGCTCCACTTAGCCTCAGCATGTTGTACATGAACAAGTCGGACTATGCATTGGGTACTTGGTACTGTACAGTGATTACTTCCACCCCTCAGCTACTCGCACACCGACCAGCCGCACGATCTCACCCACGCGCCGCACCGTATCGCTCAGCCCACTCGGAATCTCAACGCTTTGCGAGGGAGCCGCGCCCATATCAGTCAGGAGCTCCCGGAGGAGTGCAGCGTGCGCGAGGACATGCGCGGCCGACACGATGCGTCCCTTCTCCGCGGCCAGGTCGGCGTACTCGCTCGCCCGCGCCAGCGCCTCCCCCTTTCCCTCCTCACCTCCTTCTTCTCCTTCGCTCCCTCCCGCAGCAATAAGCGCCCACGCCTTGGCGCGCGCAAGCGCGGCTCGAGCGAGGAGGAGTGCATCGTGCCCGGCAACGAGCTCGTCCCACACAGCGTCAAGCTCGGCGTCCGCTTTGCGCGACAGGTCCATGCCCAGCAACACATCGGCGAGGCACACCACGCCGTCGCGGTAGACGGGCCAGAGGCCGAGGCCGGCCGCGAGCTCGAGCGATGCCAGCGTGTGCCGGAGAAGGAGGTGGGGTGGGGTCGGCGGGTCGGCGTCGAGGCCGTCACGCACGCGCTCAAGCGCATCCGTGACGTACTTGTGGGCGAAGACAATGCCTCGTTCGTCTTTGGGCGCCGCGCTCGGTTCCCAAAGATCGCGCGGGGGCCCGCCTGGCCCGAAGCGTGCCGAGGAGTTCGAGTGCAGGCCGCGCAGAACGCGCTCAGCCTCCCCGTCCCGGGCGAGAGCCGCCTGGCGTCGCAGCGTGGCCCACACTGCCCGGCTCCATGTCCTGTAGGCGGGGTGATCTAACCCCTCGGCATGCGTGAGAAGGAGGGCCAGTGCGTCGTCGAAGGCGCCGCGCTGCGCCAGCCGCTCGGCGCGCGAGATGGCGACTTGAAGCGCGACGTCCGGCCCGGCATCCGCTAGCGCCGCGTCCTCGTGCACGCTCGCAAGGCTTTCACTACCCAGCAGACTCCAGAGGTTCGCTTGCGCCGCATGCCACGCCCCGTTGTCCAGCGGCTGCACCTCGGCGCCGGGGGCGAGGGGCGTCGCGCGGCCCAGGGCCGTGTAGATGCGCCTAAAGGCAACCGGCACGGGCTCGCCCATATCTAGCGCAGCGGCAAGAGACCAGAGGTCATCCGTGGGCGTGACGCCATGCATCAGCCGCCGCAATGGTACCGGCTCCTGCTTGACAGCGGGGAGCATGGCTGCTGGCCACGCCGCGCCCTCCGTCTCCGTAGTAAGCCGGTGCTGGAGGTTAAGGCACTGCTGGAGCGCCTCGGCGTCGTTGGCGCTGCGCGAGATACGGATCGCTTCAGCCACAGCCTGCGGTCAGCTATGGCACGTCAGCGATCTCACCTCCTGCGCCGCCTCCATTCCGCCTGTTCGGTAGTGAAACACGCTGAGATTGAGCAGCGCATGCGGCCACGACTTCTCGTCGTGGTCGATCAGTTGGGCGCGATAGTCATAGAATGCTAGTAGTGTTTGTTGAGCGCCAACAACGTCTCCGGTCGCTAATGCCTCCATGTGCCTCTCCATGTTGCTGATGCGCGTCATGCCGCGCGCCTCAGAAGTTGGGTACGGGTTGCGCACCTCGATGTCGTCTTTCCGTTAGTCACCGCTGAGCTACAGAGAGACTCACGCGCCGCCTCCCACGAGTATTCTTGTGGCCCAGCACCGCACCATGCTGCGACTCGGCGGCTCAAGTTGCCCGCCTCGCTGAAGCCCAACTTGCGGAGTTTGACGACTAGCCCCCGGAAGTAGAGGCCGAGCGGGGACATGCGCTCTAACGGCTCGGGGTTGGTGAGGAGCACACCATCATCCTCACCGATCCGGCATGCTACTTCGCGCTCTACAACTAGTGTCAGCTGCATGTCGAAGCTCTGGACCTACAGTCGATGACCCCGCCGCCAGTGGTAACGTCCTCAAACTCTTGGCGCTCTGGTCAGCGCGTCTTCACGAGACGAATGACCTACAAAGGCATGGAGCCAGCGTGACTCGCTCGCTTTCTTCGCGACAAAATCAGAGACGGGCAGCCCCTTGTCGTACCGCCTATCGATCGAATCCTGTAGCCGCAAGCACTCCTTGTTCACCATTGGGTCGATGGCCGCGCGGAGCGAGCCAAACGTCGCGGGCGTCGTGTTTACCTAACATCAGCTATGAACCGCGGTGGACGTACCTCGAACGCCTCAGTTGCAATGGCCGCCAAAATGTCTGCAACAAAGGTGCGCGAAAACACGTCCGCGGCGGCGCCTTGCTCGGTGAGAGGCATGGCCCGGACCAGCACCCAGCCCAGCGCGAGCTGGAGGGGCAGGTCATCATCTGGCGGGCGCTCGAGTGTGGAAGGGGGCGCGGCGCGTGGTGCACGCCGCGTCGGACTCAGGCAGTCTGGCATGATGGATGGTTTGTTGACAAAGTTGGGTGTCCGCGGGTGATGATGACGTTTTGCAGATCGCGCGATCCGACCAACGGAAAAGGCACCACCGCGGCAACGATCTTTTGGCTTCTAACCATCCACAGCGCATGCTCCGCTCGCGCCGCCTCCTTCTCGCCATGACCTCGCGCCCTCCAGCCGCGGCGCTGCCGGGCGGCGACTGGTCGTCTGAGCCCGCCCGCCCACTAGGTTCCCCTTCACCCTCCCCCTCGCCTCCACGTTCCCCGTCAAAAGACAAGGGCAAGGGCCGCGCCGATGCGGCACCGGGCAGCCCTCTGCGGCCACCGAGCGCTACCGCCTCGTTAAGCAGCATGCTTGATGAAGCGCTGCACTCGCCGCTCGACATCCCCTCCCCAAACGTCTCTCCCCGCTCCGCCAAGTCGGCGTTATCCAAGTCGCCGTCGTCGCCGCCCTTCCTCGCCCGCCCGCCACCCGCACACCATGCCGGCCCGGCGGGCGTGGGTCTCCGTCCCCGCCTTATGACGCGCATCTCGAGCACATCCGCGCCGACCGCGTCCCTTTCATTCGCCAGCGCGGATGAGTTTCACCCCCGTGAGAGGGAGCGGTACGTGTCCTCGTCTCCTGAGGAACAGCGGCAGCGGCAGTGGGAGTGGCGCCCGCCGACTGGGCCGGCGCACTTCCACCAACACATGCTGATGGAACGACATGGGGCAAGTGCGTTTCCCGAACTCGACCCCGCAACAGGGCTACCCCTCACCCGGCAGACGAGCGCTGAGGAGGACCGGCATTTGCAGCGCACAATCTCGGAGCAGTGGCGGCGTAGCACAGATGTGCCCAAGCCTCTGTTCAGCGGGCTTCCGATGCCAAGCATGCCGAGCATGCCGGCGCTCCCAACGTTCCAAGACGTGCGCAAGAGCGTTGACGGCCAGCGGCGGCAGCTGAGCACGAGCACAAGCGCGCTTGCCCAGCGCATGTTTAGCACCAGCAAGAGCCGGATCGACAGCATGCTGAGTGAGGAGGACCAGGCCCCGACGAAAGAAGAAGAAACCGCAAAGCACCAGGTCAAGTACCAGACGCCCAAGAACCCAATCGTTCTGTGCCATGGACTGCTTGGCTTTGACTTCCTGGGCCCCGCCAATCTTCCCGCCCTTCAGATCTCGCACTGGCGCGGCATCCGTGAGGTGCTCGAGAAGAGCGGATGTGAGGTGCTCATCTGCCGCGTTCCAGCGACAGGGAGCATCATGGAGCGCGCCGAGGTGCTGCACAATACCATCAAGGAGCGTTTCCCCGGGCGCACCGTCAACCTCATTGCTCACTCGATGGGCGGTCTTGACTGCCGCTACCTGGCGTCGCAGATCAGGCCGACTGAGTTCGACATCTGCTCACTGACTACGGTCAGTACACCGCACCGTGGTTCACCCTTTGCCGACTATGTGATCGACAATGTCATCGGAAGAGACCGCCTGGCCCAGTTGCTCGGTATTATGCAGGCAATGGACCTGCCAAACTCGGGCGATGGAGCGGCCTTCACCGCATTGGGCACACGCGCGATGAAGGAGTTCAACACTGAGGTCATTGATCATCCCGACGTCAAATATTTTAGCTGGGGTGCGGCGTACGATGCTGGCTTGTTCGACACTTTCCGCTGGCCCTGGTCGGTCATCTACGCCAAGGAGGGGCCCAACGATGGCATGGTCAGCGTATCCTCCGCCAAGTGGGGCGAGTACCGCGGCACACTGCTTGGCGTCAACCATCTTGACCTTATCGGATGGGTCAATCAGCTCAATTATATGATGTCGAGTCTGACGGGCAAGCCTATCGAGTTCAAGCCGGCGACATTCTACCTCGAAGTTGTAAGTCTGAAGTGCCAAAGGGCCAGAACGCTGGTTACCTTTAGGAGATCAGCAGCTGATAGCAGTCGGATTATCTTGCGCAGCAGGGCTTTTAGGATTCAAGCATACTCCTTTAGACAGGGCTCTAATGTATCTATCACGCTCACTCCTGCACACTCCTCTCAAATACCCAGTACGTTGCCCAGGGCAGCCGCGTCCACCCCAGCCCCTCAAATAGCGCAATACTCGCGACATTGTCTGGCTCGATGTAGCAGTACTGGGGTACGGTGCCCTCGTACCGCTTGAAGTGTGCGTTAAGGACGACTTTGGCCAAGCCGCGTCGTCTGAAGGCGGGCTGTGTGTGAAGAGTTCCCAACGACCCGTCGCCGTGGCATTGTACAAACACCTCTGGCGGTGGCACACCCGGCCCCCGTGGACGCAGGACAGTGATGTGGGCTGCACGAGCTCCATAATACTCGAGCTTGCGATAGTGATTTACGCTGAAGATCTGGGTCAGCATGATACCTGTACTAGCTCACGAGGTCCTTGTCACTCTCCCTCCCGTGGTCCAAGACGAGGTCGTCATCCCAGCTCTCTGAGGAAGGCACATTGCGAATGTCGGTGTGTCCAAAGCCGCCCTCAGGTGCAATGTAGATATATGTCGGGACTTGTGTCTTTCCGCCAAGCACACCTCGGGCGATGGGCTCCCATCGCTCATGAGTAGCACCACATACGAGCTGATCGGGATGCGCCCTCACCATGAACCGTAAAGCGGCCTCCACCGTCTCTTCCGCGCGCCGTGCTTCTTTTGGAGAAGGAAAGGAGGAAGCAACAAGAGCGTGATAGAACCGGATCTGCTCGGACGGGGGAGGCAAGGCGACGGCCACAAGCCAGTCGTATGGCCCGATGTCCAGGCTCTCAAGATATGCGAGGGATGGAGCGCCGGACGTCGGCGGAGGAAATGTCGCGTACACAGGTGGCAGAGGGGGTGGGACTTGACAGTCGGGGGCGGAGACGGGGGAGGGGTCAGACTCGGCATGTCGGTTCGCCTGGATCGTAGCGAGGAGGACGAGGGTGTAGGGGAGCTGGGAGGAGAGGAGAGGGACGAGGGACGCTGGAGAGTGAGGATAGAGCGTCAGCGGGGTGCTAGTGTTGGTCATCGTAGCGTTCAGCACCGTCCAGGACGTTGCCCGAGTGATCCGAGTGAGAGTAAGCGATCGCAGACCAAGTATCCTGCCTGACTCTGACTCGAGTCAGCTTGTCAGCATAACCGACGACGCAGGAGTGTCGGATATCCGAGGGCCCCGCCTCCACTCGCATATGACCGGGTCACCTGCCATTCTGATCTTTCTCTCCCGCGTCCATTTGTCCAAGCGCCTTCCTTGGATCCTCACCCCTATCTCATCGCTCCATCTCTCGTCTCCCTCTGTCCCCTTCTCATCTCCGTCTCACTCGTCACTCACCACCCACTGATGCTCGAGCACCATGGCATGGCCCCTTTGCCTGTCCGAGCGCTTCATTTCGCCCCCTCTTCGAGAGGCATTTGGCATCTTGCCCCGCCGCGCGGACGTCGACACCGTTGTCACCTTCCTCGCGGACCAGTTTGTAGGCGACTTTGACGGGATGGGCAAGGAGTTTGAGATGCTTTCGCGCGGTGACCGCTCGGACTGCTCCTCCTTGGCGCCGAGGCCCCCGCTCGACATCGACACGCCGTTCCGCCTCCGCGTGCTCTATCTCCTTCACTCCGGGGCAAGGAAGCAGGCACGTATGGAGGTCGAGGCGCGTGCGAGCAGGCTGCGCGCAGGAGAGGAGCAAGGCAGGAGCAGCACACCAGCGAGGCGGGCTCGGAAAAAGGCTGCGAGGCGCGAACAATCAGTGCTCGACGCTTCATCCACCGTGAACTCCTCCGCACCCTCACCGCTCCTTGCGCCAAACCCGTCTCAGTCGCTCTCCGCTGCAGCTTTTCTTCCTTTCTCGGCAGACAACTCATCTCCGTCTTCTAAGCGGAAATACGCTAATCCTCCCCTCAAACGCTCGATTAAGAAGATCAAGCGCGAGGCGATCGCAAGCCCCCGACCATGCACGTCCTGCCGCGCACTCAAGGTACGGTGTGATCGCAAAGACCCGTGCGACCGCTGTGAACGCGCTGGCCGAAAGTGTGTCTCCCAACTTTTGACCAAGAGTGGGCGTCGGAGGCAGCGGCAGAAAGCGAGCCACAGGAGAGGAATTTGGGTCGACGGCGTTGAGGAAGGTCCATGTGAGCAGTTAAGTGTCGATTCCGGCTCCGATAGCGAGCGTTCGCCCTCCAAGCCGGCCAAGCAGTCACTCCCATACGGGTTCAAGAAGAAGAAAAAGACGGGGTGGTCGAGTTCGAACATCAGCAACCGTCTTCTTATACTCCTCGGGCGTCCACCGCTGCCCAGTCTGCCCAAAGCCGAGAGTGCAAGGAAGGTAGCAGCAAAAGGTCAGGAGAAACCCTTGACCGTACGTGAAGGTCCTAAAAGCTCTTCCGCGAAGCGGCATGCACCCCCATTTGAGTCTGAGGTGCGCAACATTGCGGCAACGGCGTCGACAACGAGCGAAGTGCTCTCAAGCACACCCCCGACGGCTGGTATCCCGTCACGCACGTTCGCGGCCGTGATGCGCCTAGTTGCAGGTCTTGGACCTGTGCGCTTATCGACGCCGACGAGCCGCCCAGCTCCAGGCCGCGCACCGCCCGTCTGGGCACAGGTAAGTGGAACGGTCTGCATCCTAACATCAGTCACGACAGGAGCTATGTGAAGCCCTGCCGTACTATCGCGCCTTCCAGTCTGGAATGTACATGCATAAGCGTGTGCCATTCGGATATCTTCTCGACGGATATCCCTCTCCGTGAGCTGATCCAGAAGGAAGAGCTCACTGCAGGCGCGATGTATGGGCTGATGATGGACGCGTTATCATCTCTCACGGGTACGCCGCTGACGGTTCCACATTGAGCTAACGAAAGGGGCGGGCAGGCTGTTCGCGTTACGGATGCGATGGGCAAGGTTTCTGTCTCACTGGCAGCAGATCACACTCGCAGTGATGCACGAATTGACACGCTCATTCTCGCCGCACAACGCCGAGCACCAGTAATCCTTCTCGCCGGAGAAGGATACGCTCTCCTCCCATGGAAGCTGGGCTGCGCATACGCTGTGTTAGGGTGGTGAGTTTGCGCCTCGTCCCTCGAACTCAAGCAGGTATTGGGTTTCGTGTACGTGGTACGAGGCAGAACCGTGTGCCGACGGTGTCGAGGCCCCGGAGGGCAGGTCGTGGTTCCATCGTCTTAAGATCCGCTTCGACTGGATCAACACGCAAGGCACACCATGGTGGTTTACCAAAGGGGTTCCATGGGTTGCTCCTGATGAGGACATGACGCAAATGGAGGTCTCAGTTTCTGCGACTGTGCCCACTGCGACATTGCCGGCGAATGGCTGCGATGTAACCACAGACCACCGAAACACGTCTTTTCAAGCGACAGAGGCCAGTCACTTGCCATCCACGCCGGTGTCATGCGACGAAAACCACCCCGCTGTTCACGAGGCGCCTTTGCCTGTCAAGATTCCAATATCTCAGCTTATACTTCCATTGACGCCTCCTCCAGACTCACCGACCCCTTCAGTCGAAACGAACCACGACGGTGAGGCTGTACGCAATGCCGTTTGGAGACGAGCACCAGCCCGTAACATTGGTCCATCGCCCTTCGACGACCTCTACTTCTCCCCGCTGGAGATTCATCGGGGTAAACGATACCCCGGTGACCATCTCCTTGCAAACTTCCACCCTGATCCTCCGCCTGCACGCCCATGGCTTCATGCTGGACAGCGCTGTCCCTCCTGTTTAAACTACAGCCCACGGTTGTACAGAGAGGGGTGGATATGCCTAGTCGCAGAGTGCATTCAATTTTGGTTGCTGAGCACAACGGTTGGCCTTATCCCCATCTCACCCAGCATGAAGCTCAGATACGACGAGACTTTCCTCCGCGTGATTCCGACACCCTACGACGCGGCTAGCCTCCCGTACAATATCGTCCCCCCTCCGCCCTCCTCGTCGCCGCAGGCCGAAGGAACAGGAGAGGCTGGGTCAAGGTCTCTTTGGCGTGGTAAGCTCGAAAGATGCAAGCATGGCTGACCGCAGGGTTTGTGTGCTCCTGTGGACGCAGCAACTGCCGTTACCGTTGGGAGCGCCTCAGCTGCCGAGCGTGTGGCCAACACAGTGCAGCTCAGACCGACTCAGATGTGGTTCGTGCCTCTGCCATTCAATCCGACAAGGCCGATCCACTTGGTGAAGCGGATGAAGGATCGCCAGACATTCCCATGTCGGTCCGCCGAATGTTGAACCCGTGTGCGACCGTTATTGCCTATGAGCTTCCTCAAGCGTGAGTTGGCTATGCTGCGTGCCTAAGCTGACCTCAGTGGCACCGTTTACCACGTCATGCACGACCATGTGGAGTTTGCAGACGCGATCTGGGAGGCATACCAGCGAGCCGCCATCCACACGTCAGCGTCCACCCCACTTTTTCAGCGCCGGGCCCTCAAGTCCAACACCATCAAAGGTCAGTTGCTCTCTCAGCAGTTTGCAATCAACTCGGGTGCCTCGTACAAATACATTGTCGAGACATTGAGCTACCCCTTCGCGGACTCGCCTGACTGTGTGATGGACGCGCTGATGGTGTGAGTCTCTCGCATTCGAGTAGGAGATGGGCTGATGGGTAGTATTCGCAAGCGCGTGGCTGCAGTTCTTGGAGAAGCGGTTGATTTCAATGAGATCCTAAGCGTCATGTACCGCGAGGGGCAGAAGATGAGTTGGCACGATGACGGCGAACATGGTGAGTTGGGTTCAGGGGCACTTGCGTCAAGGGTATTGACAGCGAGGCCTTGGACCAGTCGTTGCGGCACTCTCGCTGGGCTCGCCTGCAACAATGTCATTTCGACCCAAGGCTAGCATCAAAGTGCATCGTGGTGGTGGCCTGGCACTCTCTGGTGGTGTTAATCCATCACAACCGGCATCCGTGCTCAATTTGACGTTGTCGCACGGGGATGTGGTCATCATGTCGGGCCGTGCCATCCAGTATGGGTATGACCACCGCGTCATTCCGTCAGGACTTCGCGTCGCGGCGACAGCACGCGTCATCCGTGCGTCTCCCGAGTGAGATCTGTGGCGCAAGGGTCGCATGACCTGGAAGGAGGGGGGAGGGTTAGTAGAAGCGTGGAGAAGAACAAGGAGATCGACATTTGGAGAGGAGGGGAGCTGTGACGTATGTCGCGGCAAGGGTGGTGGAGTTTTGAGGCATGCCGGACAGCTGTCGCCCGACGTTAATGGGAGATTACGACATGTGGGTAGTGGCTAGGTGGGAACGCGGGTGGTCCCTTGGACCTTGGGCTGGATCTTGAGCTCGCGACGGAGAGGACATGGGGAGTGGGATCAGCCGACTTGGCTGCCACCAGGGACGTGTGGGACAAGGTTGCCGGCATCACACCAGGTTGCAGGATGGCTTATTATAATAAGCGTGTGCAGGACAGAAGAACGAGTTGGCTCTCGCGACACGGGCGTCTCGGTAACTGGACTTTGTGCTTCAGGCACGGGCTTGTTCATGTCGGAAGCGAGCTCTGTTTCGAGAATCAAGGAATCGGCGCGCGGCGCGTGTGATTATGATTATGAGGATGGGAGGGAGGAGTATATACTGTACAGACGACAGTGTGGGAGAGGGGTCGGCGCGTATAATTAGTGAGTAGAGTTGGTAGTGTGTCCAGATTGGGAGTGCATGTGGCGCACAGCTGTTGAGGCGTTGAGGGGCATGAGGAGGGTGGAGATGAGAGATGAGAGAGAGGCATGGAGAGAGGTGTGAGAGCCGAAAAGCAGACCAGACAAATTCGAGGCATGAGAGAGTTGCAGGATCAGAGGGAGGGGAGGGAGGCTTGAGAGGCTTGAGAGGAGAAAGGAGAAAGGAGAAAGGAGAGAGAGAGTAGTCTTATTAGCAGCTCTCAACTACCCGTGACTGCGAATCCGTTCAACCCCTGGCCCTGGATATCACTTTCTTAACCCTGCATGACCTGGGGGTGCAGTGTCAAGGCGATTGGGCAGTTGAGCGCGAGGCGACATGCTTCCGGGTCGTCCCTTGGGTCTCGTGCCGTTTTGACGCCTCCTGTGTTGCCTGCTGCCTGCTGCCTGCTGCCTGGACCGAGTCGTCGCGACCCATCAACCAGCCCTCACCGCCCTCGCGCCCTCCTCCTCTCTCTCATCCTCCTCTCCCTCCCTCTCCACTCGGCTCTACTCTCCCCCTCTCTCTCTCTCTCTTTCTCTACACCAAGCTACTGTACACAATATCCACCTCGTCTTGACGCTACTCGACTTTGAACAAGTAGTAGTTATAGTTGTCGCACAGACTCCCCTCCTCCCCTCCACCCACATACCATCCAAACGTCCCTTCGGCCCGCAGTACGTACCGCAGTGCACGGATAAACACGTCGGCGCGCGCCCCGCCACTCGCTCACTCACCTCCCTCCCTCCATCCCTCCTTTCGTCAAGCGCGTCGACAGGCCCCTCTCTCTCTTTCACTCTCCTTCCTTCCACTCCTTCCATCCTTCCATCCACCCATCCACTCTCTCCACAATCATCACATCCTCCTCCTCTCCTCAACACCTCTCCCAACTCTTCGTGCATTCTATTCCGCACTCCTCCTCCTCCTCCTCCTCCTCCACCTCCTCCTTCTCCTCAACGCTCCAACCCCCCACTCCCCGACACTCCTCCTCACACCCACATACTGTAGCCATCTCCACACCCACACCAACACCCACCACACCCACCACACCCTCCCCACCGTTATACCTTGACCGTCATCGCCTCTTCAACCTAACGCGCGTCGCGCGTCAATCCTCCCTCTTTCCCAACTCATCTACTGTACCCAACCACACATTTCCCTCGCGCATCCATCCCCCTCCTCTGGCCGCCAATTGACTGCCCAACTGGCCAACTGCAAACCAGCACAACTTGGGGCTACACCATGGAAGACATGGACATTGACTCGCCCCTCCCCTCGGGGCAGCAGCAGCGCGTCGATTCGCAGCCACCACCCAACGCGACAGCCGTGTCACAATTGACATCCCTGTCATCCCAATCTACCCCCGCTCACCCCCCGGCATCTCCCCCTACCTCCCATTCTGAAACAACACAACCCGCCGCCACTACTCAGCCCGTAGCCGCCTTTCCGCCATCATTTACCCAGCCCCGAGAGCCACCCCGGGATAACACTCAGTCCCCAGCCCTGCCATCTCCATCACCCCACCACACCCACACCACCCAGCCCTCGCAATCATCCCCAGCTCACTCCCCGGTCACTCATACCTCTCCGCCGCCCCACACCCCTCCTCCTCCTCCCTATCAGTCCGCTCAGTCCACACAGTCCACACAGTCTATCCAATCTACCCAACCCACTCAGTTCACCCAGCTCGGAGGAGCCCGTGGTGGCGACGCCATCGAGACAGACCCCCCTGCCTCAGTCGCCAACGGTCACGTCGCTGACGCGCCCTCCGCGCCCCTGAATGGAACAATGGTCAACGGCACACACCGCGAAGACGATTCAAGCAGCAGTAGTGGCGCAAGTGTTGCGCCCAGTGTGAGCGCCACCACCGACGCCCTAGCCGATCCAACTGAAGATGACCTCGACCGTTTTCTGCATCGCATGGATCAGGAAAAGGTACGTACATTCGCCATCCGTTGTCATTCTCGTCGCGTCCATCCATACCCGTGCGCTCCACCCCGCTCTCATAGCATTGGCTCGGCGACGCGCAAGGCTGAGTAGCGCCTGCCATCGTTTGACATCCGTCGCATGCAGCGCCATCCGGCACCCTTCCGGCTCTTCGGACACGTCGCTGCCCGCTGCCCGCTGCCCGATGCCCGCTGCCCGTCGCCCGTCGCCAGGTGCGAGGTGCGAGTGGGCGCGTCTCGCTCTCACGCATCACGCACGCGCCCCGACGCGTGGGCGTCCGCGTGTGCCTCTCCACACGCGTCCTCACATCCCTTCTTTTTGCGCATTCATCCTGTGCCGAAACGCGACGCTCGCTCACACGCCAGAAACTTGCGCAACTTCAACAGCGCCTCGAGCTGGCGAGCATTAAAACCAATCATGGTTGGGCGGACATGAGCATCAACGAGATTGAGACGGTGAGCTTTGGCGAGTGTTAACCCAGAGCTGACAGCAGCGACTGCCTCATGCCGAGCAACGCCGTCCTCAAGTTGTAATTCCAGGAGGACGAGGGATCGCCTACGAGCCGCCTTCGCCCCAGCGTCCTTGGCAACTGGCCGACAGTCTTTGGCAGAATCTCCCAAAGCCAGGGCAGAACGGAGCACCCCCTCCTCTCTACCCCGTTACTCCTGGATACGGACGTCGTCCTCCACATGCCATGCACGCGCCGTCGCACTCGCTCCCCGGCGGGCTGCCCAGCCTGGCGTCACTGCAAATGCCCGGAGCGCCCCCGCCTCGCGGACCACCACCTGCCAGCCCCCGCAGACACGGTCGCATGGAGGAGCACCTTTCGCGGCCCACTGCACCACCGATGCGCCCTCCTGGGTACGGCCATGGGCGAACGCAGAGCCACCACTCGGGCAAGTATCCGCCGGGCTTCAGCAATGGGCACAACGGCAGCAGCGCCGGGCACCGTCGCTCAAACAGCAGCATTTCGAGTATGCCCTTCCTTGGAAATGACCCTTACCCCGTGGCGTCGCGGCAGAAGAAGGTGTCCAAAAAGCGTTCACAGTCGCACAGCAACCTGCGCGAGAATCCAACGACGCAAGACGTTGATGCTGCGCGCGCCTTGACGTCGATGCTCGAGGCCGGACGTTCTCCAAACACGCCATCGCACGAACGGCTTCCGAGCTTGGGAGAGTTCTTCCCTCCGCCTCACGACCACCAACGTGGGCCGCGGCTTCCGCCTCTTCAGTCGACGGCGAGCTTCCCTCCTGCCTTCCATGGCGATATGCACCCTCCGCGGCAGCGGGCCCAGAGCTTTGCTGCCGACCCGCGCGACCCTCGTGGTCCTGGGCGCACGCTTCCGCCTCCGATGGGCCCACCCGAGCTGCGCGCGCCGTCAAGTCACACTCGCAACCGTGGCACGAGCATGGACTCGAGTGCGGCATTCCGTGGCGGATTCTGGCAGACGCACAACGCCAAGCCGTTCGGAAGGTCGCCGCGGGACTTTGACCGTGAGCGTGAGGCGCGGGAGCGTGATCGTCAGCGTGAGCGCGAGCGGGACCGCAGCGAGCGCGAGCGCAACTCGGAGCGTATTGATGAGCGCATCGAGGAGGTGATGGCCAATCGCCCCGAGGAAGATCAGTCGGCCGTTGAGCTCATGATGTTCCTCGCGCAGTCTCCCAGTCCGGCACGCGAGCGTGCCCCGAGTGACACGCCGGCTGCGTCGTTTGGAGGAACAGCACGTGTCCTTTTTGCAGATGACCCCCGCGAGCGCGACCAGCGCATTCGCGAGCCTGCTCCCGGCCCCCGACCCGGCCCACCATCGCTTCCAGCGCCTCGGCTGCGCTGATCCGATCTATCCATATCTGTGTCCTTTAGGCTTACACGTTGCCACTTGTAGTTGTACTACTGGATGACGACCATGTATAGTACTCTTGTTTCCGATTGGTGCCACGTCTGCGGGAGCAGGGTGGGTTTCGTTAGCACACGCCTTGGTCCGGCACATGCCCTGTGTCGCGTCGACGTGCTTTCAGGAGGGGAGGCGAGGTACGGTGTTGCGCATGTTGCGCATGTTGTTGCGGGCATGAGAAGTGACTGCGTATGTCGTGGTCCGCGATGCATACCCCGACGCAGCACAGACAAACCGCATCGATCTGTGCCAGCCAAATGCAATGGAATCAAGCTCTCGATCAGTGCCACATCGGTGTTGGACCGCATGACATCACCGCTTATTCCCGCCCCCGCTAGCTACAGTATCCAGTCCACCTGTGCGCGTGCGGAGGTCAACACGTCCCAAGCCGCCATGACCGCCCCGCCGCCCGCCCCCATCCCCGTCCCCGGCCCCGGCGACATCGACGCGCCCGAGGGCGCGGGCGATGCCGAGACCACCCAGCCGCCGCGCACCGATGCTACGATTGAAGCGACCCAGGCTATCGCCAGCGCTATCGCCAGCGAAACGAAGACACAGAGCGAAGAGCAGCCCGTGTACGTCGGCACGGGCACGCCGCCGCCGGGCGCCGCGTCCTTGCTTCCCGAGGAGGGGGGCGAGGCTGCGCTTGCGCGCGCGGCGCGCGGCGCGACAGCGCTCGCGAACCAGGTCGCGGGGCATGCGGGCGTCATGGTTGACGAGAGCGGAAGCCTGGTGATCAAGGTGGGTTAGGGAGGAAGGGGGGGGTCCAAGGCCGTCGCGTTGGACTGTCGACTTGTGCTGCGCTTGACTCGTTGCCCGCCCGCCGCACGCGCTGACTCCAGCCCGCGCTCCCCCGCGAAATCGCGTTCTATCAGCTCGTGCAGACGTCGCCGCGCAGCGCGCCCCTCGCGGGCCTCAAACCCTTCCTCCCCAAGTTCTACGGCACGCTCGCGCTCACGGGCCAGCTGGAGGGCGGGGCGATCGCGCCGCTGCCCGGCGCCACGAATGTGCCCGAGAGCATCGTGCTCGAGAACCTGACGTACCGCTTCGCGCGGCCGTGCGTGCTCGACGCCAAGCTCGGGACGGTGCTGCACGCGCCGGACGCGAGCGCGGATAAGAAGGCGCGCATGATCAAGAAGGCGGGGGAGACGACGACGGGGTCCGCCGGCCTGCGCCTCACGGGCGCGTCGACGTGGCATGCGCCCTCGCGCGGATACATCAAGACGCCGCGCGGGTTCGGGTACGCCGCGACGCTCGCGGACCTGCCGGAGGGCATGCGCCGCTTCTTCCCCCTGCCGAAGGATGCGTTGCCGTTCCTCTCAGACGAGGGCGAGACGGGCGAGGCGTATACGGACCACGCGACGCCGCCGCGCCTCGCGGCCCGCTTGCTCGCCGAGCTCGACGGCGAGCTCGCGCGCCTCGAAGACGCGCTCGGCCGCATCGAGCTGCGCGCTGTCGGCGCATCCGTCCTCGTCGTGTATGAGGGCGATGCGGAGCGGCTCGCCGCCGCGTTCGAGCGCTTCGACCGCCGCCGCGTCACCCTCGCGGCGAAGAGCCTCTCCCAGGACTCGGAGGAGGAGGGCGAGGAGAGCGAGGAGAGCGAGAGCGAGGACGAGGACGAGGACGACGAGGACGACGGCGACGGCGCGGCCGCGGACGCGCGCCGCGCCCGCACGTGTCCCCCCATTGTCGTTAGGCTCATCGACTTTGCCCATACGTGGCTCGAGGAGGGCGAGGGTCCGGACGAGGGCGTGCTCCTCGGTCTCCGCACGCTGCGCGGGCTCGTCCAGGCTCGTCGTGCCGAGGTCGAGGCTGCGATAGCGTGAGCGGAGGAGTTTTCATAGTCGTAGTGTATGTTTTGGGAAGTTGTTCTGCAGAGGTGGTTTATGGATGGAGAATGAGCGAAGGTGAGCGAGGACGTGAGCAGGGCTGCAGGAGGTTTGACACGTCAGTCGGCCCCGTCGGTCCGTCGGGCTGCACGCCGTGAGCATGCACGGCGACACACTAACCTTATACCCCTTTCTTCGAGTGGTACATCTTATACACACAGCTAGTACAACGTGTCTGGCACCGCGCAGCAGTATACCGCCTACATAATGGTACACGCGCCGCGCTCCATGTCGATTTCGTCGTTGCGCGTCGCCCACCAGCTCGGCCGCCGCGAGTAGCGGTCGTACGAGGGCACGCTGTCGCGCTGGCGCTGCTCGAGCTCGCGCTCGCCCGCCTCGCGCGCCTGCCGCCACTGCAGGGGCACGCCGACGCGGCGCCACGCCCAGAACGCGCGGATGACTGGCCGCTCGGACAGCTCGACCGACGTGTACCGGAATGGGGCGCCGCGGTAGTCTGCCCATCCGCGGCGCGGGCGCGTCTTGGGCGCGAGCCGGTCGTACGCCTCAGACGAGAGCGAGCAGTCGATCAGCGAGATGATGCTCTCCGGGCCAGGGTGGCGGCGATGCCACTCCTTCATGACTGCATCGTCGGCTTCGGTGCCCTGTTGTCAGTAGTGCTCCGGCTCTCGCTCACATCCGCAATGAGGACTTGGAGGTTGGGCAGGCCCTCGATGAGGCGCATGATCGCGCCCTTGGAGACAAATTTCGCGTTGCCAATACGCAGCTCGATGAGACGGCTTTCTTCGAGCGGCGAGCCACGGCACGCCCCGGGGATGAGCTCATGTAGGAGCCGGTCCTCGACGCCACCGTAGCGCCCCGAGCCGTCCAGGTCGATGCGCTCGAGCTTTGGCATTGAGCGCACCAGGCGCGAGAGAGTCGGCGGCGGGTCGAGGTAGAATACCGACTCGAGGTTGGCTGCCTCGAGGATGCGCATCTCGGGCACGCGGCCGACGAGTAGCTCGATCGCTTCAGGCGTAAGCCCCGTGCAGTTGGAGATGACGAGGTGACGGAGTGAACTGGGCCTGTCGCGTAGCGCAGCGACGTACTCCTGCATGTCACGCATGCCTATCCAAGAGCATCCCATGAGGTCGAGGCACTCAAGGTTGGGCAGGCAGTCCGGGATGTGCTGCAGAAGGTAGCCCGAGGCCATAGGGAGTCCGGCAACGCGGAGAGTCTTCAGCGCCTGGCGTTGCGGTGGGGTGAGGGAAACAATGAATTTATCAATGTCGAGGAAGCGCAGCTGCCAGCAGCGCGAGACGTCGAGTTCCTCTAGAGCATCAATCTTGTTACGGATCGCGTCAAGCGTGTAAATTGTGGCCACGCGAGATCCCTTTAGGTTCAGCGACTTGAGTCCTGGTGCGAGGGTGAGAAGGTCGATAAGCTCTGCCTCGTGGACAGCGTTGCATCCGCGGAGATCGAGGGACGCGAGCGACGAGAAGCAAGGGAGATGCAGCTCTGTACGGTCGACGAGGACCGGGCCCTTTACCGCTCCAAGACCGTGGAGCGACAGCGTCTTCACGCACGCGCGGGCGTTGAGGAGGATCGTTTGGAGCGTCGCGGATGGAAGCACGCTCGCGAACGGTGTAAAGTCGCAGTGTGCCCATAGCTGCCCGTCGAAGCATAGGGAGCGCCACTCCTTACTGACGCGGGAAATGCGGATGAGTTCGCGGCGTCCGCCATTCAGGCCGTCCCAGCGGCCGTTGCCTTCGCGGCTCGCCCAGTCGTCCAGCAGGGTGCGGAATACGGCAACCTTGAGCTCTCTGGGTAGCATAGTCCCGAAATGGTCGATTGGCTGTGGCGCGGGTGGCGCGCGGTAGCTAAGCGTGCCCCATACTAGTTCGTCTGAGGGCAACGGGGCCGCCCCTTGCAGGCCGGCGCTCGCAAAGGCGACGTTGAATGGCGGTGAGAGGGGCGGCGTACCAAGACCAGCAAAGCTCGAGCGTCTGCGCTGCAGACGCTCCCTTGCGGTCTGCACGATCGACTTGCCGCGGGCACGACGTCCAGGCATGATACCTACGTCGTCGTAGCTGTCGGCATCGAGCGAGGCGAGGGCACTCAGTTGCGCGCTGGAACTTACACTGCCCACGATGGAGGGAGAAGGCGACGACGCCGACGTCATGCTCTGCGCCCTTGAGCGGCGTGTGATGAGACTCTTGAGCCGCTGCCTCGGCGATGTGCCCGGCTCATCGGCTTCCTCGTCGTCCCCTCTCAGCTGCCGCAAGCTGCTTTTGGACCGTGCGATCTGCCGCCTCACTACAGCTCCGAAGCTGGAACTTGGTGACGTCGGTGTGCTCGCCCCCGATGCGGGGGCGGGTGTCGCCAGTGGCGTCGTAGATGCGGGGTCTGGGGCTTGGGCAAGAGGCGTAAGCTGGGGTTCGGGGTGCTCATGGACTGCGGCATCGCCGAGCTCGAACGTGAATGGGGTGCTGCTACGCCGCCGATGTCTGCTGGGCTCGCCATAGCTGCCTGGAAACGAGGAGACTGGTGCAGGTGCGGGATCGAAGCCTGCTGTGATGCGGCGCTTGCTGGGCCCTATCGCTACGGGTGTGGGGCCTACTAGGGCGAGGATGGCGGGGGTCTGTGGGGTGGCCAGGGATGGAGATTCGGGCGAGCCCGACCATTGCCACTCCTCGAGTTGGGGGAGATCTGGCGGCGGAGTGGGGCCGCGCGATGGACCGCGTGAGGGTATGTTGACGGGGGCAGTGGGAGCAAGCATGGCGAGAGAATGGGAGGTGGTGGCAGAGGAGCAGTGTGAAGTGGAAGGTGAGATGTCAAGGTGAGATGGAGTGGCGAGATAAGGGGAGTGGGGATGGAAGCACGGTCACGAGAACGGTGTAGGGAACCGGGGATCTGAGAGGAAGGGATGCCGATGGCGAGGCGAGTGTACGGAAGCGGCAGGCGATGGGTAGGCGGGGCGATGGGCACGGCGATCCGTGCAGGAGCGTGCAAGAAGAGATGGGGGGGTGATGTGAAGGGCTTGAGATTGAGCGGAGGCCGAGGGCGGGGACTGGGGCGGGGGCGGGTGGGGGTGGGCAGTGCTAGTGCTAATGCAGAGATGGACAGTTCATCCGCATGCACACCGAGATCGGCGGCCGCACAGCGGTGGGAGGAGGAGAGGTGGCGCGGAGGGAGAGTGTGATGGGGAGGATGGAGGATGAGGAGGAGGAGGGAGGAGGAGGACAAGTGAGAGGATGGGGGGGGGGGGGGGGAGGTGGGTCACGAGCTCGACTGCGGAGAGAGATGGGATTCAAGCGGAGGCTCGGCCGAGCACTAGAATAATACCATGAGGAGATGAGGAGGATAAGATTCCGTGGCATGCTGCTCGTGTCTCGGACATCCTCCGAGCTGCTCGGAGAGAGGCAGCTGACTGCTCTCGAAGACAAGGCCAGAGTGCACGACGAGAGGGTGACATACTCCGCTCACGCCTCTTGAGCAGACGTCAGCGGGGCGGCCTCGTTCCTCGTTCGATCGCTCACTCTTCATACCAATCCTCATTCGCAATTGCATCACGGATCAAGCTTCAACTCCAGTGTTGAGCAAATCTGCAGGGCCCATTGGTGGGAATGTCAACGGCGCCTCTCACTTCATCAGCTCCCACGACAACTCTGTGTCATCTGTCATCTGTGAGACATGGCATATTACATCGTCAGGGGGGGCGGGCGGATGACGTCCGCCCTCTCACACACTCGACGGTGAGGGCATGGGAGGAGCTTGACGACGTTGCAAGTGAAAGACTAGCGCCCAGTCTCGTGCTCATGCATCATGCAGAAATGTGCTGACGAGGCGCAACAATGTTTGGCGGAATCGCACTTTGCAGCCCGCACAACCCTGGAGCACGCACCCAGAGCGGAAAGTCAGCTCAGAATGTCGGGAACAGCCACCGCGTGAGGTGGAATCGAAGTGGAATGGTGCAGATGCCTACGTGATGCTGTCTAAACTACATAAAGCTGCGGGCGCCACGGCGCGCCATCTCGACAACCTTCCAGCCGCCCGTGAGCTCGTTGTCCACCTCGCTCGGCACGCGCGTGAGCACCATAGCGTACCGGCACGCCTCGACCGCGTTCTCGTCCCCGACCACCGCCTCGCCAGTCTTGGCCGAGCGGAACAGCAGGATCTCCTGGCTGGCAAAGCTCACCACGAAGACCGGCACGTCGTTGTCCAGCAGCTTGCCCTGCGCAATGTCCACGTGCTTGATGTCCAGCACGCGCGAGTCAGACACCAGCCCCTGCTTGATGTACTGCCCCATCGTCGCCCACAGCACGTTGAACGTCGCCTCGCCGCACCACTGCTTGAGCGACTCGCGGTCCGCCGAGAGGTACGCGTCCACCACTTCGGGCACGATGTACTCGCGCAGCTCGCGCGTGAAACCGTCCATCGTAAAGTCCGGGTCCATTTCGCGGATCGTGCGGATGACCTTGGCGGTCTCGTTCTCGTCGAACCACCCCGCAATCGTTGATGTGATGGAGCGGAACGTCTCCACAGCAGGGTTCTCCGACTCGTAGTACTGCTCGCGCAGACGCTGGTACGTCGGGTTCTCCTTGATGAACTGGAAGCGAGTGGAAGATGTGTCCTGCTTGTCCGAGAGGACAAGGGCTTCACCAGCTCTGCATGTTAGTTTTACTTCTCCTTCTCAGCACACAAGCGTAGGGCAGCCGCCGCAGCGCCCCCGGCCAAACACCGCGGTACTCACTCGGGGTTCTCAGCCACCCGCTTGCTAGTCTTCCCGGCCTTGATGCGGCGCGCCTCCCGCCGCCTCCGGCGCTCCTCCTTCTCCACATACCCGCCGTAGCGGAGGTTGGTGCCGGCCGTGTCATCGAACGCCTCCTCCACACTGGCCGCGATGGCCTTGTACACCTCCGTGTCACGGATTGGTGCGGTGGCGTGGTCGGCGAACATGGCAACCGAGTTGGACACGCGCGCAATCGCCTTGAGCACCTCCGAGTCCTGGAGTGCGCGGGACACGGCCTCGTTGACGCTCACACCGGCCTTCTTCAGGTCTTCGACGGCCGCAGCGAGACGCGGGTTCTCCTTCATCATGTTGGTGATCTGGCGTTAGCATTGAGCGGCATGTGACGGTCTCCGAGCAAAAAGGCGTAATGATGCAGCTCGAGCCGCGCCAAGAAGTGCAAGAAGCAACATGAGGCCGGGGAGGGTCGAGCGGCGGAGCTTATGATCGGCTTCCACGGACATGTGTCTGATCTCGACGGCCTCCCCTGGCTCATCTGCTCTCTCGACTTTTCTGCCCCAACGTCGTCTCGCTTTCCCCTTCTCCCTCTCACCATACTCCTCCAGCTCCACGCTGACTCACCCTCGTCCGCTCATACATCTCGCGAGCCTTCTTCATCGCCTCGCTGTCGGCCATCTTGTCGACATCGCCCTGCAGCTGCTTGACGTTCTGCTGCCAGCCCTGGTTCTTGTCGATCTCCTCCTTGAACACGCGGAGGAACACCTTGAACGGCGACTGCGGGGGAGCCGCCGAGTCATCCCACCCGCGCTTCTTCTCCTCCTTCTTCTCCTTCTTGCTGGCCTCCTCCTTGGCCTCGTTCAGGCGGCGCGCCGAAACCGAAATGGGGCGCGCAGCGTACGCGGTCGCGGTAGAGGTCGCGGAGCGGCGAAGAGGCGCGCGCAGGGCGCGCAGAGATGACCCGGGGTTCATGATGGATGGAAGAGTGTGGAAGAGTGAATGCCGTTGGGCCGATGGAAAAAGACAAGGTCGTGCCTGAGGTTGTCGCCGAAGTAGACCCGCCGAGCTGCGAGCCGAGGCGCTTGCTCAGTTCCGTTAAGGGCGGCTCATATAAATGATGTACATGAATGCAATGATGCTGAGGAAACCAGAGAAGCAGATAACTAAATTACGAGACGTATACTTGTCGTTGCAGAAGGGGCCGTTGGTGCTCCCCGCCCAGATTGGCGAGCTCACGGAAACGCGCCATATCGACACGCGCCTTGAACACTACAAAAACTGCCGTCAGCGACGCTCAGGGGGAACTCACCGTGCGTCGGATCGTGGCTCGCCGAGGCCATCGGCTCAGCTTCAGAGCAAATGTCGAAGCCGGCAGCACAGTGTGCGCACCGAAGCCATATTCCGCGAATCTGATCCGCGTGGATGTCGCATAGCGTTTCCTTGTGCAACACATGCTTGAGATACGATGTAGGGTCGCGCGGATTTAGCACAGCTGTCGCAGGCACGGCGCCCACTCGTGTGCGGTACTGAAGTTAGCTTGCGATAGCGACCTGAAGAGTCACTTACCAGGAGGGGCAGAAGCGGGCGAGAACTCTGCAGAGGCATGTGTACAGGCCGGTCAAACTTGAAGAAGACGTGCTTCGCGTCATGCACCCTGTAACTGCGAAGCTCGCAAATCGAGCACAAGTTGTACGGAACTGGGTCCGATGGGCAGTTGGCGCACTGGAAGCGGCGTCCCATGATCCACTCGTTGCAGTTGGCGCATCGCGCGTTGTGATCTAACCCGTCGCGAATGTTGACAACTTGAAGATTCCTTGGAGTCGATCGTCCTTGTCTCGAGTTCGCTGCGGGGCTCGGTCCACCACGCACGCTACTGCGCAGTGCTGGCGCGTATACCGTTTCAGCGTCAATAGTCGGCGAGCTCGAGTGCGAGGAAGGCGCCTCGGCAACAGCCGACAAGTCCTGATGATACCACCGATCGCGGGCGCGGCGGCTGACGACCTCAACTTCGTTGGATGCTAATGGTACGGGGATCTGGGTCAGCTCCGTCACATTTGATTGCTCACCTTCATCATGATGTGATCGGGGGTGTGAGATCTATCACCTGTGGCACCGACGCCCTCGCACTGTATACACAGATCCCTGGTGTCAACTGCGGCTCTTACAAGGCGAATGCCTACCATGATGGGCAGACTGCGCAATGGAAGCGCGGCCCGACAATGTCCTGCAGGCAGCTGACGTTAGAATCGTAGCATTGTAGGAGGGCAAGACGCACTTGTGGCAAAACGCGCCTGGATGTCGCACAGGCACGCTTTCCGCCACACCATCTGGTCGGGATGGCAATGGTAATGCGGCGACGGGTTTATCGGGAAGGGATAGGAAGACGTGCGCCGGGTGAATCTCCTGCACTTTCTGGTAACACGCTCGGCAGAGGTCAAACTTCGGGCACGAAACGCCTGGCATCAGCAACGCACATCACTTGCTGCGCGACTCACACTTGTACCGACTGCGGAACATCGCGCCGTGGCAGATGGTGCACTCCGCGTCCTCTGAGTAATCTGGTTTCAGTTAAATCAAACGAGCTTCGGCTCACCGACATCGACCCAGCCCTCCAAGCTCCAGATCTTCTCGCGGAAGGCATGTCTAATATGCCCTACCCGACGCTGTCGAGCTGCTCTAGCCGCCGCCTTGGAATGCGTGATGCCGTGCGCCTCAATGCAGTTGGCGCACAGTTCGTAACCGCGCGGCGCGGCCTCAAAGCCATCAGGTCCGGCGATGTCGAGGACCTGCAAACTGTCTGGCGATGCAGCACTCCCGTTGGAAGCTGCGTCGGAATCGGCCCGTCCCATTAACCCATTATGCACTGTTTGTACGTCCGACCCGCTCGAGGCGCTGTCCCGTGCCATGCCCCAGGCTGTGCCCTCAGAGTCTGACTCGTGCTCGCTCGCAATGCGGGGCACAAACGGGGCCTTTACGGCGTTGACGGTCCACATATCACCCTCCCCGCACGTCGTGCAGACGTAACGCATGTAGTCCAGACGGACGCCACATGCGGAACAGTCAGGCGCAAGCATGGGCGGTCTGTGTGGTCCGTCATGACACTCGGGAGTACGGGGTAGCGAGGATGTTGTTCCGCTGGCCTCCGATAGGCGGGATAGAGGTCTTCCGCGCGAAGTAGATGTCTCATCTGAGCGGGAGTAGAGGGAGGCGGCATCGGCGCTCTGGTACAGGTAATATGGGCCTGGAGTCAGCCATCACATTCACTCCGTCAGTGTTCTCACGGCCGCGCTCGCGAACTAGGGCGATCTCCCCGATATCCTCCTCCTCGCTCAAGCTCTCGTTGTCGCTATCGTATCTCCGGACGGCGCGGACTGTCCCACGGCTAGCAAGTCGACTCTGCTCAATGTGCCACCGTGCTTGCAGCTCTTGGGAAACCATTGATGGTAGTGGTAGTGGTGGTGGTGGTGGTGGTGGAGGTGTAACACCTTCCCTCTGCGGCATAGCCGTTTCGGAGGGCGAGATGGGCGAGATTGGTGAAACGGCCAACGGTGAGACTCCCGATGGTGAAGATGTACTCGATGTGGGTAGAAGTAGGCTTGGACCGCCATTGGCGGAAGGAGGAGCTAGCAGTGGCCTTCGGCGCGCTGATGGAGCGGGTTCGGGCGCAGGGGGTATTTGGAAGCTGCTCGACGAGCTCGACATGCTCATCGCCTCCATCATATCAGCTGGAGGGTCAACAAATCCGAGCGAGTAGGTACGGTGCCCCAGGCTGCCAGTTGAGGCTGCCGCGGCGCTGGATCCGTAGCTCGTACTCAGACCGGAGTTGACCGAGTGACCGTAATCACTCGATTCAGCGTACCACGAGTCCGTTTGGTCGCCAGACGCTTGGCTTGGTGCACCGCCACGCGATGCTGAGCGCGAGGAGAGCGTATCATCGGAGAATGATGAGTTGATACTGCCGGAGTCGCTGAGGCTCGCGTTGTACTCCACAACGATGTAAACCTTCATTGTGACTTTCTGCGACTGCATGGCGAGCCGCGCGCCACTTCCATCTGACCCACGAATGCTGTAGTCGTCATCCCCAGACGCGAAGTAACTGATTGCCTCGGCCAAGTCCTCCTCCGTTTTGATGGGGAAGTCCTCTCCGTCGTCGTCCGTGTACTTTAAGTGGAACGGGCACTGGGAGAGCAGGAATATCTCTTCGACCTTCTGTTAGCACCGCCGCTAAGAATGTCTCACCTTCTTCCGCAGAGTCTTGAGCTTACACATCTGCGTGCTAGGAAAGACAACTTTCCGCGTGTCATCGTCGAACGAGACTTTAACCTATCGTTAGTCCAGCGGACATGACAACTCACAAGAAGCTGGCGATTCGGCCGCCCAGGTACTCCGGCGTAGATTGACCGCAGCATCTCGGGGCGGCGTCAGGCAGAGCCCGTATACGGATGCGGGTAGTTCGGCTGAAGGGTGCGATGGGCGGGGGAGAGGGGGCTGAGGTGAGATGAGGCAGACAGCAGGTCGATAGAGTGGTAGCTCACAAAGAGAGCGTTGCAAAGCGGGTGAAGTGAGTGATCGAGTGAGGAAGGTCACGGCTTCAGGCTGGCGCCTCACGCAGTTCCTCGAGACGCCGGTGGACGCCAGCCGCGAGCAGGACGTGAAATCGGCGTACACCGGTGAGCCGAGGATGCGCCTGCCTCGAGAACAAGACGTCGCGAGCTGCCGAGCAGCACTTGAGAGCGTAAGAGATGGTAGATGGCAGCTGATAGAAAGAGAGAGATGTGAGATACGGACAAGATCAAGCTCTGGATCGCATTGACATTACTCCGCACGGCAATACGGCACGGGCAACCACACTGACCGACTGCGGGGTCATCTGGTTCCGCTTACCTGCTTGGGTGGCAAATGGCCAGCCAGGCACGCTAATGTTAGTGGCATCAACAGCACGCTGCATCCTCGCTCCGTCTTTCTCAGCTACGCATCTCGCAGTTTGCAGAGGACAGTCTTCACTAGAATATGGTCTAACTGGAGTTGATGACTATGGACTGATGAAAGAATCGTCAGGGCCAAAAGTTCAACCTGCATCAGACTGCTGCGCATGTTGCGCGCTCAACTCCTGACCTCAAAATTGCAGTAGATGCACCTGCCTCGCTTTGCTCTGGCATTCATTTTCGATAGTTGACAGGACCTAGCCTCTCCTGGCCTCCAATCTCTCTTATCCTCCCCATCTCTACCGTCTTGTTATTTCCGTCTGGGACGTGAAGTCTCGATTCGGTGAACTGACCACACTGTCACTGTTGCATCATCTACTGTCAAAACAAATCATCACATGATCAAGACAACAAACGTGTATAGATTACATCTCACTCAACGTATCCGTCGAGCTCAGGCCCCTCCATCCCGTCATCGATGACGCGCGGGTTCTCCAGCTCGCCGCAATGGCGCATGCGCACAGCCATGCGGATGCGCTCCTCCCACTCGCGGAACCACTGCCCCTCCCGCTCGCCGAGGAGGTAGTGCACGCCCTCCGGTCCGCGCTGAAGGCGGGGGTTGGCCGGGATCTCGGGGTGCGTCTTGAAAAGTGCAGCGAGGCGGTGCTGCGCCTGCTCAGTCGACTCGTTCTTAAACGTGTTCGGCAGCGGCGGGTAAACCTTCATGCCGTAGGCAGCGACGGCGACGTCGTAGGGCCCACCCGCACGCGGGTCGAGGCGCTGCCAGAGCCAAAGGAAGGGCACAGCCCACCAGAACAGCATCATGAGGAAGACGTGTGCCGCCCCACTGCCGTAGTAGTACTTGGAGAAGAAGTTGGGCGGGCGCACCACCACGTCGCCCTCAGATACTGTGATATCGACAGTAATGCTCTGCTCGTCCTCGGCGATGTAGCCTGTCGAGTGGATGGCGCCCATGATGGCCTTGCGGAGAGCGGCGATGTCCCATCCGTACACCGTCTTGGTGAGTTTGAAGCACTTCATGGGTCCTGAGTCGGCCGTGTACGCCTCGCACCAAGCGCGGAGGGCGGTGTCGTTCTCAGCCGGCTGGCTCGAGATGAGGGCTTCCTCGTCCTCGCGTCCGCCCAGCGCGATACCGCGCCCGTCGCGATTGTAGCCGGTCCAGAACTCCTCGTCGTTGGCAATGTCACTCCATGGTGCGCGACCGCGCTCGTGCCGGAACTTGGCGTACGCGTCCCATCGCCCTTTCTCTTCACGGGTTGGTGAGCGTCCAACGCTTTTGGCGCCGGGGAAAGGAGCAATCGACGCCCCAAACGTGCGGCCCATCGTCCCGCGGCGCGCGGGGATCGTCGTGGGAAGGGTGAACAGACTAATGTTGGCTGAGTTGGACTCGTGCGCCACGACCTTGCTGAGGTCGATGGTGAAGTCAAAATCGGCGACGCGGTAGCGCTGGCCGGCTTGGACTTGGCGCGGGATGCCGCGCTCGACCACTTGCTGAGTTCTCTGCGATGTCTCCCAGTGGAAGGCGGCTGCGCGGACTTTCACGGTGGGAGCTTTGAGAGCCTCGGCACGGATGAAATCGTAAAGAAGGTTGGCTGGTGTCAGTTTGCGGACCCGTTAAACGAGGGAAGCGAGGGGAAGCGAAGGGTGTGCGCGAGGGGTATACTGGGTCATGTCGGCAGTCCGGGTAGACTGTGTAGCAAACAGGAATATTATAAGATGTGATCACGATGTGAGGTGATGGGTGGGGTGTGTGGAAGGGGTATGGACGGCGATGAAGATCGCTGGGCGTGGCTGGAGGGGTGTGTGCGCCTGCGTGGCAGTGGACTTACGACTTTGCAGGCGCGCGTCCGCCGTCTCGTAGCGGTTGTACATCTTGGTCGTGACGACCTCGGGAAGCGCCGCTGCGCGATCATGAGAAATGAGGGGCTCGGCATTAGGTGGGCCGGTAAAGAGTGGGGTGAGGGAGGCGGGCCAGCTTTCGCCACCCGAACTGGGACCACCGGCGGAGGACTCAGCCTCGACGTCGGCATAGGACGGGGGCGGCTCCGGGACGGCAGCGTCAAGCATGCTCGCGGCCACCGAGGAGGGAGAGGCGGGGTCGTACACCATGTTGGGTGCAGGAAAATGAGATGGAAGGAGCAGTTAGTCGAAGGGGATTAAGAAGTGCGGGAGTGCACAGCAATTCGGGGCGTGCCTGGCTGAGAACGTCAGCGTGTGCCGGGATGCCGCCGATGCCGCCGTGCTGCCAGCACGGCAGGCGTATTTCCGCCTTTAAACCGCCCGTGTTAGCGACAGAAATGGAACACTTGGGGAGAGAGGATGAGATGCATGGCGAGCCCTATGCCCTATGCTAAAGTGTCTATGAACTACAGAGAGGAGTGTCTAGTTGAGCTCACGCGCCACCTCAAAGGTCTGGAAGGTGACAATCTGGTCGCCCTCGCGGATATCGTCGAAGCCCTCGAGAGCGATACCGCACTCGGTGCCCTTGCGCATCTCGAGCACGTCCTTCTTCATGTGCTTGAGGGTGTCCATCATGCCCTCGAACACGACTTCGCGGTCGCGCAGCACGCGCACCCGGTCCGCCTTGGCGACCGTGCCGTTCATAACCTTGCACCCGGCGATATTCTTCACGACCTTGCGCCCAGACTTCAGGGGGAAGATCATGGACACAGTGGCCTCGCCGATGACACGCGTCTCGGTGCGTGGCGGAAGGAGGGCAGCGACACGCCCGCGCACATTCTCAATGAGGCGGTAGATCACGCTGTCCGTGATGACGGGGACACCAGCGTCGTTTGCCGCGCTCTGGATTGCGCGAGGACATTCGACGTTGAAACCAATGACCGTGCCGTCCGCAGCGTCGCCGAGCATCACGTCGCTCTCCGTGACCTCGCCCACGCCCGTGTGAACGATCTTGACACCGGCCTCCTTATTCCCGATCGCGCTCAGAGAACCTACCACAGCCTCGACCGTGCCGCTCACGTCCGCCTTGATGATCAAGCGAAGCTCCTTGCGGCCCGAGTCGGCCGACTCAGCGGCGACCCGGCGAGCATTGTGCAGCACCTGCTGGACGGAAAGGCCGGCTTCCTTGGCCGCCTTGACCTCGACACGCTCCGCCTCCAGGCGGATGCGGTCCTCCTGTCGCCGGATGTTGATAGCCTCGGCGTCCTGAGCGAGCTGCTTCCGCTCCTGGTCACGGATGCGGTTGTCAATGCAGGCCTTAGCCTTGGCCTCCGACGGCGCCTCGAGCAGCTGGTCGCCGGCCAATGGGACGTCGCGCCAACCCGTGACGGAGACGGGTGTGCCCGGACCAGCCTCAGTGACGGGGTTGCCGGCGGAGTCGGTCATCGTCCGCACACGAGCCCAGGTGTGGCCCGCCACAATTGGTGTGCCTTCACGGAGGGTGCCGCGGGTGACGAGGACGGTCGCAACAGTACCGAGTCCCTTGTCGACGTGTGACTCGAGCACCCAGCCCTCGGTCTTGCCTTCCTTACGCGCACGCAGGTCGCGCACCTCTGCGAGTGTCGCGAGAGTCTCGACCAGGTCATCGAGGCCGATGCGCGCAAGGCCTGAAACGCGAACGGAAGGCACGTCGCCGCCGTCCTCTTCCAGGATGATACCCTCAGAACCCAGGCCGGCCTTGACCTTGGCAACATCGATCTGCGGCTTGTCGCACTTGTTGATGGCCACGACCAAACCGACGTTGTCACCCTCCTTCTGCACGAGGCTGATGACCTCCTTCGTCTGCGGCATGACGCCGTCGTCGGCAGCGACGACAAGCACAACGAGGTCGGTAACGCTGGCGCCTCGCGCACGCATGCCCGTGAAAGCGGCGTGTCCCGGCGTATCAAGGAAAGTAATGCTGGCTTCTGAGTCCGCATCCTTCTGCAACGACGAGAGGGGGACGGAGAAGGCACCGATGTGCTGGGTGATGCCGCCCGCCTCGCCGGCCGCAACGGACGTATGCCGCAATGCATCGAGCAGCGTCGTCTTGCCATGATCGACATGTCCCATGATGGTGACACTGGTGTCAGCTGGTTACAGGGGTGACCGTATCCTGGGCAGAGACTCACACAGGGGGTCGCAATGGGCATTTGCTCAGGTCCTCCTCGACCTCTGGATAGATGTCGTAGCCGCGGTCGCTGTCGATGATGGGGTTGAGATTATACTCGAGGGCGAGAGAGGTTGCATCATCTGCATTGAGGAGGAATGCAGAGCTTCGCACCTCCTCACTCATCCCGAGCTCGATCATCTTGCGCTGGAGGTGGAGCACCTTGATGCCAAACTTGTCGGCAAGCTGTGCGACCGAAATGTTGCCAGGGATGTAGACGTCTTTCTCGAGAGCCTCGCGCGCCTTCCGCGCTTCCGCAGCCGCCTTGGCTCGTGCACGCTCAGCCTTCTCCTGCTGCTTGCGCTTCAAGCTGTCCATCTCGGCGAGATCGGCGTCGTTCTCCTCGTCCATTACCCACTCGCGCTTGTTGAACCGCTCGCCCTTCTTCTTCTTCTCCTTGACGCTGCGGTGCTGCGCGGACGGCAATTCAGCCTCATCCAGATGCGCATTGAGCAAGGAGCGCGAGGAGGCGGCTTGGCGTCGTCGCCCGCGCCCCTCTTCGTCTTCAGCCTCGGCATATCTGGAAGGACCCGACTCAGCCGCAGCATCAAGATTGCGGCCGCGAGCGGGTGTGTCCTCTACAACGTCCGTAGAGCCCCAGTTGGTCGCAGCAAGCGGCTTGGCGCCATCGCGGTCTCGTCCGCCGTCGCGCTGCGGGCGCTCGCGCCCGCGATTCCCGCCGCGCGCCATCCCACCATCATCGCGCCGTGGGCCGCGTTCCCGCCCTCCATCGCCGCCCCGGGGTCCCCACCGTTCGCCGCCATTGTCTCGAGGGGGAGGGCGATCCCGCTGTATTCCGCCATCGTGCCGAGGAGGACGGTCCCGCTGTCCGCCGCCATCGTCGCGACGACCTCGATTCCATTGCCCGGCGCCGCCACCGCCGTCCTGCCGCTCGCCCCGTGGCGCACTCATTCCGAAACCACCACCATCGCGCTGCTGACGCGGTGGCCCGTCACGATTCCGTGGTCGTTGCTGCTGGGGTTTGCGCGCAGGAGGCGCGCCCCAGTTCGTCGCGCCGACGGCCTGCTTCGGCGCAGGTGATGGGTTGCCCCAGTTGGTGGCTGCCAATGGCTTGTCTACGCGAATGGTCGCCGACGCATGAAGAGCGCGGATTTGGAGGGCGGCACCACGGAGGCGTGGTGCGAGCATGGAACATCTGCAGACGCTCACGCTCATTTTGTGCGAAGTGGAGGAACTCATCGTCCGCATCTTCCGACTTTTGGAGATGGTTGGCGGCTCAGGACTCGCCACGTGACGTAAGCATGGAGGCTCACGTGATGCTAAGGTTTGCCACCCGACATGACATGACGATGAAGAGTTGACTGGACTCGAAGGTACCTGGCTCCTCTGTCTCACCTTTTCTCCACACCATCGTACAATCTCGGACACAACAGCTGTTCAGTCGACCCCGGCACCCATTTATCCACCACGCTTATCTCGCTGGCGAGCGCGCGCCCTCCCCATCGAACGCAGCCAACAGTGACAAAGCATGACCAGCATCCTGTCTCCACGGCCCCACCATTTGCAGCTCCCTTCCGTCGCCCCACCATCTAGGACGGCGTCTTCCTCCTCGGTCCGCTCAACTGCGACCAGTGTCGACGATATCGCCGAAGTCATCCGCATAGACAAGCTGCGCGCACCCTACGACCGGCGATTGTCTGACACCATGACCCGCGTCCAGCTCGATGACCAGACTTCGGTGACGAAGCGCACTGGCGCCGCCAACGGTCACTCCTCATCTGGCCTGTTCGCCCCATCCGCCCCATCAGGGAACGGCGAGGACGTCACAACCGACAAGAAGGTTGTGCCATCAGATACGCCGACGGCGCCGACCCGCCGCTTCCCGGAAGAGGAGGAAGAGGATATCCTCCGTGAGACCGAGGACCGCTTCGTGCTTTTCCCTATCAAGTACCGAGAGGTCAGTTTTGAGGCTTTGGGGATCAGCTGACGGCAGATCTGGCTCGCGTACAAGCAGGCGCAGGCGAGCTTCTGGACGGCCGAGGAGCTGGATCTCGGCACCGACATGCACGACTGGAACGACAAGTTGACTGACAATGAGCGCTACTTCATCCTCCGTGAGTAAACACGTCGAATGTCTGGGTCTGACCGCAGGCATCCTCGCGTTCTTTGCATCTTCGGATGGCATTGTTGGCGAGAATCTGATCTCGATGTTCTCCATGGAGGTGCAGATTGCTGAGGCACGAGCATTCTACGCTTTCCAGACAATGATCGAGCAGGTGCACGCGGAAACGTACTCGCTTCTCATCGAAACATACGTGCAGGAAACAGAAGAGAAGGATTTCCTTTTCAAGGGCATGGAGAAGAGTGAGTCACCGTGGTTGCTGTCACGTACCTATCTGACGGTAGTTCCCTGCATCCGAAAGAAGGCCGACTGGGCGCTCAAGTATATCACGCCTGAGATGCCGTTCCGCACGCGCCTCATCGCATTTGCTTGTGTGGAGGGCATCTTCTTCTCTGGGTCATTTGCAGCAATCTTCTGGCTCAAGAAGCGCGGGCTGATGCGCGGCCTGACCTTCAGCAACGAGCTCATCTCGCGTGATGAGGGCATGCACACCGACTTTGCATGTCTGCTCTACCAGTACCTCAAGCACCGCTGTTCGCAGACAGAGGTGCACCGTATCGTCAGTGAGGCTGTCGAGATCGAGAAGGAATTCTTGACAGACGCATTGCCCTGCGCCCTGATCGGTATCAACGCAGGCGTGAGTACAGCATGTGCGAGACAAGCTGACCGCAGTCCATGTGCCAATACATGGAGTTCGTGGCGGACCGTCTGATCGTCGCCCTCGGCTACGACAAGATGTACCACGCCACGAACCCATTCGACTGGATGGAGCTCATCAGCCTGCAGGGCAAGGCCAACTTTTTCGAGTCGCGTGTCAGTGCGTATCAGATGGCCAACGTCAGCCGGTCAGCGACGCCTGGGCGCGCACGCTCCGACTCGTTCAACGAGGGGCAGATTAATCGCCGCGTGTTTCGCACCGACGCCGATTTCTAGCCGCGAAGAGCAGGAGGAGATCTGGCCTATATCATCAACGCATACACCCATCATTTGCACCACTCTGTATACTGTACTACCATCTACCGTATAGTAGAATGCACACCGATCCATGTTGATGGGGTGAGTGGCATATGTCGGCGTTATGAGAAGCAGGTGCCACAGCACTGGCACCCTCACCGCAGCACAGGCTGATGTGGACAGTTGTGCACGCACGATGCTGACACATCTCATGATCTCGACTGACTGCAGGAAAGCATGAAGAGAGGCCGAAGGCGGTGCGCCGTAGGGTCGTTGGTCACCACCTTGTTGTGCAGCAGCAAGGTGTTCACAGATACTCGCATGTTGAATGGGCCGGATGGGGCCATGCCTTGCTGATTGCCGTGCCGCTGAAGATCAGACCTTGGTGAACATGGCCAAGCACCAACTCTTCGCGGGCTCCTCATCACCATCTTGGCGCACACTGACTCCCATGGGCCATGGGCCATGGGCCATGGGGAGCCTGCTTCAATCCTGGTGGCCTGGTGCTTGCTCACATCACGCATCTTGACAGCTATTGACACGCCCGAGTCCAGGTATCTCGTTGAATTGAGATTCCAGCGGATCTGCGGCTCCGGATCTGTCGTGTCGATCGGCAATCGCCACATGTGCCCCTAATTCCCCGCCAATCTCATCAAATTGCGGCGTGTCGCGTGTCTCATCTTGAACCCTGGATGCTCCGCTGCCGCCGTGCTGCCGCCGTGCCGCGCTGCCGTTCATCCAGACCATGCGCTGCGAGGGAACAAGCGAGGCGGCATGCGAGACAAATGAGAGACGAATGAGAATGACGCGCGTCGGGGGCTAATTAAAGTGAGAGTTTGGTAGTCTTGGCCCAAGTCACGGGATGATGTCATAGCTCGCCCTTGCCCGCCGACCCTTTCGATCGTCACCCCGTGTGACACCTGCCCTGCACATCCTGCACATCCCACCGTCCGTCGTGTCGTCGAGGTGTGTGAGGTGGAAGCAAAGAGATCGGCGTCTGCTGCTCTCTGAAGAGCTTAAGAGTCACACGCACTCGCCGTACCTTCTCTCCATCTCTCCATCTCTCTTTCTCTCACTCTCTCTCTCACTCTTCATCAACACCCCACACTCAAAACCCAATCATGGACTTCCTCAAGAACGCCGCGGGTTCCCTTGGCCAGCAGGGCCAGCAGCAGCCCCAGGAGGGCCAGCAGCAGCAGCAGCAGCAGCAGGGCGGCGGCGGCCTCGGCGGTCGTGAGTGGCACCTTATTCCTTTCTTCTGCGCGTACTGACTCCAGTCGTCTCCGGCCTCACCTCGGGCGGCAACATCGGCGACAAGCTCAACTCGATGGGCGGCGGCGGTGCCCAGGGCGAGGCTAACGAGGACTACCTCGACAAGGGTGAGTGAGCGTGGACTTTTGTGCTTGGGAATGAGAACTGACGCGACTTCCACCCGCCATCTCGATCTGATCCACCTCTGATCCGTCTCCGCCTCCCATGTTCCCCCGTCTCACTCCCGCTTCCCACCCCCCGGCCTGCCCTACTATTGTCTTCGCACACCTCCACATTCCGTCTCTTCTTCTCAACCTTCAACCCCTAGGCGTCGACATGGTCCAGCAGCACGTTCTCGGCCAGGGTCCTCAGGACAACGAGTCCGCTGCCGAGCAGGCCAAGGACGAGATCATGTCGGACATGATCCGCGACCGCTACAAGGTGCGTGCAGGCTGTTTTAATGGCGCTAGAGAGCTTGCTGACACGCAGGGCATGACCGGCTCCGACTTCCCCATCGCCGACAAGGAGCAGAAGTTCGGCCAGATGTAGGCAGCTCGTGGACAAAAATCGAGACCATAGCTTGCACGAGATTAAGTCTGAAGAAGCACCGAGTGAAGAGACGATTGACATGACGTTTGTGTTTTGACTTGCCCGGCTGTGGCGGTGCCACTTGGAGCTGATTTCGCCGTCTATCATCTCCCTTTCCTCTGACCAGTCACTGACCATCGGCGTGCGGCATGATGCCTGTTAGTAGGTATGCAAGCGTCACAACACCATTCTCGTGCTCGCACGTCCGACAACGAGAGCCCTCCACTTTCACCTCCCCGAACGTGGCCGAGCAGGCAGACGAGATGCACTGACAATGCCAAAGACCCAGCGCTCAAGAAGGCACAAACATCGACGCCGTCGCTCCACCGCACTTTCAAGTTCCAGTCATAGAGCTCTGCCTCCCGGACCAAATACTGAACCATCAACACGCATAGCACATCTCCTTCGCATCCCAGCCCGTCCATCACGCATCACACAAAGACGCCGCGCCTTGCACCGCCCACTCCCCAGCAACAAAAGACAGATCTTCCCACTAGCTGATTTGAACAACTGACCTCATCATGTACGCTGCATCCAGCTGGTACTAGTGACGCGCTCTACCACTGAGCTAAGCGGGATGGCGAGATAAGGCCACGTGGTGACTGCGGTGTGCCGGCCTGACGGACGAGGACCGAGTGAGAAAAAAAAAGCGCGCTGCCAGAATCCGGCGGGCGCAAGCCACGCCACAACGCCAGCCTGCGGCAGCCAGAGCCAGCATGATCGCCCGGGGCTATATCGGCACCTGCGACCTGCGACACCTGCCACCAGCGGCAATCGCCGGCGCGTGCCGATGCGCAGCGGGCGCCGCCCAAAAGCTGTGCAAGCCGGAAGGTGCGCCGAGAATCCGAGGTGCGCGGACATGGGTATTCCCCCATGTGGCTAATTATCCGGCGCCGAGCCGCGCCAGCTTGGTTGGCTTCTTGGCAGGTAGTAGGTAGTTCCTCGCGGCTCACTCGCTCGTATGCTCCTCTTGGTTGGGTCTGTCTCGCCAGCACCACAAGAGCTCATACCAAAACCCAACAGCTAGCATAACGAATACTCTATACGTACAAAGCAGGGTATCCAAAGTATAGTAGCACTGCATGCGAACAATGCGAACGAGAGATCCCAAAGAGAAGTAAATCCTACATGCCCGAGATGACCTTCTCCCAGCTCGTCCAGTCAGCCTCGCGCAGGAGGTAGTCGATGTTGATGGCGTTGGTGCGCCAGCTGTCGATCCAGGCGTTGACTGCAGCGTGGCCGATGCCCGCACTCGGCGAGCCCTCACGCTGTGGCGAGGCCGAGCGGTCACCGTTTGGCGAGACGCTGTCGCCGTTCGCCATGCCATTCGTTTTAGTGTGAGGCGAGCTGACAGAGGGGAAGCGAGGTCCATGGTCGACCTTGGCAACCACCTCGCGAAGAACACGCACGGCCAAGCGCGCAAAGCTGCCGCCATCCAGGGCGCCAACGCTGTCCAGCAACTCCGAGCCGTCGGCGACGCCCGCGCGCATCGCAAGGTACTCGCTCGACATGCCAATGGCCTGGGCAGCAGTAGGCCCCGCAACCCAGCGCTCCACGTGCATAATGAGCGCAAGAGTTGCGGCGGCCTCGAAAACGGTCGCGGGGTTGAACAGCCGCGAAGAGAGCTTCGAGTCAAGCATCTTGGCGCTCTTCTGCACCCTGATGGAAGCGAGGCACACCTGCGCAATCACGGCGCGAACGCCAGGCGAGCTCGACGGCGAGAAGTATGCGGCGAGGTGCGCACGGTGCACGCCCAGACGGTACGACAGCAGAGTCGAGTGAAGGCGCACACGGTGAGGCGCGAGATACGCGTGAGCCGAGTCAAAGCGCGTGTCCGTCAGAGGAAACAGACGGAGATACGGCGGGAGTGCATCCTGGAAGGCGTCAAGCGATGCGTCAAACCGGAGCACCAAGTCGTGCGGCGTGCCGGACGGTCCCACCGTCGCAAACGAGTCAAGGATGGGAGTAATGCGGCGCGCAAGATGTGTGTGGATAAAGAGTGCAGTGCACTGCGTCGGGCCAGCCTCAGTCGAGTGCGGCGGAAGTGTAGGGGCGTCCGCAGGGATCTTGTACAGATCGGCTTCGGAGATCGGCGACGGGAGGTGGATTCCCTGGTGCGTGTCCAAGATTGTGTAGGGGAACGCAGTTTCAAAGGCGAACTGGCGGTCGGCGACGTACAGCGCCCACATGACGCGGCGGCGAAGCTCGCGCTCGCCCTGTGGAATGCCCTCCCACTCCTTGCTCATGCCCAAGGCCTGCGCGGTCTTGATGGCCTGTGCGAGCCACCCGCCGGCGAGAACAACGCGGTCCTTGCGGAAGCCGAGGGTGGCGTAGCGGAAGAGAATGAGCTTGTGCACGACGTACATGACCGACGGTGCGTCGCGCTGCTCTGCGATTTGGCCGGCGAGGAGGGCCAGCTCAAAGTAGCGCTGGTCGAGGGGCGTAGGGTCGGAAGCCGAGGCCGGTTGGTTGGCAATGATGCGGCTCGCGGAGCGAGGGGCGCTGCTAGCCGTGGACGCGCCCGACGCAAGGAGGAGCTTGCCGGTTTCCTCGGGGAGGACACGCATGGCGACAGCGAGGAATGCGAAGGCGTTCGCCAAGGTGGTAGCGTCGCCTTCACGCATCTTACCAGAGGCGCGGCGGTCAACGAGCGAGTGGAAATCGTCCACAAACTGCGGCTGCAGAAGAGAGATGCCCTCTGTGAGGAATGGGTCCTGGAAGAAGGTCTGGAAGAGGATGTTCTGGGTCTCGGACGAAGGAAGGGAGCCCATCAAAGTGAGGAGGGGGGCGCCGTACGCGTCCCAGCGCGCCGCGACGGACGAGTGGTGGATTGTCGCGGCCGCTTGCTGCGGCTGAGGCAGGATTTGCGCGGGGAGGCTGGAACGGGGCGTCGCGCGGGCACGGTTCGACGATGATGTGCGCGGGAGCTCGGGCATTGAAGGGCGCACCTTCTTCTTCTTGGGGGGAGCGGAGGCGAGCTCGAGGAGGTCGTTGGAGAGGTCGTCATCGACCGATGCATCGCGCTTCTTGCTTCTCGGCGAGCCGGCCTCCTTCTCGTCGGCCGAGTCGAGCTCGTCAACCTCGTCGTCCTTGCCCTCGCCAAGCATGTCGGCGAGGTCATTGTCGACAGCACCAGCCGCCGGGCGTCTCTTGACGTTGCCCGGGACGTCGCCGGTGGCACCACCTTCCTCGTCCGAGCTCGAGCCGTAGCCATTAACGATGCGATCCCTGTCGAGCCGGCGCTTGCGCTCGGCACTACCCCCAGTCGCTGATGTAGGGCGGCTTCCGCCTGCCGCACCGCTCTTGGGCCGCGAAGTGCTTGAGAGCCACGCCGGGGAGCCACCAGCGCTCGAGTAACGCTGGTTGTGAGCGACGGGCTTGGGGACCTCGATACGGTCGCCGCCTGCGACGGCAACGGACACGGCGCGACGGTTATGGACGTTATTGGCCTCGGTTTCTTCAGAGTAGTGACATGGGTGGCCCTTGCGAAGACATGAAGAGCAGGAAGGGCGAACCTGGTCGCACTAGGGGAGGGTCAGCGATGGGAACAACTTGGGCGGCCAGCCGAGGTAGGAAGCGAAAGGACACTCACCTTGATCTTACGGTGATGACACAAGTCGCAAGACGACTTGCGGCTCTTGGATCCAGAGGTGGCCGGCTTGGGGCTTGGTACGACAGGGGCGGCGTGTGTGGGCGCAGGTGGAGCCGAGCGCGCCGGCGTCGGTGCGGGTACTGGCTCGTCGTCACGAAGCTCGTCAATCTCGTCCTCCTCCTCACGCTTGAGTCTCGGGGTAGTGCCGCCATTTGAGGTTGTGGACTGATTGTGACCATTCATGTGGCTGGGCGGGGAGGTAGATGCGCTGTGGCTGGACATGGCGGCGCTGAGAGGGGCGGAACTGCGCTCACGCTCTGCAGCTGGAGTGGATTCGCCCCCCGAGTCACTGTTGACACGGATGACGAGGTGGGGGACGGACATGGGGGCGGGGTTTGGAGAAGTGGATGATGTAGACATGTTGATGTAGATGGTGGTGGGGGGGGAAGGTTGAGGAGTGGGAGGGCAAAGAGGTGATGGAGGGAGGGGGGAGGGGGGAAGAGGAAGACGGGGCTGGGATGATTCGCGACGGTGGGCACGGGGCGCCAGTCAGCGGCGTCGATGAGGGCCTGTGCAGAGTGCGAGTCGACGGCGTCCTAGCCTTGGAGTAATGTTTGGGTGTATAGTTTGGGTGGGATGTTTATGAAGAAGAGGGGGAGGGGGGGGAGGGAGGAAAGTGCGTTGCGTTGGCGTGTAGGGGGTGACTGTTGGTGCGAGGCGGTGTGTGGAAATCGCGTAGCTGCTGCGGGGGGGAGGGGGGAGGAGTGAATGTCAGCCCCGGAGAGTCGGCGGGAGGAGGGGGATACGCGTTTGGGTAGGGATGGGGAGAGGGGGCCAGTTGATGGCGAAGAGAGGGAGAGAGCAAAAGAGTAGGAGGAGTGACTGATGGTGAGAAGCGAGGATGCGATGGGGAGGGGGGGGAAGTGAAGAAGAGGGAGGATGTCGCGGGGCGGGGCGGACCGCACAGGGGGGGGGGCGGGGGGAGAGGGCGGAGGAGGAGAGGTACGACTTGCCGGGATGGGATGGGCGGTGACCAAGGCCGGGGCCGAGAATGTATGGATGCAAGGCGTGTGAGGAGAGGGACGAGGGATTCCGGCGCCGGGGAGAGGGAGATTGACCCCGTAGCGAGGCGCTGTCCACGCTCTCCACCGATCCACCGATCCAGCCCGACGACGCCTGGAACGCCTTGAATCGCCCACGCGCCGCCCCCTCGCCGCCAGCCGCCAGCCGCGAGCCGCGAGCAGAGAAACCTCGGTGGCGCCCCCTTGATCTATACTCATGCCACGCGACCCAAAAGGCCTCGCGCGCCAAGCACAACGTCGGATCCTCCCTCGTATCCTTGTCTCCTCGCCGTCCCCCGCCGCCGCAAGGCCCGAGCAAAGTGCGCCCGAGGGTCCGGCCCGCCGCCCACGGCCCACGGCCCATGGTCCATGGTCCATGGTCCATGGTCCAGCCCTTGTCTCCAGCCTCATCCTCTCCATTCTTCATTTCCCTCGGTCTGTTCCACATTCAGTACAACCTCAGTGAATGCATCCAGCTGGGTGCATTTTATTATGTGCATTCATACACCAACCACTGTAGTGCATGTCAATCCTCAATGGTGCTAGCCAAACATCCCGCCATCGCACCCACCAGCATCAGGCCGTCGGCCATCGGTGTGCCCAGCCGCCACATGGGATACGCCGCGCCGCGCCGTGCGGCATCCGGTCCAGTCGCATGGCCCGTGCACCGCAGCGGAAGCCAACTCCAACGCCGCGGCACAGATCTCCAGGGATCTCGGTCTCAACCTCGGCCCGCGGCGCATGCGGCGCCTACCGATCTCCCAAGCTAGCCAAGCTCCCAAGCATCCATATCCACGTGGCGGCCGCTGCCGTGCTGCCGCGCTGCCGGGCGGCCGGGCTGCCGGGCTGCGGGCTGCGCTGCCGTCGCATCACTCCGAACATGACCCGAGGTTCAGGGCCGTGTGTTCGCTCACATTCGCCAACAGTGCCAACGGCCAACGACCAACGGCCAATGGGCCGCTCGAAACGCCGCTTCAATTGGCCACTCTGGCCGCGCATGCGTTTTGCGATCCTGTATGGCCTGTATGGCCTACATAGCTGCATCGAAATCAAGTAGAGTGCGCTGACTCACCGTCGATCCTCTGACACCGTTCCTGTTCCGCATGGTCCAGGCCCCACGGAATGCGGAACAACGCCGAGGGCTGTGCGGGGTGCTCGTCGGGGGTCGGGGGTCGGGGGTGGGCCCGAGCGTCCAGCGGTCAACTGCCAGCGGCCAACGGCGTATGGCGCGGTACGTCGAGACATGAAGCGTGCATGTGTTTGAGCCTGTAGTCTGTATGAGGTGAGATGTCAGCGACCAGCCTGACTGCACAAGTACAGAGCGTCGATCAGGGCTCACGGGCCGGAATTATGCTTCACCGGTCTCTTGAATGTACCCGTACCGGAGCGCGTCTCGTCTCGTCTCGTCGTCTCCCATTCGATGTCTCTGCGGGATGCCGCGGCACATCCGCGGTGTTGGGCATTCTGGTGCATCGTTGTTGGGTTCAAAGAGTTAAAGAGAGGAGACTGGCCTGCGCACGCGTGGCAGTGTGGAACATGGTGGCCGTCGCGCTTGCCGCGTCCGAGCGCCGCGCCGAGGTAGTGCGAGGACGCGAGTAAGGCCCTACTGCGCATTGCGCAGAAGCCTGCGTATCCTGCGGCCGCGTATCCTGCTCTGCTCCTCCGACCCTCCTGCATGATTCTGCAACCCAGGCGCAGTCATGTCGGTCAAGCCGGTCAAGTCTAATCATAGAAATGCCCTTACGCTCGGCCCCGCTGGGCCGCGCGTGGGGCGCTCTGAGAAACATGTGCGGATCTGTGCGTCTTGAGCAGCTAGCTGCAAATGCGGAGCGGAGCAACGAGCGCATGAGCGCATGAGCGCACGCGCACACGAGCGCAGTAAGACACGAGGACCGGTACCAGAGCACCATTGGCCAGCAGAACTCTGCCGCCATCTGTCGGCGATTTCGACTGGTTGTTCTCTGGCTGTAGACGACGTCGCCGGCCACGCCACGCCGCAGGCAGTCCTGGGTCACATCCGAGCCCGCAGCGAGCACGTTCCCTCCCCACGCCTTACCGCACCACACCGCCCAAATGACCTATGTTACATGCCAAAACTATGCTATGAAAAGTGCTATTACACAAGGTTGGACGGGTACTGGAACTCGGTCGGGTCGACAAAGTTCTCCATGATCGAGCGAGCTGAAATGAAGCGGTAGAAGATGGAAATCGAGCCAGACTTGTCGTTCGTGCCCGAAGCGCGTGCTCCTCCGAAGGCTGCAAGTCAGAATTGATCCTCCCTTCCCTCCACTCAGTGTACTCACGCTGCTGGCCAACAACGGCACCAGTGCACTTCGAGTTGATGTAGTAGCTGCCGCGTTAGCTCTGTTCACGAGAAAAGGACGGAAACACTCACTTGCCGGCGGCGTTGCGGAGCTGGGCCGAGGCCTTGGCCAGTGCCAGGCGGTCACGGCCGAAGAGGGCACCAGTAAGGCCGTACTCGGTGGTCGTGTCAATCAACTCGATGGTCTTGTCCCAGTCGGCGTCCTCGAACACGTAAACAGTCATGACGGGACCGAAGATTTCCTCAGTCATGGTGATAGACTTGGGGTCCTTGGTAACGATAACGGTAGGCTGGACAAAGTAGCCCTTCGAGTCGTCGGCGGTGCCACCGACAATAACCTCACCGCCCGCCTGCTTGGCCTTCTCAATCATACCGGTGATGCGGTCAAAGGCGGGGCGGCCGATGACGGGACCAGTAAAGTGCTGGAACTCGGTGCAGGGGCCGATGGTGATCGAGCCGGCCTGCTTGACGAGCTCCTCCTGGAAGCCACCCTCCCAGAGCGAGCGAGGAACATAGCAGCGTGCGAGGGCCGAGCACTTCTGGCCCGAGTACTCGAAAGCGGCGCGGATAGCCTGAATGACACCAGGCTTGATGTCGGCGGAGGGGTGGTAGAGGTGGAAGTTCTTGCCGCCGGTCTCACCGACGATACGGGGGTAGCCACGGTAGATGTCGAGGTTGTTGGCAATGTCCTTCCAGAGCTTGCGGAACACGTGGGTCGAGCCAGTGAAGTGGAGACCGGCAAACTGCTTGTGGTCGATGCACTGCTTGACAATGTCGGGAGGCGAGCCGGGGACGAACTGAATGACCCCAGCAGGGAGACCGGCCTCGACGAGGACCTTGTAGACGAGGTAGCTCGAGTAGTTGGCGGCCGGGGCGGGCTTCCAAACGACAACGTTGCCGACAATGGCGGGCGCGACAACGAGGTTGCCGCCGATAGCGGTGAAGTTGAAGGGGGTCACGGCGAGGACAAAGCCCTCGAGAGGGCGGAACTCGGTGCGGTTCCAGACACCGTCCGAGTTGCGGGCGGGCTGCTGGGTGTAGAGCTCCTCAACAAACTTGACCGAGAAGCGAAGGAAGTCGGCGAGCTCGGCAGCAGCGTCGATCTCGGCCTGCCAGGCGTTCTTTCCCTGCCCGAGCATAGTAGCAGCCATGATGTCAAAGCGGTACTTGCCCGAGATGAGGTCGGCGGCCTTGAGGAAGATGGCGGCGCGGTCAGCCCATGGCATATCCTCCCACTCGCGCTTGGCGGCAAGCGCGCCGTCAATCGCCTGGGCCACGGTCTCGGGGGTGGCGGCGTGGAACTCGGAAAGGTTCTTGGCGTGGTCGTGGGGCATAGGCTGGCCCTGCTTGTCGCCCGAGCGGATCTCCTTGCCGTTGACAACGGCGGGGACGTCATAAGGTGCGCCGGCGCCGACACGCTTGAGCGCCTCCTCGAGGCCCTTGCGGTCGGCAGAGCCGGGGGCATACGAGCGCTGTGGGGTGAGCGGTTGTCGGAGGGGGAAGGTTGGAGGAGAGATACCAGCAGTCGGTGGGCGGAGCATCTCGAGGACGAGGGGAGGTGAGATGGAGCTGAAGCTGAACAAAGCTCGAGGTCACGCCCATCCCTGCTCCCACACCCCGGAAGCCATCCCCTCCCCACCACAGCCTTTGACGCGTACGCAGGCGGGAACAATGCGTCGCGTCGCCACTGCCGTCCCCCAACCAAGGCCAGAGATAATTCGCACTCACCATAGGCTCGTTGTTGATGACGGGGATCTTGAACGTAGCGAGCTGAGCCATGGTGCGTGTATCAGATCAAAGAGGGGGAATGAAGAGATGGGAAGATGGGAAGATGGTCGAGGATGGGCTTATAAGTATTGTCTGCCTCTGTGACGACCTCGCTCGTCACTGGGGGGTATGAGGGGGGGTCACATGTTGCTCTCTCTCTCCAAAGTGACATCGTCCTTCCCCCAGCGCTTAGCTCGAGCGGCTACGTCCCGAGGTATGCGACATGCCACCCCCCGGTGGCGACGGGTGTCGTATATCCGCCACTGCGTCACCGTACAGCGTCCTCTGCCTGCCGCCCGTATTATCGCTCCAAGACCCGGCCGACTAGCTCGCGGCTAGCAACTAAGCGCAGCTTGATAACGCGCGCATCGCCGATACTCCTTCTCCCTCGCTCGGCGTGGCGATGGCGACGCGCCGTGCTTGGGCACTGGCTACGGGGCTCTGTGGCTGGGCAGCAGCAGACGTCTGGAGCGGCGTCCCGTCCAGTCGGAGTAGGCAGGCGGAGGAGTAACATATAGGTCACGGCCGAACGGCGGAGTCGCCGAGTTGCCGCCCTTATCGATAACCTCCACCTATCCATCCTCCTCCGGCTGATACTCCACCACAGACTCACTTCTTGACCATACACCGTCTGCATCGTTCACCGCGCACAGAGCAGCTGATCCTGCCAACCTCTCATTGCCTCCCGGTCTGACAGATTCCCACTCACGGCCTCCAATGCAGCTCATGGAACGGGGAGGATGATCGCCGAGCCCTCCCCCAACCGCGTCGCCCCTCCACACACATCGTTGGATACAGATACATATCATGATCGCGAGCTCCACTTCCACCCCACCTAGAACAAGAAGTGCCGCTTGGCCAGCGGCAGCTCGTCCGCAGGCGGCACATCCATAAGCACGCCGTCGGCATGCACCTCGTACGTCTCGGGGTCTACGCCCATGCGCGGGATGTAGTCGTTCCACTTCATGTCGCGCTTGCTAATGTTGCGGCAGTTGCGCACGGCTTCCGCGCGCTTGCGCAGCCCGTACCCCTCCACAGCCCCGTTGTCAATCGACGCCTGCGACACAAACACGACGCTGTTGAACGCCGCGGCGTCCGGCTCGCTCCCGAACATCCGTCGCCCGATGAGCGGCTGCACGGTCGGGATGGACGCGTTCGCGTCCCCGATGTGCGCGTACGCGATCATGCCGCCCTTGATCGTCATTTCGGGGCGTGCCCCGAAATGCGCGGGGTCCCACAACACCAGGTCCGCCAACATGCCCGGCGCGACTTGGCCCACGATGTGCGAGACGCCGTGCGTGATCGCGGGGTTGATCGTGTACTTTGCAATGTAGCGCTTGACGCGCGTGTTGTCGCGCCCGTCTTCGTCGCCCGCGAGCGGGCCGCGCAAGTCGCGCATTTTGCTCGCGGTGCGCCATGTGCGCGCGACCACCTCGCCGATCCGCCCCATCGCCATCGTGTCCGAACTCATCATCGAGATCGCGCCCAGGTCGTGCAGCATGTCCTCGGCGGCGACCGTTTCAGCGCGGATGCGCGAGTCCGCGAACGCAATGTCCTCGGGGATCGAGCGGTCCAGGTGGTGGCACACCATCAGCATGTCGAGATGCTCGTCGAGCGTGTTCTTGCAGTACGGCATTGTCGGATTCGTGGAGGACGGGAGGACGTTCGGGTGCTCACACACCACGATGATGTCCGGAGCGTGGCCGCCGCCCGCACCCTCAGTGTGGTACGTGTGGATCGTACGGCCCTTGAACGCGTCAACTGTGCTCTCGACGTATCCCGCCTCGTTGAGCGTGTCCGTGTGGATGTTGAGCTGGATATCGTACTCGTCGCACACGTCGAGGCCGCGGTCGATGACCTCCGGCGTAGCTCCCCAATCCTCGTGGATCTTGAGCGACATGGCACCGGCCTCGATGATGTCGCGCAATCCTAGCTCTCCCGAGTCGTTGCCCTTGCCCGAGAAGCCCCAGTTGAGCGGCGAGCCGTCCGTCGCGAGCATCATCGCTTCCATGTACCACTTGCTTGGCGTGCAAGTGGTCGCATTAGTGCCTGCCGACGGTCCTGTGCCACCACCGATGAGCGTCGTGAGGCCAGACGAAAGAGCCTCCTCCCCAATCTGGGGGCAGATGTAGTGCACGTGTGTGTCCAATCCGCCCGCAGTCAATATCTTGCCCTCGCCAGCAATCACCTCCGTGTTGGACCCAACGACCATGTCGCGGTCGACGCCGTCCTGGATGTCCGGGTTGCCCGCCTTGCCAATAGCGTGAATGTAGCCGTTCTTGATACCAATGTCTGCCTTGTAAATCCCGCTCCAGTCAATCACCACTGCGTTGGTGATGACTGCGTCCAACACCTCGGCGTTGGAGCGGTTCGACGCCTGTCCCATTCCGTCACGGATGACCTTGCCACCCCCAAACTTGCACTCGTCGCCGTACACTGTGTAGTCCTTCTCGATCTCCACCCAGAGGCTCGTGTCCCCGAGCCGCATGCGGTCGCCCGTAGTCGGACCAAACATCGACACGTACTGGCGTGAGCCAACCCTTGAGACTTGAGACTCACAACTTCCCGATCCATCTCCGGCACCGGCGCCTCCTCGACCCTCTCCTGCTTCTTGTGCGCAAAGTCGAGCTCTCTTACTCGCTGCGGCACGAGGGTGTGCCGCTTCTCCTCGTCCAGCGGCCCGGGGCACAGGCCGTGCCCGCCCGAAATTATCTTGTGCCCGCCGATCTCGACGAGCGGCACCGTCTTCCGCTCGCCTGGCTCGAAACGCACCGCCGTGCCTGCCGCAATGTCCAGGTGTTTCCCGTACGCGAGCTCGCGGTCGAAGAGCAGCGCCGCGTTCACCTCCAAGAAGTTGTAGTGCGAGCCGACTTGGATCGGGCGGTCGCCCAAGTTCTTCACCTCGATGTGCACGCGCTTACGGCCCGGGTTGAGCCGGATCTTCTCTTTGCGGCACACGAGCGCGCCGGGCAAGTCGTTCTTCGCCAGCTGGGCGCGGATGGGGAACTTGTCGTCGCTCGGGATGGGCAGGAAACTGCCGTAGAGCGCGAGGTCGAGGTCGACGCTGTCGGCACAGACGGGGTCGTGGACCGTGACGAGAAACGTGCTGGGGTAAGCTACGTCGTTGGGATTCAGCTGCTGATCGACGGCGCTAGTCCGCTCCGTTTGGCCACTCACCCGTCCTGTCGTTAGCGCGCTCATTCCACATCTCACAGGAAACGTCGCCTCGATCTGCACAGTATGGATCTCCTCCGGCACGCCGTCTGACATCAGCCCCGTCGATGTTATACTCACCCATGACGTGCCGCCGCCCGAGCATCTTCTTGCCGATGTCCATGAGCTGCGCGACCGAGTATGTCCCATCGCGCGCGAGCTCGTGCAGCTGGAAGCTGATGAGTCCGACAGCCTCGCCGCGGTTCAGCGTCAGTCCGCGCGCGAGGCGGCGCTGTGCGAGCTGGCCGACGGCCGCAATGAGGAGCTTGTCCTGGCGTTAGGAGATGCCCGCGCGAAGTAGGAGAGTGGGGGAGGGGTGAGGAGATGGGAAGGATTGGACGCGGTGGAGGCCAAAGACAAGCTCACCTGCTCGCGGGGGAGGAGGTGCATGTCGTCGGGGTCGGACTAGATGAGAATGGGAGCAAGATGGGCAAGATGAGCAACAGCAAGAGAGAGCAATGCATCCCGCTAGATCCAGCTGAGCTTGGAATAGCATAGCCGCGGAAAGCAGGGTGGGGTGGGCTCCGTGGTCAGCAGGCAGGGCGAGATTGTTGGGCAGAGATAAGCAATTCCATCCAGCCAACGACGTCACTCGCCGTGCGCCACGTCCGTGCTTTTCGGCCCGACGCCTCCATCTATATCTCCATATTTCCCATAATTGCCATAAACCATTACACAAGCCTGGGCACTGCCACCCCCCGCCACACGCACCATGCGAGGACGGGGGCGACGAGTCAGGCAACCGTGCACCCGAAATACGAGAACACGCTCCATTCCTCCTCCGTCGCGTGGGTGGGGAGCGCGCCACTTGCGCGCCTAATCTCGATCGTGTATGTTGTCGGTCGCTCCGGAATTGTATACTTCCAAGTCAAGTATTGTCCAGACGTGGAGTATGTGCCGGTCGTGGTGCGGACTTCGATGCCGAGGCTGAGCTCGGACTCTGGCCGGGGGTCCTTCGGGTCGTCGCTATCGCTGTCGAGGAGATTGGACGACGAGTTGACGCGCGAGCTCAGCTCCGAGCCCTTGGGTGCGGCGCCAGACACTGGCACCCACTCAAGGTCGCGCGCGTAATGTACAAAGGGTACGTAAATGAGCGTGCCGTCGCCGCTGTCGTCGGGGCCTACGGTGACGGAGAGGCGGAAGACCGAGGTCGAGATGTTAAAGTCGATGCGGGCGGGCACGCCAACAGTCGCGACTGGGTAGGGGCGGCACACAGCGCCGATCGCCCGCGTCCCGTCGAGAAGAAGCTCAGGCGTGATCTCCTTACCGCTATCAATGCCCTTGGGACTGACCTGCCGCGGCTGAAGAGTAGCCGACGTGCTCGTCGAGACGAGCGTCGCGGCACTCTCCGTGAGCGAGCGCTCCATCTTGTAGCTCGCGCCCTTGCAGTCATCAGAAGACCAGATGCTCAGGTCCTCGCCGTTCCACCCGTCGCCCCACTGGTGGGAATTGGTCGGCGTGTAGTTCCACAGCGTGTAGTTGAGACAGTTGGTGCCGTCGGACGCGTTCATAGATGCGTCCCAGCTCTTGAGCTGAGCCGAGTAGTCGCCCTTGCCCTTGCCGCCGTCGGCGTAGCCATACGCCGCCCGTCCGTCCTGGTCATACGGACACCCAATCTCGCCCATCAAGGTCGGGTAGTTGCCAATGCTTGCCCGTGTGTCCTCCTTCAATACACCTAGCTGCTCCTGGATGACCTTGCGGATGGCCGCCTCGCCGACGCGTAGACCTTGCACAATGCTCCAGTACTTCCCGCGCAGGATGCCGAGGGCATCGGCATTGAACCAGTTCCAATGCTTGGTCATGAGCGTGAGCCCGTCATAAAAGTGAGGAGAGCTACACGCCCGCCCAGAAAGGAAGGACTCGGGCAGCGGCGGCAGCGGCTTGAACACTGACGTGTTCATGAAATGCACGGCGTCCGGGTGATGCGTGCGCACGCTTGATGCGTACGACATCCAGTGCTGCCGCCAGAAGTCGTACACAAACTCGACCTCGTGAGACGCATCAGTGGGCAGTGTGTGGAAGTATGCCGGGTTCAGTAGCGTGCGGGTTGTCGGGTCCCACACACCGTGTTGGGCCCAGACTGAGGTCAGCATCTTGCTGCTGCGATCTGCCCATTTAGGCGGCTGCAAAACCTACTACACGTGCCAATCTCCCACTCGCTTCCGCGCTTCCAGCCCCACCTCCCGGCGCCACGCTCGGCGTCGTCCGCAGGCGAAATCCACATCCTTGTTCCCTGCGGGTCGAGCACGACCTGCCCGGTCTTGGACGGCCCCATGGAGGTGAACTTGTAGTTGTCCACAGCGAGCGCTTCACCCATGGCCAAGCGCATATTCTCGAACGGGGTGGGCACAGGGCCAAGGCGCACCGGCTGGTCCTTGGGCACCTGGTTGAGGTCTCGGACGCCTATCAAACCCTCGGCGGGCTCGTTAATCGAGTCCCAGCCCAAGACACACGACTCGAGTAGCTCGCCATCGCCGGCCGCCGCCACAACCTTGATGAGTTCGCCGACGGCGTCGATGAAGTGATCCTGCAGGAAGTCTTGGATGTTCTTTCCGTCGATGGTGCACTTTGGCGCAAACTCCTTGCCCGCGAAGAAGAGTGTCCATACCGTATGTCCGAAGGCGCGGTAATAGTTGGACGACCAGATCATCGCGGGCAGCGAGCCAGGGTCGGGCGACTCCTTGCTTGGGTAGTCGCACTGTACGAGCGCCGAGTATGTCGGCACAATATTGTGGGGATCCACGCCACACGCATAGATCGTCCATAGTGGCGCGCCCGAGCCGCCGGTGAACCGCGACCACTATCGTTAGCTCACCCGGTACCAAGTCCCAGTACTCACAACATCCTGGTGTGGATCCATGTACACGCGGAACCCCCACTCCTTGCACTTGTACAACACCTTGACGATATAATCCATGTACGCGTAATCGTACTTGCCCCTGTCGTCAGCATTCGGCCCGTTACAACAGGCCCGCTCGGCGTAACGCGAAGTACTCACGGCCCCTCGTGCTCCAGCGCCTCCCACGTAAACACGAAGCGAAGCATGTTGTACCCCCAAGCGCGCAAGCGAGCGAGGTGGATCTGGGCGTCAGCGGAGCCTCACCCAAGGCATACATCAGCGCTCCCGTCCTCGACGTTGAGCCCCATCGCACCGATCCAGTCGCCCTTGCCGCTCTCCGCTTCCTCCCAGAACCCCTCCTGGCTCTGGCTCGGCTGCCCCCGCGGCGCCTTGGCGCTCGCGGTGAAGTTGACGCCACGGAGAAGAACGCTGCGCCCCGACGTATCTTGGAAGTGGATGTCGGAGGCGTGGAGGTAGTCCGGCGGCACCGGCTTGCCGGTGACTGGCGAGACGGTGGCGACCTTGGGCATGGCGGGGTGGCGGGGAGGTCAGAGAGGCAATACAGGCGGTGGTGGGATACAGGCGTGTGTAGATGTCAAGATTACAGTCAAGATGGAACAACAGATGACAAAGAGTGGCTAGAGGAGAGAGATGGAGAGATGCAGCATCGCCTGTCGCGTCTCGGGAGGTGGAGATAGAGCGACGCCGATCTCATCATGGCACGACGGTGACGTCGGCCAATTCTCCGGGACTTATCCGGGGACATCGCGATAACCTGATGTTGACACTTTCGACATTTTCGACCTTGACACTTCGGCATGGCCTTCAACACCTTCAATGAGGGCCTCAAGATTGCATCGGTGCGTCTATGCTATGGTGGCGCTGATTTCAGAACATCGGAAACCGGGCTATCGCGGCCGAGGCAAGCCTCGCGAGCTTGAGCCCACTCGCCTCACCTCTCCCGACGCTCCACAAGGCGTTCAGCCTGTACGTGCAGGCCGCTGAGGCGTATTCGCACCTCTTGCAGAGCGCGCTGGTTCCGGCCAGCGAGCGCGCGGGCGTACAGCGCAAATGGCGACTAGTGCTGGAGCGGGCGGAGAAGGTGAAGAAACGGATCGAGGGGCTGGGGGGCCGCGTGGGCGCAGCCAGCGTCGACGAGGAAGCGGAGGAAGCCGCGGTAGTGCGTCGCGGCGCCGTAATCAATGGCTTCAAGGCGGAAGTGTGGCGCACACCGCCAGACTACGAGTTCACTGGAGCAGCGTGGCGCGACACGCGCCAGCCGGACCTCGCGGCAGAGCAGCTCGCGCTCTCACCTGAATGGGCGCCACTTCCAGACTCGGCGTGGGACGCGCCGCCCGGCATGTGGGAGGTGCGCCAGGGTCCTGGAGCAGACTGCTCTGTCACGGCTGGGCTGGGCGCCTGCATCGCGCACAATGCGCGGTGGGGGACAAAGGTGCGTAATCTGATTTCGGCGCTGATGCCAGCTGGGCGAATCTGCACTCTATCCGCAAGCCGTGTCCGGCCGACCTGCGCGCTCCGAGAACGCGAAGCACGTGGTCAAACTCCTTTTGAACGGAGCATGGCGCTCGGTCGTTGTCGACGCACTCCTTCCTCGCTCTTCCGCGCACAAGCCATTGCACATCACGGCGCGACAAGGCAACGATCACCTTGGCCCAGCGTGGATCCCTCTCGCTGTCAAGGGGTACTTCAAGGCTCTTGGGGGATACAGTATTCCCGGCAGCGACCCCGCGCCAGACGTGTATGCGTTCACGGGCTGGATCCCAGAGCGACTCACCCTTGCTTCCGGCTTCCAGCGAGAAAAGGAGTGGAGCCGTCTCCAGCGCGCCTGGGCCCGGGGCAGCGTAATCGTCACTCTGGGGAGCGGGCACGACGCGGCGCCAGGCTTGGTGCCGCTGCACGCGTACGGCGTGACGGGCGTGGACGAGGTCGACGGGGAGCGGGTGCTGCGGATCTTTGACCCGGGGTCTTGCCGGACCCCCAGCGTGGACACGCTCGCCGATGAGCTGCAGGAAGTTTCTGTTGGCGGCGAGAGGGCAGGATCTAGACGTAAGACCTCCCTTTGTCTCGCTGACCCAGTCGCTTACTCGTTCACAATGTCCTGGGATGAGGTATGCTCGAGGTTTCATACACTCAACCTCAATTGGGACCCGGCATTGATGCCGATTACGGCGGAGCGACACTGGTCATGGCTCAAGCCCGAGGGCGACACCGACGAGTCGCTGTCTCTGCGTGAGTCTCGGAAATGTCTTGAGTGTGACGCTGACACCAGGCTCGAGCCCGCGCTACCGCGTCACAGCGACGACGAGCCAGCCCGACGCCGAGGTCTGGCTCCTCCTCTCTCAGCACCGCAACTCGAAAGACGTGCCGTTAGACGATATCGCCGTCCATGTCTTCCGGGACCACCGCGCGCGCGTGCGCGCCGACGTAAGCCGCCTCGTCGCCCCAACGCATGAGGAGGAGGTAAGCGCCGTCTCGAGCACGCTAACCAAGAACCCATACACGAATGCGCTGCATACCCTAGTCCGCTATCCGCTGCGCGAGGGCGCCAATGTGCTTTCGGCACTACCCTCGCGCGACCGTGGCCTTCTACAAACGGGCTTCACGCTCCGCGCCTTCGCGGCGCCCGGCACGAGCCTGGCGCTGCAGCGCGTCGCCCTCTCTCTCCCATTTACGCAGGAGGCGCGGGGCGCGCTCACAAAACGCACAGCCGGCGGTCACCCCGGATATCCCACGCACTCCCGAAACCCGCAGTACCGCTTGGCGGTCGAGCGGGCGGGGACGCTGCGCGTCGCGCTCAAAGGCGCGGCGGAGCTTGCGTGGAACGTCAAAATCGTGTGGGGCGCCGAGCGCGTGTTCGAGCTCGCGGCCGAGGCCATCGTTGCGGCCTCTGGCGCGTACAACTACGGCATGGCGTACTGCGAAGTCGACGTCGAGGCGGGGACGTATACCGTGCTCGTGTCGAGCTACGAGCGCGACGAGGGCGCATACGCGCTCACGGTCGAGGCGAGTGCGCCGGTGTCGCTTACGAGCATACCGCAGGAGGGCGCGGGCATGTTCGCGCGCGCCGTACATGGCAAGTGGTAAGTTTGGCTGAGGATCGCCACATAGGTTCTGACCGCAGGGACGAACGAACGGCGGGCGGACGGCCCAGTGGGAACGGATACGATCGCAATCCCCGCATTGAGGTCACGCTTAGCACACCCGGCACGCTGCTCGCACGTCTTACGCTGCCCACCCCCGCACCCGTGCCCATCAATCTGACCGTGTTCAGACGGGGAACCGGCACCCTTGGGGAACAGGTAGCTACTTCTGGGCCCTATGTTGAGCGTGTGTGTGGTGTATCGACTGGAAAGGTGCGCCTCACCCCTGGTATCTACGTACTGGTGCCGAGCACATACAACGCCGTGTTGGAGGACTGGACAGTGGATGTCTGGGCCGACACGCAGTTCAGTACTGAAGTTGTGCAATAGTTGGCGGACCTATGGATTGATGTCGCATACTCCGTTTAAACAGCCATTGTCAGAGAATATACGGGCGCCCGGATTATACATGACTAGGAAAGATACAACTGGGCTCTAATCTATCTGTCAGATCCAACGACTTGCCAGCTGGCGACACCCAACTCTAGCCCGCCCCACTCCTCCATGACGGCGTCGTCATCGTCGGGGTCGAGCACGCGCGTCCGCGGCGGACGCGGCATGCGCACCGCTACAACGACGTCGAGCGGCTCGCCGATGATGGAGTCGAAGGCGCTATCGTCTTCTGGCGAGAAGCGGGGCGGCTTGGGGTCATGTGCTGTCTTGAGGTAAGACACATAATTAGGGAAGTAGGGGATAGGGGAGATCGGTTTAGCGGGCTCGGTGACGGTCACCGGGACGGGGATGAGGGCGAGAGGGCGCTGTTGTGCAGGCCGGGGAAGATCGGTAGGGAAGACCGGTAGGGAAGCGCGCAATGGCGTGGTACGGTATGCGGACCCAACATGAGCGAGACGGCCACGGAATGCGACGCGCAATTAAGGAGGCACAGCGACAAAGGTCATGAGTTGAGGGACGAGGTCGACGAGCCAGCAACAAAGGGATAATTTCGTGGCGTAGACACAAACATTGTTGTGATTGCAATGTAGGAGTGATTGGTGGCGCCAAGTCCGCAGTCGATTCAAAAGGGTGCACGGGCATGACGGAGCGGAGCGGACATGGATTCGGATGGCAGGCACGGGCGATCAGGTGGGGTATTTCGGCGGTTCCCACAGAACGGAGACACCGCAGTCGGGCAACAGAGTGAGAGGTAGCGAGGTCAAGGAGGAGGTGAACAGTGACAATGGGTGTGACGAAGGGGCACATGGAAGTGGGACGAGATTGTCAAGAATAGACAAGAGGCATGTGTCAGCATACGCATGGGCAGTGGGCAGCCGAGGGGCTGATCTTTGGCGCTACTCACCAGGTCCTCTATGGATCCAAGCTCGAGCTGCCCACGGGCACCATACTCGGCGTCTGGTGCGTGTGCGTTCGGAGCCGGTGGCTGAGGCTGTGGTGTTGGCTTCCGTTGTTGTTGTTGTTGTTGTTGTTGTGGAGGTTCTGGCGGCACGAGTGTACCGGCCTGGGTACGTACTTGTTCTGATGCAGAGGAAGTGCTGGTGTCGTAGAGGTTGGCAGACGTGTTTGCATCGTAGAAGAGATCTTCGACGTGCTGCACGCTGCCCTTCTCCTTGATGGGTGATGATGGAGTGCGTGGGGGACTGCGCTTGGCCCTGCTGGCCTTGGCATCCTCCAATACCTCCCACCAGTCGGGGGTGCGCCACCCGTCTAGCTTGCGGAGGGCGGGGCGCTCGCGCATCGGCACGTACCCGGTCATGCCGGGGACCATGAGGCCGAGGCGCTCCGCCTCTCTGAGCACAATGAGGCGTCGCCTCCTACTGCGCACATAGTTGAGGAGGGAGACGAGCGCAAATGCGCCGAGGACGGCGATGAGGATATAGAAGAGCTGGAGTTAGCTACTGCTGCACGGACAATGCGGGGGAGCGCACGGGAGAGACTTTGACTTCCATAGGAAGTGGGATGGAGAGTGAGGTGAGGTGAAGAGGGTGAAGTGGGTGATGGAGAGAGTTGAGGAAGGGGAATTCGACTGTCATGTCACCCCATGGCCTAAGTATATGACCCGTGTCGCAGTCCATCATCCCTCCGATGCGCAGTCCACCCGCAACTGCGGCGATGCATGCACGACATGACAGGAGGAGAAATGAGATGCGCAATGCATGCGACGGCGGCGGGAGATGCGGAGTGCCGATGCAATGCGATGGGCGCTGCACCAGCGGGTCGGAACGGACGTGGAGCTCGCTTACGTACTTTGTTGTAGAATCCATTCGAGTATCTCGTATTGCCGTCGCGGCGTACGAGTGCGGGAGAGCCCGCGGGCATGATGAGCGACGATGATGGAGATGAAAATGGCAGCGGAGCCGATGAAAGTGTGATGGCTTTGAGGGTTGAATGGAGGACGGTGGCGGTTGAAAAGGGAGTGAGCGGCAATCCACCAGCAGCGACCTGCGCCACCCAAGGACACCTTTGCCTAATCCCTGAAAGTGCAACTCATCCTCGGTCCAGGCTCCAGGCGTATCTGATTAGCTTTCCCACGCGTGTCTCCCGCTGGAGTCCCGCATTTCGTCAGGTCACGTGATGTCACTGACATTCTGACTTCAAGATCACTACTCCAACCCTAGCCTCATCTCCATCCGTCTTCTGCATCTCATCAAGTCAAGCCATGGCCGCAAACTCCAATGGCACGGCCTCAAACACCAACATCGTGGTCGTGAACCCCACCAACGGCTGCCCAGAGCCCTCCACTCAGGCAGACGATGACACCCTCCGCGTCCACTTCCTGGGCACAGGCACATCGACTGCTCTCCCCGTCGGCCCCTGTCTCGCTGAGGTGGACATTCCATCACGCGATGTAGGCCTCTTCCTCCAAGACTACAAGGCCGCCCCCGAGGATGAGCGCACTCCCCACAAGTGGGGTGGGTATGATCCCTCTGGTCAGTGGCCGGCGAGTGTGCCCTGCGGTTCCTGCCGCGGAGCAGTGGACCCTCTCGTCAAGGAAGGGTGGAAGAATCGACGCGGTAACCCGGCCATTGTGCTACGCAAGCGGCGCGGTGGCGAGTGGCGCAACGTCGTTGTCGACGTAGGGAAGACGTTCCGCGAGCAGAGCTGCAAGTTGTTCCCGCGCTGGGGGATCAAGCGCATCGACGCGGTGATCATCACTCACGGTCACGCCGATGCGTACAACGGCCTCGACGACCTTCGCGAATGGTGCGGACGCCAAGGCGGACACATCCCGATCTACTGCTCGGCTCTGACTTTCGAGACCATTTCTGCTTCTTTCCCTTACCTTGTCGACAAAAGCAAGGCAAGCGGCGGCGGCGACTTGCCCACACTCCACTTCCACATACTCAAGGATGACACCACACCTTTTGAAGTCGAGGGAATTACTGTTGCCCCGCTGCCCGGTAAGTTTAGCTGTTTTTGACAGAGTTGTGTTTTTCTCCTTTTTCAGGCTGACATTTAGTGCATCATGGGAGCTACTTTTCCGCCGCGCCACCCACCGAGCCTAGCAAGCCCGGCACGCCTGTCAATGTCGGTCACCACGGCCCCAGACCAACTGCTAGCAAGGAGCCGTTCATCTGCCTCGGCTTTGCGTTTGACTCGCGACTCGTCTATCTCTCTGACCTGAACGCGGTACCACCCAAGACATGGGACCTCATCGATGCCGCGGTGCCGAACAAGGAGGACAGCGTGCTGATAATTGACACCTTGTGGCCGTGGCGTCCGCACCCCTCCCATGTCTCCTTCCCTCAAGCCATGGACATTACGCTTGGTATCAAGCCAAAGGCGACCTACCTTCTCGGCATGACGCACCCCACCACCCACTACATGTGGGAAGAGGTGGGCCTCTCCCTCCGCGACCAGGAGCGCCACGATCCCAAGCACCATGATACGGCGCTAGCAGACATGCTCATCAAACGGATCTGGGAGCACGAGGACATGGCAAAGATTGCCGACGACCTCAAGGCGTGGGGCGGTCGCGTCGAGCCAGGATGGGATGGACTGGCGCTTGAGATTGCCCCTGGCCGTCTGGAGGAGCTTCCTATCAGCAAGGGTGGAAGCGCTGGTGGCTGGGGCGTGGATCTCATGTCGGCGCTGTAGCGATCGCCTAAAGCCAGGCGCGCGGGAGCTAGGAGGGCTTGGGGGTGAGAGCTCTTGTCATATAGAAAATAGCAGCGAGTAGACGGCGTAGAAATGTAGATGAAGACAGACAGGCATGCATGGACGGTTGATTGCCATAGCCGCACAGAACGAGGTATATGGAGGGACGGATGATGGTAATAGCACCCGCCTTCTCGAAAGCTAATAGGCTAATGAGGGAGGGTTAATGAGTGAAATGTGAGTGACGTCAGCGCCCTCAAATGCCCAACCCAATCTACTACTCTGGGTGATTTGAGAACGTGATTAGGATTATAGGATGGGCGCCGGCCGAAGAGAGCATTCCACCAGCCATTTGACGCCACTCGCCGCAGTCACTCTCTCTTAAAGGATCCCTCCACGCCCCGTCCCCACCTTCCCCCATCACAACTCGTCAGCGTGGTATCCATTCCACCTCTTTCATCATCTCAACAACATCCCTCCTCACTCCTTGCCACCTCTTCTCACCTAGACCCAACATGAAGATCGCTGCCCTCCTCGCCGTCCTCGCCGTCCTCGGCGGCACGGACGCCGCCGTCCACAAGTGAGTTGCCACCCATCCACTTGCCTTGCGTCATTGCACCGGCCTCCCAACTAACCATCTCCAGGATGAAGCTCAACAAGATGGACACCTCCAAGCACCTCAGCCCCGACTTCTCCCCCCTCAAGGAGGCCGAGTGGCTCATGGAGAAGCACCTTGGCGGCCTCTTCGGCGGCGAGGCCCAGAAGACCTTTAGCGGTCGCCGTAACCGCCCGATCCGCATGTCGGATGAGGACAAGGACGAGTTCTGGGCCCAGATGATTGAGGAGTCCAAGGACAACGCCGGCGCGCTCAAGGGCGGCCACGGCGTTCCCCTCTCTAGTGCGTTTGTTGACACTATTGACACCCTTGTCACACCGGTCAAGTCACGTCACGCTGACACTCAGACTACATGAACGCGCAGTACTACGCCGACATCACCCTCGGCACGCCGCCCCAGGACTTCAAGGTCGTGCTTGACACTGGCTCTTCCAACCTCTGGGTGCCCTCCAAGTCGTGCTCGTCGATCGCGTGCTTCCTCCACGCAAAGTACGACTCGGACGCCTCGTCGACGTACAAGGCCAACGGCTCGGAGTTTGCCATCCGCTACGGCTCGGGCTCGCTCGAGGGCTTTGTGTCGCAGGACACGCTTGCCATCGGCGACCTCAAGGTCAAGAAGCAGGACTTCGCCGAGGCCACAAAGGAGCCCGGCCTTGCCTTCGCCTTTGGCAAATTCGACGGCATTCTCGGCATGGGCTACGACACCATCTCGGTCAACCACATCGTGCCTCCCTTCTACAACATGATTGACCAGAAGCTGCTCGACGAGCCCGTCTTCGGCTTCCGCCTTGGCGACGGTGACGGTGACGGCGGCGAGTGCACCCTCGGCGGAATTGACAAGGACGGTTACACTGGCAAGATCCACTACATCCCCGTCCGCCGCAAGGGCTACTGGGAGATCGAGCTCGAGGCCGTCAAGTTCGGCAAGGATACGCTAGAGCTCGAGTCCACGGGGGCCGCCATCGACACGGGCACGTCTCTCATTGTTCTCCCCACGGACATTGCGGAGATGCTCAACGCGCAGATCGGCGCCGAGAAGAGCTGGAACGGCCAGTACACGCTCGACTGCGCCAAGGTGCCTTCTCTCCCCAAGCTCTCGTTTGTATTTGGCGGCAAGGACTTTACCCTCTCGGGCGAGGACTACACGCTCAACGCGGGCGGCACCTGTATCTCGGCCTTTACGGGCATGGACTTCCCCCCGCCCATGGGCCCCATCTGGATTATCGGTGACTCGTTCCTGCGCCGGTACTACTCGGTGTACGACCTGGGGAAGAACGCCGTCGGTCTCGCCGTGTCCAAGTAGTCAGAAGTGTCGTATGTGCCGTACGTATCAAGCATGAATGCAGTATCCACCTGAGTAGTGCTACCAATTTCCTCTGCGCAAGAGAGGTACTCGAGTTAACGGCGTGATCGTTGACGGCTGACGGCTGCTCAATGTAAGTACGGGACGCGCCGATGGTCTGGCCACTAGCGTTCGGCATGAGCGAGTCGAGTGCAGTGAAGAGCGCAATCCGGGCGTGGGCGTACAGCGCCGCTGATTACCACATTGCAAGAGTCGCAAGGCGGCGTCGCCCGACGGCGCGGTCTGAATGTTGCCAGCCAGCGCTACAGGTGGCGTTGGACGGCAAACTGCAGTGACTGCAGTGGACCTGCGTGGCGCCAAATGCGCGGATCGCCGATCACCGCCTTGCGCGTCTGTCGACGCTCGCAGATTCTTTGGTGCTGTCGACCGCTGCGTCTCACGATACGCACAAGCCGAAACTACGCACAATTATCCTGACGTACTGACGGCGGACGGGTGAGATGTCCTAGCTAAGCGATCAGCGGCGAGCGACTGCCTGGTGGGTGCTAGGCCGGCGATAAGGAGGGTCGCGACTTGAATCGTACCGAGTCACGCCTCGTGCAGTAGCGCGATGCAACAGTAGTGGAACGACGGGGTCAGAAGCCAGGTCATGTGTGGCACAGCGTGTGTTCTCGGTATTTGTGATTGCTGGCGAAAATTCCTGCCTGGAGAGAAATCTTCCAAGGATTCCAAGCATCTGCAGCGTAATCACAGGCCGTGCGCCGCCAATGCGTACGGCAGTTTCCCAGAATCACGGCCATCGATAAATCTCCAAGACATCTCCCGAAATATGCTACACAAAAATAATCAACGCTCTTCTCCCGGCAGACGCAAATTACGCTCCGCCACAGCCCGTTCTCTCTCCGCTTTCCGCGCCGCCTTGGCCTCCGCCGCCGCCGCCCGCTCCTCCGCTCGCTTCCGCGTGCCCAGTCCCCCATGCTGCGCCGCACATACCAGTGCCCCGACCTGGGATCAGACCTCTGCGTGTCGTAACATGCCACTCACCTGCCCCGCCGTCAGCGACGACACATCGATCGCCGTCCCGCCGATCGTGATCCGTGCGTCGCCTTCACCTTTGATGCCCTTGATCTTGAGCAGCATACTGATCTGCTTCTGGGTCGCGGGGCGCGCCCGCCACGGCGCAAACTCGCTCAGTCTCCATCAGCGCGTCCGTCGTCGACACATACTGTTGTAGGCTATTGCGTGCCATGCGCCGCTCGACGTACGCGTCCGCTGTGCGCACGGCGCGTTCCGCGTCGTCCGCGTATGCGAGCTGTACGACGCGACCGTACGGGCTGCCTCGGCGCGGCACACCGCCGATGCGCGGCAGCTTCGGGGTCAGGCTTACGCTCCATTTGTCGTCGATGGGCTCAATGGTGAGATGGCCGCTTCCCATGAGTTCCAGAACGTGCTTGCCCTGCCCGCAATGCACCCAGGACAGGTGTGATAGTGCCGGAATATGCACTTGCTTAGGCGACTTCAATGCGAACGGGTCCGATATGTCCACCATTCGGATTTTGGTGGGCGTGGAGACGGCCGGCGTTGCAGACGCCCTCGCCGCCTTGGCTTCAGCCCGTTCGCGCTCGTCCGCCACTTCCTCATGGGTGAGGCCGAAAAGCGTTGGTGAGACCAGCATGCCGCTTGCGCGCGAGATGTTGTCGGCGATGTCGATGAGGTAGCAGTCCTGCTTCCCTGTGCTGGGGGAGAGGCGGAGTCCTCGCCCGACCTGGCGTCAGCGTGAATGCTTTCAAGCCCTACCATCTGTGCCAGAAGATTCTTGCTTCGCGTCGGGCGCGCGAGCACGACACAGTCAATCTCCGGCACATCCGCGCCCTCGGTGAGTACCTCGCAGTTGACGAGCACGGGAAACTCGCCATTACGGAACGCCTCCATGACGTCTCGTCGTGCTCCCGCGGGCATGGCGGAAGTTATGCTGCGCGCGTCGACACCGGCGGTCCGAAACGCCGCCACGAGGTCGGCCACGTGCTGCAGGTTGACGGCGAAGACCAGTGTCGAGCGGCGGTCGGCTGCGGTGAGTGTGTGCATCTGGGTGCAGGAGCAGTGTGCAGCCTGCAGTGACTATAACTCGAACCTACCTGCGCGATGGAGATAGGTCCGCACAATGAGAAGGTTGACTGCGGGCGTGTTGACGTGATTTGCAAGCGATGCTGTTGCGTACTCGCCCGTGGACGTTGTTTCAACATCGCCGAGTTGCAAGTCAGCATATACCGCCGTGCTCTTGACGGGCGACAGCCTTTGATCAGTGAAGTTCTGGAGTAGTAACGCACCATCCCTCCTCCAACATGTTTCCAACATCGCGATGAAACACGATCTCCTCAAACGCGGCCGAGAGCGCGAGTGTGTCGTGTCGGCTGAATGTCGCCGAAAACCCCACTATTGGAACGTCTGGAGAGTCGTCAAGACTGCCGTCAGCGACAGCTCAAGCAACATTTGCAGAGACTTACGTCTCATACGGGTCGACGTCGGACGGGAGCGACACGCCTGCGTTGAAGTAGTGTAAGAGCCGAAGATACGATTTAGCGGCGGCGTGGTGAGCTTCGTCTACAATGACAAGCTTGAAGCGCGCGGGGTTGAACTTGCGCAAACGGACAGGATTAGAAAGTGTCTGGTAAGTCGCGACGGTGCTGGCTTCAGTCGAGCAATACCACGCAGCTCACATATCAGCGAACCCCGAGGCGACATGCTTGGCCTGCTCGAGCTCCACGCTCCATTCAGGCAGCAGGCGGCGCGCAACAGCCAGCGCCTGTTCCGCAAGCTCCACGGAGCCTACGAGTATCAGAGTTTGGCCCTCACCTGGCCCCGCGCCAACTAATGGCCTCCCCTCTTTCCGGCGGTGGGCTGCGACATCGTCCACCCCCGGCACAGCCGGGATGAGGTGCATGAACATTGTCGTCTTGCCGCTGCCTGTGGGCGACGAGACGCCGATGCGCCGGCATCCGCGCGCGAGCGCGCTGAGACACGCGTCGATTGCCTCAGTCTGGTACGGGCGTAGGGTGAGTGGAGCGGAGGGCGGGTCGGCGCGAGGCGCAGCTGGGTCGTGGGCGGCGGGTATTTCCTGCGCGCTCTTCTGCTTTCTTGGCTTTGCGGGCGTGTCGGGCGTCGAGCGTGCTTTGGCTGTGGGGCGTCGCTTCAGAGGTTCTGAAGCGGCGGGGAGGAAGGAGGTCCAGCGCCGTGCCGCTACCGCGACTTTCGGCGGTGATAGTGCGAGGCGGGACGGGCCTGCCAGCGCACAAGCGGGTCTTAGTGCCCGCACTGCGCGGGACATGATGAGAAGACGGGTGATGGCGATGCTGACCATCAGTGGTCTGCCAGTTCCAGCAACATTTATGGAGGTGTGGAGAAGTGGAGGTGGAGGTGGAGGGAGATACAAAGTGGGGCAGACGTCGAGGAAACCCACATATCGAGGCGAAGTCTGCATACAATAGCATCACTACAATTACGGACCCAGCTGCCCTCTACCCATCTACCGTCCCCTCCGCTATCGTCCTCTCATCTAATCTTTAACGCGTGTAGAAGAACCAGTCGACGTGGTCACCCTCGTCCTGGAGCTCGAGCTTCTCCTCAGCGGTCCACTCGCGCCCGCGGGCAGCGTTGCGCGCGGCCTTGCGGTTGTTGGCCCACCCAGCGTAGAACCACCAGAAGACGCCGGTCAGCGAGAGCAGGCAGCAGAAGCCGATGCACACGCTGTGGCCCTTCTTGAAGCGCGGGCCGTCCTCGGCCGGGAAGAGGAACGAGGACGCGACACCACCCGAGTTACCGCTGCAGATGAGGATGCCGGTGGCGACCGACTTCTTGAGCGAGCCGCCAAAGTTGTTCGAACCCCATGCGACGATGATCGGGAACGCGGGGTAGATGCCGCAGGCGCCGAGGAAAAGGGCGAAGTACGACACGGCGGTAGAGACGTTGGCGAGGAGGAGGCCGTAGCCGAGGGCGCCGATGAGGCCGAAAATCATGATGAAGGGAGCACGGGTCTTGAGGCGGTCCGAGAGCCAGCCGATAAAGATGGTCATGAACGAGGCAGCGACGTACGGCGGCGTCGACATGAGCTGTGCCATGCCGGCCGTGTAGCCGAGCTGCCTGATGATGGTGGGGGAGAAGAGGGAGAAGCAGTACAGCGGCACGACGGCGGAGAAGAAGGCAAGGCCGAAGAACCACGACTTCCAGTCTGGACGTTAGTGTTGTTTGGGCGTGTGGCGGAGAGTACTCACCAAAGAATGCGTCGCGGATGAAGCGCTTCTTGTACTCGCCCGAGCAGCCGTCGGTGTCGAGGCGAAGACGCTCCTGGAGGACCTTGCGCTCGGCGGGGGTCAGGAACTTGGCGGTGTCCGGGTAGTCGTGCATCATCCAGAACGAAGCAATGGCAACGACAACAGTCGCGATGCCCTCGAGGATGAAGATCCAGCGCCAGCCCTCGTATCCGGCTGCACCGTCCATAAGGTTGATGAGACGGGCGAGGAGGCCACCGAAGGCACCCGCGATCGTGGCGGCCGAGAAGAAAAGAGCGACACGCAGCGAGATCTCGAAACGGCGGTACCACTGCGTCAGGAAAAAGGCGATGCCGGGGAACAGGCCCGCCTCAGTGACACCGAGAATGATACGGGCAGCGAGGAGGCCCTCAAAGTTCCGCACAAAGCCCATGCCGACCATGACGACGCCCCATGCGATCATGATGATGGGGATCCACATCGATGGCCGCCAGGCCTTCATGACGATGTTGCTCGGCACTTCAAAGAGAACGTAGAAGATGAAGAAGAAGGCCAGACACATGGCTGGAAATTAGCGATTGTACCAGACCGGACACTGCACGTGCGCTCAGACAGAGATGAACTCACCATACTCGGTCGAAGTGAGGCCAAGGTCGGTGGACAGGCCGAAAATGTTGGCATTTCCGATGTTGGTGCGGTCCAAAAATGACAAGAGGTAGAGGAGTGCCACCCAGGGGATGATGCGAATGTCGCTGGCTATGAGCTACTGCGCCTCGCACTCCACGTGCGCCCCTGCCACGCCGTATTTGTTACTCACCACTTGCGGATGATCGCCTTGGTGTTGACCTCCTGGAGCTCGATGTCGCCGTCCGAGCCGACATAGTCGTCGTGCTCGATGGTGCTCTTCTCCACTGGGTTCTTCTTGTCTACGTAGTCGCCCATGGTGTGAGTGTCGGGGGATCAGGTGTCTCTCAGAATTGGGGGCAAGCCATTTATACTTCTCTGTCGTATATTCGTATGTGGCGGTCGCAGCCGGTATGAGACGCGAGACTGAGCGAGCCGGTGTCATCCTCTGCAACCTCTGCATCCTCTGCAGCTGTCGCCTCCACCTCGGTTACCTAGCCTCTGCCCGGCCGGAAGGGCCTAGTGGGGGCGATGGGTGGAACATTCGTCATCTGCTAGAGCTCCAAACGCGAGCATGAACGTAAGAGGCGACCATGGCCATGGTTGCAAGCGCGCCTGGCACGGAATGGCTTGGCTGTGCCACCAGACATGTGGGGTGACATGTGGGGCCGGTGATGGTCCGGCGCCATGTCCAGGGCGTGGGAGGGGCACTCGGGGAATGCCCGTGCGGGGTTAAGCAGCTTGGAGCACCCAATGGCATCCCTGGCATCGGTTGCCGAGCTCCATTCAGACTGACGCCGGATTCTTGTTGGCTCTTCGTTGGCCTTTCAGCACCGCCGATTACCGCTCGCCTCCGCCTCCTCCGCTCCGGATCCGCTACGGGATGTTTGTCATCGAGGTGGGCATCGCTCTGCTTTGTTTCTTAGACTGGTCATGTGGAATACCCGAGCGCTGTTAGGCTGACGGAGCCGTGTTACGCTCTGATGGTGAGATTGCCGACCGGCGAGCGTATAGCGGCGGACATTGTGACTCGGCGACATCTACGGGGTGGACGGATGTCACGTCCCCGCTCGATATCCCCGGCGGTGAGCTCTCGATATCCATGGGTGTGGGTGATGACGCCGATGTTTGGCACACCGGGCGCAGATTACAGCGCCGTCAACCTCAGATGTCGGCGGTGGTTGCCGCCATGTGTTCCCCTGGCCGATACGACCGACCGCGTTGAGTAGCCGCAGCACGACCTCTACGCCCCCGCCCGCGAGGCACCGGCGGACTTGTGGCCCCATGGATGCCCGTAGAATCCCCGGTCGGTGACCTGGGCGCATTGTTGTGGGCGAGGTGGTTGCGATTGGGTGTGCGATGACATTCCCGGGGCCCAGGTACGCGCGACGCTGCCAAGCGCGGTGTTGAGACGGATGATAGGGACTACTAATGTGCTAGTTGAGGACAAGTTTACCAGATGGCGAGGGCGCAGTGATTGGTGCTGACGCCGGGCGGTGAGGACGGCAGCATCGGCGTGGAGGGCGGTGCACCTCTTTGATCACCGATCGCGCGCGTCCACCATGTGAAGGGACGCCGTCGGCTTCATTGGCGATATCCGGGCCATTCACGAGGCAACAAGTTCACCACGACCTCCAGTGACAGACCGAGTGATCAGGCGCTGGTGACACTTGTTAAGCGAGCCTGGTTTAGTAACAATATCTGGCCGACTCTTGAGGCAAGTCAACCACCACCAGTGCACCAGAACGTCGTTTCAGGACTACTCCGACCGCATCAATGGTCCCCGGGACCCGGACTCGTTCCGTTGTCCGCGAGAATAGGAGACATCCGTTCGACATGGTCTGGGTCGGGTCGCATGGCGTTTGAGGAAATTGATACTGGCCACAGGGAAGAGGCTGGATCGAGAAACGACTGGCGGCGCTGTAAGCCAGCGCCGTTCGCCGCTCGCGCGCTCACGTGCGTGCCATGCCTGGCAGCAGGCAGCAGGCAGGCGTGGTATGCATGCCAGGGCGCGAGCGGGGAACGGGGGTTGTCCTGTGAGCTTTATGTAGTGCATGCTTTCTCAAGGGTGGGCGCTGCCGCTGTGGCAGTGTGGCGGGACGGAATGCATTATTGCTCGTCCACCTCGACATTACCGGAGCTACTCCGTGAGTATTCCGTGAGGGCTCGACCACGGTCGTCAACGAACTCCATACAACGCCAAATATTCAGAACTTGGCGGGAGGAGCTCTTTGTCGCGGATCCAAGCTTTACCGCCCGCCGTCTCACATCGTTACCTAGTCGTCATCTAGACACCAAACACAATTATGATACACTATAGCCACTGCTGCCACGCATGTACGCGCCGCCCAAGCGTGCTGTCACACCGGCTGCCGACGGCGCTCCGCCGCGCCGCGCTGTCGTCGTACTCGTCCTCCCGCCGTCTCTGAGCATCAGCACAGTCCGCGCTGCCCACATCCCACCCACAAGCCGGGCTGGGACTGCGCTCAAGCCTACGCACCACACTGGACCCGTCGCCGCTCCACGCCGTCGTCAGCGCCCAGGTGTACATGGGCGGAATGAGCTGCCACACCGACACAGGCATGTGGTGCGGGTCGAAGACGTTCGCGTCCGGCGCGGCCGGCAAGTCGTGCCGGTCCATCATGCGCCATGTCCAGTCCGTTACGTCCAGCGCGACGGAGCAAGTGAATGCGTCGCCTGCTGATGCACCCGCTACGAAGGCAGCGAGGGGCGAGACGGAGGAAGGCATGCGTACCGCCTCACGCAGGACAGTGAGGACGAGCGCCAGCGTGCCTTCGCATTCGTACTTGCGCAGGAAGAGGACGAGCGCGCGGAGGAGCTCAAGCGAGTCTAGTGTCGTCCCATCGTCCGGGATTGTGAGGTGTCCGCTGCTGACAAAGTTGAGGAAGAGCCGGAAGACGGGTGCTGTTTCGGTGGGCTCGGATAGGCGGAGGTATCGCGCATGTACGACGCCGGGGAGAGGAGGAGGCTCGCGCTCTTCGAGCCCATCGATGTCGTCCATACCATTAAGCATCTCAACATCGTCTCGCCCGTGGTCGAGGTCAAGGATGTCTGCCTCACGGAAGATTGCACTGGGTGAGCGATGCCGGCTTGAAACTTGAACAACTTACCTCGCCGCAAACAAGTAGTAGCTTGGCACGCGGAATCGCACGCTGTCGCTGGTCACGATCTCAAAGTCGCCTTCGATCCAATACTTGTCGTCGATTATGGGCGGAGGAAGGGCGATGGACTCGCGTCTTCCGAAGGAATACCCATATGTGCTGTTACGGCGGCCAACGGGGATCGGCATGGCTTGGGCGGAGCCGCGGCGAGACGAATCCCGCGAGTATCGCTGGCCAGACGACTCGCGGGTGTGGTAAACTGTTGCGGAGGGCTCGCGGGCATGTCCGAGCCCGACGGAGACGACTGACGGTGTCCGGTGTCGCTGTCCCGAGGGTTCGCGCGTGTGGTGCCTGCCGGCGCTCGAGCCGACCGCTGAGGGAGGGGGCATAGCGGAGGGCGGAGGCATAGCGGACGGCGGAGGCATGGACGTGGGTGGGCCGCCTAGTCCAACCGCCGATTGGGAGTAGCGTTTAGTGGTGCGGGTATGGCTTGCGTCAGAGCTTGTTTGAGGCGCGATCGTGCTCATCGTGCGATGGCGGGGTGTGGACGGGAACAGGGTGGCCGTCGGGGTAGGCGTGTAGAGCGTCGACGCGGAGAGGGCGCGAGGGCGACTGTTGGTGTGGCTGTGTGGGTGGGGGGAGAGGGAGTTGTTGGCGGCGTTGGTGTTGTTGGTGTGGCTGGTGTAGCTGGGGTGGTGGTTAGAATGATGTGAGTGACTGGAGTAATGGGCCTGGTCGTGGTGCGAGTGGTGTGAGTGCTGCGAGTACGAGTGTTGGGAGTGATAAGAGTGAGGCTGGGGAGTAAGACCAGGCGAGACGTCCTCTCGGTGCGGCGAGAGGCCCGGGAACAGGCCGTCGCTGGGCGGGCTGGGGAAGCGGGGGCCAGACGCAGGGAGATGCAGCGTGAGGTTCTTGCTCGCGCTCGCTCTGCTAGCCTTGCTTTCTCGTGGTCTGCCAGAGTTCGGCTTGTCTCTGTTGGAACTCGACTTGCTCTCTCGACTCGAGGGCGAGGGCGAGGCCGAGTCTGACTTGGCCGACTTGGGGTTCGAGATGGGTGTGGTAGGCTCGACGGGGTTGGTGTCGACGGCGCGTTCGAGGCGAAGGGCCGGGGTGTCGCAGCAGGGGTGGGAGTGAGGGGGGGAGAGGAGGAGCGAGTGCGAGTGCGAGTGCGAGTGCGAGTGCGGGTGCGGGTGGGCGTGGGGGCGCGCGGCGCGGCAGTGCTCCGTGCAGGCCATGGTCAGAGCTGAAGATGAATGAGGATGGCGAATGAACAAGAAGGGAGAAGGAGACAAGGAGGAGACGAGGTCGATTCTTGATGGTGGCAAGATCAGGATGAGATGCGCACGGGCCACCGCACAGACTTGCATCTTCATCATCCCTGCGCACACGTTCATCACGCTCTTGTTTGCTCGCCAGCTCGATCTTGCCATCTTGCTCGCGAGCGTTCGTACCCCGGTCACCCAGGCCTTGCCAGCCCCAGCCACAGCCTCGAGATTGTTCATTACCCATTCCATTGTGAACCGTGCAAAGGCATCCCTGCATGACCCAATATGTACTGCTGCTGCTGCTGCTGCTCCAGCTGCTGCTGCTGCTCACACTTCTCCACTCCTCACGACGCCCGCATCAGTCTCCCGTTCTTCTCGTCTTCGATGTACGCCCTGCGATCAGCACACTCAACCCTCTCCAACTCACGTCAGGGCATAGCTCGGCTCGCCGTACGTCTGGAGATATGCACGTAGCACCGCGCGCTCGCTGTGCGGCAGCATCTCCGACATGGCGCGCACCTCCTCGTCGCTGACGTTGTGGTCGCGCTGCGCGAGCGGCGATGCCCCGTGCGGCCCGTGCACCGGCGCACCGGGGCCTGGCGCCGGCGAGCGCTGCCTGTCCAGCGAGCTGCGCTGTGCCTCCTGGCTTACTCGCCCAGGTACGTCGCGCGGGCCCCGCGGCACGCCAAGCGACGGCTGGAGGCGCGGCCCGTCGAGGCTGTCGAGGCTGCTCCGGCCTGCCGCGGGCGAGTAGGGCGCTGAGATGGGCATGCTGCGCAGCTCTCGCTTCGAGCCGCTCATGCTCGGCGCGTAGGCCTGTGGGTTCGCCGGGCCGAGGCTCGCGAGCGACGCATTCTCCTTGTCCCGCTTGAGGAAGCCGAAGGCGCGACCCAGGCCGCGTGGTTGTGGCTTGTATGATGACAGGCTTGTGAGACTCTGCATGCTGTTCGACCCCTTGATGTGTTGCTGCAGCTGCGGGTAGGGAAGGTTTGAAGGAAGTGCAGTCGGGGCGTCTGCGAGATCGAGGTTTCTCACCGAGAGCTCTTTCGCCGCGGACGAGAATCCGTCCGCTCTCATAGGGAACTCGGAGCCACCGGACACAATGCGCTGCGTCTCCTCAGGCGCACGTAATCCGAAGCCTAATGCCGACTGACCAGGCGCCTTTGGCCGCGGCATCATCTGCCGCACTGGAGGTTCTATCCTCAGCCCAAAGTCCGCGTGGCGCAACTCACGGTGATAAAGCCACTCGCGCAGGCCCGACTCTGTCCGCTGAAGCTCGGCCGTGCTCTGCTCGTACGCTCTCGCGCGATCCCTCGGCGTCTTCAGCTGCTTAATACTCCCAAACAACACGGCGTTGGGCAAAGAACTTGGTGAGAACGTCGAAGCTGTTGGCGAAAGGTGCGAGTAGTTGCTCGATCTCAGCGACAGTATCGACGACGCCTTGCGCACGTGGCGGACAGCGTTTCCTGTCCTTTGGGTTGCTGCGTTACCCGCGGCAGCCACGCTGGCCCCTACGCTGCTCATCAGGCCCAGACCTATTGGGCTCGCGCCGAGCATAGCTCGCCCCGTCGGCGACGTCCCATGCGAGGTGCCGGCTGATGGGAGTTGCGCGAACTGCTGCTCGGGTGTGTGAATGGGCACAGCGTTGGCATAGCTGGAGGCCGAGCGCACGGGCACCTGTGAAAGTGTCAATGGCACGCGATGTTTGGGCGGCTCGCCAACATTTGGTGGCGGCGTGTCCCGCGAGTCGATTAGTCCAATCTCGTCGATAGCCCCGCCAAGGATGTTTGTCAGGTCCTGGATGGTGCCCGACTCGCGCATGCTCGGCTTTGGTGACCCCTCTCGTTCGCTGGGTAGAGGGGCGGTGTGTGACCGCGGCGAGGGGGCGCGGGCGCTCCGTCCAGGTTGCTGCGGCGAGGTGACAGGCGTGTTGGGCGTGTTGATGATAGTGGGGAGCGTGTGAGTACGCAGACCTCCTGATGGTCGCAGCGGCTTGACGTGGTCGACGTTGTTATTGTTGTTGTTGTTGTTGTTGTTGTTCATGGTGATTGGGGAAGATAATGAAGTAGGGGTAGTGACGAGGGGACCGCCTGGTGGCGTTGGCGTGCGTGTCGGCCTGTAGAAAGGGTTAGCATGCACAGACCCCGGTCCCAGACTCAGCAACGACTCACTGTTTACGAAGTTCACTCCGAGGTGGAGGTTCTGGACTTCGTCTTGCACCCAGCACAGGATCCCCATTTGGTGCGCTGAGCTTGCGTTCTGATGGCGAGTTCATGTGCGCAGACGGCAAGAGTGAAGTAGGACGACGTGCTTCCGGGAGCCCGATGTCGCCAAAACCTGTTTTGATCGCGGGCGCACTGTGAGGCATTTCTGGATCTTCCTTGCCCAGAATGGACAAACCTACGCGACTGCCGCGTGTTGTATCCAAACCCACGCCATTAGCCTCGCGTGCTTCACGTTCCAACGCATCGATCGAGCCTCGCGACACGTCAGCCGGCGCGACGAACAGCAACCGCCCGCTTTTAGGGAGCGAGGCGCGCGGCGTTTGTGACCCCGACCGCGCGGACATTGCAGAGTTGCGCGGCGTGCGGTCGCGGGATGGTGATGGCGTACGTACAGCACGCCGCCGGTCGAGGAGAGTCGCCCCTGGTGAATGCCACTGGCCAGAGGCGGCGCCAGGTGCAGCGGCCTCCGATGGCGAGATAGGCGCACTCGAGCTCCTGTGGTCGCCGCCTTCCCATGCACGCTGGTGCGCCCATTCCTCAAATGAGGGGTCGAGCAACACGTCAAGGCGCCCCTCGGCGTCAACGAGCCCACGCGGCCGCTGTTGCAACATTGGCGACGTGCGGCGCGGTATGGGTCTCTGCACTGGCTCTTCTCTCCCGCTCTCGTCGGGTAGCGAGTACTCGCTCTCGCCTGAATTGCTCGAAGCACGACTGGATGGGCGATTTGAGTTGGACGCGCGAGGGATGCTCCCGTCGCTGGGGTACGAGACGAGATGGATGCGACGGTTGCTCTGCCCGGCGGCGGTGGCCTCGTGATCGCGGGGCATACCACCGCGCGGGTCAGGCAAGTCGGCGGCCGTGCTTGATCCGGCAAGGCGCGCGTGTTCCTCCTGGACGACTAGATCGCGAAGACTCACGTCACTTTTGTTGTTCATGAGGGGGGAGGTGCCGAGCGGTGCGAGGGGGTTGGGTGAGGAGAGGGAGTATGGTGATGCGAGGATGCGAGAAGCGGAGGAGGAAGAAGTGTCGATGGGGGACAAGCCTAGATTGGAGCCGACGGAGCCGTTGCGCTCGCCAGCCGAGCTCGACCAGTAGTACTGGAGAGCTTCGGATGCGCTGGTTGAGCGTCTAGCCTCGTCGGGGGCTTCTTGTTCTGGGAGTGTTGCAGAGTACTCTGAGAGAGCTGAAGTGATAAAGTGTGAGCGATGTGGTAATGCAGAGAGAGAGAGGTGCGGATGGGATGGAGGGGAGGGTGGGTAGTTTGGGAGGTGCGACGCGCGAAGAAGAAGCCAAGGGGAGGGGACCAAGCAGAGGGCCAGAGGGCGCGCAGCGTTTAGGCCAAGTGTAGCAACTTACGAGAAGACGAGTAGAGGGCGTCTTGTGAAGTGGAAGGGGACATGAGGAGGGTGCCCTCTGATCGCGGTTGAGGGAGCATGTCTGCTGAGTTAGGTAACTAGCTAGCTAGCTAGCGAGCTAGGTAGCTGGGTGCTAGCTGCTTAGAGAGCGAGGGAGAGCCAAGGTAGACTACTACAGTACAGTAATGTTGTGAGATGAGTTGGAGGGGGTGGCAGGGATCGTCGAATTGGTGGAATTGGTCGAGGGTCGAGGGAGAGAGGGAGGGCGGGGTTCATGCAGCTCACGGCTCACGGTGGAAATTGTCAGTGCGCAAAGCCACCGTGATGCCCCGGGTGGGGGGGGAGGGGTGAGCGAGGGCCAAGAGGATGAGACGAGTAAGAGTTGAGGATCGTGCGAGTTGAGAACAAGCGTCGAGGAAATGGAAGTAGTGTTAGGAAGAGAGCAAGAATGAGAGAGAGAGAGAGAGCATGTATGTACAGTACGTAGACCGAGGCGCGTCTCCTTTCTTCCAAGGATCCAAGGGGCTATGGTGAGACTGGGCAAGTCATGCCGCGCGCGGAGGCAGACAGTCCACTAGAGGAATGCCCTGATTACTCTCAACACGCCATAAGCCACTCACCTTACCCGCGTAATTATTATCCTCCCTCCCCTCCCCTCCTCTCCTCTCCTCTCCTCTTCATCATGCACAAGACTACCTATCCTCCTGCTACTCTATCACTACATCACTCACACACCTCTCCCGCACACACCCGAGTCCAAAACATAAACGTCTTGTACTCGGCCTTGGTCCCATCCTTGCCCTCTTCCCCGTCATCCGCCCGATACGTAAACCGCACCTCGAGGTCAAACTATTTGGTTCAGCCAGGGACAACGTAATCGCCCACGCGCCCGCCACCTTTCCATTTTCGGATCCGTCGCGTGTCGCGCCATAGGTCTTAAGACACTCACCTCAACTGGTCCACTCGCGTCCTTGTACACGTCCACCTCGATGCCAACTTTGGTAACGTTGCCTCTCTTCTCAACCCCCGTCTCGCGACCGCGGTGACGGTGTGCTCCAAGGCTCATGCGCCCCTTACCGGCATCAGCGCCCACCCCCAGCCCCTCATCGCTACCGCCCTCGTCCTCGTCTTCCTCATCATATGCCCACGCATCCTTGAGTGCGCCGACTGCAAAGTGCGCAGTAGGAATAAAGATGTGGTGATTGGCAGGCACTGGCGGCTTGGGCTGGTGTGCAGCTGCTAGCCGGATCTGAATTGGGTCGTAGAGTGGATTTGTGAATGCCAACTGGAACGAGTACTGAGATTAGCCTTGGGCACAGAGACGCTGCTCACCACCTCTCCGGCCTGCAACGGCGTCGCCATGGGTTCATCCTCTTCACGGCCAACAGGCAGGCGAGTTCGTCGGCGTTCACGGCGTTTCCGCTCCAGATCCTCGTCCGTCGCGTCCTCGTTCAGTTCTTCAGAAATGCGCCGACGACGCCGGCCTAATTCAACTGTTGGAAGATAATTGAATGCAACGACCTTTATTGGCATGCGGACTGATTTGGCGTCCGGCTGCGGCTGCACCAGAGTGTGACGGCAGGAGGGGCAACGCTTCATCTGCCGCGTCTGTAATGGCACGCGGGAGGGAATGGCCTTTCTGTATGTCAGCAGTGACATCGGACTGATTGGGGCTCACTTCGCCAGACGCTCCGGGTCCCAAGCATTCGCCCATCGCCTCTCGAGAACCACAATATCCTCACTGTCCATCTCGCGCATCGCGTCCACGTCCGCAAGACCTCGCTCCAGGCCTGTGTCCCGCCATGACCCCTTGGCAACGTATGGGGGCATCTCGTCGCGCGCCGAACCGCCTTTGTCACCTTCCTCCCGTCGGAGTCGCGCCTTACGTGCAGCCGACTTCAAAGGTGGGAGTCCTGGAACATCACGGCCCAAAGCGCGCGAGGCAGCAATCTGCGCTAGATGGCGCGATGGAGTGCGTTGGTGCGAAAGCCGCTTCTCCTTGGACGTGGTGGTCGATTGGGCCGGGGGAGGTGGTGCCGACTGGGCCATGTACTTCTCGAGCGAGTCCTTGAGACTATCGTACTCGCCCTGCACTAGCTCGGATTGCGAAAATTGTCTCTCGCTTTGCCCTATGGTCAGCGCATTTCCGCACCTCCCCCACCTGCCAAACCAGAAGGCTTGTCAAATAGCCACCCAATCTCCGTGCTGGACCACTTGCACGCCGCACAGATGAGAAAATACGGCGCGCCGCCGGTCCGCTCCTCTGACTTGACATCTTTGGACGCCTCCGATGCTATGGTTGCGAGCCCGCTGGAGCACTGGGGACACTGGAAGCAGGACCGTGCGCATCTCCCTATCAGCGCGTACAACTGATAGCTCACCTGTTCTTGTCGGTCCGCACATTGTGCGAGGGCACGTCGAAGAGACAGCTTGGGCAGTAGTAGCTGGCCACCTCGACAACGACACACTGGTCACACCGGATCGCGTCACATTCCTCGCAGAAGTAGAGGGTGTCGAGGGGAGAGAAGGCGGAGAAGGAGGAGGCGTAAGCGGGAGGCAGAGGAGCATGAGGCGTATCTTGATGCGCGCAGTGGAAGAGGACTGAGGGGGGCATCTTGTCCTCTCCCTCCGACGACGGCGACGTGTTGAAGAGTAGAATTGGATGACGGTCGCTGGACAATGCTGGGCTCCGTCCGAGTTGACAGCTCGAAACGCGTCCAGCCGAAGTGGAGGTTGGGCCTTGCACGGCACGTGGCGCTTATTCAACCCTCCCTCGTGCGGCGCCGATGGGTGGCAATATTTGGGTGGCGGCAGGCCGGATGTCGCCGGAAATACCCTTTTTCGGCAGTTGACAGCGCAGCAACACGTTCATTCCCCCCATCTCCTCTCTTGACGCTTACTCAATCGTCCACTACACTCTTTCCTCCCTCTGCTGGCTTAACGCTTGCACAGCGCGACATCCCAGGCCGCGCGCTGTAAAGCCTTGTTCTTATCTCTTGGTCTCTTTCGGCATCTGGCTCTCCCATCGCAGCTTCCACAACATGCTCGACCGGGCTTGGACACTTTCGCCCGCCGATGCGCTCGCGCACTACGGCACAAACCCTAAATCCGGCCTCACCACAGAACAAGTCCGTCACAATCGTGAACTATACGGCGAGAACGGTGAGCTGGCATATGCTGCGTGAGCTGACACCAGTGCTCCCAGAGCAGGCCCCCAAATCACTCCTTTCTCTCATCCTCGCACAATTCGAGGATCAGCTGGTGCTCATCCTCCTCGGCTCGGCTGTCGTCTCCTTCGTCCTTGCGCTGTTTGAAGATGCCGAGCAGATTGGCGGGTCGTGGTTGACGGCGTTCGTTGAGCCCCTCGTCATCCTCCTTATCCTCGTCGCAAACGCCGCTGTCGGTGTAATTCAGGAAACGAACGCGGAGAAGGCAATCGATGCGCTGCGCGAGTATTCGCCTGACGAGGCGCAGGTTTTGCGCGATGGTCAGGTGGTACGTGTCCCCGCTTCGGCGCTCGTGCCCGGCGACGTCGTGTCGGTGCACGTCGGCGACCGCATCCCCGCCGATTGTCGCATCCTCTCGTTCTCCAGCAGCAGCTTCCGCGTCGACCAAGCCATGCTTACCGGCGAAAGCATGAGTGTTCCCAAGACCGATGGCGCCGTCAAGGACGACGCGGCGGTCAAGCAGGACCAGGTCAACATGCTCTTCGCCGGCACGACTGTTGTGAACGGCGCGGCGCACGCGCTCGTCGTGCTCACTGGCGAGCGGACCGCGCTGGGCTCAATCCACCAAAGCATTAGCGCCGACGATGAGGACGAGAAGACACCGCTCAAGCGCAAGCTCGATGACTTCGGCGACCAACTCGCCAAGGTCATCTCCGTGATCTGTGTACTTGTTTGGCTCGTCAACATCCGGCATTTCGGCGACTCGAGCCACCGCGGATGGCTCAAGGGTGCGATCTACTACCTCAAGATTGCCGTGGCGCTTGCGGTCGCGGCCATCCCTGAGGGTCTGGCCGCTGTCATTACCGCATGCCTTGCCCTTGGGACCAAGAAGATGGCCAAACGTGGCGCGATTGTACGCAATTTGCCTTCCGTCGAGACGCTTGGCTGCACCAACGTCATTTGCTCGGACAAGACTGGTACACTTACGACCAACAACATGAGCGTAGCGCGCTTCCTCACTGCGGCCTCTGAGAAGACTTTTGCCGAGTACAATGTCAGCGGCACGACGTACGAGCCTGTGGGTGCGATTACGACGCTCGATGGGCGCCCTGCTGAGCGGGCGGTCGTGCGCACCGCGCCAGTCGACAAGCTCGTGGAGATCTGCGCAATGTGCAACGACGCCCGTGTCGCGTACCACGCCGACTCTGACTCGTACACGGCTGTCGGCGAGCCCACCGAGGCGGCGATGAAGGTGCTGGTCGAGAAGCTGGGCGGCGTCGACGAGCGCTGGAACCAGACACTTGCGGACATGGACCCAAGGCAGCGCGTCATGGCCGTCAACCAAAACTATGAGGGGTCTATTGAGCGCCTCCTCACGTTTGAGTTCTCGCGCGACCGCAAGTCGATGAGTGTGCTCACCCGGTCGAATGGCGCCGTGTCGCTCCTCGTCAAAGGCGCGCCTGAGTCTGTCATCGATAGATGCGCCAGGGTGCTCCTCCCCTCGGGCGAGGTCGCACTGAGCGACACCATGCGCGAGCGCCTGGACGACGTGCAGCTCGACTACGGGCGGCGCGGGCTGCGTACCCTCGCGCTCGCGTATGTCAGCGAGAACGACGGGGATGTGTCGCACTATAAAACGGACCGCGCGGAGGACTATGTGCGCTTTGAGCAGGACATGGTATTCGTTGGTCTCGTGGGCATGCTCGACCCTCCGCGTCCTGAGGTACGCGAAGCGATCGCTAAGTGCCGCACAGCGGGTATTCGGACGATTGTGATCACGGGCGACAACAAGAACACGGCCGAGACGATCTGCCGCGACATTGGCGTGTTTGAGCGCGACGAGGACCTGACGGGCAAGAGCTACACCGGACGGGAGCTTGATGCGTTGAGCCACGAGGAGAAGATCGCGGCCGTCCAGCGCGCAAGCCTTTTCTCGCGCACCGAGCCAAACCACAAGCAGCAGCTCGTCGACCTGCTCCAGGGTTTGGGGCTTGTCGTCGCGATGACAGGCGACGGTGTCAACGACGCGCCGGCGCTCAAGAAGGCCGACATTGGTATTGCGATGGGCTCTGGCACTGATGTCGCTAAGCTCGCCGCCGACATGGTGCTCGCCACGGACAACTTTGCCACAATTGAGCGCGCTGTCGAGGAGGGCCGTGCTATCTACAACAACACTAAGCAGTTTATCCGGTACCTCATCTCGTCCAACATCGGCGAGGTCGTGTCAATTTTCCTCACGGTGCTTCTCGACATGCCAGAGGCTCTCACGCCGATTCAGCTTCGTAAGTCACACGCATGCGGTAGCTCACCCCAGTGTTTGTCAACCTCGTCACGGACGGTGGGCCGGCCATCGCGCTCGGCTTCAACCCGGCCGACAGCCAGATCATGCGCACCAAGCCACGCAACGCCGATGACCCGCTGATTGGGCGCTGGCTGTTCCTCCGCTACCTCATTATCGGAACGTATGTCGGCGCTGCAACTGTCTTTGGCTACGCGTGGTGGTTCATGTTCTACGAGGGCGGCCCGCAGGTCACCTTCTACGAGCTGGTAAGTGCCACATCTCAAACTTTTATACCTTCTCTCTGACACCAGACCCACTTCCACAAATGCGGCGCTCTGTACTCGCACCTCGACTGCGGCATTTTCACAGCTGGCTCGTCGGCCGCGCGCCACGGTGCCACGATGTCGCTGTCGATTCTCGTCGTGATTGAGATGTTCAACGCGTGCAACTCGCTCTCGGAGAACGAGAGCCTGCTCTCCCTTCCCCTCTGGGCCAACCCGTACCTCATCGGCGCGATCGTGCTCAGCATGATTCTGCACTTCGCCATACTTTACGTGCCCTTCCTTGCCTCCCTCTTTGGTGTCACTCCGCTCTGCTGGGCGGAATGGAAGGCCGTGATCGTCATTTCAGCGCCCGTCATTCTCATCGACGAGGTCCTCAAGTTTGTCACGCGGACATGTATCGGTGCGTCCACATGCCCCTCCCGTGACACTCTGCTGACAACAAGAGCCTCCATCTGAGCCCGAGCCTGAGAAGGCAAACGGGCACAAGTATTAGACAGCATATGCATTTTATAGTACAGTACAAGCGTACGTTGGCCGCTACAGTATGACACACTTCGGCCGCCGTCGATGCCGATACGGCCGGCGCTCGAGGAGGGGATGGATGCGGATCTGGCGCACAACGGCGGCGAAGACATCATCAATGTTGGTGTTGTGCCGCGCGCTTGTCTCGATGTACTCGCACCCGGCGTCGGCGGCAAGCTTCATCCCCTCAACGCCGCGTACGTCGTGATAGAGCTCAAGGTCGGTTTTGTCTGGTGTCAGCGTGCTGTAGACTCCGCCGCTGCCGACCGCCTCCCTTCACTCCTTCCGCCACTCACTCCCGACAATGACCATCGGCACATGCTGCCCCTCGCTCGCCTTGAGGCGCTCAATATCCTGCCTTACGCGATACAAGTCCTCGAGCGTATCGCGCTGCGTAAGCGAGAAGACGAGCACTAACCCGTGGCTGTCGCGGATAAACAGGTCGTTGAACGTCAAATACTGGTCCGTCCCCGCCGTATCGAGGATGTCGAGCACGCACGGCTGGCCGTCGACATCAAACTGCTTGCGGTAGCTGTCCTCGACTGGCGTGAGCCATGGCCTTGAGCCACCAATCCGCCCAGGTCCCAAGCCACAAGCCAATGCACGTGCCCCGCCGGACTCCTTTGTTCTCATTTCTCTCCGTCCCTGTCCCCGCCGCTTTTCAACTCACTCGTCGGGTCGTACCTCGCATCAGCGACACCCAGCTGCTACGTACATGTCCAAAAATTCGCCGTTCATGAACCGCAGCACGATCGCGCTCTTCCCCACCCCGCCCGAGCCCATGATCGCGACCTGGCGTGAGCGAGTCATGTTGCCAGGCGCCGACGCACGCGGAATCGGCGCATGCCCGAATATATGTGAGGAGTGAGATGGACAATGCGAGAGTCAGAGTCAGAGGCAGTAGTAGCAGGTCAGCACGGCCGAAGTCGCCTTGTCCATAAGGGTCCGCGGTATGCCTCGCGCCAGCGCGAGCTGGTAGTGCCCGTCCCTTGTTCTGTGCAGTGTGGTCTGAGCGCGATGCGTGGGTGAGGAGCATGGTCTTATGAGGGAAAGCGAAGAGCGAAGAGTAGGAATAGGCAGTGTTGGAGAAGATGTCGTCGCGGTGGGCTGTGGCCTGCGATATGTTCTACCGGGATCTAGCTGGCTTGGCGTTGCGCTCGACACCACAATCGTGGCGCGTCGTGCCTCCTATTCAGAATATTGAAAGGCACACGCGTACATGACAAGTGCAGGATTTCTGAGATTGCCTGCAATTGCCTCGACATCTCGACATTCAAGCCAGATACACGTGCCGTACCTGCCCGTTTCCCGCCTCGTACCTGGCGTCACGACGTCATCGGCCAGCGCCGCCCCTCCAACTTGCAACGGCTCATCTCATCCACCTCTCGATTTAGAGCTCCAATTTCCATCACAGCCCATGTCTGATCTCGGGGCACGCGTCTCGACCACCATAGCCCGTGGCTTCGGCCTCTCCTCCTCGTCTGGGAGGTGGTGGCCGTCCCGCTTCTTTTTCTCCTACCCGCTCTCGCGGGTACACTTCAAGGCGCTCAATGCGTCCCCTCTCTCATGGGATGCACGCGTCCTCCTCGCATACGCCATCCTCCCATTCATCCCGTTCTACGTACAAGCTTACTTGCTCTTGGGGCCACAAACGGACGCCGTGCGAGCAGCGCGGCGAGCGGCAGGCGGCGCAGCAGCCGCGGGACTCATTAAAGCGTGGATGAGCTACCGATTTTTCAGTGCGTCCACGTCGCCGATGCGCTGACCCCAGATCCAGAATTCAACGCGTTCAATTGCGGCTTCACCGTCGCCCTCCTCCACGTCCTCTTGAAAGCGCTGGAATTTGCGCTGCTGCACGACCGCGTCGTTGACCCATGGCCCAGCCGCCCGCGCTGGCGCGCCGCCTTCGACATCTGCTGCAACGCACGCATGCTCTGTCTCGGCAGCGTCGGTATCGACGACATGGCAGGCCCGCCGAACAGCGAGATCGAGAAGCCCGTGCTCGCAAGCTACCTCCGCCACCTCGTGCCGCCCGAAAGCCCGCTGCGGCCGCCAACGCACAGCGCGCGGCGCGCGCGCATCGCGCGCAAACGCAGCCACTCGGAGAACTTCAACGAAGCCGTGAAGGAGAGCATTTCGCCGTCGCCGTCGCCGGCGCCGTCACGCCCGCAGACGCCGCACGCGCACACCGCGCGTGCGCGCGCCGCGCCGCAACCCTCGCGCCTCCGCCGCCTCTGGAGCACACGCCCTGCCTCCCGCCCCGGCGCGGTCGCCAGGCATATCCTGCACGCCGCGACGCACTACTGCGTGCTGGACACGTTCCTCGCGTTCTTGCGGCACACGGGGCCTGAGCTCGTCCCCGGCGGCGCGGGGACGCTGGAGCGTTTCGTGCGCCACACGCCGTTCACCGCCCTCCCGGACCTCTTGGGCGGGCGTGTCGCGTTCCGCGTCCCCCCCGGCCTGTTGGCCGTGTGCATCGAAGCGTGCGTCCCGATCGTGATTTGGCAGGGCCTCAATCTCGGATACCATGTCTTCGCGGTCGTCTTCCTCTGCGCTGGGTGGGAGGTGCAGAGCTGGGACGTGGACTTGTTTGACGCGCCGTGGCGCGCCGACTCGATCATCGACCTTTGGGGGCGGAGGTGGCACCAAGTCTTCCGGCACCAGTTTATCCTCCTCGCGGCGACGGCGCTGCGGCTCGTCGGACTGCCGAATACTCCTCTCCTCCTCTTCCCGCTGGTCTTTGTATTCTCCGGCCTCCTCCACGTCCTCGGCGAGCTTAGTATGGACCCCGTGCCCGCTACGGGCGCGCTGTGGGCCTTCTTCCTCCTCTCGGGCGTCGGGTGCGCCCTCGAAGTCACGTTCAAGGCCGTGACGGGCAAGCGTGTGCGCGGCACACCAGGGAGGTTATGGTGCTGGGTCTACACATTTGTCATAGGCCGCCTCGCCGCCGACGCCTGGCTTGACGCCGGCATCGCTGGCTGCACCCTGCTCCCGAGCGGAGGGCCGGGCGAGTACATTGCCCCGCTGATTATCGGGCGGATATTCTCGCGCGCATAGATGTAGGAGCAATGCATGTCACTATCTAGAACTCGTCCGACCGCAGACCGCCGCGCATCTTGAACTCTTGGGGGTCAGCATTGCGCTGCTCAGCACATCGATAGGGAATAAAATGCGACTCCGCCCTTATGCCCTGCGGATCACACCACATCCTCCGCCTCTCCATTCCTCCCCCGCCCTCGTTAGAACTCACTGTAAGGTGCGTCGGCCCGCGCCCGCTCCTCGGCACTCGCGCGGTGCTTGTGCTGGCCAGCATCAGGCCCCAACCGGCGCGGAGGCACCTTGCGTGCAGCGCGCGCGTCACGGAACCGAGCCTGCTGGTATCCCTCGGCGTTTGCGTTGCCGGCGTGAACCTCGACGGGCTTCGCAGCTCCTTCCTGTGGCGTCCCCTGGCTCTCCGTCTGGTCTGCGCCCGCGCCGCCCTCCTGCGTCTGCTTGTCCCACGTCTGCCCGCCGCCCACGTCTGGCCCTTGCCCGGCTTTGGCGTACGCCTCGGGCCCGTCGCCAGGCGCATGCGCCGCGGCCTCGAGCGGGTCGAACACCTTGTGCTCGTCCGTCAAGTCGGCGTCGGCCGCCAAGCCCTCGAACTTGCGCTCGCGCGCATCTTCCTCCGCCTCAATGTGCTCGTGGTGCTTGAAGTGCGCGATGTCCTCGGGATGGTTGTAGCTCTCGTCCGTCTGTGTCTCGGGCGTCGAGTGATACAGCTCCTCGTGGTGCAGGAAGTACTCGCTCTCCTCGTCGTAGTGGTGGCCCAGGTCCTTGAAGTCGCCCATGACGGGCAGACTTGCGTGTCCGCCCGTCTTGAACTCGTCTAGTGAGACTTTGCCTGAGGTCAGCGGTGTCGTTGGGTGCCAAAGCTGGTGCTCCGCCGAGGGAAGAGGGCAGGGGGGAAGGGTGCGGGAGCATGCGTGGCCTTCCGAGAGTAGCAACTCACCGTCTCCGTCCGCGTCGAGCTTCTCCAGTACGGCTGTCACGACGCGCTCCTCGAACGCCTTGTCATGCTTGTCATTCTTGGGGCTCGCGACGCTGTGGTGCCGCAACCCGTAGATGGCTGCGATCTCGTCCCGGTCCCAGAAGCCGTCGAGGTCGAGGTCGTGGAGCTTGAAGAAAGCTGGCTCGTCAAACGACTCGATGTGGTGCTCTGCGGCCATCTGGTGTGAGCGACCTCAAGCAGGCTGGCTGGATCGAAGCGAAGCGGTCGCGAACTCCATCGCAGTGGCGAACACCGCCGCACCTCGGAGATCCGAGATCGAGGCCCGGCAACTAGACGACTCACATGCCGCTCAGCGTAAGACAAGGACTCATCGTCTGCGCGCGACTGGATGGCTGCAGCGTGGTCGCCGTGTGCGTGCGCCAGCGCAGCGAGGAGGAGGACGGCGAAGGGAGTCATTGTGAGAGTGGAGATGGAGGAGGAGGAGATGGAAAGATGAGTCGGAGAAGGTGAACGCCAAGGTGGACATGGCTGTCCCAAGGGTCCTGTGCCTGGCGCGTGAAATCGAGCGCCCAAAATCCTGATCGACGGGCCGCTGGGTCCGAGAGCAAGGAGCGTGCGCCGCCACTGACAGGGAGGACAATGACACCGAGTAGAGCGGAGATCCGACAGGTGAGATAGAGCGGCGTGGCGATGGCATGCGGCTCTCAGACGTCTTGAATCAATCTCCGCTCCGTCTACTCGGGGGGTGGCGGTGTCGGTCGCGAGGACGCGCCGATCGACGACGCGGAGACAATGCGGCGACATCCGCTGGGGTCCCCAGGTTGACTAACCCATTTCGAGAATGTCTCGAGTGAATGCATCTCGTCTTCCTCTCCTCCTTGGATATGAGCAAGCGCAAGGCCGACTCTGATAGCTGGCTCGACGCCGACTCCCTCGACGCCGCCCTCGCTTCCCTCCTCGCCCTCCTCGACCCCGCGCCGTTCAGTACCGACGCGTGTGTCAGTGCGCTCCACCGCGCCAAGGGGGATGTAGCGGCGGCGGCCGAGCTGCTGCTTGTGGGCGGGGGCGCCGAGTTGAGCTTGCAAGGTGACTCGGCGTCGGTGAGCTGGCAGCCCAAGCGGGCCCGAAGCAAGGCGAACGGAGGCGGGCTGGAGCAGTGGTTCAAGGCGCCCAAGCCCGATGCTCCGTCGCATGTTGGTCCGCCATCTCGCTCCCCAAACTCATCTTCCCCTGCGCCATCCAAAGCCTCGCCCTCCCCCTCGAAACGCACGCCTGCCCCCTCCCCACCAGTGGACCGCGACGCCTCCGCCGCCGGCTGGGCTGCTCTCCTCTCACGCCCTCAGCATCAGCCCGACAAGCCGGAGAAGCCAAAGCCCATCCGCGGCCCGGTGTATCTCGCCACACCCGCCGCCGTCGCTGCCGCCGGACTGCCGCTTGCCCTCCTTCCTTCGCCCCTGTCCCCGTCATTCGCAGCGCAGCTCTTCCACGAGATGATGGCCGAGTCTCCCGCTTGGGGGCGGAACAAGCTCTTTATCGCCGGCCGCGAGGTCGAGAGCAATCACCAGGCAACGGGGTATGCGCGCGCTGGGGAGCATTGGGGGCGTGATGGAACGAGCACGTATTTCTATAACGGGCAACGGACTGAGGCAAAGGTGATTTGTGCACCAAGGCGAGAGCTGACAGCAGCCTTACCCGCCCTGCTTGGAGAAGGCTGCCAGTATGGTCGAGGACGCAGTGAACGCCTACTTGGACAGCGTACCCCGCTTTCCCCTCGAGTTCAAAGGACGATGGAGGGCCAACGCATGCGCAGCGAACCGCTACGACGGCGCTCAAGCGACGTAAGCTGTCTGTCAGTGCATAGCTAACTCAGTGTCGGATTCCACTCTGACCAGATGACCTGTGAGCTCGAATGAATTTCTAACTGACGTAGACTTGGGGCCATACCCCACCATCGCGAGCCTGTCGCTCGGCACGCCCCGCGCGTTCCGCCTCCGAGCTGTGAACACCGCCGATCCGGCGTTCGCCCCGGACGAGCCTCCGCGCACGTACGAGGTGACCCTTGGGAACAACTCGCTCGTGCTCATGACTCCCGGGTGTCAGGAACGGTACAAGCATACGTGCGCAACCTCGGACGCGTTGCAGAGCTGACGGCAGAATTCCTCCTCAGCGCGCGCTCGACACGTTTCGAATAGGGTGGGACACGGACGGTAACTCTATTCCTGTGGAGGAGCAGACCGCGTACACATCCCGCATCAATATCACTTTCCGGTATGCCCGTGTGTTCGGGTTGTGCTGATGGCAGATTCTACCGTGATGGTCAGCTTCCCTTGCGATCTCGCTGATTGCCAGACTTCCACCCCGAACCTTCGGGCACGCGCATCGGTACACCACACTGTAAATGCGGCCTCCCCACGTACGTACATATCCCTACAAGCTTACAGAAGCCTCTTGCGTGCCGACCAGCGCGGCAAAGCGCGGTCCGCCCTCGGTGTCCAGCGAGCTTCAGGGACGGTGTCGAACGGCGTAGTAGACGACGACATGGTGTACTTCTGGCAATGCCAGGCGCCATCACGGACGGGCGATATGAAGGGGTGCGGATTCTTCAAAATCCTCGACATGCGGGGAGAGGGGCGCGGGCCTTGCTGGGGCGACGCCGCCGAAGAAGTCGCATAGGATGTCGCAGGGGAGGGTGTGGAGTCTGGAGCCGGGTGACGGTGTCGTGCTGGGTATCGTGTCGATGTTGTATGCAAATGTTGTCGCGCATACTGCGCTTGCCGAGACTACCTTCCTGCCCTAGTCCTCGTCCATCGGCTGCGTCTCATTATCCGGCTCGTCCTCGTCGTCTTCCGGCACGTCGCCATACTCGACGTCCCCCCGGTCGTCCATAGTCGGCCCGTCACCAAAGTTTTCTCCCATCTCCTCGCCCTCGTCCTCCGGCGCCTCCTCGCCCTCAATAGCAGCCTCGAGGGCGTCCTTGTCGGCCTTGGCCTCGGCTTCAGCCTCAGCAACGCGCACAGCCTCCCGCGTCCTGCGCCGCTCCGCGCGCGCCGCCGCGCGCTCTGCCTCGCGTTTCTTCTCCCGCGCCTCGCCCTCGGACGCGGCAATCGCGCCCACTTCGACGCCGAGCGCGTCCGCGAGCCGCTCGAGCTGCGTCCGCGCAGGCGACGGCGCGAGGTGGTCCACGAACTGCGCGAGGTGCGTGTACGTCTGCTTGGTGCTGATCTTAGTCGGAGGGCCAAGGGGCTCGATGCGCAGCGGGGCCGTGAGCTGCCTCTCCATTGCTAGTGCGTTGTGTGGTGGTTGAAACCGAAATTTCTACATGATGTCAATTGACATCGGGTGGAGGGGTTCATGTATGCTTCCGCCGTCGCGTGTACTCCACGTGGCGGCGTTAGTGGGTGTGGCACGGAGCGAGACGCGTCCAGGGCCAGGGACGTCAACACAACCGCAAGCCAACTTGCCGCGCACAACACGATCACATCTCCACTCGTATCACGCCGCAACATCTACTCCACGACCCGCCTAATCGAGTGACCCAGACCTCGACCTCGACACACTCGACACACTCGACACACTCGACACGCTCGACACACTCTCCACACTCCTGCCACCGCCCTCGACTGCTCTGCTGGCCCAGCACCGGCTCCACCTCCGCGCCCCATCATGTCCCTCGACCACTACACCAAACTCGAGAAGGTTGGCGAAGGTAAGCATGCACGCTGTGTGCTGGGCGCATGCTGACACGTACTCCTCCCTCATTCACTCTCCGCGCCCGCTGCCGCCGTCCCTGCCTCTCCCTCTCTCGCCGCACTCCCGCCGCTCGGTACTGCAGGCACGTACGGCGTCGTGTACAAGGCGCGCGATATCCGGACAGGAACTTATGTCGCGCTCAAGAAGATCCGGCTTGAGGCTGAGGACGAGGGCGTGCCCAGCACCTCGATCCGCGAGATCTCATTGCTCAAGGAGTTGAGCAAGGACGACAACATTGTCAAGTAAGTGGCGTGTGCGAGGCGAGGCTTGTGTGCAAACAGCGGTCGGTATTGGCATAGCGGCACGCTGCATCCTGCCTGACTGAGATATGCGCACATCTCCAGACGCTGCAGAACTAACATGGGGGAGGAGCGATGGGTAGTTTGCGCACTTGCTTGTTCCTCCATGCCGCGCGCAAGACAAATCACGCGCGGTCCAGCGGTGATGGCGCACTCTTCCTGTACCCACAGTCGGCCCCTGGGTGGCGACGATACACACTTCGTCGCTGTTGGCACCCCCACACACCCTGCTGATGCCAGGCTCCTCGACATCGTCCACTCGGACGCCAAGCTCTACCTCGTCTTCGAGTTCCTTGACCTCGACCTGAAGCGGTACATGGACTCGATCGGCGACAAGGACGGCCTCGGCCCGGGGATGGTCAAGGTGTGTTCTCTCGTCTGCCCGTGGCGTAGCCTTGCCGCCCCAAACCTCCGCTGACACCCGCACAGAAGTTCTGCTACCAGCTCGTCAAGGGCTTGTACTACTGCCACGCGCACCGCGTGCTGCACCGCGACCTCAAGCCTCAGAACCTCCTCATTAACAAGGAGGGCAATCTCAAGCTGGCCGACTTCGGCCTCGCCCGCGCCTTCGGCATCCCCCTGCGGACGTACACGCACGAGGTGAGTCCCGCCGCTGTGGCGCTAACACCAGGTCGTGACGCTGTGGTACCGCGCGCCCGAGGTGCTCCTCGGCTCGCGCCACTACTCGACGGCCATCGACATGTGGTCAGTCGGCTGCATCTTCGCCGAGATGGCGATGCGCCAGCCCCTCTTCCCCGGCGACTCGGAGATCGACGAAATCTTCCGCATCTTCCGCCTCCTCGGCACGCCAGACGAGACGATCTGGCCCGGCGTACGCAGCCTCCCGGACTACAAGCCCACCTTCCCGCAATGGCACCCGCACGACCTCAAGGGGACGGTCACGGCGCTCGACGACGACGGCATCGACCTCCTCGCCCAGATGCTCGTGTACGACCCCGCCCACCGCATCTCGGCAAAGCGCGCCCTCAACCACCCCTACTTTGACTCGGGGTCGCCGTAGTTGCGCCACATTTGCCCGTACCCACGCGTATAGCGTACACGACGCGGACCTCGATACCCCTGCGCGAGAGATACACACGATTTTGCGCCCGGCTGCGCGGGCCTGCCACATATATGTCCGATGTATTTTACCCTCGAGCGATCGACCCGCTACTGATACCTCATCATTGACAGGGTGGAGCTCGGACGAGTTGACGTATCAAAAAGCCGTAGAGGTCAACGGCATACAGGTCATCTTGGACATCACTTCGTGCGTTGGTGCCCGTGGACTATCACTAGCGCGTGCTAAGCGTGGGACCAACCATCACAACTACCGAGTACGTTTCTCGCAGGGTTCCTCCTTCGGTCACAGTGAACAGCAAGTGTCGCCATTCATTGCCTCAACCGGTCCAGCTACATACGCTTGTCCGACGTCGTCGTGAAACCCCTTGGAGCCTGGCGCATGTATGTCGTGAACAAGACGCCGAGGCTAGTTATCCGCCGAGTACTGCCGACCATAATGAACTGACAGCGGTGCCGGTTGAAGGCTCGTTGAAGAGCCCAGTGGTATTCGACCGGGACGTCTACAAGATTGTCGATGCTCCAGCGCGACGGGTCGAGAATGTTGTACTCGACGGTGGGGTAGGGGTCATGAGGCGACTTGATAGCTCCAATTGGAGAGTCTAGCGCAGCGGCACACGTCTTGTGACAGCCGAGAATAGCGCCGACTTTGAAGGTCGTGAGGGGCCCGACGCGTCTTACTTTATGTGGGGATCGAACCTCGTCGCGAAGCCAGGTGAGAAAGTGTATGCGGGCGACGGCGCAGTCCCACTTGACGAGAAACCGGGCGAAGTGCGTAAGAGAGATGGTAAACTCGTCGAGGTCGGCATCGCGTAGATCGCCCTGGGTTACAAACTTGAAAAAGAGGCGAAGAACCATGGCGAGCTCGAACTCGGGGTCGAGGAAGGCGATGGTACGATCTTGTTCGGGGTCGAGTTGAAAGAGGTCTCTCATGGCGCAGCTGGCTTCAGTACGACTCGATGGTGCTCTTACCTCTGAGATAGGACGTAGGTCGGTATGCGAAATCGGACATTGTCGGAGCTTATCAGCTCTACATCGCCCTCGGTCCACTCGGGGTCGTCCGTAATGAGGCCTCTCGAGGATTTCCGGCTGAGTACAGGTCGGAGGGCTGGGGGGTTCTCGGCATCGCTTTGGTGAGTGATACCCATGTTATCGGGAGCAGGCGGCAGTGGAGCAAAGAGAAACGGTGGAAGGAGTGTGGGCGAGATGCAAAGGAAGGCTGAGAGGGCGCCGAGGGAGGTAGCGTGTAGGATACTGGATGGAAACGAGCGTGGTGTTGGTGTGGGTTATGTGTGTTGCTACAGTTGTGAGGATCGTGGATGCTGAGATACAGGAGGACGGAGAACAGGAAGGAGGAAGAGGTCGGAGGTGAGGAGATGAGGATGAGTGCAAAGACAAGAGGGAGATGGAGAGATGGAGTGGTGTTGTCTTGATGGCGAGGAAGGAACCGCTCAGTCCTACCCCCCGGCGTTCCGGCCATCGACGCCCGGTGGCAGGCCTTCACATCCATGACCCTCGTGTGCCGCGGGTAGCAATCTTCGCACATCAACGTGCAAGTCATACATGGTCATCTAGTCATCTGCGCAGATTCATGCGGTGAGGGTTCGTGCAGATGGGCTGCTGCGGGATAGTCGGGGAAAGGACTGATACATCAAGCGCAGTGAATATACTGCTCCTCGGCATCCGTGCTAATCACGCTACCGATCTTGCGGCGGAAAAGACGGGGAAGTGCCTCGGTCTCGGGCGCGTCCTTCTGGTCCTTGGGCGGCGGCTTGTCGTACTCGCTATACGCGCGAATGAGGGCAACAAAGAAGGGCGTGGGCACCTCGTAAAAGGCCTCAAGGGGCCAGTGGGCGGGACGGAGCATGTTCTTGCCGAGCGTCCCAGCAGTCGAGTACGCGACGTGAGGCACCTCCTGCCAGCAGCGGACGGGTGCCTGGAGGGCCGCGACGCAGGTGTCGACGCAGTTAAGGACAGCGGCACAAGCGAAAGTCGTGAGGTGGTACGCCCAGCCTTCGTGCAGGCGGTCACGGAGATGGGTGAGGAGCATCTTCTGGGTGGGGGCGCAGTCGAAGTGCTTGATGAACTTGGCCAGGTTGACGAGACTGGTGCGGTCGGTGCACGGAAGTGTACCAGTCTTCACGAGCTTGAGGAAGAGGAGGAGTGTTTTGGAGCGACAGAACGCAAAGTCGGGGAGCACGATGGTTGGCACATTGGGCTTGTAAAAGAGAAGGTTGCGAAGAACGCCGCTGAAGTCAGCCGTGTTGGGAGAGTGCTCACCTGTGGCTGAGAAGGTGCCACGTCTCCACCCTATGCTCCTGCCCGTCCAACGTAGAGATTGCAACGTGGGCTGGAGGAAGCGGAGATGCGGTCTCGGCCGACGGCTTGTCGGGCTCGGCCTTGAAAGCGTCCATAGGAGAGACGGGGTCGCTGATGCTGGGCTGAGTGCTGCTGTCCGAGGTGGCCGCGGCAACCTTGTGCCAATCGTCGAAAGAGCTGTCAGATGTGGAGCTTGAAGGGGAAGAGTTGAGCATTAATGGGGTGCGTGAAAGGGAGAAAAGAGTGGGACAGTGGAGAGGGGGATGGGGATATGAACGCGATGTTTGCTGCCAAGAGTGTGCAGTGAGGCTGGGAGGGGATATTTAATGAGATAAAGTGAGCCCGAGGGCGACAGCATTAAGGGGAACCAGACCGCTGGGGCACCCCTTTCCAACGAGATTGACGAGGAGGGCGGCGAGTGATGGCAGCGGACCACACACAGCAGACAGATCGGCGACGGACAAGTCAGGCATGCAGAGGTGGGTGGGCCACAAGCTGGTGGCAATGGAAGCTCAGTCGTGGGGTGATGTCAAGAAATGCAGCATTCAAGACATCAACAGCCTCCCAATCCAGACTCCCAGAGTTGTCGCATGAGTACTACATGTGAATTATTTCCGCCACAAGCTGAAGTGCCACACCAAAGTGCTTCCGCCCACTCCTGCTCATTACCCTCGCATTACCCTCTCGATCTAATCCAACCTCCACCGCGGACATGCCCCCGATCCCCGCTCCGCCGATATTTTGATTCCAACCTCCACTTGTCGCCATCATCTCCACTCCTCTCACAATGCCGCGCCCCGCCCCGCGCGCCCCCGCCTTCGGCGGCGCATGGAGCACTCTCACGCCTCCGCTGACGCCGTGGATTTCCGATGTGATCGCTGCCCTAGGCTTCGACCGCATGACCCCAGTGCAGGCCGGCACGATCCCGCGCGCGATCAAGAACCAAGACTGCGTCGTCGAGGCCGTCACGGGCTCGGGCAAGACGCTCGCCTTCGTCGTGCCTGTGCTCGAGCGCATCGTGCGCTCAGAACACGCGTACAAGCGTGGCGAGGTCGCCGCCGTCGTGATCGCGCCGACGCGCGAGCTCGCCTCGCAGATACACGAGGTGTTCAACATGTTCCTGTCGACGTTCACGCCCAAGGAGGCGACGCCGGTCGAAGGGGAGGAAGCACCGCCTCCGCCGCCACCAGAGTATCCCCTCGCATGTCTTGTCACGGGCGGTACGGCGCAGCCGTATGAGACGTTCTTCGCGCAGGCGTCCAATATCCTCGTCGGCACACCGGGCCGCCTCGCTTCCTTCCTCCTGTCGCCGCGAGGCATGTCCGCCGTGCGCGTCGGCAACCTCGATGTCCTGGTGCTCGACGAGGCTGACCGCCTCCTCTCTGCCCCCGACCACCGGCGGGACGTCGAGCGCATCATGCGCCACCTCCCCAAGCAGCGGCGCACGCACCTGTTTTCAGCGACGATGACAGATGCCGTCGAGGACCTCGTCGGCGTCGGTTTGCGCAACCCCGTCCGCATCGTGGTCAACCTGAAAGACAAGCGCACCGGGGAGACCGCGACGGAGCGACGCGTCCCCATGGGTCTCGCAAACACCTTCCTAGTCTGCGGACTGGCCGACAAGACGCTGCAGCTCCTTCGTGTATTTCAGCGCGAAGCAAAACTCTACGAAGCAGCGAAATTCATCGTCTACTTCTCCACTGGCGCCGCCGTCGACTACTTCTACCGCGTGAGTCCATCGACCTCCCCTTTTTGCCCATCCCCGCTCACACCAGATCCTCTCACGCCTCCCCGAGATGGCCAGCTACTCTCTAACGTCACTGCACGGCGACCTGCCGCCGCGGGTACGCGACGCCGCGCTGTCCGGCTTCAACGCGCACGCGTCGAGCCACCTCACGCCCGCCGTGCTGCTGTGCACGGATGTGGCGGCGCGCGGCGTTGACTTCCCCGACATCGACGCCGTGATCCAGTACGACGCGCCGACGGACCCGAAGACGTTCTCGCACCGCGTCGGCCGCACCGCGCGCGCGGGCCGCGCCGGGCGCGCAATCACCCTCCTCACCCGCGGGAGGGAGGAGCAGTACGTCGACTTCCTGCGCGTACGCAAGATCCCGCTTGCGCCGCACCCCTACCTCGGCAGCGATTTGGAGGAGGCGGCGGCGCCAGTGCCCGCCGATCCCGACTCGCTTGCGCTGCTCACGCGCTTGCGCGACGTCGTGATGACGGACCGCGACCTCGCGGACCGCGGGGCGAAGGCGCTCGTGTCCGCCGTGCGCGCGTATACGAAGCATGAGGCGAGCTTTATTTTCCGCACCAAGGATCTCGATTACGCCGCGCTCGGAACCGCGTTCGGCCTCCTCCGCCTCCCGGTCATGCCGGAGGTGCGGGACTGGCGGCGGCGGTGCGAGAAGGCGGCTGCCGCGAAGGAGAAGGCGGCGGAGGGCGAGGGTAAGGACGAGGGCAAGGAGAAGGGGGAGGCGCAGGAGATGAAAGGGGAGGACGAGAACGATAAGGACGAGAAGGACGACGGGGAACCGGCAGATGACGTGCCCCAGCTCGCGTGGACGGACGCCGAGGTCGAGTGGGACGCGCTCGCCTACGCCGACAAGAAGCGCGAGGCGCAGCGCCAAGCCGCGTTGGCGGAGAAGGCCGCGAAGCGGGCGTCGGGCGAGCTCGAGGCTGAGCGCGAGCGCGAGCGCAAGAAGCGCAAGGTGCGCGCCGAGCTCAATTCGGCGTGGAGCGTGCAGAAGGACCGGCGGGTGCGCAAGGAGGAGCGGCGGGAGAAGAAGGACAAAAAGGCCGAGGCGGCGTGGGCGCGCCGCATCGCCGAGGGGCTCGTGGAGGAGGACGCGCCGGCGCCCGAGAAGCGCGCTACGAAGCGCAAGGTCAAGGAGGATAGTGAGGAGGAGGACTTTGCGGACGAGTACCGCGCGCTCAAGAAGGAGGTCAGGAGCACGCGGGGGCGGGCGGAGAAGAAGGAAGCCGCGGGCATGTTTGACGATTTGGACTAGCGCTCGCACAACTAGATACCCTGCATCATCTACAATACCATGTATCACGCCCACGGGTTATCGTCGGGATCCCAGCGTCCGTACGAGGGGACGCGGAAGGACTTGGAAGACACCGTCGAGTCAGGAGAGGGTTGAGCGGGGCCGCGCCGCGGCTCGCTGCGAGGCGGTGGAGGAACAGGAGCTGGGTAGGAAGGTTCTGGCCTCTCCCATGCATCGGGCGGGGAGACATCGGCCTCGAGCGATCGCGGGGGTGAGGGGTGGCCTGACGATGGGATAGGCGACGCTTCGCGCTCGATGAGTGGTGGTGCAGACGCGGTTGTGCGAGGTGGGACGTCTGTATGAGGTGAGAGCGCTTCCATCTTGCTAGCAATGCTCGGCGATGTTTCCTCCTCGTGCGGCGATTGTATCAGCTTGACAGGCTTGACCTCGGGCACGTTCGCCGCTGCCGACATGCTGCGTGTCCTAGTCTCTGGCGTCTCGAGTTGTGCCTCGCTCACGAGGTCGACGGCGTCAGAGCGTGCTACGACGGTTTCTGGCGATGCTGGTTCGGGAACCTCGTCGATCTTGGGCTGTGGTTCTGGCGTCGTCACGACTGGGGTGGGTTTGGGCTTTGGCGTCCAGCGTAATCCCACTCCTTGATCCTCCGCCTGCCATGCCCCGGGATTCTCATTCTCTCCGTCGAACGGTGTGTCATCGACCTCCGCGACGACTGGTGGAGGTCTTGTGCTGGCGCGTTCTCCCCACTGACCGTAGACACCCGCACGGCTCTTGCCCTTGCCCTTGCCTTTGTCAGCCAAGCGATTCCTGGTGCTTCGGCGTTGTTGCCCAGATGGGCCAGGCATCGGCGCGTCAGGAGAACCTGCGCGCTGGCGGGCGTCTGAGGACAGTCGAAGTCGCCGCCCAGCCAGGATGCCATTCTCCTCGTGTCGTCGCATGCGGCGCGCCTGTTCCCGGCTGATGTCGATGTTGGGGAATCCAGAGTAGCCGACGCGTCGCGCGCGGTCGTACATTTGCTGCTCTGTGTCGCTGAGGTCGCTGAAGTCGAGACTTGGCGCGTCGCTGACATCAGAGTCGCTGCTGTCATCGGCTCGGAACGGCATTTCTCCATTGGTCTTTGGAAGAAGAGATTGACGCTCGCCGTCGGCATTCGGATCGTTGAGCCAATACTTGGCCTTGCCACCTCGGGAGTATCGAAGTCCAGCGCGGATGCGCTTCTGCCGCCCCTCGCCGTAGTGCAGGCCACCGTCGGCTGCCTCGTACGCCTTGTACGACACTCCACGCGCACGGAATGTATACTTGATGTCTTCCCAGACGTCCTTGACACCGAAAGCGTCACGCGCAGCATAGATAAATGGCAGGCGTGCGACGTGGATGACGGAGTCGTCGATATAGTCGCTTGCACGGAAGGCATATTGCTGCTGTCAGCTCCAAAGCCAAATCTTAACCTTACGTGCGCGATCGCGAAGAATGGCATCTCAAGACAGATCATCGAGTCCACGATGGCCAGGACCATGTGCTCGGGATCAGTGTACGGACCGACTGCTGTCAGCTTCGCGACACGGGCGAGCCCACCGGACTTGATTGCACCGGTGGAAACGAGGAAGCCGACAAAGACGCCCTGCCAAAACGAGAAGAAGAGGATGCCCTTGACACAGAGGAACTTGGCTGCCATCAGTTGAGGGATAGGGGATGGACCCACGAACTGGCCTGAACGGCTGCAGGTCCTTGTTAACAGCGACCCAGAACATGGCGAGGCAGCTGCTGTCAGTGGGCCCGATCCAGTACGCACTAGAGACTCAGACAAATGCTGATATTGTACACGATCGTGACATAGGTGTAGCCGGAGGTGAGCGTAAACTCTCCCTCCTTCCATGTGCCGGTCCACTTGCACACGGCCGTGATGATGACCAAGAGGGGCTTGATCTGGACGTATTCTTCCGTCAGCTCACACTCATCCAGGCTCGGACGCACGGAGAACGCCGCGCTTGAGGTTGAGTAGCGTCCACGGGTCGCTGGGGTCCATGGGCGCGAAGAAGACGCTGACTGGGAAGTTGTGGGGAATGGGTGGGCGGCCATTGAGCCGGAGCAGGAGGTCGCGCTCGCCGCCCAGATAGGTGATGAGCAGCTGGAGGAAAGTGTAGATCACGAAGCCCTGGGGTCAGCTCTGGCCGCATCAGCAGGTACCTCATAAAGGTCGCGGATGGCGTCGATAAAGAACGCCGCGTTGAGCGAGTACAGCGCAATGAGCGAGGATAGCGCGTACAAAGGCACCCTGCCGTCAGCTGCGAGGCGTGAGCATGCTCAAAGCAACGCACATGACCATGATGCGCACGACGCAGCGCTGCAGCGCCGGCATGCGGTAGTTCTTGAGCTGCAGCACGATGGACCAGATACTCAGCGCCGTCGCTTGCGTCAGCTGGATCGCAACCGAGGGGTGGAGCTCACCGACGAAGGTACATGCTCCGCAGACGGCGAGGAGGGCGGCGGGGAGGTGGTCGCCTGCGCCGCCGCGCCCGGGCCCGGGGACGGCGGGGGGCTCCGTCGCCGCCGGCCCGCCAGGGAACGATGGGAGGGACATGGTGGTGCGCTATGCGCCCACTTGACTGGGTACTGGTCCGCTGCTGAGTGTTCTCGGTGGCTGAGCTGGAGGCTAGAGCTGGAGGTGGCGGACAAACAGATATGAAGACGGGCGATATCAAGAGCGAGGGCCGACACCTCCGTCATCGTGCCCGTGCCTGTGGGGTCAAATGTCGATCCTCATCTCTCAACCACCTCCACCTCGCACACATCGCCATGGGGTCTCTCACCGCCGCGGCCGCCGTGCCCGCGCAAAAGCACTTCGCACTCACCCACATTGTCTACGACGCGTCGCCGCTCGGCGCGCTGCTCGCGCTGCTCAGCCTCTCCCCGATCTTCCTGTTCGTCGCGTACTTTGCGCTCGTGGTCTTCGGGCGCCGCCTCTCCCTCCTCCTCCTCGCGGCGGGCAGCGTCGCCAACGAAGCGCTCAGCCTCGCGCTCAAGCGCGCGCTGCGTGCGCCCAGGCCGTTCCCGCACCTCGCGCACGTCGGGCACGGGTACGGCATGCCGAGCAGCCATGCGCAGGCTGGCGCGTTTGTGCTTGCTTGGGGCGTCGGGTATGCGATGTCGCTCGACGCGCGGTATAGCCGCGCGGCGGGTGCGCGGGGGCAGCGCGCGGAGGCTATGCGGCGCGTGCGGGTGGGGATATATCTGTTTGGGTTGGCGGCGTGGTCGGTTGCTGTTGCTTATTCTCGGTGAGTCGGGGGGTGGGGAGGCAGTGTTGGTGGGGGGTGGTGGTTAGGGGGTGGTGTAGGAGAAGCAGAGTGGCTGACGGCAGATACGCGCTGCGATACCACTCCATACCCCAGATCGCGGCGGGGTACGCTGTCGGCCTCGTCGCCGGCGCCGCGTGGTACGTTCTGACCGAACATATCGCCCGTACTGCGCCCGAGTCCATCCCCGGCCGTATCCGGCGCTCCATCGAGTGGTTGTGGATCGGCCTCGGCGGGATAGGGGGGTGGCAGCTCGGCGGGGCCGAGGGCGGTTGGCTCGAGGGGTGGATGTTTGGCGTGCACGACGCCGAGCACATCGAGCGCAAGGCGCAGTAGATTATAGAGTCTGCACATAGATGCATGCAACAGAGGACAACGTTTGAGTGTCTAGGACGTGTTCAGTAGAAGTAACAAGGGAGTCAACTCGGGATCCGAGAACAACATGGTGTGCGTGTACTGTAATCACAGAGGGCTAGACCGAGGCTAGGCTTTTGGTGGGGAGGATACATGGTCCGGTCCGCCGCTGTCGTTCACGGGGCCGTCGTCGTCCAGATCTCCGCGCCCTTTCTTGAGGACGTCTAGTTTGCGGCCTTCCATCACGCTCCCGCCGAGGTCTCTATCGTCGTCGTCGTCGTCGTCGTCGTGCTCGCTCTCCGCCCGTCTCGGCACCATGCTTTTCGCTGGCGACGCCGCCTCGTCGATGACGCTCAGTTCACGGTGCGCACTAAGAGCGCCGCTCTCGAAGTCGCCCCACGCGCTGCGCTCGCCTGAGACGTCTATTTCAGACGTCTCGGCTTTGGCGGGCGCCGCAGAACTGAAGCCCAGCTGGACGGGCGAAGTGACTTTCGGCGTCGCGGCTGCCGACGCGTTGTTCGACACGCGCGGGAGACTCGGCAGCGGCGACGTAGGGTTGGAGTCGATGTGCAGTCTGGTGTGAGCGTCGAGCGACAACTGGCGCGCAAGAGAGACACTCACGGTGAGAGGACGCTAAAGATCTGCCCTTCCTCCTTGGGCGGGCCGTACGAGTCGAAGGGGTCGGGAATGGACATGACAAGCGGCTCGAGCACGGGGTCGCTGGCCTTGCCGGCGATCTTCTCGTAAAAGTCGAGCTGGGAGCGAATCACAAACGCGACCTTGCTCAGCACCGTCTCCCAAGTCTCTTCCTCGGCATCGAGCACCTCCTCGTGGTAAGCCAGCTTGATGCCGTCGAGCTCGTCGACCTGACGCTGAAGGTCGGCGAGCGCGGCGCGGAACTGGTTGAGATCACGCTTGCGCCGTCGCCCTATCTTCATGTTCTCGGCCTCTGTGCGACGGATCTTGTCGCTCTGGCTGTGCAGCGCCTTCTCGTAGCTTGCAAGCCGCTCCGCTGTCATCATCTTGTAGTTGTCGAGCGTCTCGAGGAGGGGGATCTCGAACTGCCGGTATATTGTGTCGGCGAGGAGCTGCTCGTGGTTCGAGATGAGGTACTGCAGCCCCGCACCGCCGGCCATGCCGGCGTTTGCCTCGCGGCATCCTTTCACCCTGCGGTCAGCGTCGAGGCGGCTCAAAGAAGGACGTACCGGGAACATGCCTCCATCGCGGAAGCGAATGCAGCCGTCGCGGTCGACATGGCCAGCAGCGCATTACGGTACGCCTTAGCGGCGGCCATGAGCTTGCGTTAGCCGGGCAGTGGAGTGGGGGTGTGGGAAGGGCGAGGGGCGTCATCGACCCACCTCTTCAAAGCAGATCATGGAGGCGCGCAGGTCCTTGCGCGAGATAAGCGTCTGCGCGTCTGAAAGATGCACCCTCGAGCCGGTGGTGGTGGTGGAGAACTGGGGTCAGGAAAGGTTTCCGACGAGTCGCGAGGGAGTCACCGGGTTGTCGCGATGGTTTGGGCGCGGCGAGGCTGGGCTCGAGCACACCACCATTACACCGGCCGGGACTAGACTCACCGAGGGACTCGGGGGGCGGGGCCAGCCGATGCTGGCGGTGGACTGCATCGAGTCGTGTCTGACAACCCTCCGTGGGTCGGGCATGGCGATGTGCTTGGGGTGAGCGAGACGAGTTGAGGATGTTGTTGTGATGGCGAGAGCGTGACAGGGGATGGGACCATGGGAGATGATGAGGTCCACCATCGCGCCTCTCGCTTGTGGGCTGGCGGCGCGGAGGCATGTGGGGTGAGTCGGCTGAGAACGTAATACCGCGTGGCATACTCTCCCACGATCGATATTCATGCGAGACGCCAGTGCATAAATTTCAGCCCAGCGACATTTCTCGCTTCTTCGAACAAAATCCTGGGTAAGTTTGCGGCATTCTTGGCCGTGCTACTCGTTGCTGTGCACCCTTCAGTGGTTCACAGCGACGAGCGCAGGCGTTACAGAGCATCCGCTGACTGCAGAAACATAAAAGTTCGATTCCCTACCTACTCCCGATGGAGGGTCTCGCGTTCCCGTTTCCTATAGCGATGGTCTTGCCCGGTGATAGCCAAACTGCGTGCGCTCCTGCTACACCCCATGTCTTTGCGCCGAGGCGCTCGCCCTCGGGCTGAGCGCGACGACTCGCGGAGGCGTGCGGTGGGGGGTGACGGCGGACCGACATTCAACGTTGTAGAGTACAGCAGTGTTGTGATGGATGTATTATAGCGTGCTTCTGTGGGGGCTAGAGCTGCGTCGGGTGTCTGGGCACGAAAGCGACGGCGGAGAGGATGGCCGCTGCAACTGTCAAAGACTGAGCATCCAATCTTGCACTCGACAAGCCCACTCAGCGGTGCGAGCATGCTGCGCCGAATCACACGCCGTGCTAGATTCAAGGGTATGCATTGCAGGGTACGTTCTAGCGACGGGTAGGTGCCGACATCCAGCTACATGTAGAGGGAGACGGAGTGGGAGGCGAGAGCTGCACGGGCATTCATAGCAGCGCTCGGAGCGTTGCTTGTGACCATGCGCCCACATTTGCAAGCTGCAAGCTTAGTAGACGTATGGGATAAAGCGCCACTTGACAGTCTTGCAGTACTCGACCCAGTCGTCGCCGTACTTGGCGGCGCACTTCTCAAAGTCACGGCCACAGCGGTGCGTAAGAACCGCGAGGAAAAAGACGGGATAGAACATGGTGATGGGGGTGTTGAAGCCCGCGGTCGCGCCCCATGTGAACGCCTGGCACCAGTCGGCGGTGTAGTTGATTTTGCGGGCGTACTGCCACCAGCCGTCGATGAGAAGCTTGTTACCGTGCTTGGTCTGGATAAACTTGGGGTTCTCAACAACGCTCCACGGGACGGTGGGGAACGTGCCACGGGGCTTGTATTCGCCCTGCTGCTGGAGCTTGAAGGCTGACTTCTGCGCCATGCTCGAGTCGAAGATGTAGTAGCCCGTGATGAGGGTCACAAACATGAGCACCTTGCCCCAGAGGGGGAAGGCGTACGTCGCCGGGTCGGAGCGCGTCATGTAGATCACCGGGTAGCAGTAGGTGAGGGGCACGCCGGCCATGTTCCAGAAGATGAGCATCCAGCCAAACTTCTCGTGGAACATGTCCCAGGTCTGAGGGATAAGCTCTTCAGCCTTGGCGCACGCGTTGATGTACAGCGTGGTCGCGAGCAGCATGTGGAACATGTTGTACGTGACGTAGCCGAGGTCCTCGTACTGCTTGACGGTGCCCGAGAGCGAGATGAGGAAGAGGAGGACCCAGGGCACGCGCACCTCGGCGAACATCTTGAGGTCGATGGGCCCGAGGCGGGGGTTGAGCGAGACGCCCATGAAGTGGTCGTACACCCACACGCCGCTCATGCGCAGCGGAGCGCCGCCGTAGTGCACAGTGCGCGCGAGGATGTCGATGATGGCCGAGACTGTGAAGCTGGTGAAGATGGCCACGGTCATGATGCCGCCAAAGTTCTCGATAAGCCAAGGAAGGCGGTAGAGGCCGGTGAGGTGGAGAACAGCGGCAAGGACAAGTGTGGTGTACCACGATGCGAGGGCGTTGCACTTGTACGGGAGGATGGCGTAGTCGAGCGACGGGACGGGGAGGCCGTTCTGCTCAACGCCGGGCATGACCCACGCGAAGAGGATCTGAATCGCCGTCAGGCCGAGGTACGTGCCGCACGCAAACTTGGTGGGGTACGCGCCGTCCTTGACGTGCGCCCACATGCGGTGGAGGAAGGGGACGATGTCGTCGACCGAGGAGGGGTGCACCATCTTGCCGTCATAGTACCAGAGGCACACGTAGAGGTAGTCTGCCGTCAGCAAGGGTGCCACTACGGAGGATGTCGACGTGCCGCTGGGCCTAGCCGCAGACGGTGGGTATGGCTTGGTAGACCTCTGAGCGCGCGGCCAACGACGCCGGACGGACCAGACCATCACGCGGAGTGCTTGCACAAAGCCTTGACGATTTCACAGCCACTCACACATAAGCAGCGGGAAGCCGATCATCATGGCGCTGACGCCGACGGGCCCACCAAACTCGTACCTGCCATCAGCGCTGTTCCCAAAACTCCAGACTCACGACTGGTGCGTGTCGAGCTTGCGGTCCATGGCCTGCCCGTACTCCGTCGGAATCGCGTACGAGAGCACGGTGCCGGCGGCCTTGCCGTTACCGTTCTTAGCGTGGCCATTGGTCTCGGCGCCGTTGCCGTTAGCGGCGCCGTTCTTGCGCGCGCGGAGGTTGCTCGCGGACATGGTGAATGGGCGAATGCAACGTGCGCTGGTGCGCCGTCCAAGTCTATCATCACTCCGGGCCGGACGGGGCCCGAGAAGAGGGGGGGAAACGCGTCCGAGCCCTGGGCGCGTGTTGACATGGCACGATGGCGCAGGATTATCAGAATAGGATACCGGGATTTTTCATGTTACGTAATTCACCGGGATGTTACGTGGCGACGTTGACAAACATCTCCGCTCAGGAACCGATGCATGTGCGAAGGTAGGTAGGCGGGACGAGCGCTGTTGTGCATGCGCATCCCAGTGGGCGGAGGGCAGTAGGCCGAGGGAGAGAGTAGAGGTGCGACGGAGCTCGGTGCGCGCTCGGTGTTATGATATTCGCTCGGCATGGTCGGCAGATCCAGATCCGCCGGAAGGGGCGCATTCCTACTGTGAAGGATGAGGATGGCACGAATCGGAGACGTTACGAAGCGTTTTGAGCGGTGTGACGCCCAGCGCACATGACCTCTGTCGTGCATAATCAGGACGGAATGGTGTCGGGGTGGTTGAGGTGGCTGGACATGCGCTCGTTGTGCACGGTGCCGCGGATATTGTGTCCTGCTCGATCGCATAGATGTCCGCGTCTCACCTCACCACTCGTTTGCTTCTCACAAATACTGTATGTGCAGGTACGCATCTGCGCAAAAGCGTTACAGCAGTTCTAGCGGAGTGCCATGCCGTGGGTCCAAGCATAGGTGCTTGTGCGCGATGCGTAGTGCATGAGGCTGGATGCGTCCGACGGAGAGCCCAAGCGGAGGACAGCCAACGCAAGCTGATCGATCGCATATGGGGCTGTAGCGGACTAAGTCCGGAGGATGGGGTCCGCCACCGCACGCATCTAGATCCGCGAAGAGCACATGTTATGGTGAGCAACCTCGACAATGCCGGCGGCTGTTGGGTACTCACCACATCAGGGCGGAACAGCGTCGTCGACAACTTCAGTTAGAATTATTGGTCTTGAGCCTCCCCTACTTTCACCCGACGCGGCCTCGCATCGACCGCGGAAACCTCCACAACTCTCGGACCGCATATTCCCTCTCTCTATCTCTCACGACGGCGCGATCTCGACAACCTTGCGTGCATCTAACGCAGCTAAACTAACATATCGCTTCCTACTGCACAGCGTCAGCCCATTCCCGCGACGTGACTCACAGTGTAAAACTTGCGGTTGGGGTTCTTGCCAAACAGGTCCTCGCGCAGCTCGGGCAGCATCTTCTCCTCGAGAATGTGCAGACGTGCGCTCAGCGTGTTGTCGACCTTAATGCGGTCGCCCATAGTGCTGCCAATCACGCCGCCAGCCGAGTCATCCGCCAGCGAGTCGTCGAAAGTGATCTCCGCCTCGAGTCCCGAAATCTCCTTGTACTGCTTCTTGGCCTCTTCAGCAGACTTCTTCACCAAGTCCTTGTCCTTCGGGCGGTGTGCGAGTGTCACGTCCTTGGACAGGAGAAGGAGGAGAATCTGACGTCAGACATCGACTCGCCGTGGCAGACCCACCTCAGTAATAAGCAGCGTCATGGCCTTCGGGTAGTCCTTTCCATCGGCGAGCTCCTTGACCTTCTTGTTGGCCTCCTCGAAGAGGTCCTGGAGCTGCTCGTCGCGCTTGCGCAGCACCTCGAGGCGGCTCTGGTTGAGTGCGGTCGACTGAGCAATCTTCCACCCGACCTCGGCTTGCTTGCGCTTCTTCTCGTACTGCGCATCTATTGCGAGCTGCTCCTGGCGCACGATCTTGGCCTATTGGGTGAAGCGAAACAGGATGGGCAGCGCGCCCGTGGTAGTGAGACATCGGCGTGACCAAGTGTAGGGTGCAGCGGCATTAGGAGGGTGCGGAGCGGTTGGAAGGGGTCAGAGGGAATGAGAGACGGAGGAGGCATAAGTGCGAGGTCATTGACATCGGGGCTCGGTCAGCTCCATCCCAAGTATCCGCAATCGACGCGAGCCGACGCACCTTCTCAATGGCGAACTCCTCGTCGGCCTTGACCTGGATCTCGCGGGCCTTCTCGCGGGCCTCCTGCGAGATGAACGCCACCTGGGGTTAGCAGAGCGACTGAGTACAGCGAGCCTGAGCCGACCGCAGCGCGGCGTGCTAGACGCAGTCGGTGTGAGACAAGGCGAAGAAGGCGGGATCGGTGACACCGCAGGCGGCGGAACGCACCATCTTGTTCATCTCGGATTGGATCTCCGAGTCGTCGAGTGCGCCGCGGGACATGGTGGGCGATGTGCTGTGAACGAGGAGGGCAGAGGGGGCCGGAGGGATCGGGAGAGTGGTTGAAGGAGACGGCGGAGATGGCGGTGTCACCTGTTGGGCTGATGGTGAGCGTGATGGGTGGGTGTTGCGACAACGTCACAGGTGAGGGTGGGGTTTATTTGGGCCCCCCGGTAGTCGGTGGAGGCCACGTGGGGACTTCTTTTCTTCAGATATCAAGATCTTCATAACTAGAAGACTGTGCGTGTTTCATGCATGAGTTGAGCTGAGAGAGAGAGGCAGGCTGTACTTATTGCATGTACTTACGGCGTTCCAGTGTAACTGCACATGATGATGGCATTGGAGTGCCAGTCATGCAGTCGATTTTCGAGTGCAATAGTAATGATTTTGGTATCAATACAAGATAACGGATTGAACGCAGGCTCACTGTTGCGCTGGAATTTGCAGTTCGCAACGAACACTTCGGGATCTGAGCCCCGCGATGGCGTCCAGACGCGCTCCGCCTCACTGATGCTAGACATTCGCCATCAAGAACTCGATGGTCGCCTCGCAGAGGTTGCCGCTGGACAGGTGATTGCAGGCGCCCGAAGCTGCTGCCGCGATGCGGTTGCCACACATCAGAATGTCATTCCCTACGCACAGACGCTGGATGTCAGCAGCATGCACAGCGTGCACAGCACTCGGACTCGTATATTACCGCCCTCACTGCCTTTATCGTTCTCTCTTGCCCACCTATGATAACATGTCCGGAGACGAGAGCAGCAAGAGGCGAAAGCAATCGACACCTCCTCGTGGCAGCTCTCCTTCCCAGTCCGTCACCCAGTCCCCTCGCGCAATTCCCCAGGATCACCTGATCGACGACGAGTACTGGACCGACGGCGACTTTGAGATCGTGACCAGCAACGGCATCCGCTTCCGCGTGCCGAGCTACCACCTCTTCGCGGCGAGGTATGCCCTCTCGCCATCTTCACGCTGACATCAGCTGGATTTTCCGGAACGCGCGCAAGCTGGCCCCACCCAACGACGCGCGAATCCGACTCACAGACCCTGTATGCGAAACGGGATATGTCTTCCGCCTATTCATGCAGCTCGCCGAACACGGGCAGCTCGACGGCGTTGGCCAACAGGGTATCTTCAAAGTCCACATCAAGCTGCACCACCTCTTTCTCTTCCTGAAGAAGTGGGACTGCCCAGGCTTGCTCGCGGTGCTGCACCACTCCATCTCACGGCTAGTGGAGGAGGACCGCGGTCTGGACCGCTCGCGCATGTTCATCGTGGCGGCGCTGAACGGCGACACGCGACTGTGCAGCCGCATCCTCGAAGTGTCTGCCAAGGATGTGTGGGGCGCAAACCGCGACGGGACGCCAGACGCGATGATTGATGCGCCGACGGGCACACACATTTGGGACCCGTATCACTGGCCTGTGTGGTTCCAGCTCCACTGTCCGCCACTATACGCTTGGGCTGTCGCGCGTGCTTGGGGCTTGGTGATGGCATCGTCCCCGCCGGAGCACGAGAGGAATCCCAAGGCGTTTGGGGGTCGGTTCGTCGCGTTTCTGGAAGAGGTACAAGACAGGCAAGAGATATGGTGATTGAGGGAAGGGTCATGCGAAGGACGATGGTACTGCACATAACGTGTCCGGACCGCTTGCACCAGGGGTGCAACAACGCTGATGGCGCTTACAGGTCATGATCACATTCGCTCTGACCTGCCTATATTAACCTAGTCTTCACCTCGTTTTTACTCAACTACTCGTTGTGCACACAGCAGCAATTCTCACCATGGATCTCAACTCCCAGCCCCCGGTCAACGCCATGATTCCTCCCACCTGCGGATCCCTCCCTCCCCGGCCTTATGAGGCCAAAGAGCCCAGAGACAACTTCACAATCATCTCCACCGACAAGGTGAAGTTTGAGGTTCCTCGCCGTCTTCTCGACGAACAAACGTAGGCTTCGCTCTCCGGCAGCAGCTGACAGTAGTCGCCTAACGCAGGGGCGCCGTACCTGCATTTTTCTGAGTGACCCAACCTTTGAAACCGCCAATGTTGTACTATCGTTCCGTGAACTTCTCCTCGACCAGCCGTTCAGCACCCGATTTAACCACTGGCGGGCGTACCTCGACCTGGCATGTTTTCTCCGCTCCTGGGCTGACGGGCCTCTGAAAGACCGCTACGCTGCCCGGGTGCACTCAAGTGGCTTTTCACTGGGCCTGTTTATCGTAGGCTCCACCTTGCAGAACCAATCCCTCATGGTCACGGCCGTAGACTATCTCAACTTTTGGGAGACGGTGGTCATGGACTCCCAGGGCCGATCCCACACGGTTGTGAGGGATGGGGAGCTCGACCCCGACCACTGGCCGATGTCACTGCGATCGCGTATTGCTGCAGCCCACTGTGTGCCGCTGATGCGAGCTTTCCACGCAAGGAGGCAAGGGCGCTCCTCTGGCCGCACTCTTAGCGCTCTATTCCTTCATCAGCTCACTATATATGTGGAACGTGCCTGTCCCACTTGTGAGGTCGTGATAGTCATCGGTGGCAGCGCTGACGGAAGGCGGCTGTACGGCAAAGTGTGGCAGGTCATGCTGAAATGCACCCCGAGACAACCCGTCATCACTTTGCACCTGTTATATTCTACATTGTAAATTGCTTTCACGCACTTCAATGACAGCCGCGGCTGGAATTATTATGGGCAAAAAAATTAGTGGTTTCACAGGTGTAGAACGCACCCCCACTACTCGAGAGCCATTTTCAGTCCTCACTGTCGGCTGTACTCAGCGTGGGATGGGACGCTCAAAATCAGTGGTTGAATAGCTCCCAGTAGCTCCATGCGCTAGCAGTGTCCATCTCGCATCGATATCGTTGAGTTGGCTGCATTATTTACACGCACGAGCCGGCAGGCACTCACCGCGTGCATCGACACGGCAACCCCGCGCCGGTCTGCACATGCCGCCGCGCGCATACTCCTCCCCGTGCCGGCCATCGGAGTCGCACGCCAGAGGCATGAACGCATGAACTCAGAAACGCAGGTGCACGCAAACGCGTATCAGTCAGCGGATCTGGTCGGCCCAGGGCGTTCATTGCCGGATCCGGGTCATGTCGTCATCTATCCGAGCCCTCTAGCCTTGATATACTCTCACTCGAACGTTCTCCTCATCTCCCTCAGCCAGCGCCATGCCCCACATCGTCCTGCACCACCTGAACCAGTCGCGCTCCGAGCGCATCTTCTGGCTGCTCGAGGTGAGCGCCGGTGCCGGGTGCCTTCCGCTCACACCAGGAACTGAACCTCCCGTACGAGGTCAAGGTCCACTTCCGCACGCCGGAGGGCCGCGGCCCGCCGTCGCTCAAAGACGTCTCGCCGGTCGGCAAGGCGCCCGCCGTGACGGTCGACGGGCGCGTGCTCACCGAGTCCGGCTTCATCGCGCACTACCTCCTCGCGCACCTGTCGCAGCAGTCCGGCAACGCCGACCTCGAAAGCCCGGCGAGCGACGACAGCATATTCTGGTCCCACTTCGCCGAGGGCTCGCTCATGCTCAACCTCCAAGCGGCCGTCACGGCGATGCGGGTGCAGCAAGGCTTCGCGGCTTACCGCTCGCTCTACCTCCTCCTCTTCTTCCAGCGGGGCGCGAGCGCGCTCTCCGACTTCCTGCAGAAGATCGCGCAGAACAACGTCCGCCCGATGCTCGGCGAGGCCGAGGCGTTCCTCGAGAAGCACCGCAACTTTTCGGGCTCGGACAAGATCGGCGAGGGCGATGTGAGAGCGAGCGTGGAAGAGGCTGACACCAGTTCTTGATGTTCTACCCGCTCCACAGCATCGCCAAGGGCGCGCGCAAGGGCCAGTATGAGGTCGGCGACGCGACGAAGCGCTGGATCGACAGCGTGCTCGCGCGGCCGGCGTACCAGCGCGCTGTGGCGCGTATGGAGGAGGAGGAGAAGGCGCAGAGGGCTAAGCTTTAGGCTGGGGTGTACAATACTTTGACTGAGAAGACAGGCTGATGGCTACATATGTACACTGCTACAACGGCTCAGGCTTGACGGAGATCGTGTCGACCGTCGCCTTCTCCTCCAGCTTCTCCACCCCGTCCACAGCATCCACCTCGGGCCGAGGCTTTACATCCTCCTCGTACGCGATCTCCACCTTGGGCTTCGTCTCGTCCAGCTCGGACTTGACGTCCTCATCCTCATCAGCTGTGAAGCGGTACGAGATCTCCTTCCGGTTTGCAGCATTTACCGCCACACGCGAGGGACACAACTTCTGCTGGCCGAGCAAGCAGACGTCGCACCGCGGCCCGACGGGCAGGCAGATGACCTTGTATAAGCTCTTCGCAGTCTCCGCCGGCTCACCTGTCCAAAGCCCACGAGGAGCGGGTTGATCGGCCGGTGCAATTCTGGTGGCAACCACGACTCGAGGTTGACGCAGCCGTCAGCTATGTTCGTCACCGAGCTTACCGAGTATCCTCCGGCGTCTTAGTAGGCGGCTTGTGCCACTTGAGCCTGTTCGTGATCCGGTGAACATGTACATCCACGCCGATGCCCGCGTTTCTATTGTCAGATCTGGTAAGCGATCTGCTCACATGTTCCATGCGGCCTGCAGCGCAAGAAAGCCCATCTTTGGCCCGACGCCCTTGAGCTCGCACAGCTCCTCGATTGTTTGCGGCACATCGCCGTCGGATCGTGAAGCGAGCGTGCGCGCGGCAGCTTGGATGTACTCAGTTTTGCGTCGCCAGAAGCCGACTTTGTTGATCGCCTCGGCAACAGTCGACTCTGGTGCGGCTGCGAGCGTCTCAGCCGTCAAACCGCCGGGAATAGTTTCATGGAGATTGATGACGGCTTGGGATGTTACGGCGTCTTTCGTCTGCGACGACAGCATCAGCGAGATAAGGATGTGGAAGCGGAGTGTCTGGCATCAGTCAACCGCTTATTAACGCCTTCCAACCTTGGCATCAAGATCCTGCATTGTTCGCGGCCGTTCGCATCCCCTGCCGTTAGCTCCTACAACTCTCGATCTTACATAGTGTCGACAGGTGCGTCAATGCCCGCCCTCATGCGCTCAATGAGCGCGTACTGCTCCCGCCACTTTACGGGCTCAGGATGTGCCTTCGCTCTTGGGGGGAGGTATGCCGCCTTCTCCTTCTTCGGCGTGCTCGTCTTCCGTCTTGCAGGCGAGGCCGGCTCATCCTTGACTTGGACCAGCGGCTCCTCCTCTTTGATCTCGCGCTTGACGCGCTTCCGTGCCGGTTGGGCGTACGAGTACTGCGACAAGTCTAGCGCAGGCTTTGAGGACGACGGCTCGGCCGTGCGGGTGATGGAGCGCGTCGCTCTTCGTAGCGAGGTGAATCCGCTCGTGTTGGGCTTGACGTCTTCGGCGGACATGAGTGTGACGCGGCCATCGGCCGCCGAGCGCGTCGATCGCAGTCCCGACATGACGGGGAGGCGGAGGAGGGGGCGGAAAAGAGAGCGCAGGATTCAAGAGTGCGGGCCGCGAGAGATGAAATGAGATGAGATGAGATGGAATAGACGCGCGGCGACTGGCGAAGCGGGGAACATGACTCCAATGAACGCGGGGGTTCAGGCACAGAACGCGGGTGGCCACTTTCCCACGGTCGTCTCTCAAAAGTTGACGTTCATGACGTTCGCGCTGAATTGTTGACATCCGCAACTGCCTCATCTCATCCACCCTCGGCGTCGACAGCAAGCACCATGGCGTCGACATTCAACCTCCTGACCGCAGGCGCGCGGTTTAACAAGTCGCGCTTCCAGAAGGACATGGAGCTCTTTGAGAAGAAGGAGCGCAAGGGCAAGGGCAACGACAAGGCAAAGAGGAAAGACGTCGCGCTCCCCTCCTCGCTCAACTTCTTCGGCGACCGCTCAGCTGCACCGAAGACTGAGCCCGAACCCCAGTCCGAGTCGGAGGACGAGGACTTTGACTCTGTACCCGATATCCCAGAACCTCCCAAGCAGAAAATCACGCTCACTGGCCCCGACCCGCTTCCCTCTTCCCTCGGCACCGACCTCCCGGCCCTCTTCAAGGACGAGTCGCCCCTCCGCAAGCCGCTTATCCGCGCGCTGAACGCGGCCAACATCCACAGCTTGTGGGGTGTGCAGTGTGCCGTCTCCGGCTCTCTCCTCGCCGGGCACGACACCATGTGCATTGCGCCCACTGGGAGCGGTAAGACGCTCTCCTACCTCCTCCCCACACTGGTGCAGCTTCGGCAGCCGGCACGAAAGCTCGGAGAAGAAGGGAAAGGTATCCGCGCCCTCATTCTTGTGCCTACCCACGACCTTGCCGTGCAGATCCACGGCGTGCTCAAGGCCATCACGGCTGGGCAAAAGTGGCGCTGCATGGTATTGAGCAAGGCGACGCAGAAGGCCGTGTGCGACAGTGCGCCGGGGCGCAACTCGGGGTCTGACGAGGAGGAAGAGAAGGAGGAGAGCGAGGGGGAGGAGGAGGAGGGGGGTCTTGGCATCGACGTGCTCGTCGCTACGCCGGAGCGGTTGCACCACCTCTTGGACGAAGGAAGGGTGTCGCTCGCAAGGTAAGCTGAGGTGTAGGGTGATGGCTGACAATAGCACGCGCCACCTCATTCTCGACGAGTCTGACCGTCTACTCGGTCCGGACTTCCTTCCGCAGGTCGAGCCAATCGTGGATGCAACAGGCGAGGAGGTGCAGAAGGCACTCTTTTCCGCCACGATGCCCGCCGGCGCTGAGGAGCTCGCGCGGCGATGGCTCAAGGACGGGGGTGTGCGGGTTGTGGTGGGAGTGAAGTGAGTCATTGAACGGGCTGTCTTACACCCAGGGACTCAGCGGTCACCACAGTTGACCAGTCGCTCCTCTTCACCGGGTCAGAAGCAGGCAAGACGCTCGCGCTCGCCAACCTCATCGCCGAGGGCGGGCTGCCGTACCCGTCGCTCATCTTCGTGCAATCCATCGAACGCGCAGATGAGCTGTCAAAGCAGCTGGTGCTGGACGGCGTGCGCGCTGAAGCCGTGCACTCCGGACGAGGGAAGAGCAAGCGCGATGCGGCGATCGACGCGTTCCGCCGCGGCGACGCGTGGGTGTTGGTGGTCACGGACGTGCTGGCGCGCGGGATGGACTTCCGCGGCGTCAAGGTGGTTGTGAACTATGGTGAGTCTCAGCACATGGAAGCGGTTGCCTCAGATCGACCGCCTGCTGCATCCCGCCGACCTGACACCAGACTTCCCCCAGACGGTCCAGAGCTACATCCACCGCATCGGGCGCACCGGGCGCGCGGGACGCCCCGGGAAAGCGCTCACATTCTTCAGCAACGAAGACGCGCCGTACCTCCGCACCATCGCGAACGTGCTGCGCGCCAGCGGCTGCCCCGTGCCCGAGTACATGCTGCAGCTGAAGAAGCCGAGCAAGAACCAGAAGCGCAAGCTGGCCAAGGCGCCGGTTGAGCGCAAAGCGGTGGGCGGGGGCGGGCGCGACGTCGCAGCAGAAAACGCGAAGCGGAAGCGCGCCATGATCGAGGGGAGCAAGCGGCGCAAGGTGAAGGCGTAGGCGATCCAGATGTATTCTTAGTTCTAGGCTACATAGGAGTGCGCCTAAGCGCAGCGACGGACCATCGGCTTACTGGATCTTGATAGTGTCGTCGACGGGCGCGCCGATGATTTCGCGCACGACGACCTTGTCTTTGTCCCACACGCCGCCGGTCCAGTACTTGTCGGCTTTGATGCGCGCCCACGCCTCCCCGATCGTCGGGAAGCGCAGGATCATGACGCTGCCCGCCATGCCGGGGAGCTGGTCGGCGGGCTTGCCCGCCTCCTTGGTGGCCACCGAGTCGTCGAGGAACGCGCGGCCGAAGACTGGGGGCGCACGAAAGGGTGGGAGTGTCGTCGTGGGCAGGGGGGAGTAAGCGAGGGAGGGAGGAGAGCGAGGAGACGAAGGAGAAGGGGGGAGTGGGTGAAGAGAGTCAGCGGGTTGTTGAAGAGGACGGAAGACGAAGCGAGCATCAGCATCTAAACAACAAGAGCGCAACCCACCGCTCGCGCCCGTCTTCTTGTCCTCTGCCGCGGCGGCGAGGTGCGCGTCGCGCACGCCGAGGCGCGTCTGCAAATTGTCGGGGTAGTCGGGGCAGTAGCAGATGTAGAGGGGCATGGCGGCGGGGCGGGAGGTGGAGAGTGGGCGGGCGAGGGAGCGGGGGACAGAGCGAGAGACGCGAGTGGCGCGAGAGACGTGAGACAGCATCGGAGATGAGATGAGATTGAGAGAGGTGGGCAGGGCCGGGTGAATCGGTCCGGCGGCTAGGGTCGGAGTTGGGCGGTTGCGGCGTTGTGTTGCGGCGCTGCCATTCCGCAACAAACGCTTACAATAGACAACACTGCATTAATGCAACCCGTCTACAACTAGGAATACAGAGCATAATATACTATAGGGGAAATAGGAGTTTCCTGCTGTCAGCAACTACGCATGTTCTTCTTGCTCACCAAATGTCGTCGTCGGCTGCGGGGAACAGCACGTCGCTCGTGATCGGCTGTGGGATGGGGTCGGGCTGCGGGGGGTGGAACGCCGAGTTGCCGGTCGAGCATTGGTGGTGCTGCGCGGGCGTGCGCAGCGTCGGCACGTCCTGGAAGATGGAGGGGTGCCAGAGAGTCTCCTGGATCATCTGCTGCGCGCTCGGCATGTTCCAGGTCTGCGGGGGCGCGATGACGGCGGGCGTAGGGCCAGATGAGGACGAGCCCGCGTCGCCTTCGCCCACGGGAGCGGCGGAGGGCTCCGTCGTCGTCAGCTGCCACTCGGGAGAGACCGAGCCGAGCAGGTGCTTCACCAGGCGGTGCGTGTAGGCGGGCATGTCTTCCGCGGAGCGCGAGGCCTCGCCGGTCGAGTCGGCGACTTCGGTGAGCTTGCGGATCACGCGCTTGCGGTCCATCTTGTCCATGGCGCCGATGTTCTGTTATTAGCACACATGTTGAGGTGGATTCCTCACCTTTATCAACCAGACGCTCGTGATGGCCACGCCGACCCATGTCAGGTTGAAGCAGAAAGGGAGATAGCCGTTGGCCACAAAGTCGGTCTGGAACACGTCCAGGAGCCCCAGGGCGACGTCGGCGCACTCTGCAAAAGCATAACTCAGAGGAGACGGCTCCGAGGTATCCAGCGTCGCGCCATTGGAACGATACCGCGCCGTAAAAAGTAAGTGATACTCGCAGATATGGAAATGGAGCAGGCCGTCGCACATCTTAACCATGGCCACTTGCTGTCGCAGGAACCCGTATTCGGCAGCCATCAGCCAAATCATACAAAGGCCACTCACAGTTCTTTTCTATCCAACGCTTGCGCCATCGCTTCCATTCCATCTCAAGCCAGTGCAGGCTGCGGAGGTTGGACGGGCTGCCGTTCATGCTCGCCAACATGTCCGCGAAGAGACGGCACAAGCGGGAGAAGTTGATCCAGGGAGCAATGACCGCCTCTCCAGGACACGGAAGGTGGGGGTGCTCCGTGATCCATTCCATAGGGTCGTCTACATCGTCCTGGTTGATCATGCGGGGCAGGGAGTGATGCATCGCGAGGTGGTAGTCGGCTACGATAAGGTCTGGGGTAAGCTTGAACCTGGACGAAAAGCTCACTCAACCAACAGCGCTCCTTGTTGAGCACCTCGCGCGCCTGCCTCTCGTTGCGGGGAAGCGGCCGTGGAGCGCGCTGGTTCAGGCGCAGCTCCTGCGCCATGCGGATCGCATACCCAACTTTGCGCCAGGATGTCGAGTCATCAGCCTTCTTCCAATGCGTGAGCATGATGATGGCCTGGACGACTTCGATGGAGCACAGGCCGAACTCGACCGCCTGTCCGACGAGCTTGTTCGCGATTAGGAGGCATGACGAGTACGCCTTTGGTCGGATTATCTTGGCCGTGACGGTGAGCACGGCCGAGAAGAGCAGTGGGCTCTTGTCGCGACAATACGTCGCCGTGTGGAGGACGGGATCCAGGATCGCGACCGTCACATTCAGGTGGTGGAAGTAGCTCACGTCAGCTTTGCATGCGGTGTTGGCTTACAACTCGAAAAGCTCGTAGGCGTCCGCCTCGGTCAGGAAGCCGCTCATGACGGGATCGGGGCAATCAGTGCGGAGTAGAGCGAGGCTAGCGCCGCCTGTGGCTGGAGGCTGCGAGTTGGGTGGTGGAAGGTAAGCTGTGGTCAGGCTAGGCCTTATCGCAGACTGTACAACGCACGAGACGAGTCGCCTTCGATCGGCACGACATGCGAAAAGCGGATTGAATGGCTGCGGACCGCGGAGCTAGGAATTGAGCGCCCACGCTCTGCGCGCTCACGGTCGACGAGCGGCCGCGGCGGACTAGACGCATGGTGGGACGGCGAGCGCGAGCGCGAGCGGCTCGCAGCCGCACCGTTGAGACCGTCGGGGTTCTTCTTCCTCCGCCCGCGCCGGTGCTTCTGGTACTCGCACTCGAGGCCCTGGTCCGAACAGCGCTTGCAGACGGTGAGCGCGTCCGGTGTCAGGCACTTGCGCTGGGGTCAGCACGCCTGCGTCGCGCACGAAAATTACCTTTGCGGCGCGGCAGGCGAGACACGAGATCTTGCTGCTGTCAGCGGGGCGGCGGGGCCGGTGGTGACTCACGTCGGGGGCTTGGCTACGGTGGACGCCGCGTGCGGGGATGCGGGGTCGTGCTCGGCGGCGGGGGAGTGCTGCATTGCGGCGTGCGGGGAGCAGGACAATGAGAGTGATGATGTTGTTGTTGTCGAGACGGCGAGGTGCGGGATGCGATGTGCGGGGTCTTGAGGGCGTCCCGATGGGACGGGCGGTGTCCGCGGTGAACCGTTAGTCTTGTTGTGCTTTCGGAGAGAGTCGTGCGCGCGGGGCGTTCGAGGGCTTGAGCGGGGCTTGCGAGGGGGCTTGCGAGGATGATGCGCTGCAGAACTGTAGAGAGCAGTGAGGAGGAGGATGTCCGAGATGGATCGAGTTGATCGAGCAGAGACCAAGAGAAGGGGGGGATGACAAAACACGGTCAAGAGGCCGCACATGGTTGCCGCACCATTCCGGCCCGCACATGACCGCTTACTGGTAATCTGTTGCACTGTTTTCTCGTCATCTCGTCCACGACATACATAGTTGCATCAAAGCATGCAGCCTTACCCAGACATACACTGACATGGCAGTGCCCCTCAAATCAGGCTTTGAGCTGCAAGACGACCCCGCGACGCCCGCGACTGACGCGACAGTATCATTCCGCGAGCTCATCCCGCCACCCGACCACCCAAGGATCGCAGGCATTGCCAACCACGACGCACACAGCTGGTGTGCGTCGCGGCGCTCGGTCTCGGCCCCCGCGTGGCTGATTGAGCGGCTCGAGCTCTCGAATCTCGAGCCATACGTCGGCTTCAGCGCGGACGGCAAGCCGGATCCCAGCGTGATCACGTATGGGGCGGACGAGGGTGCGCCCGTCCGCGAAGCGTTGGCGGAGGTGGAGAGCCTCCTAGCCGCCCTATCCGATAAGGAGCGGAGCGCGGTCTTGTGCGGAAGCGTCGACGACGACCAGTTCCGCGCATGGTCCAACCCCGAGCTGTACGTCAACCCGGGCGGAATTAGGCTGGACGAAACAACGCCGGCGGTGCAGGATCTCGTGCACGGCGTGCTGCGAGCTTCGCTCTCGCCCGAGGGATATGCCAAGGCGAACGGGTGCATGCTCACAAACCACTTTCTGGGCGAGCTCGTAAACGGGCCCCGGGTACTCAATCGGCACTCGTACAATTTCCGGCTGTTTGGGCAGCCCTCGGCCTCCGAGCCGTGGGGATACACGTTCTTCGGACACCACCTGTGTCTTGCGGTGCTGTTTTGCGGGCCGCGCATGGTCGTCGGCCCGACATTTATGGGTGCGGAGCCGGACCGGATCGACGTCGGCCCACATGCCGGCCTGCGCCTGTTTGCGCGCGAAGAGATCGGGGGGTTGAACCTCATGCGTGGCCTGAGTCCGGAGAACCAGAGGCGCGCACAGACGCACGAGGGAATGACGTGCGCCGAGGGCCTGCCCCCCGACCGCTGGAATCCTTTCGACGAGCGGTAAGCGTTGCATAGGCCAAGCTGATGATAGACACTTGGGCGGCGCGCGCCAAGATAACCGCGTAGTACCGTACGAAGGGCTTCCTGTCAGCGCGATGACGCCCGACCAGCGCGAGGAGGTGTATGCTATCGTCCAGGCGTTCAACGTCTATCTCCCCCCTGGCCCGCTCGAGGCCAAGATGCGCCGCGTGCGCGCCTTCGAGGACCAGACGTACTTTGCGTGGATCGGGAAGTATGGTCTCGGCGACCCATACTACTTCCGCATCCATAGCCCGGTGGTGTTTGTCGAGTTCGACTTTCACTGCGGGAGTGAGTGTAGCGAATCGAGCGCAGAGGTCGCTTACACCAGTCTTCCTGACCAATACGTCGCCGGCAAAATGCCACATTCACACTGTGAATCGGTTGCCGAACGGCGAGGACTACGGCAAGGCGTTGATTGCCCAGTGGCGTAGGGAGACGAAGGCGCGGGAGCTGCTGTAGGGAGTTGCGGGAGTTAGTTGTACTTCATGTGTCATTGTTGCATCTGCTTTCATAATGCTGCAGTTGTGCGTCCGCGGCGGTCACAAGGGCGGCTGAGTTCAATCTGCAAGCTCGACCTATGTTCAGAGTGGGGCAGCGCAAGTCGCGCTCCGCCAGGGGATCGAACCGCCCTCTACAGCTTGGCTCACCGAATTCATCTCCCTGTCCGCATTATAAACCCACCGCGGGTCATCCGGACTCGACCGGATTTCTCGAGCACTTGCCCTCTCCATCACACCATGCTCGACGGCGACCATGACCCCGCGCTGGCGGCGGTACGTCCCCCCTCCCCTCCCCCGCGCTAACATCAGCTCATCGCGTCCCTCGCCTCCTCGCCCGACCCAAACGCCTCCGCGATCGGATCCGAGCTCGAGGCCCTCGAAGCAATCTACCCCGGCTCCATCTCTCTCCCCCCCTCCTCCTCCTCCTCCTCTTTTGCGCTGAGATACGAAATCTCCCTTCCGGCATGGGAAGACGCGACCGCGCCCCGCCTCCGCCTCCTCGTCACCCTCCCGCCGCACTACCCCGACGCGCCCCCCGCCCTGCAAATCATGGGGCGGTACGTCGGCGCGTACGCCAACGACGCCGGGCTCTGTACGTTCTTGGAGGGCAAGCTGACGCAGTCGGCGAAATTACGCGCACATACATCTCCGCGTCGGGCGTGGGGTTCACGCCGGGCGTGCCCGCCGTGTTCGACGGGCTCGTGTATGTCCAAAGCCTCGTGGAGCCGTGGTATGCGCAGCGCGCGGCCGCGAGTGCGGAGGCGGAGGCGGCGCACGGACGGGCGGGCACGCCGGCGCACGAGACGCACGAGACGCGCGGGGAGACGCGCGAGGTGCAGGTGCTGCAGGTGCAGGCTCGAGCGCCCAGAGCCCCCCTCCCGAAGATCACCTCCTCCGAGGCTATTACGGACCGCAAGTCGCAGTTCGTGGGGCATGCGTGCGCGGTCGCGGACGAAGAGGAGGTCATGGCTGTCGTCGCGCATTTGTTGGAAGATAAGCGGATTGCGCGTGCCGCGCATCCCACGATATGGGCGTATCGCACCGTGCGGGATGCGGGAGGGGCGGCGGGGCGTATTGTCGAGAGCGGTTAGTACGAGGAGTTCGACGGATACTCACACAGACTATGACGACGACGGGGAGACACAGGCCGGGTCGCGCCTCAAGCACCTCCTCGAAGTGCTTGACCTTACGGGCGTGCTCGTTGTTGTGACCCGCTGGTTTGGGGGCATCCACCTCGGGCCCGACCGCTTCAAGCACATCAACCAGGCGGCGCGCGACGCCCTCGAAGCCGGCGGCTTCCTCGACGACGTCGCGACCAAGAAGGGCCGGCGCAAGTAATACATCACATGCATTAATACATACATGGGAGCTAGCGGCGCTTCGCCCAGCCGCGCTTCCCTCGCGCCCCGCGCCCGCGCCCGCGCCAGCCCCCTCGGCCCCCGCCCCCCCGCCCCGCCGGCGCCCGCTTGGGTACGACAGCAGCAACGCCAAAGGCGTCCGGGTCCCTGTCGTCGTTGTCGTCGTCTGCGCCCCGGCGGAAGTGGTTCTCGTAGAACTCGCGCAGGACGTCAGGGAGGGCGGAGACGAGCGTCAAGTCTTCAAAGGCGTTGTTGATCGGCGAGAAGGACATGGACAGGGCCGCCGCTCTCGCCGCAGCGCCCGGCAGATTCTGGGGCGTCCTATGCGCGGGCGGCGGCAACTCGTCGCTGCTCACGCATGGCGGCGTCGGGGTGCGCGAGCGCGGCACCTGCGTGCTTGGCAGTATCTCAAAGTCGGGTATGTCTATTGGTTCGTAATGAAAGTCGTTAAAGTCGGCCATGTCTGCCATGCAGTCTTCCCACCCATCGTCAAAGTTGTCCGGCGAGCCAGCTCCTTCTGGGGGCACGAGGAATGGGGCGTCGTTGACGACGCGTTCTTCATCCTCGTCCGGATCGGCCCATTCTTTGCCCATCGCTGCGGCCGGTTCGTCGTCCGGGTTCGCCCGCTCCTTACCTTTGGACGAGATCTGCCTGGGGGGCGATGCAGGCCTGGATGATGGCTTCGATGATGGCTCGACTGACAGTGGCTCCACCGGCGGTGGCGATGCAGGCGCGGACAGTGGCCTTGACGGGGGCTCGAAGGGCGGTGGATCGAGGGTCTGTGGTTCGACGCGTGGTGGCTCGATGGGCGGTGGCTCGACGGGCGGTGACTCGACGGGCGGGGGCTCGACCGACAGTGAGTCGACGGACGGCGGCGATGCAGGTGTTGATAGCGGCCTCGACGGTGGGTCCACAGACGGTGGGTCGACGTACAGTGGGTCGACGGAGGGTGGGTCGACGGACCGTAGTTGGACGAGAGGTGGCTCGACCGATCGCAGCTCGACCGACAGTGGCTCGACGCACAGTGGCTCGTCTTCGTCTTCGTCGCTGGAGAAGATTCGCCGTCGCGTACGTCGCGGGGGCAGAGGACTGGGAGACCGTGTTCTCCTTGACGACTTCGAGGCCTTGGACGAGCCTCTCGATGGAGTCTTCTCGGACAGAAGCGACGCCGTAGACGACAATCGTTGCGGCTTGAGCGGCGAGCCGATTGGCGAGGATGACGCTACAAGGTCGATATGTTCTGGCTCCCTGCCGTCGCTGGCGGTACCACTCGAAGGCCCAGCGCGTGAGGAAGACGGTGCATCTGGGGTCAGTCACGGATCTAGCATCGACGGCGCACTGGACGAAATGCGCCTGAGAGCGCGGGCCGCACGGCGCTGCGCCGACCTCCGCAGCTCTTCGGCGGTGAAGTCTATCTCGCTGATCTCTTCAATGTCCGCAAACTCGTCCTCCTTCGCCTTGCCCTTGGCGGACCGCTTGGCAGGAGACCGGGGCTTGAAGAAAGTATGGACATCAGAGGCCTTTTTCCTTGCGCGCGGAGCCCTGGGCGTGGCCGCTGCGCGCGGCATAAAGTATGGGCTTTTGCGCGAGCGCGAAGGGGGCGGCGGCGGCGGGGAGGGCGAGAGCGAGAGCGAGAAGCGGGGGGAGGGGCAGGGGGTTGGGGAGGTGGAGCGTGGTAGGAAGGAGGGGCGCAGGGGAGGGGAGCCCGGCGTGTATAGGGGCAGATGGAAAGCCCGGGTGGACGGTGATAGATCGATAGTGCGCATACACGGGACGTCGAGCGCTTGATGGATGATGGCGCACTCGACAGAGGAGATGATGGAGAGAGATGTTTATGAGAGACGCGTCTTGTGGAGGGACGCGCAGCACAGTCATCTCGCCATCAACATTCCTTTATTAGCGGAATCAATTGTTTCTAATCATCATAATCAAAATCGGATCTCTCTTTGGCCTTAGCAACCGCGTGCCTGGGATGATTACGCCGCAACCACCGTCCACATCTCCTCCGTCTCCTCCGTCTCCTCCGTCTCCTCCCCCCTCGCCCTCGTCATGCTCCCCCTCCCGAGCGCGACACGGCACAAGCCACGGTACGCCCCCGTCGGCGCGTACAGCTACGCAACGCCGCTGAGCGGCAACATCATGGGTGTCCTCCGCACCCGCTCGCGCCTCACGAACCTCGCCGTCGCGCTCCTCCTCCTCGTCCTCTCCCTCTCGCTTCTCGGCAACCTCCGCGCCGTGTGGGACAGCCCCTCTCACCCCCACTTCAGGTGGCATGCCGCGTGGGACGAGCTGGCAGACGCCGATGTCCTCGACTCGGGCCGGCCACCAAGTATCGAAACAACGATTAAACGCGATCCGCGCATGGCCGAAGTCGACCACCTCATCCTCGTGCCGGGGCATGCGGTGTGGCTTGGCACGGACGCAGGGTTGGCGGATGAGGACGAAGAATGGGTGCTGGAGAAGATGCAGAGGGGCGGGAGTGTCGCGACGTACATCAAGCATGTTGAGCGGGCGGCGGAGATGGCGGCTAGCGATCCACGGTCATTGCTCGTGTTTTCGGGGTGAGATTATGAGATTAAATCAGGGGGAGCTGTGAGCTGACCACAGCGGCGCAACACGCGTACAGCTCACATCCCCACTCTCTGAAGGCGCGTCGTACCACCGCCTAGCAGCAGCCAAGGGCCTCTTGGACACGACTGGGTCCAACTCCCATCTCCCCTTGTCGGCGCGCGCAACGACAGAAGAGTTTGCACTCGACAGCTACGAGAACTTGCTGTTCTCCATGGCGCGCTTTCGGGAGGTCACGGGCCAGTGGCCAGCACATGTAACCGTTGTGGGCTACGGCATGAAGCAGCACCGGTACGCTTACCAATCCTCACTCGCTCGCTGACGACAGGTTCGAGCAGCTGCACCGCGGCGCGATCCGCTTCCCCGCCGACCGATTCAGCTATGTCGGCATCGACGATGAGGGCGACACGAGCGCGCACTACGAGGGCGAGGTAGGTTACGGGCTTTCCGAAGCTGACAGCAGCTCAAGTACGGATACGCGCCATTCCTCTTCGCGCCAAGCGGGTGTAGACCACCACTGGCTACAAAGCGCGCTGACCGCAACCCCTTCGCCCGCTATCCGCCGTACCACAGCAGCACGCCCGAGCTTGCTGCCCTCCTCGAATGGTGTCCGCCCAGCACCCCGATCGGAGACGTGGCTGTGCCAACGACGTTGAGCGAGAGCGACGGGATGGAGCCGCCGGCCGGCTTTGTCGTGTACGACGGCAAGCTGCCGTGGGACGGGCTGAAGCGGTGGCACCGGGAGCAGGATTAGGTGCCACGGGCGCCGCGTGTGGCGTTGACGTCGGGACGCGTTGAATCACGGATGACGGATCATACATCGCAGACAAGTTGCGATGAGCGCAGCGGATCTTGGGAACGACGGCGATTGGGGTCGGGCATAGAGTGTCGATTGGCACTAGAGCATGAGAGTACTGCATGGATGTATTGCATTGTACGGCATTGTACGAGCATGACTTGAGTTGGAGTGCGGAGCTTGAGAAGGAGTAGTGAATGTGAATTGGGTCATGCGACTGGGGGGGAGATTGCCATCCCACGTGGGCGATCTAATGAGGGTGGCGAGAGTTAATAGAACAGTCATCAGCTTCCGCTAATCGTCGATATAGCCAGGGGCTAATTGGGCGGGGGTGGGTGGGAATGACATCACATGGGCGGGCATTGTCTCTCTCACCTCTTCGTTCTCTCTCGCCTCGTCTCCTTGCATCCCCCATCTCATCCATCTCTCTCACTCTCTTTCCGTCAAACATCTCACTTACTCATCATGTCCACCACCACCAGTCTTCTTCACACGGCACTACAGAACCTGCACGTTGCACAGCAGGTCGCCCACCCGTCGCACACACCGCGCCCGCCTTCCAGCCGCTCCTCGCCGCCCACCAGCCGCCGCAATGGTGACAGCAGCGACGACGACGAGTACGTCCCTGTCGGCCATGGCACCGCGCCTGGCACCCCCATTCCAGGCAAGGGCATGGTGCTTGGCCAGCGCATCAAGAAGGACAACGGCGCGCGCGACCCGGTAAGTGATGGTGGAGTGCATGCGGTGGCGGGAGCGTTCGATCTCACGTGGATGAGGAGCGCCACTTGCGCCATACACGCCATGATAAATGGTGTCTGTCGCATCGCAAACATCGTGCGGCATCTACAACGCCACACTGCGGTCCCAAGGTGGCGGGGGTGGAAGACGACGACATCGCGTATTTCTTCTCACTCTTCCTTCATCATCTCATCACAACTCGCGCCACCCACTCCTAAACTCTATGATCCCTTGCTAACATGTAGCTCAGAAACTTCCCCACGCACGTCGCGGTGCGCATTTTCCTCCAGCTCGACATCCGCAGCCTCGCGCGCTGCGACCGCGTTTGCAAGCGCTGGCACAAGTCCAGCACCCTCAACTACAGTAAGTGTCCCGGCATACCCGACTGGGCGTCAGCTGACACAACTTCCATCACTTGTGAAAATTATCGACGCGCTCTGTTGTTCTTTGTTTATCCTTCGGTCTGTGCACATCCCTGATCAACCAACAGTCTGGTTCCTTCAGAACCGCGCTCTCCAGCTGCCCTCGCTCCCCAGCGCGACCGGCGGCAAGACCCGCAAGCTCGACGACGGCACAGAGTTCTTCGACCCATACGACAAGGGCACCAAGCTGTCCTCCCTCCCACCCGTGGCGGTGCCAACTTCAAACCAGACGCAGTGGTCCAAGGCTGAGAGCAAGCGAGCGTGGAAGAGCGTATTCCACACCTCGCTTGCACGCAAGAACGCAGACGGCGAGGAGGACCATCCTTACCATGTCGATGTCGATAGCCTGCACACGAGCGGGTACAGTACCCCCGCGCGCCACTCGCACGCTGGTATGGGCTCGGGTAACGCCACGCGCTGGTCCGACAACAGCGGGGCTGGAAGCATGACGCCGACAGAGCGCAAGATCGCCGCCCGCGAGGGATACAAGGCCCTCGGTGGGCGCAAGAGCCGCACCAAACGCCGCATGGGCGGTACGGGGGCGCGCAAGGCTCCCGACATTGAGGACGATGATCCGCGATTCACCGCGCCGTGGTAGCACATCGCCAACTCATAGCTGGGCGACATACGCCCCACCACCACCACCGCCGCCACCGCCGCCACCGCCACCGCCGCCCTATGAAACTCGGCCAAAGCCCGAAAGCCAAATGCGCTCTTCCCACAGCGCCGTTGTTGTCCCGTTGTCAGAAGTAGATTCTATGAATGCCTGCATGTACTACTGCCGCTCCGCCTCGCTCTCGACCACCAGAATGCGCTTGAGCGCCGTCAGCACTGCGCGACACGCCCGCGTCCACTGCTCGTCAGGGTTGGCATCGACCTCCTCCCCCCCAAGGCCCATAACGCTCCCGAAGCCCGGCAGACCGCTCGTAATCCCGGGCAGCCGTACCGAGTGCCCGTTGATTCGGTCCTTGCTGATCCTGGCGTTAGCGCGTCAGCCTCGAGGGCGGAGGGACGTACTCGACCCCGCTACCCCATGCGCGCCCCGTCGCGCGCCCGTGCTCCAGCAGTTGGCGGAGGCAGTCGAGGAGCGCCACGAGCCCGCTTGAGAACTGCCGGTTTTGCCATAGACGGCCGGGAGTTAGGTCGCCGCTGCCGTACAGCTCGTAACTTGTGCGGCCGGGGAGGTCTTCGATGCGGCTGAAGGAGCCGAGGGGGATGATTTTGTATCTGGTGTCAGGGGGGAGTACAATGGTTGAGAGGAGGGTAGAGGTGAGGGGAATAGGAAGTGGGACGAGGACAAGAGGTGGGAGTAAGAGAAGAGGTGGAGCAATGAGAGGAGGCAGGAAGAGGGGGAGAGGATGGTGGGATGAGGCAGGAAAGAGAGGACAGAGTCGCACTTACCGCTGGAAAGAGTAGCCCACGCGCACTGCCAACCGGTCGATGCACAGCGCAACGAGTCCCCACGCCGCGTTGATCTCGTCAAAGTCGACGCTCGGCCGCCCGCCTAGCCGCAGCCCATTGATCGTACCAACATGCCCGTTGTCGAGGGGCGCATGCCCAATCTGGAACGCATCATTGTACACGTTCGTACTTTCCAGATGTGCGAGCAGCTGCTGGGACAGCAGCAGCTGGGTCTTGGCGCTGGCGAGCTGGTTCGCAAGCGTCTCCATGTCGCCGTGCAGCGCCGCATGCGACTTGAGGAATCTGCATCAGCCACGCCGGCGGGCGGACTTACGCGGCCTCGTCGCGCTCCACCGCCTCCTCGTCTGCTCTAACGCGCGCCTCCTCCTCCTTCGCGAGCCGCAACTTGTCCTCTTCGAGCCTGAGCGCGATGCGCAGCCCGGCCTCTTCGTCCTCTAACGCGGCGCGGCGCGCCGTCAGCGCGTCCCACTCCGGCGCGCCGTCTTTGCGAAGTCCCCGCTCGAACGCGATATACGCGTCGCGCTCGCGCGTCAGCTCCTCCAGCTCGCGCTGCAGCTCGGCCTGGAACAGACCCGTGCACTCCGTGCACAGCGGGTGGTCGATGGCTGTGCGTGCGCTGAGCAGCGCTTCGAGGTTGGCCGCCAGGCGCGGGCGGTTGCCCTGCGGGCTAGCGGGGCGGGCCTGCGCCGGAGCCGGCGCCCGGTCAGGCAGGAGCACGTAGCTCTCGGCGATGGGGTTGGCGGACGCCCACGCGGCGGCGGACGCGCGCGACGCCGGCGGCAGCGCGTCCAGCTTCGCTTGGGGTGCGAGCGCCGAGGGCCGCGGCGGCGCAGGCAGCGTGTTCGCTATCAGCGCGTACTGCGACGCCGTGAGGTTCGCGACTGACGCGTCGCGCAGCAGCGGCTGGTGGCATCTCTGGCAGGCGAGCGAGTCGGCCATGGCGGCGATGGAGTAATGTCAAGAAGGGATGACGAGCGATTAGATATCGCCACCCACAGGCACGGGATAAGGGTGCGCCAATAGCGGGAGTATATCACGACAAATGGCTTTGTTTTGACCTCCACTCGTGCCACTTGAGCTCGCAACACTCGCTCATCGCCATGGCAATCCAGCTCAACGCCGAGGCCGGGCCGTCGTACACCCCCGCTGCGACGCTCGGCGGTCACACTCGCGCAGTTACGGCACTCCGCTTCTCTGCGGACGCCAAGACCCTCGTCTCAGCCAGTGAGCTCTTCTTCACTCGTCACAGCTGACACAAGGCGCCGACGGATTCGTTCATTTCTGGTACGCTCTCCCGCATCGCCGCTGACGCCAGGGACGCCAAGACTGGCGTGCACCAACGCGCGCTCCGCTGCCATCGCGCAGGTAAGCGTCCCGCGTCCCCGCTGACGCAGGCATTAATGACGTCTCGCTCTCGCCGGACGGCCTCTACTTTTGCACCGCGAGCGACGACACTACAGCCCTCGTCTTTGCCGCCGACCCCATCGTCGAGGCCATCACGACCGACGACGGGATACACACGCACGCGACGCCCCTCCGTTCCCTTGTAGGGCATACCGCGACCGTCCTCGCTGTCGCGTACGGCCCGCGGTCAAATCTCCTCGTCACGGGCAGCTATGACGAGAGCGCCATCGTGTGGGATGTGCGGCGCGGGCGCGCGCTCCGCACGCTACCGGCGCACGCTGACGCGATTTGGAGCGTGGGATGGGACGCGGAGGGCGCGCTCGTGATCACAGGCAGCGCGGACGGCTTGATGTGAGTCCTCGGAGGACGCGCTGACGCCAGACGATTATGGGACGTCAATACAGGACAATGTCTTAAAACGCTCGACAACGAGTCCAACTCGCCTGTGTACGTCGACCCGTGTCGCAGCTGACACCAGCTCCTCCGCCTCCTTCACCCCGTCATCGTTCCACATCCTCGCCGCGTGCTTATCCTCTACTGTCCGCGTGTACTCCCTGCACTCGGGCAAGGTGCTCAAGACGCTTCGTGCGCCAGAGTACGTCTGCGAGCGCTACCCGTCGCCTGTTATCGTGTATGGCGCAGAAATCAAGGAGAAGGCAAAAGAAGAGCCAATGGATCTCGATGGATCCGCCGCGCCTTCTGCGGCACCATCACCGGGCCGGCCAAAAGGCCCGGCAGCACTCGTGGTAGCGGGAAGCGAGAATGGCGCCGTCATCGTCTGGGACTTGCAGGACCGCCGCGTCGTCTCCGTGCTCGAGGGGCACACCGCCCCCGTCGTCGCCCTCGCCGTCTCGCCCAACGGCACGATAGCGTCCGGCACACTCGAGCCCGAATGCTCGATACGCCTGTGGCGCATGAACTAGCCCATTCCCCTGCACACAGCAGACAGTAGACAGCATGCATACTACAGACCGAGCCGGTGGCTCTTGCCCTTGACGCCCTTCCACACGTTCTCGACCCACTCGCGTTCCTCGCGGTCCACGACTGTGTAAGTTGCGCGTTCGCGCGGCTTGGTCGGCGTCTCTTGATTGGGTCTAGCGACCTTGCTTGGGCTCGCGGGAGTGTTATCATCGTAGAACAACCCGGTGGAGGTCGCCGTGCCCGATTGCTGGAGATTCAACACGCGCGCGGTGCTCGAGCTCAGCGGCGAGCTCCTCGTAGGCGAATGCCGGCCCGGCGTCGACTTGTACAAGCTCTGGGCGAGCGGCGACTGCGTCGCTGTGCGCGTAGGCGTGTATGTCGCGGCGGGCTCGTACGAGCGGGTCTGTGGTCAGCACAAACATTCTACAGGGTGACAGTGAGTCGTGACGCACCAGCGGCGAGCTTTGGAGTACCGGCACGAGCTTCATGCCCGCGGGCGTGGGCGGCGCAGGACTCGGGTGCTGGACGCGGTACGCGGCCTCGAAGATGTTCCAGCAGAGGAGGGCGGTGGCGGCGGTTTCTGCGTCAGCGCCGCGGAGCGGAGGAGCTTACCGAGCCACCACACTGTGTCGGCGGGCGCGCCGAGCGCGTCCAAGATCGAGACGAGGAGGCCGCGCAGCGCCAGGTATGGTGTGAAGACGGAGCGCGCGAAGATGAGCAGCGCGAGGCCGGCCAGGTTGCCCTTGAGGCGCTGGCGGGCGAGGGGCGCCGGCAGCGGCGCGCGGAGGAGCGCCATTGCGCGATATTTCCTAGAAGAGACGGAGACGGAGCGGGGCGCGGACGGCGACACGCAAAGATGTGGATGGGGGATTGTTTGTTGGTGGATGGGGAAAAATCAAGATGGATCGACGAGGCGCGCCGATGACGTTCCTCGAATTCACGGATGCATCTCTCCATCCTCCTCGATCAACCTCCTTCACACCTCCATCCATCATCTCTACCTCTGGCACGGCGCATGCTCTCGCCGGACCACACTCCCGCGCGCCCCGGCCCCCCGCTGCCCGCCAGCGTGGGCGCGGTGTCGGCGCCGGGCTCGCGCCGCTCCTCCATCGTCTCTCGGAGCTCGGCCGCGCTCTCTCCCGCCGTGAGCCCTCGCACCCTCCTCCGTCCACACCTCAACCGCGCGAGCACGACGACGCTCGCCGCAGCCGGCGGCGCGCTTATGAGCGTCGACGCACCCCCGCCCGCTCCGGACCCATTCCATACAGGCGCGACAATCAGCATCAACCAGCCTGTCGGAAGCCTCTCCATCTCGCCCTCGAGCCGCGACGTCTGCCTTGCCTCCCGCAAAGGTCTGTACATCCTCGACTTGGCCAACCTCGAGAGTGCGCCGCGCTTCGTGCCACAGGGCGGCACGTGGCAGATTGCAGACGTGCAGTGGTCGCCGCATGCCGTGACGGACAACCTCATCCTCTCGACCAGCTGCCAGAAGCTGCTCGTATGGGATTTGGCTGCGCAGGTCGCGCTGAACAGGAGTATCGAGGCGCACGAGCGCGCTATTACTGACATCAACTGGCACTCGCTGAATCCCAACATGATGGCGACGGTGGGCATGGATGCGGCTGTGAGAGCTTGGGACCTCCGACATGACTGTAAGCGCCCCGCGGTGCGTCTCTCTGCGTGGGGCGCAGCGGGCACACAGGTCAAGTGGAACCGACTGAACGAGTACGTGCTCGCAACCGCGCACCATCGCGAGGTCCTGCTATGGGATACGCGCAAGGGCAGTGTGCCAGTCGACACGGTCAAGGCGCACGACTCGAAGATCTACGGCATCGACTGGGACCGCGTCGAGACACACAAGCTCGTCACATGCTCCCTCGACAAGACCATCAAGTACTGGAGCATCCCGTCTCTATCGAGTGGGCGCGACCCTGCCTTCTATCCGTACCACTACGAGACGATCTCGACCAACTATCCGGTGTGGCGCGCGCGCCATCTGCCATTCGGGCAGGGCGTGCTTGCGCTGCCACAGCGCGGCGAGACGGCACTGGAGATGTTTGGCATTGGCGGCGACACGCCGTTGGAGCGGTTCGAAGGGTCTACCGGCGTCGTCAAGGAGTTCGTATGGCGCATCCGCGGCGGCACCGATCTCTCCGTCGAAGATCGCGAGTTCCAGCTCGTCACCTGGTCCAAGGACCGGAAATTGCGCATCTGGAACGTGCCGCGCGAAGTGACAGAAAAGGCGGGGTACAAGCCCGGCGCGCCCATCCCTTATCGCTCTTCGCGGCTCGGCGCCAAGAACCGCACTTTTACCGCCATCCCAGGCGGCGACGTGCGCACCAACGGCATTCCTCTACGCCCGCCCGGCGCGCCCAGTACCAGCCCCGTCTTCAGCTTTGGCATGCAGGCGGGGCCGAGCGGCATAGCGCGCCAGCGGCTGATGGCACACACGCAGCGCGAGGCGGGCATGACCCGCGGCGGGGGACAGGCACGCAAGATCGACCAGCTCGAGTGGCTCACCAAGGTCGTACGGACTGACGACCACGCCACGAAAACGGACAGCACGACGGGAAGCCGTACACCGAGCGTTAGTGAGAGAGACTCGTCGAGCTCGCGCTCTCGCAGCTTGACCAAGCGCGAGCGAATGCGTCCCCTCAGCGCCAGTACGCGCACACCGAGCCGCGTACGGGGCGAGAAGCTGGAGAGGGAAGAGTTAATGAGTCTCAAAGAGGAGGTACTGCTTGCGCACAAGCGCTTCCCCAAGAGCAAAGTCAACTTTGAGCGGGTGAGTTTGCCGCGAGGGATGTTGCTCACGTCAGCTCGACTTGACGCAGCGCAAGCTGACTATGTCGATGAACGGGCCCTGGGCGAATGGAAACCGCGTCGCGTTTGTGCGCATACACTGGAGCTTCCCGCAGAACTATCCGTATGGGAACGAAATACCCACGTTCGAGCTCGAGCGCAACGCTACTGTGTCGTCGATAACGCGACAGCGCATGGTCTCGACGATCAAGGAGATCAGGCTGAACCACAGACAGTGTCTCGTCTCCGTCACAGAGTTTCTGTTGGGATACTATGAGAGGACGGGGCGCCGGGCGCTCGAAGAGGAAAGTGGGAGCGACAACGACGATGTCGACGTCAACGTGCCCATGCTCATCCGTACGACTGGCGCGGTTTTTGGTCCGAACGGTCAGTTGGCCTGCTTTTTCCCCAAGCAGACGGTGCTGCCGCGCGCGCGTACCAGCCTCTCCCGATCACCGAGCGGGACAAACGACCCGCTCAAGAGCCCGTTGGCGCGTGCGATCTACGCCCTATCTCGTCTGGAGAACCCGACCAAGCCCGCCGTCTCTCTCCGTTTCCGTCGGCGGAGAGAGAAGGCAATGATGGCGCCAGTGCAGCAGAGATCGTTGCTCACGCTGCGTAATGTGTCGCATCTACTTCCCGAATCCGATATGGCGCTCGCTGCGCTGTACACCACCACGTCACCCGAAGCAAACTTCCGCGCTGCCGCCGAGGGCCGCCGGCTGGACCACGCCGAGATCTGGCAGACTGTGCACGGCGTGCTCTCGGACCCGCCCCCACCATACTCTGACCTCCCACCTACTCGGGCCCAGGCCACCCCGCCGAGGGATCGCATGCTCTGGGAGCGTGACATGGAGCGCAAGCGTCGAGTGCTCGATGAGCTCTTCGAGCGCCTCATGGCTGCTGCAGATGTCCAGCTTCTCGCCCTTGTGGCATGCATGCTGCTGGAGTACGACAAGGTCGCTCCGCCTCCCCCGCCCGCCATTGAGGAGATTGTGCAAAAGTCGCCAGAACGCGGCTACTTCGTACTCCCCGAGCCTCGGCGCTCCTCCAGCCTCACACCGACCACGCCCCCCGTTTCTGCTGGCCCCAGCAGCTTCCGCACGAGTGGCTGGTCCCAGATCCTCATGAACCCCTCCTCCATCTCTCTGCGCGGCATGACGCTGACCCCGCGCGACCGCAGCTCATTCGAGATCCCCACCAGAGCCAGCGTCGGCAGCATCGACGACGGGCCCATGGCGCTCGCGACCTCGATGTCTCCGGGCCGGCGGATGAACATCCCCCCGCGCCGCCAGAACTCGAGCACCTCGGCGGGGAGTCTAGGCCTGCAGTCCCCGCGCCGCCTCGATAGACGTGACAGCGCCGGCCGTGAGCTGACACGCACGATGAGCCGCGATGTCCGTCCACGCCCTCTCAGCGCGACCACCACCAGCCCGCCCACCTCGGCCGTGCCCCCCACGCCGTCGCGGCTCATCAACGCCACAAACGCCAGCGAGCCTTCCAGCGATGGCTCGGGGTCGGGCCCAGGCGGCGTGCGCCACAAGGTGTCGTTTGGGAGTGGGAGCCCGCTACGTCGCGCGTTTAGTCGTGCGCCGAATCTGCCAACGATAAAGCGGCGCTCGCCGACGTGCTCTGTCCGCATCGATTTGAATATGGAGGAGGCGTGAGTCTGGCCCTTTTCTTCCATCGACGTTCCACTGACGGTAGCCCCTCCTTCCCCGCTTCCCTCCTCCGCCCCCAGCTCCGACCCCAAGCCGAGCTGTGGAAACTAGCATACGCTGACCTCCTACTGCGTGCCGGACTCGTCGGCAAACGTGCTACGGTACTGCAGTACGAGTTTGTGAGCGTTGAGGGATCGGCTGTGACTGCGGCGAGTGGTGATCTGCCCTCGCAAGGCCTCGTGCTCGCCAACGTGTGCCGTTTCTGCGGCGACCACGTGCTCCAGCCTGATGATGTCAAGTGTCCTGGGTGTGCGCGATACAAGGAGCCGCCGCTGTGTGGTGTTTGCAGACTGCCAATCAAGGGTGAGTCTAATCTATCCTTTAAATAAGCTGACAGCAGGCCTCACAACAACCTGCACAACATGCACACACACCTCCCACACGCGCTGCCTGCGACTCGTCATGGCGAGCCCCACTGACCATTGCCCGTCCTGCCTCTGCCGCTGCCTCGCGGAGCGCGGGCTCAGCGGCGGCTTCAAAACGACGCCGAAGTCAGCTCCAACGACGGCGGTGTCGTACGGCTGGCCAGAAAAACTACAGCGCGCCGGCCTCGCGATGTCACCGACAAAGCTCGACTTTGACGGGCCGCAGTACTCGGGCTTCGTGCGTGCCGTCGACCGCGAGCCCGACCCCCCCGGACCCGAACCCGAGCGGTGGTGGCGCGAACCCGGCGCGGGCGTCGTGAGTTACTTGAAACATTTGCGCACGGACCCGCCCCCGCCGGCACCTGCACCAGGGCCTGCGCCGGCGCTGGAAGACGGGTTGAAGCGCGGGATTCGGAACGTCGGCGCGACGACGCCGCTCGATATCGTCGAGACGCCGGTCGACGAGCTGCGCATGGGTCTTTCGGGCCTTGGGCCGAAACACCATGCGAGACGCGCCACATTTACGGGCACGGGCACGTCGGGGGCGTATGGCGGCGAAGCGCTCGAGCTCGATGTGGGGCCCGAGGAGGAGCAGCCGCGGTCGAGGATGAAGACGTTTGGGAGGGAGGGGCTGTTGGGGTGGTAGTGTATTATAGGTGTTGCAGCTGTCTTTGTGACGTAAACTCCACCGGTGAAGACAGCGCCGAGCAGTCAGCGCTACATGCCGCACACCGCTCGGTCTTGGCTGCTCGGCGCCTTGAACGTCGAGAGCATCGCCACAAAGTCGCAGTCGAATGAGGTTATCCGAGCCCCCAAGTGACACTGACATTGATTCCGCGGTTGTCAGGGACACGCCTGCTGTCCTCCCCTGAGGCCTACACGTCCGTCGTCATCGCCCCATCCCCCGCCTTCCTCGCTCACTCCGTCTTGTCTTTCTCTTCTCCATCGCTCTCTCTCTCCATCTCTCCACCCTCTCTCTCTCTCTCTCTCTCTTTGTCTCTCAAACACCCACTGGGCATCACGACCCCGCGATGCAGCCAAACCAGTGGCAGCAACAACAGTTCGGCTACGGCGCCGGCGGTGCCTCGGGCGGCTTCGGTTATGGCGGACAACGCCCCATGGGCGCCCAGCCGACTGGCTTTCCCGGCCAGCAGATGCCCATGCAGACGGGCATGCCCGGCATGGGGGGAATGGGGGGGATGGGAGGCATGAGTGGAATGGGCGGCATGGTCAGCGGGGGCATGCCCAGTGGGGGCGCCGGCTCCGCTGGTGCTGGCGGAAACGCTGGTGCTTCTGGCGCTCCCAACTACTCTTTCCTCTCTGCTCCTCCTCCTCCAGGCTCGTTTGGCCAGCGCGGCAGCTTTGGCAACCAGTCAGGCCTTATGTCCCAACCCACCGGATTTCCCGGAGGCGGCGCAAGCGGCCTCATGTCTCAGCCTACCGGTCTCCCAGGCGGCGGTGGGGGCGGCCTCATGTCCCAACAAACGGGCATGCCCATGATGGGACAGCCGACCGGCCTCGGCGCAAACCTCATGAGCCAGCCCACCGGCATGGGGGGTCTCCGTGCCCAGCCCACTGGAATGCACGACCCCCGTCTCGGCGCCATGATGCAGAGTTTCATGCCTAGCAACATGTCACAGGTGAGATCGCATGAAGCGATGGAGCTGACAGCAGCCCTTTTCCGCCTCTGGAGCTCCCCAGTTCAACCAGGCGGCGGGCCAGCCGCTCCAGCAGACTTTCCAGTCGCTCCTCCAGAACCCATCCGTCAAGACGCCCAAGGTTCCCTGGACCCTCTCGCGCCAGGAGAAGAAAGACTATGATCAGATCTTCCGGGCGTGGGACACGCGCGGCGATGGCTTCATTACCGGCGAGATGGCGCGCGAGGTCTTTGGTCAGTCAGGTCTGTCCCAGGACGACCTCATGAAGATCTGGAACCTCTCCGACGTCGACAACCGGGGCAAGCTCAACCTCCCCGAGTTCCACGTCGCCATGGGCCTCATCTACCGCGCCCTCAACGGCAACGACATTCCCGACAAATTGCCCGAAGAGCTCGTGCCTGCGTCGATGCGCGACATTGACTCCACGGTCAACTTTATGAAGGACTTGCTCAAGCATGAGTCGAGCACGCGCTCGGACACATCGTCGCCCGTCGGGTACGGCGTGCACACGCCGGCGTCGGTGGCCTCGTCCAAGGACGCCAAGGTGTACAAGCACGACGACAGCCGCAAGGCGGGCTACAAGTCGTCGGCGCGCCACCTCGACCGCAAGACCGTGCGGTATGCGGGCGAGGACTCGGGTGCTGAGATTTCCGATCTCCGCCGCCAGCTGGAAAGCGCCAGCGGTATGCTTGACAGCAATACGGCAGAGAATGCTCGCAAGACTGAAGAAGACGAGGCACTCGAGCAGGAGGTCGACGATATCAAGTATCGCGTCAAGCGTATCAAGGAGGATATTGAATACGTGTCCAAGGGCCGTCGTAGTGCCGACAAGGACGAAGAGCGCCGCAAGCTTGAGCGCGAGTTGCTTTTCCTCATGCACGAGAAGCTCCCCGAGCTCGAGCGCCGCCAGGAGCGCCGCGCCGAGGAGAAGCGCATGGAGGAGCGCGCGGGCATTCGTGCACGCGACCGCCGAAATGACACCATGGGACGATTCAACGAGCGCGACCGCGACCATGACTGGCTCCGGGGCTCGTATGAGCGTGACCGCAGCCGAGACCGCGACTACGGGCGTCGCCCGAGTGTATCCGGTCGGGACCGCTACGACGACCGCGATAGGTACGACCGCGACCGGTACGATGACCGCGACCGTGACCGCGACCGCTTCGACGACCGAGACCGCGAGTATGGTCGCCGCGGCAGCGTCTCAAACCGCGACCGCGAGCGATATGACGACCGCGACCGTGAGCGTGATCGTGACCGCGACCGTGAGCGCTACGACCGCGACGTTCGTGCGCCATCACCGCGCCCATCTGCACCGAAGGAGGAGCCCGCTCCCCCGCCCGCCAAGAAGGAACCGCCGAAGCCTGCGACAAAGTCGCTCGCGAGCATGACGCCCGAGGAGCGCAAGGCTTACCTCAAGGAGCAGGCCCAGCGCAAGATCCAGGAGCGGATGCGCGCGCTTGGCGTAGAGACGCCGTCGACGACCCCCGAGCCGGCTGTCGACACGTCGGTCGAGGACCGCCTCGCCCAGGAGCGCCGGGAAGCTGAGGAGCGCGCGCGGGCTGCCGATGAGGAGCAGAAGGCGCGCGAAGAGGCTCGGGCAGCCCGCATCGCATCGGCGCGAGGCGACGCTCCCGCCCCGCCATCGCCCGCGCCGAAGAAGGAGGCGCACAAGCCTCCCCCTGCCCCGCCTGCCAGGAAGGGCCCGCCGCCCCCTGCGCCGGCATCTCGCGAAAAGGTGGCCCCTCCTGCCCCTTCCCCACGCCATGCGCCTGCTCCCCCCGCTCCCCCGGCGCCTGCAGCTCGTGCGCCCCCAGCCGAGGATCCAGAGGAGGCGGAGCTGCGTGCACAGGAGGAGGCGCGTTCGAAGGCGATCCAGGAGCGCCGTGAGCGACTGAAGCGTCTGCAAGAGGAGGAGGAGGAGGAGCGGCGCAAGGAGGAGGAACTCATGGCTGCTCGCAAGGCGCGGTCGGCAGCAGCCGCAACGCCAATGTCGCCGCCAAAGATCGTAACATCCCCAGTACGGCCATCGCCCCCAGCCCTCAACGAGCCGCCCAAGTCGCCCTCGGGCTCGTGCAACCCATTCCACCGACAGCAGCCAGGTGCTTCCCCGGCGGCGCGTTCGCCCACCGCCCCCAGCTTCAACCCCTTCTTCCGCCCTCCCCAGGCCGCCGGCGCAGCGGCAACCCCTCCTGCTACTCGGGAGGCACCCGCTGCCCCTGCTCCCCCTCGTGCCCCGAGTCCTCCTCCGGCAGCAGCCGCGCCTGCGCCTCCCCCTCCCCCGCCCGCGCCGCCTGCTCCTCCCACCCCTGTGCGCCAGCAGCCAGTACGCACCAACTCTGCGCCGCCCCCCGACGACGACTGGGAGGATGCGCGTGAGCGAGAGATCGAGGAGTCGGACAGCAGCGACGACGAGTACGCACACTCGCGCTCGTCGCGCAACAAGCTCGCTTCGGCTCTCTTTGGCAACATTATGTCCGCGAACCCGACCGGCTCGCGCCCTGGTTCTGCCGGCGCAGTTCCATCGGGCGGCACCCCTCCTCCGCCAGCACCCCCGGCCGCGCCCAAGGCCGCGCTCGCCAACCTCGGCGGCGGCAGTGTCGGTGGCGGAGGCTTGAGCGCCCTTCTTTCCAGCATCCAGGGCGGCGCGCGCCTGCGTAAGACGGAGACGGTCGACCGCTCTGGTCCCGCGGCTGGCGGACGAGTGATTGGCGACGCCGCCCCTCCCGACCACATCAACGCGCGCCCCGTGACCCCGCCGTCGCCTCCTAGAGCACATGAGCACTTCTCCACCCCACCCGAGGACGACTTTGTGCCGCGCCACGACAACCGCACCTCGGTTGACTGGTACTCGGGCATTGCGGGCGAGGCAAGCCACCCAGCCGCGCAGCAGGCCGAGAACGCCATGCCGCCGACGCAGGAGGAGGACGAGCCGCCGGCGCAGCAGATGGCCGCCGCGTCTATGGACGGGCCAAGCCTCGACGACGTCGACCTGAACCGCACGCTGCATGTGCGCACGCTGTTCGACTATGTATCGACGTTCGACGGTGATCTTCGTGAGTAACTCGGTTGACAGAATATGCGAGCTAACAGCAGCCTTCGCGGAGAACACGGTGCTCGAGGCGCACCCCGCGCGCGACCCTGCTGGGCCATGGTGGTACGGCACGTTGCCGGACGGACGGGCGGGCTGGTTCCCGAGCTCCTACGTCGTCGAGTCGGTCGGTGAGTACATCCGTATGGCCATGTGGCACCTCGTTAACGCCAGTCCAACCCTGCCGCGCCCTCTACGACTACCAGGCGACGTCGCGCGACGAGCTCTCCTTCTCCGAGGGCCAGTCGCTACCGGTTGTTGACAAGAGCGATGCCGACTGGTGGAAGGTCGAGAAGGACGGCGCTATCCTCCTTGTCCCTGCGGCGTATGTGGAAGTCATCGGTTAGTGCCCCTCTCCTAGCGGCCGTGGCTGCCATATACCGCCCGCAGGCTAGTATCTATCTACCTTGCCTCCGGGCTCAAAAAGACATGCAACGCGTTATTGATAGCAACGGCTGACTCTAGGCCGCGTCGCGAACGGTACTGACCGCAACACTGACAAGGAGGGGCTGGTGAGGCCCGAGGCGGCCCGTGCAGAGACGCCTATCACGGCGCCTCGTGTTCCAAAGGAAAAGCAACATGAGTCGCCGCGCGCCCCCCCTCCGAGCGAGCCCTCTCCGACCTTCACTTCGCCCATACCAACAGTCGACGTCTCCGAGCCCGACACTCGTCGCAGAGCCCCGCCTCCTCCGGCGGACGCGTCGAAGCGCAGCTCGTTGATGATCCCGAGCCAAACGGCCTCTGCAAACCGTTCCCGCGCAACCAGCATTTCCACACTGCGAAGCATGGACGACGGCGCCGAAACCGACAGCGACGACTCGGTTCTTTCGTGGTGGTCTGACGACGAGTCACCGACATCGCCGACGACGTCGCCAAGTCCCCGTCCCTCCAAGGAGGAGGAGAAGAAGGAGGAGCGCCAGCGCCGCGAGAACGAACGTCAAAAAGTGCTCGCTGCTGCAGGTCTCAAGATTCGGCGCGAGCCGCCCAGCATCCCGGGCTCCACTAAACTCGGACGAGCGCCGAGCGGACGCAGACGCGCGCCGCCTCCGCCCAAACCCCGCCCGCAGTCAGGCGAGCGCGACCTACCCGCTGTACCTGACGAACCCGCTGCTACGCCCATCGCCTCGCCCGCCGTCGACGTCGACGACGCGTACGCGCGCTACGAAGCGTTCATGGCCGAGGCGAAGTCGCGGCCCCCGCCGACGGTGTCCGTCCCCGAACCTCGGCGCGCGAGCGTCGCGTCCGAGCGCCCGACGTCCATGATCTCGGTCGCTGAGACGACCAGCTCGACCGGCACCGCAGGCCTCAAGGAGGCCGCGAATGCGGCGAGCCACCGCCTCAGCGGTTTCCTTAGCGGCTTCACGGGCTTTGGTAAGGCGGCACCGGCTGAGCGGCCAAAACCCGTTATCTCGGGCCCTATGGGCGGCGGGGTGATGGGCGAGAAGCGTATCTCGGGGCCCATTAGCCCAATCTCAGGTCCCATTTCCATCTCCGGCCCCATCTCCGGCCCCATCTCCGGCCCCGTCACATCGCCGACCGACGACGCGCCCGCCGAAGCGCCAGGCTTCGGAAAGACATGGTCCTCGCTCGTCGACCCCTCCGTCCTCTCCACCATGTCCGACACAGAGCGTAAGCGACAAGAGGCCATATTCGAGTTCATCTCGACCGAGGGCAGCTACGTGCGCGACCTGCAGCTGATCGTGGGCGTGTTCTACGCCCGCCTCATGTCCTACCTCCCTGACAAAGCGTTGCGCGTCATCTTCGCCAACGTCGAGGACATCATGATGCTCAACTCGTTCTTCTTCAGCTCGCTCGAGGAGCGCCAGAAAGAGTGCAGGCTCTACATTGACACAATAGGCGACGTGCTCGCCGAGCACGCCCAAAACCTCGACGTGTACGCGCCCTACTGTGTGAACCAGGACACGGCGGCCAAACTGCTCCTCCAGATGCGGCAGGAGGACCCCGAGCTGGAGAGGATACTGGGCGAGATTCGGGCAGATCCGAGCGTCCGCGGGCTCGATCTGAGCCATTTCCTGCTCGAGCCGAGTGAGTACCCTCCCCCATCACGCTGATCGCAGTGCAACGCGTTACGCGCTACCCGCTCCTACTGCGCCAAATCGCAAAGTACACGTCTCCCGACCAGGACTTGGCAGATGTCAACAAGGCGCTCAGCCTCGCAGAGACGACAGTCGCGCGCATCAACGAGGGTGTGCGCGAAGCTGAGTCACGCGAGCGCCTGCGTGCGCTCTCCGAGGGGATGTGGATTGGCGGCGAGGGACGTATCGACCTCACAGAGCCGACGGTGTATCTCGGCGAACGGAAGCTGCTGAAAGAGGGCGCAGTGGTCAAGGCCAAGTCTGGGCGCAGGCTGTGGATGGTGTTGTGCAACGACATCGTGATTCTCATGGAGGATAAGAACCTCTATCGGATGGTACGTGGCCACCTCCCATTTATGCTCACGCCAGCCGGTGCCCGTGCACAACCTCGACCTGCTGCAAGGCAAGGACGATGTGTCGTTCGCCCTCGTGATTCCCCGCGGGCAAGGCGCGGACACGGTACGCATCAAGGCGCCGTCGAACAAAGAGCGTGTGGAGTGGATCAGAGCGCTCTCGAAAGCGAAGAACGACGCCGCGGACGCGCGCCGCTCCGCGGCCCTCAACGGGTCAGACAGAGACAGAGCGCGGTCACGCCCAACGCATACCCGCGCCCACTCGAGAACGCACAGCGCCATCAGCGTCGCATCGGACGGGCTGTACGGCGGGGGGCTGTACAATGACGTCTCTAACGGTCGGCGGGGTGACCACTACAATACGTCGCGAGACGCATACGACGGCGCGACTTCGTACGAGAGCAATGGGTGGAACAGCCGTGCCGCGTACGAAGCGACACTGTCCCCGCCCGTTCCACGCCGCCCCGAACCGGTCTCGCCCATGTCTCCGCCCCTCCCGCTTCGCCCGTCCCCGCCTCTTCCACCCCGTCCGCAGTCGCGGCCTGAGGCACACGGCGAAGGGCAGGAGGTGTTCGACTACTCGGGGCACAAGTCGAGCATGTACGACCATGAGTTTTGATTTCAGAGCGAATTAGCATGCGAAGCAAGTGGAAGAGATACAGAAGAATACCATGCATCTATCCCAGGCCGCCTCGGGTCCACCAGCGTGATGTCAACGACGTGAAACTCGGGAAATCAAATCGGATCGGAATCGGATCGGCATCTTGCGGACCGACCGTGCGGCACGCGGCATGCGGGCGAGCGGTGCGGAGTGTGATATGCGCCTGCCTCGCCTGCTCAAGCGAGCTGAATGGCAGGTGATGCGGAGCGTCTCGCAGCGCCCAGCATCGTAGTAACAGTCGGCGTGCGCCTGACGTCCATCGCCATCGGCCCCGCCACTCGGCGCGTTATCGGCGAATAGCTATCGATCCGAGAATCCCCCTTGTCCAGGTCGGCCTTCACTTCCTCGCCTCCCTCCTCGCGCATGTCATAAGCCCCAGCCCATGCTCTACTCACCCCAACTCACCATGACTAACTTTCTCAAAGTCGACGGCGCGCACATCGTGCGCGACGGCCACCCGCTCGTGCTGAAGGGCGCCGCCCTCGGCGGCTGGAGTACGTCTCCGCCGTCCCCGCTGACCCAGTGAACATGGAGAACTTCATCACAGGCTATCCGGGCCACGAGCACCAAGTCCGGCGCGAGCTGCTCAAAGTCCTCGGGGAGGAGAAGTACGCCTTCTTCTTCGACAAGGTGGGTGGTCCGCCGTGCAGCTCACCAGTTCCTCGAGTACTTCTTCACGGACGCCGACGCCGCGTTCTTCGCGGCCCTCGGGCTCAACTGCGTCCGGCTGCCCGTCAACTACCGGCACTTCGAGGACGACATGGCGCCGGGCGTGTTCAAGACGGAGGGGTTCAAGCACCTCGACCGCGTGGTGGATATCTGTGCCAAGCACGGGATATACACTGTCATCGATCTACATGCTGCGCCGGGCGCGCAGAACGTCGACTGGCACTCGGACGGAGGCAGCAACCAAGCGCTGTGTGAGTATTGTCAGGAGACACCCACACCCCGCTCGTGAGCCTCTCCGCTCGGCCGCGGCCTCGCTCACGACAGTCTGGGTACACAAAGACTTCCAAGACCGCACGGTGGCGATCTGGGAGCACATCGCCCGGCATTACCGCGACAACGCGTGGGTCGCGGGCTACAACCCCCTGAACGAGCCGACGGACGAGGAGCACACGCGCCTCCCGGCGTTCTACGCGCGCATCGAAGCCGCGATCCGCGCCGTCGACCCGCACCACATCCTGTTCCTCGACGGCAACACGTTCGGGATGGACTTCAGCGCGTTCGGTCCGCCCCTCCCGAACTGCGTGTACGCGTGCCACGACTACTCGAACTACGGGTTCCCGAACCCGCCGGCAGCGTTCACGGGGAGCGCGGAGCAGGTCGCGTACCATGAGCGCCACTTTGCGCGGAAGACCGAGTATATGCGGCGCGTGGGCGGGCCGGTGTGGAGTGAGTTCTGCGGCGTCCGGAGCGGAGCGGCTGATGGCAGACGGCGAGTTTGGGCCCGTGTACCAGCAGCCCTCGGACGGTATTCCGGAGTGGGAGGAGATTAACGAGACGCGTTACGCCGTCCTCGAGTGCCAATTGGGGATTTACGCCAAGTCGCACACGTCCTGGAGTATTTGGTTGTACAAGGACATCGGGTTCCAGGGCATGGTCTACGTGAACCCAGACAGCGCATACATCAGGCTGGTCGAGCCGTTCCTCAAGAAAAAGCGGGTACGTGTTCCTCTTTTGTGTCTGCCTCTGGCGGATGCTGACACCAGGCTCTCGCGCTCGACGCCTGGGGGTGCGACGACACGCCCGTTCGCGCAATCTTCGATCCAATGGCCGAGTGGCTGCGCAAAGCCGCTCCCTCAATCGACACGCGATACCCCCCCACCTGGCGGGCCGAGAAGCACCTCTTCCGCATCGTGCGTAACTGCCTGCTCTCGGACGAGCTGTGCGCCGAGTACGCATCGTATTTTGCGGGCAAAAGCGAGGCCGAGCTCGACGAGATCGCGCGCAGCTTTGCGTTCGAGAATTGCGTCAAGCGCGAGCGCCTGAATCAGATTCTGCAGGCGGACGCAGCGCGTGAGGTGTAGGCGGGAGGCAGTCGCTTGAGTCTGGCTGGTGTCGAGAATATCTAGCAACATTAGAAACCGGCTTGAGCAAGCGCTGTCGCAGCCTCCTTGATGCGCCCCACTCCCTCGGCTTCCCACCGCAAAGCCAAGTCATAACTGTCATAATGCAATGCAATGCTACTACTACACAATGGGTATAACAACTAGGGGTGTGGCACAAAGAATCCGGGGCCTATATGCGGCATCGGCGACACCATGCCGTGCGCCACAGGCGCCGGCACAGGCATGCCCGGCACGCCGACGACGGGGAAGGTAGGGCGGATACCCATGCCCATGCCCATGCCGAGGGGGGCGAGGGGCGGCGCATACCGCACGGGGACTATGGGGAGGTAGGAGGCGGGGCGCGCGGCGAGGGGCACCATGGGCGCGGGCGCGAGCGGGATGCCTGCTGGCAGATAGGCGGGGTGGCCGGGGTAGATGCGGTCCGGGCGGCGGTCGTCGATGTCGGACGGGAGGCGGTGCCGGCGTGAGGCGTCCTTGTCCTTGTCCTTCTTGTCCTTTTGCTCGTCCTTCTTGTCCTTCTTGGTGGACTTGGAAGACTTGGAGCGGATCGAGTCGGCGTCCTTGTCCTTCTTGTCGGGCTGGGCCTTGGCCTGCTTCTTGTCGTCGACCTTGGCTTCCTTCCTCTCCTCGACCTTCTTCTCTTCCGGAGCGGGCACTGGAGCCGGAGCAGCCAGGGCAGGAGCGGGGATGGGAGCTGGCGCGGTGACGGGAGAAGGAGCGGAAGTGATGACGGGGGCGGCGACGGGAGCTGGAGCAGGGGCTGGCTCGGCGATGGGTGCAGGAGCGGGGACGGGAGCAGGCGCTGGCGCGGCGACGGGCGCAGGCGCTGGAGGTGCTGGGACAGGAGCAGGAGCGGGAGCGGCAAGTGCAGCTGCCGGTGCCGGGACGGGAGGAGCCGGCTTCGGTGCCTCGACCTGCGAGATGTTGTTGACGTTCTTGCCCGTCGTGCTTTGGGCGCGCTTGGCCACGGAGGCGGGTGCTGGTGGAGCTGGAGTGGGAGCAGCGACCGGGGCGGGTACCGGCGGCGCGGCGGGGGGAGCCGCTACGGGGGCAGGCGTAGGTGCAGCTGGAGCCGGGGCGGGGGCAGCAGCAGGAGCGGGCGCAGGTGCAGCGACTGGAGCAGGCGCAGGTGCGGCGACAGGTGCAGGCGCCGAAGGGGCAGGGGCTGTCTTTGCAGGAGGCGGCGCAGGAGCAGTGACGGGAGCTGGTGCAGGCGCCGGCACAACCTTCGGACCTGGGGGTGGAGGAGCAGGGAGAGCCCTCAGAGCAGGCGCCGGCACCGGAGCGGCGACAGGAGCAGGCACCGGGGCAGGCGCAGCAACGGGCGCAGCGGGAGCTGGCGCTGGCGCTGGCGCCGGAGCCTTGGCCTTGGCCATCTCACCAACAGTCACCTTCACGTCCCCATTCGCGATGTGGACCGTGACAGGTGCGCCGGGGGTCGTCTTCGCGGACGGCGTGGCGGGCTTGGGCGGGCCCGGCGAGGTCTTGTGCGCGGGCGTCGCAACGGCAGGCGGGCCCGCGGCGGTCTTGTGCGCAGGTGTGGCCGGGGTGGGTGGGCCGGGCACGGCGCGCGTGGCGGGGGTGGGCGAGCCGGGCGGTGTCACGCGGCGGGGGATGCTGCTTTTCTTGGAGGGCGACGGCGCGAAGGCTTTGTAGTCGACCATGGCGATGGGCGCGTGGCCTGCCTTCGTGCCCGGCTGAGGCTTCTCCGCCGGCTTCTCGCAGGCGGGCGCGCGGTCGCCGCGTTCGGCACCCGCACTCGCGTACATGATCCGCTCTACGTCTCCTGCGGGTGTGCCGTGTGGAATGGAGAGCTCGACCACCACGCGCTTCGTGATGTCGGATGGCAGTGGCTTCGTGACGTAGGGAAGGCAGTGTGGGGCGGGGTAGGCAGGGTAGGACACAACGACCGGAGCTTGGGGGATAGCTTTGACCAGCGGTACACTTGCCGAGGAGGCGTGGGCGCACGGAGGTGCGGGGGTGACCGCGTTGGCGACGTGCGTACACGCATGAGCGGGGGGTGCCTTGACTGCTGGGGCGGCGGGAGCAAGGGCGGGCGCCTCCTTCACCTCCACTGGCTGAGCCTTGGGTGCCGAGGGGACAGGCGGGCTCGCCGTCTTGAGGGACGGCGCCTTGACACTGCCGGCCTTGGCCGGGTCGCCCTTGACAGACTCGGGCTTCTTGACGGGCGGAGCGGGGATGACGGCCGGCGCGGCCTTGGGGGTGGGGAGGGGCTTGGGTGCGGGCGCGGGAGACTGTTTGACCGATGGCGCCTTGGGGGCCTCCTTCACAGAGGCGGCCTTGGGCGTTTCCTTGACCGACGGAGCCTGGGGAGTCTCTTTGACGGACGGCGCCTTGGGGGCCTCTTTGACGGAGGGAGTCTTCGGGGTTTCCTTAACGGACGGCGGCTTAGGAGCCTCCTTTACAGAAGGCGCCGTGGCAGCCTCTTCCACCGAGGCTTCCTTCACCGACGCCGCCTTGACAGACTTGGACTTCACCTCAGGCATGACTGTCGACTCGCGCACAACCTCCCTCGTGACCTTCTTGATCTCCTTGACGGTCTTTGTCACCTCCGTGACAGTCACGACGGAAGCGACAGACTCGGCCTTGACGCTCTCGACTTTCTCCTTCACCGACGCGTGCTTGGGGGACACGGGGCGGGTAGACGCGGCGGCCTTGACTTCTTTGACTTCCTTGACTTCCTTGGGGGCAGGCTTGGGCGACTCTGCGGCCTTCGGAGCAGGCTTGGGCGACTCGGCCGCCTTGCCCTTGTCCGAAGGCTTGGGGGACGCGGGCTTGGGTGCGGGGGCCTCCTTGACGGACGCAGGCTTGGGGGTCTCCTTTACTGACGCGGGCTTGGGCGCTTCCTTGATCGACGCGGGTTTGGCTTCCTTGACAGCGGAGGGCGGCGGCACCTTGGGGGCCTCGACAACGGAAGGCGCGTTCTTGACAACGGGCGGCACGTCATTGATAGACGCGGCCTTGGGCTTGGGCGAGTCCTTGACAGACGCGGCCTTGGGCTTGGGCGACTCCATGACCGACGGCGCCTTGGGCTTGGGCGAGTCCTTCACGGATGGCGCTTTGGCAGGGGTCTCCTTCACGGACGGCGCCTTGACGGACGGCGCTTTAACAGACGGCGCCTTGACAGATGACGCCTTAGACGACGCCTTGACAGAAGGCGTCCTGCACCTCTCCTTCTCTTTCCCCCCCGTACGCACATTGACGTTGACGTTGACCGACATGTCGCCTGCTTCGAGAGTAGGGGGCCCGTGCGTGAGGTCTTCCGGCGTGTCGAGCGGCGTATACGCGTCGGCGTCCGAAGCGTCACCAGTAGTCCCGGAATGTGTGGATGCGAAATCAGGCTCGTCTTCGCGCAAGGGCGTGTCGCAGAGCGTGGGCACGATGGGGCGGGGCGGGCTCTGGCCGTCGGGGGATACCGGGTGCGCACGGAGCGCGTCGGGCGTGCGCGGCGGCGACGGCGGCACGCTGATGGCCTGCACGAGGCCGGGGTGGGTGTGTGCGCGTGCGTACAGCGCCGGGCGCTCGACAGCAGCCACAGCGGACGAGACGGTGCCGGGCCGGATGGCTTGGGCGGAGGGGCGGCGCTCGGGCTGTTCGGGCTTGGCGGGCGAGTGCTTCTCGTGCTTCTCGTGCTTGCGCGAGAAGAGCTTGAGCGAGAGACGCTTCTTGTCCGACGACGACGTGGATGTGGATGTGGATGGAGAAGGAGTGGGAGGAGGTTCATCCGCGAGGAAGTCGTACGCGCTCATCCGGGCGTGGGGCGATCGCCCTACCCGTCGCCCCGATCTTGTAGGGCTCTCGAGCTCGGGCCCCGGCGTGCTCGCGCTCGTGCCCGGCGTGCTGTCCCGGCTCTTGCGCAGTGCGCGCAAGCCCTTGCCGAGAGAGAACGAGCGCTTCATCTCCGGCCGCTCCTTCTCGCTGGTGAGGAACGAGGGGAGGTGGAACGCTGATTGGTGCCGCTCGTGCGCGTGCTGCAGCACGAGGTGGGGCGACGACGCGGTCGGCGGCGTAGCCGGCACGCTCCCCGGCGTGCTGGAGCCCGTGTTCTTCCTGATCCGGAACGACGTCTTGCGCTCGCGCGCGCTGAGCTTGCGCGCGCGCGCCTCCTCCGTGTGGCCCATAGACAGGTCCACGACGCTCTCGACAAACTTGCCGAGCAGCGCTTCGCTGCGCGCAAACCGCTTGCGCCCGTACGGCGAGGGCGGGGAGCCGGCGGGCTCGGCGGCGTGCGCGTACGGGCTGCGCGGCGAAAGGCGTGCGGGCGTCGCGCACGGCGCGTGGCTGTGTTCCCGCTCGCGCGCTTCTTCCGCCTCGAGCGCGCGGTCGCGCTCCTCAAAGTCGGTCGCGAGACGGCGCACGCTCACGCGCGGCGAGCCAGAGGGATCCAGAAGCGTCGGAGAGGGCGGGGCGGGGAACGCGAGCGGCGTCGAAACGGAGCGGGGGAGCGCGGCGCGCGTCGCCGGCGCGGGTGCGGGGATGCCAAATTCCAGCCCGAGCGCCGACTGCTGTTGTGATATTGTGGTCATGATGAGTGATGGCCGCCAGCGGCTATCTGGTGGTACTGATACGGGAGGTTCAAGTGAGTTGCGGGTGAGTTGCAGAAAAGACTGGTATACATATGCGCTGCGCTCGCCTGCCCTCACCCGCTCTCGCCCGCCCTCGCACCGCGAGCGCCGGCGTGCATCGCCAGTACATCGGATCTCGTGCACGGGAGGAGAGGATCGCCGGGGGCTCCCGGTGCATTGGGAACAAAGAGGGCGTGGTGGACGGTGACTACCTCGGCGGAGTGGGCGGAGTGGGGCGTGCGTGGAAGGGCAGGAACAATGGACAATGGCGAGTGGGACAATGGTGGGATGCCAAGGTTTGTATTGTTGGATGAACAGTAACGCCGATGCGTCGACGTCGTCATAATCTCTCTCGTGGCTAGACTGATGCTGATGTTGATGCGAGAGCATGCATGCGAGTGAAAGGCTACATGCTGCCGAGCTGCATTTGTGCTGCTATGCAAGTGATGGTGGTTTAACATTGCTGTTGGCCGCTCGGACTGAACTCGGCGCCAGTCCCTCCCCGGCCCCGCCAAGACCCCCGCCAGGCCCCGCGCCGTCCCCACCCCGCAGCGCCGCTAGTAACGCCGGCGCGGTGCGGTCGGGTCAGTCGTAAAGTATGTCACGCCCTAGTGCGTCAGCTCGTCCCACACCGACATACCTTGAGGTCCAGGTACCTCTTGAAGCGCGGCTTCCAGCCGCGTGCGCTGACGCCGGCCGCGAGGGCGCGGGAGACAAGCTCGTCGAACGGCAGTGGCTCGTACCGGAGGATGCGGGCGTACAGGATATCGTCGGAAGTGAGGAGGTCGTAGAACATCTGGTCCAAGTCTTGGTCGGTGGCTGCTGCGTCGTCTTCGTCGGTGGTCTCGGTGGTCTTCGACTTTGTCTTGGGCTTGGGCTTGGGCTTGGGTGTGGGTTTGGCCGGGGCTCTGCCCTTGCCCTTGTTCTCCAACGGTTGGACCGGAGTAGGATGCAACGCTTCCCAGCACTCCGTGGCGAGCAGGACGAGGACTTTCTTGTCCTTGGACGGGCGGTAGCCGTAGCGTTTGACCAGTCGCTGCTGTTAAACACACGTTACCACAAACACTCACTTGCAGCTTTGGAATGTCCCAGCTGCCGTAGTCGGGCGCCTTGCTACGCTTACCAGCCGGCGCCTCCTCGTCGCTGATGCTAATGTCGTGCACCTCGTAATCGTCCTCGCCGAGCTCCCCATCTTCATCATCATCATCCTCGTCTTCACCCTCGTCCTCGTCTAGCCCCTCGTCATCTTCCTGCTCCAGAACTTCCTCCCCGTCCCACACCAGCACCGCATCCCCACCCCAGTCACTATCAGACGCGATACCCGCATCGCTCCTGGACACCGACGGCGCGGCGCTTCCCACGCTCTCACCGTCCAGAACGTCCAGAGGGCTAGGTGGCGGGCTGAAATACTCCCAATCCGGACTCGGCTCGAACTCGAGCACAGCATCGCCCCATCCAATAGGCGACGCCTGTGGCGAAGGGGACGAGCAGAGGTTGATGACCTCTCGTCTGCGCGGCGTCGGGGATCCGGGCGACCCCAGCCCGGCACCCGAAATCTCCATGCGCGCAAGCGCGCTCGACGGGGTGTGCGGCCTATCGCTGACTGATCCCCGCAGAGATGGCGTCGCGCCGCCGCTGCCGCGCCTCGTCAACGCCGACCCCGATCGCCTCGGCGAGCCGGCGCCGGCGCTCGGGGTCGATTCCCGCGGTGTGGCGGCGGCTCCCTGCGGGCTGCGAGCCGCCCCCGTGCCGAAAGGGCTTGAAGCCTCCGCCGTAGAATCTGCGGGGAGGAGTTTGTGGAGGCGAAGAGAGCCGCGAGGTGGGGCGCTGCGAGGGAAAGTGAAAGCCATCGCCTGGTTCCAGCCCGTCGTCGTAGCGCGAGAGCGCGGAGGCTGCGCGCTGCGTCTGCGATGCTTCTTCTTCCGCGAACGTTTCGCGGACGGCCTGAGAGAGGCCGATGAGCGGCGGCGCTTGAGGGAGGAGGTTGGGGATGGGGGAGTGGGCGCGTGGCGGGCGCGAGTATTCGGCTGAGAGTGAGAGGGCTGATTCGCCCAGCGGCTGCGTTGCCTGGAACGGAGAGGGGGAGCGCGAGGGAGAAGGTTCGGCGCTCCGGGAGGGAGAGCGGCTCGGGGCGCCGAAGACCTCGACCACGCGCATGTCCACCTCCTCCACCCACCCGTCGCGGGCGTGGCTTGCCCGCACGGTAGTGTTGCGGAGTGCGCGCTTAGGACGCGGCACGAGGTCGGGGAGGGAGGTCATGAGCCCGTCGGCGGCGGCGGCGGCGTTCGTGCGGCGCCGCATGAGGGTGAAGTCTTCTGTGGGGCCTTCGAGCGCGGTGGAGATGAGAGATTCAAGATTAGGCGGGGGATTTGGTGGGCGGAACGCAGGCGGTAAACAGGTAGAGAGGTGTCGCTGCCATTAGCGCAGAGATGTGCGGCGGCTCACCCATCGCGCGGCGCCGCTCTCGACTTTCTTGAAGTCTCTCTGACAGAGGAGACATCGTGGAATCTCCTTCAGGATCGCCGTTCTGGGTAGCCAGTCGGGGACGGGAAGGGGCTCGCGGGGAGTGGAAAGGAGAGATGTTGCGGTCAAGGTGGCAGAGGAGGAGGAGGCTATGGAGGCATTTAGAGCGGGAGGTGCTGATGCAGAAATTGTAGTCAACTTTCGTACTGGTCGAGGTGGGGGCGAGTCGGCAAACGCAAAGCGGCTCGCGAGACCTGTTCCAACCTCCCGCGCTTTCTCTTCACGCACAAACACTACGTCGTCGTCCTCGGGCGTCTTCTGTCGCTTATGCGCCCGTGGACGCCCTCGCTTCGCCTGCCGACTGGAGCCAGCCTGAGCGCGCCTCGCGGCAAGGGGCTGGGAGGAGCTGGAGCGCACGCGTCTCGACGCAACGCTATGTGGCGGCGGGTCGAGAGGAATAGGATCGTCCGAGTCCGAGCCCGAGTCCTGCACGAGGACGAGTGGTTGAGCCATGGTGGCAGATCGCGAGGGAGATGTTGTTTGTAACCACAATTCGCCACCCAACTGGTCTCGACATTGCCACGGAAGCAATTCCACATGAGCGCGAGCGGACGGAGTTGAGGTGGGCGTGTCCGTGCCTTGCAAGGCGTTGTTGCGTCATCTCCGCTCGCTGGAGGCTGCTCAACACCGCCCGCATCTCCGGAGCCGCCTCCTGGTGACATCTGAGACAGCGACAGAGACATGGTGGATGAATGGCATGAATGGAGTCGGTAGCTGGCGAGAGATGAATAGCATTGTGACTATTTGAGCCATTCTGGAGCCAGCAGCTGGCAGTACAGTATAACAGGGCGGATACCGGCGCGAGATGTGATGGGATGGGTGGTGCAGTGCGCACGGCATGAGTTGGTTCAACTTGGATCCTCCCATCAACCACCACGACATCTCCTTCCTACCTCCCCCAGACACGCTTGCTTTGACCATGGCAGCGACAGGCGCCGCAGCCGCCATCAGTGCGTCCGACCCCAGACCCATGCTCACTCCAGTGGCTAGTACGTCTCGCGATCCGGCAGATGCGCCCGAGTTCAACGAAACGACCACCGTCAGCCTCGAGTGGAAGCTCACGGGTCTGCGGTCCATGTACGAGTCCAGTAAAGGCGACATGAAGAGGTGCGCTTTCTCCGTTTCTCAACTCTGCTCCCTCTTTTAGGATCAGTGCTGACCGCAGTAAATGCATCAAGAGTGCCATCTTCGGCGACCCCGACAACCTGTGGGAGGTGCTGTTCTACCCAAACGCCGGAGTCAAGGACAAGGACAGCGACCAGTACTTCTCCAGCCTCTACTTGTGGTGTGTGGTGCGTGTCACGCCCAGCATCTCTATCTCCTCGCTGCTCTCTCGATCCACTTTTGTTCACCTTACTGACACCATCCTCCATTCCGCACACCCTACGCCATTGGACATGACACTCGGCCCAACATCCCCCCTTACACTCGACACCACAGCCGACGCAGCAGGAGCGTGAAGAGGCCATCTCGGGCAAGTGGGTGCGCAAAGGCTTGTGGTGGTTCCGGTTCGAGGTGCGCGCGATGAACGACGCGAACAAGTCGATCGTCCTCGGCGCCCCCAAAGATGCGAGCAACCACACCTTCGCAGCCGAGACCGCGACCAACTGGGGCTGGCAGAAGTTTGCGACGCGCGACCTGTTATTCAAACACCAAGCAGCTGAGCAGAACGACTTCTTCACCATCATCTGCACGATTACGTCGCAGCCGCAGCCGCCCGCGGGGCACTGGCTCGGCCTCGGCATCCCGCAGCGCCCTGTAGACCGCCCCACGGCTGTGGGGTGGACCGGGAGTGCAGGCGCGAGCAGCGGCGTAGGTGGAGGCACGTACGCTGCGGGTGGGCCAAAGCGCGTCGTCCCGCGCGATCTTATCAGCTGCGTCGGCGACATGCTCGACGACCCTCGTGAGGCGTCACACGATCTTGCTGACGCCAGTATACAGCGATGTCGAGTTCATAATTCCCGCGCCGAAGGGCACTGCGCCCGACGGCAAGCGTGCGCCGCCGCGCAAAATCTACGCGAGCAAGAAGATGCTTGCGCGCTGCGACTATTTCGAAGCCATGTTCCACGGGGGGTTCGGGGAAGCGGACGGCAGCCTCTCGGACGAAGACGACGGCGCGCTGAGTCCGCTGTCTGACTCGGACGCCGAGGAGGAGGCCGTAGACTTGGTTGCAGGGCCGGTGTATACGCACCACGCGTTCACGGGCAGCGCGCCCAAGGGCGCGAACACGCCGCCCGGGACGGACGGGAAGGCGGCGGCGCGCGACGACAGCGACGACGGCGCAGACGAGGGCTCGCAGGACGCCGCGGAGAGTGCGTCCGCCCAGTCGAGCCAGATCATGAGCGACAAGAACGACGAGACGCAGGGGGCGGCGGGGTTCAAGCTCGCGTTCGCGGCGACGACGTCGCGCAAGCGCGTGCGCGAAGACGCGGCGGCTATGGGGCCGCGCAAGACGCGCGTCGTCGTCCGCGACGCGGCATGGAGCACATGGTGGGCCGTGCTGTACTGGGTAAGCCTGACTTTGCGGCGCTGCTGATCCCAGCTCTACACCGACGTGGTGTACTTTGCGCCGCTCACGTCGTCCTTCGGAAACCCGAAGCAGCTGGAAGAAGCCACGTCGTTTACCGAGCTGCTCAAGCCCATCTCGCGCCGCGAGTGGATGCAGCGGTGGCTGAACGAGCGCAGGCTCACGCACGAGTGGGGCGAGGGGCCCGTCGGCCCGCGCCCCGTCTCCGCTAAAGCCGTGTACCGGCTCGCGGACAAGCTCGACTTGCCGGCGCTCAAGCTGCGCGCGTTCCAGCACATTATAAGCCAGCTGACGCCGTACAATATCCCGACCGAGGTGTTTTCGCGCTTCTCCACCCTGTTCGACGAGGTGCGCCAGGTCGAGCTCGCGTTCTTCCTCAAGCACTGGGCCGAGATCAAGAAGAGCGACGCGATGAAGAATATTTGGTCCCAAATCCGCAGCGGCAAGCATGTCGGCTTCGAGGAGGTGTGGCCAATCATCATGAGCAAGCTCGACTACCAGTCGACGTAATTGTACGAGGTGTCACGCATTGGGTCCATAGCCACAGTTGTTTTGTACGTATATGCACGGTCGCGTAGTATTTGTTTATGCTGCTGGGGTGGAGTTTGTCAGCGCCTGACTTTGTGCAGCGCGGGTAAGCCTGCCGCCATGCTGGCCTGCTTCGCTCGCGGCAGCGTCGCCGAACAATGCTGCTGCCAACATGACCTGTGACACAGAAAGTACATGACACAGGAAGTACAATGCATCAATGACGCTCGTCAGGATGTCGTCTCGTCTCCGAGGCTATGTCGGTCTGGCGGGACCTCAGCTAGACTGTGGAATGGCGCCTACTACTGCCGAAGATACACCTCAAGGAAGTCGACTGCTGCACTACAGCACTCGTCATAGCCCTTGACGCGGCGGTTCTGGTGTCAGCCTGGTCACTGGTCTGGGATCCGGGAGGGTGTGCGTGCAGCCGGGCAGTCCACTTGCAGCAGGTTTTTCCTCCCTCTCGTTTCCACGATTCTGTTCCCTCCCCGCTCATCCCGCCAACTCACCGAGAAGCGCTGGTCAAACACGTGCCCAGCTCCAGGCTCGTAGTACTCGCCGACGGGCACGCCGAGCTCTCGCAGCCGCTTGGCCATGTCGCGGCTCTGTTCGACAGGCACAATGGCATCCGCCTCGCCGTGCAGGAAATACGTCGGTGGATGAGGGTATCGACTGCGCGTGCCGTTTCCTTCTCCGTGCCCGTTGACGCCGTTGGTCGCGACACCGTTGACGCCGTCAGAGCCTCGCCCTCCCAGAAGTCTCAGCGGCGAGTGCCGCTCGGCATACACATGCTTCTCCTCATTGCTTCCTCCCCGAAGCACGGCGTCAATCCAATTTCCACGGTTGAGCAGGGTAAACACATCCCCCTGAAGGTGCTGCCGGCGCCCCACTACCAGAGTGAGGGAGTGGAATGCGCGACGCAGAGCGCCTTGCCCAAAGCCGATGCGACCAGGCGATGGACACGTGATGATGGCATGGGCGGGGTCGTTGTCCTGCGCGGCAGCAATAACTTCGGCCTCGTCAAACTCGCCGCTGAGCTCGACATTGTCCCCGCGCGTCCGGAAAAAGGGGTCGGCGAGGTCGAGGAGCGCGTGGTTGGCGAGGAATGCACGAGGAGGTGGCGTGAGGGTCTGCGCGAGAAGACCAGCGATAGTCCCACCTGCGCTGTCACCTGCAACCGCGTAACTGTCTAGCGCCACTGTGGTACCGAGGAACGTGGGGAGATGAGCGCGACACCATGCGTAGGCATCGTTGGCGTCGTCGATGATGTCCTCAAGCGACGCCTGGGGCGCGAAGCGATACGAGAAGGAAACGACGTGGATCCCGCGGCGCAGGAGAAGGGGTACGACCCACGGGGTGACCTCTGTGGTTGTTAGCGGGCGCCCGTCGGTTTCGGGGAGCGCGTCAAGGTGCGTGGGGGGAAGGAGTGTGGCGCGTGTGGAGGGGCGTGATGGCTTGTAAGCCACCGGACTATAGCGAACGTTTGTAGCGCTGAGGGCGCTTTGTGCGTCCAGAGTGGTGATGGTGAGAAGGAAGGGCGCGCGGACGATCAGCAGTGGTGTGTCGTCGTCGTCGGCGCCAGTCGCTGTAGCGACGACAGACGCGGGTCATTGTGTGCTTCGCCATCGGCTCCACTGGGAAGAGATAAGAACGCACCTTCGTGCATGCCAAAGAGGAAAGCGCCGCCGTGCGACCAGAGGAGCCATGGGCTGGGCGAGTTTACTGGGGAGGGCCAGAGACGGAGACGGAGGTCGACGCCATGTTTGGTGGCGAAGATGTGGTCGCTGAAGGGGCAGGTGTAGTCTGTTGGGTCGGGGAGGGTGGTGGGGGTGAAGGCCGAGTCGCTCGTGTCTGGCATGGCGCGAGCGGCCGGGGGGGAGATGGGAGTTGCGAGGATGAAGTGGTAACGAAATGCGAGGGGAGTGGAGTGAGATGCGGGAGAGAGAGGGGGGGGTGAAGGGAGGCGGGAGGAAGAGGGATATTAGGGGAACGAGGATGAAGAGATTAATGGAAGGAGAGAGAGAAAGAGAAAGAGATGAAGAGAGAGAGAGAGAAGAAAGACGAGGATGAGTTGAAGAGGATGACGAGGATGATGGAGAGGAAGAGGAGAACGACGACGACGACGACGGCAGAGGAGGAGGAGGAGGAAGGGTGAAAGAGAGCAATCGATCGGCTTGTTTACTCCGTCCACTCCACAATCCGTCATCCATCCATCAGCTCTCCTCCGTGCGCTCCTTGCTGCCTCCGATGCTGCATACTGCGTGCTGCGTGCTGCGCCGCCGAGGCTGCTGCGCTATGCGTTGCCTCTGTTCGCATTGGAGCATGGCGCGCGACAGTTACTCGCACTAAGGGCCCAAGACAGACTAACAAAATGTTGGCGCGTGGGCAATAGCTCCACTTGCAGGAGTACGTGAGCAAGGGTAGACGCCAGCACGAGGACGAGCACGAGCACAAGCAAGCACTGACGCCGCGCCGAGGCGGGGGCACGGTCCACATGGGCACTCCGATAGTCCGAGTGCAGGGCTCAGCACGCGCAGGAGCAGAGCTTTACAGCTTTACAGAACAACAGATGCCTCGGAGAGAGACGCGGGCCGAAGACGAGAGGCACCAGCGCCGAGGATTCTGCGGCCGTATCTCGACTCTCCACCAATGCGCTGCCCGCATCGCCCGTTCTTCGTGCCGCTGTCGCCGTCGTGACGTTCGATTACAGGGTCGAGCATGCGACCTCTTTCGAGTGGCATTCGTCTCTCTCCTCCTCGCTCCATGTCTTGTCTTGGCATCGATGGCATCACGGCGTCTCCCCCGCTCCCCCCGCACATGCTACATGATATCGATAACAGCTCAGCCTGACACTACAACTCGTACAGCTCTTGGCCGTGATACCCGACCCTCTCACCATCTCACAACAAATCAAGCCCGTCCATGCTCATCACATTGTGCTCGTCCTCATCCCCTGTCGTCAGCTCTAGCATCCATGTGCAACTTACGCCCACATGCACTGCACTCCTCGACGCGCCCATACTCCAACCGCTCCAGCACCTCATGCACGAACTCGGCATCGAGGCCTCTGGCAGGTAGGTCGCGCGCGATGCCCGTCCGGATGCTCTCGTCCACCATGCCCTTGACTTCGCGATACCACACGCCGTCCGAGTCGTCGTCCTCGCGCTCCTCTTTCGTCAACACGTGGTTGGCGACACCACAAAAGCGCCACCGCGTCCGCTGTAACGTGGCATAGTGTACGCCGCTCCCCACCGCCGAAGACGGGAAGAGGTTCTTGATGGCCGTACCCATCTGCCACGGGCGCATGTTCCACTCTGGGCCGGGGAGGCGCACAGCCGCCTCGCCTACGGGGAAGCGGTACCGTCCCCGAAAGAGGGGGTGGGGGATGGCGTGTGGGGCAAAATCATAAACGTTCGTCGTAGGCAACGACGGGAGGACTTGGTGCACGACGTCGTGGAAGGTCACGCTCACGAGGTCCCATCCCGCCGTGAGCGCTTCCAGGCGGCGCACAAGCGCGTACGCCCCACGCGTCGATGCTTCGCGGTACGCGTCCCACTCTGCGGCGGGCACGTGGCGGAACGCGACGCACAACCGCGTCGGCCGCTGCGCCGCCAGGCCTTGCAGAAGACCGGGCAGGGGTCCGGTCCATATACGCAGCTGGTCGACGGCGACAGGGCCGAGGCATACAGACTGTAAGCGAGGCATGAGGGGCTCAGCGGCGGCGGCGGCGGCGGCGGCAACAGCGACGTCTGCAAACCCCGCCGCGTCGGCGAGCGTGGGCACGCGCACGCGCCGCACATACCGCCACGCGCGGAGGCGGCGGCGTGTGGCCTCGTCGGAGCGGAGGCCCACGTCGCCGGGGGCGAGCGCGCTCAACAGCCCCACCGCGCGGGGGCCCAGCACCACCTCGCGATACAGCGCGGGGGCGGCGGCGTCGTAGGCTGCGCGCGAGGCGCGGGCGAGGGCCGCGAGCGTGCCCCGCGCGCCGCGTGCGGCGAGGAGGTCGGCGACACGCACGAGGATATCAGGAGGGAGACGCATGGGGGAGAGAGAGAGAGAGTGGAGATCCGTGGAACTAGACCGGGGTCGCTAAGCGCTGCCTGTCTCGCTTAAACCAATGGGATTCCGCATTAGCCTCGGAGCCCCTCGATTACCCCCTATTACCCCTCAATTAACCTGGATTAGAACGGCTACCTCCACTCGCTCGTATCCGCAACCGCCCTCTGTCCTCAAGCCACAAACACTTTGCCATCTCTTTCTCTTTCTCTTTCTCAACGTCTCACTCACGCTCTCATCTATTGACCTCGGCGTCACAGGCGCCTGCGGCTCCGCTACTCACATTCCGGAGCTACTCCTTCGCCCCCTCTCCCCGCTCACCTCCACCCCCTCGCCCGGACCATGTCCGAGTCGCCCCCCGGCAAGCGCCGCTCACCGGGGTCCGGCGGCGGGTCCCAGAAACGCACACGCTCGCGTAACGGCTGCCTCGTCTGCCGCGCCCGCCGCATCAAGTGCGACCTCGGTGCGTGCCCCCAAGGATCTGCTGACCCAGAACGCCCCGAATGCAAGCGCTGCGTCAACTATGGCGCCGAGTGCGTGTATCCCGTCAAGAAGGCGTTTGACCCAGCGGCCGTGGACGCCGCCTTGGGGAGCAGGCACAACCGGCCGTCTAACGTGGCGGCGACGGCGGCGGCATTCCACGACCCCAGCGTCGGGCCGAGCCGAAACCCGGCAGTCAGCCCGCCCCTGCTGCTGTCGAACCAGCCGCCACCACGCGCCGACATGAAGAGCACGATCGAGGATCTGCCGCCAATGGAGATGGTGCATGCGCTCTTCCGCAAGACGAAGATGGGCAGCTTCTTCAATAACCCCGGCATGAGCCCGCCCGAGTTCCTCCAGCACGTCTTCCCGAATCCTGAAGATCTGCGATGCGTACGTCGTCGTATGCAGGCAGAGCTGACCACAGTTCCACCACTGCCTTACGTACTCGCTCTCGCTCATGGTAATTGACGAGGAGCACAACCCGTGGGTGGAGCACATCGCGCCCATGTTTCTCTTTCCTTCGGGCGACGCGCCCCTGTCCACCTCGGCGCTCAAGTTCGCGATGCTCGCGATCGGCGCGACCCACCTGGCATATCTGGAAGCAACAAGCCGCGTCTCGGCAGCCCAGGCAGAAAACACTCTCCAGCTGTCCCGGCAGTACCGGCATACAGCGCTAGGCTTGCTGCGGCAGGCTCGGCGTATCCCCGGCGAGCTGTCGAACGATGCGTTCCTCGCGGCGTCGCTCCTGATCGTCGACAACGATGTGAGTGTGTGTTGCCGTGTTGGCTGACCGCAGATCCTGGCAGCGACTGTGTCGTGGCGCGAGCCACTACGTTATGCCAAGGCGTCTATCGCGCACCGAGGAGGAGCGGGCAATGTGCTTTTTGGACAGGACTGGCGTACTGCACTTGCTGGGAGGGCGAATGGCGGGCCAGAGCTTGCCCCGCCGCTCTCTGCACGGCGCTATCTCATCGAACATGCCGTAATGCACGACTTGTTGTGTAAGTTGCCCAAACGCGTGCATCAGCTGACCTCTGCATGCCTGACTTCTGGCGCTCCGCCAACAATCCTGGACAACGACTCTCCGTGGTGGGAAGCGTTGGGGACTACGGGCATCACTGATCGAGAGGTACGGTTCAACTCTTTTCCCCAGACAACTCACTGACGTCAGTGGGAATCTATCGAGGCGCTGGTCGGCTACGACCGGTCGCTAATGCGGATCGTGGCGACAATCCTGGCACTCTACGCCGAATGGCGCGCGTTCGAAGCGCACTACCGCCCACTCAACGAGCTCGACCCCGCCGTCTCCCTACACTCCCCCGCGGCCATGGAGCGGATGGAGCTCTCGCGCCGGCTCGCCGACTGCCAGATCGAACTGGCGACGTGGCGCGCCGAAGCGCCCGCGCGATACATGGACCAGCGGACGATGGTGGGCTCGATGGCGCTGTGGCACGAGGCGCAGATCATCGTGCTCCGCGACATGCAGAAGCGCGGGCGCGACGACGCGGACGTGCAGTCGTCCGCGGCGGCTGTGCTCGAGCTGTGCATCGAGGCGGGGGACAAGGTCGAGTTCCTCAACTGGCCGTTCGCGATCGCGTGCTCGGTCCTCCTCGACCCGGACAAGCGGGACACGGCGCGCGGCATCGTCAAGACGTTTGCGTACCAGTGCTGCCACGAGATTGAGAGTGTGCGCGTGTTGATCGAGGAGATGTGGCGACGCATCGACGAGGGATACGACGACGAGGCGTGTAATTGGCGCGAAGTGTTGTTGGAGATTGGCCGCCCGGTGTTGATCGGGTAGGCTACGAGTTAGTCGTGAGGGAGGTGTATGAGAGGGTGAATGGTTGGGGGCGTAGGAGGCGTGTCACATGGGCAGCTGGGCAGTCGATAAGCATCAGTTTGGGTTTGTGGGGTCGGCAATCGGCTCATCATGTACGGATCATCATGCAGATTGTGTCTGGCACGTCTAGAAGTTGGATATGGTCCACGTAGTCGGATATGATAAGCACGGCTATCCCGAAGCTCGAGGTGGGCAGTGGCGATGGAATACCCACTCCTGGCCGCCACTGGTCCTGCCTCAAAACGTCCATGTTCAGCCATGAAACCTGTCGAACTGGTAGTTCAGCAACAGACTGTGCTGCACAAAGTCCACCAACGCTTGCATGCTGTCTTGGTCTGGCATTCGATGGCACGAGTTTCGGGTATTTGGATTGCACGCCAGGTGCCCATAGTCCTAAGGTCAACGCGCGCTCGACGACGGACTGGCGAGACTCAGTCCACCACCCGAGCGTCTTGCACTTGCACATGATAGCGAGCGCTCTATCTCGCGGAAGGGCCCCGCCTCGGTCTCGGATCTCGGATACCTGATGGCGCGGAGAGGAGCTCGCGCGTCCCGCGGCAGGTGTTGCACAGGCCAGAGCCACAAGCCAGTCACAAGTTCGGCAGACGCGAGGATTGATAGAGAGGGTTGAGCCTAAATGAACGGCTAAACGATAGACGACAGCCGACGCCACTCCTCTCCTCTCACTCTGAACCGATCTCGACGCCGACCAGTTCCTTGCGCGCCATGCCGCCCACTAAGCGGACATGCCGCCGCCTCAAGCCAGAGATAGGGCGCGCAGCGCAGCGCTCTCTCGCCAGACGCCATCACGCACCAACCATGCCAGCCAGGCTAATCTGAAATGAGCCGGATCATCCTCGCATCTCGTCGCTCGTGGCTCGCGCTCGATCGCCTCGTACCCGGTGACTTGCGGTGGGCACGCGCGCGTGCTCGTATATAATCTCCTCCTCCGCTCTGTCAGTCTCCATCTCCCCCAACTCCCCACACAATGTCCGTCCCAGCCCCCCTCCACCCCCTCGACCCGCTGTCGCCGGCCGAGATCGCCGCATGCGTCTCCGCCGTCAAGGCAAAGGTTAAGGAGAACGAGCACGGCGAACACCGCCTCTGGTTCAAGAGCATCCAGCTTATCGAGCCGCCCAAGAAGCTCCTCGCGCCCTGGCTTGACCAGTGGCACGCCGCCGGCCGCGGCCACCGCAACATCCTCCCCCGCCTGCCCCGCAATGCTGTCGTGCTCATGGGCGTCAAGCGGCCCAAGTCGACGACATGGTATGGTGAGTAGTTTTTGCTCGGCATGGGCTCCACAGAAATGTGGATCCGCCGATCCGCCGATCCACTGGATCGGGGATCTACAATCACCAATTGGCGATCTCCATACCCAGCCTCTCACCTCATCATCTTTCCTCTCACCTCATCATCTTTCCTCTCACCTCATCATCTTTTTACCCGCTCACACCCCTCCAGAGATCTTTGTCTCCCTCGACGGCAAGGCCAAGGTCACCGAGACCATCTCGGCGCCCACCCACCTCCATGTGCCTCCCGACATGGCCGAGATGATGGCGGCCGAAGAGGCGCTGCTCAAGCACCCCGAGTTCCTGCGTGCCGTCGAGAAGATGCAGCTGCCGCCGCACGCACGCGTCGTCGCCGACGGCTGGATCTACGGCGCCGACTCGGAGGAGCGCACGAACCGCCACACGCCGTTCATGGTGTACCTGAACCTGACGAACGGCGAGCACGAAGACTCGTGCCACTACAGCGCGCCGCTCCCCATCGTGCCCGTCATGAGCTCGGACGACTTCTCGCTCGTCCGCATCGACTACTGCCCGATCTTCGGGACGGGGGAGAAGACGATCCTCGACCTCGACGGGCCCTTCCCGTGGCACCTGTACGTGACGAACGAGTACGACGCGGCGCTGGTCGAGGCGAGCGGCGTCGCCCTCCGCACCGACGTCAAGCCGTACCGCGTGATCCAGCCCGAGGGCGCCTCGTTCTCGCTCGAGGGCCGCGTCATCAACTGGCAGAAGTGGAGCTTCCACATCGGCTTCAACTACCGCGAGGGCCCTGTGCTCAGCGACATCCGCTACGACGGCCGCAAGGTGTTCTACCGCGTCTCCGTGTCCGACATGACTGTGCCCTACGGCGACCCCCGCGCGCCCTACCACCGCAAGCAGGCGTTCGACCTCGGCGACATCGGCGCCGGTCTCTGCGCCAACTCGCTCCAGCTCGGCTGCGACTGCCTCGGCGAGATCCACTACCTCGACTTTGACCACTTCGGGGTCGACGGGCAGGCGCAGGCCATCAAGGGTGCCGTGTGCATCCACGAGCAGGACGAAGGCCTTGGGTGGAAGCACACCAACTTCCGCACGAACCGGCCCTCGGTCGTGCGCAACCGCGTCCTCGTCATCCAGACGATCATCACCGTCGCAAACTACGAGTACATTTTCGCGTGGAAGTTTGACCAAGCCGCCGGCGTGCACCTCGAAACCCGTGCGACGGGTATCCTCTCGACCGCGGCGATCTTGCCCGGCGAGACGTCGCCGTACGGCAACGTCGTGTCGCCCGGCGTGCTGGCCACGAACCACCAACACCTGTTCTCGGTGCGCATCGACCCCTCGATCGACGGGCACAACAACACGGTCGTGCAGGAAGACTCTGTGACGATGCCGTACGACAAAGCGAACCCGCCCGAGAACAACCGGTGGGGTGTGGGCTACGTGGTCGAGAAGACGCCGGTGACGCGCTCGGGCGGCTACGACGCGGCGCCGGAGAAGAACCGCGTGTTCAAGATCACGAACCCGAGCAAAATCAACCCGATTTCCGGCAAGCCGGTCGCGTACAAGCTCGTGCCGACGCCGTCGCAGCTCATGATCGCCCACCCCGACTCGATCCAGTACGCGCGCGCCGAGTTCGGCGAGCACCACATCTACGTCACCAAGTACCGCGACGGCGAGCTGTACGCGGGCGGCAAGTGGACGAACCAGAGCACGGGCAATGCCGAGGGCATGCGCGCGTACATCGGGCGCGGGGACGCGGTCGAGAACGAAGACATTGTCGTGTGGCACACCTTCGGGCTCACGCACAACCCCCGTGTCGAGGACTTCCCGGTCATGCCGTGCGAGACGCACACGTTCTCCCTCAAGCCCAACGACTTCTTCTCCAAGAACCCGGCCATCGACGTGCCCCCCTCCACGCAGACGTTCAACCAGTCCAACCTCTACAAGGCGGGATGCGCGGGGTGCAAGGACGGCGGGTGCGGGTGCCAGGCCAAGGGCATCGCGTGCAAGTGCAAGGCCGGCGAGTGCAACCGCACCGGCAAGCTCTAGGGAACAGTAGTCAGCAGATTGTATTGGACAGGCATGAGGCGCGCATGAGGTGACGTATGAGGCAATGCATCGGATCCGTTTGGTACATACGCGGGTGAGGGGAAGCGAGGACAACTGGGGTCAGAGTGGCGGAATGGGCATCTCCCTCTGCCCTCTGCGCCATGCCAAGCTGACATTAATCAGGCGCGGCCATGCGATCGTGCGAGATCGCCTCGGCATGCTGACGCGAGATAACGCTCACTCGATCGCCATATCGCAATATCGTCGTCTTCTTGCGTCGCGGCACCCTCGCTTCGAAGCAGTGGCGTGCGGTGACTGCAAGCTGGCCGCTCAGCGCCACATGCCTCAACCTCCCCCCCTAAGCTCCTCCTCAAACAGTCTTTGCCTCATCCTCCTGGCCACCCCTCCCCACTCTTCACGCCTATGTACATGCATGCCCGGAACCACGTACACTTCGATGACTGTTACGATGCCAATCTTCTAGATACCTTCTACTTTCGTACACTGTTACACATCACACCCGCTCCAAGAACCCCGCACTGAACGCGCCCAGCGCCCGCCGGCTCGCAGGGTACACGGTCGTGCTCGCGCGCAGCGCCGCAATAAGGCTGTCGCACACGTCGCGCGGATACCGCATGGTCTCGACGGCGCCGCCGAAGCCCGGCAGGCCCGCCGTGCCCCGGTCCGCGCCGTCGAGGAGCTTGAACATGATCTTGGCGGCGCGCATCGAGCGCGCCGGCTCGCCCGCGCGCGTGCTTGATGCGTTGCGGCCCCGCGCGCGGTCGCCTGACGCACGCATGCCCAAGCGGCCGGGGCGTTCGCTCGAGGGCCGCGACGGCGCCGGCGGCGCCGACGTCAGGCTGAATGTCGCCTTTGCCGGGCGGCGATAGGCGACGTGCATGCTGGGATTGAAGAGCCAGAGCGCGAGGCGCGGGGCGCCCGTCGCCTCATCCGCGATCAGGAAGCGGTAGGCCGCGTGCGCTTGTGAGAGCTCCAGCATGTCCGAGACGACAAAGCAGGACACGGGGAAGCGCACGTGCTCGATCTCGCCGATGCCACGCCCGCGCATGAGCGATATCGCCCACTTGTTGAACCGCACCGTGCCCGCGCCGATGTAGCCCGACTGACGGACCTTGCCGAGCACCTCGCCGCAAGGGCATGAGACGCGGCGCCACTCGTCAGGCTGGAGTCAGCGTGGTTCCACTGGTGGTAGTGTATGTCCCTCCCCTTGTAGCCCCCGCCGCGGGACTCGAGCGGCGACGGTTTGTACAGGAGTGCACGGGACTGTGCGTGTGCTCTGGGGCTGGTGTATCGACCGTGTGCGCGGAACCTGCAAGGGCTCCGCGCACCGCCAACAGGTATGGCGGTGGCCTTCTTATAGCCCGTGTGATGAGACTCACCTCGCTGCTCTCCTGCTCCACCAGTTTGGTCTTGCACACGTCGTTCCCCGAGACGAGGAGGTACGACCCGCCGACGAGCACCGTGTTGTTTGTCGGCCAGAACCCGTCCTTGGTCTGCTTGGCGATGTGGGCGGTGAAGGCTGGGTCGGCATGGCACATCCACACCTCGAGCATCTCAGCCCAGTGTTCGCTCGGCAGGTCCTTGAACGCGACGCCGCTTGGGAACTCGGCAATCTCGCGGTCGCACTGCGTGCAGCACAGGCTTCTGGGAGCGAGTTGTCGCAGACTCGGCGCGGAGAGGGCGTGCGTGATGTGAGCGTTCAAGCTTGCCGCGCTCATGGGCAGTGCGGCGAGCTTCGCCTCCATGTGCCCGTCCGCCAGGACGAAGGGCACGCGCTGGCCGAGCGGCACAGCGGAGGGAAGGGCGATGTTGATGCGCACATTTGGGTCAGAGCGCGACGTGACGACAGCGCCACCCGGTGTTGTGACTTCGAGCTCGAGGTCAGTCGCTAGCGCAGTGTCGCCGCCGTATAGCATGACCTGGACGACGCGAAGGTTCTCCTGCGTCTCGCACAGGTAGCCGACGGCATCGGGGTCGATGGCGGGAGGTGGGGGAGGGGGGAGAGGGACGGGGCGGCATTTCGGGGTGGTGTTCGCGCTACCACTGTCTTTGAGGGACGTGGTAGACCCACGGCGCACGAGCTGGCCCATGAGCTTGCGAATGGAGCGGGGCTCGGACGTGCGAGTCGGCTCGTCGTACAGGCTCGGCGGGAAGGCGGGGGACGTAGGCGTCCTGGGCCCGATGGACGGCGTGCGGCCCCACGGACTCGAGGGAGTGACGGGCGTGCGCGGCGTCAAGAGCTCGCGCGATCCGACGCGCGGCAGCCACCCCGTAGACGAGAGCGGGGCGCGCGGCGGCGCGTTGCCGGTGAGGGAGAGGAAAGCTTTCCTCTTGGGCGTGGGCGGGGGCGCGTCCTGGTTGGGCAGGCGCGAGCCGGCGTCGGCGACGATGGCGAACAAGTCCTTCTCCTTGAACTTGCGGCGCGCTTTGAGGGTGGACGACTTGGATGACTTGGTCGAGTACGCCGAGATGGATGGAGCCTTGTCAGAATTGTGAATTGTGGGATTTGCAGATCGAGCGGCGGCAGTCTGTTTTCGTTTGTTGGCCAGGAACGTCTCGAGTGGGATTGGAAAGTCTTGTGTTCCAAGCCGTGCTGGACTCCGGTCAATCGCCTCCTCCAAGTATCCGCTGGGCTTGGGCAGCGCCGCGCGCGGCCGCAGCGGCACGTCTTGGTCGCGCATGCGTGTGCTCGCGCTGTTCTCCATCAGCTCTTCGAGGAATGTTGTGCGCTCTACGTCCTCGCGCCGGCTGCGTGTGCGCGAGACGTTGCGCGACGCGGGCGCGCTCGCCGGCGTCGGCGGCAGCTCCCGGAACATGTACGACTTGCGCGATAGCCGCCGGTCGTCGAGTGCCACGGCGGCCTCCTTGGTCGGTGCGTGGGCGCGCTCGATTTTGTCCCACAGGTCGTCGAGCTCGCGGAGTCTCGCCTCGCTCGGCTTCTTGAGGCTCAGTGGCGCCGGCGCAGGCTTGGTCCGCCGCTGGGCCGAGGTGCGCAGCGCGATGCGCTGGTCGTCGAGCTGCGGCGCCATGGTGTGCAGCCGCTCAATGGCGTGCGTGACCGTGTCGAGGTCGTTGAGGATCGGCGCGATGCTACTCAACGCCGAGTGCATGCTGCGTGGCGAAGACAACTCGCCGCTCTTCCGGTCCTTGCCCGACACCGCCGACGCCGTCTCGCCCAGCACCCGGTCGTCGCGATAGTCCTTGTATGCTGGTGGGCCGGAGACGCGCGAGCTGCCCGAGCCGGCCGAGTCGCGCTCGCTCCGCCGATACTTTGGCGGCAGCGAGAGGATGCTCTTGACGTCGTCGTCCTCCTCTGATGAGAAGCGGGGAGCGTCCTCGTCATCTCGTGCGCGCACCATGTCGACAATGTCGCGAGCAAGCGTCTCGACGCGTGCCCAAGCCAACTCCTCGCGCACGACCTCCACCGGATGTTCAGACGTCTCGCTGGATAGGTTTTGTGGCGCAGGGCGGGGCTGACGCTGCGCCACCACGGCTTGAGCGCCAAGCAGGGCGTGGACAAGGGCGAGGAACGGCGACTGATCTCCATCCTCCTCTGCCGGGGTCGCCGGCGAGCAGCACGCCGAGCTCGGGTGGAACGTCTCGAGCTCGTATGTTGCTTCCAGGAGGTCGCCGAGCTTGGCGGCGAGTTCCTTGTCGGCGGAGCCCGCACTTGAACCCGAGCCTGAGGTGTGTGGTCGGACGAGAATCTCGATGCAGTCGGCGCAGTGTCGCTGTATCCCGACGAGATTGAGCTCGGTCATGTCGTCGTACTGCATCAGCGTGGCCACGGTCAGACTCACGTCGTACTCTACTGACACCGTGACGTCGGAAGCGTCGGTGCCAGCATCGGAGAGGACGTCCGAGACACGGTCGTCTTCTAATGCTTGCCTTCCGTTAGACGCGGCGAGGAGCAGGGCAAGCTGCTCCATTGGGAAGGGGGCGGGTGGGGGAGGCAGGGCACCCAGAGCATCGACTTCGTCGAGCTGGAGGGCATTGTGGAGGTGGTCGGAGTGGGATCGTGTTGCCGAGTCGCTGTAACAGCTGAAGTTGGAGAGCGCGGTGGCAGGGCGCTCCATCGTAAGCTCGGCCATGGCCGGGAATGGAGCGGGTGAGGAGGTGGGAGTGTGATGTGAGGGGTGTGAGGGTGTGAGGTGTGAGGAGCGAGAAATGATGTGGTGATCAAAGATGGGAGGACGCTGAGTAGAACGACGACGACGACGACGACGGAGACAGAGACGACGGCGACGACGACGACGACGATGATGATCAAGACTGATCGATAGATAGATAGTTAGATAGCAGTATAGCAGATGGGAGATGGGAAAGGTGGGTGTGTGGCGGCTCCTTTGGCCTCCTCGACTACCTATGGCTTTGATCTCAATGGCCGCAACTGCGCGACTGCCTCCTCGCGTCAGTTGGTCGTCCGACTGGGCGGGAGGGACCGGCGGCACGCACCTACATTCACTATCACACATCGTCCAAAAACTGCACAACAAAGAGAATTGGGAGGGTCTCTCGCCATAAGATCGCCCGTGCGCTCCAGGTTGACAGAGGTGGAACAAGGTGCACTGGAGCGAGACGAGGGGTGTCAGAGGATGGAGGGCACGACTCGGGGCTTGAGATGGCCAGGCAGCGGTGGGTGCGGCAGGTGCGGCAGGTGGGGAGGGTAGAGGGAGTGGGGAGAGTGGAGAGGGTGGGGTGACAACGCGTGCACGCGTCGCGGGCTGCTTGCCGTGGGTCGTGCATGCGCGCCGCACCTGCACTCTGCACGATACAAGTTGCGACGACGAGGGCCGAGGAGGTATTCCAGCGATGGATTTCCTGATGTGGCCTGGAATCTCTACCTTATCCCACGCCGAGAACAAAAGAGCCACAGAGGTCTGACGCGAGCCCTTCATGAACCGTGCATACGCCACCGCCACTTACGGTGCCACACGCTCCTCGTATCCCACTTCCCTTCCGCCACTGAAACGTAGCGACAACCCCAATCTCGTCATGTGACCCATCTGGACAGCGCCACTCGTTCTCGCAACGCTCGTCTCGCTCGCCGCCACAGCTTGCTGCTTCTCCGGCCTGGCCACCTGAGCCATAGGACGGACTTCAGTTCAGAGACATCACGATTTGCTTTCTCGACTACTCTAGTGCCTGGCCTCGCGCTCATTTCTAATGAGCCTGTTTTATCTTTCGCCCCGCCGTACCTCTGCTAGAACTCTGCTTCATCTTGCATCATCTTATTGCGCCTCCCCCGCCCCCGCACGCCCGTACGCCATTAGACCAGGCCATAGGCACCGCACTGCTTGCTCACTCGCACCCAATTCACTTGAATTGCTTCGTCACATGCATAGTGATTCTCTGCTGTATAATCAAATCACCCCTCAAAGCGGAACACCTCCTCCGTCGGCGCCCACCACCCAGGCCCACTCTCGCTCCCCACTGCCCCCTCTACAAAGCTCTCCTGCTGTCCGTCCGTCATCTGCTGTCAGTGCGGGGAACAATGGCACGGCTGAACTCGGGCCTTTGCCGCTCCCTCTCCTCCCCCCGCATTCCATTGTTGTTCCCCGCACGCGCTATCACGGACATTGCGGGGTGCGCGCTATCACGTCGTGCTGGGCACGACCACTTCACGTGGGCGGGGAGGCCTCTGTCTTGGCCTTGACCTTGGTCTGGAGGCCACGATGCCTCCGCCGGGCGGCCGGGCGGCCGGACGGCTGACGGCCTCCGAATAGATGCTTCTGGATCCACCAACGCACCTTCCACCACCGCCGCGTCGTCTCGCTCTCCTTGATGCTCTCCATATCGGCCTCGTAGTCGGTGCCCACATACCGCATCGTAGCAATCAGCAGGCTCAGGGGGGCGAAGTAGTAGATCGAGTAGTCTGGCCTCAGCGTAGATCGCCGAGCGATCTCGGGCTGCCATTATCTATGGCGTGCACCTGGGCACTCTTGACCATGGGCACGCTGGCGCCATTCCAGCAGACAAAGCCACATACCGACAACATGCGCCTTGCGGAGCGCGTCCAGGACCTCGGGCCAAACCGCCGCATGCACCTGGCATGAGTCCCTCCACGCTCATCGGGGGGAGTCACCTACGCGCTTGTACTCGTCCAACGCCTCGGGCTTGACTTTGATCACTTGGCAGATACGCCTGCCCTCGTTGGTCTTGGGAAAGTCCATCGCGATATGGTTGTTGGTTTTGTGGGTTGGAAGGGTGCGACGGAGTGGGCATGGGCGAGGTCGGCGCCGTCATGCAATCATGGGTTGACGGCGGAGTGGAGTTGCTCCGGCGGTTTTCGCCGAACATAGTTTCCGGTCACACCACCACAAGTCCACCTTTGATCCATCTTCTCGATATGCCACACTCGCGCACAAGCTACACATGGCACAACCCGCTTGCTGCTGGAACCGCACCCTTCAAAGTACAATGGAACATCGCTGTGCAACCTGACACTGTCCGATGCCCGATGCCTGACGAGTCGACGAGGCTTGAGTCGACTAACCCAGGGTGCGAACAATCTGACATCACCAAGGGACCCAGCACAATGGCGTGGTGAGCGCTGCATGCCGCGTTTCACGGCGTGTGTGTGACGCGTGGGTCGTAGCCAAGCCAGACCGCATCTCGGATCAAGTTTAAAAGTCGGAGATGGGAGGAGGCCGAAGGCTGTCTGACGGTATCGCCCGAACGCTTCTAGAAGGCTGCAAAGTTGGCCCAAAAGACTGGACCGTCGCGAGCCATTGGTGGATGCTCGGAAGCTGCTTACGCTTACGGTCACGGCGAGAAAAGAGGGGAGATGGGGTTGACTAATGGCTGATGGCTGATGGCTGATGGCTGATGGAACTGATGCGGTGCAAAGCATCATCACGTTGACGAGGACCACCGTGGGAAAGGTGATGCGGATGTTATTGGGTGGCAATTTGAACCTCCACCTTGCTTCCCGCTCGGCCTTGGGAGATGACCTCCACCACCGTCAGCTCGCATCACTCGCTCTCTCCACCATCACTTTATCATCTCTTTCTCTTTCTGTATCCATCTCTTTTTCTTCATCTGATCTCATCTCTTGTCATCTACTTTATTCGTCTTCTGTCAACAGCGATACCCCTCTTCTCAACCACCTCGCCTCCTCGAGGTTTGTCACGTCTCGCACCATGTCCCACCCCTTCCCCGATGCTCTCGAGCTCCCTGCCACCTCACAGTGCCAAGTCAATCTCAATCACACGGCCTACGACATCACACAACTCCTCCCCGCTCTGGAAGCAGCTCTGGATGCGCCAGTCGTGGATCCTGCTCCAGGTGAGTTTCGATATCAACAGCTGGACGGGGCTGCTCACACTTCAGTGACAGAAGACTTCTGCCATGTTCATACTCTCATCATTCCCGCCCTCCTCCGCCCTCCGCCTGCCTACCATCAATTACTCAGACGCGGCTCCAATGACAACGTCCGCATAAACGCAGACCGCACCAGCTTCGATTCCGCCGTCAGCATCCTGCAAACTCAAAGAGAGGCTGGCGTCCCAGTCACCCTCAGCCCACCCACCGAGGACTGCATCCACCAGCCTCTCAACTTTCTCAAGGTCTCCAAGACCATGCGATTAGAGGCCCTCAAGCGCAGTCCCAACGTTTTTCTCCCAGGCGCACACAAAGCCTTCGTCAACCTCCCTGCCGTTCATGCGTACGCGGGGAGAGCCTTCCTCGTCCACGCGACAACATGGGATTCGGTCCACTGGCTGCACGCTGCCCTCGCACTTGACCCCAACGAGAATCCGACGAGGACTGGAAATTATCGCGACCAAGTCAAGCGAATCCAACTGCGCACGGGTGTGCAGGTTGTTTGGTTCCCTGGCACCACCGATGACTCCCAGGCCGAGCTTCGCCTCATCATCACCATTGAAGCGTATCTCAACATGAGCCACATTGCCGGCCCTTGTCTCCCAGACGTCGGGGCTGGTTTGTTTGGTCTGTTCCTTGCTACAGCACTCCCTGCAGATGTGGACACGGGGTCGGGCGATACGGTAGCCAGCTGGCTGGCGGCAAGGGCCGCAGCGCTCAAGAAGTTCTACGAATGCCTGAAGCCAGCTCCAGAGCTCCCGTTCAGCTTCGACGCACGTAAGCTACAGCCTGCCGAGCTGGCGTGCAAGCTGCTCCCATTCCAAGCCCGCACGGTTCGTCTCCTCCTCGAACGTGAGGGAGCGCCGATCTGCGCAAGTGTTACACCTCGCCAGCCCAGGGGTCAGTGGAGCCTCATTCGATTCGACGGCTTTGGCGACTACGCCTTCCATCGCTTGACTGCACAGCTGCAGCCCATTACTCTCGATCGTAAGGGCAAAGCTAAGGAAGGTGATGCGTCTCTTGATCTTCTCGAGGGTCTTCCATGCCTGTTCAGCCTGTCGTCGGTGCGCGGCACAATGTTGTGCGAGGAGATGGGTGAGTCTCTCTTGTGATCTGACCTCGAGCTGACACTCAGGACTTGGCAAGACTGTGGAAGCAATCGCGCTTATGGTCCTACATCGTCATCCTCTCTCGTCGCCGCATCCCCCTATCACTACGCGTGCGACTGTAAAGTCACAACAGATTGATCTACAGAATCCCCCCGATGTTTACAACAATCCCCAAGTTCGAGAGTGGCTCGACAAGGAGCACCTCGCTTTCGCTGACGCAGTGTCGTGGTCCGAGGAGGCCCAGCTGAACGTCGCCGAGGTTGCCGCTACTCTTGTGGTCACGCCTTTGTCTCTGCTGCAGCAGTGGGTTAACGAGATTAACAATCACGCGCCCAACCTCCGCATCTGTATCTACCCCGGCTGGAAGGCGTTATTGGCCCAGTTGCGGGCAAAGCGCTCCGTGATAGCCAAGACACAGCTCAAGCGTGAGGCTGAGAATCGCAAGCGCAAGGCCAAGGATTTGCGCAACACAGCACGCCTAAAGTATGCCAAGGGCAGTGGTAATCAGCGTATCGAGGTCGAGATGGAAAGCAGCGACGAAACTCAAGCGGAGGAAGATGGAGAGCCGATTAGCCTTCTCAGCCTCACACAGCTGGCGTTCCTCGACTACGTTCGCGGACACGACGTCGTGGTTACAACATACCAGGCGCTCATTGAGGACCTAGGAGTTGCCAACCCCGTGCCGGCTCGCAGTCGTCGCTCCACTGCAAAGTACAATCTCCAGGAGCGCCCTCGCAGTCCGCTAGTCATGTGCAAGTGGTGGCGAGTCATCATGGACGAAGTTCAGCTCCATGGTGACCAGACAGCGGCGTCCAACATGGTGTCGCTCATTCCTCGCAACTTGTCTCTTGCCATGTCCGGAACGCCTGCACGCTCCGACATCAAAGACCTCCTGGGATCGCTGCGGTTTTTGGGCGTCCCATTCGGCGATGGTAACATGTGGCACAGGCTCCTACAACCGGCCAACGCGTCGGCGTTACATGGTCTTTTCCAGGCCATCAGCGTCCGCACGATGAAGGCTGAGGTTGCAGGCGAGTTCAACCTTCCTCTGCAGAAGCGATATGTCATCCCGATCCAGCTTTCCGACATTGAGATGCACTACTACCTCGACACTTTGGAGCGACAGCGTGAACGCCTTCGCTCTCAGATGGGTGGCTTCACGCCGAGCCTTTTCGGCCTCGCTCTTCGTCACCTCCGCCAGATCTGCACCCACATCCAGGTCGGTGCGCTCCAGCGTGGCGGTCTAGGCAACATCCTCGACCGTGGAGGACGCATGCACCTCGGCAGCCGTCTAATGACGATGGAGGAGGCGCTAAAGAAGATGAACGATGACCACCAAGCCGAGGTCGTTAGCGAGACTCGTTCACTCATGCGCTTCAAGCTCAAGAAGGGACAGCTTTTCTTGCTCAACGACGGTGACTATATGCGTCAATTGAGAGCCATTGGGCAGTACGAGGAGGTGCGCGAGATGAGCAAGCCGTTGCTGGAGAGCGCGCGAGCTCGACTGGCCGAGGTCATTGGCGATCGCGACGACAACGTGGATGATGAAGAGGACGCAAGCCGAATGACGCAGCATGAGCGCGAGCGTGCCAAGGAGATTTTGTCACTTCGCGCAACGTGAGCTTTGTGCACCCCGTCAGCAGCTAACATTAGTATTCGAGAGACTCTGCTCCTTGTCCATCACGCGTGGTTCTTGGAAGGCGACGCGCACCACCAGATGGCCGACGAAGACAAAGAGGTGGCTGCTTACGAGGCGGCCGAGGCGATCCGCAAAGACATTCTTCGACGTCCGTTGCAAATTACCGAAGGATCAATCAACATGCTGGAGAAGGCGTTTGAGCAGCATCCGGCATATACCAATGCCCGTGACCTCTGCGCCACTGAAACAAAGCGTGCGGGCGGTATCCTGTCGGCAGATGTTATTGAGCAGTCCAACAGTCTGCTCAAGATCCTCAACGACAACGCCTTGCTCGTGCACAGCTGGCGTGAGAAGCTATATGAGCTCTTGACTGGCCCCGTTGAGGCCGTGGACGAGGAAGTACCCCTTCCAGGGCACGGACAGAACGTCGAGAACCCCGAAGAAGAGTATTATGCCAAGGCGCTGCAGGCACAGGGAGAAAGTGAGACTGGTATAGGCCGTTTGCTGACTCGCAGTTGAAGCGTATCTTACAGCTTACGCGGCGGTCATTGCCGATCGGAAAGGTGAGTAAAAAGAGTATGAGAACGCAGCTGAACGTAACAGAAATGTTGCTCGAGGACCGCACCATCCTCGCCACTGTTGAGAGTCGCATCACCAAGAAGCGTGTCACTAAGAATTCAAAGGAGGCCGCCGCGGACGCCCAGGCCGTCGATCTAAACACTGTGGATGACCAGACGCTCAATCTCATGCTGGAGCGGCAAGCCTTTCGCGATCGCCGGAAACAGGAGGGTTGCGAGCGCCCTCTGAAGGCCATGCTCATCGACTTGAGCAACATTGAGCACAGCGCTCAACGGCGAGAGGAGGTGGCAATCGCGGAGAGCGCCGCAGCTTACCTCCGACGGTATATCAAGGCGCAGACCGAAGTGGTCAACAAACTCAACAAGGAGCTGGAGACAATCCGAGCCACTTTCAATCGCCGCGCTTCCTACTTTGCCGCCTTGCAGGAAATTTCAGATTCGGTGGCATCTGAAGACTCAACTATCTTCCGGCAAGCGTACCGCAATGTCGATCGCATGATTTTTGAGAGCAACGAGCGCTTGATGACTCTTCGTGTGCGCAGCCGGTTCCTCCAGAGTCTCAGCGGCGACGACAGTGGCGGTGGTGCAAACCCGGCACGCGACATGCATGAGGAGTGCGTCGTCTGCTTCGGCACATCAGATGACAAACATGCTATTCTCCTCGCGTGCGGCCACGCCTTCTGCGTGTCATGCTACAAGGAGTACCGCAAGGCGGGCGTCATGGGGACCCGGTGTGCGACGTGCAAAGTGAGGATCGACGAGCGGGAGGCGACTCGTGTGCGCATCCAGAAGCGGACAGAGGGCAGTGCCGAGCCTTCTGGGTCTCAGGAGGGATCATCGGCTGAGGCCGAGGGTGAGGATGATGAGGACATCTATGGCGGCGCCGATGGGGCGGCGGCCGCTGCTGAACAGGAGAGCCGCCGGCTGGCGCTGGATAAGATCAACTTCATGTCGCCGGCCAGGCAGAGAGACATCCATGCGCTCGACTCGATGGGCGAGTATGGATCCAAGATTGATTTTCTCGTCAAGCATCTTCTGTGGTACAAGCTTATGCGCCCTGGCGTACGGCACGTCGTGTTCTCCAACTGGGCCGACTCTCTGCACAGTAAGCCTCGTGATTCGGCATCGCTGACCAGCAGTTGTGGAGCAAGCCTTCCGCGCCAATAGCATCAAGTATGTCTCGCTCGACGCCAACACGAAGAAGAACAGCGTCGTGGAGAAGTTCCAAGCCGATAAGTCGATCATGGTCTTCCTGCTGCATGCCGAGCGCGAGTCAGCCGGCCTGACGCTCACATCATGCGGCGTGGTACATCTGCTCGAGCCGGTGCTGCAGCATAGCTTTGAGCTGCAGGCCATCGGGCGTGTCGACCGGCTGGGACAGGAGGCCGAGACGAGAGTGTACTGCTACGCAACACTCGACACGGTTGAGGCTCGTATTCTGGCGCAGGGCGTGCGGAACGGAACGTCAATCTATCTCGCGGACAAGAAGGAGGATGAGGCCGCGATGGCGGCGATGGAAAATGTCGCGCATGCGGCAAGCCACGGCGGGGACGTGGCGGCCGTATCAAGCGCCGTGGACGAGGAGCTCCTGAAGCTGATCTTCTAGATCATCTGAATCAAACTTTGTATTGCGTTGTTGTAGATGAGTGTATACATTGCTGCTCTCGAGCTGTGCATCTACTTCTCCTGATCTTTTGCCTCGCTCTTCGCGCGTACTCGCCGCAGCGCCTCGGCGGCCTCGCGCCGGCCCTCGGCGAACCCGCTGTCGCGGGCCGCGGCCAACGCGGCGTTGAAGTACTTGCGCGCGCCGCGCTCGTCACCTTCCATCTCGGCCAGCATGCCGAGGTTGAAGAGCGCTACGCTCCCTGCGCGCTGGCACACGGCCTGCCCCATGTCCGTGGGCAGGCCTGTGCCCCACCCGGCAGCCTTGGTCGCGGCCTCGGCCTCCTGCAGCGCGCGGAGCGACCACGAGCGTGACGCGGCGATGGCGGGCTGCGTGCGCGGCCCGAGCGCGTAGGACGAGAGCGATGTCATGAGCATGGCGGCTGGGGTCAGCGTTGCCGGCGCCTCCTACCCACCGACAACCTCCGGCTCCCCTCCAGACTCACCTTGACACCGGTCAGCGGGAGGCACGCTGCCCGGCTCCGCCTGGGGCGGAAGCAACGTCGTAATGGCCTGAAGCACGAGCTGGCCGGCGAGATCCGGCCGCCCCCGACGGCCATACACCTCCGCAAGCGTCTCCATAGTCATGCCGAGTCCGCGGCGGTTCACGCGCCCCGCGTCCTCCCCGTCGTGTGGCAGGCGTACGTCGCGGCCGACGACGACAGGCTCGCCGCCCTCGCCTTCTTGAGTGGGGCGGTGCGCCAAGCCCATCTTGAGCATCGCGGCGATCGCAGCGGAGAGGTGGGCCTCCGCGGCCTCGTCCCACGCCTTGCCGGCTTCCGCGCCCGTGAGCACCTCCCCACCCGCGCTCCGGAGGAGGGCGGCCGCCGCACCCTCCTCCCCTCCGTCCCCTCCCTCCCCTCCCCCTCCCTCCGTCCCCATCGACCCGGTCGGGAACGGCGGCGGCGCGGCCGCGCCGCCCATCCGCGCGGCGATCTGGCCCATTTTCTGCGCGAGCCCAATGGCGCGCACGACGTCGCCCTCGCCCATGCCTTCGCCGGTATACGGCGCCACGGACCCCGGCACAAGGTCGCCGAAAAGCGCGCGCGCGTCGCGCAGCACAACATACGCCCGGATGGGGTTATACCCCTCCAACATGGCCGCGAAGGTCGCGTACAGCCCCGCCATCTTATGCAGCGGCTCCGGCGCCAGCGCGGCGGGCGGGAGGGCGTGCGCCGCCGCGAGCGCGGACAGGAAGTACTTCTCCGCCTTGTCCGTCTCGCCGTGGTTGCGCGCTTTGAGCGCCTTCTTCAGCGGCTCGCGGATGGAGGCCGGCCACACGCGCAGGGACGAGTACCATTCGAGGCTGGGTCAGTGGCGCCAAGGAGAGAGGGGACTTACATCCCGTAGGTGGTGATGAGGATCGCGCCGCCCGCGAGGGCGAGGAAGAGGTGGGAGACGCGCAGGCCGCCCTGCGAGGCGGGGGGCGGGCGCGGCGATGGCGCGCGCGTGGAGAGCGACCGGGCGAGCGGGCGGACGAGTGGGCGCGCGAGTGGGCGCGAGAGCGGGCGCGCCGCTGGCACGAGTCGTGGGAGACGCAGCATGGTGAGATGAGAAGAGAAACGGTTCGGCAGATTACGACTTTCGTCATATCCCCCCAGGCACGGCCCGACTATCCGGCCGTGTGTTGTCCGGAGCGGAGATGGTGGGCAGCGACGTCGCCATGCTCGCCAGCGGTCGCGAGATACACGACTCGTCTCGTCTCGTCTCTCCTCATCCTAACTTGTCACTCCTCACTCGTCATCTCCCATCCCATCGCCCCTCTCCCCACCATGACCACCGTCCCGGACATCACGCTCAACGACGGCCACGCGATCCCCGTCGTCGCGTTCGGCACCGGCACGGCGCTGTACGCGAAGGAGTGCGCCGACCTCGTCCTCCAGGCCCTCGAGGCGGGGTATACGTCGCTCGACGGCGCGCAGATTTATGGTGCGGCGCCCGCGGATACGCTGACCAGCCAACTCGCAGAGCATCGGCGACGCGCTCGCGCGCTGGGGCGGCAAGCGCGACGACGTGTATGTGCTGACTAAGTGTGGGTGCAGGTAGAGAGGGGGCTGACGGCAGGGGGCAAGCGCGAGGCCGGCGGCCCACGCGCCGTCCTGCTCGACGAGCTCGAGAAGCTCGGCGTGGAGTATGTCGACATGTGTAAGTTGGAGTGCTCGACTAGTTGCCGCCCGCCGGCCGCTCACGCAGACCTCATCCACTCCCCCCTCGTGCCCGAGGACCGCCAGAAGGCGTGGGCCGAGATGGAGGCAATCAAGAAGGACGGGCTGGCGTTGTCTGTCGGCGTGTCCAACTTCCGCGAGGAGGATATCATTGAGATCAGCAAGACGTGGGAGCATGCGCCGGCGGTGAACCAGGTGGGTTCCTCCTTGTCAGGTGTGGTTGTGATGGGCTAGCTCGCCCATGGTCCAGTCCACATACGCTACCGACCACGGTGTACGCTGCACGCCATCCTCAGCGCTCACTGTCGCGGCTCATGCCGCCCGCAGCGCTCGCTGTCCGGCTCGTGCCTCCCTCAGTCCTCACCCCCGCCGCTCACTTCGTTCGCGGCTCACCCAGATCGAATACAACCCCTACAACTTCCACGCACCCAACATGCTGCGCCTGCTCGCCCTGATGAAAGAGCACAAAATCAAGGTGCAATGCTACGGCCCGCTGAACAGCGTGCACCGCGTCCCCGGCGGACCCGTCGACAGCGTGGTGGACAAGATCGCGCGCGAGCGGGGCAGCACGCCGGCGCAAGTCCTGCTCCTCTGGGCGGCGCAGTACGGCGGGGGCACAGTCGTGACGACGTCGCGTAACACACAGCGCCAGGCGGAGCAGCTGGCGGCGTTCTCCCAGCGCCCGCTGAGTGCGCAGGAGGTGGAGGCGATCGCGGAGGCCGGGCGCGGCAAGTTCCACCGCCAGTTCATGAAGGAGGTGTGGGATGCTGCGCGGGAGTAGGACAAGAGGTAGACAAAATGTAGACGTGCGCGCAGTCGACGCAGCTCAGGGAGAGACGCCACGGCATCACGATGAGGCCGAACCCTCGATAAGACGATGGAGACGGCGCTCGGCGAACGCGCGTTGCAGACGCAAGGTGGCAGTGTATTGACGGTCGGATATGCGATTCAACGGCCAGCGCCACAGGGGAGTAACAGGCCAGGAATATCCTCGATAGGACAGAGTGCGGTCTGCAATAGACATGGTCCAAGGTTAGAACAGCTGAAGCGAGGGGAACGACCGAGGCCTAGCGAGCGCGTTGGAGCATGGAGCATGGAGCAAGAGGCGGCATGTGATGCGAGGATGCTGACGAGATGACGAGTGAGGGGCGGGAACGAGTGCCTCGCCTTGGTCGATGGAGTGCTCGAAATAACATACAGCGGAGAGAGTACAGTGAGACAATGAATGCCTGGCCGAGATCTTGCCCGGAGTCCGACGATGCTCTTACGCCTTGCTGACTGGCCGCTCTTGCTCTCTTGCTCGCTCTTGCTCGCTCTTGCTCGCTGCTCGCTGCTCGCTGCTCTCTCTCACGCCGCCGTCGGGGGGCCGAATCCTAATCCATTTATCGAGGTAAACGAGCCAATCGTAATCTCAGGGTCCCTCCCCCGCTGCGCAGAGCCACAGGACGATCCAGGGTGCAGGACGGCATAAGGCCAGAGCCCCATGCCCAGCTGTCAATTATAGCTGTCCCTGAGGCCTCTTGTAATACTAATGGATATCAGATTAATCCTGTGGGCTAATGCTATTTGTATTTCACTGGCCGCCCTCTGCTCTCGCGCCGAGCGAGAGACCCTGGAAAGGAGGGAATATACCCATATTTGCCTGCTCCCCCCCCTTTAGCTGTGGTGCACCGCTCAGCCCCCCCCCCCCTCGGACTGCTCCTCATCGCCATCATCCTCCTCTTCATCACCATCTCCGTCGTCCCCGCGCCCGTCCTCCCCTTCGCGCTCCTCCTCCCACGCTCATCTCCGCCGCGCGCTCTCCCTCCCTCCGTCTTGCGCTTCCTCTGGCCCCTCGTCCGCCCCCTGCCCCGCCCTTCAACCCGCCCCCCTCCGTCCCATCCTCTCATCCTCCTCCTCCTCCTCTTCTTTCATCAACACCCTCTTCATCTCTTCATCCTCTCTTTCGACTCTCAAGCATCATCATCATCTTGTGACACACTCCACACCCCACAACCATCTCCCTCGCCCTCGCCCGTCTCCCTCCTCGCCTCATCGCTCACCCATCCCGCCCCGCCGAGACCGCGCCCCGAGCTCCTCCTCCTCCTCCTCCTCCTCCTCGTCGCCGCCCTCTCGTCCCCCTCACCCCCACCCCCACTCCCTCCCCCTGCCCCTCCCCGCGCACCCATAACGCTTCCTGGTCTCTCTCACACCAGGCAGCTGGTCGCGCACGACATCGCCCCTCCCCCGTGGTCCAAAAGCGCCCCGAACACTCACGCACAGGTGGCGAGGCCACCCAGCCCATACGGGCCGCCCTCTTTCCCGGCATCAGCAACCATCTCGCGCCGCGCATGCGATGACTTGCTCACCGAGCCCCTGTCCGCGGCATCCTCCGCGGCCTCCAAAACCACCACCACCACCATTACTAGCATGGCGTTGGCCCATCGGCGGACCCATTACCGACTTTGGTCATGAGGGCGACGCTGGCCCCAGTCGGGTACATTCCGAGTGCTCCTGCTCCGGAATCGAGCCCAAGCCCACGGCTGAGACAGAGGATGGCTCCACGCGCCGGCCGACGCGCCAACCCCGGAGGCGGCGTCGAACCCGCCTCGTCGCTGCCGCCACCTCCGCCCTCGCCCTCTTCTCCATTCCTTCCGTCGTCGCTGGCCCAGTGCCAACGCCAACAACAGGGTCTTTGTCTCCAACATCACCACCGACAGTGCAAGACGTCGAGCCACGCTCCATCCGCACCCTTCCAATATACACGGTGCTCACTGTACCCGACTATGGCCCATCAGCTGTCCCAGAAACAGTCCTTCCCATGTACTTTACCAAGTCGTCTGATGGCTACTGGTACAAGGTCGAGGAGGCTTGGTCCCTCTATGGTCGAGTTGCTGTGAGTCATTTTTACTGCTCTCCACGGGGTGCTGACCATCCTCCAGTCCGATCCTCACAACAATCCCACGCCTACAGTTGCCGCGCACTCGTACGTGGTTACCTCGCAGATGCCACCGGGGTGGGGCAACAAATCCGGCCGCAGCGACTTTTACAACACTCCAATGATCGTGGCTGCCAGTGTCATACTTGGCATCCTCATCGTTTTTGCTATCATTGTCATCACCTATCAACGACGAAAAGAGGCCAGACGAAAGAAACGACACGCCGCCCGTATGCGAAGGAAGGCACTTGCTGCTGCAGGTCTCACTGAAGATGGTCTCAAGGGGGCCGACTCGGTGCTCGAGGCAGAGTTCAAGAAGCGTCTCGACGAGCTCGAGCTGGCGCATGCCACCAAGCGCCGCGAGAAACGCGCGCAGAAGAACCAACCGTCTGCTTTCGTGCGCACAAAGGTTCGCGTGTGGCGTAGTAATATTCGCCGCCGCAAATCTCCCCGTTCATCGCACGACGACGAAGACCATCGCGTCAAGGATCAGTGGTCTACACATGGCGAAAATCGCTCCCAGACGCGACCCGACTCGCCGGGTTCGCTGCTCACGCGTGACTCGGCTTCATTCATGACTGACTCTTCGCGAGCGCCCAGCCCGCATCGATCCTTCTCGCGCGCTGGTCTGGAAGTCCAGAGCAACACCGAGCAGGGCACAGGTTCAGATACTTTGGCGGAAACGGCCCATTCGGCAACCTCTGGCGGGATGTCTGGAGACGCATCTGGCGAGGCACTTTCGCCATCAACATCTGCTCAGGATCCAACAGCGTCATCTGCTTCACTGCCATCGCCCGCTGCCGCCCCAGGGCCCAGCGGGCACATGCCGCCCGCATATCGCCCGGCTTCTGTTCGAAGCCTCGATATGAATGCTGCGGGCCCTTCGACCTCGCGCGCTGTGGAACCAACCGCGCCAAATGTGCTCTCGCCAGAGAAGGCGTCGGCCGCAGGCTACTACCCTGCGCCTGCGACGGCCGACGCCGAGCAGGCCCAGGAGGTCGCCCGCCGCGCAGACGCAAAGGCGCCGATTGTCATCCCGCCCGAGGAAGAGGAACGACGCGCGATGCACGTCGCTACCGACGACAAGCGTGAGCTAGAACGCTTGCGTCTTGGCGCATCTGCGCCGCCGGTCACCCGCATTGAGGACGAGGATGGCGCCGGGCCGTCTGCACCGAACTTTGAGGTCGACGGCGAAGGCTTTGAGATGCTCACAGCCGCCTCGGGTTCTGGCGATGAAACAGACGCGCGCAGCGACGCGGGCGCTACGAACACGACGTCGGGGTTTGGTTCGGCGTCTAGCCGGCTCACTGTACCGGGCCTCCCTGCTCCCCCTCCAGCGGCGACCCTTCGCTCCCTCCGCACGTTCATGGACGACGACACGCACTTGCGCCCCTCGGCGCCTACGTCACCGACTCATCTCCGCCCCTCAGCCCCTCCCTCGCCTGTGCGCCTTCGCTCTTCGGCCTCGTCACCCGTGCCATCCGCGCCACCTCTCGAGCCATCAGCTCCTCCCCTCTCCCCCTCCGCGCCTCCACTGGAGCCGTCTGCGCCCGTGCCCTCTGCTCCACCGCTCGACGATTTCGAGGACGAGGACGAGCCGTCTGCTCCACCTCTCGACGACGAGAGCACACACATGGGCAGCGTGCGCGTGTCCAGTGATGTGCCGCATTCAGAGGGCGAGGAGCCATTGCCCACGCCCGAGGCGGACGCGGATATGGGCGATGTGAACGCGAGCCTGCGTGTGGGCGGGCACGGCTTCTTGCCGCGCTACGAGCCGTAGAAGCATGTGAAGGAGAAGCGTTGGTCATTTGGGTTACAAGATTGTATTACTGTTGTGATGCTAGCATAATTCTTGTCATGTGGTTGGGAGTGTGCGTGTGGGGACGGGGCTGACGGAGACGAAGCGTGGTAGTGAGATCGACGGGGGGTGCTCGGCGAGAAGATGGGTGTGCGGATGCTTGTGTATACAGTGGTGTCATGGGACACACTGCTCGAGCATGCTCGATACTCTTCGTTCGTCTCAATTTCTCGTCTCTCTTGTCTCTTGTCATCTCATCTCTCATTTGCATTTTGCATCATCTTCTCATCTCTCTCGGATCCATGCACGCGAAAATGCCCCCGCCCGTGCCTGCCCCCATCGTCAACATCCACCTCTCCTCTCCACAAGCCAACTACCATCTCAACAACACCGCCCACATCCACGCGCACGCCCACCCCTCGGCCCCCGCCACAATGGAGGCCAACGACGTCCATTCGGACCCCGTCGTGTCGCCCATGAGTCGTGGCCGGGGCGGCTCGGGGCATTTCTATGGCGGCTACGGAGGTCACGACCGGCACAATGGGTATGAAGGAAGCAGCGGCCGCGGTGGACACAGTGGACACAGAAACAGTGGACAAAAGAACAGCGGAAAGAACAGCGGACACATAGACTCCAGCAAAGGACACAACGGAAGCAGCAGCAACGGCCAGCGCCACTCGAGCCAGCGGCGTACATGGTCCAGCAACGCGCCTTCACGCGCCGCCAGCACCGCCGCTCGCCGCGCGTCGCCCGAGATCACCTGCATCTCCTCCAGCGGACCCACCCAAAAGAGCGCGCAAGCCGGCACATTAGGCCGTATCCAGGCGCCCGCGTATCAGCGCGTCCACGCCACCCTCAATATGGCGCGCCCACCCGAGTCGCCCGACATTCTCGCGCTCGGCGAAGGCGACTTTGCCGATGACAGCCCAATGCCTGTCAAGCGCGCCGTGAAGGCTTTGCATACTGTGTCTACGCTTGGTGCGAATCAGCCAAAATCCAAGGCCAAGCCAAAGCCCAAGTCCACGATAGGTACGCGGTACGAGCTGCGCTCGCCATCGCCGTCGCCGACGCCGACGCCGGTCGCAGCGAAGACACGGCGACGATCACCTGCGCCGTTGGTCTCGAGGAAGGTCAGGGTCACGTCTAGCCAGAAGGCTAAGGACTCGTCCGAGAAAGCGATGGCCGTCTCGTCGTCAGCCCCCGAATCCAAGACCAAAAGCAAGGCCGTAGTCGGAGGAAAGCGTAAGGCCGGCTCACAGATGTCCCGCACCGTCACGTCTTCGCCACCACCCGCCGAACCCTTCGACTCCTCACAGACGACACCGAACGGCAGCGTGTTCTTCGATATCGTCAAAGCCGTTGAGGCCAAGGCGAGGGAAGAAGAAGAAGAGAAGCAGCACGCAAAGGAGATGCAGCAGATTTTGGACGACGCGCTGTGCGTCGATGTCACGCAGGACACGCCGCGCAATCGCAAACTCAAGGAGGACGAGGTCCGCGAGCAGGAAGAGTACGAGGAGATGCGGAGGATCCGCGAGCAGCGAAGCAAGAAGCAGAGCAAGGCGAACGTGTTCTTCGAGCACGCGCCGCAAATGGCGGCCGAGGCGCGCCGGCGGCGTTCGCTCGAAGCCAAGTCGATAGCGTGGGTCGCTCCACAGCGGTGCTGACGACAGATTGGCTGAGACGGCCCAGTTCGCACCGAAGCGGCGCGAGCTCGGCGAAGACGAGAAGTATTGTGGTGAGCCTTAACGCCGCAGCAGCTCACCCAGCCTCGTTCAAGAACTACCGTCGCCGCTGCGACCACTGTTCCGAGCCGTGGCCGATGTTTCCGTCCGCCGACCTGTGTGCGCTGCAGCGACGCTTCGCGGCGATTCCATCCCTGTCCTTCCGCCAGACGATGGCGCTGTGCACCATGCACCGCGCCGAAACAAACATCATCCCGCTCGGGATCCGCGACGGATTCCCGCAGGAGATCGACTTTGAGGACGTCGACCGCCGCCTCGAGCGTGGGTGGATTGCCGCGCGCCTCAAGAAGGTCGCGGCCAAGCCCGAGATATCCAAGTTTTACCGCCGCGCGAAAAAGGAGATCAACCAAATGGGCCTCGCCGCATGGAAGGACGTCGCGCACCAAAGCAACGACAAGGTACTCGCGTACGCGCAGCCGGGATAGTGAGTGGCCCCTTCTCCACACCCTAACGCCAGCTACGGCGATCTCGGGCGGGCCATCATGATCATGCACTTCCAAAACCTGATCCGCTGGGGCCATCTCATTTTGGGCGCGAGCACCGCGCCCCTCCCCGAAACCGACTTCATCGTCACTGTGCTTGTACCGGAATCCGCCGTGCTGCTGACGATGGAAGACGGCGGCTGGGACGGCCACGCCACCAAGGGCGAGGGGTGGGAGGACGCGCGCGCAGGCGCCATGGACTTGTGCCGCCGCGCCGGGCCGTACGGCTACTGGCGCTTCCGCGCTGACGGGGAGGGGCAGCGCGTGCTGGACAAGGTGCGGCAGGCCGCGAGCAGCAAAAAGGCACGGCTGGACCGGCGCACCGTGGACATGCGCGAGATCGCGGAGGGCGGGGAGCACGACGCGATTCTCGTCGGCAGCAGTGACACGGAGCAGCCGGACGAGAGCGACTGGGGCGCGGACGAGTGGGACGAGGTCGTGCAAGCCGTGCAAACCGAGCAGGCGGAGCCTGCTGATCTCGACGCGACGCCGCGCGCGAGGCGGCTGCTGTCGCCATCGCCTCCGGTTGGGGTCCAGGTCCAGGTCCAGAACGAGACGGACACACCGCGCGCGCAGCAGCAGCGCACGCTCAGGCCCAAATCTGGTGACTCGAGCGACTTTGGCGACTGGGACGAGCAGCTGTACGTCGCGGGCATGGATGGGGTGTAGACAGACAAGCACGGACGGGTGTAGCATTGGTTGTGTAGCATTGTAGAGTATCGCATGATCGCATGAGACATGGTATGTACTGTACAATGGCATGTACACTCACTACTGTACATGAATCTGGACAGTCGGTCCGACATGGAACCCAGTCCACTCGGCGCATCTTATCACGGGGCCGAGCATAGCCGAGAGCTGTCTCGGCGCCGTCGCTGTGCTAATGGCCTGAGCGCCGCTATGCTAATGGGAATACAAAAGCGACGATTTACAAATTTTCCTTAGGGGGAATAGTGTTGCTGGGGCTGGGTGTTTTCGTGGTGCCTGACCGTACGGTGGGAGTCGCTGGGTGGCGGTTCAAGGGCGGCGGGAGCATCTCGTGTTGATCTTGCATCTCCGTCTCTCTCTCTCATCTTCATCTCCGTCGTCTTCATCCTCTACTCTCCATCCTCGGCACCGGCACCCCCGCTCTCCTTCTCGCCGCTCCTGCCCCACCGCCTCCCGCCGCCCGCCTCCTCGACGTCCACTTCCATCGGCTGCTCGTCCTCTCCCCTCCCACCCCACCCCAATGTCCGGGCCGGGGCCGGGCCCCTCCCCCTCAGCCGCCAAGGCGTGGTTCCCGCCCCCGCCGAGCCTCGCGGCCCTGCCTGTTGACCGCAGCAAGACCGAGCCCAAGCCCGCGTACTACAAGCTGCAGTTTGGCGACGAGAGTACCGGCTTCAGCTACTATGTTCGCACGTTGAGCGTGGTTATTGGGCGGAATGTTGTGAGTTACGCCATGGAGATGTGGGGATGAGGATGCGGACCGGATGCGGACATGGAAGGCACGAGACAGGACGAGGCGACGCCCACGCCGGCGCCGGCGCCGGCGCCAGATGAGAATGAAGAGTTCAACGACCGCTGACGGCAGGAACGGCCACATGCTTCGCCCGCGCCCCCGCTCTCCAGCTTCGGCTTGGACGGGCCCTTCCCCGGCGTTCCGGGGCTCGAGTGGCACGGGAGCCTCATCACCCCACCCACGCCGGCGCTGGATGCCGCCGCGCTCGCGATGGATCCGGACGCATTGGCCGTCGCCCAGCTCGAGTTGCGAGAAGGGGAAGGGCAAGCGACCGATGATCAACGACGCGCAGAGGAAGATCGATTACGAGAATGTCCAGCGGAAGACAAGCCGCGAGCAAGTCCGCGTGGGGAGGATGAACGAGAGAGCCCAGCGATGAAAGAGGAACGGGGAGAGAGCCCAGCGAACGACAAGCAGGTCAAGGTTGAGGCGGACGAGGCCATAGACGTCGACGTCGACGTCGCAGACCAGCCGGCACGACCTAGCAACTCGCTCACTCCTCCTCCTGCTTCCTCACCTGCTCTTCCCGCCGCCTCTTCCTCATCCGTGGTCCCCGTTCCGACTTCGCCTGCAGCGGCCGCTCCCGCTGCCGCTGCCGCCGCGTCGCCCGCCCCAGTGACCTCTGCATCTCCAGCACTGACCACTGGGCCTGCTTCTTCAGAGCAGCCAGCAAAGTCGACATCCCCTCCCGCAACTGCACCTGTCGCCGCAACACCCACTCCTCCCCCTCCCTCCGGCACCACCCCGGCTGCTGACTCTACTCCTGCCCCAATACCCATCTCCGCTCCAGCCTCCGAGTCAGCTACGCCCGCTCCCGCATCCGCCCACCCCGTCCCAACTGAGTCCACGCCCATGCTCGTGGACTCGGCTTCGGAGACCCCTGCCCCTGTCGCGGACGCCCCTTCCGCCTCAGCCACCCCAGCACCTCTCGCCCCCACATCCATCCCCGCTGACCCCTCCCTCGGTCTTGACATTCCACACGGCCTCCTCGACACAGACATCTTCGACATCAAGCCCGACCTCTCTGGCCTGGTCGGCTTTGACAGCAATGACCTCCCTCCCCCTCCCCCAGCGACGCGCGCCGTGCTGTTCGAGCACGTCGATGTCGACCTGGGTCCGCTCAAGAGCGTGTCCCGCAACCACGCCAAGATCGAATACCGCAGCGACATTGGACAGTTCTGCCTCGAGATCATTGGGCGCAACGGCGCCTGGGTTGACGATAGATATTTCGTCAAGGGCGCGGTCGTGCCGCTGAGCCAGGGGTGAGTTGCCAAAGCACATCATGTGTCTGACCGCAGGTCCACCATCCAGATCGCAACGCGTATCTTCTCCTTCGTCCTCCCACCTTCGCCGGAGAGCTCGCCGCCCGCCCAGGCGGTCTCAGAAGCCCTGGAAGGTGCGTACCCGTACGAGCAGCTACCGTACCCCTACAACCTCCCCCCGGAGGAGGTGGGATACGCAGAGTTCTACGGGGAGCCAGGACCAGGTCCCGCCACCGCGGCGGCGCTCGCAGCACGCATCCCGACGTTCAATGCGTTCACAGCGAACGACGGGTACGGCGCGAACGACTCGGGCCGCTTCGCCGACCGCGAATGGATTGACGAGTGGGAGTCGGATCAGTCCGAGAACGACGAGAACAGCGAGTCGTCCGAGGAGGAGGAAGACGAGGACGACGAGGATGACTTTGTGCGACCAGTCCCGAAAATTCGCCTGCGGACGCGTCGCATCGTCATTCCAGAGGATGACGAGGAGGAGGAGGAGGAGTCATCTTTATCTGAGCTGTCGAGTGAGCCTGAGCCCGAACCAGAACCGGAACCCGCTCTTCCCACGCCGAAGAAGAAGAAAAAGAAAGACGCCGTCAAGGCCGAGCCTGCTTCGCCGCCGCAGTCACAGCAGCAGGCTGGAAAGGCGCCGAAGAAGGGGTCCAAGGGCGTCAAGGCGCCAAGCATCGTACTCAAGCCGCCGATGAAGAAGGGCAAGTCCGTGAAAGACGAGCCGATGGACGTAGATTCGCCCACGCCGGAGCCGGTGCAGACAACACCAAAGAAGAAGAAGAAGGACAAGGCGGTGAAGGAGTCGAAGAAGAAGGCTGTGGCCGACAAGGCAGAGGACAAAGTGGCGGCGCCAACACCAGCGCCCAAGCCTGCACCGCCGGCCTCAGCACCAGCGCAGCCCCCACCTCCTGCGCGGACGGGGCTGGCCCTGCCCACTGTCAAAGCCGAGGCGAAGCCGGCAGTGCCCGTGCAGCCTGCTGCCCCAACGCTTGCGGCCGCAATGGCTCAGCAGCCTGCCACATTGGCCGCAGTTGCGCCGCCTCCTGCCCAGCCCGCGACGCTCGCCGCCGCGCAGGCGCAGGCGTCTATTCCTCCAGGGCAACCAGGTGCACCTGCCCAGGCTCCTGCAGCACCTGGCGTTCGCCCTCCACAGCCCGGCATGGTACGGCCTCCGGCACCCGGCGTTCGTCCTCCCCCACACGGCCTCGCGCTCCCCAACGTCCGTCCTCCTCAGCCTGGCGTCCCCGGACAGCCTGGGCAGCCGATGCAGGCTCGCCCAGGCATGCCCGTCCGGCCTGGTATGCCTGGTCCCATCCCCGGGCAGCATCCCGGCATGGTGCGACCGCCTGGAACGCATCCACCGGGCACTCTTCCTCCTGGTGTCCGCCCGCCGCCTGGCATGGTTGTGCGGCCGGGGATGCACGCTGCCCCTGGTGTTCGCCCACCCATGCGGCCCCCACCCCCTCGCACCCAGCAGGTGAATGCACCTGCTGATCCGCCCAAGCCGTATTACATCTCGGAGCTCAAGGACAACCCCACTCGCCCGGGGCACATCTTGTGCTCGGTCCCTATCCCGCCGTCTGGCGCGGGGCCGCGCAACCCGCCAACCATCATCCGCGGGCTTGACGGGCTCCCGTTCATCGGTCCGCCACCACTCAAGCCGACGATGACTTTCGCGGCCATCATTTACTCGGCGCTTGTGAATTTGCCACGAGGTCGCGGCACGCTCGGCGAAGTGTGTAACTGGGTCGCGGGCGAGTGGGAGTACTTCCGTCTGAACCCCGAGGCGGGGTGGCAGAACTCGATTCGGCACAATCTTTCGCTGAACAAGGCGTTCCTCAAAGTGCCCCGTATTCCCGAGGACGACCCCGAGTCCAAGGGCTCAGTATGGATCTTGGATCCGCAGGAAGGACCATTGTTTGAGGAGAAGCAGCGTCGCGACGCGCTCAAGTCGGAGGGCAAGGCGAAGAATGCGGAAGAGAAACGTCTCCGTGAGCGCCTCAAGGCTGAAGAACGGGCACGGAAGCAACGCGAGCGTGAAATTGCTGCCGCGCAGCAGGTGCAGGCTGCGCGCGTACAACCGGGCGTCGTGAGACCCCGGCCGGCGCTGAGTGCGCACAGAGCGCTGGGCAAGACGCGTCTGCCGGTGATTATTCGGCCGCTGGATGCTGCGACGCGCGCGAAGAGCATCATCGACAAGGTGGACAGCAATGGAGTTCCGCTCCCCTTTGCATGCGATGGCACGCAGCTGATCCTCGACCAGGCGACATTCGGGCATCTCGCGGCAGACATCACGGACAAGCTCTACCAGCTCGGCGTGTCGGCCGCTGTGGATGTCCTCGCGAACTGGGTGATCAATAAGCAGAAGGCGAACGCAGGAAAGCAGGCTGTTCGCCCACCAGCAACAGGAACGGCAGTGAGGCCAGGCGCAACACCTGGTGCAGCGGCAGGTACCGCTACAGCGGCGCCAGGCGCTGTGCGCCCTCCTGTCGTAGGAGCCGCCCGCCCGCCCGCACCGGGTGCTCCTGGCGCGGCGGGCGCCAAGATCGGCCCGTTGCCACCAGGAGCCAACTTGACGCAGGTGATCAGCATGATCGCCAAGGTCGCAGCCGCGAAGGGCGACGTAAACACGGTGGGACCCAACGCCGCCGCGTTGCTGCGGTATATCCGCGTCGTCGGCGTCGAGATCGACCTGGCTGTCGCCCAGCGCATATGGCAGACGGGCGTGGTGCCTCCCCTTCCACCAAGGCGGACAGTAAACGGTCGCCCCGCGCCGCCGGGCGCGCGTCCACCTGCTGCGCGCCCCGGCGCAGCTCCTGGTGCCGCTCCAAGCGCTGTTTCAGGTGCCGTACGGCCCGGCGCTCCTGGTGTTCGGCCTCCGGCCGGAGCACAGGCCGTACGTCCGCCCGCGGCAGGACAGCCTGGTGTGCGTCCTCCCCAAGCTCCCGCGGGGGCGGTACGCCCGCCAGCTCCTGCGCCTGGCGCAGTGCGGCCGCCCGCGAACGGCGTCGCACGACCTCCCAACGGCGTCCCTCAAGGTGTGCGTCCTCCTCCAAGCGCGCCTCAGGCCCAGCCCCGGCCCCCAGCACCGGCTCAGCCCGCGCAGCCCTCCGCACCCGCTCTGGCCCAGCCAGCGCCAGCCCCACCCACGCCGGCGCCAGCCCCACCCACGCCAGCCCAGCCCGCACCCGCCCAGCCAGCCCAGCCCGCTGCACAGCCGGCTCCATCCGCGGCAGCTCCCCCAGCCCAGCCCACACCACCCAACCCCGGCAAGCGCGCCTTCGACCAAGGTCCCGGCGCCGCTCCTGCCGCTAATGGCGGCTCGGCCGCCACACCCACACCCGCCAAGCCCGAAGATCCCGCGAGCAAGAAGGCGCGCATGGAGACGCCGACGTCTGCAGCATAATGTCGACGAGTCATGGTGTAGCATATATGCAAGTGTACGATGAGATGTGGTAGTGCAGGAGTGTGTGCGGGGACTGGGGCTAGAGCGAGGCCGACTTGCTGTACTCGGCGTCGGTCAAGATCGGCTCAGTGCTGAACTCTGATTTGGTTTGCGGAGCTCAAGAGCGATCACCTGGCTAAAGTATATGTATTATGTGTGGCGCTCTCTGAGTACCGCACACCGCCCCACTCTGTCTACTCCGACACAGCAACACACCCGCGTATCTAATGCCAGTGCATGCTATCGAGTCTTACTACGTCGGCGTGCGCGCCAACCCTCTCACGCGGCCCTCTCGCCTCAGCCGCCCTATCCCCACTCCATGCTCACTCCTCGCGCACCTCGGCGAGCACACCGCCGCTCTTGACCTCGCCCCAGCCGATGAGACGCCAGTGCTTGTCGATACGGCGGGACAGGGCGATCTTCTCGCCCTTCTCGGCACACGCGGGGGTGGTGAGGGCGATGGTGACCATGGCGCCCTTGATGTTCTGGATGCGGCCGCCGGTCTGCGACGCACCAATGTTGATGAACAGCGTCTCGCCCACCACGACCTTGGACACACGCGCCTTCTTCGAGTCCTCGGTGCGCACGCCCAACAGGCGGCGGAGGAGGAACACCTCGGCCTTGATCTCGGTGTAGATCGACGGCCCCTTGCCGACGGCGCTCATGACCATGCCGAGCAAGCGGTCGGCGCGGCACAGCGCGGGGTCGACGAGTGTGCCGGCACCAATGAGGCCGCCGGGCACGGCAAACTGCAGCTGGTTCTGCTCGGCGTACAGCGACACAATCTTCGACTTGAGCGGCCGGCACGTGCACGTGCCGTTGGCGTCGCGCGTGATGATGCCCGGGCGGATCTCGACCTCCATCCCGACCTTGAAGACGCCTTGGAGGATCGAGCCGCCCGCGACGCCGCCCTTGAGCTCGTCGACCGTCGCGCCGGGCTTGTTCACGTCAAACGAACGGATCACCACCATCCGCGGGTCCGCCGTGAAGTCGTACTTTGGCGGCGCGATCTGCGCGATCGCCTGCACGACGGCGTCAATGTTGAAGCGCAGCTGCGCGGACACGGGGATGATGGGGGCGAGGCGCGCCGTCGTGCCCTCGACAAAGCGGCGGATCTGCTCAGAGTGGTCGAGCGCGTCGCTTTCGCGCACCAGGTCCATCTTGTTCTGCAGAATCACAATGTTGTGCGGGTCAATGCCGATGATCTCGAGCGCAGCGAGGTGCTCGCCTGTTTGGGGCTGCGGGCACGACTCGTTGCCGGCAATGAGCAGCAGTGCGCCGTTCATCACCGCCGCACCGGTGAGCATGGTGGCCATGAGAATGTCGTGTCCTGGGCAGTCGACAAACGACACATGCCTGATGAGCTCCATACGTCCGTCGCAGCCTGGGCGCTCGCACTTGGGGTGCAGCTCCTTGGACGACGGGTAGGAGCGGTAGCAGGTGGGAGGGGGGCACGCGGGGTTCTTGCACTTGTAGATCTGGGGTTAGGTGTGACTGCGAGGGGAGTGGTGGAGCAAGGGCAGGTAAAAGTGACGGTGCGGTGAAGCGAGCTGAAATGTATCGACTCGATACAGCATGACTCATCGGAACGGCCGACGCGAAACAGCTTTCGACTCGCCGCCTCGCCACCCACGCCTCGTACGCACCTTGGCGTTGGCATAGCCAAGCTTGATGGTAATGTTACGCTCGAGCTCGCTCTGGAAACGGACGGTCTGCACGCCCGAGATGGCGCGCACGGTCGACGACTTTCCGTGTGCGACGTGTCCGATGGTGCCGATGTTGATCTGGGGTCAGCCGTCTGCCTAGGTGGCGCGCAGAAGCGTACGCACAGTAGCCTGCTTCGAGATGACCTCGGGCGAGAGCGCCGTCAGCTTTGTCAGGTCGACCTGGACGTCCTGGGTTGGCACGTCCAAGTCGCCGGCCGCGAACGCGGCGCGCGTGTCGTTAACGGCGGCCATGGTGTGGATGTGGGAGGTGGAAGGGGGGAGGGTATGCGATGCTGCGAGAAGCTTGGTTTTCGGGCGATTCGGGGGCAGCGCGCGGCGCTGTTTTATCGACGGCGAGAGATGACGGGGGGGAGAGGCGGAGATGGAGAGGAGATGGAGATGGATGGCGTCGAGAATGTCAGGCGAGCAGAGCGGCGGAGCATTGTCTTTGCCAGAAATGAGTAGGGCGCCACACCCGGAGATACCGGGATATGCCACGTGGCCGTCTCGCCGGCTGACCCTCCCTCCGCCGCCCACTGGATCGATCTCGGTGAGTTCGAGCGACCAGCGATCAGCAACGTCAACAGCCATGGCCGGACCAGGTGAGTGCGGAAGGAGGGGAGGGGAGAGGGAGGAGGAGAGCTCACGCCAGGATTCCACCCCCACGCGCCCTCGCTCTTCTACCGCGGCCTGTCCAAGGCGCTCGGCGCCGGGATGTGGTTCTTCATCTTCTACCGTGCTCGGTGAGTGAGGGCGGATGGCGTTGGAGAGGGTGAACGTCGTGGGGAATACGGGAGGGGATGGTACAGGAGTTGGAGAAGCGCGCGGGTGCAACGCTATCACACTGTCTCGGCACGGCCGTGACATCGATGCCCGATGCTCCGAGCACCGAAGTGGCCCTTCTCTGCTTCCTCTGCCTCCTGCCTCCTCCACCCCACTTCCGCCCGCGGCAACTCCTCGCTCGGCATCTCAGAACGCTAACGTTCAGCCAGGACGGCCCAGCGCTCATCGGCCTGCGCCACCCATGGGACGGGCACGGGCACGGGCACGGCGACGACCACCACTAGTGTTATGGATACGATAGGCTCGGCGGAGCAGCGATGGTCGACTGAAGTCAGGTCGTCGAGACGCTGGCGTGACCGTGTCGGTGGCAGTGGTGCAGGGCTGCGACGGACTCGGTCGAACACGGCGGAGGCGTCGACGGGGTGGTGCGCCTGACGATGAACCTCTTGCAGGAGCGAGCGGAAGGGGGGAATGCGGGGGAGAGCACTCTCAGCTTGTTGGCACAGGCCTTGGTCAGTCGAGGATGGGCCGGGATCGGACGAGATCGCTTCTCGCCGACGCCCGCGCTTGGTTGCGGCTGCGGCTGTCGGAGGTGTGGAGCTCGCCAGGCCGGCGGCTCCAACTTTACGCGCATGTGTCCATGATAGATGGCGCGGAACAGTCAGCTTTGTGCACGCAGCTGTGCGTTTTCTGAGGGCACAACGAGAGGTGTAGCCTGCCGCGATCAGATCACGAGTTGCCGGAGTAACATTGGCCCCGTCGATCCTCGTGCATCAGCCGTATCTCCATATACATTTCGGAGAGGTGTATGCTAGATATCATGCCCCGCTCCTACCCCCTTCGCACCTCCTCGATCTCGACAAACCCCACGCCGCCCGCCGGCGTCGCGGGCGCGCGTCTCGTCCACCCCAACACGCGGCCCATGACCCACTCGGCCACGCCCTCCCCCGGCAGCGGGCGGATGGCCTCGACCTCGTGGCTCGCGATGAGGCCAGAGTAGGGGTTGAACGTGTAGAGGTTGCTCGTGGTCCATTCCGCGCGGTGGTGCGGCGGAAGCCGCGGGTGGCCGTGCAGCGCGAGCTGCACCCGGATCTGCTTGTGTCTCTGCGCCGGTGTGTCTTTGAACGAGTCGGAGAGGGAGTGGGGGGGAGTGGGCGGAGAGAACGTCATGCGTTGTAGCGTTGTCGCGAGGTCGGTGTGGAGGGCTGGCATAAGAGTGAGTTGGAGTGCAGGACTTACCGTGCAGCCCGCTCCGGCCTGTTGCGAACGCCATCCGATATGCCGTCAAGCCTGAGATGCGGATCGGGAACGGCGCGGGCAGCTTGAGCACGACGTGGGGCGAGAATACTTCGCGCGGGAAGAGGTCGTCGCTGGCGAGCGAGGCGTCGAAGAGGCGCGGCAGCGTCTCGCGGAGGTGCAGCATGCCGCGCCCGACGCGGATTTCCCACTCTGCATCGGGGACCGGAGCGTCTGGCCGTTCGGGGGGGACGGTGTGTGCGGCGGGGGACGGGTGGAAGTGCGGGGGCGGGGTGGGTGAGAAGTACAGGGGTGCGATGGGGGCGGGTGGAGCGGGCGGAGACGGGGAGGAGGGAGCGGGGGAGGGGGAGCCGCCGAGCGAAAACGCGCGTACTCGGCGAGCTCGGAGAAGCGGCGCGCGCGCGCGGAGAGGCAGCATCGTGATGAATGAGATGTGAGGTGGCAGAAGAGTCCAAGCGAAGTATCATGACGCAAAGTGGAGGTGTCGGAGCGGGTCACGTGATAAGTGTTATGAAAGTACATGCCATAAATGCCTACGCTCACTCCTCTTCGTGGTCGAGAAGCTTCCCGATACGCTGCGCGTAGCCGGACGCACCCGCCGCCGACATCCACTGCAGCCCCAGCTTGAGCACCTGCACGGCGGACACGTCTTGTGTGGAGGGCAGGATGCCGCCGGGCCCGACTTGCGGTGCGGCGGTAGCGCGCGGCGCCATGAGCTGGGCGACGAGGGCGTCGTCGCTCGAGCTATGCTTTGCGCTCGAGCCGCGTGCCCACGCGCGCAGCACCAGCAAAGCATGATATACCGCCGGGGGCGCGAAGATGTCGCCGGAGGGCAACGGCCAGCCGGCGGCGAGGAGGAGGTGTGCGGCGTGTGCGACGGGGAGGGCATCGGGTGCCGTTCCCGCCTCGAGATCTGGTGTCAGCGTGCTTTCAGAGCACTCACCTTCCTCCCGCGGCGCCCGCAAGAGCACATATCCGAGATAATACCCCACGCCCTGGCCATACGCCTGCCCCGCGGCCTCGAGCAGCGTCTCCAGCGCCTGGGGTCAGCCCGCCCGCTCCCCTCTTACATGTAAGCGCGCGGGCAGGGCGAGGCCCAACACCTCCTGCGCGCGGCAGAACACGCGCTCTTCGGCGCGGTACGTCCGTATCCCCCACTGTATCGTCGCGAAGAGCACGCGCGCGCCGAACTCGCCCATGGGCGCGGGATACCGCGGCAGCGCCGCGAGTCTGGCGTCAGCGTTGCTACGCAGCACGCACGCAGCGCCGACGCTCGCGTGCTCGCGCGCAAGCCACGCGTCCGGCGCCAGCATCCAGCGCTCGGCGTCCGGCACCGCTGCGCCCTCGACGTCCGCGATGCCCAGCGCCGCGTCGCACAGGAACACGGCGAGCCCGAGCCGCGTGCGCGTCTCGGCGCGCACCCACGCGCCCCATTCGCTCTCGGGGTCTCGTGGGGCCAGGAGGCGCTGTGCGCGCACGAGCGCCGCGAGCGACGCGAGGAGGAGTGGCGCGCGCGCGCTCCCGCACCCCGCGGCCGCGAGGTAGGCGAGCACGAGCGCGTGCAGCGCGTCCGCCTGGTGTTAGTGCGGCGCGCGGCGGGGGACGCACGCTGGGATCCAGGGCACGGCGGAGCGTCTCGGCGACCTCGCATGCGAATGTGCGTGCGCGCGTGTGCCGCACGGCGCACGCGCCGGACGCAAGCAGCGCCGCAACGAGGCTCGGCGCCGCGTGCGCGGTGCGGAACGTCCTGGCGTCAGACCCGCGTGCGTTCGGCGTACGGGAGGTATATCAGCGGCAGTTGGGGCTCGACGCGCTCAAAGTGTGCTGGTGTCAGCGTGTTCGTCATCAACGCACCCTCCATCAACGCGTTGGCGGTCGCGAGGTCCGGCCACCGGATGCTGCGGTCGCGCGTGTCTCATCAGCGCGGTCGGCGGGGGACATACCACACCACGCTTTCGCGCGCGTATACACCGCGTCGGAGAGCCACACGCCGCCCTCGCTGGCGCTCGTGCCCGGCAAACTCCACTCGTCGTCGGCGTGCATCCGCTCGCCGGCCAGCCGGGGCGAGAGCAACGTATACCCCGAGTCGGCGGTATACCCCGCTGCGGCGGCGCGGGCGATCGCGCCGTCCCACGTGCCGAGCTCGGAGCCGTCGCTGTCCTCGTCGACGCTCGACGAGTCGTCGTCGTCCGCCTCATGCACCCGCGGCGGGCGGTAGGGTATGTGCGGGATCGTCGATGTCAAGTACGCGGGGCCGTGTACGACGGACGCGTGCATCACGGCCTCGAGCGCGGCGTGCGGCGGCGCGGGGAGGGCCGTGGCGCTCGCGCTCGCGCTCGTGCTCGCCTCGCCCGGAGTCGGGAGGGCGCCCATGAGCGCCGCGAGCGGCGGTGGGCCCCCGGCTGCCGGTGCGGGTGCGGGTGCGGGTGCGGGTGCAGATGCGGGCGCGGGCGGCGAGCCGGAGCCCGCACTGTCGCGGTGCGTGCGCATGTGCCGCTTCAACACGTCCGGCCGGCGGAAGGTGCGGCTGCACACGGGACACGAGAGCTGGTGTTAGTGGGGGCGCGAAAGGGCGGGCGCAGAGAGGGAGCCGAGGGCGACGCACCTTGCTCTCCTGGTCTGGGATTAGTGATAGTCGCAGCCGACGACTCACGGTTCCGCTGGTGGCGGCGGAGATTCTCGATGCGCGTGAACTGCCTTCCGCACTGGCAGACGAGGCGGGCCACCGAGCCCGAGCCCGCGCCCGACGCCGAGGGCACGCCGAGCGCGAAGGAGAGGTCCGGGAGCGTGTCCATAGCAGTCAGTCGTCAGGATGAGTCGCACATCTGACGGCTGTCAGCTATCGACGGTCACGGGTCAAGGACGGGCCGGCGTCCGGCGTCCGTTTCTGCGGATGTAGTATATCCGCCGCGGCCGAACATGACGGCGTCGAGGCGAGGCGAGGCGAGGTGAGGCGTTCCGCACGACGCAAGGGTCGGCGGATCGACGATAAGCACCCCGTCCACCGTCCACCGCATTCACGATTGACCCATTTACGAGGCCGACACCGCCTCAAATTGTTCCTGGGTTATTTGTGTCTTCGTGCCGCTGCCGGCAGCGCTCACCAACACTCACACTCACACGCTCAGACTCGCCCGCGCGATTTATGATTGAATGTCCTCTAGCGGTGTGCGCCGCCGCGTCCATTACGCTGTGTCAGATGGAGACCGCAGGTCGCCGCAGCACGGATGAACGTGCTGTTGCACTGCTCCAGCTCCAGTCGTCTCGCCATGCTCGGCAAGTTGTGGCGAGGAGGGAGGCAGCATGCCGAACGCTCCACTTGGCCAAGAGATCCATCGCCATGCTCCACTGAGCCGACTTGGCGCGAGGCCCCGACTCGCTCTTCCCTGCTGCTTGGCACCGCCACGCCACTGCCACTGCATGGGTCCTCGTGCTCGCTCCTCTTTCATCTCGTGCTCTCGCGACTCTCGCTCTGCTCAACAATTGGCACACGTCGACTTGGGGTTTTCAGGGGTTTTCATATGTCCTATCGTACAGCAACAGACTACAGATAGCACACAGCTCGAGACGGCGCAGGAACCTATCACTAGGCTAGACGCCACACCTACACAAAGCAGGTAGTAGCGGGTCGCGGGATGGTTGAGGCGGTCATCGAGAAACTGCGGGAGGGGCGGCGAGGTAGAGTAGAGGTGGAAAAAAGGCGAGATGGAAGAAAACAAGTCTAAACGAAGCGAAAAAGAGAAAAAAAGTGTTGGAAAGGTGATGTGCAGGGTGGTGGTGGTGAGGAAAAAACAGGTCGTGGGGTGCTGGCTTTCGAGCCGCCATACCCTATGTCCATGCCTCCGCGTGGCGAAGGTCCTCGGATTCTCTGCCGCGAGTGCGGCGGCGCTGCATTTTGGACAGCGGTAGAGAAGACGATGGGGGACTCGGTATGACTCGGGAAAAGGTTGAGCCAGAGAAAGATGATGGTTTTGGTTGGTGACAGCGAGAAGCATGCCAAGTTTGAACGATTGGGGGGGGGGTGTGAGTCGGTTGTGAAACGGCGACGGGCTGCAATCAAGAGCTGCCGACGTACTCCGACTCGTCGAGTTTGAGCCAACCTCATCAAATGAGGCCGCCAGACTCGGCGCGCGAGCGCATACGGCTCTGAGCGCGGATAATGGAAGGCGAAACTCCCTGACGCTTGGCGTCGACAAGAGGGCCGTCAGAGTGGATGCCCTGGCGGTGACGCTCGAGGTCGTGAAGACGAGAGAAGGAGCGCTTGCACATGGGGTGAGGGCACTGGTGGGGCTTGGGGCGTGCGGGGTCGTGAGTGTGCATGTGCGACTTGAGGTTGAAGGCGCGGGCAAAGCCGCGGCCGCAGACCTGACACTTGTGGCGCTTGCGCGGGTCGTCGGGCGTCTTGCCCGGAATGTAACCACGACCGCCACCGTGAATGTTGGTGATGGCGTTGGGCGAGGACATCTTGGCGTCCGAGGCGAGCTCGTCCTCCTCCATGTCGTCGTTACCCTTGATGGTAGGCAGAAGGCCGGTCGAAGAGTAGATTGGCGTCGACGGGTAGGGAGGAGAGCCACCAGAGACCGAGGTCGAGACCGACTGGCGCGACCAAAGGTTGGACTGCGAGGTGATGCCAGTAGCGCTCTGCGGCGTGGGAAGCTGCTGCTGTTGCTGCTGCTGGTTGACATTGTTGAGGTAAGCGCTCATCGACATGTTGCGAACGGCAAGAGCGTTGGTGTGGGCGGCGAGGTGGGCCTGAGCGGCAACGTGGGCGCTGACGGCCTGCTGGTGGGCACGCTGCTGCATCTGGAGGGTGGCGTTCCAAAAGCTCTGCTGCTGAGGGGAAGTGGTGTTTGCAGCATTGGCGTAGGTGGTCTGGGAGCCGTTGGCCTGAGGCTGGAGCGCCATCATGTTATACTGAAGGAGGGGGTCGGGGTTGTTGAGGTCTTGAACCGACATGAAAGCGGTGTTGCTGTTGGCTTCCTGGAGGCTCTTGAGCTGCTGGTCTGCGAACTGAACCTCTGCGGCTGCTTGGACCTGGAGGTTCTTGTAGTGGAAGTAGCGCTCGAGGTGGTGCTGAGTGAGGGCCTCTACGGCAGAGTGGTTGGGGACAGCGGTGGGGGAGATGGGCGAGACCTGGGCCGTGTTGGTCGAGTTGGCGAGGGGGTCAAAGGTGAATGAAGAAGCGGCGACCGTGTTGATGGGGGAGATGGCGGACGACTTTGGGGAGACGAGAGCGATAGACTCTGGCGAGGGACCTACGTCGAACGAGGAGAGGTCGGTGGGGTCAAAGTCGAGGAGATGCGAGTCGTCCGAGACGGAGAGAGGAGGAGATGGGAGGGTGGTGGTGATGGGAGCGCGCTTGTGGGTCAGCGGCTGGGCGTCTGGGGAGGCGAGGTGGGCGAACGAGGACATGAGGGAGGAGTTGGGGAAGCCCGATGGGAAGAGAGGAGGAGGGCAATGAGGAGGAGGAGGATGAGGAGGAGATGGAACTAGAGATGAGAACGCAAGAGGAGTTGAAAGAAGAGATGAGGAGATGTCGAGCAACAAGATATCAAGTCAAAAGTGGATGAGATGGAAGAATCAAGACGACCGAGGGGGGGGGAGAGACACGTTTGTGCCACAAGGGGGGTCAGGGTCACCCCCGGGGTTTGGAGGTGACTCGAGGCTGCCTCAGGGTAAAATGCAGTGCAGTGGCGAATCTCGGCGGAACCAAAGGGGTTCCAGGGTCTCACACGCGGCTTCTTGTTTCTCCGTTCATGCCTTGCAGTTCATGCCGCTCTCCCCTTGCCCCTTTTAGCCCTCGCGCCCTGAGGGCCCATCTTCCGTGGCGCCTCGGGTCGTCCGCCTAAACGAGCAGGGTCTCCAGGGGCAGCGCGGAGGCAAATGACGTAGGCTGCGGCATCTGCGGCGACCAAAGCACGAGGGCAGAGACACGGGTTTACCGAGGCAGCCGACGGGCATCTCGGACAAGTCGGAGCCAAGCGCGCGCCGCAGCACCCGTCGACCAGTCGACCAACCATCCATCTCGGTCTCGTCACGCTCGTCGCCACCACCATCATCGGCCAGAGCCCACCACCCGTCCCCCACATCCCCCAGGAGCCCCCAGGACCCCAGGCAGGAATCGGTATTCCCTTCAGCCGCGATCAGCCGGGACATCCGCGCCATACACGTCATGCTCCCTCCCTAGTAGCCTAGACCCGGCGACAGAGCTACAGTACAAGCCAGAAAGCCACTGCACGTCACAGCGCCGCCGCATCATCAGCCAAGACGCAAGTTCGTGGAGGCCGTCGGTCTCGTCGTTGTCGATAAGAAAACGAGACGAGACAAGCGATGTTTGCGATGCGGAGAAAGGGGGACGCGGCGGTCATGGCTCGGGGAGACCCGTCATCTCCGTGAGCGGAGAGTCATCGGCCGCCGTGAGGGAGCCACGAGGCACCCACGCGCCTACCACGTGCGTCACCCGGCCACACGAGCCACGCGAGCCACGCGAGCCACGCGAGACACACGTGCAGACCAATGAGGGAGGAGGTGGGAACCGAATAACGATCCTCGATATCGCTAGATCGCGCCTGATATCGACGTGATGATGCCATCTGCCAATCGCGACCCTCTCGCGAGTCGGTAGCAGGCAGTACACGCATCCCCCAGTACTCCGAGCACGCGAGTGCATTGCCACACCATGCGCAAATAGCCCATGCGGTGGTCCATGCACCATGCAATACTCAGGCATCCAGCGCAGCGCCGATGCACGAGGCTCCAGCAAGAGACGAGAATGGAGGGAGGCAAGGACAAACGCTCAGAAACTCACCTGTATTTTCGCAAGAGGGGATGTCGGATTCGCAGCCCCGCGCGCCAGCATATATACTCGCCGCCGCCCGCGCACGCAGCTCGGCGCGGCGGCATCCCGCCCGCCCGCCAACCCTGCTTGGCGGCCGTCTCAGCTCAGGGCAGTGCCTGTCGGCGTGAGTCGTGGGAATGAATGGATGTTTGCATGTTGTTTTGACGTTTCGACGTCGGCGCGAGCAATGGTGAATTGGTCGACGTGCTCGCCATCACCCGCACCGCAATGCACAGCTTCATCACCGCAAGACACCGCCAGCCGCCAGCCCGCCAGCCGCCAGCCACCAGCCGTCTGGTTACCCCGCCGGTCGCCATAATCCGGTTTCGGTTTGTCTTGACGCGGGGCTCGCCGCGGTGTTTCGGCCCGTTTACCCTGACTTCGGGCGTAGCCGTGTTGGCATAATGAGGGGTCCGCACAGGCTGCGCGAACGTTGGGACGGAGAGTGGCAGCGCAGTCGGTGGGGTGCACGTATGACACGAGAGCAAGGCACGAACGTGGCGGAATACAATACTCGTCTACAGTATCGGCTACAAAATCCTGCCACTTCCTGGCGCCCGAGGGCGGGCTTGTCCGGCCCGGGTCGGAGATCGGAGAGGGGCTCGACGTGTCCGGGATGTGTCCGGAGGCTTGGGTGACGTCGTCGTTTAGAGAGGCGCGCGGTAGCTGCACGACAAGTGAAATGTGGCACCGGTGACGGCTCGGACATGACATGTCGGGGAGCACGCACTCCGACGAGCAGATAAGAGATATCGTGACAAAGTGTTCGAGATCATTCACTATTCTTGTCCCCCCCTTCTTTCTTGCATCACCCGTCATCGTCCTCGCCCTTGTTTAATCTTCCTCACTATCCCGTCACCCCCCTCCCCTCCTCGCCTTGCCCTGCCCAGCCAAATGGACATTGCCAACTCCGTTCTCTCTATCTGAGCGGCCTCCTTCATAACCCCCCCCCCCCTCACCCACACAGTGTTGGAAACAGCACAAACGCCGTCCGCCATGTCATCACATGACTAATGCAATCCTCGCGTAGCCGGCACAGGAAGCCTTGTCTAGAGTCGCTCGTCAGCCTCACCCACTCAAAGGAAACGGCCTACGGGGACTCTGAAATCGTGCCCCAGTGCCCATCTGCGGTATGGTCTCAGCAGCGGCCTGCGCTCTGGAAAGGTGCAGCCGCGTTTGTCCGGCAGCGCGGTCTGCCACGGCAACGCGCGGCGCGGGCCTTCGTCCCCTTCCCACCTCCCCTGCCCGACAACCCGTACACTTCCACCGCCAGAAGAATGGTTATGCATGCAGATAAATGCTTACAAACTAGCGTTACAATTCCCAACCGCTGCGCGGAGGTTGTTCTAGATGACTAGATGACGGGTATACCAAGGCAGATCAGGCACGATCGTCATGGCTCGCGGCCCGGGCTGCGCAGCGCAACGGTGGATCGCTGCGCAGCTTGGCACCATGCCCTGGGATCCTGGCATTCTGGGACGCGCTTTAGGTCCCGGCGCAGCGTACCCAGTACGTCGCGCTACGAGAAAAAGTAGGCCGAGTCCTGGATGCGCTTGACGTCGAACTGGCCACGCGGCGGCGCGGGTGGCAGCAGCGCGCGCAGCTTGATAAACTTGACGCCGTTGACGGTCACCTCGTCGTTGCCCTTGTACGTGCCGATCTCGGCGATCTCCTCCGGGCTGAGCAGGACCGGCGAGTTCTCTTTGACCTCGGAAGGCCCGTCGGCTTCGTCAATGTCGCCGTCGTCGCTCTCCTCAAAGGCCTCGTCGGCCTCGGCCGCCATCATGTCCACCTTGGGCTTGGCGCCGTGCACCGGCGGCGAGCGCGAGGGGTGGCCCTCGGCCGCGCGCTTCTCGTTGCGCTCCTTGGCCGACTCAATCAGCCGCGCATTGCTTACTGGGATCGCGTTGTCGCCGTACTGCTCCAAGAACTGCTTGCGCAAACTGCCAATAAGGTCGTCCGAGTGCAGGTGGATGAACTGCTTGCGGATCTGCTCGCTCATCGCCTCGACCGTCGATGCGTGTGTCCAGTACGAATCATGCACAGACGCAAATGTGATGCCACTCGAGTTGCATGCCGACGCCGTCAGAAGCATGTGGGTCGCGTCCAGCGAATGGATGTAGTTGGGCGGGAACGCTGTCGCCTGCTTCATCGGCGCGACTTCGGTCATCTGGTGAGGGTCGGTAATGTACACCGTCTGGAGCGAGGTCATGACCTGCTTCTTGGCACCCTTGCGGTACGGCTGCACAACGGGCAGGCCCAACGGCGTCGTCCAAGCGACAGCCGTCATCAACTCTTTGGCCAGGTTCCTGGCCTTGGTCGTTTCCCTGCGCGTCTTCTCGTCCATCTTGGCAAGGTTGGCCTTGGTGCGGCCCTTTCCCGGAGGAAGTTCGACTGCCTCTGTGGCCTGAAGCAGGCGCGAAGCGGGGATCGAGCGGGCGATGAGACGTGCGCAGAGCGTGAGCCAGTCCTGGATCGCACGCGCGCCCGAGAATAGATCACCAATCGATGCCAAGACCTTGCGTGCAACATAGGCCGAGACCGGGTAGATGTCCTCGGCGTGGATACCGCCACGGGCAACAAGCTGACGCGCGATCTGCTCGCGAGCACCAATAAATGTCACACCGTACACCGTCGTCATCACTGTTTGCTTGACGACCTTGCGGCCAAGGTCGCCTTCGATGAGGAGGGCCATGGGCAGTCCAGCCTTACGATCCTCCTCAATCGCAGCGTTGACTAGGTCGGCAACACCAGTGTAGATGTCCGCAGGGCGGTCGCCACGCTCAAGGTTGACGGCCTTGGCACCACGCACGTCACCGCCTAGGGCGGCGTAGTGCTGCATACCGTTACATGTGCCGTCCTGGTGCACGGGAATCGACGACTCGAATGTTTCGGGGTTGGGCGACCGAAGGGCAGCGGCGAGCTCAAAGCATGTCGCGAGGCACTGCCACGGGTCCTCGGCCTGGAGCCACCACCGGTTGCCGGTGAGCGGGTTGTCCGCCGAGTCAAAGACATCGGCTTCGTGGTCACGTGCAAACTGCGCACGCTCCTCAAAGCTCGCCTTGTCGAAGCCGTAGACGTTGGCCAAGTGAATCTGCAGCCACTTGAGACCAGTCTTGCCGAGTGGCTTGCTGATACCAAAGGTGAGGAGACCACGGCAGAGATCGTCACCGACGGGCGACAGGTGCGGAGGGATGGGGTATGCACGTCCACGGAAGTCCATGTTGTGGGGAATGTAAAACACGTCGTTGAGGTATGCGCGCGCGATTTCAAGGTTGTAGTTGAACTTGCAGCGCTCGCCGTGGTCCTTCCTTTGCTGCAGAAGGACAGCCTTCATGCGCTCGTGGTAGGCCGCACGAGCACCGGGGTCGGTCGCCGCACTGGCGGGCTTCTCGGGCAACGTGTAGTCGCAATTCTCGGGGGCGGCAGGGATGTCTGCAATGCCGACACCACTGTTCCAAGCTTCGAGGACCGTGTCAAACACCTTGCGGTTGATGCGCCACGGTGTTCCCGACAACACCTCCAGTCCGTGGAAGATGGGCTCGAGATACCCCTGCTCACTGGCGGCCGCAATGTGGTTCTTCTGCTCGATCGAGTCCTTGAAACGCATAATCTCAACGTTGGTGTCGAGGTACATGCCGTCATCCCAGCGCACCCACTTGCGCGGCTCGATGAGCATTGGCAAGTGCTTGGGATGGATCACCTGACGCACGCTATCCTGGCCGAGACGCTTGGCGACCTCGGGGTTGACCTTGATGACGCCGAGCTTTTTGCCGCGTACGTACTCGTACACGTGCGAGAACGCGGGCTGCGTCTCCGAATGCTTCTCGCCAGTCCGTGGATCGGTGGCGTGGCGCGTAACAGTGCTGACCTGGATCAGGCTCTTGATGAGGTAGCTGCCGACGCTCATCGCAGCCAGCTGCGACCAAGGGGGTGTCCAGACGGAGCGCAGAGCCTCCTGAGGCGTGGCATTCTCCCCTGGCTCGAACAGCTGCTGCGCCTCGACCTCACTGCCAATCTTGGACCACAGCTTGTCAATGTTGGCACGCGTGGGCTTGTTGCTGACGGGGTCGAGCGCCTTGGCCCAGATGGCAGAGTCCGCGCCCGCGACCGAACGAATAGCATCGGCGCGGTGCTCCATCTCGACAGCGCGTCCGACTGCGATCATGCCGCGAAGCGCCTTCATGCCATCAACAATGCCGCCAGAACCGACCATGCGCATGACCTCAAGAATCGTGATAAGCGCAAGACGCTTTGGAGGGAGAACGTTGAGGTACACCATGAGGTCCTTGTCCTTCATCTCCCTGGACGCCGACCACTTGTGCACGAGGTCGTCGCCGTCGTCCTTGGCCAAAACGCGGTCGGTCAGACCCCGAATTTGCTGAACGAGCTGCTCAGTAAGAGCAACGTGCCAACGGTGCATGTGCCCCTGAAGGACGTTGCGTTGAAGACGCATGTCTTCGCCCTGCTGCCCAATGCTGGCAAGCTGCTCGGCAGCGCGCTGAAGGTCGGCCTCAGCTGCGGCATACGACGACTTTTCGAGGGCGTACTGGCGGTTGTAGGCCGTCATCTCTTCGTTGATAGGTGCAAGGGCAGAGCGAAGGTTGTCGATAGTCCAGCGAGCTTGCATGGCATGGGGGTCGGTGGCTGTCGACCCGCGGATCTCTGCTGCTGGGGTAGAGGCAGTTGCGCGCTTCTTCTCCTTGACCTTCTCAAGAACAGGCTTGACCTCGGGAACAATGTCACTCTCGCGGACCTCACGCTTCTTGCGCTCCAGGCCCTGCACCTCAACCACCTGCTTGTCCAGCCAGTCGAGCAGGTGCTTGGCGCTGTACGACTTGAGCTGGTCGAGAGCTCGGGCAACGTCGTCACGAGACATGCCAGAGATCATCTGGTCGAGACCGATACGGGGGTCCTCGATGTACGGGATGATTGGGTCCAGTTGCCCGTTCACCCTGATGTTAGCGAGAGGAGAGCCGAGGTGTGGTGATGACGGGTGCGCTGATGACTCACTTGACGAGGGCAGAAAACCAGGCGCGGTACACCAGAATACCCTCCTTGTCCAAGGCGGCGTTGCCGGGCTCGCAGTCGTTCATCTTCTCCCACATCTTGATGAGATTCAATGTGCGGAACCGCCACAGCTCGGTGACCTTTTCACCCGCAATCGTAGTGGCAGGCTTGCAAAGCTGAGCCACGCCGTGGATCACGTTGGCCCAGACCTGCGTTCTAGGCATGACCGCAGTGCGCTTCTCGACTTCCAGAAGAAGCGACTGGAAGATTTGGTATGCGCGGGGAACAAATTCTGATCGTGCGGCGCAGATCGAGAGGAGGGATACAGTGTCAAGTGCCGAGGTCGGGCGATACAGTTCAGCGTTGAGCTGGTTGCCATCGCGGGCGTCGGCTGGGAGAGGCGGGGGGAGGAGGATAGAGGGGACCTTGTGAAGATGGGGGGATGCCGGGAGGGGGTTGAACTTGTGTGCCTCGGGCTCGGCGCGGGGCATGGTCATGAACGCAGGCGGGGCATAGTCATGGGCCTCAACGGCGGCGACGCTCGGCTTGGACCGGGGTGTAGATGGGGAAGCGTACGCGCGGCCAAAAGGTATCCTGGACGCGGAAGCGACCTGGATACGACGCGCGGCGCCGAGGTTGACGGAGCGGAGCATGATGGAGGGGCGCCGGGGTGAGGGAGATATAATATGGTACAGATCGGGTGATTTTGTGAGTGGCGAGGGGAGATGACGAGCGCCTTTTGATGGAATACAAGAATGAGCGGGGGACCCCCGAGTGGGATTGCAGAGGGAGAGGGGGACGCTGTGTCCGCCTATGCCGATGCGATGCGAGAGGGGGAGGAGGGATGCGAGAGAGTGAGCGGAGGAGAGAGGATGGCGATGAGGAGAGACGTGATGAAAGTCTGTTGGGTCATCTCGGCTGCTCACCCGACCTCGCGAGGCACCTCAAAAATCCCAAGCCCCCTTCTCCACGCTCAGGTCACGTGCAGCGGCAAATTTCTAATTGCATTCGTCCGATGTATTACCATATCCCAATAGCCCTTTTTCTAATTGAGCGGGGTCAATTGTCCCCCCCCCCCCCCGCACGCGCCTGGGTGCCTGGGCGTTGTCTCCAGAATGACGGCCCGCGTTATCATCATCCGCCAGCTCCACCTACTGTACAAGGCCTCGGCGGCCTCGACGTTCGACACTAGCACCCACTCATGACCACCTCGGCGACACTACAGGCTCTGTCTGCAGCAGCTACTCCAGCAGACAGGCTCCGCGCGCTCAAGGATCTCAAGAACTCTGTCATCGGCAACACATGGAAGAAGGTCGAGCACGCGAGTGACGATGCCCTCCTCCAACTGTACGTGCACGACCCTCCCGCGCTAACCGCAGCCTACTCACGCTTCTGGAGAATCCCGGCGACGACAGCGTGTCCGTGAACATCGTGTGCGAGACCGCGGTCATCTTTGGTGCCCTCGGCGCAGCCGGCGCCCTCACCCTCCGGCCCCTCTTGGCTGAAGGTGTGCCGCAGCGCCTTTTCGCACTGGTTCGAGACATCCCACCAGAGCAGCCGGGGGCAGCGCGCATGCTCGCGCCTGTGCTTAGGGCGTTGCGCAACATCCTCACCGCGACGGCAGACACTCTGTGGGGCCACAACTGGGGCGTGGGCGCCGAACAAAAGGTGGTGGGCACAGGGCTGGTCGGCGATGACGTCCTCCACCCCGCCCGTGTGCGGGGATCGGCGCGCGCGGCATCATGGCGGGCAGATGCGAGCACAGCGCTCGCGCTTGTTTTCGAGCCGGAAAACCGCGACGCGCTCCTCCTTCTCATCGAGGCGCAGCCCGAGCCTAATGTGCTCCTGCCCATCTACCAGCTGCTTGCCCGCCTGACGCAGCGGTCATCTCACCGCGCCGCGTTTGGCCTGCATAGTGCCGACGGCGCGGAGGTCCCAGCGTCTCTCGTCGACCACCTTCTCGAGACCGTCGTCGACTGGCGCACCCCCGGTCAGCGGCCCAACGCAAAGCTTCTTGAAGCAGCGCTGGACCTTCTCAGCGCGCTAGTCAAGGGCCAGCCCCGAATCTCCACCTACGTCCGCCAGTGGTCAGCAGGGCTCGACGTTGCAGCGGATGACGGCATCGCAGTGCCCGAAGTCGTTACAATACTCGGCGAGCTGCTGGAGACTGGGCCGCCCGGCGTGCGCATCGCTGTTACGGGATGGTGAGCAATGCCGTCTGGGACACAGCTGACAGCAGCTTAACGAACATTCTGAAGGCCGACAAGGGGCACCATGTGCGCGATCGCCTGAGCCTGAACCGGACGAACAACGAGCTCCTGAACGTCATCGTCAAGCTGCTCCGCACCGAGGCGATTGAGGAGCGCGTCAAACTCTGTTTTGTGCTTGCGGCACTCACGTCCGACGATGAGCGGCTACAGAAGATGGCCTACGAGGAGAACTGCCACACGCAGTTGATCGGCATGCTTGTCGAAGTCGACGGGGACGAGGAGCGCGGCGAGCTGGGCCATGACGCCGCGACGCGCATGCGCGAGGGCGCCCTCCTCGCCCTCGCCTCCCTGTGCTTCCAGTACGAGCCGACACGGCGCGCGATCGCCGATTCGCAGACATCAGTGCTGGAGCTCGTACGCGGCGCCCTGCGGCACCCCAGCTACGGCGTGCGCGCAGCCGCATGCCAGCTTGCCCGCGCGCTGTCGCGCACCGTCGCGATTTTGAAGACGTCCCTCGTCGACTCGGGTGTCGGCGAAGAGGTGATCGAAGCGCTGAAGCGCGAAGTTGCGCGGCGCAAAGCGGGCGGCGACGACGGGCCCTCTGACGGCGGGTTCGACGTCCTTCCCGAACAAGAAGTGGGCGAGCGCCAATTCACCGTCGAAGTCGCCGCCACCGCGACCATCTGTAACTTGATCGTGGAGTTTTCTCCGCTGCAAGCCAAAATCGCGGACCCGAAGAGCCTCGAGCTCCTCGCGGGCCTCACGACGGTGCCGTACGAGCCGCTGGTCGAGAATGCGCTCTGGGTGTTCAAGAACATCAGCTACCACGCGACGCAGCAGCTGAAGGACGACATTATGGCCGCGGTGGGGTGGGACGCGCTGCTGCGGCTCATGCGGGCGCCGACGCCGCCCTCGACGCGCGTGCAAGCCCTCGGCATCCTGCAGAACATGCTGGACAAAGCGTCGTCGTCGCAGCTCGCGCGCGTCGTTGACGCGCTCGGCCCCGACTTCTGGGGCCTCATGACCGACAGCCTCGGCGACGAGGGCGAGGTGCGCGTCGCCGCGCTCTACTGCCTCGGCAGCGTGGCGCTGGGCAACGAGCGCCTCCGGCGGCAGATCACGGAACGCGTGCGCCTCGTCGAGGCGCTCAGCGACGCGCTCGGCTCGCGCGACAGCTTGGTGTGCGTGCCCGCGCTGCGCGCGCTGCGGCATCTGCTCGAGAAGAGCGAGAAGGGCGACGGCTCGCGCTCGTGGCGGCCGCGCCAGGCCGTCGTCGACCTCTTGCAGCCATACCAGCTCAAAACGCGGTTGGGGGAGCTCGCGGAGGATTCGCCGAATGTCGGCGTGCGCAGAGACGCAGCCAATCTTCTCGAGCTGTTAGAGCGTGCTCGGGCGTAATGTGAGAGTGACAGTAAAGAGTATGAGGCGCGAGAGGAAGGGCGACATCCGACTCAATCTCTTGTTGTATGATTGTGTAATGTACATGATAATATGTCTTGATCTAGTAGCCGGCCGCGACGCCGTTCTTGCGGCTGTCGCTTGCGGCCCACACGCCCCGCTTGTCCACCACGACAGCCTGCACCTCGCTCGCGCCGACGTTGATGTCGAACTGGCCGATGTTGTGGCCCCGCTTCTTCAGCGCGGCGAGCCACGTCTTGTTCACGCCCTCCGGCCCGACCTCGAGCGTCGTGACGGGCGGAAGCACTTGGTCATGCAGGCGTGGGCGCTCGATCGCGGCACTAATGTCGTCCCCGCACGCGAGGTTGAGGAGCACCATCGCGACGGCGGGGAAGATGCGGCTGCCCCCGCTGCCGCCGAGCACGCCGACGACGCGCCCGTCCGGCGCATGCACGATCGTCGGCGCCGTGCTGCTCAACGGCCGCTTGCCCGGCGCGGGGTAGTTGTGGGGAGAGGGCGGCAAGCCGAAGGCGTCCGGCGCGCCGGGGACCGCGAAGTCGTCTTGCTCGTCGTTGAGGATGATGCCTGTTTTGGGGCACATGACGTGCGAGCCCCATATGAGGTTGACGGTGCTCGTGACGCTGGCGGCGCCGCCCCACTGGTCGATCACGCTCAAGTGTGTCGTGCCAGAGTCCGTGATCGGCTCCGTCTCGAGACCGTAGTATGCCGGCTCGTGCGTCGTGTTCGTGATCTTGGCGCGCTGGGCGTCGGCCCACGCCGGCGTCCGGAACTCGGCGAGGCGCGTGAGGTTGCGCGCGAAGCGCGGGTCGCAGACCTCGGAGCGCGCGCCGAACGCAAACTTCATCGCCTCGATCAGCTGGTGGCTCTGCTCTTCCCCGAAGCAGGCGGCGCCGCGTAGCGGCGCCAGCAGCGGGTCCATGATCTGCAGCATGCCGAGCATCACGCCGCCGCTGGCCGGCGCGTCGGCCGTGTACACTGTCTGGCCACGGAACTGTCCGCTGATCGCGGGATACACGTGCGCCTTGTATCCTGCGAGGTCGGCGTGTGTGAGGATGCCCCCGTCCTTCTTCACGGTCTCGACGATGTCGTCTGCGATCTCGCCGGAATACAGTGCGCCAGGGCCGTGCTTCGCAATCTTAGAGAGCGTATTCGCATACGTCGGACGAGAAATCCAGTCGCCCTCGACGAGCAAATCGCCGCGGGGCGCGTACACCGCCGCCCACACGGGGTCCTTGCGCATGAAGGCGCCAAAGATTCTCAGGCGCCGCGCGAGCTCACGGCTCACTTGCCATCCGCTGCGTGCGAGCTCCTCCACCGGCTCGACGAGCTCGTGCCATGCAAGCTTGCCGTACAGCTTGTGCGCCTCCTCCAGACCCCTCAGCTCGCCGGGTACACCGACGGCGAGCCCGCCGACCTGGGACGCGCCGCGCCCCGTCTTGGTGTACATCTCCGCGTGGGAGGCGGCGGGCGAGGTCTCGCGGAAGTCGATGGCAGTCACGCCCTTGTCCTTGAACTCGGAGTGGGGCGGGATCGAGACGAGCGCGAAGCCGCCCCCGCCGATGCCGGAGGAGAAGGCGTTCAATAGCCCGATGCAGAGGGTGGTGGTGATCGCCGCATCGACGGCCGTCCCGTTCCGCTGCAGTATCGCGAGGCCAAGATCGGAGCATGTCTTGTCCTCCGAGGCGACGGCGGCGCGGGATGGTCCGATGAGGTACGCAGGATTACGGGGGAGGCCGGTCGGCTGAGGTCAGCAGAGACATACATAGGTGGCAAATGGCCATACGACTAAGCCGTCGAGCTTGCTTCTCCGCTGAGAAGAGAAGCTCACTCGCACCACTCACAGGAGGCAACTTGTAGATCGGCGGCACCATTGGGCCCTTGTCCTCCCTCTTAGGCCGGTGCTGCCATCCCAGCACCGCGCCGGCGCCGAGGCCTACGCCGAGAAGCAGGAGCAGGGCATAGCTGAGCACCTGCTTCACGCGAGGCTTGCGCGTCCGCAGTGCGTCATTGCGGACCGCTGGGTGAGGCAGGAGCGGCGTCGTCTCCTGCGGCGGCATGGGTATAGTCTAGGTGGCAAGAGGTAGTGTGCGATGGCAAGGTTAGTTGCTGATGCAAGGGTTGGTGCTGCGCCGCGGGGTTGCCGGCAGGGCTAGAATTATTCATGATCGGCAAAGGCCGACGGCCTGTGCCTTGCTTCACGGAGCGAGGTGTCATCGTGACTGTTTGCAGGCGGGACGGCGAAGCGAGACGTTAGGCGAGCATGCTGGGAGGGCTGGCTGCATGCGTATGATACATATTGGAAGACGTGCGGAGGTGGCGGATGGCATCAGCCATGGCGTCCATGGCGCCCACTGGCATGCGCACGAGAGTATGGGTGAGTTAGTACCAGGCCGTGGCAACGAGGTAATACTAAATTCAAAGTAACATGGCATTCCTGCCTACTTAAGAACACTTAAATTGCTACAGTTACTAGGATTACTGTTAGGCCTTGAGCGCGTCCTGGACAGCGAGCTTGATGTCGCGCTTCTTCGCCTTGGGGACGTAGGCGTCGTCCTCGGGCCACTCGCCCTTGCCCCACTTGACCCGGACGGCGGCCGAGAGCGCTCCAAACGGTCCTGAGGCCTTTGCCGCGGCAGCACCCTCGTCGCCCCACTTCTCGATGGTGACCTTCTTGCCCGCCTCCTCAAGGGCGGCGGCGATCTCCTTGCCAGTCGCGGCGTACTCGACGACCGTGTACGTCTTGTCCAACTTGGGGAGCTGGACGATCTCGGCGACAGCAGCGCCGATGTACCCGGGCGAGGTGATGGAGATAGGCTTGTTCTCGGCACCGGGGTACAGCGAAAGCGTGCCGGTCTTGAGGTCGATGCCGGAGAAGGGAGTGAGGAGGAAGGGCTCGAAGATACCATTGTGCACGGTGGTGAGGGGGAGGCCAAGCTCGATCGCGCGAGCATTGATCGCTTCCTTGGCCTCGATGAGGGGCACACCCTCGCTCTCCTCGGGCGTGTAGTTGAGCGAGAAGTCCGAGGGGAGGTACGCGCGAAGCGGGGTGGGAAGAGTGGCGAGGTGGCCGACGAAGGCGAGTTCAGTAGCGACATCAGTCTTGCCGGTCGCGTTGACGAGGACGTCAATGCCCTTGAGAGCCTTGTGGATGTCCGACTCGGAGCCGGCGAGGTCCAGCACGCGGGTCTCGGTCTTGCCGACGTCGAGCTTGGAGGTCGGGCGGTGGAGGACCACGAGCTTGATGTTGTCCTGGGAGGAGAGGGCCGAGAAGAGGGCCGAGCCGAGAAGGCCAGAGGCGCCGATGAGGCCGACGGTGGTGCTAGCGTTCGTCATGTTGCGCTGGTTGTTGATCTTTGATTGTTGATCGTTAACAAGGTTGGTGGCCTGCTGGAGGAGGACTGTCGAGGAGAGCTTGTCTGTTGATGGGTTGAGAACATCGTGCTCCTGTTATTTATACCGCTCAGAACGACATGTGACCAGCTAGCCTTGCATGCCATCTTGCACGACGAGGCCGCTGTTGTACTCTGTCCTGCGTGCTTACCACGGACATCAGTCAGCCTCGTCATTCCTCGTCATGGTGGTTAGCGACGTTGTGCGCGTTGCGGGATTAGAGGGACATGCGGGACTGCGCGTGTCGTAATCTGCTCGCCTTATTCAGCAGCAGCGACGTTTGATGTGCTGATAGGTCCATACCCCAGCCCGAGTTATCAATCGTGCCTAATTCGGCATTCATCATTCATGTCCTGTGAGACAACGATCTTGCTCGCAAACGTCGCGATATGGCCGCGCTGTGCGACATGCGGTCTCTTTGCTGGCGACCACTGTATTTTGCGCAACCCAACGGAGAGGAGCTGATGTAAGAAGACTGCGGACATCGATGCTGCTGACTTGAGCGCGCTCGAAATGGAAAACGCTGAGGTCTCCGACGGCGACGTTTGAGGCGTCAAGAAACGGCTATGGCGCGATCGGGGTGCCTGCCTTCCGGGGTGATATCAGCATTTGTGTAAGCAGACGTGAGATGCGGGCAGTAATCTCGGGAACAGCACGGCGCTTGCCATGAAATGGCCGCTGTGCTTCGCTTGCAGAAAGCGCTTTAGAACCGGGTCGCCGACGGCCACCATGAACACTTGTACTTGTGCCAAGTCATCGGATGGTCAGCATGGAAGAGCATGCCGCCCTCAGCATGAGCATGAGCGGGACCTCGCCTCTGATCTTGAATGGCACCGTTGAGAGATTGCAGTCTTGATGTTCAGCTCACGGCATTGATGAAGTCATCTGGATTGTGATGGAAGGTCTCGGAGGCGGACATCTCGGACACTCGATACATAGGTACAGAACGAACATGATGCGCCACTGCGAGCAACATTCCTGGTGGGGCGCCGTGGGGAGTGCTGGGATCGGCGGTGGTAGGCGGGTTCAGAAAGTGGAGAAAGAGCATGAACGTATATGGAAGACAGTTGCGAAGAAGAGATGGAGCAAGTTGAGCACTGGATGAGTGATGGGAGAGGCAACGCTGCGATGAGATGATGAGAGCAACAGCATTGGAGATGAGAAACGCAGGTGAGCTCAAGATGGCTCACTGTACAGTAGTGGGAGACCAAATAAAGTCTGACATTCCGTCACACCCATCGATCGCCGCCGCTATCTCTCACTCGCATCGCCTCAACCCCATCATCACAATCACACACTTTCACATGCTATCATGGCGCCGGCCTACCATGCAGGCCCGGCGCCTGCCGGCAACAGCAAGCCCTCGAGCAAGCGTACCTCCACCGCGTCCTTAATGAGCGCGCTGTCGCGCGGCTCGCGTGGCTCAGAGCTCGCAGACTCCGCTAATGAATGGGGCGTCGGCACCACCCTCAACGATGAGCCCAGCACCCTCTCCAGTCCACCCAGCCTTTCTAAATCGCTACCTGGGCAGTCGGGCGACAGGTCGCGCTCGGCCACGGTCAGCTCAGTCGATATCCCCCGAGTCATGTCGCCCGTTTCCATGTCCAAGGGGAGCGTGAGCCGGCATCAGTCGACCAAGAGCCGCGTGGACGTGATGCCCAGCATGCAAGAGGGCGTTGTATCGGACCTACCTGACACAAGGACGAGGCCGAGGGGGCTCACCGAGTCAGCAGTGGGCTACACGCCCGCCGTCGTGCCCCGTAAGCCCTCCCTCCCCGTCCCCACCTCAGTCTTCGATCCAGCCTTCGCCCCTGCCCCTTCCCTCTCCGCCCCGGCTCGTCCAACCACTCGCCCAACCTTTCCACCAGGCAATGCGTCCAGCCCGCCAGACTTCCGCCCCATCCTGGCAAGCGGCCCCTCTCCGGGGTCGAGCACGGCGTCATCCTCCCGATCCAAGCCTCAGCTACGCCTCTCCACACAAGAGCTGCCTCCGCCTACCAAAGAGGACAAGCCGCCCCTCAGCCCGGGTATGAAGCACTGGAAGCAGGTCCGACAGCATGTCTTGACGGCCCCGTCGCCTATTGAGCCTCCCAAGTCCAAGCGCGGCATTGTGTCCCGAACGGCGGGGCGATTCGGCTTCCGCTCGGTTGTCGAGAACGTCCTCGGATACGACCGGAGACGCGGGAGCACATACGGCGCCTTCCCAGTAGACATGACAGAAGAGGAGAGGGAGGAGGCAAGTAGAGAGCGGCGGAGATTCGCTCGCGCAGTCAAGACATGTCTCGACGATTGTGCGGCTGAGGAAAGCGCGCGCCGCTTGCGCCGTCTGGCCGCTGCGGGTGGCCACACTGTTCCAGCTCCTCAGACATCGAAACCCAAGAGCACTCATCACAGCGCGCACGGCGGACGCTCGGGCAGCGTGCATTCCACAAACTTGCTCGAGGATGACGGCGTCAGTGCTTTCTACCCTCTGCTCTCTGCTCTGGTCAAGTTTGGCGTCGACGCCAAGGCCAAGCGCGTGTGGTCGCGCACGTGTCCTCACCATGCTGCAATCCTTGCCGAACTCGAAACCGCATTCCTTCCCGACTCAGCGAGCCGCGTTGGTGAGCGCGCCCAAGCGTTGCAGGTCTATTTCACCATTGTGTCGCACTGGAGCACGGACAGCGAGGACGACGAGCTCGACCGCTGGCTATGGCTGTGCCGCGCAATGCTCCTCGACGACCGTCCGTCGCGCGAGCGCGGATTGCACCTCCTTGCCCTCATGCTGCGCGGCGACTCGTCCATTCCAGAGGCCCTCGTGCGTCCGGCGAGTGCGCTCGACTTCGAAAGCGTGGTGATTGCACTACTGAAGTTGCTCTATGCGCTAGAGAACTCGAGCTACGCCAGCGACGACCACCAAGCAATCGTATGGGACCTGCTCGCATTCATGGGGGAGGGCGACATCGTCGCCGTTGAGCCCGAGTCGGTGCTTCCCTTCATAGATGACGACCATCTTACCATCCGCAATGCCGAACATGAGCTGCTCTGGTTGGCGGCCGCTAAAGCTATTGCAGCTGATAGACATGTCGGCATATGGCTGCTCGACTGCAACGCCTCAGTGCTGCGGCGCTTTACACCGCCTCCCGTGTTGCCAGGTATGCCCGAGTTCGCGCGCAAGCTCCGCATGCTGGCGAGCAAGACCTTCATGTCCTCTTTTGTGGCGCTTGTGCGCGACGTCGACGACGAGGACGTCTTAATGGCCGGCGCAGAACTGGCAAAGGAAATCTTCGACGAGGCTTTGGCTCTCCCCGAGCGCGCTGGTATCGAGGCTGCGTATGCGCTGGTCTTACTGGCGCTAGACTGTGCCTCTGATGTCCAGGAGTCGCGGTATGCGGAGGAGCTTAGATCGCTCCTCACCGAGTACAAGGACATCGCACCCTCCGTCGCAGTGGCTTTTGTCTCATCCTTCCCGGCGGCGCAGGTGATGAAGGCCACCCGCGCATTCCTCCAGACAGATATGCCACTGGGAAGAGCTTGCATCCAACCTCTTCTCGAGCGCCTCTCGACCCTCCCACCGAGTTCAGAGGCGCGCGCTTTTCTAGCATGGCTGGCGACAGCCCATCCAAAGCTTTTCTACAAGCCTCTCTTCACCTGCGCCGCAGCTGCGCATGCTGAGTCCTTAGCCAAGCCGCTCCGGATCGCTGTGGCTCTGGCCGAGCAGCTTGGATCCGAGGCGTTTTGGATATGTGCCGATCCTCAGATGATCGCCATCGTGCTCGGCGACATGTCTGGCGGCAAAGGCAACGGCAAAGCTGGTTCGTCTTTTGCCAACGTCAAGCTGGGTCGGTATGCGCTACTCGTCGAGCTCATCATCGCTCTCAAGGGTGTGAAAGGCCCGCAGCTCGCCGTATTCGCGCAGGGACTCGAGACCCGTCTCGGCGCGATGCTCGAGCACGAAGAGCGTAGTGGGACTTTGCCACCGGTTTATCGCAGCCTCGTTGCGCAGATGATTGGCACTCTCCGTGTCGGCTCGGGCCTCATCAAACGCACGTCAGCCACCCGCCTTGCCGTGCAATGGTACACCTCCCGGACGTGGCGCGCCACCGCGCACGCCCCAGAGACGAGCCAGATCGACTCGCTTGTCCGCTTGTACAAGCCAGACCCGGAGGCCGCGGCTCAGAACGCCCCCCGCGTGGCATGCCTCAATCTTCCACTCACCGATGCGCTCCCTACCCTCCTCGTCACTGTGCAGGCGAGCCTAGGGTCTGAGGAATGGGGTGCCCTCCTCCCAATCGTCTGGGAAAGGTACGCCCGGCGCGGCCAGCCCGTCGATCAGCTCACGTTCCTCTTGATGAAGTGTGCTGAGGCTGCCCGGGGAGGCCTGCGCAACCTCGTCCAGACCGAACTGTACAACGCTGGGCCCAGTGTGCGCTCCTACGCCCTCCTCAAGCTGGCAATGCTCTACGGGTACCGCTTTCAGGTGTACACGCAGGAAACAATCACTGACAAGCGCGGCCTCAACTTCCGCTTCCCTCATCGACAACTCGAATTTGTCGTTGCAGATATGGGATCCCAGGCGTGGGTCACGCCGCGTGATGCGCAGGACGCCGCGCTGCAGAAGTACGGGCGTGCTCTGCCGCTCGAGCTGCGCCAACGCCTCATGGAGCTCGGATGGACTGAAGACGAGGAAATGACGGCCAACGACATTGAGCGCATGCCCGTCACGGCAGTGCCGCCAACCGGCAAGGGTAGCGTGGCGGCCGAGCTGAAGCACACCACTGTTCCGATCGTGAAGCGCAAGGGCTCGAACTCATCCCTCCACTCCAACAGTGCCAAGGTGCACCGTGCCGTCGTCCCTCCAGACTTGGTGACGATCGTCATCGATCAGGCACGTCAGCTCGCCACAGCTGATGATATCGGCGTTGAGCTGCTCTCCAAGGAGCTTGTGCGGATGTTCGAGCGCGACGACGCGACTCTCTTCATGCGGCCCGTGTCCGAGGAGCTCCCGCATGATATCGGAAACGCCCTGCTGCGCGTTAACGGCGTCATCGCCCAGCCGACACCCGGCTTCGCGCACGCGGCACTCAATGCGCTTACCGGCTTTCTAAAGACTGCGGTGCGCAAGGATCCCAAGTTTCCACACTGGGCTCCGCTGCTGGGCACGATCGCGCGCCTCATTCCCTCCGTGTGCGAGATCTCGTTGCGTGACATCCGAAAGACCAAGTCCGAGCACGTGCTCCTCCCCGCGTCGATTTATGAGACAGAGGGCGGCTTCAAGCTCCACAGGCCCTGGCAGGAGGACGTGCTTCTTGACGTGCAGGCAGCACAGCTCATCTTACTGTCTGCGATGCTGCGCGCCAACCCGCGCGACGTATACCTCGTCAAGAAGATGCTCTTCAACCTTCAGGTGCAGGAGAGCATGCGATACCTTCCTTTTGCGCGTGCGTGGGTCGAGCTCATCGTCGATCTGTTCACGACGGTCAACAGCAACTACAACGACCGCGCAGAGCTGCGCCACTTCCTGTACAATATCACCGCCGTTCTGACCCTGCACAGTTCAGACATGATCGTCGTTGCGCACGGGATGCGTGCGCTCGCGCTCTGCGCCACCCGGTTCAGGCGAGTGTTCGCCAGCATCGGCTTCGTGAGCATTATGCCGCCCGTGTACGCTGTGTATGTGCACGGGCATGGGGGCATCAGGGATGCGGTCGAGTATGCTTGCCGCTCTTTCTACCGGATTCACCAGGACGTGTTTGTGTACCAGCTCTGCCTCGCGTTATCCGAGCATACGCATGAGGACACGTTCGACGCCCGCGCAGCGTACAATCTCCTGGCCGTCCTCTCTGCGGATGACCCGGCGTCTGGTGTGCCAAGTGGCATCCGCGACCTGAACTGGAAGTATGAGGTCGAGGCACTGCTCCAAATGCAGGTAGGCGGTGCAGAGGTGTCTCTCTCGGAGCTCCGCACCGATATGGCTCAGGAGGCGCGCCTCGCCCACCTCAGCCTCCAGCCCGCCCTCTTCCCGACGGACAACATCGTACGCCTGTTGGTGACAGTGATCGCGGTGAATGCCGCCAGCAAGCGAGGGATTCGTCTGATGGGCCTTTTCGCCAAGCTCGCGCTGCATCTTCAACGATCTGCCGATGCAAAAGGCCGCGGGCTCCTCGCTGAGGCTATCGATGTCCTCGGTCGTTTCATCCAACGCATGCGCGCGAGCGACGACACCTTCCTCCAGCGCCTTGTGCCCGGCGACGATGCCGGCGGGACCGACTGGCATAGCGCACGCGGTGCATACGTGGACCTAGTGGACGCATTTACAGCCTCGGGCGGAGCGATAAGTGTCAACGCCACCCGTCGCTTCCTCGACATTGTGCTGCAGGTCCTCATCGATGGCAGGAATGCCAGCATATCTCGGATACTTGGCGCGCTGGCGCGCGCACATCTGTCGGGCGAGTCGTCCTTCCTGGCCGACCTCGTCCCTGCCTATCGCCAGCGTATCGCGAGTGTGGATTTTAGCGGCGTGCTGGAGGCCATTTCTGCCCTCATTAAGCAAAGCAGCTTCCGCCTCCCCATTTCCACGGCTCGACTCGTAGTGGACGACTACATCGGCCCCGCGCTTCGCATGCTGGCACTGGCGTCAGATGAATCGATGGCCTTCGTCGTGCCCCTCCGACGGGCGACCGTTGAGCTTTTGAGCCTCGCCGTCTTCCTGCCAGGCGTGGACGCGCTTCACGCCCTCGAGCGTGTGCCTGTGTCAGCAGGGTTGCTAGCCGGCGTTGTCCTTCCGCTTGTCCTCCAACTTGAGCCGCCGCCGGATAGAGAGTATGCTGGCCTGTGGGTCCGTATCCTCCGCCTCTCTTTGCGGCCGCCGCGTGGTCCTCCGCTAGCCCAAGCCGCCCAGGCGGCCCTGGCACTTCAGATAGTCAAGATCGCAGCGGTGCGTGTGCCGGACGCCATCTCGGGCGAACGCGGCCTCTGGACATACCTTGCGACATACGCCCGGTCTGCCGTGGACGGTGGTTCCGGCCACTTCTTCACCCGTACGACGCCGCGACTCATCGATTGGATGATGTGGTCCCTCTTCGAGTTGCTCTCGCTCTATCGCTCCCCGTTAGCCTTGGCGCTGCGGCTGCGGATCCAGACAGCCTTGGCCGCCGTCTCAGACGAACGGGACGCCAACTCCTCCCGCCCCTCCACGGCCGGAACGAGCGGTAGCGCCCACGCACCAACGCCTCGATCTCTGTCAGGCCTGGTCCGCCGCCCGTCAGCGCGCATACCGAGCTCGTCTTCGAATCTGAGCCCGCTCGCAGCCCGCGTCACCAGTAACACGCTTGCCGCGGTCCCGGAGAATGCGAGCACGCTCTCACCTGGCTCGCCGCTCCTCGGGTCGCCCAACCCATCTCTAGGCGTCTCAGCCCCCTCCACACCGACCCACCACCGCTCCCTCTCCGCAGCCTCCGCAGCCTCCGCGGCCTCAGCCACCTCGGCTACCTCAGCCATGTCGGGCGGCAGCACGTACTCGGACATATCCCTCTCCTCACCCAACCCGTCCCGCGCCCCGAACCTCTCCACAGCAGGCTCGCGCCGGTCCCTCGCCCCCGTCAAGCCCTTCACGACGATCTCGGCGCGCCGCGCCTCCCGGCCGACGTTCGATGCATTTGAGCGCCGTTTCTCTGCCGCCCCGCGCCCCGCCGACCGAGGCACCATCGTGCATCTTCTCGGCCCGGCATCCGTGGCTGCTGCGACGGCGACAGGCTCAGGTCCCGCAGCGCTGGCTCTCGCGGCGGGCGATCCGCGCCGCGAGGCGCTCCGCTCACGCTTGCGAAGTGACGTGTTAGCCGACGCCACGCGCCGCGGTCTGCTCGCCACCCTAGTCGTTTACGGGTACGAGGTCGAGGAGGAGGTCGAGGTCCACGCGTGGAACGCGCCGGACGCACTATACGCGATCACGGATCAGACGCGCGCGCTTGTCGAAGACGAGCTGAGCGACGTTTTCAATCCCCCCAACCGCAACCGGATGAGTCGGGCTGACCTCGACGCCGCAACCGAGAGGGCCGAGGAGGACGACGGGACAGCGTCCAAGCGCTCGAGCTATGTACACCCATGGGAGGAGAACCAGGACCTCCCGGCACTCAGCTACACCCTCAACCACGGTTTCGAGGAAGGAGGGTACTCGCTCACGACTGAGTCGCCCCGAAACTCCCTCGAGCCTGGACATCGGCGCACGCCGTCGCGTGAGATACCCACTGTGGCGATATCACTGGCCTGATCGCCTGATACCCTGCATGCCCATACCGCACAGATGACTTGTACATGACATGATATGTATATGGTGGACTAGGCCAGCTGTTTACGGCTTGGAACATGCAGACTGAGGAGTGGACGAGTATTGAGGCGAGGGTGTGGATTGTATCTCATGTGCGACGCGCCTGTGTCGTATTCTGGGGGGCCTTGATTGTAGGTGCTTAGGTCAGCACATAGCGGTGAGTGACGATTGTGTATTACCTTTGAGCTTTTGACTCGTCGCGTCCTTTGTGCGCTTTCTGACATCAGCTGGGTATCGAACACAGCTCTCAGGCCTACGGTACCGTGGTCTCGCTCTCGTCAACTGGAAGCATCCTTACAGGCTTGCCGAGGCGACGCTTCCCCTTGAGAGGGGGTGGTTTGTTCGGCGTATCCGTCTCGCCCCTGGCCTCGGCGGGTGCAGTTGAGAGGGCCTAAAGTCAGCACGAGGCTTGACAAGTACTCCACCTTGATGTCCCGCCCGCGCCTGTAGCCGAGGGCCTGTGGACCAACTGTACGATGGACTTCTGCACCAACAGCCGCGCCGTTACCGTGCCCGACGCCTACCACTTTGAGGGTTTTGGGCAGTTCGTTCTCCTTGTTGTTGTCAAGAATCCGGGAGGGTTTCAGCACGGTTCGATTCTGAGGAGGCGTGAGCGGAATGGGGCGAGGAAGCTTGGGGGTGATAGCCTGTGTTCAGCTCGAAACGGTTAGCACCTACCATTGGAGTGAGGTGGATCTCACGGAGCCCGATTTTACGCCGGTTTCGAGGTAACCCTGGCGTGAGGACTTGTAATTGCAAGAAGAGCTTACCGGACCCATGGCCCTCGTCAATGACGGGCGGGAACATGTCGACCCAGTCCTTGACCTCGCGGTTTAGCTCGTACTTGGTAAGCATTGAGGCCCAGCGCTGCTGCCAATGCGGGTGGCGACCATAGATCTTCTGTTCCAGCGTCTGAGGATTCTGAGGAATGCGAAATCTACCTGCTTGCTGCGCGAGGAAGCAGACATCCATGAGGACGTTGTGAGAGACAGGCTTCTTGATGTTCCAGTCCAGGCGAGTCCGAGAGTTGACGCGGATATCATAAGCTGGTAGATCATGCGGATCGAGAAATAATGGGTGTGTAAGGACGTCCTGGATCTAGAGTAAGCGGTGACGAGGACAATCCTCACTGTCCAGCGCGAATCTGGATCGCGGTGCAGCATCCCCCGGATGACTTCAGCGATGCCACCTTCGCGCAAGTGCTCCTGACTCCAATGCCATGTAGGCTTTCCGTAAAGAATATTCTGCTTGAGCTCTTCCGAGGTGCACCTATCACCTTTGACGTAGGGATGAGGGTAGCGAAACAGCTTGCAGAGGATGATGCCGAGCGACCACACCTCACTAGCGAATGGATCGTACCTCAGGTCCTGCGATCAGCTGATGGTGTTTATGAGCGTGCTTACCGCCACCTTCTCCGGGCTTGAGTAATCAACAGTGCCGCCAAAGCTCTTGACCTTTCCTCCTTTAGGGAGAAACTGTGAGAACCCAAAGTCCGCCAAAATGGGAAGAACCTTGCCGCTCTCCTTGAAAAAAAGAATGTTGCCGCGCTTGATATCCTCGTGGCTCACGCCCAAAAGATGAAGCGACTCGACAGTGCGGAGGAGCGCGCGAAAGAACGGAATGACAGCAGCACCTTTGACGGTGTCCCGATTCTTGCTGAGATCACCTTCGTAGCACTTCATGAAGACGTATCTGAGGTGAGCTCGCCTAAAGAAGGCACGAGACTCACGTCCAGCCATCCTCTTCCATCATGCCGTCCAGCTGAACGACGCCACTGATACCAGCACCGCCAAACGCCTTAAGAAGGACGATTTCTTTGTAGGCTTCGCACGCGTCGAGGGTCTTGTCTCGTGTGAGGGGAACACCCGGGATATGAAGGGCGGGAAGGATCTTGCACGCGAGCACCTGTCGAGTCTCTCGATGGGTAGCCTCACGTACATGCGCTGTGATGAGGCGGTGGCATGCTAACGCTGCTTACCATAGGCCCCTCGGCCGATTGTGCGTCCCAGATCATACTCACCGATGCGCGACAGCCGGCCACGGGGGGTATCCCACGCGTTCATTTTGGGGCGCAGTGTCTTGAGGGGGAGAAGAGGAAGGGGGGTGGGGGTGAGCTGATGAGGATGAATCTGGTTCGCTTATGCTTCAGCAGTAGAGTACTTCGCTGGTAAGATGATGAGTGTGTATCGTTGTCTGTTGGCAAGAGAGTATTCGAAGCTGAGACGAATGAGCAGGATAAAAGAAAGAGAGAGCGAAAGAGAGTCAATATATCGTTCGAGAAAGACAGAGAGAAGGGCAGAGTGGAGAGCCTCTCGCAGTCTCCAGGTGCGAGACTGCCTTCCTCTTCACAGTCGATCGAGCCGATAGCTTGTTTATTTCTCGTACTGTTGTACATCTACTGTACACGTCAAGATCAGCCTCTACTCCCATCCCATCGCCCCCCGTCCTCTATGCCTTGATCTCACTCGAGGTCGCTATCGCCTCCGCGTCACCCCGTCCTGCCGCCAACTTCGCTTTCCTTTCCATCGCAGCTGCTGCTCTCCGCGCGCGCCAACGCGGCCCATACCGCACCACAATCAGCGGCAATGGAGTCACAAGGAGGCATAACCCGTTGAGGAGAACGAACATCCACCCGGCACCAATCTCGCGGTTGATGATCTGGACCGTGCCGACGTACGCCGCGCCGATGAGGCATCGCGTAAAGTTGAACTGGTGTGAGTATCGTCTGCCTGTTCAATTGCAACTCTATCGTAACCGGCGTTCTTCCGGTCACGTTTTCCATGTGCTTCGCCTCGCCGCCGTTGTCTCAAACCGATACCCGCCCGCCCTCAGGTAACTCACCGACGCAGTGACTGCCCCGCCCTTGCCCGGCATTAGGTCGACGCTGTAGATTTTCGTCGTTGTCAAGAAGCCGTTGCCGACCCCGAACACGAAGGTGAGAATGATGGGCACAGACACATGCACTCGCTTCTCCATTGTCCAACCCAGAGCGAGCGACGAGCTGATCATGAGGGCTGCGTGCACGGGCAGGATCATCAAGCGGGTGCGCTCAAGACGAAACTCTGGACAGTCGCGATAGTCGCCGCCGACTCGCGCTTTCTCCGCGAGGTACAGCCGGTCCATGATGCTGCCTGTCCAAACGCTGCTGATCGCGATTCCAGCGCCCTGTGAACTATCATCAGCAATGCTCCCCTTCCACAGCATAGATCAGCTCACATGTAGCAAACACCGATCATCACCTCGCCAAAACCGTAGTACTCCTTCAACAGTGTTGAGAACATTGTCCTGGGGTAAGCTACGCCGTCGTCCCCGTTTAATCGCTCACAGGACGGAGTAGTATAGTGAATAATACACACTTCCCCACAGGAGCATAAGGAGAAGATCGGGCTCCTTGAGTAGCAAGAAGCTTGTGAGTGGGTTGTACCGCCCATACGCTACAGCCTTTGTCGTCTCGCCAGCCTTCTTCGCCTTTTTGTGTTGGATGGCCTGTGCCGGTGTGCGATTGAGTCGAGGAGGGGTGCCGCTCCCGTCCCCAACGAGCGCGCGCAATGTCTCAGGCATAAACAGAATCATCGGCGCGAGAATGACGCAACCCATGATTGTGAGGAACCAGAAGATTGAGCGCCATCCCAGTGTACCGGCCAGCACACCACCAAGAAGCGGGCCTAAGCTCGGCCCAACGTTCATGGTGACATTGAACAAGCCGAAATACTTGCCCCGTTCTTGCGGCCTTGCAACGTCGCTGATGACGCCAGAGCCCACGGCGATGGTGGCACTCGCGCCTGAAGCTGCCACGATCCGCATGAGGAGGAGCAGCCAGTACGCATTTGTCGGACACAATGCAGTGACGATGGAGGAGACGACGAAGATTCCGAGTGTGGGGATGTAGATGGGCCGCCGTCCGTACGTGTCCGCCGCGGCGCCCCAGAATGCCGGCGTGATCCCCTGGAAGACCATGAACAAGGTGATCAGAAGATTGATCTTCTCTGGCGACACGCTGAACGCGTTGACGAGCATCGGGATGGCGGGCACGAAGATGTTCGTAGATATGGGTCTAGATCAGCGCCATCTGCCGCGAGGGGCTGTGCTTACGAGCAAATGGACCCGAGGGCAGCAAGTGTGATGATGAACCACTTTGTGTGCTCCGAGAAGGCGCTGAACGGCTTCTCGGCACGCGGTTCCGACCCCTCGGATACTGAGATGGGCGGGTCATGATCGTCGAGCGGCTCTCCGCGCTGCTTTTCGATATCGAGAGTCGTCATGGCGCGACATGAGGTGATGTGAGCGACGGAAGAGTTTAAAAGTCGGTGAGAACGCCAGGTATGTCAGCATCGCGAGGCTTCTGTATCGGCATCAAGTGGCCGGAGGAGCATAATCGGTCATCTGCGATGGGTGGCGGGCATGGTCGGCCGAGCGTGCCGAGCACCTTGATTACCTGCTGTTGCCGCTGTTGTCGCCGTCACAGTTGCGAGTTTCAACACGATTACCATGAGGGAGTAGTGCTAAAAATATGGCGCGTCAGCCAACACCGAACCGCCTCCGACCCGGAGCCTCGAGCATCGGCGATGAGCACAGACGAAACGCGCAACCATGATGTCAGACCCGTGGCTAAGCGAGCTCGCTACTGTCGGTCGAATATTTCCACGCCGACAAGATGTTCGCTCGTTGTGCAATGCATGCTAGTCTAAATTCTCGGCTCTATGACCTAGAGAGGAGGCCCGCGAGCCAGCGCGCCTCCGCCTCCATCTCCTCGATGTTGCGTGGCCGCCGCTCCTCGTCCTTCGGCACCTGCCACCCGTTCGCGCGCCGCCGCTTAGCCGCCTCCACTGCAGCTTCTACGGCGCCGGCGCCGGTGCCGGCGCTGTCGCTCACGCTGCGGTGACGTACCAGGTCGGCGTTCAGGTCTCTCTCGGCCCCTTCAAGCGCTGGGTAGACGTTGTCGGGCTCCCCACCGAAGTCGGAGCGGAGGCGTGGGATGATGTGTACGTGGACGTGGGGGACGGATTGGCCGGCAGAGGCGCCATCCTGCGGTCAGCTACGAGCCCGGAGCATGAGATTTGGTGAGGGGGAAGAGGACGGGGAAGGGGGGCACAGGAGAGAGGGGAGGGAAGTGGGCTCTGAAGGCGGAGGAGGGAGAGAATGCGTACCTGCACAGCGATGTTGAGCGCCTCGGCCTCGTACGCCTTCTCAACCATGTGGCCGACGCGCTGCACGCATTGGAAGAGGTCGGAGACCTCGGCGTGGTCCAAGTCCACCAGGCGGGGGACGACGCGTTTCGAGATGATCAGGACATCTTACTGTTAGGATAACCTTGGACGCGAGAATGGAGAGACGGATTGGTGTGGCGGCCTCTCGAGCCGCACAAACTCACGGCCAGGTCTAAGCGGCTTGAGATTAACGATGCCGAGAGAGAGTGGGGTCTCGAAGAAGACTAGACAGGGTCAACGATCAACGAGCTGGCGACAACGCTGCCGGCTGCGGGACATGAAGACACGTGAGACACACCTTGGCGGGTCACATCGAAGACGGAGAACAAGTGCCGTGCCGCCATCTCCTTCGAACGGCAATGCAGGATAATATCAGTTCGTTTGTTGTTGAGCGCGACGGTCGGTCATTGATCTCGGAGCAGTATGAGCGGAGGGGCGGAGGTCGGGAGAGATCTCCGGCCACGTGGTGCTCTCTCGGACATGGATCTCCGTGACCTCCACTCTGACATGTTGGGTGAGACGGCTGTGAGAGGGTTGTGTACGAGCTCAGTCGGCTCTCATTGTCTCACTTGTCCATCAACACTCGACCAGCACCTCCAGCGACCTTGCCTTGTCTCGTGTTCTCTCTCCATCCAGCTTCCATACGCTCAGAAGCGGAAGGGAGCTGACGCCCAACTACTCCCTCCTCTTCTCCGCACCCCGCACAACTATTCCGCACTATGCGCACATACTCAGACTCCGAGCGGTCGAATGGCGGCGCATCCCCTGCAAGCCTCGCAGACAGCGAGGACTTTGAATTCATCCTCATGCCGGCCCTCTCGGCGTCGAGTGGCGTGCTCTCGGTTGGGCGCAGCGAGCCTACGGTGTCCAGTGGCATACTATCGATATCGAGCGTGTCGCCCGTGTCCAGCGGCATACTCTCGGTCAACTCAAGCACGGCGCCGGTCTCAAGCGGCGTGCTCTCGCTCGAGTCTAGTCTTGCGGCCCTTGCCCTCAGTGAGAGCGGTGAGGGCGGGCTGCACTCGTTTTCCCGCCGTGCCCCGAGTTCCATTGTCGCCAACGCCTCTAGTTTGGGGGGCGCAAGCTCCCGCGCAACGTCACACTACGAAGACGATGACAGCGACAGCGACAGATTCGACGACGACAGCGCGCGAACCCGCCGTCGTAGTCATACTACTGTCCCGACACACGGGCAGAGCATCGTGAGCGCGTCGGATGCTCGTGAATCGATCGACAGGTACGTATGCTTGCACAGCCACCCAGATTGGACCTCATGACAGCTTCCTCAACGACCCAGAGTTCACCAGTGACGTGTCAAACAAGCTGCGTCTGTACCAGGCGCTGTGCATCGAGGTCAGTCTTCGCTGTCCTGTGCCTCTGACAACAGTTGGGTCTCGTCGAACTAGAGGACACGGAAACCCCGGCACGGTCCTCCTCTTCAAGAAAAAGCCAAGTTACACGCGGCAGCTACTCGGACAGCGACGATGATGTGACCCCCACGGCGTCGCGCTCCACTACCCCCATGCCCGCGCTCCCGCCTCTTCCGACGTCTATCAAAGCCGCGGACCGCCTGCTACGCGCACGCGGACACGTCAACATTATCGAGTATCTCGAGGCGCGCAACGACCGCACCCGCCGCCACGAGGACTCGGTGGGCAAGTATGCCGACTTGGTGTATTCGAGTGCGAGTGCTCTGCAGCGCGCTCTGCGTCGCGAGGGCAAGTATGCGAGGCTCGGCGACGTCAAGCGCGAGTGGCTCCAGCCGCTGCTCAAGGACTTTGGCTTCCGCCGTCGCCGAGAGAGTCGCGGGTAGTGATGCGGTGCAAAGGGGAGGAGGAGTGCAGCAACGGTGCGACGATCTAAGCCTCGGCACGACACATTTGTACAATTTGCCCAATTGCCCTGTGGCCTTGCTGAATTGCTGGTAGATGTTGTACAATCTTCATTGTGAATTTGTTTATGTTATCACGATATGCCGACAACCCGCCGTCACCTCGTCATTCAGACTGTCACTGGTGACATACATACGTGACTGCCTGCTGCGGCACCGCATGGCTCACTGCCCGCTGGGATGGAATTCCCCCTTGGACCCGCGGAGCGTAGCACGAGAGCGACACCCCGCACAGGGATCCGTGGCCCGGGCGCGAATGTGCCAGCGCCAGATGGTGGATTACGCTCTGTCCGCGGCCTCGGTGCACGTTGTGACTGGGTGCATAGGTCGCGCGGCGAGCGTAAAACTCTCTGCACTGCTCACCAGAAGCAACTCTCCTCGCCATCGCGCGTTGCTCGACTCGCACTCTTGGATTTGCACTGTCTGTACACGTCTAATGGTGGCCGTCAAGTCCACTGCTCAGCCGTATGGACCTCTACCAAACCTCCTCTCGCATCCCAGCTGGTCTGCGCATCCATCACCTGTGCCCCTCGCGCATCTCTCCCTTAGCTTGCGAGGTGCGAGATACACACGGGGGACATCATGTGCCACAAGTCACAGATCACAGACGGGCGGCATCTTCCTTTATTAGCTGCGGATAAATACGTGACAGTGTCACCTCTTGCCTCTTCTCTACACTCTTCAGCTTTACTTATTCTCATCAGCTCTTCCATTGCCATCCCTTAACATCACCATGTCCACTTCTCAGGTTGATCAGGTCGCGGCTGCCATCAACAGTCTGACTCTCAGCGACAATAGCAGAGACGCCGTTGCTGCGTACGTTCCTTGAAACCAGTGCTGACGGCAGTTATCTTGCCGGACGAGCTGGTGGTGCGGGAGGTGGTGGCAGTAGGGGCGACGACACCAGCGATTGCACTAGTGAAAGCGACGAGACGGCGGCCTCCATCGGCGGACTGCTCGCGCTTTGGCAGGCGCTCTGCCTCGAGGTTAGTCCTTCGTTCTCATTAGCAACCATGTCGGTGATCTTGCCCCCTCCCTCTTGCCTCCTCCCATTGCCCTTTCTCACTCACCTCAGTTCGGCCTCGTTCAGGACCCCGACAACCCCGAGCTCCATCCCGACCTCCCCTCGCTGCCGACGACCAAGACCCAGGCCCGCAAGCTCCTCAACACTCGCGCGCACGTCAACATTTGTGATTACTTCACCGAGCGTGCCACTCTCACATCCACCCCCTGGGGCTGCCTCGCCCACCTGGTGCACCCTACAGCTGCAGCGCTTGCGCAGGAGCTTCGCATGTGGGCAAAGCGCGAGGGACGCCGCCGTTACCGCATCCGCCGCCGTCTTCGCCTCCGCGGGATGAATGATGAGGAGATCGCCGAGGCGGTGCGCGGCGCCAGTAAGATGTTTCCGCGTGAGCTGGCCAAGTGCGAGGGCCTGAACCCCCTGCTTCGTGTGGTGTTTTAGTGGGTGCACAATCAAGATATCAGAAGGAGATCGACAGGAGATTAGGAGAAACGGAGATGGGTGGCGGCTGACGGAGAAACAAAAGGGATTGAAGGAGGCCGGAGGCCTGTGAGAGTTTGTGCATCAGTGATCAGTGATGAAAGAATGCGTGCAGGATTACGGCGGTACGACGAGGTGATGAAAGATGTTTGAACAACTGCAACAATGGAAGCGAGCCATGTCCGTCCTCTTGCGTGCTATTGTGCATATTCGCCAGCATTACAACAAAAGCTATTTGGGAATTGGGAGCGAACGATTTGCTTGATTAAGATGGAATTGTGAAGCGAATATACTCCCGCTCATGATCAGAGCCCGTCTCTCACAGTCGGCACTGAGCTCTGAGAGCCTCGACATTGAATCGCTCCGTCGCATAAACAACACTATCCCCTTCATCGTCTCGCTCTCAGCTTTTCTCTCGCCACTGCATATAAACAGCAACTGGGAGCTCCTCTTCTCCTTCTGTACTCATACTCTCCCCCCTCCTCCCTCCAATTGCGACACACCTTGCTGAGAGCGACGCTTAACTCTAGAGCCCCACGATGCCCGAGTGGTCAGACCCTCTCGACCGCCCCGGTCCATCTCGGGCCTCTGTCTCGCCCACAAAGCGTAGCCCAACAAAACAGACAACCCTCCCTCCACCGCCTACCCATGCGCTACCTCCAAAGCCCGGGACAGCCGCTCCGCCAGTAGCGCCACCGCCAGCAGGATTGCTCGCCCGCATGACAGCACCTGGTCCTGCGCCGAGGAGCGAGCCGCGTGACCTACCCTCGCTGAGCAGCTTTCACCCCGAGAGGACAGAGAGGGGGCTGAGCATTCGGGGTTCAGCCGCTCTATCCGCAAACGGCGCTCAGCCCGACCGCAGCGCGCAGCCAGAGCGCAGACCTCCGCCTAGCCGTCCGCCCCCGCCCCCCGAGCCCGCTCGCCATCACGAGCGCACCCCTTACGATCGTCCCTCCAACTATGACCGGTATGATAGATCATACGACCGCGCGCCCGACCAGCGTCCACCGGAGCGCCGGCGCTCCCCGGACCGCTTTGAGTCTCGGCCTCTGCACGAGTACGAGCCGCGGCAACGCAGCCCGTACCGCAGACGGAGCCGCAGCCCTCTGCCGCCGCGCGACCGTGATCGCTTCGAACGCGATTTGGACCGCGACCACCGCGGGTACGAGCGCGACCAGCGTCAGCGGGAGGACAGCCGCCGCTACAACGACTGGCACCGCCGCGACGATCGCCGCCCTGATGAGCGGTACAACCGCCGCGAGCCGCCGAGCCACAGACCGGCGTCGCCGAGCTACAAATTGCGCTCACCATCCAAGCGCTCTCCCCCACACGAGCCTGCGCTTGTTCGTCAGCGCTCCCCACTCCCCGACCGCCCTCTTGCCCGTGACCGATCGCCCGTCCGTGGCCGTGGCCGTGGCCGCTCGGCGATCCGCTCTCCACTGCGCGATCGCTCGCCCATCCGCGAGGCGGCCCGTAGCCACTCAGCGATCCGCTCCCCAATCCGCGAGCGTTCTCCCGTTCGCGATCGCTCTCCCCGTCGCGAGCAGAAGCCGCTGCAGGAAAGTAGACGCTCTCCGCGGCGCGCTGCGTCTCCGCGCAAGCCGAAGCCCAAGCCAGAGGTCGAGGTTGAAGAGGGTGAGATTGGCGACACCGAAGAAGGAGAAGTACGCCCGCCGAGCCCCGCCAGGAGCCCAAGTGTGCCGCCCCCACCTCCCCCTCCCCCTGAGGATGCCCCTCCTCCGCCGAGCCCAGGCGCGCCGCCCCCGCCGCCCCCCTCGGATGCCCCTCCCCCGCCACCTCCGAAGTACGCCCCGCCAGTCCCGCCGAGCGACGTCCCGCCCAGTCCGCCCAGGAGCCACCACCGCGCGCATCCCAGTGGCAACTTTGCCCCCAACCGTAACCTCATTGAGCCGCCAACGCGCGTCGCGACGCCAGTAGGCAAAGACAAGAACAGTGGCGGTCCAAAGCTGTTCCGTTTTCCCACGGCGCAGGAGGAGAAGGACAAGTACAACCGCTTCTTCAAGGGCACGACGACGTTGGCTGCATATGACATGGGCCTCAAGCTTGGCGAGGGCACGTTCGGTGTAGTCACCAAGGCGGTAGAGTTGGCGAGCAAGAAGACTGTTGCGCTCAAGAAGCTCATCGAGCACAATTATCGCGACGGTGTGTCGATGACGACTGTGCGCGAAATCAAGATCCTGAAGACGCTGCCAAAGCACCCTAACATCGTCCCTCTTCTTGACATGGTTGTCCATCGGAGTGAGTAGCGGAGTGGAATGCTAGCTGACAGGCCAGAAATACCCTCGGACCGCAGCCAGCGCGGCGAAATATTCATGGTGTTTCCCTTCGTCGACCACGACCTCTGCGGCCTCCTTCTGAACAAGGACTTTCGCATGTCGCACTCTACCGCCAAGTTGATTTTTAAGCAGATTCTCGAGGGGCTGCACCACATCCACGTTAACAACATTGTCCACCGCGACCTGAAAACGGCCAACATTCTCGTGTCGAAAGAGGGCCACGCCATGATTGCCGACTTTGGTCTGGCGCGCACATGGGGTGTGGAGGCGATGCCCAAACACTCGCCACACGAGTACACCAACATGGTCGTGACGCGGTGGTACCGCGCGCCCGAGCTGCTGCTCGGCGACACGAAGTATGGCACAGCCGTGGACATGTGGAGCATGGGCTGCATCCTGGGGGAGATGTACCACCGCGAGCCGATTTTCGCGGGGCACTCTGAACAGGACCAGCCGAACCGGATTTTCTGGCGGACCGGTCCGCCCTCCCAATCTTCTTGGCCCGGATGGGACAAGCTTCCGGGGCACGCCGAGCTGCCGGGGCACGCATGGGACAAGGCGCCCCAAGGTCCCTCGCTACTGCACTACGCGCGCCAGTGGCAGTGAGTTTCCGCGTCCCCTCACGCTGACAGCAGGATGGACCGTGTCGGCGCCGACCTCATGTGCCAGCTCCTCCAACTAGACCCGGCGCGGCGCCCGAGCGCCGCGGCGGCCCTCGAACACCCGTGGTTCACCGTCAACCCGCTCCCCGCGAAGCTGGGGAGCATCCCCGTCGTCGAGTCGAGCCACGAAATGACCTCGCGCGACCGCAACATGCCCGCGCAGCCGCAGCCGCAACCGCAGCCGCCCGCGCGCGCACCAGCTTGGAGCCAGCCGCGGCCACCGCCGCCAGCGCACCACCCGCAAGGACGGATGCGCCCACAGCCATACCGCCCGCCGCTGCCCAGCACGCTGCCGAGCGCGCCGGCGTACCCCGGAGGCCGGTTCGCGCCGGCCCCCCCGTTCGCGCTCGGCGGCAACCGCCGCGGCGGTGGCCCGGCCCCGGGCCCCGGCGCAGGGCGCGGCGGCTACGGTGGGCACGGTGGGCCGGGGGGCGCGTTCGGTGGTCCTGGAGGACCTGGAGGACCCGGAGGGCCGGGAGGGCAGGGCTTCGGCGGACCAGGAGGACCCGGAGGGTTCGGCGGGCCAGGAGGACCTGGCGGAGGAGGAGGGCCTGGCGGAGGAGGCTTCGGCGCGCCTGGCGGATTGAGACTTGCTGGCGGCGTGCGTCCGAGCCACGGGCCGAGCTTTGGCGGGCCGCGGCCCCCGAAGCGGGCGGGCGACGATGCGTTTGGGCGGCCGGATAAGCGGCCGCGGAACAATGACGCGCTGCCTTATTAGTGCGAGCGAGCGAGATGGGGAAGGCGAGCATGGAGCGGGCACGGAGAGCGGAGAGGAGAGAGTGAGCGACATGTCGACGGCGACACGCGGACGGATGGCCTGCCACGCATCGCAGACCGCAGAGACAACGCAACCGCATTGGCACCATTAGCATAACCACTGTACCACTTAGTATGCATTGCTGCGCTGTAGGGTTCACCGGCCGTCTTGGGCACAGACATGGACATGTGCGTGCATGTGATGGACGAGTATATCGCCCACGTGTCCCCCTCCCACACAATTTTTCAACGACCACTTTCTTTCTCCCAGCTCGTCGCTCACAGCTCGTAGCTCACAGCTCGTAGCTCACAGCTCGTAGCTCACAGCTCGTAGCGTAGCCCACTCAATACCCACGACCACGACCACCTGCATCTCGTCTCTTGTCGCCATCATGGGATATCGTCCGTGCGTGGTGACTGCTGGCCTGCAGATCCGGGACGCGGGTGGAATGCCGGCCGCTCCTTCCGAGTCCGAGCCGAGCCGAAGCCGTGATCCGGTCTCTCCTCATCGCGCCGAACGATCGCGTAACCTAATTAATACAATGAACTCTGCAAAGCTGCAACAGAACGAGAGCGAACGCTCTCTCGTCGAGCGTCGAGAGCATGAGAAAGTGAGAGAGACGCAGGAGAGCTCTGCGAGGGGAGTCGCAGGGCAGAGAGAGGAGATTACCTCACGACAGTCCCTTGAAACAGGGAAGAGGGTCGATCCCTGCCCTGGATGCGTGCTTGGGGGATGCGCGGTGCTGCGAGACATTCAGAGACCTCTGAGACCTCTGGACTTTCATTCTCTCTCTCCATCTCTCTCTCTCCTCCATCTACACAATGTCTTCTGGTGAGTCCTTCTCGTCGATGTCGGGGCGCACCACGTACCCGCGCACGCACACGCACACTCGCACTCGCACTCGCACTCGCAGCGCTGGGGGCGGGCGCAGTCACACCGTGTAACAGCACACAACGCCCAGGCAGGATGAGACGAGTCCGAGGCGACGAGAATAGGGGCTCCGGCACGCACTAGTGCAGGATGGGGGACTGCTTCGCGTGATCTGAAGAGCTCGAGAGTTGCGAGTGACATTACCTACTCGGCGCCGCGCGGCGCGCGCGGGGAGGTGCTGCGCAGCGTGATCGGGACTGTGGAGCGCTCGCGAACAGGACCCGGCCAACCTTCACGACGGCTGGTGACTTGCCACCTAGTGGCCGCTGGTGACCAGCGTGCATCGTGAGACCAAGGCTGCAGTCTGTCTCCTCTCTCGCATTCACACACTTCCTCTTTGTTCCGAGTCGTCGCATCTCATTCTCTTTTGCGTTGTTGCAGAGTCGACGTCGACACTCCATGTCGAATCTCCCTCCAGAGCCTTCTTCGAACCCCCCACCGGGGCTCACAGAGTCCTCCAGCCCCCAGCCATCCAGCCCCCCGTCTCCATCCAGCTCGCAGCAGCTGACCTCTTCAGCCGCCCCTCCCGCCTCGACACCGGTGCAGCCACCCACGACGCCCACCCCGTCCAACCCGCCACCCAGCTCCAACCCCGGCGGTGGTGGTGGTGGTGGCAGCAGCGCGCCCCCTCCCAGCACACCCCCGACGTCCCAACAGCCCCCCGAGACTCCCACCCCATCCCAGCAGCCTCCCGAGACGCCATCGACCTCAGAGCAGCCCCCCAACACTCCCACCACCTCAGAGCAGCCACCCACTACGTCGCAGGCACCACCTGACACCACAACACAACAGAACCCCCAGACTTCCTCCAGTACCTCCGAGCAGTGGCAGCCAACGACGAGTGAAACACGCACGCAACAGACTAGCACACAAGTCATCGAGGAGCAAGGCGGCACGTCGTACAAGTATGTGACTGTCACCGACTCGCGAGGCTTGGCGCAGACCTCGGCCGTTGCTGTCGCACCGCACAAGAACAACACCCCGGCGATTGTTGGTGGTGTCGTCGGCGGCGTCGGCGGCGCACTCGTCATTGCAGGCCTTGTTGCTCTCTTCCTCTACCGGAGAAAGAAGAACCGAGAGGTGGCATTCGACGAGAAAATGTTTGACCCGCACCACTCAACGCGCCACTCCCAGGCTGATCCTCTCGACATTGCCCCGACGTCCCCGAGCGTCGGTATGCCCGGCGAGCACACGACGATCGAGCCGTTCCCGTACGAGCCCTCGTCGGCGCACGGATACGAGTATGACCCGTACCAGCACAACCAGTCCTTTGGGCAGATGCAGCCAGGCGACACGATGCAAATGCAAGGCATGAACATGCCCGACGCGCGCGACTACATGTACGGCGGCAACAACTACAGTGGCTACGGCGCGGCCGCTGTCGGCGGCGCAGCAGCTGGTGCGTTGAGCCCGGTCGCGGCCGCCAAGCATCGCGAGGCGACGGGCGCGCTCTCGCCCCAGCAGACGGGCATGTCTTCATCTGCGGGCGGGTCTCGCCTCAGCCACTACGAGGACGCATACTCGCAGCAGCAGCACCAGTACCCGGCCTCGCCGCCCCGCTCGGCGCCAAGCGATGGACGCCAGAGCGTGTATCAGCACACGGACATGCTCAGCGAGCCCAGCGACGAGATGCAGGAGATCCCCCCCAAGTGAGTCCAAGCGAGCTGGTGAATGGCGCCCGATCCCGTGCCAAGGAGCTTGCCATCTACCTCGGCTGTCGGATGTCGGCTCTCCACCTCCGCACACCGCTGACTCCAGCTACGATTCCATCCGCCGCTAGCCCCCCCACCCCGGCCCATATAGAGCGCTTGCGCATGTATTTTTACGCTTGCATGCTGCAGGGAGGGGGGGCGCCGCGGATTGTGTCAGTGGCTGAGGGTGCACGGTGGCTGGCGGTATGGGGTCGTCCGTGCTTGGCAGGTGACGGCGCCGACGAGCGAATGGCAGGCGGTCAATGCTGCATCGTGGCCGATTCCGAGGGCTGAGGGCCGATTGTATTGTAGCATGCCAGCCATCGTGCGACGAGCGAACTAGTACTTCCGACCACTCGTGTTTTTACTAGAGCCCACCTGTACACGCCTAGTATAGTAGGCACGCTTTCCTATTCAGACGCCTATTCGTGATACATACGAGCCTAATGCAAGGAGACGCCGCGCCGTCTATGGTGGCTTGAACGCCCATTTCCACGACGCCGACGACGGAACATGCATGGAGCCCTTCAGACACTGTAGCCACAGCCTGTGGCTATCAGTAGATATCAGATACATGCATGTAGATGTCGATACAGGATAGATATTGATTTCAGAATGACGTCTACAAGGCGCCATACGTCCC